ACAAGAATGACGTTCTCCCAATTGTCTTTGAGAAGGATGAAAAGGGAAAGGTTAGTGCCAGTAAGATTGCTGACAGCTTGTTGAATTCCGTTTCTGATGCTGGCGATGAGGACGATGTTCCAACCTTGAAGTTGGGTGACGCTTCTGTTGCCGCACCTTTCACGTCGAAATTGGCCAATGTGTCCTCTGTTACAAATATTATCCGTCAAGGTCGTTGTGCGTTGGTTTCTACCATCCAAATGTACAAGATTTTGGCATTGAACTGTTTGATTTCCGCCTACTCTTTGTCTGTGTTGTACTTGGCTGGTATCAAGTTTGGTGATGGCCAATCTACCATTTCTGGAATCTTGTTGTCTGTGTGTTTCTTGAGTATTTCTCGTGGTAAGCCACTTCAGAAATTGAGCAAGGAAAGACCACAAGATGGAATCTTCAACACCTATATTATGGGATCCATCTTGGGTCAGTTTGCCATCCATATTGTTACTTTGATCTACATCACACGCGAAATCTACATTTTGGAGCCCAGAGAAGCCCAGGTTGATTTGGAAAAGAAATTTGAGCCTTCGTTATTGAACACAGGTATGTTTTTGCTTCAGTTGGCGCAACAGGTGTCGACTTTCGCTGTGAATTATATTGGCTTGCCTTTCAAAGAGGGAATCAGAGACAACAAGGGTATGTACTATGGACTTTTTGGTGTTGCTGGGTTGGCAATCATGGGATCCACCGAGTTTATGCCTGAAGTGAACCAGGCCATGCAATTTGTTCCGATGGACATTATCTTCAAATGCAAGTTGACCGGCTGTATTGTGCTTGACTTGGTCGGCACCTGGGCCGTGGAAGTATTTTTCAAGTACTTCTTCATGAACTCTGCAGCAGCTGATATTGCCATCAGAGACTAAAGTTTATAGAGACGCAGTTTAAGAGACGTGCTGTTTGAGCAAACGTAGATCATTCTCTCGATCCAAGTCGAACACTTTGACCGCCCACACGCCATCTCTTTCGAGAGTTTGGATATTGGGCAACTTATGTTCTAGTGCTTTGATGGTATCTCTAATTTCAGATTCCGCCACAGCAAAATGTACCGAATCGCAGACTATCGACACGACTTTTGCCAAAGGGATACTTGTGAAGTTGCGGATCGAGTCTTTCGGTCCACTGGTGCTTGAAAGCTCGTAGAGTACATCATACACCAATGGCATTTTACTGTGGATGAGGCTGGCGTATCTTTCCTGCGGAGAATTGCAATCCAGTGCTTCCTTTTGCAACTTTTCCTTCAAGCGGATGCGCTCAAGCAAAGAAAGCCCGTTAGCTTTGGCCGACTCCACATCGGACATTTTCTCCTTGAAAAGAAACCGTGAGCGGTTATTCTTCATGTCCTTTGTCGGCGACTTTTCGATCTTCAGCCGGGACGCTTTTGTAGGCGAAACCGACGCTTTGCGGGGCGAAACCGACTGGTTTTCGACCTCGGCGAGCGAACTCAACGAAACGGGACCGGGAGATTTGTTTTTGCCCTTCTCAACCAAAGTCTCAAAGTGTCGGCGGCGCAGCGGCAACAGAGAGCCAAAACGTGCAATGCTGGTATCTTTCGGGATGGCGACTCCAAAGTCATAGTCGCTTCCGCCATTGGAGATGATTCTATAGAGAGACGCGTCATAGGCTAGGATGCGCTCAAGTGTGGAGGAATCGATGCGTTTATGGACAAGCCGCGTGGCTTTGGCACACAAATCGTACACTTTGGGCGTGGAGATGGACGACGCATAGTGAAGACTTAGAACCGTGTCGATAGCCGAAAAAAGTTGAGGAAGATCTTTGTCCATAATGTGGTTTTGAAAAGAGTAGGCGCGACAGGAAAAAGTCGCGAACAGAAGAGCATATGTACTGTGAGATGGAGATTGACCCGAATTTCCATCGAAATTAGGTTTTTCATCGAAACAACGAAGAAACACGTTGGTAGATTCTGTAAAGGGAAAAAAATACGCTAATACCCACTACACAAGATGGAAAACGGTATTGGAACAGCAGTGTTAACTATGTGGTGCACGGATGTCTTGAAGCCCGGTGTATTGGTTTTACATTTATCATATACGATCTCTAACCCACCAATATCGCTTTGGGGTAAAAAGGATTTTCACCGCTTTCTTTCCCACTGAAGTAATAAAATAGAACCGATTATCTATTGCTTAAGTAGATAGGTCAGTAAAATCAATTCAGCCGTTCAGAAGTCGGAACTGCGAAAGCCTCGAAACTATTGCCGTGGCCATTAATAATAGACCATGCTAGATACGTAAACTTATGGATACTCCTACGTTTTACGTTCCATCTTTTTTGATTGCGCAGAAGGAGAAAAGAATAATTTCCATGAAGCAGTCAATTTTTGTTCTTAGGACCTTAGAATATTGAGGCATTTACCTGTTTGTTCATATTCATGGTAGCCTGTGCCTTTAGAAATCCGTTGAGAACTGGTATCCTCAAGAAAAACATCGGAGCCGCATCTGCATAATGTACTATCCAGTAATGATGGGCTCGTAAAGCTGAAAACCACATTGGCATTTTCAAAGAGAACATGCGAGTTCTTCCTACATTTCGAGTCCTCCATAACTTGCGAGTCTTTCCTACATTTGCGAGTCCTTCCATTTCGAGTCCTTCCATTTCGAGTCCTTCCATTTCGAGTCCTTCCTACATTTCGGTCTCCATACATTTGATGAGGTGGACATATGGTCCATAGAAGCATCGAGATTGGAATACAAAAATGCTCGTCATCTTCAATGAGCATCTTCATCAAAGGACAAAAACTTCCGTATCTAGTCGCTTCCGCATATTTTTAGAATGGAATGTGCACGCGATCGACGTGAGGAATGTTGTGGATATAAGAATCGGACCGAAGCGGAAGAAGAATTTCACAACATGACTAACAAGCTAGATAATCGAAAATCCTGGCTTCCTCCATCAATTCTGAATCAATTCTGCCACTATACTCCTTGACCAATGGCTCTCCATTCTCATTATTTTCTGCCCCAGCACTTAATCTTGACAGATCTACATTTCTTGGCTACTGCAACGGTCAATTGATTGCGTATTTACTTCTCCTCCTTCTTCTCCTCCTCCTTCTTGTCGTCCTTGTGGCTCGACTCGTAACCGGCATAAGCAGCCTTGGCCTTATCAGCAAATGAACCTTCAGTCTTGTTGTAAGTGTTGTAACCTTCCTGGGCATCCTTGCCGAGCTCAGCGTAGTCAATCTTGCCGTCCTTACCGGCAAGGGCAGCCTCGCCTCTCTTTTTCAAATCGTCAAAGTTCATGTTTGTGTATTATGGGTAGAGACTACAATAGGGGGCACACCCTGGGGTTTATATAGTAGGAGGACGTGGCCCGCACAAAACACCCGTACAGTAGCGTGTTCCACTGCATGGAGCTGCAGCACCGCGAAAAGGGCGAGCGGGCAAAATAAAGTTTCCACGCGCAGCCGCCCAGCATGTAAACTGCGCGCGCCTGCACCGAAACCAATCTTCCTTTCTTCCATTATTCCACGGCCGCATTGTACCATTGTCTACTTAGAGCTTCAACTTTTCCAAAATGGCAATGGTCTGCTCGTAACCTTCGATCTCGGCCTTGAAGTTCTCGGCTCTCTTGAAAGCAGCTTCTTTGGCCTCCGGCTTGGTCTTGTCGGTGAACTTGCTGATGGAGTCGTTCAACTTGGACTGCAAGTCCTTGACGTTGGACAATTTCTTCGACACCTTGCCGATTTCCGCGTCCAAGTCGATCTGGCCCTTGACCAAAACATGCACGTTTGTTGTGGCGCTCACACCGTTCAATGCACATCCGCTAGGAACCGCTTCGCCAGCTCCCAAAACGTCAATCTTCTCCACACCCTTGATCAACGCCACAATAGAGTCTTGCTGGTCCTTGACAATGCTTCTGACATTGTCGTCGGTCGTTTCAATGTACACTTGGCCGTTCTTCAAGATGTTGTACTGCGACAACAACGATCTAGCACCTTTGGTGATCTCCAACACCAACTTGTAAGCCTCCAAGGAAGCAACATCATCGAAGGAAGACTCGTAGTCTGGGTAGGTGGCCACAACAATCGACTCTGCCTTGTCGCCAGCACGACGTGGCAAACGCTGCCACATTTCTTCCGTGACAAAAGGCATGAATGGGTGAATCAACTTCAAGGCGCTGTCGATACAGGTGTACAAGGTGTCCTTGGCCGACTTCTGTTGTTCTGGGGTGCCGTCCTGGATCAAAGACTTGGAGTTTTCAATGTAGACGTCACACAAATCATACCAGAAGTTGTAGATGGCAGACGTAGCCTCAGAGAATTCACGCTTGTCCAAGTGAACATTCACATCTCTGGCAGCAATGGTCAACTGGTGCAAAATCCACTTCTCAACCAAAGATTCTTGGCCCGACAATGCAGCGGATGCTGGAGGTTGGTAGTCAGCGCCCAAACGGCCCAAAACGAACTTGGTGGCCTGGTAAATCTTGTTACAGAACTTTCTGTAACCTTCCACACGCAAAATGTCCAAGTTGATGTCTCTTCCACCCGTGGTGTAAGCACACAAGGCAAATCTCAAGGCATCGGTACCACATTCGGGGATTCCGCTAGGGTAAGATTGTTTCTGGCCCGCGGAGGCCTTTTCAATCTCCTTGGCGTCCAAGTTTCCGTGCTTCAACTTCTCGTGCAAACTCTCCAAAGAAATACCAGTAATGACATCCAAAGGATCCACGACGTTACCCAAGGACTTGGACATTTTTCTGCCCTGGGCGTCACGCACCAACGAGTGGCAGAAGACTTCCTTGAACGGAGACTTACCGGTCAACTTCAACGACAACAAGATCATTCTGGACACCCAGAAGAACAAAATGTCCCATCCGGTCTCCAACATGGACATGGGCGAGAAGCGCTCCAAGTCCTTGGTCTGGTTAGGCCAGCCCAAAGTGGAAATAGGCCACAATCCAGAAGAGAACCATGTGTCCAACACATCCTCGTCCTGTTCCAAAGTGAACTTTGTGTCGGGGAATCTCTTTTGTGCCTTCTCCAACGCCTCTTCGTAGGTTCTTCCGGCAACCCAGTAGTTGTTGTCTAAACGGTCACCTTCCTTGCCTTCAATCTCCACATAGTAGACAGGACATCTGTGGCCCCACCACAACTGTCTGGAAATACACCAGTCCTGGATGTTCTCCATCCAGTGGAAGTACTCTCTCTCAGAGGTCTTTGGCGTGATGGTGATATCGCCAGACTTGACAGCCTTGATCGCTTCCTTGGCCATTTCATCTTGTCTGACCCACCATTGAGGCTTCAACAAGGGCTCAATGACATCGCCGGATCTCGAGCAGAGTGGGATGGTCATTTCGTTGTCCTTTTGGCCAACATACAAGCCCTTTTCCTTCAACTTCTCAATGACCATAGCTCTAGCATCAAATCTCTTGATGCCCTGCCATTCGGGGCCACAGTTCTCGTTCAAGAGACCGTTGTCGGTGAAGATGTTGATGAACTCCAAGTTGTGTCTTTTACCGGTGTTGTAATCGTTCTGGTCGTGAGCTGGGGTGATTTTCACCGCACCAGTACCGAATTCCATGTCGACGGCTTCGGAATCACAGACAATAGGAATCTTGCGGTCCAAAAATGGATGCTGCACATACTTTCCGTGCAAATGCTTGTAGCGTGGATCTTCTGGGTGAACAGCCACACCGGTGTCACCAAACAAGGTCTCTGGTCTAGTGGTGGCAACGGTGATTTTTTCATCCGAGTCCACAACCTGGTAGGAGTACGAGGTCAACAAACCGAACTCGATTTTCTCGTCGTAGTCGGGCACAGCCAACAAGGTTCTGCCGGAAATGTTCTTGTTGTCCACTTCCAAGTTGGAAATGGCCGTGTTCAACTTGGTAGACCAGTTGACCAATCTCAGCGCTCTGTAGATGGTTCCGTCCTCGTGCAAACGGACAAACGCCTCAGTCACAGCGGCAGACAAGTCTGGGTTCAAGGTGAAGGCTTCTCTGGTCCAGTCGTACGAAGCACCCAATCTTTTCACCTGGCTCTTGATACGGGCGTGGTACTCTTCCTTCCACTCCCAGACTTTCTCCACGAACTTTTCACGGCCGTAGTCGTGTCTGGTTTTCTTTTCGGTCTTCCACACCTGCTTTTCCACCACAGACTGCGTCGAGATACCGGCATGGTCAAAACCAGGCAAAAACAACGTGGTCTTGCCTCTCATTCTGTTGTGACGAATCATCGTGTCCTGGATGGCGATGGTCAAGGCGTGTCCAATGTGCAAAGCACCAGTGACGTTAGGAGGAGGCGCTGGAATGGAGAATACACCTTCCTTCTTGACGTTTCCGGACTCGTCAAACTGCGGCTGGAAGAAGCCTTGCTTGTCCCACCACGCGTACCACGAGCTCTCCACGTTCTTCGGGTTGTACGCTTTGAATGCTGGGTCCTCTAAAGACGCCAACACCTTCTTTTCGCCTGGCTTTGTGGAGTCTGTCCATTCTGGAACGGGCTCGGCAGCCTTCTTTTCCTTCTTGGGCTTCTTTTCGGAAGGCTTCTTGTTCTTGGCCTCTTCCTCCTGCTTCTGCTTCTTGGCCAAGAACTTGGCCATCTTCTCGGCCTTTTTCTTTTCCTTTTCTATTTCTTTGGCGGTTTTTTCCTTCTTGGGCGCCTCTGCTGGTGGGGCTCCAGCAGGGGCGGCTTGCGCTTTCTCCTGGGCAGACATTTGGGAGATTCTAAGTGTACGGTTCGGAACGTAAAAAACCACGGGTGTTCTAATTACCTTTCCTAGAAGTAGTCGACTTATGACCATAGGGCCTGAGAGAAAAAAATTTCGTTAGTCATACTGCACACCCGTACACCAGGGGAACATTTTGGGCTGTCAGACAATCTGCCACAAGCCGGTCTTGAAAGAGAAAATGGTTTATTCGTCTTCTTCGTCGATGTCGAAAAAGGGTTTTGTGAAAGCTGGCTTGGTTGACCCGGGTTGCATGTTTTTTGAGGCATACAAAAATCAGAGAATTAGGTGCGCAGATGACTCGACTATCAAGCAGATTTCATAGTGGTCCAAAAAATCACAGAGTTAGGCAAACCAAGAGGTTGACGAAATGAGGAATTCACAAAATTCCTCAGATCCTGTGATTTTGGAATCACATGCTCCTGTATTAGTTATGGTGGTCTCTACGTGAATCTTATCGTCTTCCGCCTTCTTTTCTATTTCTAAATTTGCTTGCTTTGAATTCGTTTCCCGTTATTTGCACGAAGACGTAGCTGTATTTCGAGGTATGGATGGAATATGGGCGCTGTAATTTGTTCCAATAAGGAGTAATATGAATCATGATGCCACATAATTCAATTTCTCTTTTTCCACCAGGATGAATCTCGAGTCCGATAATAAACGGGGAAATGCAGAATGGCGAATACAACTAGAACAGCAATGTCATTAAATGCTTGTCTTTGTATATGTCAGAAACTAAATTTCGAGTCGCTTTCTGTAAGTTACATCAACGCTATTGAGATTGAGGGAATTGCAGTCCCTTTAGGTCCATCTTGTAGAAGATTTAGGCCTGTTGAACTAGCCTCCTCACATCAGAAAAAGACCTATCAACCTTTTCATTAGCGATAGGAACAGACGTCAAGAGCCGAAACTGAATCAAATGCTGAATGTATCTCATAGTTTCCTATCATTCTATCATTCTATCATTCTGTGGAAATGTGGGATTTCTAGTTCACTGTGGAACGCAAATCCTTTTTTGTTCAATCCAAATCTGCTAAACGCCGTTTCTTTATACGGCCCCACGGCACTTCTGGCTGTTTTTCGGGGACGGCCACGATGGTATCCAAGTCGACTCTTTCCTTTTGCTGCTGGAGCCTCGAAACCATTTTTTTCGAGATCCGTGCATCGGTGTTCCTGTTGACCAGGATACCTTCGAGCTGCTTGCTCATGCCAAGGCCAACTTCCTCGCCAAAAGTGTCCATGACAGTTTGTTCCTGCTTGCCAAACTCCATTTTGTTCTGTGCTCGCCGGAGATCGGACATTTGGAAGCGCTCCTTCATTTTGCGGAAGCGGCGGCCGCCTCTTTTCTTCGACTTCTGCTCCTTGGGCACCGGAAGCGCCTTGACGGCCGCTTGGATCTGGCGGAAGTGAGAAGCTGGTCGATTTTTCTTCTGCAACCTCGAGCCCTGTATTTTTCTCCCCTTTTCTGCCTGCGGCTGACGAGCCCGACAAGTCGATTCGGGCCGCTAGCACCACTTTTCCCGCTGAGAATCCGAAGAGCCAGCTTCACGATTTCCCGGCGGAAGGCTCTTGACTAGATCGCAGTAGTAGAGGGTATCCTGTTGCCCGCACAAAGTTGGAGTGGGTTTTCGTTTTGCGACAGCAAGTCCCGCACGCCAAAAGACGGAAGGTTGCACGACGGCGTGAGAGCCAACATGCTTCAAAGAAGCCCGTGCTGATAAGAAGCTGAGACGTGGCCACAGGGCCTATTAGAGCAGAGACGTTGGGCGCAAACTTGGAGAGGCGTTGCGATATGAACGCCGCCACCTCGTCGAGAAAAGAGCTGAGCTCGAGGCACATGGTGCATGCGTGGGCGATCTTGGCCATGTCCTGGTCGTTCAACGTGAACAGCAGCGGGAACTGCTGCAAGGCCGCCATGACAATGGCCAAAACCCGGTCGCCGGCCACAATCTGCCGGAGCCGGGGCTCGTGCGCCCGGATGCCCGCAAGATCCTGGCCAATCTCAAGAACGATCTTGCAATAGTCCACAGGGCTTGGAACAAGCAGCTCCAACTCAGAAAAGACAACCCGGTACTGCACTGCTGCGTAGCGGTGCAAGAGCGCCATTTCGTCCGAGACGAGCGGCGGGAGCTCGCTGAGCTGCGCCAAAAACGCATACTCGGGCGACTGGTGGTTGTGGTTTATCGCTTGTAGAAGCTCCAAGTAGTCTGTTTCGGCCGAGTCGGCGTGGCGGGCCAACGTCTCGCGGATCTGCGGCATGAGCGCATGCACGGAGCTGAGTTCTTCCACGTCGGCCACTTGTTTCACGTCGAGCTGGGCGATTTTGGCGCCGACATTGGCCAAATGGCTGTTTTCTAGTAGTTGGGCGAGAGTGGCCGGTTTTCGGGCGGTGTTGGTGGGTGCAGCGGGTTGGGCCGCCGTTTGGGACACTTCGGCCTCGGAAAAGGAGTCGGAGTCGCTCTCAAAGTCTGCCGCTAGCTCCTTTTCGAAATCCATCAGAGTGTTGGAGTAGTAGATGGCGTCACGTGTGCAGGAGGTGAGACGGCTTATTTAGGTGCAGAAGCGAGAGGTTCGAATATGAACCAATATATAAGATTATTTTTTTAGCCAATACATTAAGATTTAATAGCTGGGTTTAGGAAAGTGGAAGCAAAAAGGACATCTTCCAAATCGAAATGTGCCATGGTAATTCAATATGGGTGATGGTAGTCCACGCTTTTCCATACACACTGATGTGAGAAACTGTGAAGAATAAAGTGATTCATAGAAAATGAACGAAATGAAAATTATCAATGATAAGTTATATCTCTTATCCCCTTTTAAGAAGATATTACCATAAATAAACACTCAAAGGGTGTTTATCTATTATTTTATTGAAAAAGGGTATTATAAATATAATTACATAAAATATGTAATTATATCTTTGATAAACACCAATGGTGTTTATTATATATATACTCATCCTTCAAAGAAAGATGGATCGCCATACGTTTGATATTTATTAATCTACTAAGTGGATTTAATTCTTATACTATACAATATTTATTAAGCGGTAGATATTCACACGCCAAACTGTTTAACGAAAATGAAATAGTGTAAAATTTGGATGGTAGGTTGTCAGACATTGACCATTATTGAGCTGACTAGAGCTCTATCTTTGGTTAAACTGCTCCTCATATAGTCAACACTCTAAGTACTTATGAGCAACTTAAGATGTCAAGATCAACAAGTATGTAGTCTGTCTCTGTTTCAATGATACCAGAAAGGGATTGAGCCGTTTGAATCTAAAATCGGGCAGATAAATCATGAGAATAAGTTTATGTCTTCTAGTAAACTATCAAAAGGAGGGATTCTGAAGGGCCTTTTCCTTTTGTGCTTTCAGAACACTACACACGATTATTTGAACAGAAAAAAAAAATGAAAGTTTGTACAAAAAAGAATAGTTTGGTGGTCGAAAACGGATTCTGAGCTGATGATAGCAAGAAAGTTTTTCTTGAAAAAAAAATCTCGGTATAGTAATTTCGTCCTTCGGTTTATTTCCCTTTGTGTTTCCCTGCTAGGGTTGATTAAATGTTTGCTTAGTTCTTCGATAAGTCGCATTTAGGAACTGAAACTAGCCAAAGAGCCAACAAAGCTAAAATTGATTTTTGCAGCGGGTCTTCTGTATCTCAAGATCACAAGTATAAGAAGAATTATAAAAATATTCGGGCCCTTGCTTGCTTGTGGCGCAATATTTGAATGAAACCATCAACGCACAGGTCAATTGGTCGATTGGTTGTAGAGAGAGGTTGGTTGGGGGTAGATTGAAGATTGATTTCTATTCAACTGAATGTGGACTGTCAGAAATGTTACTTACCACCTGAAGTAGTCTGCTCCATGCACACCCTTCCTTCTAGATCAGACCAACCCGAGTCAAGAGATATATCGGTAGGAGGCAGAGGATTGGACATATGAGATTAATGACGTTATATCACTAACGAGAAGATTCTTAAAGATCATCCTCGAGAAAGTGATGGTACACCATTGGAACTACAAGATGTGACGTTACACAAAACAACAGGGTTCTCTTGATACTCCATTCTTCTTTTCTTCATTCCTTCATTCTTCAGTTTTTAATTATGAATAACATAATAGAATCAGAAAATGTAAAATATAAACCATTTTTTATTTGGTATCCAGAAGTACCTGAAAGAAACTGCTGAAAAATTAGAGAGTAAATCTGAACTTTTAATTCATTAGCTATTTTATCTATTTTAATGAATTGGTGGATCATATGGTCTAGAGACCTGTGTTGTCTGCAATCCAACACTAGTAATATAAGGTAGTTGAATATAACATTACATCCACAGTATATGTGGAGTCAATTATTATTAACATTATTAACAGTTCTATTGTTCATAATTAGCTATAAAATACCCCCATCAACGGTCACATCCTAAATGAGATTTAATAGTATGGTCCTTGAATGCATCTAGAGAGAAACTTATACACCTGCGGAAAAATTGTCCCAGAAGGAACAATGGAAATATTCCCACATCGTAGCCTTACGACTGTCTAATTTGGACAATTCTGCAATTCTGACAATTCTGACAACTTGGATAATTGACAACTTGAGTCTCTCAGTCACCAACCTGCATCAATCCTGTCTTGCTTCATATGTCACTTACTGTGTACTGCATATTACTTTTCTATCCCAGAAGAAACGATGCCAATACCTATTTGGTATTGAGGAGATAGAAGTACTGGGAGTATAAGTACTGGGAGTATAAGTACTGGGAGTATAAGTACTGGGAGTATAGGAGGACTGGGAGTATTGCGGGAATTCCTGTTCCCCAATTGATCTTGAAGCTTACTTGTGGATATTTTCAGACGTATATAGCCTACTTTCCTCTAGATGGTTAAGGATCATCCTCTAATCAAACCTAACGACACTTATGTCAAACAACTGTCACGAAGATACTCACGTTCAAATGTTCTGTCGTAGATTCAGCTAGGAGTGCATAGAGCACAACGCTCCAACGATAAGTTCAATAAATCTCCGAACACATAATTCAAATTTTCTACATAAAAAGTTCAAATTTTCGAACAATAAAGTTCAAATTTTCCAATAAAGTTCAAATATTCGAACAACTCGAAGGAGTTTGGCCAGAGTCTTGCAAAATGTCTACGACTCAATTGCTTCTGTGAAAGCGGAGTGCATATAACACTCACATTGCACTTCTTCACCTCCATCGCCTCCTGCACCACCTTCTTCTAGCCATGTCGCTGCTTTTCCACGTCGAGCTCTCGCCGCTTTCCCAGGTCGACGGCCTGGCCCGCCTCACCGCCGGAAACACCAAAGTCGTCGTTTCCGTGACCGGCCCGATCGAGCCCAAGCCCAGACAAGAGTTGCCCACGCAGGCCAGCTTGGAAATCGTTGTGCGGCCCAGCAGAGGCCTTGCCGCTACCAAGGAAAAGGTGTTGGAGGACCTCTTGCGGTCGGTGTTGCAGCTGGCGATCGTGCGCTACAAGTACCCGCGCCAGCTCATCCAGGTGGTGGTGCAGTTTCTAGCGACAGATGTCGATGCTGAAGGCGTCGTTTTGGTGTCTGGCGACTCGGCCGGCGGCGAAACGGCGTGCAACGAGCTCAGCGCGGCGCTCAACTGCTGCTTTTTTGCGCTTGTGGACGCCAATGTGGCGCTTTTCAACTCGTTTGCCGCAGTGGCGCTAGCTGTGGCCGCCGACGGGGCGCTAGTGCCGAACCCGCCGCTCCGGGCGTTGAAGACCGCCGCCAGCCACCACGTGGTGTGCTTTGACGTGCGCCTGCGCAAGGCCAGCAAGCTTTTGTTGGCGGAAAGCTCGGGCTCGTTTTCGGAACAGGACTTGCTTGCGGTGGTCGAACGCGCCAGCACGCTCTGCGAAGAGATCCACACGTCTTACCAGCGGCCGGCGGTGGAACGCAAGGTCGAGGCTGATTTTGTGTGGGCGGCCTCGGCTTGAGGTGCTGATAGATAACCAGGAACAGGTTTTCCAAGTTAGGCAGACTGGCATTGCAGTGCTGCGAATGGGTCGGTGGACATAAAATACTACAAGACTACAAGTACAACAAGTACGACAAGTGCAGACAAGTGCGACAAGTGCAGACAAGTGCGACAAGTACAGACAAGTGCGACAAGTACAGACAAGTACGACAAGTACGACAAGTACGACAAGTATAGACAAGTACGACAAGTATAGACAAGTGCGACAAGTATAGATAAGTGCGACAAGTACAGACAATAGAGATGTACAAGTAAACTACAGATAAGTACAGACGAGTACAGACAAATACAAGTAATGTACAAGACAAACGCAAGCAAATAACAAGAGAAGTATAAGTATAAGTATAAGTACAAGACTAGTACAGACAGGTGAAGACAAATATAAGGGAGTACAAGTATAAGTACAAGTATTAGTACAAGTATAAGTACAATTACAAGTAAAATACAACTACAAATACAAATACAAGTACAAGCACAAGTACACATCTGTAAGTATACAAATACAAGTGCAAGCACCCAAGTAAAGACAAAAGTAGAGTACGCAAGTAAAGTAAAGACAAAATTAAAGTACAAGCAAAGTACAAGCAAAGCAAGTAAAGTACAAGTAAAGTACAAGTAAAGTACAAGTAAAGTACAAGTAAAGTACAAGTAAAGTACAAGCAAAGCAAGTAAAGTACAAGCAAAGTACACTAGTACACTCATGAAAGTCACAAGTACTACATGAAAGACAGTACTACATTCTGACCAATTTTGGATGGTGTCGTATGTACTACATGTCAAATTCCATGACGATAACGGTAATTACAGAGAGTAGATAAGTGTAACTAATTCGTGTGATCGGCACATTGGCTAGATCAATGAATTTGCCTGGCAGTATTCTCTCACTTGCTCAGTTCTTTCTGCTTGCATGCTTCCTATTTCAAACTCAAACTTTCCTTGGATGGAAAGAATTGCCAGGTATTGAGTGGTGGCTATAAACTTCAAGATACAAGACAAAAACTGACCCAACGGAAAAATCTTTTATACTCGTGCAATTGACTAGGTAGTAGCATCCACCACAACCCTAACTTTTAAGTGGTCTAATGTTCTTTTTTCCAAGTTAATCTCGTCGATATTCTTTATCCATCAAGTTCAAATTTTCTCCAATCTTCGCAATGTCCACATTTTGTGTTACTTCTGATAGCGGCGTTTCGAATACAACTGACATCTACAATATTTACACTGTGGAATATCTTTCCATTGCACATTTTTGACCCACTTTAGCTAGTGTATCTACTTAAAGTTAACAGTTGCTATATTCCTCTGGTTTGGATATTTTGGTGAAGCTATGCAGATACGAAAAATGGGCGCGTTCAAACATCCTGGTCGCTCATTCATATTTTGGCATGGTTTGCAGAAATTGAGGGACCGCTTGGGTGCTTAAGTATGTGGTGCACGGGTGTTTCGTTCTTGGTGTTTGGGTTTTTTGTGCTCAAATGTACGGGTTTCATCGTGGTGTATGGATTTTTATCTCGGATGTTTGGGTTTTTTAATGGTGCATGGGTCTTTAAAGATGTACGGGTCTGGATCCTTTTTGTGTCACCCACCAACCCCCACAATCTGGGGTACAAAGAGAAGTTACCATTTGCAACTACTTCCTTTTCCTTGAAGGTATGCTAAAGTTGTATTTTTGTACAAAAACATGACCAATAGAAGTGAATAATGCAACTTAAACATTAAGCAGAGAGGAAACGTGACACTAAAGTTATTCTTTACAACCTTATTTGACAGCTACGTCAATTTCAACAACAAACAAGATCAGAACTGAAAGATTAATTTAGTAGTCTGATTGTACTCTTTATGGTCATTTCCTTTCCGATATTGGATAAAGTACAACACGAAAACGATGTTTTCGTATTGTTTTGTGACACAGCTAGTTGATTTCCACAGTGCACTTCCAACTAAACTAATGAGGAATCAAGGCCCTACCAACCCTTGCCAAATAACAAAACTTCAATTCCCATAATTGGAAAAAAATCTAGGAATATACAGATCTTATATACTTTTAAATCTTCTAGTACATTCCCCTTCAAATTTTATAGTTGCAAATCGACTGTAAACAGCGGCTCTTAGATGTGAGGAGGTACTGATTTGCTCTCGTTCATGTGGCCAAGGGCAATTTTTTAACATTTTGTCATGAATTCCGGAAATTGAGGGAACCCTTGTGAGCTTAACTATGAGGTGCACGGATGTCCAAACATGGTGTCTGGATTTTTGGTCTCTCAAACTGCAAAACTTCATGATGGTGTACGGATTTCCTTTCCGGATGTATGGATTTATTGCAGGAGGTATGGATTTTTCCATGGTGCATGGGTGTTTCCGGAGGTACTGGTGTTAAAATGAGAGGTACGGGTCTATGTTCTTTTTGTGTCACCCACCAACCCCCATAGTTTGGGGTACAAAGAGAATGCACCGTTTGCAACTACTTGTTCTTTCTAAAACTTCTCTCAAATGACTTATTGGAAATTACCAACTTGCTAATTAGAGTGTAAATGTTACAATTGTTTCAACTCAAAAGATTACAGAAACTTGAACTGGAACCATAAGCACAAAAACACTATTAGAGCTGTAATCGAGTTCAACAGTCACATTACCCTTACCCAATGAGCAACATTCCAACAAAAAAAAATAGTGTACGGTTAGATCCTCTCATCTCTTTACTTAGCCTTCAGTCATTGGTAGATCAAAACAAGAAGGTAGATGTTGTCGTACTAAAATGTTGTTCAATTACTTTTGCGCACATTCACATATCTACGGATATTGAATTAGATAATTTATTACCTCTTATATTCTTTCCAATCCAAATATTTAATATTTTCTAATCAATGAATGGATCTGATAAGCATTGATGACGAGATGCGAAGAAGCCATATCTATTTGATACGAATTCTGCTATAATTTAGCTTGCAAATTCACGAAATTGCAAGGTGCTGAACAAAGTTTTACACGAAAACCGCATGTCGAGTACTCGTACTAAATTTTTACTGGAGTTTTATTGTACCTGAATTACCTAAACATAGATCTCGTTAGTAGAGCGTAGCCAAAGGATCCAACCGATTGGAACCAAAGATGTTGGGCTTCCCATTGATGCTCCGTGGCGTGCCCAAGAGGTTAACCTCACCATTTTGGAATTTATTGTTCGGATTCGACTTGTGTTTGAACGTAAATCCAATAAAGTTGTGGTTACCCAACCGCTTGCCACCAAGCTGCGAGTTCTCCAAGAGTGACTCGTTCTGCTCTTGTCTGGCAAAGACGTCCTTATACTTCATCATACTTTCCTCATCCTCAAAATCATCAAAGTATCCGGCATCCTCTTCGTTATCCAACTGCGGCGTGAAAGGTGGAGTCCTACTTCTCAACGCTTCCCAGTTGTTTATGTCAGAGAAGTATGGCTGTGCTTGCACTTGTCTGAAGTTGCGCAAACGGGTGGAAGGTGATGCGATCAATTTGATAATCAATTGCCAAGTTCTGTCACTGAACACATATCTTCCATCTCTAGTCTGAGGTCTTCTTAAAGCTGTCTTCCAGTTCTTTAAGTTATAGTATGTCTCATCCTGCTTCGATCCACTGAATGGAGGATAGCCACAAAGCGCCTCAAACAACATACAACCAAGCGACCAGTAGTCGATTGTGAAGTCATAGTTTTTTCCCTCTAAAACTTCAAGTGCCATATAATCAGGAGAGCCGACAATAGAGTTGGCCAAGTTGTGGTGACCTTGTGATTGCTTGAAAATTTTTTGACGCTCATACATGAGTTTAGAAGGTACTTGGTAGTGGTCCAAGTCCTCCAAATTAGCCAATTTGACTCTCATCGACTCAATTCTATCATTGGAGACTGTACCTGCTGCTAATCCAAAGTCCGTTAGTTTTATGTGGCCCTTGGAATCAATCAAAAAGTTTTCGGGCTTCAAGTCTCTGTGGGTGAAGCCAAGATCGTGCAATGAGTTAACGGCAGCGAACATTTCTGCAATGTAAAAACGAGCATGTGGAGGGATTAAGTAGCCAGTGTTGTTAAGCAATGTTCTAAAGTCGCCACCAGGAACAAACTCCATAGCCAAATACACTTTTTCAGCGTCCTGGAACGCGTACAATAGCTTCACTAGCCATTCCGAGCGCGTGTTGGTTAAAATGTCTCTTTCAGTGAGAACATGGCGAGTTTCATCCAACTTAACCAACAATTTCTTGTTCAAGATCTTCAATGCACAAACCTCGCGCGTGTCTTTCTTTCTAGCCAAGAACACCTGACCGTATCCACCTTGACCAACTTGTGTGATCATCTCAAAGTCCTTGTGCTTGGGCTTAAGGCGTCTCTTGCGCAACAAGGCGCGTTCTCTACCAACGTAATTGCGCCATTCCATCTGTTGTCTCTTTGGGTTCTGCGCATACGCTGGATCGGTCAGCAATCTGTGCTCTACCATGTTGCAGCGCTCCTGTCTCAGGATGACATAGTCGAACATATCGCAGTAATAGTCCAAAAAGTAAAGCTGGGCCACCGAGGCTAGACGTTTCGTCTTGGAAGAGTTTGCTTTGGTGTAAAAGTCAGGAGGCAAAAAGTTGTTGCGAGGTTGGAGCTGGGAAATGTTGTTGTGAAGTTTCAAGTCATGATGCTGGGGAGTCTGAGGTGCGTTTTTCTTCCCATACGGAGAGGTGTGGAGAACCAGCTTTGTGGGCGAGTTTGAGGGAGTGATGTTTTCTTTGTCAAAGGCTCTCTTTGGTGTCAGGCGGTAGGACGTGTCAATGTCCATAGCGTTCGAAAGGATGGAGACATTCTCCATGGACTGGGAGATATCAGCAACGCTGACATCAGCCTTTTGTCGGGGTGTTTTAAAAAAAGCCATTGGGAACTGCAAGGGGAATGGAAGCAAGGATGAGACGTCGTTGATAAACCTCTGACCAGTGTTTACAAATGCGCCAAAAGGGGAAAATTAATGGCATGCGCAGGGCTGGAAGGGGGAATGATGCGTTTCGCGGTGCACGGGTGTTCAACCTCAGAATTCCAAACTTCTGTTTCTGATCAGTGAGAAACAGTGGGTAGACTTCTCTATGCACGGAACATTACGTGCGTGATGGTCTTCATGTCCCAACCAATCTTTTCATGTCTTCAAGTCCGGGAATTTGTTGCAACTGGCAACGAATTTGCGACGCAGCGAACAATTGCACGCGCATTCTTCGCATGCACCTTCAGGATGTCAGATTTACGGGACATACAGAACAAATTGAGTTAGACGGTAATAGAGTAGTGTTTGCGTATCCTGTTCTGATTGCAGTAGAACATGGGGAGATCGTTTATAAGTGGCGCTTGCGTCCCGAAGAACAATTGGATGCAGGATATTCCGGGGTAGATACAGTCTTCTAAAACGGACCTCGGCTAGGTAGAATGATCTTTTCGCAGATGGACCCTTACTGACACAGAAAACTGGCTTCGGAAACCTCTTCGATTCTTTGTTCAGCTTCAAGGTGGACTGTTTATGCGCGGGAAAGGTGTTTTTTTCTTAATCTCGAGGCCCGTACCTGATTTACATTGTTCAACAGGATCTAACATGAAATCAAAAATCAGGCAAGACAGCCTGCACTGGGATGATTTTCTTGTCTTGGTATAGATGTGGGCTCACTGCACATGATAGTAGGGAGCACTATAAAAGAAGCTGGAATCAGGACCGAATGCAGACCCAATCGAAGCACTAGCAGAAGCCTCAGCACAAACTAAAAACATAGGAAGGCTGCAATATTAGTGATGACAAAATACGCATTAGTGACAGGCGCCGGGAGCGGAATTGGGTACGAATTGGCCAAGGCCTTCCATCGGCGCAAATACGTTGTGCTTGGATTGGGCACCAAACACGATATTCCCGGCATGAACACTTTGAAAGAGCAGATTGATTTGGTTCCAATTGTGGCCGACGTTACCAATGTCAACGATATCAAGGCAGCAGTTGAGGACGTGCGCTCTGTGACAGGAGGGCGTCTTGATGTGCTTTACAACAACGCAGGCGTGTGCAACGTGGGCGGACCGGCCATTGAGTTGGACGATGACGGCTTGCGCCGTCTTTTGGACGTCAACGTGTTGGGCCAGATGTACATGACCAAGTACATGAGCGACTTTGTGATTGCGGCGCGGGGCTCAATTGTTTTCACGGCGTCGGTGGCGGCGCGTGTTCCCCTCTCGTGGACACTGGCGTACTGCGCGTCAAAAGCAGCCATTGACCAATATGCGTTGGTGTTGCATGGAGAAATGCAGCCATTTGGCGTGCGGGTGCACAGCGTGATTACCGGAGGCGTGGACACCGCGATCGCAGACTCGTTGGGGCTGGAGGTCCGCAAGAACAAAACAGGCGAGTACCCCTCGGAACACTTCAATGTCAGCGGCATGAGAGACAGTGTAGAAGCAGCAACGAATATGAGCCGGAGTCACAGAAGCCAAAGTGCGGCCGACTATGCTGAGGATATTGTGGGCAAGGTGGAAAGCCGGAGCAGCAAATTCAACCTATACGGAGGGTACGGCGGGTACTTTTTGCACTGGCTCCGGTGGTATGCGCCGGTGTGGGTGATGGAGTGGAGTATTCAGACGTGGTTCAAGCAGCGGCGCGTATTTGATGAGATCAGGGCCAAGTATGCGGGGAAGTGAGGCTGCAAATAAATGTTGCAAACAGAACATGAGGTTCTGGCGGCTAAGTAGATGAATGGACGATAACGGATAAGTAAGAGGAAGAGGAAGGAAGAGGAGAGGAATTGGAAGGAAGAGGAAGAGAAGAAAGAGAAGGAAGAGAAGGAAGAGGAAGAGAAGGAAGATCGGAAAAAGGAAGAAGAGAAGAGGATCGGAGAAGACAACAAAAAAGAGCAAAAAGAAAGGAGAAAGAAAACGAGAGAGTAGAACAAAAATAGCAAAATGATAAGGAGTGAGAAAAGAAAGAATCGAGAAGAAGCAAAATAGATTGAGAAAAGAAAGAATCGAGAAGAAATGATAAAGATTGAGAAGAGACAAATGAGAAAATGTGGGGAAATTGAGAATGATCTACAATCACTTACAAGGTTATCACATCAACATAGAAAACGATTATGAATTCGTTTACCTATTACAGGATAGCTACTAGAATAGGGCACCAGAACAAAAGAATATACTCAGCTGATTATTCATTTTTTACTTTCTCCAGCTAGACATGACCATGTCCATTGTGCTGATTGAATGGAGTCATTTATAACTTTTAAAGGCATGCCAAAATTGTGAGACATTACCAAATGTCAAAAAATGTAAATAGCACCTGTATCTCTACACGTATAGATTGGATAGATAAAGAAGACGAAGGCGAAAAACTCGATTTCAAGGCATAGGCCGCTTATTCAGGTCCTAAGAATTTACTACACTAGCATTTTGATGAAAACTTCTTGTCCTTACTGTTTGTGTAGATATCTATACCAATGTTGAATACGATTATGGTAGTGAAACTTTGGGTATAAGACTTGATTGTAAGACTGAAAAAGAATGTGATGTATTCGTAGCATCAAGATCGGTTAGTTTTCCTGCTGATGGACCGTTGTTGCAATAGTAATTGATAGCACGAGAACTGTTCATTCAGATAAGTATTTGCCTTGTCTGGTCAGGCACCCAAAGTTACCATGGATTATGGCTGAAAGCCTCTAAGTTCTTATATGACCTAACTGCTAGATCGATAAAAAAGGTAATACATTTAAAATATTTTCTAGATTATCATTCGAATCCATGCGCTACCTATAGTTATGGTTTCTCAGGAATGTTCCTGTTAATAAAAATTATGATATGGAGGGGAGTAAGATAATACGGATTCAATAAAGATGCTTCGTGACTTAACTAACTGAGGAGTAGTTGTTCATACTTAGTATATTTGTGGACAAAGAGTTTAAATCTTTAGCAAGATGATTGGTTTCATTTCCAAGTAGCAAGACAGTTGCATTGTGAGTGGCTAATCACATAGTATAGTGGAAGTTGAACTTAATCCAATTGCCATCTCTCACCTAAGGTTCTGTGAATTGAATCTGCCAGAAAACAGAATGCTTAAGGTTCATTGCTAGGTAAGACTGACAAACTTTTTCGAATATTCAAGCAAGTAGGGTGCCGAGCCAAAAGGCAAGAATTTCATTAAATCAGTCCATCATGTCAACTATCAAAACAAATCAACCATCACAACAAATCATCCATCATAATATGCCCATCATGTCAATCAATCATGTAAGTCAATCATGTCATTCATCAATCATGTCAATCATCCGATAACAGTATCCAAGATGAGTGAGGGGATTAAAATACATTTACTAAATATACTCAAATCGCAAGGTCTATCCTTCAAAGCTGGCCAATTACCATTTCTCGATTACGGAGGAAAGGAACTTACCCTTATTCCTTCTACTCTTTTTACCTTCCGCTGGAACTTTCGTTTTCTTCCCATCATCTTACCCCATGTTCCAGATCCAAGAACTTGCAGGGTCAAGGATCCCCAGACTGTCAAGGTGCACACCATCTTGCCAAGAATGTCTTGTAAAATAGATAATGTGGGGTACGTCGCACCTCGGAGTTCGGAGTTTTCAGAACCCACGACCCGAATCCTCGAAAACACCGCCATCTCAATTTCCGTTACTAGATATTCCTATAGACTTACAGACAAAGATACATGAAATTTCACCATTTGTTGGGTTCTGCCTAATCGCATTGTTCTGATCACTTTGGTTGCGAGCCCGCAGGAGTTAGGAAATGTGGAGACAAACGCAACTCGTAAATTTGCTGCCCGGGGTGGGATGGGGAGATGCTAAGCCCGTGACCTGCGATCTGCAAGCGCATTCTTCTGCACCGTTCTGCAATATGCTCTGCAAAGCTCTGCGACGCTCGTTTAACGGGCCTTGCGCGAAATGGCCAGCAAGACGACATTTGCCACGTCCAAAAACATTTATTCTGGCGAGAATAACCATTTGGCCCTTTTTGAGGGCCCGGTTGCTTGGCTGTGAAAACCAGCACTTTTGTGTTCTTGGTCAGCCACCCCACCTCTCGGAGGTACGGGTGTCCACTTTATGGGGCTGTTTCGGACTTCTTGAATCTTGGGCCGGGTTGCGTGCGGGTGTTCCGAGGGCGAGCGCGTCATATTATCGTCCCAGAACACCCTCGGCGATCACGTGACCCACCAATCACCAAAACTAGCCCCCACCTTTTAACAAACCGGAGGACTCGTCCTTCTTCGTTTCAGAGGCCACCTGTTCTCTTGGCAGCTGTTGTTTCAGTTTTGTGTCCCGTCCCCGCTTCTCCAACATGTTCCGTTCTTCCAAAGCTCGGCTCGGCAGAATTGCCCCATCGGAGCCGCCCCCGGTTCTGCCCTCGGAAACCCCACTCAGCTAACTCCATCGCATCAAACACCAACCCCACACATATATAAAGGTGCCGTACTGCCCACATCTTTTTTTTTTTTCTCTGCTAACTAACAGCTCTTGCCTTTTCCTAATGACCGACTTAGAATCTCAGCAACCCCAAGACCACACGCTTTTCGTCGGCAACGACGCTCCTAAGGGAGACAATGTCACTCGTATTATGCACGACGACGAATATGTCCATTTCGGAAACGAACGGTACTTGAAGTCCGAGTTGGCTCAGGCGTTTGGTGGTACGCTTAACCCTGGTTTGAGTCCTCCACCAAAGCACAACTTGGCCAACCCTGCTCCTTTGGGGTTGAGTGCTTTCGCCTTGACGACTTTTGTCTTGTCCTTGGTCAACTGTGAAGCCCGTGGTGTGACGATTCCAAAGATTGTGGTTGGCTTGGCCTTTTTCTACGGTGGTGCTGCGCAGTTTGTTGCTGGTATGTTTGAAATGGCCGTGGCCAACACTTTTGGTGCGGTGGCCTTGTCTTCTTTCGCAGGTTTCTGGTGCTCGTGGGCGGCTATTGAAACAGACACCTTTGGCATTGTGGCGGCGTACGGAACAGACGAAACGGAGCTCCGGTATGCGCTAGGTATTTTCATGGTGGGCTGGTTTATCTTCACGTTTTTCTTGTGTGTGTGCACTTTGAAGTCCACCCTTGCGTTCTTCTTGTTGTTTTTCTTCTTGGACATTACGTTTTTGTTATTGGCCATTGCCCAGTTTAAGAACTCGGTGTCTGTCAAGAAGGCTGCGGGTGTTTTCGGAATTATTACGTCGTTCGTTGCGTGGTACAATGCTTACGCCGGTATTGCCAACTCGCAGAACTCGTATATCACTGTCAAGGCTCTTCCTTTGCCCGACTTGCTGGCCAAGAGGGACTAGGCGCCGTATCTCCATTGTTCTGTCAATACATAATATTTATTGCTGGGCGCATGGCGTCACATCGTAGTCTGCGTGATAGGCGCCGGACATGCAGGTTCTTGCGATTGTTGAAGTTGCAATCACAATAAAGGGTGTTGAAAAGGTTGAGTATTGTATCCCCATTCAGTAAACGCATATAGAAATGCATCACCAGCTCACATATGCATTATGCCATTTTACACTACAAATGCGACTTATCACTAATGCACCTTCCATTATGAATGCATTGCACCACGCACCGCATGGTTGTCCGCATTGCCCGCATTGCCCGCATCAACGCATCAACGCATCAACGCACCTCTGCGCAGCATGAATGTCCCATATGTGTAGAAAGCCAAAAGTCGATTTTTTTTTTCAGCTTCTGCAAGCTAGATTTATCTTATCGCTTCAGCGTCGTGTGCATTTTCGATGGCGTGCTCACGTGACCACACAAGCAACCAAATCCGATGCGCTTATCTTCAGCCCACCATGGATGAATTGGAAAGTGATTTGAACGTCAAGCTTGTAAACCAAGATGAACTTGAGTCGTCTATAACGGAAAAGGCAAATAAGGCGCTCATTTCGAAAGAGCAAGAGCTCGACGAAAAACGTCTTCGCAAAACCACAGCCGAACTTCGGAAGACCACATCCAAGATCCAAGCTTTGAGGCGGCGGCTTGAAAATCCAAGAACAAAGCTTTCGCAGCGGCGTCAGCTCGAAGACGAAATATCATGGTTCGAGGAAAATGAACTCCAACAGCTCCAGCAGGACATGGCCGATATTCAGGCCCGACTTCGAGGAAACAGAGAGGAGTTGGCCAAAACGGCGGAGAAATCGGCTGGAGGAGGACGTATGGCCGGCGAATCTGAGCGAGACTTTTTGATTCGGACGGGCAAAATCACTGCGTTCGGCAACACAAGCGGATTCAAAACGGAAACGGGACAGTCGCATGTCTTTCTCAGAGCGCCGGGATTCGGAACAGAAAGAGAGAATCGGCAAGAGGCTCTGGTGGAGAAGAAAGCAAAGACAGAAGATCGAAGTCCCGAGACTCTACAAGACCCGAGTGATCAAAATGATCAACAGATACAACCGAAACTAGAAAGTCTGGAGACACAAAAGACTACTGAAGATCTGGAGACACAAAAGAGTCCTGAAGAATTGGAGACTCACGACATTCCCGAGACGACAGAGGCTCAGCTAAATCCAGAAAGTCTAGAATCGTATACCGAAGACATAGAAGATCACCTGAATGATCTGGAAGACAAGGCTCAAGACAGCGATGGAGATTACAAAGCCAATATTGAAGCTATCGATGTGGATAGCGAGAGCGAAAACGAGATTCCACAAAAGCGGCGCCGGGCCATTTCCGAATTGGAGTCCGAGCCCGAATCGGAAGCCAAATCGGACTCGGAAGTCGAAGCCCAAACGGTCGAAGCTAATATCGACGACGGAAACGAAGACTATTACCAAAAAAGGCTCCAGGAATGGGTTTCCCGGCGGTCTGCGCTCCGTAACGAAAACGGAAAAGAGGAACACAACGATAAGCCAGAGTGGTTCTTGCCGCATCCGTCAGTTGCCGATGCTGTGCTTGACTCGAGATTCCGGCTTCCAGGAGACATCCACCCTGCTCTTTTCGAGTACCAAAAAACATGTGTTCAGTGGCTCTGGGAGCTCTACTGCCAGAAAACTGGTGGCATTCTCGGTGACGAAATGGGCTTGGGCAAAACTATCCAGGTGATTGCGTTTTTGGCTGGGCTACATTACCTGGGACTACTCGACAAGCCGGTTCTACTAGTTGTACCTGCAACAGTCATGAACCAATGGGTCAATGAGTTCCATCGATGGTGGCCACCGCTCCGATGTGTGATTTTGCACAGTATTGGATCGGGAATGAAGAACATGGCTAGGATGGAGGAGGAGTTGGAGGAGCACTTGGATGAGGAAGGCGAAGGCGAGCTTTCGGTGCGTGCTGCAAATGCACAAGCAAATGCAAGCGAAATGGTGCAGCGGGTGTTACAGCACGGACACGTGCTCGTAACCACATACGTTGGTCTCCGCGTCTACGCCAAGCACATTTTGCCGCACGAATGGGGGTATGCCGTGTTGGACGAAGGCCATAAGATCCGAAATCCAAACCTGGCCATATCTCTCGCTTGCAAGCGCATCAAAACGCATAACCGGGTGATTTTATCCGGCACTCCAATCCAAAACAACTTGATTGAGCTCTGGTCGCTTTTCGATTTTGTATTCCCAGGCCGTTTGGGCACGCTTCCTGTTTTCGAACAGCAGTTTGCCATCCCAATCAATATGGGCGGGTATGCAAATGCATCGAATCTTCAGGTGCAGACGGGCTACAAATGCGCTGTGGTGCTCCGCGACTTAATCTCGCCGTACTTATTGCGGCGGCTAAAAGCCGATGTCGCGCAGGACTTGCCCAAGAAAAGCGAAATGGTTTTGTTTGTCAAACTTACCCAGTACCAGCACGACATGTACGAGAAGTTTTTGGGCAGCGAAGATGCTGCTGCGATAATGAAGGGCCGCCGACGTGTTCTCATGGGTGTGGATATTTTGCGCAAGATCTGCAACCACCCCGATTTGGTGGACCGCACCGCATTGCTTCACAAAAAGGGCTACAACTACGGCAGCCCGGCGCGCAGCGGGAAAATGCAGGTGGCCCGCCAGTTGCTTCAATTGTGGCAAGCGCAGGGCCACCGCACATTGCTCTTTTGCCAGACGCGGCAGATGCTTGACATTTTAGAGCGCTTCGTTGCGCGCATGCTGTGCATTGACGCACAGGGTGCAGAAACGTCCAACCCTATGCGCTACCTTCGCATGGACGGTTCGACGCCCATCGGCAAACGCCAGCAGTTGGTGGATACTTTCAATGCCAACGAATACTACCATGTATTTTTGCTCACAACGAAAGTTGGTGGGCTCGGCGTCAATTTGACCGGCGCCGATCGCGTCATCATATTCGATCCAGATTGGAATCCGTCGACCGACATTCAGGCAAGAGAAAGGGCATGGCGTTTGGGCCAGAAGAGAGACATCACCATCTACCGGTTGATGACGGCAGGCACCATTGAAGAGAAAATTTACCACCGGCAGATTTTCAAAACGTTTCTCACCAACAAAATCTTGAAGGACCCGAAACAGCGGCGCTTTTTCAAGCTGGCAGACTTGCATGATCTTTTCACCTTGGGCGATCCGGACGAAAAGGGCACAGAGACAGCCGAGATGTTCAACGGGTCTGAAAAAACCTTTTCCGGCACCAAAGACCGGCAGCTGCGGCGCCTTGAAGGCGGGCCGAAAAACGACGACGATTTGTATCGTGTGGCCACTCTTATGGGTGTGTCCAAGCTCGACAAGTTTGCAGGCGACGACGACGAGAAGAACGGCGCAAAAGAAGACGACAGACTCATGGAAGGGCTTTTTTCCGGCGTGCATTCGGCACTTCAGCACGACGAGATCGTGGGCCAGACGCATCTGGAAGAATCTCTCGCAGAAAAGGAAGCGAACCGTGTGGCCAAGGAAGCCGCTGCTGCATTGCGGAAGTCTCGCCTTGCTGCCCGGAAAACGGCCATAGGTACGCCCACATGGACGGGAAAGTTTGGCGTTGCAGGCCGGTTTGGGCCAAAGAAAAAGGCCAACGGTCCACTCAAGGTTCCGTCGAGTACAAATGAGAATTCCTTGTCGTCGACGGCCATTTTGGGCGAGTTGCGCCAGCGACGGAGCGTTCCAGAAAGAGAACCTTCCAATTCAAGGCAGGATCTTCTTGAGCGGATAGTTGGCGTTTTAATGAAGGAGCCAGGTGGATTTGCGAAGTCAGGCAAGATTTTGGGGGCGCTTTCCAAGTTGGTGGATCTCAAACAGGAGAAGGAGTTGGTGATGGTGCGGTCCTTGCTTCGTGAAGTGGCGGATTGGCAGAAAGACGAGAAGGGATGGAAACTCAAGCTGGAATTGAAGGATGAGGGAGCAGGCGAAGAATGAGAGGCATGTCCTGTTTTCGTACTGGCCTGGAGAAGAAGTCTCATCTCTTTTTGTTAGCCTTGGCTTATTCGAAAATGGATTTCGAGTCACAGTCTGCTTACACTTGAACTATGCGGTTTTCCGGAACAGCTTGTCTATTGAGCTAACGATGTATAGGTTCAAGTGAGGAAACCCAAAGGGATTTAGACTGGAAGTCCTATACGTGAGGAAAGTATCTAGAAGGAGTTTAATTTATTCACTGATAGTATATGTGTAGTTTAAGGTCTCAGATCGTGTTTCTGTTCTAATTCTTTCGTGCTAGTCAGAATATGCTGCCAAAATGGTGACTAGTGGGGAAAATGGATCGATTCTATGAACCCTCCTCATAAAAAAATTGACTGACCTTACGAGGGTAAGGTCGAAATTCTTTAATCAAAATGGGCAATGTGAAACTAGCTACATCTCGATCGAGATCACTTATCCCACTTACAATACTGATTAAAGTACTAAGTACTCTATCTTCACTGGAGAGTATAGGGTACATCTTTTTGTGTGTTACAAGATTGTTCTTTATTCATAGACCATTGATTTGTTGAACAATAAGAAGATTAGTGACATCATTTAATTTCATGACTAGGTGGTGTTCTTTTCTGTTTTTACAAGAGGATCGAATGGAACCTCACATAACACCATCTCCGACTTCTTGCTTCATGCTGTCATATTCAATAAAATTTCAGCATACTTGAAATGCTCCACGTCTACTCTGCTTTCAGACAGGGTGGCACTGACATTCAATACTCCAGAACAATTTTTCTTACACTGAGGCCGTAAGTTTCATCAACAATGAAGTCCACTCAATCTACCGGCATCTGCGCCCGAGCATAATCTTGCTTGACACGGATGTGCGATTATGCCTGATCCCGCACGAGTGTCTAAAGCTTGCAGCGGCTGCAGTGGGGTGCATCTGACAAACCGAACGCAGGCTCACAGGGCGCCTGCAGAGAAGGCTCGAGTACTTCAAGTATAAAAGTGCGGGCGCTGCGACTCGAGCGACCAAAACAAAATGTTTCGACGTGTACGGCCATACTCCACCTTCATTGACAAATGTCCACCACCCGCATACGACACTGGATGCACATATTGCAAGGTACCTGCGTTTCCTCCCGACAAAAGACTTGATGCCACCACACATCTCAATGGCACAGCACCCAGCATGTGGAAGCATGTTCTTGCATTTCTGCACGGTGTGGCGACATTTGACACTATGCCGCCAAAAATCAATCTTGTGCCAGGGTCTCTAGCAAGCGAGTTTGAGGTGCTCCGACGCAAGATGCTCAGTCCGCAGCATCCCGTGACGCTTCTGAATGCAATTGTCTCTGGCATCGATGGTGGCACGCATCAAAAGGTCTTCATCTACCCGGACTGCATACAGGTCGAGTTCAAGTTGGCCAATCTCCCCGAGTTTATTCAGCACTACTTGCTTCCAGTGCAAGAAACCGAACTGGTATTCAACCCATTTGCGTCTGCAAATGCAACGCCGCATACAAAAGTCGAGAGACCGCATCTTTTCCAAGAGACACCAATCCATAAAGATTTGGTGCTAATATGCGGCCACACGCAGCGCGACATTCGCTGCGGCCGCATTGCACCTTTGCTCTTACAGGAGTTTGAGCGTGTACTTGCGCATGAGAAGTTGGATGTCGATGTCGGGTTGGTTTCGCACATTGGAGGACACGCATATGCCGGGAACGTCATTTACTTTTCCAAGCATCAGCCGCCAGTGTGGTATGGACGTGTTTTCCCAGAGCAAGTTCAGGGCATTGTGCGAGAAACCATAGTAGAAGGCCGCATAATCAAGGAGTTGTATCGTGGGCAGACAATGTAATGCAATGGAAGCATGCCGGCGAGCGTTAAATGTCTTGCAATATGCAACTGCCTGGGTGCGTATGTCTCACATGCTCATGGCAGCATGGGCAGAGGTTTGGCCCGCTCGTATTTTGTGTCTGCACGCGCGTCACATGCGTGGCGGGCTCACCAATTGTGGCGCATCAATCGATCTTGCCGCACAAGGCCATATAAAAATGAACCACCCCCGAGTGTCGTAGGTGCAGGATGGCCGAAAGTCGGTATGTCCCCAGCCATGCCGTAATATCATGTATATATTGCCAGGATCCGTGACACTCGCTCGACATGTATATGTTGGTGCAAGTGAATACATGAGCATTCAAGGATGCGTCTGCCGGCGTAGAGCATGGTGTTGCGCAAGTAGGAACAAACGACATGTGCGCTTGCATAGCCACCGTGCACGAACCCGCTCCATTTCGCCCCTAAACACACTGCACCTCTGAAAATATCGCCTGTGTCTCCATCACATGCGTTGCAGATAACCACTTCGCCCGCAGGCCACTTGCACAACGGAGAAGCTGTCGTCTGGGGCAGACATTGTGCTAATGCACTGCAAGCAATCTTCTTCTTGATGGTATTTTTGGCAAACGCTTTTCGTATCGGTTTCTTAATCTCCCTTTACCCATATGTGTGCCGCGCAAATTTTGCTTAGGGGGTTGATTGTTCCCGAGGATAATAATCCCTCGGGCGGAGACATAAACCGGTTTTTGAGATTGCGCACACGGACATACATTGTTTGTGCGCGAACAAAACGCATGGGTCTGTCCCATGTCGCTTTCCCTTCTGCTGGTGTATGCTTATGACTCGGCAATATTGCATCTTCTGCGACTCAAGTCTTGCCGAAGTTAGTCTGTATTTGTTCGTGTAGCACATACAATCTGCACACATGCGCGGATGCGCAGTCACTTATCCGGCATACACATGAAAAAAGCCAACGATTCATATCCTCCGCGGACCACAAAAAATATATCGGTATCTTCAAGGTTGCCGTTTGCAGATGAGTAGAAGCACGTTCTAGCTGGCCATAACAAGTAGATGGTACAGGCAAGATGGAACAGAAACGTAGGCATTTTGCTTTAGGAGTGTGTAGCTTGAAAGCATGGCGCAGGAGGTGCAGAATGCCGCATATAAAATGACGAATAGCAGAGCCAATAGCATTTGGTGGAAGACTGCGTGCCGGAACTTCATTGCAGATGCAAAGGGGCTGCGGGAGTATTGGTGAAGAGCGGAGTTGGAGAGCGCCGGGAAGTCGCATCTCCACACTACGAACGGGCCATTTCGGCTTTGCAAACGCGGAGCAGCGTCGCATACATCTGAATGAACAAATCACGAAGGGGATAGCGACAACAATAAGGTGTGTCTGCATGGTGGGCTAGATGTCCTGCAGCGTGGTGGCCAATAAGCGTCAATAATGCACCAGATGCACGCTTGCAGCGCAAACACACCTGCGGGAGTGCGCATGGCAGGAGTGGCCGCAGATTTACCTGGCGCACTTATATGTGGGTTGACGTGCCATACTTCCGCTCCTTCACGAGCATATTTGGCCGAGTTTTTTTTTTTGAACCACAAACAAACTTGTTGACTTTCTTACCGCCTCGGTACTTCCGCCTCTTTCTTTGTTCCTTTCTTCTTTCCAGATAGTCTCGACTGTCTCCCGAAATCTTTTCTTTTTGTTTACCTTCTCGGTGGTTCTCCCTTGCCGCTGTGTTTTTGTTTATACCCGCTCATCGGTTTTGCCCTCGAAGTAAACACACCGTCCGGATTCCTCACAAGTTTGCCTCATCTTGATCCTGAGCCTGCTTAATTCCATCCAATTGAGCAATCCAAACCATATCATCCCTTCGTTAGTTTGAGATTGTGAAATACCCGCCACTGCTGCCAATTTTTTTTTTACAGCCATGTCGACACAACAATACTCGCAGATTCCTGCTTCGTACTACGGTCTGGAGCACTACCCGTACCAGCAGTACATGAATGGGTCTCAGCCGCAACTGGGCCAGACGCAGGCGGCACAATCGCAGCAGCCATTGACGCAACAGCTGTTGCAGGCTCAGTCTGCTCAGTACCAGCAGCCATACGGCCTGTACTATATGCAACAAGTGCAGCCAGGGCAGCATCCATTGCAGGGCCAACAAGGCGCCCAGCAAACGCAGTACCAGCAGTACCAGCAGCAACAACAGCAGCAGTCACAGCAGCAGACGCAACAACAACAACTGCAGACGCTGCAGCCACTGGTGCAGCAAAGTGACTATGCTGTCCACTACCCGGGCTACAGCTCGTCCAACGCCTCCGCCCCATACGGCCAGTACGCCATGTACCAACAGAGCGCGGCTCCACAGGCGTCGTCGGCCTCGGCCGCCCCTCTGGCGCTGACATATGCCAGTGTGCCTTCGCAACTGCAAGCGACCGCTGCTCAACAAGCGCTGACTGCATCGCTGGCCACGGCCGGCACCGCCCAGTCTGCCGCTTCAGCATCCACCTCGGGCGCTACCGTCCAAACGTCGGCGCCTTCCGCCTCGGCCAAGGGATCGGTGCTGTCTGACACCCTTGGTGGTGCCTCCAACTCCACAGTGGGTCAGTACCAGCCTCCAGGCATCAGACCCCGCGTCACCACCACCATGTGGGAAGACGAGAAAACCTTGTGCTACCAGGTTGACGCCAACAACGTGAGCGTTGTGCGCCGTGCAGACAACAACATGATCAACGGAACCAAGCTTTTGAATGTGGCGCAAATGACGCGTGGCCGCCGTGACGGCATTTTGAAGCTGGAGAAGATCAGACACGTGGTCAAGATTGGCTCCATGCATTTGAAGGGTGTCTGGATTCCCTTTGAGCGTGCGCTCGCCATGGCACAGCGCGAGGGCATTGTCGACTTGTTGTACCCATTGTTTGTTCGTGACATCAAGCGTGTGATCCAGACCGGTGTCACTCCTTCAGTGCAGGCCTCAGCGGCGTCCAGCAAGGCGCCCATGGCGTCCAATGGCAGCTACCCGGCCTCCACATCTACCGCTGCGTCCAACCCTAGCATGAGCTACTACCAGCTGTACCCATCGCAGTATCCGCCTGCATCATCTACCCATGCGCTTGCGGTTCCAGAATCTGCCCCACAACAGCAAATGGCAACGCAGCAGCAGCTTTACGGCTACTCGCAGCCTTCGTACTACAACCAGTCGTACTACAACCAGGGCAGCACAGCGGCCGGCGGCAATGGCTCCACCAACTACTCGTCGTACTCGCAGGCGCCAATGTACTCGTCGTACGCGGGCTATCTGCAAGCTGCACAGGGCCAGGCTCAGTTGCAAAAGCCATATGAGCAGCCTCAGCAAAGCCAGGGCATGACGTCCCAACAACTGCCTCAACAAGGTTCTCCTGGTGCTAAGAAGGAGAAGGATGGCGAGAAGAAGTGAGGCAGTGTTACTTGTATCAGTAGTGTAAATTTATCAAGTTAATTTTTTGTTTATGCGTAGGCCGGTGCATAGGCGCGTGTCCTGCCTGCCGATAAGGAATCATCTCGCGGGACTAAGTCGGCAATGCGTGGGAGCCCCTACGTATGTGCGACGCTGCAGCTTTTTTGGCAGGCGCATCATCTACGCAAGCGCACAAGATGCTGCATTGTTGGCGCATTCCCTCGCATAGAAAGATTTCTTCCTCCGCATGTGGACTCGTCTGGTAACTGCATGAGCATATGGCTGCAAGCTTGATTAACTGCTCAACCCAGTGCTATCTTGCCGTGTATTGCGTTAGCCTTTTCTTTTTCTTCCCCTCTTCTGTATGGTTGCTTTGCTCTATTGCTCACCTCCTGAGAGGGCGAAAGGAAACGAAATGTAAGGAGGCGACAAGAGTTAGCAGCACAGTTGGCATAGTAAAGCACGATATCCAAATGTAGCCAACTTCCAAAAGCAGGTTCCAAGATTAATGTTTGCATGCACTGGCATCAAGCAGGCGCATCATGGCAAACGCAACTGGGTTTATCGCCATGCGTGCGCGGCCCATGCATCGCATCCCCGCGAAACTCAAGTTTCAACCTGGATATAGTTCTTACTTTCCATTCCCACTGCTCTCTTTTCTAAGCGACTCCATTCTACCTCTTCTTTTTGGTTCAATTTCTTCCAAATACAGACTAGGTGAATATTGGCTGATACGTATCGACTGGACTTGCTTGCCTCGAACTTTTTTCGCCATTTTTCAGCACTAAGGCACGCATTCATTGTCGACATTTATAGCCGCCAAATCTTGTGATTGCCGCCTGATTTCACTCCCTTAAAATATTCCAAATTCTGGCTGCAAAAAACACTGGCTGCCAAAACTTTTGCAACCATTTGCCTCATTCAAAATACAAGTGATGCGCCGCATGTCCTTATCCAAAGCTGCAAAGCCATGCACGTTTGCTGCAGCGCTCCATCCCGATAATGCAATCAAGACGCCCGAAGTTGCGCTTGCCAATGAGAAAAACGTCATCCACACGCCGCGCATTCTTTCTGACGGCGCCTTCTCTTACTCACTTCCAGAACCTCGTGCCACGTATCGTTTCCTATCCTGTAGTGGCCAGGCATTGCTGGATTTGGGCTTGGACCCAGCCCTGGGCCTGGACCCTGAGTTCCGCCGCGTTGTCAGCGGTGAGGTCTACGCCGATGCCAATTTCCAGAAATTGTACCCAATGCCGTACGCACAGGCCTACGCCGGGTGGCAGTTTGGCCAGTTTGCTGGTCAGTTAGGCGACGGGCGTGCCCTTAGTTTGTTCGAGGTGGAGTCAGAGGCGGCTCGTGCCGGCAACAACAGGCCCAAATACGAGATCCAGTTGAAGGGATCAGGCAAAACACCGTATTCGCGTTTTGCAGATGGCAAGGCAGTTCTTCGTTCATCCATTCGCGAGTATATCATTTCGGAGCACTTGCACAGTGTTGGTATTCCATCTACACGGGCGTTAGCCATCACATACCTCCCCAAGACAAAGGCACAGAGAAATGCGGCAGAAAAATGTGCCATTGTGGCCCGTTTCGCGCAGCTGTGGGTCCGCATAGGTACGTTCGACTTGTACCGCTGGCGTTTCGACGGCAAAGGGCTCCGGGAACTCTGTGACTATGTGATCTCAGATTTGTTCACTGTGAACAAGCAGGAGTTCCCCCATTGGACAGAAATCTCAAAGCTCCGTCCGCATCTATTGCCTGACTCGAGCACTATTGGCGCCTTGACCCGCTATGACAAAATGTACCTTGAGATTGTGGCGCGTAATGCTAGCACCACTGCGCTCTGGCAGACATATGGCTTCCTCAATGGCGTTCTTAATACTGATAATACCTCTGTGCTTGGGCTCTCGATGGACTTTGGACCATTCTCCATTCTCGATCGTTTTGACCGCGACTATACTCCAAATTCTGAAGACCACCAAGGAAGGTACAGCTATGCAAATACACCCACAGCCATCTGGTGGAATTTGACTCGCTTGGGCGAAAATTTAGCACTGCTTATTGGTGCGGGTCCTGACTTGGTGGACGATGCAGCCTTCCGAAGCGGAACAATCCATCCTCATTGGGAAGAACGCATTGTTAAGAGAGCTACGAAGTTAATTGAAGCAGCTGGCGAAATTTACAAGTACACGTTCACGAAACAGTACATGGAGTCTTTCTTTGCCCGTCTTGGCTTGGCCCCAACACTCATTGACTATAATAACTTGGACCAGCATAATACCGACTTAATTGCACCTATGTTGGACATGCTCGGCCATGTCCAGTGTGATTTCAACAAATTTTTCGTCCACCTTCAAGATTCGGATGTTGGGACCGCTTCTTTTAATAAGGAAGCATTTGCCAGGTCAATTTTATTGAAAGAGGTCAGTGAGTTTGAGCATTATGACAGGGACGCTCTTGTCAAAGAAGTATGCGAATGGCTCGACCTTTATGAGGCTTACCTAAAGAAAGGTGGAAGAGACAAACAGATTAGTCTGAAGCGCAACCCACTTTTCCTTCCCAGAAATTGGATTTTGGATGAAGTCATCGCTCATACTCAGGAGTCAGATGGTGAAGACTTGAGTTATCTTCACAAACTCGAGAAGATGGCCTTCAACCCATATGAGCCTGCGAAATGGGGAGATGAACTCAAAGACATGGAGAAAAAGTGGATGCTCCAAAGTGATATGGGCACTGACTACTCCATGTTGCGGTGCAGCTGCTCATCTTAACGGGCATGAAAAGAAACCGTACACTCTGAATTTAGAGAGTTGAGATGGGTAACATTTATGTCCAACAGATGAAAAGGTTACAGATTGAATTCATGACATCAATGCATTTATCCCTCTGTCCCGGTAGAGAATCTGTTTTACCTTTTTAGTCCAATAACGTAGTCAGATTTATGAAAGCTGTGAAACCAACTTCAAAAGCATTGGAAAGCAAAGTCAAACAGTTTTACCGAATGAATGGGTTGAAAGTGACTTTGAAGTTCTTTTGAGGTTCAACTCATTCTTAGACCATCATGCTAAAACCTGCTGATGCCGAAGCCATATAAGGTTCGTTCGCAAGCGAAACTTTTCCTTTGCCTGAAGAGCATACGTTTCATTACCTCATAATATCCCTCAGTCATAGATACTTATTTTGGAGATACTGGCAGCGAGATTGGTGGAGTTAAATGACTTGGGTATATTAGACTATTTGTGGAAGGCCATGATGTAAATGAAACCATACGAGGTGTTTGGGTCAAAAGAGGTCCGAATTGAACGTTCGTTCAATCGCGAGATCTCACTGTTTTTAATAGCTTTGAAATTCAAACTGGACAATTCACCAGCATATTTACGTAAAGCTTAAGTAGGATAGAATGTTTGAGAGGGGAGTATGTTATAAAGATATATCTATTAAATTATTGAGCTTTTTCCATGTTAATGTCCATTAGAGGCTAAGTCATCCTGGCCGATTAGCATGGGTATTTCTTGAAACTTCCTTTATACTGAGTAACTGAGTCCCTTTGGGACACGAGATACTTTAGAATATGAGGCGTTTGGGAGAATCAATTGAAGAGAGTTCATTTTCCGTCAAGCTCATAAACATTCAAGCACCGAGAACAATGACTGAATTCTGGATCAAATGAAGAATCGGATGGATTAATGAGCTAATGGTTGACAGGAAATATTAGCACAGGCGGAGTTCCGGCACTTTTAGGTCAGAAATTAGATAGAAGATAAGGTTCTATGATAACAAATACGTGAAAACAAGAAACCTAATGCATTGTATGGAAGGCTTAAGTTATTTTCTGCACGGTCTATAAAGTCTTTATTCGTCAGTATTTCGTCCGCTATTGTTTATTGGCAGACAGATTCACTTGAACTGCCACATGCTTTTCTGTGGAATACTTAAATTTAATCCTTCAGAATCTTCAAACTAATATTCAACCAGATGTGATTTTTAAATTAGCAAAGCAAATAGTTAGTTCTACAATAGCCTAATACAATAGCAACTGCATTTCTCATACATTCGTAAATAGCATAGCTGTCATTCGTTAACCTACCGGTGCGACTTCAAGCCGTCCTGGTAGCCCTTCTGGAAGGCCTGGTGGGCCTTTTCCTGTGCCTCCGCAGGCAAGTTCGAGATTTTCATGTCCAACTTGTCGTTGCCGGTGGTGAAGTTGGTGAAGCCGCGGGGCACGTCGCCTGTGGCCAACTTGCCGTGGGACCCAGTGGTGTAGCCGGAACCGTGGCCGGTGTGAGAATCTCCAGAGTGGCCAGATCCGCCAGATCCAACGCCAGATTCAACTCCAGTACCATGATGTCCATGTTCATGGCCATGTCCATGGCCCGAGGCCCCAGCATATCCGCTCTGGTTGGTTTCGCCCGCAACTCCGGCCAGGCCGCTGCCAGTATAGCCCGTGTGGCCGCTTCCGGGCACACGGTTGCCTGAGACGTCGTAGTTCTCCTCCTCTCTCAGAACATGGCCCGCCGCAAAGCCCGGCGCGCCCTGCGCGAGCCCGTGCGTGCCCGAGGTCTTGGAGTCGGGGCCGCTGGCGGTGTAGCCCGAACCTGGAGCCGAGTGGCCGTATCCGCTCAGAGTTGTGTGGCCGTATCCACTCAGAGTGGTGTTGCCGTGGTTGGTCGGGTCGAGACGGGCGCCGGCGTCCGAGTGCGACGTGGGGCCGGTGCCGGGAGCACGGGAGCCAGAGGTGCCAGAGGTGCTAGAGGTGTAAGAGCTTCCATGGGTGCCAGAAGTTGCACCAGAAGTATTTCCGGTAGTTCCACCAGTAGTAGTTTTTCCGGTGCTGAAGGCGCCGCCTTGGGCGGTGTTTGTTCCCGACCCGTACGCGCCGCCTTGGGCCGTGTCAATGCCGCCATGGGTTCCAGATGTTCCATAGGTGTGGGAATTTGATGTTCCATGGTTTTGAGAGGTTGTCCCAGTGCCACTTGACGCGTTTCCGTGCGTCGTTCCATGCGTGGAAGAAGGCGCGTGCTGCGCCGAAGAGTGGCCGTATCCTCCAGCCTCTGAAGTTCCAGTGCCAGCACCATATCCGGCCTGAGAGCCATGGCCCTCGGCTTCTTTGCGCTGGGCAAGTCTGGCCCGGATGTGTTCTTCCGCCTCGCCAGAAGCTGTGGTTCCGCCCACAGCCTTTCCTGCACTCTTGTCATACTTCTCCACGTCCTTGCCCTGCAAGTTTTTGATTTTGTCGCCCAATCCCATAGTTTTATTCAGTTTTGTATATTTTTATTGTAATTGCTGGTTGTGGCAGTTACAATGCTATGGTATGTCAATTCCTGGCGGCCGCCTCTTCTTATACTGGTGGTGGTTGCTCGGCCTTCCTACACTTGCTTGCTACATCCGTGCACACGTCACATTGATCTATACAAAAGAAAACCCGCAAGCAAGCGTGGGGCTGTGCGGCCCGCGCTCGTAATCCAAAGAATCGAAGCCGAAGCTTCGGCAGCCGTGCTGATGCACAACCACTGATCCAGTCTGGGCTCAGTCTGGGTAAGTCTCAGTCTGGTAAGTCTCAGTCTGGCAAGATCGAGTCTGGCAAGTGGTCCAGTCTGAATCTAGGACAATCAGCCACTGATCCAGTCTCAGCCGTAGCTGCGGCAGTGCTTGACGCCACATGGAGGCGCTGATTCGGCCTTGATGGCGGCCTTGATAGCTCGGCCTGATTCTAGTCCAAAAGCTTGACGTAGTTCGACGGACAGATGCCCACCTGTCCGTTGGCGCGGCGCGCCTGCCACCACTTGCCGTCAATGTCGTCCACCTCCAAAATCTCGTCCTTGACAAACGAAATCTCGTTGATGTCGTCGGGACTGGCGTCGTAGCTGTACAAGGCCCGGGCCTTGTAGCGGAACGTCAGCACCGGCACGGCAAAGTTGGAGTCGGCCGTGTTGGTGCCGTTGGTGTTGTACACGGTGTTAGGCATGCTGGCCGGGTTGCTGGCACCCACAGTTCCGGTGTTTTGCACGTTGGTGTGGGAAAAGTTCTCCAAGCCGTTCAACTGCGACAGCGACATGTAGCCCGACTTGCTGTTGGTGAGCTGGCTGTGGCGCGAGTCGCTGACGCCAAAGCCTTGCAGGCCGCTGGCGCTCCGGGGCACGGCAAACTCGTGGTCGTCGTTCTTTTCCGAAGGGAGCTGCTGCGCGTACGACGACTTCATGGCAAACGAGTCGATGAACTGGTTGCTGGGCGACTCCGGGTGGCCGCCAAAGTAGACGATCCACAAGAAGTTCAACATGGACAACAAGATGCACCCGGCGGCGCAGCACAAGTTGCCCAGGTTGGAGCTGTAGATGAGGTTGTTGGTGGAGTTGGTGGTGTACAAAAAGCCCACCAGCAAGAGCCCGACCAACGTGAACTTGTACAACTCGATGGTGTTGTTCAAGTACAATAGAAACACCATGATGATCAATAGTATCTCGTAGACCAAGCCCCACCAGGTGAAGCGGGGGAAATTATCCAGCGCGGAAGAGCCAGCGCCGGCGATGGCCACGATCCACGCGATCACGCCGAACGAAACAGTGGAGATGGCGAAGGGGTCGCCCAAGAAATTGGCCATGCGGAATCCCATGACAAATATGATCCACAGGAGCAGCGGGCAGGAAACGACAGAAAAGGGCGAAGGAAAAAAGGGAAAAAAGACGAGCCGAAGAGGAATAGAAGGCCGGGTCAGCGAAACGAGAAAAACAACGGCGATATAAACGGAAAAGTTGTGTGGAGCTTGGAACTGGATCACAACAAGAGGGAAAATTTCTTGCAAGCGTGGGGCGCTGTGTGCAGGCGCGCCCGTTTACAATCGCGCCTTCTGTTTACGGCGGTCTAGACTTTGGGCCATGCGGCGGCGGCAGCGGCCACACCAGGCCGAAAGAAAAAAAAATACCACGGGTGTAGACGTTTTTTTACAGCTACTACGCGGATCTGCCGGTTTTTTTGAGCCTGGGCCAGCAGGAGATTTGGTGCCGGGGGGGTTTTTATATGTCACGTGACTCTCCCGCGTCTGGCGCAGAGGCCATATGCACGTCCCCTGCAGATGCGGCTTCGGTTCCACGCGTAGATCTATCATCGAAAGGAGAAAATACTTTGGCGCCGAAGCAGACGACTAGATCGATTGGGTTTTCGTGTCTGATTGGGTTTTCTGTCTTCTTTTCTTTGGGCCTTCGGCTCTGATCCATATTAGTTTTCTTTTTCTTCTTCTTTCTCTTCATTCTCTCCATTCTCACAGGTCGTGCAACGCAGCGAACCACAATAGGCTAAACATACAGACGACGCCTAAGAAGCTTAAACGCCATTATCTGATGGAGGCGAATGCACAGAAGCAACGGCCAGAGAATTTCGCCTAGGTCTGTTTTCGAGCGCATGGCAACTGGATGACTGGTTTTTTGATGTTGAACTAAGCGGCGTGAAGCGGCGGTGTTTTTGATGTCGTGCAGCTTATTCTACTCTAAAGGCATTGTCCAGGTTTATTAATTTTGGTTAACATCCAGCATCGCTAAAGAGAGTAGAGGTAAACTGAGTAGGGTAAACTTAGTAGGGTAAACTGAGTAGGGTAAACTTAGTAGGGTAAACTTAGTAGGGTAAACTGAGTAGAGGTATTTCAACATGTTCACCTCTTCTTTGGTTGAATGGCGATCCTACCTGACTGATGAGTTTTGATGGTTCAGTCCGCTCAACCACCATGCCAGATTACATAAGAGCAATTCAGCTCCCCTCGACTTAGAATGGTGGGAATACCAAACCGGGTTTCCTTGTCTAAGATTATGGCTCTAGTGCGTTTCATTTCGAAAAAATGAGTCTGTCACTTCACAGTGATTTCAGTTATCAGTTGAGATATTCCTCTAGTGTGAGGATGTGGTTACGGAAACTTAACGTACATGCAAGTATGGGCATTTTCTGCCAGTCAGGAGAGACTACTTTGAGCCTAAATGGAAATCATTTAAGAGAAAAGCAAGAGATACAACAATCGAAAAGATCTGTACCATAGGGATATTCGTGTATTTTTCCGTTGTTGAGGACTGAAGTACTTTTTATCATAGGTCAGGTCCACGTTGAGGTATGGGATCATAGGCTTGTGCATTCGAATCATTTTTTCCAAAGTAGATCGCCAATTACTGATGGATCAAAGAAGCCTCTGAATTATCGACCATCCATCTTACCGTGGTGACTTTGTTTAATGATTCATCGATCCACAGCATCTCTGGATTTTCATTCTCCAATATCGTTTATCCTGTCAGAACATGCGAGGCTCATTTGTCTCACGATTGCAATGTCGAATTAAAGCTTGTTCTTTCAAAATGATAACTCAACCAATTCATTGGTATTCATGTAACGATGCAATTCAAGATGAAAACAATCCTAGGACGAAGAGCCTGGGACAAGGCGAGATAAAAAAACAACCGAGATGGAAGCAAAGCGAAAACCAGAAACCTCTATCTGGGTAACAATGGCACCACAAAAAAGTTCTATAAAAAAGTTCTATATTTGGTCTCCGATGCCAGAATACTTCCTACAACTCGAATGCTTCAATGCATTCCAATATTCATGCTCGAGTGCATTATTTCTGCTCGAGTGCATTCCAATTTTATGCATTACTGCATTAATTATTAAGATGTTTACTGATCCATCACTCAGCTGCGGCCAAGTATGATGACCATACAAAAGTTTCCCAAAAACAGATCATAGCATCAGACCGAAAACAAAATATTCGGTCGTTCACGGTACCAACCAATAAAAGCAAAGTCAAATTCTGCACCAATTCCTAAATGGCCCATGTTTTGGTAAGCCAAGTATTCGGAGATTTCTGTTCGACCTATTTTGGTCACTTGTGCGGACATGAGACTACATGCAATGAACATTTGTCATCATGCTTTACCAAGTCATCATGAACCAAGTCCTCACAATACCAAAATTGTATACGATCATTACGATCATGCAATGGACTTCCAAATGTCTACTAAACAGGGAATCTGTTAACCTTCAAAGTGGGAACTTGCTTCTTGCTTGGGTGTAAACCCGTACATCTCACTAAACTCCGAAGCCAATCAAGCACAGGTCTATTCTCTATTAGAGACAGTATAAAGGTTATTGTAATACATGCGGCTAGTGGTTTTCTTTTGGCGAGGTCATACCCTGCTTGTGTGCAGGATTATTAAAACTGCTCCGATACCAAGCGATCATTTGCTGAGACAGCAGGTGGCCAATTATGACCTTGGCGTCATTCGACAGTCTGAGGGCCCAGGACAATGCTAAAAGTCGGAAAAGTTCGGAACTAAAGAGTCAAGTCGCTGATGTGCGTTTGGTCACCGATTCTGCTCCGGCTTTTTCCTTGCCCGAAAACGTCCTTTCAGAAGATAAAATGGCCGTGGAGGAGAGTTTTCAGAGCAAATCCACAACAAATCCTGTTACTTGGAAGTGTTATAACTTTATTATTCCATCGATTTCAGCCAGTTTCTAGCAAAGTTTCGCTGCTAGATTGTGCCTGTCTATTAAAGTTCGCATTTACACAGGGTCCACAGCAATTATTGCAAATCAGACAAGTCACTTCACACTATTTGAGAATACTATTGAGAAAACTACTTGAGTACTATTTGAGTACTATTTTAAGAAAGTACTGAAAAAAGAAAGTCTAGTTCGATCTCTAATCTTCCATCTTTGTTCAATCTAGTCTTCGTTCTAACAACCCACCAGTTGATTTCGCAGCAACTGAACAATTTGGATAACTGTCCATCACAACTGTCCATCACAACTGTCCATCACAACTGGCCATCACATAACTATCATCATTTTCGATTCACCTTCTTGCTTCGCTTGATCTCTGTTTTTCCACTATGCTTCCTCGCCAGCATCTTTTGAAGCCGCCAACGTTCTTGGCGCTTCGGCTTCTTTCATCAAGCTCTGTGAGATCAAAATCCATCTTCGACATTGGCACCAAAGTGATCGCCAACTCGGACAAAGCCAAGTACAGCGACAACAAATACATTACGCATCCAGCGTTTCCCCATCCCAAATGGACCGACGAGCAAGTGGCATCCGTGTCGTATGAACATCGGCCGCCCAAGACAGCAATGGACCGCTTCGTTTTCCGCTGTATCTCCACGGTAAGAACCACCTTTGACTTGGTCACGGGATACAAAAAGCCCAGGACGCCCGAGGAAAAAGAGCATCGTTTCAAAGGCACTCGCTGGGAAATGACCGAAAGCAAATGGCTCACAAGAGTGATTTTCTTGGAAAGTGTGGCTGGCGTTCCAGGCATGACGGCCGCTTTTCTTCGCCATTTGCACTCTTTGCGTCTCATGAAGAGAGACAAGGCGTGGATCGAAACGCTTTTGGACGAGGCCTACAACGAAAGAATGCACTTGTTGACGTTCATGAAGATTGGCCGGCCTTCGTGGTTCACCAAAGTTTTCGTTTTCGCCGGCCAGGGCGTGTTTTGCAATCTCTTCTTTTTGATGTATTTATTGCTGCCTCGGGCGTGCCATCGTTTTGTCGGCTACTTGGAGGAAGAGGCTGTCTCCACTTACACCCATTTGATTGAGGAATTGGAGGCTAAGCGGCTCCCCAAGTTCGATGGAATCACGGTTCCCGAAGTGGCCCAGCTCTACTGGCCCGAGTTGAATGAAAAGTCCACTTTTCTCGACTTGATTCAGCGCATCCGTGCTGACGAGTCCAAACACAGAGAGGTGAATCACACCTTGGCCAACTTGGACCAGAAGGAAGACAGAAATCCCTATGCCATGCAACTTCCCGATGTGGATAAGCCCCAGCCTACAAATGACTTGAAGGGCAAGAACAGAGCAGGCTGGGAACGCAAAGACTTGATTGTCTGATGGCTTCCTGAGCTCTTGTACATATTTACCACTTGTATATACGAATGATTTACGATGAATGAATGAAATGGTTTATGAAGACTGAAGACTCTGGCCGCAGGTCAGAGTCGCCAAGAGACCTTCGAATATTATAAGACTGCGTGACAATATTTTATTCGAACTTGGAACTTAATATTTGTTTAAACTTATTATTTGTACTTATTATTTGTTTGAACTTAATATTTGTTCCAACTAGTTGGTCGTTTCGAATAGAACGTGATAATATCGAGCAAATTACCACGGTGTGAAAGGTATCGAAAGTCGCTTGCCTTCTGTTGAAGATGGGCCGCCGATTTTGGTTACTATGAGAATTCGAAATGCTAAAAATTACTTCGACTCATTTAGGCGTTATTTTGTAGTTCTATAGGGTCGTCTGAACACACTTCAAATACATGCTTTTATCTATTCAGTAAGTTTATTGTCTAACGAGCGAAAGTATTAGTGGCCGGCCAAGAACACCAGGCTTTGAAAGGAATGGAAGTTGCTGGAGCATCTGGTTCAGAACAGCCCTCAGTGGGCGGCACCAAGAAAGATTGTTGCGCCCAAGCAAACCACCATCACCACCACACCCCAAATACTCAAGACCAAGCCGCCGTACTTGCAGAAACGCTCTTTTCTGGTCATGGAGTCGCTGCGGACCAACATGAAGCCGAAGAGCCCAGGCAAAATAAACGAGATGGACGTTGAGCCTGTGGACCCGACAAACGCCAACACGTGCGCCAAAGACGTGACTGAAATGGCCACAAGGTACGACGCCACAACAATGGCCGTGGTGATGGCATAGAAACGCACCGGCGGCAACGGAACGGGCACGGGAGCGGCTCTGTTTGTGCTTGCAGCTTCAGCCGCCCCGCTTTCGATTCTGCTTTCGTTTGCAGGGCCGTTTTCGACTCCGCTTTCGCTTTCGATTCCGTTTTCGAGCGCGTCGTCCTCGCCAAGGAGAGCCGTGTCTGCGCCCAAAGCGTCGGGCGCATCTTCGCTAAACATGTGGAGAATGTGGTTGACCGAGCCACGGCACGGGTGGCACTGGAGCGGGAACGCCATGCTGACCATGACAACAATGCACAAGCGGCCCACAAGCAGCGCCACCGAGTCGCGTGGGTACATGGTGATGATGTTGGCATCGACAGCATTGCCAAAAGTCAAGTAGCCCAAGATGCCCACGACCAAGTAGGCCAGGCACGCGGTGGCGATGCCGTTGCGGATGACATGGTTTGCCTGGCGTGTTCGAGAGTTGGCGGGTTTTTCACTCAACTCGTTGACAATGGAAAACATGTTCTGGTGGCACGTGTAGGCAAACACAAACACGGGGAAAGACGCCAAGGTCTGGCGCCACGACACAGGCTGCCACGACACCACGCGGTCAGGCGCCGCGTCCACGGCCCAATGCTCCACCACCAAGCACACAAGATACAGCACGGAAAAGAGCGCCACGAGCCCCAGGTACCGAAGCGACGCCAACAGGCGCAAGTACGAGAGCGGCGCCACCAACAACACTAGGAACACCGTGATCCACAAGTTGCGCTCGTGCGCCCACGCGCCCAACCCCAAGCTGTCCAGGATTTTGGGCATGAGATCGCCAATCACCACCAAGTACGACACGCCCACACCAAAACACTTGATGGCGATGGCCGCGTCGAAAATCACCGCAAGCTGCGGGTACGTCATCTGGCACAAGCTGAAGTACGACACGGGCGGGTGGGCGTACTTGGCCACTTTGTTCTGGAGATAGAGCCCAAACGCAGACGTCAGCGCAGAAAAGACAATGAGAAACGCGCCGAGCACCAACCCATTACAGCGGAGGCCGTACGGCATGGCAAGAATGCCCGCCCCAATGAGCGTATTGAGAAGATTGATGGTGCCAGAGCGGACGGTGGCGGGCATGGTTGTTGAGGAAAGTTGGGCAAAGAAGTTGAGATTGAGGTGGGTGCGCGGACACCCGTCTTATCGGGACGCTTACCTCAGAGGCAAAGACGGTTAGGAGTGAGGTTTTGGTGCCGTTTGAGGGTGGATTGTGTTGAGGGCGGTGTTTTGTGGGGGAAGATTGTTTTTGTTTTTTTTTTTGCAGTTTGTGTGTGTAGATGTAGTGGGTGTTGTGGCACACCTCTCTTATAGGGACGATGGAAGTTTGTCTTTTATCGCAGATAATGCATTAGCATTCCAATTATACGTCAGCAAGAAGAATACAATGTTTCAAGAATTTGTGCTCAAAGTCGTTCATAAATCCAAAGCTTCGTTGATTTGTGACGACATTCTTGCAAACGTAAAAAAAAATTACGAAAGATAAACGTAAACTACTAAAAGATGAATGGCTTCCAGTGTATATTTTATCGTTTGCCTCAGACCACTGGGTCTGGAGTTGGCCGACGGAAATCTACCACGTCGCATCATTTGAAACCGGCAACATACCGACGCTTACTTTCGAAATGACTTGCCTCTAGTAAAAATCTTCTAATATACGTCACTAACAGTTTTCCAATGGAACATAATTATGAGCCTTGATACCCCACATCGGTAAGTGATGATGCATGACCAGAACTTCGAACTACGGACGTCCAAGAGTTATTACAAGACTGAAAAGAGGCAAATTTGATAATATGTTCACAACGTCTCTAAGCGTTTCCCGAAATGATGTTTTCAGGCGTAGCTGCACCCCAAAATTGCCGAAAACGGAAGTCAATGCTACTACCTAATCAAGCAATATTTACAAATCAGCCCGAGGGCCCACTTACGTATTGGAAACTCATATTACATTCTTAGTATTTTGTCAACAGCTGCGTCCTCGTCCTGTAGTATCTGTCTTCTACAGCAATCAATTATAACGTCGATTCAGCGGGCGGAACGCAAACAATAATACACACGGCCTGTCCATTGCGTTTCCGCATGCGCCTCAGCCCAGCCTGGAGGCTGGCTTAGAAAAGATACCACCCCAACAACAACGCAATGAGCACCAAAATCACAGCCAAGGGGATGGAAATGCCGCTCGAAGGCTCGTCTCCAGCAGCAGGCGCAGCACGGGTTTCGGCAGTCTCGTTCAGGTCCAATTTCTCCGACAAGTTGTTGATTTGAGCGTTCGAAGCCTCCAACTCCTTCTGTACTTCTTGCGAGGTCACGTCCTTGTTTCCGGTGACGGCCTGAGCAATAGCATCAGCCTCTGCCTTGGCGTTCTCATGATAGATGGAGCCGTTGGTTTCCTTAGGCACGCTTCTGTCTTCGATGTTGACCTTTTCCTCTTCTGCGCCAGCAGCACCGAGAGCCAGGGCGTCCAAGGGCGCCGATTGTGTAGCGTTGAGATATGACGTGTCGTTGATTTGCGACTCGTCCTTGTCGTCGTCCTCAATGACAAAGTTGACCTTCAACTTTTTCTGTAGCAACTGCTCCTTGTATTTGGTCTCCAAAGCCGACCAGGACTCGCCGACCTTGGAAGGGTCGTCCAAATCGGTGCATGGCAACGACACAATCAAAAACTTGTCCTTGCACTTGTAGTCCTTGGGCAAAGGTTGCGTGAAGCCTTGCAAAATGAGCGAAATCTTGACGGTTTCGCCTGGAGGCACGATGCTGGCGTTGGGTCTGACGCAGTACAACTTGGGAGCGGTGGTCTTGACCTTGAATGCCAAAGGCTCGCTCGAGGTGTTGGTCAACTCCAAGTACTCGGTAGATGGCTCAGTGAAAGTTCCTGTTTGTTAGTACTGGGCAGAAAAGAGCTTGAGGGGATGGACGATGACGAAGTTAATAAATGTTGATGACGAAGTTGATGGATTTTTGATAATTCTTGATGATTTTTGATAATTCTTGATGATTCGTGGTGATCCACGATTCACACCAATAAAGCAGGACATATTGCACAAAAGTGTGAAATCATCCCCTTCTTGGCGGTGCCCGGACCCGCATCTATGCGCCTGGCACTCCTTTCGTCGTCACACCTCCATTCCCTTCTTGTGCTGGCGCTTTGTTTTCGTCCTCCTATCATTGCTAAGGACACGAAGCATTGGGCGGAAAAAATGAAACCGCCCGCTGCAGGCCATAAAGGCAGACGTCTAGTGGTACATACCTCTGTAAGTTAAAGCGTTTGGCGAGACCTCCATTGTTAAGCTGGCGTAATAGTTGTGGAGAAAAGAAGGAGAAAGGGGAAGAAATTGTGAGCGAGAACATCTGGCATGTAAGCGAAAATCACACGAATACAAACACTAGGGGAAGCGGCGAAACCACCGCGGGACAAGCAATTACGAGAGAATGGGGTCACGTGACGCCAAACTACTAGAAGAGAAGGGGAAGTGAGGGAAGAAGTGAAGGAAGAAGTAATGAAAGAAGTGACGGAAGAAGTAATGGAAGAAGTGACGGAAGAAGTGATGGAGTATGAGAAATTCAAGAAAGAGAAGAAAGGAGATCTGCCAACAACTAAGTTGCTCAGCCATATATTCGGTGCGAACAATTGTAACATGGAAAGTGCAGACAGGATGCAACATTCGTTCTGAAATTCTGCCAGATGAATAAGTAGTTACCATCAGTCAAGAGGATTGAAGTAAATCTGCATTTTAGCAGGATAGAGATGATCAAGTTAGACTCACGGAAATATTTGGTCAGTGTAGTAGCTTGTCATTTCTTCTTATACTTTGCTACCACCGTCTGGCCCATCAAGCCATGATTGTGATATTCTAATTCTGGCATACACAACTTGACCTAAAACTTGCAACTATTTTATTCGTTAGAATTTAGTATCGTTGCATGCTAGAGTGAAGATGGATAGGCTGAAGGACATCTTTGACTGACAGATTTTTAAAAAGCACAATGTGCTGAACAATAGATCAAAATTGGATCAGGTCAGGAGAACAGTAGAGCCTTGAGCATTTTCGTTCAAGTTAATCCCCACTTTGGACAATAACTTGACCAGGGTATCTGTTGGTCGAAATTCGAGTAGGATAGCACAATCTCCAGACAGTCGGCGTCCCTTCTGGAGATGACGAGGCATTTGTCAATCCTTTCACCAATGCCTCAATTCTAAGTTTGAAGATTCTACGTTTGTTCAAGTTGACCAAAGAACAGATATTGACTATTCATTAATCATGCCTAAATTGTTGCGTGCAAGCTGACCAATTACTCTCTACATTGTCAAATCCAAAGCCGAGTTAGTGTCAATTTCACCGACCAAGTGAATTATTGACCTGGCCATCAATCCTATCGTGCAGATGTTTTGGTTGATGATTCCATCTTTAAAGAGTGGCTACCCTTTCTGCAATCGTATACCAGCGTACAGAACCCATTGCTTCTTCTATACCAGTACCCATTGCTTCTTCTATACCAGTGCCCATTGCTTCTACCAGCGTACAAGCCTTTGCTTCTAGCAGCGTACAAGCCTTTGCTTCTAGCAATACTTTTATTCCTATGTCTCCTCGAATCCTAATAATCGTCACCCTTGGACACAACCTCTTTCTTGTGTGGATGGAGCAAAATCGTGTGTTCGTATTGAGCGGTGTAGGAGCCCAGTGTGTCAACCAAAGGAGGATAGTCCTCCACAACACCGGCACGGACCAACTGGTTCAAGGCCAAAAGATACTTATCTTCGCCCGCACGCTCCAAATAACGACGGCACCAAGGCAAAGTACCAAAGTTGTCTTTGATGGACTTGACCAAAGACTTGGCCCTTTCGGAGGGCAATTTCACCCCGTCAATGTCCTGGTTCAATGCATAATGCGAGCACTCGCCTTGCGGAATCACATAGCCTTTTCCGGTAGTGCCAAAGGTCTCGATGGCAAACGTTTCGCCTTCTTCCATCTTGGTCATGTCACCGTTGGCCACAATGGGCACGGTTTTGCCCGAGTGGATCACATAGTCGCCGATGTTGTGGCCGTTCAAGTTGCGGATACACTTGACCGGGTATGTTTTCCCGTCCAACTCCACTTCGTACGACTCCATCACTTCTTGCACAGCAGCACCAATGTCGTTCAATCTGACGTCAATACCGGCCTCTTTGACACCCGTGTAGGTCGCTTCTCTCACGGCAGTTAAAAGGTTGTCGTACTTGTCGTCAAAAGTCAAGGTGAAGGCGGAGTCCACAATGTGGCCGTTCACATGCACACCGATGTCGACTTTCATGACATCCTCGTACTTCAACACCACCTTGTCGTTGGAGTTGGGTGTGTAGTGGGCAGCCACATGGTTCAAGGACAATCCGGTGGGGAAACCGATACCTTGCTTCAAAGTGTGGTCGTTGCCCGTGTATGTCCGGATGGAATTCTCAATGAGGTCTGCGATTTCAAGCATGGTCATTCCGGGCTTGATCTGCTGTTGCGCCTTCTGTCTCACTCTTCTGTGGACTTCGGCTCCTTTCCGGAAATCCTGCCAGTGGTTGTTTTGCTGTCTGTCCAAGTACCGCTTCTCCTCGTCCGTGGTCCGGTAGCTGTTGACCTCAAGCGGATACTCCATCCACTGTCCTTCAGGGAAAACTCCATCGGCATAAGTCTTATCAAGCGAAACCGCCTTCTTCTTTTTCTTCTTGGACTTTTTCTTTTTGGCGGCGGCCTGGTCTCCGTCGATCGCCAACTCTTCGAGCTCTTGCGTGGGCTCTACGACCTGTTTAGGCTCCTGTGTAGTCTCTACGGTTTCTTTTTCGGACATGGTGGAGATGAAGGACAAAAAGTTTTCGTGCTTATATGTGCGTGTCACGTGATGCGGGGACATCTCCGTTCCCGTTTGAGCCGAAGCCATCAGTGAAATGTTGGCACATCCGGTGATACAGGCTGGTATTTAAATGCCAATGCCAACTGCTGACGTTGCTGATGAGTTTGTAGACCCAATTGATAGATGGGCAAGGTATTTCTTGTGTGCAGTACGTCATCTCTAAAAGCGGCCATTAGACTAGTTGAATTAGCAAATAAGAGATCGAACTTTGGGAAGAGCTCTGTCTATAGTTACTCTTGGTTTGTGAATTAAAAATACTTCGGCCTTCAAGCTACAGATGCAGATTTGGGGTGTTGAGGATTCAAAGTGGCTGAATGTTCTATGCGCAGAAAGCCGGATTGTTCCGCATAGATTCAAATTGATGGTTTTTTATTTTTATTTTATTTTGCGTTTGCAATTTTTACCGTTACATGCCTTCACAATTCTGGCTTTGTAGAAACATCTCCTGATTCTATAGCGTGGAGTCCTCTTATTGGGGAAATGAAGGTCATTCTTTTCGTTGTGTTCACAGATAACAAAGAGTAGAACTCAACACAACCTTCCTTTCGTAATTTCTGATGATTCGGGATAGAGTTTTTCTTCAAATGGCAAATTATACAGATCGGTATCAAACCGAAGTCTAGATGAGAGAAGGTCTATATCTCTGCTCAAATCACATCATGTACAGATCTACTATTCAAATTCGCATAAGACAGATCAGCAAGTCCCCATGTTGGTGAAAGAAGACAAAATTGCGTCCGAGATAATGGCAATTCAAGATGACCATCGTAAAAGACTATACTTTAGCTTCATTAATTGTATTACACCCTTCTATTTGCATCACTATACTGTATCATTGCTCTCTCGTAATAATTCTAAGTTCGCTTGGCAAATCATACGGAGGTCAAATCATGCTTTTTATTAGATTTAGTACGTTCACTGGAACAGAGCCTGTCTGTCCCGCGTCGAAATGTGGCCAGAGGAACATCTATGGTTGATCGTCTTGCTGGCTTATTGTCTATGCATCACTCTTTGGGTCCAAAGAGCCCCACCTTGTCGAAATTGATCATTTTACCATCCACCAGCTTCAGCAGCAGAGCGGCGTTGTGGAAATCGGGTGTTTTCATCAAGTTTCGTGCTGCCGCAGACCCAGACGGCGAAGGTGTGAAGAAATTAACGTAGTCGCTCATGTTGAACCCGGCAGGAGTCAAGGCAAGCCCAGCCAGGGGCAAAGCGCTGCCCGGAACCACATTTCCGTAGAGGGCAGGAGTGAACCGGTTCTGCGGGGTTTTCGCCAGCGTTGTTCCGGCTCTTTTCGGCGTCATGGGTGCCACAAATTGTCCTGGTTTGGATTGGGGCGCCTGCGATGCAGTTGCAGCCCTAGGAGTTGCAAAAGGTTTGGCAGGAGAAGGTGACGTGGCCAAATACATGAGCAAATCGGCTCCTTCTGTATCGGCTCCACCACCGCTAAAGCTCTCGCGTCGCGGCTGAGTCGGCGTCTTGAGAAGATTGAGCTGTTTCTTGGCCAAAGTGGGTGTGGTGACTTTCACCTGAGGAACAGCAGCCGCGTCTGGCGAGCCCAGGCTATTTTCAGCAGGAACAGCGCTTTTCCCCGGCGTCAGTGGTCGCGGGAGCTCGCGCAACACCATCTGCGGCTCTGCTCGGCGTTTTTTCGTAGGCGATTGTTCATCGTCGGTTTCGCCTGTGGGCAGGCTGGCCAATGGCGCATGCTGGGGCGAAATCAAGTTTGGCAGCAGGCCAAGAGACGCGCCCGACGAGGCAATCTGCCGTTTCCACATGTAGTAGTTCTTCAAGGGGCTCGATTTCGGGAACAGCGTCAGCGAGACGGGAGAGTCCGGAGGGCCCGACCTCCCGGATCCAAGCAGCTGTTTTGCAGCCACAGACGCGCGTGCTAGCTTTTTCTTCAACTCCTGGGCGATTTTCTCAAGCTCGTCCTTGCGCAAAGGCGTTTTCGGCTTCTTCTTGTCGTCGGGTGAGTTGACACTTTTCGAGTCCTGGAGCATGTTCATGTACGGTGTTTTTCTTGGTTGGTATGCTGCAAATATGCTATTCTTTTCTGTTTTCTTTTTGTGTTTCTGTTGCTGTTTTCGCTGGCGTTTTCTGAACGGTTTCAGGCGGCTATGAACCTGAGATCAGCAACCTAGAAGAAGATGAGGAAAATGTTAAATGTGGAAGGAAGATTGAAAAACCGTTTCTCGCTTCAAAATGTTTTTGCTTCTGTTTCCGCTTGTTTGTGTGTCTTTTGCTAGTGTTTTTGGTTTAACCTTTAGTTCTGCAAAGAGCCAAATGTGGTACGAAGAAAAGACTATTAGGGACGGCATTTTCTTTTTTGTCTGTCGCACGCGTGAGACCATTTCCCTTTTGGGCGTAATTACTCGCATCCGAAAGAATTGGCAGATACTTGCCTGTTTTGTGTTATGGACTTGTCGAAATTGCAGTAAGTCGTGTTTAATTGGAGTTGGTTTTTTTTCGATTTTTTTCTCTCTTGTGTCCCCCATTGTTTTGTTTGTTCCGTTTGTACCTCTTTTCTCCTTTCCAGATGTCTCACATATCGCGGTTTCGCTAACAAGACTACTGAGAGCATAGAATTTCAGAATATCGAATCTGTGAATATAGAACTGAGAAATGGATCAGGACAGGTATCATTCTAGGATTCTCAATTCATGAATGCATTCTTCTAAGCATTGTAGGGCACCTAGAGTTTCTAAAGAAGTTGAGGAATTACTATACTTTTACTCTAGGAGACATCATTTGGTATAGAGAATTTGAATTGCTCTGCTGATTACCGAAATGGAGGATACCAAAGGTTCCAACGATAATGATTCGCACGGAATCATGTCGTGGTAACAACATCCTCCTAGGTTTTCTAAGGGTTCAGTTTTTTTTTCCCGTTCTTTGTTCTCCCTACCAAAGTTGAAGAGGTTTGTTGAAAGTGGATCGGGTATTGTAGTAGCTGCTTACTGCGATCCTGGAAGTCAGTTTTACTGAGAACACAGTAACTTTGTATGGAAACGGTTGAATCTTCAGACGTAGAACTGATACACAAAAGTAGAGCAAGTCGATAAGTCGTGGAAATTTAGAGCAGACTATTGTACAGAAGTTGAGCTCTATCAACAGCCATAAATGTCCGTGTAGTAAACGTTTGAGCCATATTGGTGATTTTCATCGATGTTCTCAAGAGCCCGTTTTAAACGAAGTACGACTATATCAAAGAACAGATCTTAGACAAAAGAGAAATCAAAGTTCCAGTCCACTTGTTCCCAGTCCCGCCACATAAGCTAATAAAAAAGCTCTATTCAACTCTAGTGTATATGGAAAAAGACTGAACTGAAATGACCCACTATGCCTAATATCCGTCTTTTACTTGTTTCTTTTTCAGAGTCTTATCGGAGTTTTCGCTCACTATGCAATATACGCTATCTCGGAGATTTCCGCACCACATCCTTTGTGGAGCTTATATACTGCAATTCCGCCTCCACCTATTTCGACCTTCAGAATCTGATCGAAGGAAGACACTCTCGGCTTTATTGTCTTTCTCCTTAGTTGCCTCTGTCGCTGCTTTCTTCTACTTTTGATCAAATCAATAACTTGACAGTGGCGTCCACGTGACCATAATCTTCCTCCACCATCAACTCTTCTTCTGCTTTCCCATGTTGACGGCACCATCCCTTTTCCTTCTCCCCTTTATTGGGCTCTATGTTATCCACCAAATAGCCACCCGCGCATTACCCCATTTTTTCCTTGTTCCGCCTCATCTGTGGCAAAAGAAGATTCTCTCGGTGATTGAGTATCCAAAGCCAATCTACTTGAAAGTGGGCAGAAAAAGATCCAGTTACCGGAGGCGGCTCATCACTGCCAGTGTCCAGCCTTCGTTCTACACGAATTTTGTCAACAACAAACTCAAAATCCACCCGACAGACCGTGAAAACGAAAATGACTCGTTCATGTCTGCCATGAAGAACAGAGCAGCATTGGACGCCAACCGCAAGGTCATTTACGGGTTTTTCCACCCCTATGCCAACAATGGCGGTGGAGGCGAGAAAGTTTTGTGGCACGCCGTGCAAGCGACGCTTTTGGAAGATCCCCGTAACATTGTGGCCATTTACACCACTAATGTGGAAGCAGAGCCATTGCAGATTTTGGGAAAGGCCGAGTCCAAGTTCAAGGTGGGCTCTTTGGACTCAAAGCGCATTGTTTTCATCTACTTGCGCAGATACGCTCAGTACATCGACGGGAACTATTGGAAACATTTCACTCTTATCGGCCAGCTTTGGGGGTCGTTGCTTTTGGGTCTTGAGGCGATGTACGAGTTGAGTCCCGATGTCTGGGTCGACACGCAAGGATTGCCCGGAAGTTACATGCCTGTATCGATGATCTTGAAGACGCCCATTATCGCCTATGTTCATTATCCAATGATTCAGCCGGACATGTTCAATCGACTCAAGTTCCAAACATTTTCTGACTTGCGCTCTTTCCGCTTGAGCGACTTGAGGCAGCTTGTCAAGTTCTTCTATTGGAAAGCATTGTACGCTTTCTATATGTATTTGGGCTCTTGTGTCGATGTCACTTTGGCTAATGGTACTTGGACTTATAACCATCTCTGTCGTATCTGGGCAGCAAACAAAAGCTTGGGCAAGGTCGTCGATGTGTTGTACCCGCCTTGCAGTACAGAGACATTATCCTATGCTGAAAGTGCCCAGAGATCAACTCTTCTTTATATTGCCCAGTTTCGGCCAGAGAAGAGACATGCACTTGTATTAGAAGAGTTCAGCAAGTTTGTGGCCAGCGCTCGAGAAGCCAAAATTCCATTGGCAAACTTGCCGCAGTTGGTCTTTTTGGGTTCTTGCCGTACTCCGACCGATGTGAGCACACTTGAAAAGGCCAAAGAAATGGTACAAGAGCTAGAGTTGGTAGAGTATGTTAACTTTGTTGTGGATTGCTCTTTTGAAGAAGTACAAGAAAACTTGGCTCGGGCGAAGTTCGGCTTGAACGCCATGTGGAACGAACACTTTGGGATTGGCGTGGTGGAATATCTCAGCGCGGGAGCAGTTCCTATAGTACATGCTTCGGCTGGCCCGCTTCTCGACATCGTTGCTGAAGATAAACCTACCACGACTTGGGAAAACGAGTTGGGTTTCTTCTTCAAAAGTGAAGACGACCCAGATCTTTGTGGAGTGGAAAATGGCGAATTGAAGTTTGAGCAAAACGATGAGCCCGTGTCTTATCCTGCTTTGAGCGAAGTTCTTTGCCGCCTCTATATCAAGACGCCTGAATTGGCATCGGATGCTGCTCTTGAGCAGAAACGCTCTTTGGGACAGAAAGTGGTGCAGGCAAAGTTCTCCAACAAGGCTTTCAAAGAAAAATGGATACAACATCTCAAGACGGCGGCGCAGTTGGAGGCATATTATCGGGAGAACCGTAGGGACAAGGTTAATGCTGTGTACTAGGTGGTGAACCTATCGATCAATAATAATACGTACAAAGAACGCTTTTCGACCCACGTTTTTGAAAACTTCTGAGGCTATTCGTAACCCACTATCAGACTTCCTTTGTTAAGCTCCTCTCTGGAGACAATAATGATCCCGTAAGTTTCTTGGTTATCCTGGATGAATCAAAGAAAAATGAATTCGTTCAAAAAAGATTGATCAAGCCAAAAGTCGAAAGCTAATCAGGGTGATGGGTCTGACAGAAATAGATACATAAAACTGGAGAGCAATGATTGAAAATGAAAGATTTGTTCATATAGTATAGCATGCGCCTCTACTAGCCTCCTCCTTTTCCAATACTTCTCCTTTTTGAAAGCTCGACTAGTATGCTTCAATCTCTTCAGATTGTCTTTGACCTACCACAATTAAAATCACGCTATGATTCTCCACATGTTTTTTGATGACCTCATTGACTTTTAGTTTTCCGCTCTCGTTAGGGGACAAAAATCACCTCTTATTGTCCTAGCAAGTCTTGGTTGTTCTCAAAACTCGTTCGAGCCGAATAAATCCAGGTTAGTTAGCCACCCACTTATTACTTCTAGTAGAATAATTTCTATTATAGCTGCCAACACTAGTCCTATCTAGAAATTTGTCCAATAGTTCTCATGATGATAATAGGGGCAGGAGTAGACATATTAGGTGCACATAGCAGACTCATGTACGAGAATAATCTTTTGGTCAACGTACTGTGAGAGGATAGTATATATTAGTTTTGACGTTTCTTTGCTCTTCCCCTAAATGTAGATTATCAGATTTGATCTCTCGTCTTTCAATCTTAGTAAACGAATTTAAAGTCTTCCAGATCTTCTTCATGAAAATAGATACATCAATCTCATCTCTTCCATACGATTACCTGTTGTTCGCTATTTTCCTTTGTTGTCTCATTTGTTCATTTTCTCTCACCTTCCTAACATTTTCATACTTGCGCACAATTTCTTTTCACATTATCTAAGAATTTACTTCTACCTCCTAATGATTTTGGTCTATTTATAAGAAAACACTCTTTTGCAGCCACTTATAAACAGAAAAGTATAAATAAAGCTGCTGCGATCGCAGAAAGTTGCAGCCATTTTCGTTTTTTTACCTCCCTCACAGTGCGCGTGGGTCGTGCCGTGCCCAGCGCGGATCCGACACTCGTGTTAAAAACTTGCCAAAAACATTACCACCTCCAAGCTAGTCCCTAAACCTCGTCCAGCCGCAGCAATGAAATTGGACGTGACCAAGCAGTTTTCGGCGCGTTCGGAAAGAGTCAAGGGCATTGATTTCCACCCCACTGAGCCCTGGATCTTGACCACGCTATACAATGGAAAAATCGAGATTTGGTCGCATGCAACCAACACGCTAGTCAAGTCGATCCAGGTCACCGATATGCCTGTGAGAGCGGGAAAGTTCATTGCCCGTAAGAATTGGATCGTTGTGGGCTCTGACGACTTCCAGGTGAGAGTATACAACTATAGCACCGGCGAGAAAATCACTCAGTTTGAAGCTCACCCAGACTACATCCGTAGCATCGCCGTGCATGCCACTTTGCCTTACATTTTGACCTCGTCCGATGATTTGACCATCAAGTTATGGAACTGGGACAACAACTGGCGCCTCGAACAAACCTACGAAGGCCACCAGCACTACATCATGTGCGTCAACTTTAATCCTAAGGATCCCAACACCTTCGCGTCTGCCTGTTTGGATAGAACCGTTAAGGTGTGGTCTTTGGGCTCACCTACTCCTAACTACACTTTGGTTGCGCACGATATCAAAGGTGTCAACTACGTCGACTACTACCCACAAGCTGACAAACCATATCTCATTACATCTTCTGACGACAAAACAGTCAAAGTGTGGGATTACCAAACAAAATCATGTGTGGCTGTTCTTGAGGGCCACTTGGCCAATGTCTCTTTTGCTATTTTCCATCCAGAGTTGCCTTTGATCGTCTCTGGTTCTGAAGACGGCACAGTGCGCTTCTGGAACTCCAACACCTTCAAGTTGGAAAAATCCGTCAACTACGGATTGGAGCGTGTGTGGTGTGTCAGTGTGTTGCAAAAGTCTAACTTGATAGCTGTGGGATGTGACTCTGGTAATGTGGTCATCAAATTGGGAAATGAAGAGCCTTTGTTTTCGATGGACAACAACGGTAAGTTGATTTACGCCAAGAACTCTGAGGTGTATCAATCTGTTATCAAGCCAACCAGTACTAGCGGTTTGAAAGATGGTGAAACTATTCCAATTCAGCAAAAGGACCTCGGAACAGTGGAAATTTATCCTCAAACATTGGCACATTCACCAAACGGAAAGTACGCTGCCGTATGTGGTGATGGTGAATACCTCGTCTACACTTCATTGGCTTGGAGATCCAAAGCCTATGGTAAAGCATTGGACTTCGCCTGGAACACACACGATCATTCTAACGCTACGTGTTATGCGATTAGGGAATCCAAAATGTCTGTCAAGATCTTCAAGAACTTGCAGGAACTGTTGTCTGTAGACCTTGTCTACGAGGCTGAGAAAATCATTCCTGGAGCTTTGCTTGGTGTCAAGTCCGTGGGACTTTTGTGTTTCTATGATTGGGAGACAGGTTCGCTCGTCAGAAGAGTTGATATTGAGGACGATATTCAAGACGTTGTCTGGTCTGACAATGGCGAGTTGTTGGCTATTTTGACCAACAGCGCCTCTTCGGAAACCAAGAGCTACGAGACTTATTTCTTGAGCTTCGACCGCACGCTTTACGAAGAAGCTATCGCTAACGGATCTATCAGTAACTCTGAAGGTGCAGAGGCTGCCTTTGATGTGTTGTACACTTTGCCTACTTCCGAGGCTATCTTGTCAGGAAAGTTTATTGGTGATGTTTTTATCTACACTACGGCCACCACGAATAGATTGAACTATTTTGTTGGTGGTGAGATCATCAACTTGAGTCATTTCGATCACAAGTACTACCTCATCGGCTATAAAGCTAGTGAAGGGAAATTGTTTTTGATTGACAAAACTTTCAATGTCATCTCGTGGTTCGTGAACTCGGATGTTTTGGAGTTGCAAACATTGGTTATGCGTGGTGACTTGGAGCAGTTTGCTTCTTCCACAGTCACCGACGAGGAAACCGGCGAACAGATTCCAGACTTGGCATCCATTTCACCTGAACTGTTGTCTGAAGAATATTCTGCTTACTTGACCAACTTGTCGAAGACAGAGTTAAACCAGGTTGCACGCTTTTTCGAGAAGTTAGGTTACTTGAAGTTATCTTTTGCCTTGTCTCAGGATTTCGACTCAAAGTTCCTGATTGCCTTGTCCACTGGAGACTTGCAACAAGCATACCAATTGTTGGTGGAGAACCAAGATAGTAATCCATCTACGGCGCTTGTCAACGCGCCAAAGTGGAAAAAGTTGGGCGATTTGGCCATGGCGAATTGGCAGATGCAATTGGCGGAAAAATGCTACTGGTTGGCAAACGACCATGCTTCCTTGTTGTTGATGCTCTCCTCGACAAACAACCAAGTGCTGTTGGCTCGTCTCGCTGAATCGGCCGAAGCACTTGGAAAGTACAATATTGCTTTCCAGGCGTGGTGGTTGACAGCAAACAAGGAGAAGTGCATGGACTTGTTGGTTAAAACGGAAAGATACAGTGAAGCTGCTTTCTTGGGTAAAACCTACGGTATTTCCAACACCAAACTCGCCAATGTCATGGAGTTATGGAAACAGCAATTGGTTGCCAAGGGAAAGGGGAAGACTGCAGACCGTTTGATTGGCGACTTTGCCGAATTGAAGGTGAGCAATGGTGATGCTTTGATTGACTTTGGCAATGAAAAAGCGCCAAAAGAGGTTGAAGAGCCTGTTGAAGAGTCTGTCGAGGAACCTTTACAAAAGGTAGAGGAGCATCATGTCGATGACACACCAGCTCGTGAAGAAAACTTGTTGGATCTCGAAGACTCGGAGAAACCGGAAGAATTCGAGGAGGAGGAATTCGAGGAAGCTTTGGGAGACGATGACAACATCTTGGAACTTTAGATCAACGGTTGCCAATGAGCACTTGAAAATCGGGCGACGCATAGACAAGCATCGCCGCCATAAAAGTGAATAATGCATTTATAACTTGTACTAAAAGTGCGTAGTGCTGAAGAGTAAAGTTTGGAATAACACTTCTTATGGGAGACACCATGGGATGCATATTGGTCATATGAACTTCCTGATACTTTTAGAATTTGCAAGAGTTGAAGGTATACTCGGGGTTACAAATGATGAATGTGAACTGGGTTATCGAAGTGGGTACTATTAGTTAATGTATATCCAGTACACATGATATTGTAGGTCTATGAATAAAAGTGATTAGATTCGATATGAGAAAAGTCACAGGGAAGAAATTGTCTACAAAAGCATCGATAAGTTATTATCGTAATATGGATCATCGAGGATAAGCTTGAAAGCTATTAAGGTGCCTTTGTTCACTCTTCTAGACCATTCTCAGAAGTCAGATTAACGACCAAACAGAATGGATGACAGGTCTCCCGGTTGTATGTTGATTTCTCCATTTATGTTTCTTTCCATTTCCTTCACTTATATGTTCGTTTCTCCTCACTTATATGTTCGTTTCTCCTCACTTATATGTTTATTTCCATTCCCCTTCGCTTATTCTTCCATCCTCATTTATATTCTTCCGTCCTCACTCATATATATTCTCCCATCCTCATTTATATTCTCCCATCCTCACTTATTCCTCCTCACTTATTCCTCCTCACTTATTCCTCCTCTCTTATTCCTCCTCACTTATCCTCACTTATCCTCACTCATTCATCCTCACTTCCCCTCTTGACATCAAACACCTCGTACTTGTCGGCCATGTAATCTCGCTTGTTCTCGCACACAAAGTACAAGTCGTCAATGCCCACAGGCGGCTTGCTGGGCCATCGTGTGACGTTGGCAAAAACTCTGTCCAAGCGCCGCTCCAAAAGCCCAAGCTCCGGGTCTGCCAAATCCACACGGGCCAAGCGCACGACAAACGTGCCGTTTTTCCCGAGCGCCGTGCAGCACAAAAGAAGCGCCGCCTCTGCCATGTCGATGGCGCCTTTCTCCGGCACACGAAGCCTGCTTCCCCGGATATACGGGCGACTATGGGTGTTGTTGAAAAAGCCCAGCTCCTGGAGAAACGGCGCGCCCAAGTCCGCTAGAACAACGTCCGCCTGGTACATCTTGGGCCCCATCAACTTGTGGAGCGGGTCCGCCACCGCCAAGTCGCCAAACGCCCGCGTCAAGTGGCTCACCTCGCTTTCAAGCTCTGTCTCTGCCGCCTCCTTCTGGATGTACAGCTCAGGCTCGCTGAGCGCCCGGAGCCGCCGCATCGCCGCGTCCTGGAGCAACTCCACCACCGCGCGGTGTGCAGACTCGGAAAACACATTGCCCTGGGTGCAAATGGTGCCTGCCGGAGGCTGGGCAAAGAGAAGATCGAGGCCGATCAACGTGCACTTGTCGGCAATGCGTTCGGCGGCGACGCCGTGCACGTGCAGAAGCTCGTCCCGCGCGTACGTGAGCCAGTGGCCCGGGGCAAAACCCAAATCGACCACTTTGTGCACTGATGGACGGAAAAGATTGAAGTGGCGGTCCAAGGCCGCAATGGTCGAGTGGGCCGTGTAGGCAGCCTCGACTAGCTTCTGCAGCCGCGTCGGCTTAGCCGAAGACGACGCCATGCGGCAGAACAGAAGGAACATGGAAGTTGGTGATGGTGTAGGTGCGTGTGCAGGTGCAGAAGAGAACCAGAAGCCGGCCTATGTTTCAGTTCCATCCAAATGAAAGAAGATGACTTAATTGATATTTATAGGCATTAGCTTTAGATTAATGCTTTAATTGATGGCAATAGAAAAGATACTTTATATGCTTTCATATTTACTACTCTCTTAATATTCTTATTTGTTATATTACAAGGTTTAGAGTATATATTTGCTCCATTTACTATTGCTGATGGTGTTTATGGTTCTACTTTCTTCTCTTTAAGTCCGTGTCTTCAACACATGTTATAGTAGTTCGATTCTACTTGCTCTTGAGAGGTCTTTGTAGCTTAAATGGTAGAGCGTTCGCTTGAAGCACGACTGATGAAAGTTCAATTCTTTCCGAAGTTTCTTCAATGGGTGGAAATCATTGGGAGAGGAAACATTTTCAATTCTTATCTATTGACTTTGTAGATGTTTTTGTTTACATGTTTTGCGTAGACACTGGTCCATCCCAATACATTTCGGCATGTCTACAGACAAGTTTTTAGCTGAAATGAGTTTGGCTTCGAAAGGTCTTTTTAATCTCGTATTTTCTGGACTATACTCACTTCGGTATTTTGATTAGGTACATTGTTCTGTGGAATACTTGTTTGATTCGCTACCAGAAATGGAATGAATAAAGAAATATGGTTTGCGAGTTGCATCAGTTTAGCGGAGATGGCAGTAGTGGCAGTCTTTCTTTGGTTACTGAGGGATTTTGCTTCATCCAATTAAAATTGTTGTCGTAGTATAGTTGCGGAAAGCGGACTTATACCACATATACATTTGTTCACAAGACGCAAGTAGCCAGAGTGTGTGTGCAAAAAGTCAGGCTTACAAACTTCAGGTTCCAGTATCAAACAATCCATGCTATGCAAGGGAGATGTTGCGAGATTATTGAGTCTATCGTCATCTATGGAGAGGTTACACTAGCGGTCTATTGTCGCTTTTATCTTAGCCATTATGCCTGCAAATCCAAATACTGTGAATTAATCAGCTTAGTTGAATATACATCTGCTCACTGCCAAAGAAAGAATAAGTAGATATCTTACATGGCAACTTAAAGAGATATCATTTTTTGATCCTACAGATATTACAGTGGAAACACTGATGTCGGTCACTAATCATTTCAACCTGTAGCGGAATATCTTTCGTTTAAAAATTGCAGTAGTTACAAGTGGCTCAATAATATTTGAGAAACTCACACACTTATTGTAGTTCGCAAAAATTCTCAGAAGTACCAGAAACCATCTAAATTAGTAGAAACACACAGCAAAAGAAAAACAACGTAACAATCCTACCATTGGTCTTGTACTACTGGCAGGACAAAACGCCTACCCGAAATCTTCAAGAAATTACAAAGCATTTAAGGTTGACGTAAATACAAGACAGAACAAGAAATGAAGACACAAACCAGACACAAACCAGATACAAACCAGATACAAACCGGCGACAAACAGAAACTGAACAGATACAACAGCCTAGACATTCTGGAATCCCAACCAGTTCAAATAGCTCTCGTAGCCCACAAAGGTAATGAGCTGGAAAAACATAGTCACGTCCTGCATAAACAGTCAAGGTCAAAAAGATGAAGTTAGGGCTCGCGCCCTAGCACCCATCGCCGCACCCATTTCTCGCGAAAAATTTCTCTCTTCTTTTCTCTCCTCATCCTCGTCGAATCAACACTTTTACCAAATCCTTTGGGAGACGAATCAAGATGTCCAAGATCACTAACGCTCACGTCCGTGAAAATGTCCAAAAGTTGTTGGCTTACTCCAACGACACCAAGAAGAGAAACTTCTTGGAAACCGTTGAGTTGCAAGTCGGTTTGAAGAACTACGACCCTCAAAGAGACAAGCGTTTCTCTGGTTCTTTGAAGTTGCCTCAAGTCCCAAGACCAAACATGACCATCTGTATCTTCGGTGACGCTTTCGACGTTGACAGAGCTAAGTCTGTTGGTGTTGACGCCATGTCTGTTGACGACTTGAAGAAGTTGAACAAGAACAAGAAGTTGATCAAGAAGTTGGCCAAGAAGTACAACGCCTTCATTGCTTCCGAAGTTTTGATCAAGCAGGTTCCAAGATTGTTGGGTCCTCAATTGTCCAAGGCTGGTAAGTTCCCAACCCCAGTTTCTCACAACGACGACTTGTACCAAAAGGTTGTTGACGTCAGATCCACCATCAAGTTCCAATTGAAGAAGGTCTTGTGTTTGGCTGTCGCTGTTGGTCACGTTGAGATGGAGGAGGATGTTTTGGTTAACCAAATCATGATGGCCTCCAACTTCTTGGTTTCCTTGTTGAAGAAGAACTGGCAAAACGTCGGCTCTTTGGTCATCAAGTCCACCATGGGTCCATCTTTCAGAATCTACTAAGCTGCTTTGTATAGTAATTTAGCATGACTTCACACCAAAGCCTTGTTGTAGTCCCAATTTCGTACATTAATCACAATTCTCTATTCAACTTCAACGCGGCCATGTCTGCATCGAGCACCTCTTTTTTGGCACGCACAACCTCGTCTGCCTCGTCGACTTCATCGTCATCATCATCATCATCGTCGTCGTCATCGTCGTCGTCATCGTCATCATCGTCATCATCGTCATCGTTGTCGTCCGCGATGGCATGATCACTAGCATTATTCTTAAGATCGTCATCCTCATCGTCATCCTCAGGATAACCACCCAATTTCATCACCACTTTATTGACGATTTCATTCCAATCCATCATGCCTCCCATACCAATGTCACCATACGAGCCCACCACCTTCTCAACTGGCTTCAAGATTTCGATCCACGGCATCTCCTCCGCAATGAGCCGCAACTGCCGTTTCGTGGTGATGGCATTGTATGCATTACTGACCATGGCAGGTGCCACCAAGATTGGGTAGGCCGTGTTCCATGCCCGAATCACGTTGGTTAAAAGATTGTCGCAAAGTCCCAATGCAATCTTGGCAAGCGTGTTCGCAGTCATGGGACACACAACGAGAATGTCGGCCCAGCGACGCAACTCCACATGCAACACAGGGTCTGTGCGTGTGTTCCATGTTGTCCATTCGTCTGCATCGCGCCACACACGAACCTTTTTCGTCGTTTCAAGATGGTGCAAGGTTTCGTGCGAGATGAAGTTTTCGGAAGATTTTGTGAGCACAAGCTGGATGGCAATCTTCTCTGGCGTGTATATTTCAAATAGCTTGTGGATGATGAGTTTGATCTTCAGCGTCGAAAGAGCGCCACACACACCAAACAACACATGGAGCTTGCCATCGTCTTGCGGCAACCGCGGATCGATATTGGCGTTTTGCTCACCGCTGGCAAGTGCAGGCAGTGCAATCCTCTCGTCACGACGAACACCTCCAGCAGCCAGGTACTCAGACCCAGAGGCTGAGGTGGAGCCGCTACGTGAGCGGTTGACATTCTTGCCCGGCTTTTGTGTCTCATCTACGTAAAAGTGCGCGTGCACAGACGGAGCTTTGTGATGGACACTTTGCGCCGGAGGGCTGAGCGTGTAGTTGAGCGGAGCTGCCACCTCAGGCAGCGACGCACCCGACAAGTCCGAGCGGGGCTCGCTGGCGGTGTCAGGCGAGCGAGCCTTGGCCTTGAGCTCCTGTAACAAGGCGCCGCCCGCAGGCACCGTTTCCCGCACCGAGGGCAGGCTTTTTGCAGCCACCCCTTGCTCGGATGCTTTGGCTATGGGCGTGTGGATGCGCGAGTTCGACAAGATGGGTGGAGGCGAGGGACAGCGCAAGTTGGAGATGGCCTGTACTGCGGGCGGAATACTCTCGTCTGGAGACGTGGGCGGCGATCTAGAATCTTCCATGCTGTGTAGTGGGGAAACTGGCGGTAAATCTCGGTCCGGAGTCAATTGTTGTTGGGCAGAAACTTGCAGAGCAGTTTGTGTTGTTGATTTTTGTAGTTTGTTTGTGCGGGAATGTATTTCTCAAGAATAACTGGTCTGTGGGGATCGACTTGCTGGTTTGCTATGTTCGTTTGGAATCTGTTTTGGTGAAATGGCTTTATGTGGAAGCCTGGGGTGAAAGTAAGCCGATTCGGCCCAGATATTGAAAGGAAAAACGGAGAGTAGCGGTAGGAAAAGATACTTCTAACTTTCAGACGATCCCTGGTGCGCATGTCGATTGCCCAATGCGGAAGGCTGTTGCTGCGACGGGGAAAATCACTCAAATGTTGTTCTTTCGAGCCTTCGGCCGGTTCTTCCGATGGGAATGTCGATAGACAAGATTGACGTCACAGTAGGATTTTTTGGAGCTTTTTGACTGTCGGATTCAGGTGTGTACCTTTATGCATGCGTTTAGAGGATCGTCATGCGATTTCAGAGATAACAGATTGCTCGGAATACTAGAGGTAATTTAAGGTGGCATGAATTTGAAAGAAAGCAGTTTCAAGTGAATAGTTAAAGTGAAAGCAGTTCAAAAAGGAAGGCTGTCCCAGTTCCTAGGATTTCTGCTACGTTAGACTGTGACTTTTTCTGCACATGTCAGTATCTGCTTTTCGCTTAAGTTGACAGATGTTACGGGGACTTTGCTATTTTGACGAAAAGTCCGATCAATTATACTCAAGCTTCATTTAGGAACGCCAAACGGCTACAGTTTTCTATAGACGAAGATACTGATACTGTACTCAAATAGACACAGTGGAGGTATTCTAAGATTTTTGAGCAGTGTAGTCGCTGTATTCTCTTCTGTATTCTGTATTCTACCTAGTGTCCATTTCTTCTCCGTTCACTCATATCTGAAAAGCCTTGCCGTGAAGGGTAAAATTAATTGGCCTACGTAAACCTGCAACTTAACAGCCGTCACCCAATCATCCAACATGACATAAGCCACCCAATCATCCAACATGACATAAGCCACCCAATCATCCCAACATGACATAAGCCACCCAATCATCCCAACATGAAAGCCGTCACTCAAAGATCCAGAAAAAATCGCCAAACATGTTGTCCCAGTCGGGAAGATCAAAGCCGGGCTCGCTCTGAACTTGCAAGTGGTCGTACACGGCAAGAAACAAGTCCTTATACTTTAGCGACTTGGCCATGAATGGGCGCCGGCGCATTGGCTCGGGCACTTTTAGGCCGCGCAAACACTCGACCGCCGCGTCAACGTCTGCGCGCGAAAACAGCGCGGCGCCCGAGTCTACAAGAAGGAAAAGCACCAACCCCATACACGACAGGAACAAGGCGAAAATGGCGGTGGGGACGGGCCCGAAAAAGCCATGGTCGACGGCTTGTTGCGCCATGTGCGCCACCGCCACGCACAGCTCGAGGCAGCGGCCAACCAAGTCTGCGGCGGCGGCCAGAACGGAGTCGGGCGTGTTGGCCGCGTGCAAAACAACGGGGCCGAGCAACAGCATGCGGCAGTTGTGGAAATAGAGCGCGACGTCCAAAGCCGTGCGCGAGTTTTCAGGGAGCGCGCCCGCGGTCGGGCAGAACACGGCCGAAAGGCGGCGCTCGAACAAGGCGAAGCGCGCGACTGCCGGCGCCGAGAGCGGCGCGTCGAACACGGATTCGGGCCGCGCCACAAGCGCCTCGTGCGCCACCCGCGCTAGGTCAAGCTTGACCGCGTGCGCGCGCGCAAACCCCGCGTCGCCCACGTCGCTGCACCACGGATAGGCGCAGTTTTCTGCGCCCAAGCACGGCGCGCGGCCCATCTGGCTCAGAAGCGCCGTTTCGTAGACGAAAAGCGTCCACCACACGCGGGCCTCGGGCACGTTTCCTGTCGAGCGGTGGAGGCCAAGACTGAGTGCGTGGCGCGCGGCCAACCCGACCAAAGAGTAGGCGGTTTCGCGGCGCATGATGCTGTCCATGTAGAGGGCGAGAAGAAGGAGACAGCGCACACCGGGCAACGTGGGCGTGAGGGCGATGTCGGCGACGCAAGCGCGCACGATGCGGAGGTACGGCGCGAGGGGCCCAAGCGACTCTGGCTCTGCTGGCTCTGTTGATGTGTTTGCTGGCTCTGTTGAAGTGTTTGCTGGCTCTGTTGAAGTGTTTGCTGGCTCTGTTTTTGGGTCATTTTCGTCTGTTTTTGGGCCATTTTCTTCTGTTTTTGGTGTTTCTGTTATTTCTGTCGCATCCGCTTGCGCGTCCATTCGGCCCAATATCCACACCATGTAGAGCGAGCACACGGCCGCGCGCAGACCAGACTCGGCCTGACCAGACTCGGCCAGACAAGCTTCGCCCGCCCAAAACCGCGCGTTGTCCGCGTCGAAGTCGGCGCGAGAAAAACATACAAAGCGCGGGTGGATGCGGCGGAAAAAGCGCTCGGCGTAGCGGTCGGCGGCCGGGCGCCCGAGCGACACGAGCCGCGGCCATTCCGCAAGGCGCGCGTCCGCAAGCTCCAGCGGCGGCTGCTGCAGCGACACAATGAGCCCCGCCTGGTGGATGGCGCGGAACGTGGGCCACTGCAGGATCTTGGCGCGCGCCTTGCGGGCCACCACTTGCAAGAAGGACTTGAGCATCCACGACGAGCCCCAGGGGCCCACGAGATGCGGGTTGCCGGCGCCGTCGAAAAGCACATGCGGCACGCGTTCGAGAATGGGCAGCGTCTGCTCGTCCTCGAAGCTGCGGAGCGCGATTGCCGGGTCGTAGGGCACGGACGGGGCGGAGAACGGGGGGCCCGGGACAACCGGCGCAGCCAGGACAGCCGGGACAGGCGATGAAACAGGCGGTAGCGCCTGAGAGGGCGACACCGAAGACTGTAACTGCGGCACCAAAGACGGCGGCGCCAAAGACGGCGGCGCCAACGACTGTAACTGCGGCAGCGCCGCTTGGACCCTTTCGGAGCGCCCGCGCGTGATGCGGAGCGCAAGCGCCTCGTCGTCGCTTTCGCCGCGCGGCATCGCCACGCCGAGCAGCTCGCCCAACCCAATGAGCGCGTCGATGTTGTTGGCGTCAACCTCCGGGTGCTGCGCCCGCACGAGCTCGTACAAGCACTTGTAATGGAGGGCTATGTTTTTCACGGGCCCGCGGATTCTTTTCTTGCGCGGGAGCGTCGTCTCGCACGCCGCCGACGTGCGCGCGCAGTTGGCGCAGGCGCCCGACCCGGGGCGAACGCACGCGATCTTGCGCACTTTGCACCGGTCGCACGAAAAGGCCGCCTTCTTGCGTTTTTCGGGCGGAACCAACCGCCGTTTGCGCGTGCGGAGCGCAGGGATTTCTGTGTCCATGGAACGGAGGCAGGGTCAGGCAAAAAGGGCAGGGGCAAACACGATCAGGCGAAAAGGGCAGGGGCGGAAACGAACAGGCGAAAAGGGCAGGGGCGCAAACGAACAGCAAACAGGGCAGGCGAGGCGGACAGGCAAGACAGGCAGGCCAGGCAAGGTAGACAAGCGAGTGGAAGTGGGTGCTCAGACGGCCCGGTTACAAGGTGCAAAGATGACTTTGGGGCGCGCCCTTGCACTACCTCCCGGCGAAAACAGAAACGGGAGGACAAGAAAAAAAAGACAAGAAAAGGACAGGAAAGCCAAGCTTTGGAAAATCCACACATGTCAAATTTCAAATCCCGGAAAATTGGGACATGGAATCGTGTCACGAAGCCCTCCATCATGTAGCTGCTTTCGCTTGTAGTGCTTAAGTCCGGCGGTTTCACAGGGTCTTTCGGTGATTGGCAAACTTTCGATGACCGGCGCTCTGTTCTGTAACTTCACGAGCGCCTCTCTTTTCTGATTAACTATCGCTTGTTTGCACTGTTCTGTGGGCTTTATCGGCTGCTAGTGACGTCCCTGTTACAGCTTTCCACTCCCCTCATACTTCTCCTTTTACTCGTGAGTTCGCTTCTCGTGAAACTCAATTTGAAGGGCCTGGCAATCTATCCATGTTCTTGTAGTCACGCTAGATAGCAGGGTCGACGCATAACAGTCAAGTGCTGAAATGGCTGACAAGAGGAAAACGCAGTCGTTTGAAAACGGACATATGTCCTCTCGACACTTGTAACCCAGAAAAAAAAAAAGAATACAGTCTTTGGTCCCTTTGTCATTACTAGCATACTCCTCTTGTCTCTTGCGGTATTTGCTATTCGAATATTTCCTCAGTTTTCAGCATATGTTTTCTAGCACGAAACTTTGTGTGAAGCAGTGTGAGTAAGCCAAAGGCTAGAACATCCGCTTATAATTAATCATCATCAATAATACAGTGGGAAAAAATATTTTAGGTACCGACTAACTTCCGACAATGATATTTACTTTCTGAAGTAGATTGAGACGTAGCTGTTCATACTGAGCAGCTAGGCACTCTTACGACAACACTATCAAGAGGCAGTTACAACCCAGAAATCTTTTATTCCAAATATCAATTGCCGAGCCTGTTTTTACGGAGCAAGGAAAATTCCACCATCACAGAATCACCAGAACGACAGATTGTTTGCGGACTAATCAAGCAGATGAAAATAAGCAGACTGATGAAGAGAGGATGGAGAGAGGATGGAAAGGGGATGGAAAGGTGACTGATCACTAGAATAATGGCCATCACGAACATAAATACCAATAATTTATTGGCAATCGACAGATTTAATAAAGTAATTACTAGACTCATGGACTAGTGGAGCATTGCTAGCCACCAGAAATTCAAAAAGTTTAGAAAATTATGTGTATAAATCCCTCTAATCATCCTTAATTTCTTTCGTGGTCTTCCCCAAAAATTACTATTGAATAGGGTGAATGTGGTGTCATGTACAGCAAAAATATTCTACCGTCACGCACTAGCTTCTCCACCGAGAATATCCACTGTTTCATAACGTACTGCCGTGTTATTTCAAATCAGTTTCTAAATTTTTTTTTTTTTCATTTTCAATTTTTAAAATCTTTTCTTTGCTTCATTTGTGGAAGTGAGTTTCGCCGGCTCCACTGCTCGAATGTATCATGTTTGAGTGATGTTAATATTCGAAGCAAAAAGAAATTTACATTCGCTGGTTTCGAAGCAACTTGCGGATTTGCCTCTGAATCTTTGGCAATGTACTTTGGGAGAAGCAACAATCATATGTGGCTCAGGCGTCAGTAAGACTACCATGATAAAAGAATGCTCTCATAAAATGCCCATCATCACCCAAGATATAAAGGACTGCTTCATCAGAAAAACGAAGAATTCGATGACCACCTTTACTATGCGGCGGAGATAGGACCCAGATTCAACATCAACACGAGGAAAAAACCAGTTCCGTTCGAGTAGATGGCTACACAATTGCCCACGGGCTACAGTTGACGCCAAGTAACTTTTTTGCATGAATAAACACGCTCTACATTACGAGAATTGAAGCCGCCTGGCGTACTTTTGGCCTGTGGTCCGATTAATGGTGGCATATTGTTGGTGAAGTTTGGATACAACACTGCATGTGATGCTGTAAGCATTTAACAATAGGTGCAGTTCAAGTGAAAGTTTAGGCTGGTATTGCAGATATTTGAAAGTTTGAAAGCGATTAGGGAATTTAAGATGCATGTGTAATGAGGCACTTGACATGACCTATTAGGGCGCTGAAGTAAAATAAGAGATGACGCATTTACGGGATCAAAAAGGGTCGGATGGATTCATTTCTCCGTATCAAGGCAAGACAAATCGAAATCTGTAAAGTCGCTTATATGGAAAGATTATGCAATATGAAGAAGTGCCAGGACGCGATTCGTCAAAATCTACGGTATATAGAAGCCAGCACTTCGAAACATACAGTACAAATATAGAATTCTCCACCATAAATAACACAGCATGCATCTGTAGCTACTTTCGCGATCAGCTGCATGCGACTCGTGCATGCATTACCCGCCTGCGTCTGGCAACAAAAAAAAACATTGCGCCTTTTTTTAGGAGGAGTCATGCGGGAGGTACTCCATCTGGAAAACCGTTGGAAGTGCCCCATTTCTCCTAAAAGGACCGCAACACACTATTAAGCGCATGCATGACCAAACTTTAATCGTGCTTGCCCCGAAAATATTTCATTGCTCCATACTCGTGCAACAGCCTGAGTTTCCTTTTCACTGCATACAAATAAGGCCTGTAGGGAAACGGATCTGGCCAGCGCATATGCACTTCAAAGATGTATCGTTTCCTCCTCATGGACAGATCAACCAACCGTAAAGTAGACCCCACAGATATAAACATAGTTAGTCGAATCACTCATTTTCGCAATGATTCAAGTGTTTACTACAGAAGCGCAATTATAGAGCCGAATGTTTGGCGTGGTCTTTCTAATATTCTTGCATATTGCCAATGCACCGGGAAGTATACCAAGGAATTGACGCGGAGCTTTAGAAAACATGCGCTAAAATAACATTTATGATCCTGGTTCGGGACGCACTAGAACAGCTTTAAAAAGTAAAACCTAAGATTCGACAAACGGTTGGCACAAGAGGAGTAACTTTTTTTGTCATGGGTAGATTTCAGTCCCTGGGGAGCCGTTTAGGTTCTTTTTCGGTGCAGAGCCCTGACCTCGTCAGAAGCAGGAAAATAACGGCCCATGCACCAGCACTTTGTTATGCACCACCTGACCGCTTAATACGCAGATCAGCTTGTTATGCATATCCAACGCTCACAATTTGGGAAAGCGGTTCTTATTTCCTAAATTAAGCTAGTAGATCTGGATTCGTGAACAAACTTTGTCGGCGACCACAGATTTCATTCTTGTGGTACTTCATCTCAAACATTCTTCGCACCTTTCATATGTGGACAACAAAAAGAGAAAACCCAACAAAGCATTTTACACATGATTTTTTCATAGATTGTAACAAAAACCTGCTCATTTGAAAGCCCTATACAACACTAATACAACAGCATGTAACGATGCATTTTCCTCCATCCTTTTGTTCCTTAGCAACGCTATTTTCCTTTAATTTTTTTTTTTTCAATGTTTCGTGCATTAAAGTGTTCCAATGCAAGACGTGCAACACTGCAGGGCTCAGAGCGGTGATCCGATTATGTTATGTCTTACTTTGAGCTAGGTCAATAAGAAAAACAATCAACTAGAGTACCCGGCGCAAATGCTGGATGAGGATGAAACATGCTGAATAAAAGGACCAGTAGTCAAAAGAGAACATTGTGATCTAGTCTACTCCAAACTTTTCTTTTTTACTGGTCACGATTTTAGAAGGACCATGTTGCACCAGTAGTATATAAGGCATACAAAAGGACAATTCCCGCCTCAGTCGCTTACAGAACAGGCGCCCGAAATAGAATCACACTTATTGGTATGAGAATCTGCACTGGCCTGATTTCCACTGCTCGGATTTAATGTGTCCATATGCCTGAGAAACCCGCCTCATTTTATCGTCGAAAGGAGACATTGCTCGAGAGAACACGCCTGGTGTATCTAGATAATCACAGATAACAAATGTTGAAAACTTAGTTTCGACAATGGCCCACTATTGGTTGTCTTGCCATTCAGTACAAGTAATAGGAGTCTGAAAGGAAGGAGTTGAGCTCCCACACTGGGAGAACAGATGTGGCATAACGATTTCGGCGATGGATTGTTCTACTCACGAAATGTGACGAGTCATACGAACAAGATCGTTTGAGATGCAGTTTGGTCTAGTTTCCATTCGCAAGCTGGCTTGTCAGTTTTCGGTTGAGTGTTGATCTGCGGCGATAAGGACGGGATGTGATTCATGGGTGATTTATGACCAGAAACCAAGAAAGGTTCCCCTGGATGTTCATTATAGAGCCGATGTGTCTCATAGATGAACGAATGACGTCTTTAGCAGTGTTTGAATGTAGGAGATAGCGACGTAGCCACACTTGTGCCCAAGCAGGAAAAGGATCTAGCCACACATGGTGCTACTGTAAAGACTAGAACGACGTCGAACTTCGGTGCATGCTATTCGCACATTGACGAATAGAATTTGAGTCATCATGCAATATCAGCCGTCAGGGTTGGCGAAAAGAAAAAACTAGGCTTAACCGAAAAATGTACGCCGAACAGGAAGGGTTTTCGAAGAGGCGTATATCCAGTAGCAATACGAGTTTTGCGGTATCGAACGCTCTAGGCGGCTATATTGCTTTAATTTTTTTTTACTGATTCCTTTTTGCCCAGGAATTCCGAAGCCGTGTCTTGAACCGGTCTCACTGCACGCGAAGTTTTATTGGGCGTCCGGAGTTTCCAAGAAGCGATGGAAACCTTGTCCCGATGGTCCGCTTTCGCACTTCTACGTGGTTAGAATATACGGGAATGGCGAGGAAAAATGAAGCGGAGAGCAAGACGGAGCGAGAAGAAGGGGAAGAAGGTGGAGAAAGCGAGAAGGCCCAGCAACCAAACAACAATGTATCGGCTCAGAAGCAGAGGCCTGTTTTCTGTAGTAGACGTTGTGCGCCATAGACAGGCGATCCTGATTCGGGGGGTGCCAGATGTTTGAACAAAAAATTTGGATACGCAGCGCGCGACCACGCGCAATCCTAATGCGGTGCATAATACGCGCCGCGCATACTACATCCTGTACGCACGTCGTGGTTGTCAACGCAGGCAGCTTTTAGTTTGCCCATCTTCCACCTTGTCCTGAATATACCAAGCGGATTACGACATTGATCTGCCCTGGCCAAAGCGACCGCTTGTGTCGCGACTATTTCACCACCTGCTTTTGTCTCTTTTGTCTCTTTTGTGGTCCCCGCATTCTCCCACCTTCAGCTTTGCCATATTCATCCATTGTCGATTGCATTTGCTTCCACACACTCACGGACCATCACTGATTATTTCCTTCCACATCACAGTCTCGTCCATTGTTTCAGATCCTCGTCCGTTCGTGCTGAAATCTCCGATCATCAAGCGGAAGCTTGTTTCCTCCACATCCAAATCTTCCCTACTCTTGCGCCGTGCTCTTATCCTGACATCACACCCGATGTCGATCCATAGTCCATCTTGACACTTTCCGTTCCTCCGTTCCACCAACCTGCCCCATCTCCTTTCCCATGCACAAACGAAAGGCGCCCAGCGCTCCGCCTCGCACCAAGAAGTCCCGTACGCGATCGGGCTGCTTCACCTGCCGCGACCGCCACATGAAATGCGACGAGCAAATGCCCGTGTGCCAAAACTGCATCAATGGGAAAAGAAAATGCTACCGGGGCGTTCGTCTCAACTTCACTTCTTACACACTTTACGACCCGCAAGAGGATTCAGGAGCGCCGCCGTTCCCGCTCACGCCGCCGTTCCGCATCTTGGACCAGTCCATTGCGGTGCTGGCGCTCTATGAAAACGGCGACTCGCGCTACCGCCCGTACTTGGGCCTCCACGAGCCGCGCGACTTGGCCGACGCCGAGCAGTACTTGCGCCAGGAATTGGGCGCCCCGCGCCCTCCCGCCCCGTCGGTCGCGCGCACGCCCAGCTTCTCGCCCGCCAACGTGGGCGCGCTGCTCACCCACGATTGGGGCGCACAAAGCATGTTTCTCAGCTTGAGCGACAATGTGATTTTGGAAAACTACGACATCAAAAACTTCTTGATGAACCCGCCGCTGGTGCTCCCGCTGTCGCTCCCGCACGATCTGCAGGCCGACCAGAACCCGCTCCCGCCCACGTTTTTCTCCGACTCGGCGTTGGCCTCAGACACCATCGACGCTGACGCGGTGGTTTCCGTGCTACAGACGCAGAACTACTGCTGGCTCCTCGACCTCTTCAACGACTTGTCCCTCTGGAAAAGCGTCGTGCCCCACTACTGCATCCGCGCCGTCCAGAGGGCCACCGACCAGAACCCTGGTTTTCTTCTCGACTGCTTGCTTGGGTGCAAAGAACACACCTCCGACCGCCGCATCTTGCACAATGCCCGCCAGCAGCTTGAGCACTGGTATCCGTTCGAGGTGACCGAGGTCTCGCCGGCGTCGTTCGCCGCGTTCGAGCGTCTTTTGCTCAGCATAGTGCTTGTCACGCTCAGCGTGCTTCTTCGAGCTACAAAGCCCTCCTTCAAGTTCACCACTCAGTTCCAGATGGTGCTCGCCAACCAGGGCCTCCTATTGCATAAAGTGGCGGCGCTATATTGCCGCATTCCGCCATCCACCATGAAAAGACTTCCTAGCATGTTGCTCACGATTGCGTCGTTCCAGGCGATGGTGGTGCTCCGGCTCTTCATGAAAAAGCACATCCGTGCCAGCGCCCCCGATTACAGTTTCCCGGCTTTCGACTCGTCACTCGACCCGCTCAAAATGCGAATATCGCTTGAGCCGCAGCATTTCCCTAGCCTCGGGTATTTTTTCACCCCGACCCCGTTCGAGATTGCACACTTGAACGACGACTTTCGGGACTTCGACTTGCCGTGCGAAAGCCCGGATCATGTTTCCGACTCCAGTAAGCTCCGACGTGTGGTGTGGAGCTTGGCACGGCTCGAGCTAAGTCTTGAGGGCTACATCATGAACGTGAACGAGCACTTCTCGCCACTGCATCGCGAGGAAGAACATTTCGCCGGCTCGACGCTCATTCCGAGCGAACAATGCATTGCTATCCATATCCTCAGCAAACAAGTGGAAAAGTTGTCGCCAGGCTCTGATCTCAGCAGGCACAGCTCCAACATAATATTGCATGAGATCTTTGACAAAATCAATTCATCAGCCATGTCGCCCGACGCCAAGGCCAAATGGCAGGCCCATTTCGGATGGAATCTCGACTACGATCTTTGACCAGGACTTTAATTTTTCTTCTTCCAAAAGAGACAAGACAAAAGCTTGTAATGTTTACGAAATAGAGCGGCTGTAGTGCAGTCGGACAACAGGAAATAACTCACGTACCCTTCTCCTATTGCAATGAAGGTGTACAGTCTCTGCACATACAGACTAATCTGACTTTGACGACATAAAAGTATTCAGGCCAAACAGCTGAACCAGTTCCTACCATGGGCTCCGGAACAGAAGTTTGTGTACGTTTAAACAATCAATTTCTGTGTATTCTAAACCTGTCATTTTCATGAGTGTTGACCTTTTCATTACGAGAGGTGCCATAGAGTTTCGAAATGCCCAATCTTAGTCTTTTTTTGAGCTTTGAAAAGCCCTTCCCAAAAAAAGAGTGGTCTCTATTGGTTTTCCCGCTCAATTGCAGAATTATGGCTCCATTGGTTTTGATGCTTGGGTTGAATAAAAAACCGTAGAGACTGTACATGCACTTTCCACATTCTTGACACGCCCTCCAACGAAGTATGCACACCTGCGTCGCACTTGGCGCATGCCCGCTTATTACTGCATATGTACTATGCATGGCTTGTGACCCCCATTCTCGGTTTAAAGGATTTCTCGTGAAAGACACTAAATACATGCCAGAGATAGGGACATATCTACACTTTTTTGTGCGGTTTTTGTGCCCTTCCAAGGCCATTCATATGTAAATAGATACTTTTTTTCTCTCAATTGATCAAGTCTTTATTCATGCTTATCTTGTATGAGCCGTATCAGATTCGTATTATTCTGACCTAGGCGATTTACAATTTTTCATCAACCTTCATAGTGCACCTAGCATATTCGATGTAAATCGAAAGCTACACCATCAAAGTGTTTATGGTGCAACAATCTTATTTAGCATACATCTGTTGAAGCCATTGGCTTATTATAGCCTGAAGAATGAACTCGTAATACTAAAATTTGGTTGTGTTAAAGTCTAGTGTTTTAGCTACAAGACTCTTCAGCCAAATCAATAGAGTATCAAGTTATTCTAGGTGATAAATCCAATAAGGACAATACGTAATGGCCGATGATGTAAACGCTGTGCCCAAAACTCCTTAGTGGTCAAAAGTATTAATCAAAGGATTTAGAAGAGTTATTCCTCTCCACACATGAAAGCAGTTGGTGAAACTGGGGACTTTTTGGGACATGGATCTGTCACTCGTTGCATTTCTTCTTTATTCTGAGGAGGGGCCGCAAATATCAGGGCCAGGACACTTGTAAGCTGGACAGCAGAGTCCAACTAAAGTAAATGGAAGATCGAGTTTTCGGTGATTAGAACATGACAAAAGAATGTGGCATTACAGCTATATTCATCATGATCAAGAAAATGCATTGGACCGTATCTTTCGTTGTGTTAGTTGTTATATGCTCATTTAGAAGTGGGTAGAATGTAGAATAGGAGTATTCTTGGGCTCACACAATGGCCAAGACGAAGTATGCCAAGTGAGATGCGTCGAATTAAAATGCTTGACACATGGCAAATGCTTCTGTGCCACATATACAAAGGTAGACAGTTTTTCTGATTCTAGGAACCCAACGCCTTGACTTCGAACAATTTGAATGGAGCCCAATTGGGCCAACATTCATCATCCGTTTACTGAAGACCATAAGAAACGAGATAAATCATCAGACAACTCGAAAGAAAATGTGCTGAATTTGAAACGGAAGAAAATCAGTCAATATGAAAGGTCCAGCATATATACTGATCCAATGGAGAAATGTATAGCAGAGCGATCCAATGAAAAAATGTATAGCTTTGGCCTCAAAGTCCTCTTCAGCGAACTTTCAAAAAGGGATGGTACACACATCAAAGCTTCAATTCAACCTTAATCTGCAAGTTCTGCAAGTTCGTATCCTCATCGCCAATGCATGAAAAGTATTAGAAAAGTACTAGAATCATGCATGGGCCGAATTGAGCCGGATATACGAAAGAGACCCCTAATTTCCAGAAGCTTTTCTCGATCACAACGGTACTCATCCATTAACCACATTCTAGGTCGGGTACAAGTCCCAAAACACGGCCCATTGCATATGTGGAAAGCATCAACGTATACTAGACCTTGAAAAAAAAAACATACGACTGGTTTCTCGTAAACACCTTGACTAAATTTATCCAACAAGAGGTTTTTAGTAAAAATTGACTGTGTCAATTCTTAAATCTGCATAACTATTTTTGCCATTTATAGAATTTATGTTTTCTAAACAAGTCCGCTTCATCTTTCCAACCAATGGGAAAAAACATCATTCCATTTATGCAACTATAGTCTTAAATCTTCTTTTAGTTTGTTTCGAGTAGCAATCTTCCCTCGGTGATATTTCGCCGCCCCCAGTTTTGCTATCAGTTATGCATGAGTTATGCACGAGTTTTTCTATGACCTATTTCCTCTAACACTAAAGGATTACAGAAGTCTTCACAGCTATAAGAATATTGTTAATGAACGACAATTCGTCTTTCGAATTGTCAAAAGTCATGTCTTGCTTGGACTGACTCAAACAAAGTAAGACCGTGAGATACTCGAGGTTGTTTTTTTTTATATTTATTTTGATATAGAAAGTTATTCCCCTGAAGATATCTGGGCCACAGCAATGGTGAAAGGTTTTTGGCTCTAGCCAATTTGGTCTTCACGAATGAAACACATTTAATTAAAACCGACCTCAAGACCCATAGCCATCCCACTTACTGTGTATGAAATGTGTGGCTTGAGCTTATCTACCTCCATAAGCCTTAACCGTGCATACTACTAGCGTATATTTTCCTTATTTGAAACTTGAAGTTGTGGTTTGTTTCGGTTTTGGTGTAGCTATTGGCAACATTGAAATGGAAAGCCCGCTTAATGGCTTCGATGTATTCATGTTTGCGGTAATAATGCATCTGACCAATGCATGATATGAATGGTTTCTTCAAATGATCAGCCTATTTCATTGCGAGCTCATATCCGTGGCGTGAGTTTACAAAACTGTAATGCAAGATCGGCTTCTCCAGAGTTATGCACTTTGTCAGCTTTTTTCGTTCTAGACTCACCAAGTTATGTTGATGAGCCCGTTTTCGCTTAGTAAGTGCATTCAGTACAAAGCCGAAGAGTCTAGCTTTCAATAAAATGTCGTAGGTTCTACCATTGCCGGAACACCGACATTCACGCTGGAACTATTGACAAGAACATCTAATACCAAAGTTCGAAGGCAGTTTCTTGTTCGTCTTGGCTTGGGAATTGAACAGCTATGTTGACGGATTGACACAGACAGTACAAACTAAAGTCGATTCAATGGCCACAACTTTTGCTGAGCTATCCTGGGCGCAATACGATGAGTGGAATTTCTACATTCTAGTCTTCTGTATCCATCACAGTTACTCCCACACAACCGGAAACTGAAATTATTGACTTCCACATAATGACTGCCAACTGTGGTCACCAATTATAGTTCGTCTGCCCTTTTGGTTGTCCAGCGTCTAAGAGTCTACCAATTGTTTAAGTCTCCTTTCGCTGTTCGTACATAGTCTTTTGCCTCGTTATTCTTTGTCTCGTTATTCTTATTTTTGTTACTCGTATTCTCGTCTTTTTCGTTATTTAACTTGTCATTCTTTATTCTATTGCTTCGTTTTTACTTCTTTCCTGCCTCTCTTGTTCCCTTGTCCAGTCTCATCTTTTGCACGTTTCGGTTACCCGACGCCGGTGCCACGTGACCTCACAATCCACACCTACTTGTCCGAAAATTTTTCCCACCTCTTTTTACTCCCCCACCACCATGTCCCAAGGTACTCTTTACGCTAACGAAAGAATCAGAGCGATTTTCCCCAAGGCTCTCATCAAGCACTTCAACTTGGACGTCAAGATCGTCGACCCAGCCAGCGACAAGGCCACTTTTGACAAGTACTTCCCTACTGGCAAGGTTCCAGCTTTTGTTGGACCAAAGGGCCTTAAGTTGACCGAGGTTTTGGCCATCACCCTTTACTGTATGTATTAACCCAGCACGGCTCCGGCAAAATGATGAGAAACCTTTTTTTTTATACAGTTATCCCTGTCTTAACAAACTATGTCGAGGATCTTCAATCTGAACAATACCAAAGCGCCACAGCCCAATTGAGTTGAGAATTTGTACTAACATCCAGTGTTGAGCCTCACCGACGACAAGAAGTTGTTGGGCAAGAACGCCACCGAGTACGCCGAGATCATCAGATGGTGCTCCATTGCCAACTCTGAAATCTTGCCAACTTTTGCCAATGCTTTCAAGCCAATGAGCGGTGCTGCTCCATACAACAAGAAGCAGGTTGACGACGCCTTGGCCTACGCTGCCAAGCTCGACGCTGTTGTGGAGGCCAAGTTGACCAACTACACCTTCTTGGTTGGCGAAAGATTGACTCTTGCCGACTACTTTGCTGCCTGCTTGTACGTCAGAAGCTTTGAGAAGTTCTACGGCACCGAGTGGAGAAAGGCCCACCCAGCCATCACCAGATGGTTCAAGACCGTCACTGCTCAGCCATTCTTGAAGAACGTCTTGGGCGACATTGTGTTGGCCGAGAAGCCTTACGAGTACACTCCTCCAAAGAAGGAGAAGAAGGAAAAGGCTCCAGCTGCCAAGAAGGAGGCTGCTCCTAAGAAGGAGAAGGCTCCAGCTGCCGAAGCTGCTCCAGCCGAGGCCCCTAAGCCAAAGCACCCATTGGAGTTGTTGGGCAAGCCAAAGCAGCCTCTTGACGAGTGGAAGAGAGTCTACTCCAACGAGGAGACCAGAGAGACCGCCATTCCTTGGTTCTGGAAGAACATGTACAACCCAGAGGAATGGTCCTTGTGGAAGGTTGACTACAAGTACAACGACGAGTTGACTTTGACCTTCATGTCCAACAACTTGGTTGGTGGTTTCTTCAACAGATTGTCTGCTTCCACCAAATACATGTTCGGTACCTTGGTTGTCTACGGTGAAAACAACAACAACGGTATCACTGGTTTCTTCTTGGTTAGAGGCCAAGACTACGCCCCAGCCTTTGACGTTGCTCCAGACTGGGAGTCTTACTCTTACACCAAGTTGGACGGTTCCAACGAGGAGACCCAGAAGTTCATCAACAACATGTTGGCCTGGGACGAGCCTGTTGAGGTTAACGGCGAGAAGAGAGAGATTGCCGACGGTAAGGTTTTCAAGTAAGTGTATTGTTAACAATTTTCTTGCTGAATCAGTAGCTACATAGGGTAGGCCAGGGCATTTCTGCACCGAGGAAGCAGGTTCTTAATCGGAGCACAGGACCTTCTAAATAAAGACAATAGACAGGTTCAACCCTAAACAAGTTTTGGAGTGTTTTTGGAGAAGTGTTTCGGAGTTTTAGATTAATGTTTTGGAGTAGTGTTTATTCCAAAGGATGAAGCTACCCGAGCAATCAAGGTTTCTGTATTCGTTTGTTTTTCATACAGACTAGAGATGTTGAAACTTTGAAGGAGTATTGCTTCCACGCTGTCTTCAGGCAGATGCGAATATCATTATGTTTTTCTACCAGTTCGTCCGAAGTTCTTTATAATGCAGTGTGAAAATCGATTCCTCCCAGTTCATTTCTAGTACACGAACTCGCCTTAAACAGAGATTAAAGTGGAAAACATCATTTGTCAAGCAATTCTCTGTCTAGCTTGCTCAGTCTAAATCTTATTTAACAGTAGTATATGAGAATGCACCATCTTCGCACTACAGAAAAGACTAGCGACACATCACCTTAATTAGGCTAAAATAAATAATACCAACAAAACCCTGGCAGTCTATAAAAACAGCAAGCTACGCCATTTTCTTGAAAACCAGATAAATCTGGCCCCCAGAACATTTGTCTGGCCATCACTGTTCTAATCAAGATCCGTTCCTGCTGAGAGTACCTGTATCGCGAAAACGTCCACCAAATCAAAAGAGCTTTTTGCTTTTTTTTTATCCCAGACGATGCTCTCGAGACAGCAAGTGATCCGAACCATACGAAGGAAACCGCTCAACTTGGTGGCGTGCGTTTCGCTCGTGTTGGTGGTGTACTACTTTTTTTTCTCTGGCCTGGACTCCAAGGCGTTACATTCTTCCACCAAGCCCAAATACTCGTACAAGAAAAAGGGAACGGGCTGGTTTGGCAATGGCAACAAGGACTCGCCTATTTTGCGCAGCTTGCCAAAAAACCACATCAGCCACTACGACTTGAACATGTTGGAGGCCAATGCCAAGGCTAAGGGCCACGATGGTGAAGTTTTGATTTTGACTCCCATGAGCAAGTTTTTGCCCGAGTACTGGGACAACTTGAACAAGTTGACGTACGACCACAACCTTATTCTGTTGGGCTTTATTTTCCCCAGAACGCCCGAGGGCGACGAAGCATTGAAGCTGTTGGAAAAGGCTCTCAAGCAGACACAAACATCCAAGGGAAAGTTCAAAAAGGTGACGCTTTTGAGACAGGACACGCCGTCGTTGGAGCTGCAGTCGGAAAAGGACCGCCATGCGTTGAAAGTCCAGAAGGAAAGACGCTCTATGATGGCTTTGGCCCGTAACTCGCTTTTGTTTTCCACCATTTCCCCTTCCACGTCTTGGGTGCTCTGGTTGGACGCTGATATCGTCGAAACTCCGCCAACACTTCTTCAGGACATGATAGCACACAAAAAAACCCGTCCTTTCTGCCAATGTGTTCCAAAGGTTTGTAGAGAACGGAAAACCACAGATCCGAGGCTACGACTTCAACAACTGGATCGAGTCGGAAGAAGGCTTGGCGTTGGCCGCCGGAATGAAAGACGACGAGATTATTGTTGAGGGCTACAGCGAGATTGCCACGTACAGACCATTGATGGCTAAATTCTACGACGAAAAAGGCGCCGTCAATGCAGAAATGGCTTTGGATGGTGTTGGAGGAGGAGCCGTTTTGGTCAATGCCGACGTGCACCGTGACGGAGCCATGTTCCCTTCATTCCCCTTCTACCACTTGATTGAAACTGAAGGTTTTGCTAAGATGGCGAAAAGATTAGGCTATGAAGTTTTCGGTTTGCCCAACTACTTGGTGTTCCATTACAACGAGTAGGTGTATAGATTATTCGTATGTATGATGGCGGAGAGTAAACAAATTTCAAGATGCCTAGGAAAAGATGTTGCAGCGTACTGAACACAACCTTCAATGTACAAACTGACGGGATTGAATAGTAGTTTTCATGTTCTCTAAATATACATTCATGTGGATCAAGTAGGTGCTTATCACTGATTGCCTTATGCCACAATCTTAGCATTTATTAAGAATCTCGGTCCTGTTTTGCTATTTTGACTTTCCAAAAAAGTTTAAGGAACTATCTGGTAACTGGTCTCTCCAATGGTCGGTTTTTCGTGCTAGTGCCTCATTTTCTACAAAATTCTCTCTCCTAGTTCTTTGCAATTAGAAATTATGAACGGGTATAGAACACGCCTTTTGTTGGGCCAATGTATGGAATGAAAATTCGTTCATGATGAGTAGGTTACTACTAAAGTTAAACTCCTGGTCCAACCTGGTGAGTGTACCGAATTAAACAAATTGAGTGATTCTTGAAGAATCGTTGTAATTAATAGAACTTATAATGAGGCGACATCATTTGGATTTTCTCTTCCACCAGAAGATAAAATGAAGTGATGGTGACTCAAACAATCCAGGATTGTGAGGCTATCAACGTAAAGATATCTGCGGTTTATAAACACAAAAATCGAAAAGCGAAAATCACCTATAGAACGGTCTTTCAGGGATTAGAATGCTTTCACCAAGGGGTTAAGTTGTTATATTGTTGTTTTCGTACGATTGTGGCAAGTGCAGAAGTAAGTATGAATTGAGCCCTTCTTTTCGAATTCTTACAAGTACCTGGCAACTTACAGTATTAATTCACATATGCGTTTTCATCTTCCTTCTCTGTAGTACAGAGTTACTATAATCACCGATATCACTAAGCGTACAAAGCATGATTTATCAAGGAGTCAATTAATCCACAAAGGACGAATATGATTACTTGGTTACACAAGACTAACTAAGTAATCGGACCCAAAGGGTATTCTGCGATTCAAATGTGACCGCGATATTTTGCTAGTCTGTATGTTTAAGCCAACAACAAGAAAAGCTTAGGCTGGACTTTTGTAGCCTATGATTTCTCGTATTGCATTGCCTGTCTATATTGGGGCGATGCGCGGAATATAACTAAAGATCAGACTGGCCTTAAGATTAGAGGTTTTAACCGGGAAAACCAGAGAGACTTTAAAAGCAACATCGATTTTTGCATCGTTACCATTCATCTAAATTTTTTTTTAATTCTTTTCTCCTTTTCGTCTACACTTGCCTGTTCCCCTTCCTCCTATTCTTCCCATCTCTATCTCATCTCATCTGCTTTCTTTTTCGCGGGGAGTGCGAAAAAATTGAAATGGCTTTTTCTCATCGCATCTCATTTTCATTTCCTTAGCACTTTTCTTCTCCAATGCAACTTACGTGGAAAGACATTCCCACCGTGCCCACGGCCAACGATATGTTGGATATCGTGCTCAATAGAACCCAGAGAAAAACCCCTACGGTCATCAGACCCGGGTTCAAAATCACCCGTATCCGGGCGTTTTACATGAGAAAAGTCAAGTTTACCGCTGAAGGTTTTGCTGAGAAGTTCACAGACATGTTGGCGGGGTTCCCCAACATCAACGACGTGCATCCGTTCCACAGAGACTTGATGGACACGTTGTATGAGAAAAACCACTACAAAGTGTCTTTGGCTGCTGTGTCCAAGGCGAAAACTTTGATCGAGCAAGTGGCCAGAGACTACGTGCGTTTGTTGAAGTTCGGCCAGTCGTTGTACCAGTGTAAGCAGTTGAAAAGAGCCGCTTTGGGTAGAATGGCCACCATCACAAAGAAATTGAAGGACCCCTTGGTCTACTTGGAACAGGTGAGACAGCACTTGGGCCGTTTGCCTTCCATCGACCCCAACACAAGAACGTTGCTTATCTGCGGCTACCCTAACGTGGGAAAATCGTCCTTCTTGCGCTGCATTACCAAGGCCGACGTCGAGGTCCAGCCTTACGCTTTCACCACCAAATCCTTGTACGTGGGTCATTTTGACTACAAGTACTTGCGTTTCCAGGCAATCGACACCCCGGGAATCTTGGACAGACCAACCGAGGAAATGAACAACATTGAAATGCAGTCCATCTACGCCATTGCCCATTTGCGCTCGTGTGTGTTGTACTTCATGGATTTGTCCGAGCAGTGTGGCTTTTCCATCGAGGCTCAGGTCAAGTTGTTCCATTCCATCAAACCATTGTTTGCCAACAAGTCTGTCATGGTTGTCATGAACAAGAGTGATATCATCAAGGTCGAGGACTTGGACGAAGACAAACAGGCCCTTTTGAAAACCATTTCTGACACGGCCGGCGTTGATGTCATGCATACTTCCTGTTATGAGGAGGAGAACGTGATGCAAGTGCGTAACCAGGCGTGTGAGAAGTTGTTGACTGCCCGTATTGAGCAGAAATTGAAGGGCTCGGCCCGTGTCACCAATGTGTTGAACAAAATTCATGTTTCCAGACCACAGCAACGTGACGAAACAGAGAGACCTGCTTTCATTCCTGAAGGAGCTAAAGCATTGGCCAAGTACGACCCAGAAGATCCAAACAGAAGAGTTTTGGCCCGTGACATTGAGAGCGAAAACGGCGGAGCCGGTGTGTTCAATATCAATCTCAAAGAGTTCTACATGTTGGAAGATGACGAGTGGAAAAACGATGTCATGCCAGAAGTGTTGGACGGCAAAAACGTCTACGACTTTTTGGACGCCGACATTTCGGCCAAGTTGCAGGCTTTGGAAGAAGAGGAAGAACGTTTGGAAGCCGAAGGTTTCTACGACTCCGACTCTGATGTGCAAGACGAGGATGCAGAAGAAGTTCGGGAAAAAGCCGAGTGGATTCGTAATAAGCACAAGGTTATGGTGCAAGATGCTCGTAACCGTAAATCGTTGAAGAACAAGTCGATGATGCCACGTGAACACATCAAGAAGACATTCAGCCAGATGGAAGACCACATGTCTTCCTTGGGCCACGACACAAGCGCATTGAAATCCCGCACCAAGAAGGCTTCCAGCACATTGAGCGGCGTGGACATTTTGCGTAAGAACCAAGGCTTGGGCAAGAAGGTGCAGAAAATCAAGGCGCCAGTGGGCCAGAGCGATCGTTTCAACGACGGTGTGGCCGATGGAGCTGTGCGGTCGCAGGCTGAGAGAGTGGCCAAGTTGCACAGAAGAGAGAGAAACAGAATGGCTCGCCAAGGTGAGGCGGATCGTCATGTTAGTGCGTCGATGCCAAAGCACTTGTACTCTGGTAAGAGAGGCTTTTCGGCCGACCGCCGTTAGTGTATAATATGAATCAAGGCAATACAGACTGCGATGTAGAATACTGAGATGGTGTGTTTACTAGAGTGACGAAATGTATTTCAAATACTAGGGTTGGTGTCTGCTGCTTGTATCAAGAGTTGTAGACGCTAATTGAAGACCGATTAGCGATTTGACCATGATGGAATTATCCACTGTCAATATCTGGATTTTGATAACTCATATAGTGTATCCTCATGAGAAGGCAAATTGAACCCACTGATCTCAAATCATCTCTCTCTCATTTTTCATGCTTAACTCGAGATCTCCAAGAAATTAACCGGAAGCACACTAGAATTAGACTGTTGAGAATGACTAGAAAGTATGAAACGCCAATGTTATATGAACGAAAAAACTACTGACAGAGATGGTTAAATCTCCTAGATTTACAAACTTTTATCGAAAGCTTCAATCTTCAGCCATAGTTGGTCAAGAAATGAACTTGATGTGAGAAGAAAACAAAGCACACTAGATTTTTGAGCTACTAGTCGCAAGAAATGTAGGCCAAGAAGTCAAAAAAAGTCAAATAAGTATACCATCCAAAAGTCTAATGTGGACCATCAAAAGTCAAATGTGGACAGTCAAATGTGGACAGTCAAATGTCGAAAGTCAAAGGTGGACAGCAAATGTGGACAGTCAAATGTGGACCATTCATAGTCAAAAATGGTGCGCCTGATCCACAATACAATTAAACGAGACGGCAAAGATATGCGCATATTGTCCTGACTCATAATCTACTAGACTAAAGCCACACTTAGCGCACTCTATTTTCTTCTGTTTTAAAGTTTGCTTTTCAACGACAGAAAACGACATTCCTTGGCGAAAAACCGTACTTCGCCAAACATTTCTCTTGATTCGTATCATTCAGATTCACCACCGTGCTTATCTGAAGGTGCAGGACTGTGGCTATATGGAACTTGGCTACATTTCCACAGAACGGCTGGAAAAAAGAGGGAAAAAAGGGCTATGCCAACTATGGCAGTCAGAAACCCCAAATCGGCTTTAAAAAGAACGAAATCGCCGCCTCATGTGCCAAAGTGTGGGTATTCCAGATACAATTCATGTACGTCCTGCACGATCCGATTCCTTATCTAATCGTAGCTCCACATCCTCAAACTCAGAAGTCTTATCTTTTGCTTTTTTTCGATACACAGGCTCATTTTCACAGTTTTCTTTCCATTCGTCGCCCAAGCTATTTTGTACTGGAAAGTTCCACTGCACACATCAACGCTACTCTCTTGCTAACTCTTTTTTTTTCAACTGAAATCCCACCCGCCACATTTTCCCAAAATGAGTGGGCGCCTGGACGTTCAGTTTCTTAGTGTAAACCACAACAAATACATTCCGTTTTCCCAAGATCCCAACAAGGCTGCAAAAAGAACAGCAGCCATTCTGGAAGCGTCTCCGGCCGATCCCAGAACCGCCAAGGGTTCCCAGGCCTTTGATCTCTCGTCGATTTCAGCCCAGTTGCCTCCAAACACGGGCCCGCCGGGTCTCGTGCCTGTAAATGGCACGGGTTCGAGCGCCAACTCCAACAAAAACTTGCGCCATGTCCCGTGCAAGTTTTATCGCCAAGGTATTTGCCAAGCTGGTAATTCGTGTCCGTTCAGCCATAATTTGGATGGGACGTTGGCCGCTGATAAATTACCTTGCAAATACTTTCAGCGCGGTAACTGCAAATTTGGGCTCAAGTGTGCTTTGGCTCATATATTGCCTGACGGAACTCGCGTCAACTCCAAAAGTGTCTATCGCCGCAATGAAAGAGAAAAGTCCCAGTCTAACGGTAAACTGACATACAACAATTACGCGAGTGCTTTCTCCAACGGGAACTATGCCAACAATGCAAACTATGGACACAACACTAACCAAAACTATGCAAACGGAAACACCCGAACCGCATCGGAAATGCCTGGACGGAAAAGCTCTTTCCCTGAATCTGGAACACTGACTAGTGTCAGTTCTTTTACCGAATCTTTCAGCTCGAATGTTTTCAGTGATTATCATTCCGCCAGCTATTCGATATATCCGGCAGAAGACGATTCATCCCTCCCAATTCGGATCAGTTCGCAAGGTTCGTTCCTGCTGAATGGATTTCCAGCTGTAGGCCAGAACTCTGGTTCTAATTCAGTACAGAGCCCCTTCGTTTCGTCTTTGAGAACAGGAAATGGTGCCTTCGGCTCCTATAACGAAAGACCATCTCCCTTGAGCCGGAATCTCAGTCTGAAGTTGCAGAAACAGTCGATACTTGTGCCGTCCCAGATGTCACTTTCTTCTCTGGGATCAAGTGATTTGACTATGGGGTTGTCTTTCCACTCTCCACAAACACAATTCAGTACACCATATTCGAAACCTTTCTCTCGCATTAACACAAGCACATCACCTCTAAACAGCTTTTTACCAGAAACAACAGATTCGGCCATTGCAGACGAGAGCGAATCTGAGGACGATAATGTGTTTTTCGAAGATTACGTTCCCGCGTCCCTTGGAAACTTGATATTAACACCGCAAGAACGCCAGAGACGGAATTCTAGATCGCAGTCGGGTACTTTATTGGTACGGCCGACGGTAGTTCAGGCCGAAAAAACTCACGTGGCCTCAGAAGATGTTTTCTTAATGGATTGAGAATAAAACAGGCGGAAATGAACCGTCATGAGAGGAATCAGGACAACGAAGAGACATAAAAGTAGACCTGCTGGCAGGAATATTGGGAAAAACAAGGCAGGAAAAAGGTTGGAAATGCAGAGAGACAACAAAACCAGTTCAAGAGACTAAGACTATGAAAAAAATTGAAGACCAAAAGCAAAAGGCACAAAAACTCCAAAACGATAAAAAAAAAAAGTCGACGCTTGTCATTATGTTTATGTACAAAATTTAAATGGTATTTACATTACTTCCTTGGGTTCTGGCGGAGCACGGTAAATGTCTGCGCACATCTTTTGGAAGTTCTCCAAGGCCCTGACATTTTCCATTTCCAACTCCGGCTTGACCCCCCGCACGTGGTCGCTCTCGAACAACGTCCCCACAAGGACCAACTCGTCTGTATATGGGTTGAGTGTAAGCACAATGTAGTCCGTCACCAGGCGCTCTGTTTTTGACTGGGCATCTCCGGTAATGACCATCTCCTGTCTAGTCTGGACCTTGACCACAAACTGGATGACGGCGGAAATATCGTTGCTGTCTGGGATCGGGGTGAAACTCACCAACTTCGGGTTCCCTTCGATCTTCTTGAGGTTCCACTCCAACTTTGACCGGGCTGGGAATGTCAAGGCTCTCGTGGACAACGACTTGACCACCTCGATTCCAGCAATGCCGTCCAACTGCGATTGCAAGTACGACTGTCTCTGTGCCCGTGGAAGCGAGCAGGCGGCGGCAAATATCTTGTTGGTTTTCACGTACTTATCCACAGCCAATTCTTTCCAGTCGTTGAAGCGCAACTTCAACTTGGTGTCGGACTTGAACTTCGACACACTAAACGTGTTGAGACCAAAAGCACCGATTCTTCTGAGAAGCAACTTGGGCCACGACGTGATGGGGCAGTTTCTGAATTTGGGCGGAACATAGAAGTCGGCCAACACGCCAACTGCTTTGATTGGCACCATGCTGATATCGGGCGCTTTTTGTTTCTTTTTTTTGGGAGCGTCAGCATAGCCACGGCTTATTATGCGAGCGAAGGACGCTGCGGCGATTGGTGTGCGGGCCGGCACGGCCAATATGCTTCTGGCAAGAATCATTGGTTTTGGAGTCGAGTAGTTGAAATTTTCGCATACAAAGTGCACACCCGTACATCTGAACCATAGAGTGCCAAAATTGCCCTATTGATTCAACTGAGTGATGTCCAACTATGTAACGAGAATAATTTCATTTCTCCAATTAGCGATCGAAAATTCACTTTTGTATTGATAAAAGCGTAAAGGCTGGAACAATCAACAGTAAAAATCAGCCCACCAGTGAATGGTTGTAACCATCTCGAAAACTATCAAGTTCTAAACTTGACAAGTCGAGATTTAGGAAATACCGATGTGGTTGGTCTACCGGAGATTCAAGCAAACTTCTGCTTGCTGGTTCTACTTTTCGTCCATAGTTAAACAAGAATAAACTAGACGGAAGAGTAATTTCAGAACCACAAAACTTGCATTACTGTGCTATTAGCTCTTTCCGCTGTCCTTGCTTGTACGGTTGATATTTGGAACATTTTAACACCACTTGTGGCTGGATTAAGACACATACGAGGACTTCGAAGATCAAAGGACTAAGAGTCTGGAATGAGAGGTTTGTCAATTACAATGGAAGTGCTTCAGAATATTGGCCACTGACAGGATAACACAGAACAATATTTGTCTTACTTTATGGTATCATGTTGAGGTCATGGATCTTTATTGTGATGAATGCAGCGGTAGATTCTGTTTTGTGCTGAAACTCGTGTGAACTATAGAGCGAAAAAGAGTCCAGTCCGGTCAATTCAGATAATTCGTCTATTCCAATTTCCATTCGAACGTTCAGTCTGTTACGTGGGGGTCATCAGAACGGAAGGGACCTTAGTATTTAAAAATGTTGCCCATGCTAGATCTGACAAGAAACCAGCTATCATAGCATTTTCATTCATGACTATGATAAACCTAGATGGTGCAGTTGGAATTACGTGGATCAAAGATCGTGTTCATTTGTAACGGATCTAGCCAAGGAAGAGGTTAAAGAAGAGCATTTGTGGACTGATGTTCCTCGTTCCATGCTTTTTACTCTTCAGAGTTGAGCCCATTCCATCTTTCGATTTGCCTACCACATACTTTCTATTACCCTTCATGTGAATTCTACTGCAGAGAGATTCCACCATTGAAACTTTGATAAGTGAAACATTCAGGTTACAATGTCAAAATTAGCGGAGAAAACATAATAGTTGAGTGTATGCCTTGTCGCTGGGTGAGAAATACACCTCTCAATCAAGATTGAGTACGATTGTTCCGAAGTCTGTTGCTCTGTGGTTACCTGACATATCAAGCCTCTTTTGACCACATATGATTCTTAAATCAGTCTATATTTTCACGATCACTCAATTAGGATTTCGATAGTACAAAACATGGCCAACTTTGAAAACGGTCAAGAAGCAACTTTTGTAATGTTACAGGGAGAGAAGAGAAGTTATCATCATTTTACAAATAGGTAAGAGTAAGAGAACACGAAGTGAACAACCTGACGACATTATCAATCTACCGGTCTAGAAACACACCTTATCATACAAGACGTCTAAGGTATACTGATAAGCCACGAAAGGATAATCATGACGGAAAACACCAAAATGAGGCTAAAACGCCTACTTAATATGTTTAGGGCAATTGCACATTTATGCCCAATTCAAAGGTTCTGAAATGAGTCTGAAAGTCCAGAGCCGCATTTGAGATAATGCACCTATAGCCGTTGGCATATCTAATCCACATAAGCAATGTCAGCCTTATCGCTGGTCTTATCAGTATCAGTGCGCATGCAACCCAAATCCATATTCCCCAAGAACAGCAGAGCTTGTCTTTAATTTGTGGCCAAGCCAAGCATAGGATACAGTAGAGCAGTAAACGGAGCAATATATGAAGCAACATGTCGGTTTAAGCCGTTTCCAGCGGTTTACGTTGTAAAATACAGAGATCAGTATGCTATCCAAAATAGGGAATGCAACATGGAACGCAATATTCGCGATAAGCTTATCGTGTTGCGGCTTCCCCTTTCAAGATGAGGTGCGAATTACTACTGAAAAGAACCGTGTTATGAGCCTCCACCATTACCCAATGGGGACTTTCGTGATGACTGACAGACGTCAAAGTCTGATTTGGACCTAGGTTTTGCCGTTTTCCTGATAAACGGGGCAGCACCAAAGTATGCAGTAAGAGCGGAACCCCAGCCCTCCTTTCTGTCCACGTTTAATAATACTACGCCAAAAATACCTCTTTTCGGGTTCGTTTCATTGGCCAAAGTGGCCAGCATCCTGCAGAATACCAAGAACGTGTTGTCCATCAAAAATGTGTCAGTCGGTGAATGTGCGCACCTGCCGAACTGGGATGGAAAAGCAATCACGAACAAAGCTCGACGGCCGTCCGGCCAAAGGGCCAGAATTTGCCAAAAAAGACAAACGCCGGGCCAAAATATCGCCGCGGCACCTCGACCAAACGCCAACTCATCTCGTCGGAGCAAAAATAATGCGGCATAAAGCAAGAGATGGGCATGCAGTTTAGACAAGCGTGCAGGGAAAAACCAGAGGCACAGAAAATCTAGAGCACCACCACTTGGCTCGATTTTTTGCGGGAAACACCCAGCCTCGTCCGATAAGCCAGAGAAACGTGGTGAGGATTGCACTTGTCCTCTTTGAGTTGGAAAGCAGAATCCAGCTGTGAAAGGTGCGTGTCCAGACCCTGCATGGCACATTGCAATGGTTCTTTGCACCTTTTTTGTCTCTTGTGTCCTGCGTCAGACATATCTTTACCATTTCGAGCACGGCGCTTTATCGTTCTGCGTCAGCATGCATATTCTTCAATGTTACGTACACGTTGGTATCCAAACCCATCATCCCCCACGCTGAAATAAAATGGCCGAAAAGTCTGCGGTGTTTTCAAAGGCTTCCCACAGGTTCTAAAACTTTTCAAGACTGCTTTCACCGCTTATTCACAAACCTTTCCTGCCATGTCCCAAAGAAGCTCTATCGATGGGCCAAGCGAAGAGATGAGCTCTGAAAAGGCCAGTTCCTTCGACAAAAACGGCTCCATCGAAAAAAACGGCTCCATCACAGGAGAAGAGGCCGTCACCACCACAGAAGACAAGAAATCCCGGCTGAATGCGAAGGTGACCGTCGCCTCGGTCGATTCTGTCGAAGAATTCAGCAGTGTGGGCTCGAACTCAACGCTGCAGAATTCTCGTGAATACTATCACACCAAAAGAACGTTGGAGGTGAGACATGTCAACCTTATTGCCATTGGTGGCTCCATTGGCACTGGTTTGTTCATCACTATCGGTTCGACTGGCTTAACAGAGGCTGGTCCTCTAGGCCTTTTGCTCGGGTATCTTTTCTGGACAGCCATCATCTTGATGTTGACGGTTTCCGTGGGCGAGATGGTGTGCTACTTGCCCATTGATTCGCCCTTTTTGAACATTTCCGGCCGTGTCGTGGACCCGGCTTTTGAGTGTGCTGCGTCCATCAACTTTTGGTTGATGCAGAGCTTGTACATTCCGTTTGAAATCACCGCCGTCAACGCAATGTTCCACTACTGGAAAGACGGCTACTCGCCTGCTATTGCCTTGTGTATCCAGATTGCCATTTACGCTGCGCTCAACATTTTCGTGGTCAAGGCATATGGAGAGTCTGAGTTTTGGCTTTCGCTTGGCAAGTTGATCTTGTGTATTTTGCTCTTGTTTTTCACTCTCATCACCATGTGTGGTGGTAATCCAAGACACGATGCTTTTGGTTTCCGCAACTGGAAGGCTGAAGGTGGACCCATCGCAGAGTTTTTGACTACAGGATCATCTGGTCGTTTCCACGGATTTATGGCAGGCCTCTTTTCGGCATGTTTCGTGGTTGTCTCGGCGGAATACCTTAGTATGACTGCCGGTGAAGCGAAAAACCCCAGAAAAACCATGGCTCTGGCCTTCCGCACGGTTTTGGCCCGTTTGGTGGTGTTTTACATTGGTGGTGCGCTTTCCGTCGGCATTTTGATCGCCTACAACGACCCCAACTACTTGAAGAGGGCATCAGACTCATCCGATGCCGCTGCTTCGCCATATGTTGCTGCCATGAACAACTTGGGCATCAGTGTTCTTCCTGATATTGTCAATGCTATTTCCATGACCTCGGCATTCTCTGCTGGCAACTCTTACACTTACTGCTCGTCTCGGACCCTTTATGCCCTTTCGCTTAAAGGCTTTGCTCCCAAGTTTTTCTCTCGCTGCACCAAGAAGGGTGTTCCAATCTACTGTGTGTTTGTTGCTCTTGCGTTTGCATTAGCATCCTTGATGCAGTTGGCCAGTACCGGAAACAAGGTTTTGAACTATACTGTTTCGTTATCAACAGGCTCTCAGGTTCTCAATTATGCTTTCATGAGCACAACATACTTGTTCTTTTACAGAGCATGTAAGGCGCAGAACATTAACAGGGACGGTTTCTCTTTCAAATCGTTCGGGCAACCATACACGTCATATGTGGCCACATTCTTTTTGTGGCTCATCACGTTGGTCTTGGGCTATACGGTTTTTATGCCTGGGCATTGGTCTGTGGATGCATTTTTGTACAACTATCTCATGTTGTTCATCGCTGTGGTAGCATTTTTTGTCTACAAGTTTTGGAAGAAAACAACATTCGTCAAACCCGAAGAGGCGGATCTTCGGACGGGGCTCGATGAAATCGAGGAGCACGAGTACCAGCTTTATGCGGAGATAGAATCAGGACAGAAAACCACACACGGGCTTCTTGACAAGATTTTGAGCTGGATTATGTAACTACACTATATATTAGAACAGGCGACCGGCCTAATAAAGGAATTTTTTCTCTTAGTCAAAGGCTTCAGCAATTTAATGTAGTGATTTTATGCGAAACAAGTACAATAATGCCCGCATTGAAGTACTGAGATCTGGATTTACCGGAACTTTCAGTGATTTTCACAGGGAGCAAGTAAAGTCTACTTGACGTTGCTCCGCTTGATGAGGCTGAAGAATGATTTTATAGCTACGAACAAGGCCCAAATATGTCCAGAAAGGAGGACGAAAAGAGTAAAACATGTTAAGAGCAGTAGATATGGCATCTCAGTCACAACAGCTTGAAAACGTTAAAGTTTGAACAACAGCGTAAGTGCTTCAAGGCCGACTGGAGCAAAGTATTAAAACAGCCCTTGAACAAAGAGGCAACCACTTATTCAAGTCTTCTGCTCATCGCGCAATCAAATCAATATCTGAGCAGATACTTCCACGCAATTTTCTGCAACCGAGTCTTCATAGAACTGCCTTCGAACCGTTGATTTGAAACGTCTTGAACCGTTGAACCACCTTGAACCGTCTGCTTTACTTCTTCTCCGATTCATTCTCTGTTGAGTTTTCCCCAGCTCTCCTCTTCTCTGCACACCCTCATCATCTTTCAACCACTTCTTTTCCACATGCCCTCTCTCCCACCTGAAAAAGAACGGTTTCTCCAGTGCTGCAGCGACATCGCCAGCGAGCTTGTGGCGCTGCTCAAGTCCAACAAGGACACAAACCTCAACGGCGTGGTGTCCCGCCACTCGAAAAAGCTCAAGCTCAAACACCAGCCGCGCTTGACCGACATCATCGCCGCCATTCCAGACCAGCACAAGAAGTACTTGCTTCCCAAACTCAAGGCCAAGCCTGTGAGAACAGCGTCCGGTATTGCTGTCGTCGCCGTCATGTGCAAGCCGCACCGCTGTCCCCACATTGCATACACGGGAAACATCTGTGTCTACTGCCCTGGCGGACCAGACTCGGACTTTGAATACTCCACGCAGTCATACACGGGCTACGAGCCCACGCTGATGCGGGCCATCCGCGCCCGCTACGACCCGTACGAGCAGGCCCGCGGGCGGATCGACCAGCTCCGGCTGTTGGGCCATCTGATCGACAAAGTCGAGTACATTGTCATGGGCGGCACCTTCATGTCGTTGCCCGTGGAGTACCGCGAGCACTTCATTGCCCAGTTGCACAACGCCTTGTCCGGATACTCGGGCACCGACCTTACTGAGTCCATCCGTTTTTCCCAGCAGGCGCAGACCAAATGTGTCGGCATCACCATCGAGACCAGACCCGACTACTGCACGGAAACACACTTGAGCGACATGTTGACGTATGGCTGCACCCGTTTGGAGGTCGGTGTTCAGCTGGTCTACGAAGACGTGGCCAGAGACACCAACAGAGGTCACACGGTGAAGGCCGTTTGCGAAACCTTCGCCGTGGCCAAGGACGCGGGCTACAAAGTGGTCAGCCACATGATGCCGGACTTGCCCAACGTGGGGATGGAGCGGGACTTGCAGCAGTTTGTCGAGTACTTTGAAAACCCAGAGTTCCGTACCGACGGCTTGAAGATCTACCCAACCTTAGTCATCCGTGGCACAGGCTTGTACGAGTTGTGGAAGCGCGGTTTGTACAAGTCGTACAGCGCCAATGCCTTGGTGGACTTGGTTGCCCGGATCATGGCTCTTGTGCCGCCCTGGACCAGAATCTACAGAGTGCAGCGTGACATTCCTATGCCCTTGGTCACTTCTGGTGTGGAAAACGGAAACTTGCGTGAGTTGGCGCTTGCCAGAATGAAAGACTTTGGTACATCCTGCCGAGATGTGAGAACAAGAGAAGTGGGTATCCAGGAAGTCCACCACAAGGTGGCGCCGGACCAGGTCGAGCTTATTCGCCGTGACTACTATGCCAACGGCGGCTGGGAGACATTCTTGCTGTACGAGGATCCGAAGCAGGACATTTTGATCGGTCTTCTCCGTTTGCGGAAAGCCGCCAAGCCATTCCGCCGGGAATTGAAGGGCCAGCGCACTTCTCTTGTCCGTGAACTTCACGTTTACGGATCTGTGGTGCCGTTGCATTCTCGAGACCCACGGAAGTTCCAGCACCAGGGTTTCGGAACGTTGTTGATGGAAGAAGCTGCACGCATTGCGAAAGAGGAACACGGCTCCACCAAGATTTCTGTCATCTCTGGTGTGGGTGTGCGTAATTACTACGCAAGATTGGGATACGAGTTGGACGGGCCATACATGTCCAAGATGCTCTGATGAGGTTACCAAGAAGGTAGAGGTTGAAAGAAAAGCTTGCTTAATCTCAGTGACTTTTTCGGTGTTTGTACTTAATTGAGGCTATATTTATTGAGAACGATGCCACCAAGTTGTATGTAAGCTATTGCGGCTGTTGTATGTGATTGTAACTAACCAATGTTCAAGATAGAGCGCTCTTAAGCATCTGGTCGAATATATATTGAATCCACTATTGGTACAGGCTATTTACTTAGAGTTTGGTCCCACACGTCAATAGTGGAGCCCCTCTTTAGACCAGCAATATTATACATCATTAAAACCGAATATACAGCAAGCACTAATCCTTCGCTTGTACCTGGGTGAATCCCATGGGCCGCTTTTCGCGTTCATTTGCTTCCGTGTATCTCTCCTGATGATAGCCAACTATAGTACATGCGGCAGGCCCGCTGAATTAAAATATGCAATCGTCATGTATGGTGGCGGAAATAGTGCTTTCCTGGCGCCTCGCCGACCTCGCGGGACCAGCCGGGAATATCCTCGCCCGAGCCGCCCACAGGCCGCTCGAGAACCACATTCTCAAGACTGAGCGCATCGCTCAACCAAGGATGGTTGATCATTCCGCCGGCATCGGCCCTGTTCTCTGGCTGCAATGTCAACATGGGCAACAAGAAATCGGCAATGTCAACTGCGTCGCTCACAGAAAACTTGTACTTTTCCACCAACACATCTTTCAAGCCCCACGGCTTCAATTTGGAGATGCGGTGGAGATCGCCGTGGGCATTAAAAAAGTCTCTCGCATAGTAGCTCTCCTTCAACATGGCGCGTGGGAACGGGCCAATCAACTCGATGATCTGCGCCATGTGGTCGTCGTCCTTGGTGTACGTCTTCCCACTCCGTGGATCAAACAAGTAGTCGCCTGTCAACAACTCAAACACAAGGCATGCAAACGACCACAAGTCTGCGCTGGCGCCCCAATGGTAGCCCAACAACACTTCGGGCGCCCGGTACTGGCGTGTCTGGATCTCGTCCGTGAAGTGGTGGTGCACCCAGCAGGCATTGCCCAAGTCTGCGATTTTGACCGAGATCAACTCGTCTTCATTCACCACGCCGCGAGGCGGCTCCTGCGTGACAAATCCGCCGCTGCGTGACACGGACATCGACAGAAGCAGGTTGCTGAGGTCCTCGTCCATTTCCTCGCCGTCCGAATTGTTGTACGGCGCCTGGTTTTGGCGTCAGCACAAACGCGCCGCCAAACAACAGCAGGTGGCTTGGCGTCTTCACCGGCGTGTTGCATGTAGTTGCAGCAAGCGTGGCAGCACTGGTGAAGGAGCGGTTGAATGAGCGCATGGGCAGAGGCAATGGCTGAGACCCGGTGATGAGCGTGTGGCGCCGGGCCCGTCTTCCGTTCCGTACGCTCGGAGAGCCGAGGTCGCGGACTTTGGAAAGAGAGGCCGCCGACGCTGAGCCCTTGAGACCGGGGGAGTTTTCCACCAGGTCTGGTTTGGAGCGGATCAGCTCTGTTTTCGACTTTGTCCGCAGCAACTTCCTCTGGAGACGGGCGTGCAGCTCCTCTGCCTCCACCAAGCGCACAATCTGCTCGACGTCGCCGATTTCAATCAAAACGTTCTCCGGCTTGAGGTCTGTGTGGATCACGCCGCATGTGCGATGCAAGAAATCCAAAGCCAGCAAGAGCTGCTTGGCAATCTGCTTGACAAACACCACGGGAATGCCGCGGTGCTTGTAGCGGCGGATGAGCGAGAGCAAGTTCTCGCCCAACACCTCGAAAACCATGCAAACATGGACGCCGTTGGGGCCCTTGTGGGTAAATGTGTCCAACAACTGGATCACGTGATCGTGCCCCGGATGGTAGATGTCGGCGCTGGTAACACGGTCCAAAAGCTTGATCTCGTCGATGGCCGTGTCCGTGTAGTGCTTGGCACTGCGCACGATCTTCATGGCCACGTGGCACTGCTTGTCGTTGTCTCTGGCCAACCACACGGTGGAAAAATGGCCCCAGCCAAGTTTCCGCACCAATGTGTACTTGTTGTCACGGTACGTTTCGCCAATGTAGCATGTGTGGTAGCCGCCAGGCACGTAGTCCTTGAGGCTTTCTTCGTTCTCGACATTGACGTCTTCAAAGTCCGAGTCGGACTCATCCACCGCGTCCAAGCCAGGCTGCTCTGTCTGGCCTGTCTGGGTACCGCTGGCCTTGGCCAGATGTGGTTTTTGGTTGGACAAAGCCGGTTTTGCAGCCTTCTTGGCACCTTGGTTCTGTGCCTGGTTCAGAGGCTGGCTTGCAGCTTGGTCAGAGGAGATGTGGTCGTGGCCACGGGTCTGGCCTGTCTGGCTGCCCTCGTGGTCTTGGTTGTTCTGCTGTTCTTTGTATGTGTCATTTGCGTCGCCAAAGCTGTCGTAGTGGCTGCCAAAGCTCTGGCTGCCGTAGCTTTGATTCTGGCTGCCGTAGCTTTGGTTCTGGCTGGCGTAACTTTGGTTCTGGCTGGCGTAACTTTGGCTCTTGTGGCTATGCAGATCAAAGTCGGTGCTGATGGGCGTGAGCTCGGGCCGAAACGACTTCACCAGCGGCGCAAAAGTCAGGCTGGTGGCCAGGCCGGCCAGCGGAAGAAACCCAAACGGCGCCGCATCCGAGGCAGCGCTGCTTTTGCGAGACGCATTCTCCTTATAGTTGTGGTGGGTGTGTGGCTGGCTCTCGTGGTTGGCATCGGCCTTTTGGATGGCTAGCGACAAGTTAGACTTGTGGGACTGAGGCATCGGAAGGCGAATGGGCGCTTATGGTTGGGGCTGGCTCTTTTTTGTATGGATGAGGATTCCTATGAAAGGCTTTTTTTCAAGGTGGGGCCGGGGAGCGCACGTGACCACGGCCCCAGACGGACGGAATTAGGTTGGGAAAGAGATTGGCAAGAAAAGAAGCGGTGGAAAGAGGCAGCGGCAGTGGCAACTACGAAGGAGCAAGAGGAGGAGAAGAAAAGAGTGTTTGTGGAGTCAGTGCTTGTGCCAACGCAAATTCTAAGAATAGGAGAAAACACTGCGCATACTGATTTGATGGTTTCTGCTCTGGCAACTACGATTTCTGTGTCGGAATAACCGCAATGAGGAGAGTGCTGGATGGTTTTGTTCTCGTCTGTATTTTTTCGTCTTTGTGTCTTTTTATCCTCTTTCTGTTTTTTGAGCTTGTTTGTGGATATTCTAGAGGATATTGAACAAGCCGATCTGCGATAATACCTGCACCATACTAGTAGTACTATACTGCTACTAGATCAGTACCGAAGAACTGTCTGAATCACTTGAATTCATTTAATTTATGCTATTTATTCCATTCATTCTATTTGCTTTCGGGTTCTTTAAGCTCTAACACATTAGCCTCCATAATAATTTTCGCTCACATTTCATTGTGTCACCAAACTGCTACTGTCCATCTTATATATAAATTAACACTCCAAACCAAACGGAGTTGGATTTTTACGTTCACGATGAAGCTCCATTGAAATAAATTTTTTAATTTTTATTTTTACATACAAACACAGACTATTGTCTTCGTACTTACTGAACGATGGCCTACCGAACCTGATCTTTCAAGCTTAACTAGTTATCAGTTGCATTATTATATACCTGAATCTATCGACAGCCAACCCATACCGCTTAGTCAACCTCCATGTCTTCAGGCTTCTCACCACCCTTAGAAGCCTCTCTGGCAGCAGCCATCTTCTCGGCCATAGCGGCCATCTGAGCAGCCTCCTGCTTTTGCCTGACAGCCTGCTTCTTTTCCTCAACGTCAGCCTGGTAACGGCCCTTGATAAGGTTACCAATGGAAGCCAACTCCTCGTACTTGGCGATGTACTTGGCCTTGGTCGAGTCGTAACCGTCATCGTACAACCAGTCCTCGGTCTTCATCAACAAAGCAGTTAACTTCTCCTTCTCGGCGTCAGAAGCAAAGTCCTTGTATTGGTCCTCCAACTTGCCTCTCAACTCGTAGATGTACTCCTCCAAGGCGTTCTTTCTGTCCTCGGTGTCGGCAACCAACTTGTCGGCAACAACCAAAGCGCTTTCCTTTTCGAACAAGGCTTGTCTCTTGTCCTCTGGCAAAGCAGCGCTGGTCATTTCAATGGTCAAGTCGTTCTTCTTAACCAACTTCTTGACTTCCTTGTATTCAGGCTCAGCCTCTGGGTCAACTTCTTCACCTTCCTTAGGCTCAACCAATTCCTTAACCAACTTCTCCTCAACGGTGTAAGCAGATTCGATGGTGTAGAAACCAGATGGGTCGTTTCTCAACTTCAACTTGGTGGCAATAGAAGTCTCGCCTTCGTTAGGAACAACACCCTTGATGGTCCACTTGGCGATCTGAGGCTCAACACCAGCTGGCAACTCCTCCTTGTTGGTGTACTTGGCCTCGACTTCAAAGTCACCCTTTCTGAAAAGAGTGATGATCTTGGTGGATGGGAAAGTACCGCCTCTTGGGAAAACTTCCATGTGGTCCTCATCTTCTTCCTCCTTGTCCCAGAAGTAGGAAACCGAGTAAGGATTGAAGTCCTCAAACTTGAAAGGTCTGACTCTCAAGGTTGGCGAGTGCATGGCACAGATGAAGGCGTTACCTCTGGCAATGGCTTCGTCTTGGTTCAAAGTGAAAGACAATTGCTTTCCGAAGATCTCGCTCAACTTGGCCTTCAAAGAAGGAACTCTGGTACAACCACCGATAACTTCAATGGAATCGATGTCGTCAGTGGTGATGCCAGCGTCCTTCAAGGCAATCTCAATAGGAACATGCACACGCTCCAACAAAGGCTTGACGTACTCCTCCAACTCCTCTCTGGTCAAAGAGGAAGAGACATCGACGTCATTCATAAGCGACTCGATGTTGATTGGAGCAGAGCTGTTAGCAGACAAAACCTTCTTGACCTTTTCGGAAGCAGCAAGAACTCTGTAGAAAGCCTTTGGGTTTTCCTTCACGTCAATCTTGTACTTGCCCTTGAATTCCTCGGCAAAGTGGTTGGCAATAGCGTGGTCAAAGTCTCTGCCACCAAAGTGCTTGTCACAGGCGGAGCCCAAGATCTTCAACTCACCCTTCTTGACAGCGGCAATGGAAACTTGGTAGGAAGAGTGGCCAATGTCAACAAAAGCCACAATCTTAGGCTTGTCCTCGGGCAAATCGTTTTGCTTGAAAACACCGTACCCGACGGCAGCAGCAGTGACTTCGTTGACGATTCTGACTGGGTTCAAGCCAGCGATTTTGCAAGCATCGGAAGCAGCACGTCTTTGCTTCTCGGTGTACCAAACTGGCACAGACAAGCAAATGTCGACGATGTTGCCCTTTGTTTCCTTGGCAGTGATGTCTTTGATCTTGTTCAAGAACATGGCGGTCAACTGGGTCGAGGTGAATTCCTGTTGTTCACCGGCAAATCTGACCTTGGCGCTAATCTGGCCATCCTCGTTTTCAACCAAAGGAGCAGTGAAAAACTTCTTCTCAATCTCAAAGTCTGGGTCGGAGTAGTTCAAGCCCAAGATTCTCTTCAAGTTGTCAACGGTGTTCTTAATGTTGGAAGTTTGCTGGTTCTTGGCCGATTCACCAATAAATCTGTTCTTCATACCAAAACCCACCAAGGAAGGAGTGGAACGGTTGGAGACTTCGTTGACGATAATGTCAATTCCTCTGTTTCTCGCACAGGCAATGACTGTGTTGTCATTTCCCAAATCGACACCAAATGGAGTGGACATTTTACTTTGTTCTTTTTTTCTTTCTGAAAAAATGGCGAAAAGTCTTGAAGTCTTATTAAAACGAATGCGCGCGCGCACGACTCATCTAGAAAGTTCGAGAAGCTTCTCACAGCAACTTTGCCCTTCCTGGACTGGGAAAATGGCAATTCGCCTTTGACACTATCGCAAAGGTCTGAAATGACCACTAGGAAAGGTTACGAAAGCTGGCAAGTCTGTAGAAGCTGGCAAATTTGGGTCGTCCGAGACTCATAATCTATTATGTGCAGGCCACCGTATACGGCAGGTGCGGACGTGGTACTGTCTTGGCTAAAATTGAATATGAGTTAAAAGTTATAAAAATTCATGGTTACGTAAACAAACCATGTCAGGCCAGAAATATATGGGATATTGTTAGATGTGCAAGAACTTAGTACTGAAGTATGTGTGGTTGGTATTAACGATTAAATTTCATTTGTGGCACAAAGTAGCCCAAATAAAATAGAAGCGTGGTAATTAACAAGTAGCCCATCTTCTCTAAAAATGTAGGTCGATCTTAGAATATGATTTCCTTCCAGTTTCCACCATTCTCTATTTCTTAAAAACATCCGGCAACATCTATAACAAGAAGTTACATCTTGATTATATAAATCATCAGAGCAATCGCAGGCTACTTATTGAATGTCCATCGCGTTGTCGTTGCTGAAGAAAATTCCATCAAATCCATTTCGTGGTCTTCTAGATTTCATGGGTCTTCATTGTTCGTCAAACAGCTTGGACTCACAGAGAAAGCAAGCAAGTATTCGAACTCTAAATTTCCACTACTGACAAATCCTGCCATGGATACACAGATCTTCTATCATGTGGTACAGAAGAAGCAAATGTGCAGCAAAAACCCTCCCGTAACTTTGTCTCTAGCCAATATTCCTCGATCATGTGCTCTGCTCCAAAATGGTGAGAAGTGTCATCCAGCCGCCGGTCTCCGCTAACCGCACGTAGTCCTCTTCTTTCCGGTTCCGTACATACTCCATAAGAAGGGCAAATTCAGAGTCTGCCAAAATATCCATGCCGCGAATGTGTACAAGCAAGTGGAAATCAGCAAGAGAGTCGGTCCCGCCTTCCACTTGCGAGCGGACCAGACGCAAATCAGGCGCCTCGCCCACAAAGGCACGGTTCTCGACCGGGAACCGCTGTGTGAACATTGGAGTAGGCTGAACAGGAAATCCGTCCAGTAGTGTCACCAATAGATAGTCGATTGGGAAGGAAGGCTTGGCGTTTGTCTTCACTTGCAACCCATACTCGTTGATACGAGTGTAGAACACATCTGGCACATACCGCTTGCCCTCTGTGGGGTTGATCCACACCTGGGATGGCTGTGTTGAAGGACATATGAGGTCCGCCGCAATGAGAGCTTCTGCGCTCGCCGACACCTGGTAGGCCCGCGGTTCAATCTCGCCCTTAGTGTTGCCCGTGATCACACATGTCACAAACTTAGAGGAGAAGCGGCCTGTGGAAGAATGGCGACACGCAGCCGCGTGGAGAATCTGGTTGCGAGCGGCCATGGCCACTTCGACGCCCGAAAGGAAAAACAGATCCTTGTGACGTTTGCATAACACTGAGCCGTCGCGGGCGCCGCTGTCGGTCAAGTCGGTGAAGACAGCACCTACAGGAACAAGGCCAAGGGATTGGGCCACTTGGTCCACCTGTGCCTGGTTTTCCCACTCCAAGAGCGTAATACCGTCTGCCTCGTCGGCCTGTGGCGGTTCGTAGATGGCTTCGACAACGGCCTTGATTCCCAATGGCACCTGGTCAAAAGGCTCGTACCGGCCGTACATGACACCGTAGCGCTGTGCGCCGGAACGACGCCACGCATCAAGAAAGCGGTCCATCACGGCGTGGTCAGCAAACTCCACGTGGTCCACCATACGGAACAGCTGCTGCTGAAGGGTGATTGGCGCAGGCTGACACTGGGAGCAGATTCCAGCGGGGTATGGCGCGTGGCCCAGGTTGCAGGGGCGAACACGGTAGTCTGGAACGTCCAAAGGCGCCACGCTGTTTGGCGTGAGGTGCTGGCGCTCCTTGACGTGGGCCCAGAAGGACTGGTGCTTGATGCCGTGTTCTGCAAGATACGCAAGGTCCCAAGGCGGGAGCGGCGAGCAGTACTCACACATGCCCCTGTCGCCGTGGCGGCAAAGCGCCGAGCGGGAGCGAGGAATGAGGCCCTCTGCGCGGTCGAGCTCGGCGTCCACTGGGAAAGATTGTGCATCCGTGCCTGTGGCTGCAAAAGGCGGCGCGTTGACAGCAGGCTCCGCGGTGGTATTGGCGTTCTTGGCGTTATTGGCTGCCTTCTTTGTGCTTGTTGCATTTGCACCTGTGGAGTTTGTTGAAGTGACATGCGCATACCCGCCAGCTTCGAGATTTCCCGTTGTTTGTGCATCGCCAGGGACAGAAACCTCTGTGATGTAAAGGAGAGCACCATTGGAAAGACCCATGTTGCCTACTGTGTCGTTCAATTCGCTTGCAAGAATGCCCTTGTTTGAAGGCGAATCGCTCACATAGAAATCGCCTGCGAGGCCAAAATGGGCGCGGGCAGACTCGACAGCTTCAGAAATGGGCGAGGTGGGCTCGGTCTGGATCCGGGCCATGCCGCTTTTCGATCTGAAACGGAGAATCATGGTGTATGGGGAGAAGAGTGGTTTGGTGGAGAAGCAAAAGTAGTCGCGAAAGTGAAAGCGAGTGCGAACAGTGCGGCCACATTGATAAAGACGTATTATGTAAGAAGCAGAGAGGCTACGGCAGGGCCAAATATGTAGTTATGTCCAATGTGATGGATTGTTTGCTTTGGTGTTTTTATGGATTTTGTCAAGGTGGCAAGTTGAACCTGTTAGTGGTCCCCCACCTATGCGCATATTCTTCTTGCTTCCATCATTCAAGGCTTGGACACACGCGAGGTGGCTTTTGGATTAGTTCCGGGGGCTGAAGGAAGCAATGTATATAGAAAGTATATTTTCTGAACAGTCTCTACAGAAACTAGTTGATAACAATATCTGTAAATACACATCGCTTCGTTCTATGTTTTCTATTAGCTAGACATCAACGGACCCAAAGTATCATGAACTTCAAGAAGTGGAAGTGGATGACTAGATATATGTAATTCAGCTGTTCTGGATAATTGAACACAAAAGAAGTTGAAAGTCACAATCGTGAGCGTTGGTAATCCAAGCAAATGTGGCTACTATCAACTTGAATTATTAATACTTGGATCTTTCTTCTCATACGGATTTCTGTTCCACAACCTGAACCTTTGCTCTGAACACTTTTGTCCTTACTAAGTAATTGCCAATAACTTCTCTCTGAACACTTCTGCCCTTACAAGTAATTGCCGATAACTTCACTGGTACTTCGTTATTTTTTTTGAACTGTGTTAGTTTCGTCGGTTTCCTATCTCGAATATGTGTTGGTAATCATACGAGCTATAGTTCCATCAGGAGCAGTACGCTGTTTCAGGCTATAGAGCTACTTCATTTGTTGTTGCTCATCAACTTAAAAGAGTTCATCCCTACTGCATTAGAGCTCAACCTCAAAGAGTCGCTGTTACGATTATTCTGCTTAATATGCCATCACGAGAACTGTTCTATTCGAACAAATTATGAAACATGTCAAAAGACTATAGCGAGTACTTGATAATTAACAATAGCATTTAGTATTCATGTATAATTCTCAAAGAGCGGCAATTCCGCTTGCCATGATCCTAGTGTTGATTCCTAGTACTTTGAGCCGTTTCGATTTCTCAGTAAGTCATACATCTATTACCTTGAGTGAAGACAGTGTATTTTCTTAGGCAAGTTGCTGCACACGCATGCAATCTCTCTCATGATGTGCATGCGTCCTGCTGCAAACGAACAAGAGTGGTAAATGCGGTGACCCCAGGTTTGCGCGCTTAGCATATGCACGTTTAACGATTATCGTATTCACATCTTCGTCTATCTTCTTCACTCACAGCACCGCCTTTGTAGGCACAGTTGCTCGAAATTATCCATGTCAGATCCTGACAAGTCAAATCTTTTTGGTCCGCTGGATGCCAACCCAAGTCCGCCTCTTCCCATAGGAGATAACATCCATGAGTTATCAGACAAGCAGCTATCGAAACTCGTACAACTCAAGTTCCAAAACCAGCCGTTTCGGCTTGTGCGGCAACTATCCAAAGACTTAGCATCAAAAGAGGCAGAGCTCATTTTGCTACGGAAAGAAAAGTTCCAGAGAGAGCAAGAGTTGATGCGTCTATGCATGGAGTACGGCAACTTATCTGCGTTAGAAGTAGATCGACACCTCAATGCGCTTCCAGTCGAAGCAAACGCACAAAAAGTTGTTTCACAAATGATCCAATCGGCTTTAGATGAACAGGTAGGAAAAATCCCGGTTAGAAAGAGCAACCGACCTCGCCATATTTCGAAATCATCTGAGACGACAGATCCTCCAACCGCGCAGATCAATGGACTGCCTCCAGATGAGGCTCTACAGCATAGGAAAACAAGGGATGCCAGTTACGAGCACGAAAAGAGACAAAGACCTCCGTTGGTTCATGGTTCTAGTTCAAGTCGAGTTCCTTCAGCAGAGACGGAAAAGAGGAGCCACTGGCTTGACTGGCTCAATCCATCAGAGGAGCTCATCACTTCTTCCTCATCTGGAAGCTTGAATTCCCGTTTACGTTCGCTCAGTCTCTCGAGCTTTCGGCGTAAACCACAGAAAAATCCGGTAGAATTGCAGAGTATCGGCGATACAGACGACATTGTGGTGGCAGATTCTAATACCGACAAATACGGCTTTTATATTGACATGCCTTCTTCAACTCAAAATGATTCCCCTATTTTCAATAACGGTGCCATGAGTGGTGACTCTATTCAAGCTGAAAGTGCGGCAATGACCGCAACCATTTCTCTCGATGCATCTGGAACCATTGACAAACTCAAACATTTGGGTGAGCTTTATGATGCGCAGAACGACGAGATTGTGAAAAGGTGGGATACATTCATGAACCACGTCCGGAGAGAGAAACTCAAACGGCATAAAGAAGAGGATAGCGAAACGTTCGGCGCCAGAGGCCAAAACCTAAAACGGCCTGAATCCCGACTCGCAAAGTTTTTCATATCTGGCGACGATGAAAACTCCGACGACTTACCGCGAGCGCTTCTTCGTTTAGTCAATGAGAGTGGGATACCGCCAAAATACAGAAACACTCTTTGGTTCGAGCTTTCAGGCGCTAAAAACCGTGAAGTTCGAGGGGAATTCCAGCGATTGGTGGAGGTAAGTCAGACGACTGAAGATAGTGTGATCAAAAGCCATTTGGAGCAGATTGACTTGGACTTGCATCGCACCCACCCTTCCAATCGGTTTTTCAATGATATGTCTAACAGCCAGCCAGGACCGCATTTGTACAAGCTCCAGAATATTTTATATGCGTTTGTCGCTTTCAAGCCGGAGATTGGATATTCGCAGGGTATGAACAAAGTGGTGGGCAATCTCCTTCTAGGAACGAACGAGGGAAATATCCATAGTGCAGAAAAGCTCTCAGAGGAGGATGTTTTTTGGATTTTCGTAAGTTTGACGGAGGATTTCGTTCCAAAGTACGGCAAAGTGGAGTTTTTCCATCCAGATGCTCTTGCATACATCCAGCAGGATGTGGAGCTTGTCCAATCTGAATATTTTCCCCAACTATTGCCCAAGCTATTCAAGCACCTAAAATCTATCGGGGTGGAAATACAAATGCTCATACTCCGGTGGTGGTTAGGGCTTTTTACAGAAAGCTTTTTTTCGGTGGAGCTTTGGTTCAAGCTTTTTGACAATTTGCTTCTCAGTGAAAGTGCAGACGTGAAGTTTGTGAGCTACAGTTTGGCAATTTTCAAACTTTTCGAAAAGACTCTACTAGACATCTTTGACGCCGACGAAGTATACCGTCTCATGAGTAATTTGAATATGCAAATGGTGAGTCAGACCAACATTCGATATAGCGAATTCATCATCATGAGCAACGAGTTCGAAAGACATCTTGATGCAGCAGATTTGGAAAGAAAACGGCTGGCTTTCATCCAGATACCATCAAATACGCCATGAGCGGGAGCATTTGCATAAGTATATTTAAACTACGAAACTGCAGGTTACACTACCTGTTTCCGAAGTCTAATCTCTTCATTGATCCCGGCGTGTTATTGCCAGCTGGAGACCGTAGAAATGTGCCTAGGTGAACAGAGGGCCAAATACTCCGAACTGACAATCATTCATGCATGGCTGACTTAATGTTGTTTTGGTATACGCAATGTCAACTCAATGCGCCGCGCATGTTGTCCAACGCACCATGCGAGGACATCTAGTTTTTGGTTGCATGAGGTGCATACAACCAAATATAGAACAGCCCCAATTTCTCTAGGTGGTATCCAGTAATATCAGCGAAAGCTGGCTTGTTCTCCTCGAGAGCATAATTACTTCCCAAAGACATGCTCTTTCCCCTTTACACCTGCGTGAAAATAGTCCTCTCGCTTACGATGACACACTATTACGAGCCCTGTACTTACACAGGAGCTGCACTTCTCTGCAGAACAGCTCTTTTCATGACACGAGTCAGTTTCTTCTCCTCATGATTCCCAGACAGTTGCAAGGAAAGAGAACCGTCTATGGAGTAGTTGCTGCTGTTGTGATATGGGCGCTCTTCTTCTACAGCGGATCGTTTTTGGGCGCACCGGCTAGTGTCGTGTATGTCGATCTGGCTACGGGTCAAGTTCTTGCCCAGAAACCACAACAAGTGGCCCAAAAACCACCCGTGCAAGAGAACGCCCCCGTTCAGAAACCACAGGACTCTAATTTGGTGGCGCAAGAGCAAGGGACCGCGCCTGGGGACTGTGTGATTCCAGGACCTCGCGCCAATGCTACATTTGTCACTTTGGCTCGTAATTCAGAGCTCTATGATTTGGTCAAGGCGATCAGAAACGTGGAAGACCGCTTCAACAGAAAGTTCCACTACGACTGGGTTTTCTTGAATGACGAGCCGTTCACAGACGAATTCAAGCGTGTGACTGGGTCAATCGTGTCTGGAACAGCAAAGTATGGTTTGGTCCCCAAAGAACACTGGTCATACCCAGACTGGATTGATCAGTCGAAGGCAGCTGCCTCGCGGAAGAAAATGAAGGAAGAAGGCATTATCTATGGTGATTTGGAGTCTTATAGACACATGTGTCGGTATGAGTCTGGATTCTTCTGGAGACATCCATTGATGAACGAATACGAGTGGTACTGGCGAGTTGAGCCTGGAATCCAAATCCATTGCGATTTGGACTACGACCTTTTCCGCTACATGGAAGAAAACAACAAGGTGTACGGCTTCACCATCACCATCCACGAGTTTATCAAGACCATCCCTACCTTATGGGATCGCACAAAGGAGTTTCTCAAGGAGCATCCAGAACACGTTGCCGAAAACAACTTGATGGAGTTTATCAGTGAAGACAAGGGAGAGACATACAACTTGTGCCACTTCTGGTCGAATTTTGAGGTTGCATCGTTGAAATTTTGGCGCTCGAAAGCATACACCGAGTACTTTGATTTCCTTGACAGAACAGGCGGGTTCTTCTACGAAAGATGGGGCGATGCCCCTGTGCATTCCATTGCTGCGTCTCTCTTTTTGCCTAAGGACAAGATCCACTTCTTCGAAGATGTGGGTTACAACCACGGTGTTTACACACAGTGCCCTTTGAATGAGGAGTTCCGTACGAATCACAAGTGCTCGTGTGATCCAGAGAGCGATTTCACCTTCAGACCGTATGCATGCGGAAAGCAGTATTTCAAAGCCATGGGACTTGAAAAACCTCCAAACTGGGAAAAGTACAGTACATAACCGTGCATCATACAAATGCTGGTAATAAATAGCATCGATGAAGTACCCTTGTTTTGTTTTGCGTAGTAAGACAGCGTGGTCGCTGTTGAAGTCACTAGCCACTCCATTCTCGTACTGAAATGTAGTTCTCCTTGTTGCAGAAAACCCTATGCATTAAAAAGGAGACGCTTCGCTTTTCCAATATGTGTAGGTGGGCGCAGCCACATATGCTGCAATGCCATGCTAGGCAGTCAACGCATCGAAGCAGGCATAATGCAGTGTGATTCAAATGGGGTGCGCGTCTATTTTTACGAAAAGCCAAGACATCTCTCCTCCACCAAACATCCACCCACCCGCGCTTTTCGACACGTAGCGTCCTTTTCTTCTTCCCATGGCTTCTTCTCGATCCAATGCCCGCCTCGTGCGGTTTGGTATTTTTGCGCTCGTGTTGATTTTCTGTGGATATGTGCTCACTAAGGGTTCCACATACTCTTCTTCGCCGTTGATGCAATCCACTCAGCCCGAAGCTAAGCCAGATGCAACAAAGGCTCCACCAGCCCAAGCTGCAAATGACAAGGCAGCGGCGGCGCCAGAAAAGGGTGCAGCTGCATCGCCAGAGAAGGTTTCTGCGCCTCAATCTGCGCCAGCGCCAGGCGAAAAGGTCAAGGCCACCTTTGTCACTTTGGCAAGAAACTCGGATCTCGACTCTATCATGGGCTCTATCCGCCACATCGAAGACCGCTTCAACCTGAAGTTCCACTATGACTGGGTGTTCTTGAATGACGAACCATTTGACGACAACTTCAAGAAGACAACCTCGGCCCTTGTTTCTGGACAGGCCAAGTACGGTACCATTCCAAACGAGCATTGGTCGTACCCTGACTGGATCGACAAGGAGAAGGCTGCCTTAGCCAGAGAGGAAATGGTGGCGCAAAACATCATTTACGGAGGATCCGAGTCGTACCGCCACATGTGTCGGTTCGAGTCGGGTTTCTTTTTCCGTCACCCATTGATGGCCGAGTACGAGTACTACTGGCGTGTTGAGCCCGACATCAAGATCTTCTGCGACATTGACTACGACGTGTTCAAGTTCATGAAGGACAACGACAAGATGTACGGCTTCACCATTTCTCTTCCTGAGTACAAGGCGACGATTCCAACCTTGTGGGAAACCACCAAGAAGTTCATCGAAGAGAACCCCAAGTACGTGGCTGAGAACAACAACATGGCCTGGATCTCCGACGACAACGGTAACACCTACAACGGGTGCCACTTCTGGTCCAACTTTGAGGTTGCCGCCATGAAGTTATGGCAGTCGGAAGCCTATCTCAAGTACTTTGAGTATCTCGACAAGGCAGGCGGCTTCTTCTACGAGAGATGGGGAGATGCGCCTGTGCACTCGATTGGCGCGTCCCTTTTCATTCCAAAGGACAAGATCCACTTTTTCGGCGATGTGGGCTACTTCCATGTTCCGTTCAACAACTGTCCTGTTGATGAAGAAACGCGCCTCAGCAAAAAGTGCGTGTGCAATCCAAAAGACGACTTTACGTGGCGTGGATACTCGTGCACACCAAAGTTTTTCAAGGTGCACGGCTTGACCAGACCCAAGGGATGGGAAAACTTCACGCAGTAAGTGAGCAGGTGAGGTTTGCGAATTTTGTCGCCGGAATTTTTCTCGCCGGAATTTTTCTCGCCCAAATTTTCCAGTCGCTAGCGTTTTTAGTTCTAATTGGAGCAACTTGAGCAAATGAGCAATTTTTCCTTGCCGCATTTTTCACAGATGGTCTTTGCTGTATAGTAAGCGAACGCGCGCTCCACCTTAATTTCCCAGTAAGCGAGACGGCTGTGTGCAGGACACAACATCACAGCCCCAACGGCCAAGTTTGACAACGCTGCGGTTTATGACGCTGCAGCAGTTGCGAGAAACCAGGGCCCACAAATGTGTCCTCAATGTAGCAGTAGCTATCGAAAAATGCAAGCGCCGCGGAATCGGCCCGGAAAGCGGGTTGGTCTTAGGGTCGTGCGCGGCCCAATTCCCCAGTGACGCCGGCCCTGCATCACAGAATATGAAACACCAAAGTTTCACAATTAACGTGCATGCGCGGCCCCTTGGCCCTTTCCAGCCGCTCTTTTCTTCCGCCTTTCTAGATTCTTTCTTTTGGTCCATCTTGTGTCTCGCTTCTTTTCCTCCAGTCCTTCTGGCTCTATAAATATCCGCTGCTCTGTCATCGAAGTGCCGTGTTCATCCTCCTGCTCCAAAATTAGACGGCAGGTAACCCATCCATTATCAGACTTGCAACGCACTTTCCGGTCTTTGTCCGACTACCATTGCTAGGTGAATATTGAGCCGCCTGATTGATCTTTGGCCTGTCTGAATTGTGTCTTGGTCTGGTCTTCATATCATCTGGTCTGATTTAATATCTTCGGTCTCCATATCTTGGTCTCCACATCGACTTCGCTATCCATATCTTCTGGTCTTTCGGTCTTTTTCCTCTCATTGACCTTTGCTCTGGATCTGTTCTGATCCTTTCTGATTTCTGATCCTTCTGATTTCTGATCCTTTCTGGTTTCTGATCCTTTCTGATTCTCGTTTCCTAGCCGCCCATGGTCCAAGAACAACCCACCCTCACGGCCAAGCGCCGCCCACCCCTGCTTGAACTTAGCAACCAGGCCACCGCCGACCTCCTCGTGCGCATCGTCAGCCCCATTGTGCCGCTGCAGGTCCCTGACGAGTTGCGCGATACGCTCCGTTTAAGCAACAGCATCCGCGAGCAGCAGAACACCTTGATTGCGCAAAAGTCCGCCCTGCCGCGGGCACCAGATACACAAAATGCTGCGCCAGATGCTGTTCCTGTGCCAGATGCCGCACCAGATCTGGCAAAGTCTACAAATTCCAACGAGGATTCTGAGCAGCCAACCAAGAAGACCACTGGCTCTGATACCCGTGCTTCGTCACATGCCCCAGCACCCGACTCGGTCACCATCTCGGCAGTAGAATCTGGACCACATGACGTCTCAGGACCTAATTCCGTCTCCGAGTCGACGCGTTCGCCCCACTTGGCCCCCCACTCTCACTCAGCTTCGCGCTCGGTTTCGCCCGACAAGGGCCGCGCGTCTCCGCAGCGTATTCCCAAAGTGCCCTCGCCGTTGCGTGGCCCCGCTGTTTCGCACTCCAACTTTAATACACCAATTCCCCCTGCAACTTTTGCAACCAAGCCCGCGGGGCTGGGTGCACCTTTTGCAGCCAAGTCACTGCTGACTTGTCCGACTTTTGCAGCCACTATACCCCTTTCATCCGATGCTGCAATGGCCAATCTGCACTCCAACGGCAACCTGGATTCAAATGCAAGCCTCGACTCCAGTCTGGACTCCAATGATAACCTGGTAGCGCACACTAGCAATTCCAATGGTGAATTCGCACGCACTTCCTCACTCGCCCGCAAACGACTCCGCCGAGACAAAGCGCCGCGCCCTCTCCGTCTCGTGCCTGGCGCCCCTTCGCCCATCGTCAAGTCCGCTCCAATGCGTTCTTTTTATGGCTTTCGCCGCGTCGTGCCAATGATCCCGCCCTACAGTGCCGTTCACTTGGTGCCTCCGCTTACGGGGCCTGTGCGCCGTGTAGCAAAGACTGCCGCTCCGCGGCGTTCCACCGTCCAAGATGTGTTCCGTGGTGCCGTCACGATGGCTGCCCCTATACAAGCACAGCCGCTTCTGGCACAGCGGGAACATTTTGACGATCGTACTGAGCCTCTGCCCGAGGAAATGGCCGAGATGGACCGTAAGCGCACCGACTCTCGCGAGTCAGATGTGGCCGTGCGCGGCACTATCGCCTTTAACGATGATGGTGCCTTCAATTTCAAAATCTACAATGACGCTGATGCCAAGCGTGTGTTCATGGAAGTCTGCGAGAAGACATGGGACAAGTATGTCGATGGGCTTTAGCGTTCCACGGATGCATTGCGTCTAATTATGTGTGCATACGGTGTGAACGGAGAAAGAAACCGCTGTTTTCCTTTCCGTGGTTATGTTGGTCAAGCCCCAGTATTGGTGGGAGAGGTTGTTGGACAAGGTGTTTTGAACTTGTCCTATTTTGCAGCCATTAATATTGTTTCCACGTGGTTTAGTGTACACGAGAAGGAACGACTAAATACCTTCTTTGCTTTGCTGATTTTTTGATTATACGTCAGGACGTACCCTTATTATTCTCTGCCTCTTGTCCTCATATTCTTGCTTTCCCTTTTCCCTACACAGACCCCTCTCTACACTAGAAACCTACTCTAGTCTCCAAAGATTGTATTGTGAATTTGACCTTTCATCCTGCTTTGTGCTTTATGATTGTTTCTAGGATTATTAACTTTCTGGTCTTCTAGAATTGGAGTTTGTGCACGTGACGCACCTCAAAGTCGCGGAGGCGAATTGACTACTTCATCTTCTTCAACCACCATCATGAGTTCTATTCTCGTTCGGCGGCAGATCCTTTCTGCCTTTGGCCGACCTGCGCCGATTATGTCCTTGGCTAGGGCCCATGTGCTCCCGCATATCGGTGCTCAGAGGAATTTTGGCGTTTTTCCTCGTCTTCTACTTTCCCAAACTTCTCCGCTCCATTTCAGACGTCTGGGTAGGAGAATGAATAGCCGGAAGAGTGAAGATGAATCAGAGTCGAAGGAAGAGCGTCCAAAGGAGTCCAAAGAAAAGAAACCGGACTCTGAAGAAGAGAAACTTCGCCAAGAGGTGCGGGAACGACTCAAGAAGAAGAACCCTAAAGCAAACTTGCAGAACCTCAAAATCATCCAAATTGATGCTGCCCAAGCACTGAAAGCCTTAGGTCTTTTCTTGCTCCTCACGTTTTTGGCCACGTCTCTTTTATTTTCCAGCCAGAAACAGAACGAATTGTCCTTTCAAGACTTTAAGATCAGATATCTCGACAAGGGTTTAGTCACAAGGCTCACAGTAGTTAACCGTTTTGCTGTTGAAGCGGAACTTATTCCAGGTGCATTCTCAGATGAAACCACGCGTGGCCCTCGTGGATCGCCCGTTGTTGTTTTCACAATTGGCTCTGTTGAAGTTTTCGAAGAAGAGATGAACGCAGCACAAGACAAGTTGGGAATCCCTGTGGAAGAAAGATTGCCTATTCTGTACGTTGAGAGGGGTTCATGGATGAACATGATCTTACCCATTTTACCTACTGTCTTGTTGATTGGTGGATTGTGGTATATTACAGTGAAACGAGCTTCTCCGCAATCTGGTGCCGGTGGCCCTGGAGGTATTTTCAAGATTGGAAAATCCAAAGCCAAATTATTCAACCAAGAAACTGATGTGAAGATCAAGTTCAAAGATGTTGCTGGTTGCGAGGAATCCAAGGAAGAAATCATGGAGTTCGTCAAGTTCTTGCAAGATCCATTGAAGTACGAGAAACTTGGTGCTAAAATCCCAAGAGGCGCAATCTTGTCTGGTCCTCCTGGTACAGGTAAGACGCTTTTAGCTAAAGCTACTGCTGGTGAGGCTGGTGTTCCTTTCTTGTCTGTTTCTGGTTCTGAGTTTGTTGAGATGTTTGTTGGTGTGGGTGCTTCACGTGTCAGGGATTTGTTCAAAACAGCGAGAGAAATGGCTCCAGCTATCATTTTTGTTGATGAAATTGATGCTATTGGAAAAGAAAGAGGCAATGGCCGTATGGGCGGAAACGATGAGAGAGAAAACACTTTGAACCAGTTGCTTGTCGAGATGGACGGATTTGAAGCTTCCGACCACGTTGTTGTCTTGGCTGGTACTAACCGTGCTGACATTTTAGATAAAGCCTTGTTGAGACCCGGAAGATTTGATAGACACATCTCTATTGACATTCCAGACATTGAAGGAAGAAAGGCTATCTTTAAAGTACACTTGTCCAAGTTGACTTTGAAAAGCGTTGAAGACATCAAGGCTAGCCATCAGGATGTTGATTTCAGCAAATACCAGAAGCTTATTGACGAGGCCATTGAAAAGTTGGCAGGTAGGTTGGCTGCTTTGACTCCTGGATTTGCTGGTGCTGACATTGCAAACTGTTGTAATGAAGGTGCCTTGATCGCTGCCAGAGAAGATGCTACTAGCGTTGATACTTACCATTTCGAACAGGCCATTGAAAGAGTGATTGCTGGTTTAGAGAAAAAGTCTCGTGTATTGAGTCCAGAGGAGAAGAAAACTGTTGCATACCACGAGGCAGGACATGCTATTTGTGGTTGGTTCTTACAATATGCTGACCCCTTGGTTAAAGTGTCAATTATTCCTAGAGGTCAGGGAGCCTTGGGTTATGCTCAGTATTTGCCAAAAGATCAGTATTTGGTCTCCACTGAGCAGTTTAGACACAGAATGATCATGTCTTTGGGTGGCCGTGTGAGTGAGGAGATTCACTTTGAGTCTGTTTCGAGTGGTGCCTCAGATGACTTCAAAAAGGTGACGCAAATGGCGCAGTCCATGGTGTTGAAATTGGGCATGTCTAAAAAACTTGGCAGCGTGTACTTTGATACAGGCGACGAAGGAGGAAACTTGAAAGTCTACAATAACTACTCTGAGGGAACTGCACGCATTATTGATGAGGAAGTGAAGCGTCTCATTGATGAGGCGTACGTTGCATGCAAGGAGTTGTTGACGGAAAAACTCGAGTTGGTTGACAAGGTTGCAGAAGAAGTCTACAAGAAGGAGGTGTTGACCAGAGAAGATATGATTCGGTTAGTTGGTCCACGTCCGTTCCCTGAAAGAAATGATGCTTTCGACAAGTATCTTCAGGGCGAAGATGCTTTCAAGAACAGACCGAAGGGAAAGGGCGACGCTGAGGCCGCATAAGTGTACATGATGGATATTGTAAATAGTATATACAGCCGATTTCGTGATCAGTCCAGCTGGAAAAACTCGTCGATGGAATCGTATTCTATAGTCCCGCCTACTGCGGAGAAATCGTCTTCGCTGGCGTTGGAGCAAATGTCGAAGGCTTGAGGAGGGGCTTTTTTCTCCTCAACTGGAGACGATGTGATATGATGTGATGTAATGAGATTATCAAGTTTGGACAAAGTGTACGATTCGTTGTCTTTCAGAATGTCGTGTATCGGCTTTTGGGAAACGGATCTATGTTGGGACGTTTCGCCATTTGAATTTTGCTCTATTCCAGAATGGTTTGATTCTTGCAGAATGCCATTCAGATTTGCGCCTTCCTTTTGCTCCTCATCTTCTGAAAAACTTAGGCTTGAGACAGAATCGCTGAATATATCGGAAACTTCTGCATCTTCAATTGGAACCACGCTGAACTTTTTGGTTTGCTCTCTTTCGTGTCCCAGGACGTGATCTTTCCATTCTTTATAACCTTCATCGGTCATAAAGTCGCATCCTAAAATGGGGCAGAGAAGAACCTGTCTTCGAGCAGAACACTCATGGGGATAGGCTTCTTGATGGGCCTGGGCACTTTTTTCGTCCAAAAATATGCGCTGGCATTTCCCGTACTTGAATTCCCGGCCACACGAATACGGTTTCAAAGGCATCTGGATTCGAAGTGGGAAATGCAACGTCAAGCGAAGAATGGTGAGTTCTGAAATGTGTTCATTATGTGAAATGTGGTTTGAGTCGGAGATTTTGACGGGGTATCCGATTCGAAGAAGCAGGTGAGCGTGTGTCGAGAGCAAATGGGCTCTGTATGCTGTTTTAGAGTCGGACGTGTAAGAACACCCAAAAGCACAAGGATAAAGGGCAATCTGTGGCGTTTCAACGAGGTCAGACCGTATCAGGAACAGATGGCTGCCGTTTGGTGATCCATGGGAATACATTGGGCCTTCTAACTTATAATCCAGCGGAGCACTTGAATGGTCATAAAAAGGAGAAGTTTCACACACAATTGCGTATTTCTCTGTCGTAGACCTTTTCGGGCTTTGTACGTCTGAAACCCCATTTCGGCACTTTGGAGAGGAGGAATTGCCATGGGTCTCTGTTATTTCAAGCTCTGAGCTATGGGGATACTCCAAACCCGGTCTTTCGTCAAATGAATCCCGCTTCGAAAGCTCAAACTGCCGTAGATCGAGCTTTTGGGGACTGTGTAAGTCCAACTGTTCGAGAAATTTCAAGCTCAGTTTCACCGGACTGTCCATGTCGCTCGCAAGCAGCTCCGACAGCAGCCGGTAGATCAAATCCGGGCGATTTTTCTGGTCCCACTTGATGTTTTCCCTTAAACTTGCATTCTTGCGTTCAGATTTGTAATCTTTGCGCATTTTCTCTTCTCTCTCATACTGAGTCCACGGTTCTGGGCTCTGTCGCTCCTTGAGCGGACTTGACGCTGCAGTTCTCTGCTTTTTTGTCGGCGACGGGCTGAGTATCAGAAGATTATCTTGCAAAGGCTCCGAGAGCAAGACCGGACCCGCCGAAGCTGTTCGAAACAACTGCTGTGTCTTGAGTCTCTCCTTAAGCCGCCTCTTGGCCCTTTGTTGGTGTCTTCGCTCCTTCTCCTCGGCCTTGAGACCCCGTTCAAAGTCATAGTCGCCAGCCCAGATACTAGACTGGATCGAGACGCCGTGGAGCGACCCATCTGTGGCCAAAGATCGAAGGTGGCCATTATCTCGCACAATCTCGCCCGTACGAAGATCAATTTCGTCGCTCTGTGTGTTGTCGTCGATCTGGGAATATTTGGAGATGATTTCGTCCCATCTGCGAAGAAAACGAGCCGACGAGTCTTGTTTCAATTGGCGAAGGCGGTTTTCGAGTTCTGCGGAGTCTTGGCGCAAGGCCCGGTCGAGCTCTTCTTCCGATGAAAAATCGCCGATTTCCGCTAGCGAAATCAGTTTTTCATGGGCCATACAGATGTGTCTTTGGATCAGACGGCTACAAAGTGAGGACGTCACGTGGACACATGGTGGATCGGTGGAGCCGTATTCCATCCATCTAGATTAGATTGTTTGGATTGTCTGTTAGATTGTTTAGATTGTCTGTAGATTTCTATTAGATTGTCTGTTAGATTTCTATTAGATTTCTATTAGATTGTCTGGCTGTTATCTGGATTTCATTCTCTGGTTTGATCTGGCTCGATTGCATTGCCATCACCGGTTTTGCACTGCTTCTATATTCCCTTCACTACTTCCTACTTTGTTTCATGTCGTTTCATTGCCTTTTTCTATTTTCCTAAATCTCCCGTTCGGTGTTCTCCACCGTGCTGGTTCGCTCGTTGTTTTTGTTGCCGTCCCAGCATTTCCGAAACGCCTCCATCTCGCCCAAACATTGTCTCCAATCGCCCTTGTCTGCGTGGCAAAGCTGCAACGCAAGGTTTTCTTCATAGCAGCCTGTTTTCAAGATCCGCTGGTCCCATTCGTCCGGCTCGTCGTCAATCGAGTTTTCTGACATTTGGTGGTGTCGCATCAGAATCAGGCACAGACTTTGCTAGGCAAATTAGTGGGTACACTACATCAACTAGAATGATACTCCGGTTTAGAATTAACTGGAAGATATTTTCTTGGTATCGCTGTGACATTCGTAGATAAATTCTTAGAGCTTTGTTGGCATGTGGAGAAAAGGAGATAAAAACTCGACATGATGCTAGGTAATTACATTTGCTTGAGCCTTAATTAGAAAGAATAGGGCCAATGATTTGCATTCTCAAGACATAAGCTTGATTTTTCAATATAGCATCGCTGATTTCAGTCTATGATAGACCTTTCGCTCCAATGCAAAATTAAGAAATAGATATATTGACGGCTTACAATTGATTTCTCCGATTCGTGATTCTTCCGTATAGAGATAGCATACTTCTATAATTTGACTTCTCTACTTTATAAGCATCGCTGTTTCAGCCATTATTACTTTCCATCCACCTCTATCACTTACATGGAGAATCTATCGGTGTTTTTCTTTGTACATGCATTACCGGCAGTCACATTGCAAGTCTCTGCTAAATATACTTGCAAGATCCACAGTCCACAACAGAATCCATAGCCTTAAATTGTCTGTAGCAACATGTAAAGTTAAAACCCTGCTCAGAATCCGAATCCGCTCTTCGAATAGGCCATGGGCTTCAAGTCTGGATGTGGCACTGCCTCAAACGTCTCTGTGGTAAGCTTCCATGGACAATTGTCATCGTCTGTTTTCCTGTACCCTTCACCATCGTCCTTTTCTTTATCGTAGTTGACATTTTCCTCAATATGGACCACACCACCCAAGTTTCCAGTGGCATCACAGTAGTTGGGTGCACTGAAAACAGTGATAAGCCTTCCGTTATGTTCTTCTTCCACACCGTCCATTCTAACTTCATGCGAACGCAAAACCTTTCTGATTTTGTTGGCCAAACAGAACCGTTCGGTGACATCGGGTCCGAATTGAATGCCCAAGCCTCTTTTCGAAGGCGAACGACCGTTCTCTGGCTGAGGATCCGTCCACAAAAGCTCCATCGCAAGCCCGTCACGTGGAGGTTGGGACAGACCAGACACTGGGAATCTGTTGATTTTGCGGATATCGTCCAAAGTGACTTTATCATTGGAGAAAAGTCCTCCGTGCATCACCAAATAGGATCTGTTGATTAAGGAAGCCAATGGAAGCGCACCAAACGATTCAGCAAAAGCCTCGAAAACCTTCTTCGAGTACTTGGCCTCGCACTCGTCGGTGAAACCATAAGTCTTGTTCATGTCGTTGGTTTCGTGGTTTCCTCTGTTGATGAAAACACTTTGCGGATACAAAATCTTGAGCACATAGAGATAAAGAGCCACTTCACAAGACCAAGATCCACGGTCGACAAAATCACCATTAAATAAATAGATGTGGTTTTCATCGACTTTGCCGAAACGAGCAAAGAGGTTCAATACATCGTAAAACTGGCCATGTGTGTCGCCCACAACAGTGATTTTTTTCCCTTGCAAAGCAATCTCGTCTTGTGTTTTCGTGTCATCAAGTTTGCTGTGTGGTAAACACATTTCCACCATGGTGTTTTCCTTTTTGAAAAGCTCGTACACCTTGGCCACTATGGCGAATACGTGTTTCTTGGGCAACTTTCCGCCATCCTTGAACAACTGGATCATGTACTTCAAGTAGTCCAAATCCAAGCCCTTGATGTCAATGTTGAGGTCATCGCCCTTCTTATGGGCCTCGATCTCCAAATGTGGGCCCAGCCAGCTTTTTTCGATAACAATAGCACTGTAGTCGATTTCGTGGAGAATCGAGCGTTTATCGTCTCCTGCAATGGCTCTCTCAAACGCCTGTTTCTTCAAGTAGTTCACACACTGCTTGTAGTTCTCCAACGTCAACCGATCGTTGGGCAATTTTTGCAAAATCTTCTTGAAATTTCCCTGTGCTTCTTTGTAGTTCAACAATGCCATGAGCGATACACCTTTCCGGTAATATGCCTTAGCATAGTTTGGGTCCACTTCCAAAGCCCGGTCACAGTCGGCTATAGCCAGACCATATTCTTCCAAAGAAATGTGCACTTGGGCACGGTTGGAGTAAAAAACGGCGTTTTTGGGATCTAGCTTGATCGCCTCGGTGTATTTTTCGGCCGCTTCAGCATACTTATGTTGCTTGAGCAACGCATTACCTTCGTCCTTAAGTTTGACTGCCTCTTCTTTGGACATGGCGAGTTTCTATGCGGCTAAAGTTTAATTTCTGCTCTTTTGACTACGCTTAGATTCTTTTTTTCTTCACACGGCTGTTCCTGCAGAAACGACTCTAGTATCATCGATCTAGCCGTTTTGGATTATGTCATTCAGTTGATCGATGCTATAGTCTGTGATAAATGATCTCAGTTTCCTGCAATGTCAATTTTGGGCCTTTTTGGCTAATTTTTTAGTTTCCGAGCGCTTTGTGCTCTTTATTATATTCTACGTGTTATAGTCGCAAGAGCTTAATTTCTAGAATGTTTTGACATGTTTGACCAAACTGCACAGTGGAACAGTCTCTTACATCTTTTGATAAAGATTCACAACCGTGTATTCACTGGCAGGTATAATAGCGAATTTCCCATTAAATGTGGATTTTGATTTCGCAGTTCTGACGAATCTTTGGGCCTTTCGAAACTTCAATTGAGATGGGAATCTAACTTGGCAAATATGCAATCTGTCGTTCTTAGGATTCTTCGTAACCATTTTCTGGTACATAGTATGGTTACTACAAACTCTTATCTGTTAAATTCTTTGTATTTCTTGCATTAGCAACTGAAATGCTTTGATGGTCCGTAATTACTTTATTCATCGAACAGCTATGTTTATATTCATTCTATTGGATAACGCAATTTCGCTTGATCTGCCGGTTTATGTCAACACGATCAATTGGAATATCTAAAATATCTCAGTCCATCGTATAATGGTTCTTGTCTTCAAAATGGGATAAGAAGTTAAGCCCTCTACACAAACTAACGTCTTGGTGTATTTTTCACAATATTGAACTAGGAAACTTTTGCTTTTTGCTTAGCCCCGGATCCGCAACCCCGACGCTGGGGCTCCCACACGGGTCACCTCGGTGATCCGACACACTTGATTTTTGTACTCCGACTTGTACTTTGCGCCCACCAAAGCTTCCGTGACGAACGGAGTGCCCTTGTAGATTGGAGTGAAGGATGCACAACAAATGTCAAACTCTGCGTATGGGTCAAAGTCGATTTCGATAGCGTCGCTGGCAATGGTATCAGCACGAGCCTTGATTTTTTGCGCCTGCTCAGCTTTGCTTCCGGTCGAAATAATACTCAAAAGCTCGCCAGCAAAGTACGATGCGCTCGAGTAGTTCTTGTTCTTGAAAGACTGCAGCATGGCCACTTGCAATGCATTCACCCGATGAGAGTTTTGAAGTTTCGCCCGCGTGAAGTACGCAGCCAACTCCAAGTTTCTTTGTAACTGCGACAGGTCGAGCGAACGACGCTCTAACTCGATCGATAAGCCCAAGATGTACTCACGACACAAGGTCAAGATGTCATCGCATTTTGCCTCTTGTTCCTCGTCCTCGACAGTTAAAACTGCGATGGTGTGGATGATTTCGCGGAACACGGCAATGGCGTCAGGCAAGTTGTTGGCACGGAAGAACTTGAACGCAACATTCAACTTGTCTTCCAACGTGTCGTAACCAGGAATGAGTGGTCTGAAGCGCTTTGGATCGTCCTCGTCATTGTCCTCGCGAATGTAGTCTCTCATAGCAGGCAAGTCATTGACGCCGGGCAAACTCAACTTGTTGCACGAGTAAACCTCCATGAAACGTTTACGCAACGGCTCGAAGTTCACCACACCGAGTTGCTTATTCAACAAAGACGCCGCCTGGTCAAAGGCTCCTGCTGCCACACAGCCAGCCGCAGTTTTGTTGTTCCGGAGCCAGTGGGCAATTTCACCGTCAGCACCTTCGGCCTTGATTGGAAACTCGTCTTCCAACTCGCCTGCGTCGCCAAACTCGTCGCCAATGTCAAGGTCGTCATCGTCCATGTCCCAACCGCCTTCTTCCTCCAAGTCATCGTCAAGGCCGTCATTGAAATCAAGTTGGGTTGAAACTTCGGCAGGCTTTTCCTCGTCTTCGCCAATGTTCAAATCCTCCACCTTACCGGTGACCAAGGCCGTCTCAAACACCGACATGCTGCTTTCTTTGACTGGCCAGTTACCGGCAGTTTCAACTGGAACAGGCAATGGTGCTGGAGCTCCCATTTCACCGAGCTGAACGTCCTTCAGACTCACACCAGCCGCTTCCAAAATCTGATTGGCTCTGTCATTCATGCCGCTTGAAGCTGCCAAGGTGTATGCCAATGGATACATGCCGCATCTAAGGAAGGCATCGATTCTGGTTTCAACATCGTTGTTGTAAAGTGTGTTCTGCACCAACGACGACAAGTTGCCTCTGGCGTTGGCAATCAAGGACATCTTGTTCAATCTTTCTTGGTCGCCCTTGTACAAGTAGAGGAATGACAACTTGTCAAACAACTCCAACTGCTGGTAGACACGTTCAACAATCTCGACATTACCCTGACTCAAAGCTTCATGGCCCAACTTCTCCCAAGTGACTCTGTCCTTCAATTTGGCGGCCTCTGTTTCAGCAATCTTCAAGTCGCCACATTCCAACGCCAATTCAAAACGAGTCTCCGGGTCTTGGACAAACTGCAATGCAACTTCGGGGTAGCCCTTCTGTTGCAAGTAGGCAATGATGTTCTGGCCCACCAAGTTGGAGTTGTGGATGATGCGCAAAACCTCGCCAAAGTTGCGGTTCACTAAAGAACGTTTGAAACGGTATTCTGTTGGGTCAATCGTCACCACCTCGACGTTACCGGACCGATTCAAGCAGTAGAGCTTGTTTTGCGCCACCTTGGTTATGTACAAGGTGTTCTCCAAAGTTTTGATGATACCGCTGTCTCCGTTCAACAAAGTGTACTTGATATGGTTCAAAGTAGAATAGAGCAAGACACCAGAGTCATCCCAAGCAGCACTCTTGATACGGATTGTCTCGTGCATGGAAGTGACCAAGTCCAAGTCCTTGGTGGCGATGGTGATGGTGTGCTTGGACATCAAGGCCAAGTGCAGACCGTCGTTGGACCAAGCGGCGTACTTGACGTTGTTGGCGCTCAATTCGCCCAACTCTTTGCGTTGTTGAACGTCGTAATTGACCACAGAGTGTGGCTTCACCAACAAAACACGGCCCGGGTTGCCGGCCAAAACATCAGTCACAGAAGAGTCTAACTGGATGGTTTTGGTCACGTTGTTGTTCATGTCCTTGACGTACAAGATCTTGGAGGCCTTAACAAAGCTGACGAAACGGTTACGCGAGATGAAACAGGCAAAGTTTCCTTCGCCCAGACGGACGTCTGTGGGCTCAATGGCGCCCGTCACATGTTTAGGAAGTGTCACCAACGCATACATGCCGTTTTCGCCTTCGCCGTGTGTCACCAAAACCGCATTGTCGGCCTGGTTGTACGACAAGGTGCGCATGAACGCCCAGGTCTTGCCTATCTTCTTCAAAGACATCATAGGCAAAGACGCCTCGTCGCGAGTAAAGTCATAGCTCTGGATCTGCTTCTCGCCATTCACGTAGTACAACTTGTTGTTGAAGAGCGCATGCGCTGGTCTCTCTCTTTCAAGCTTGAACACCATCACACCCGAGTCGTGGCACGTGGCAAACAAGTTGATTGTAGGATGGCAGGCCACAAGCCAGAAACGGTCGTTTTCACGGCGGAACTGCTTGACAGGCGTGCGCTTGTTCAAGTCCCACACGCGAATGGTCTTGTCGTCAGCCACAGACAAGATCAAGTCCTCATGAGGGTGGAACACGGCGCAGAGCACGTTTCCGGTATGGCCACGGCAAGTGTCCACCTCCCAGGCCTTGATATCGTTCATGCGCCACAACTTGACGAGTCTGTCGTCACCAGCAGACACAATTAAGGGCAAAGTAGGGTGGAAAGCCGCCCAGTTGACGCCCTTGTCGTGGCCCTCCAACACATACTTGACGATGGCATTGACGTTGCCGAAAATGTCCTGCTGGGGCAACTGCTTGCGCTGCAACTGGTCCTCAAACGAGCGAGGGGCCAGTGTAGGCGCCGAGTGCTTCTTGCGGAGGCCTGTGATGTCCCACACCCGCACGGTCTGGTCCAAAGAAGCAGACACAATCAAATCTTCAGATGGGTGGAACTGGGCCAGCATCACGTAGTGGTTGTGGCCCGTCAAGCAGGCGATCTCCTGGCGGTTCTGCCAGTTCCAGATGCGGATGGTCTGGTCGTCCAGGCACGTCAAGATCCACGGCAAGTCGTGGTGGAACGAAACACATCTCACGTAGTCGAGGTGGCCGCTCAAGGTGAAAATGCACTTGCGCGTGTTCAACGACCACACTTTCACGGTGTAGTCGTCCGAGCCAGACACGAAAAGCGGCTGCGTTGGATGGAACGCCACGCATCGAACCGGACCGTCGTGGTCCTCAAACCGGTCAATCAAAGTTCCCATGCGGTAGTCCCACAATTGGATGGTCGACGAGTGCAAAGCCACAAGCACCCAGGGTCTTTTCGGGTGGAACGCCACGCCTTTGGCCCTGGAAGACTTGGACTCGAATTTGGTGAGCATCTTCATTTTTGGTGGGTATGGTGTTGACTTTTTTTGATTCCGTGTCAAGTGGGCGAGCGAGGGTGTGTGCAGGAGGACAAGAATCAGGAGGAGAATGGAAATGAAGAAAAGAAGAAAAGGAAGAAAATAGAATGGATATAGAAAAATATGGGAATGGAAATGAATGAAAATATAGAAAAATATAGAATGAAAATGTAGAATGAAAACTATAGCATGAAATGTAGAATGAAAACTATATCATGAAATATATAATGAAAACTATAGCATGAAATATAAAATGAAAACTATAGAAGAAGAGAGGAACAATATACAAGGAATGGAGGGTAGTCTCGTGTCGTCTAGGCTGGTGTTCTGCTAACTCCTGTGATTGCTATTTATTCTTACTTGTCTAGTTGGAAAAGTAGTTCTTCTGTTGATATCCATCTGCCCAATCCAGATTTCGCACGCGAATCTCACTAAATTACGATTGAGAAAAGTTCAGGCAATCTTTTGCGGTGGTAGCTTGTTTCGTTTCTTTTCTCGAATTCGTTTCTTTTCGTTAGTTCTGCTTCACTGTGGGACTTGAGTGATAACTGTATTGAATCTAAGACAGAAGTGTAGTTCAATCAATTCAATACTACTTCTAAGACAAAAGTGTAGTTCAATGAATCCAACACTGGTTTGGCTGTTTCTTTGGGAAAAAGTACGATCCACAGGAAGTTAAAGTATTTGCTGTTCATCCACTACAAACTGGATGCAGTGGTAGTTCTGTATGGCTTGGTTGTGAGCTTTCTTGGGCTTAACTGAATTCTTAATTATCTACTTAAAGGGCGTATTAGGCCACTTATAGCAATGGAGCGTAGGAAACAGAATATAACAGAAATGAAGCGTTCAAATTATTCCAGTTTAGAATGTATGATCGCCTTGAAGTACGAACCGATTGTTATCATGGCGATCGTACTTCAAAAATGATCATAAGACCTGGAGCAATTTCTTTATTTGTACCATTCAATGGCAATCTATGTAACTGGATTCCTTTTTAAAGGCTAAACACGTTCTGGTATTAGCTTTAAAATTTATCCAATTAGTACTGTAACTGGCTACTGTTGGACTAATAATATTTTGTCACTTTCAAAGTTTAAAATTTCGTAGGAAGATGTCTAAAAGCTTATTTTTTTTGAAACCATACGCCAAAGACTATGACTATATCCTTTAACGTTATTAGGGCAAAACTAAAATGGATGCATAAGGTTTGGATGGAGACCTCTACTGCAATGGCTGGACTCTGCCTTCATCAGTCCAACTTTCATATAGACCATGACTAAAATTTTTAGCATAGTTTAAATTGATGTATTTTCTTCGAATGCACGATTAGTCACTCAACCTCTGTTCGGGTTCTTTCTGTTACTCCCAAAGGAATCCTTCATTAGTCCCTCTTTATTATTCTTTCTTCATTATCCTTTCTTCATTATCCTTTCTTCATTATCCTTTCTTCATTATTCACTCTTCATTACTTCCTTCAGCGACCTACACTGCTCAATCCTGATTATTTTTCTCATGCTTATATGACTACTAACGTTCCGTGATTCATTACAACGCAAAGACGAACATTCCCACGCCTGCCGCAATTGCGCCCGCAACTATGCTTCCAGCAGTGTAACCTCTCATGGCGCCTGAGCTGCTTTTACCCGAGCCAGACGAGTTTCCTGCGGCACTAGTGCTCTTTGAGTTTTGGACAAAGCCTCCGGTCCATTCTTCTGTGGTTGTAGTGGAAGACAAGGCTGTTGGAACCTTGACGGTGACGCCAGAAGTGTTTTTGGTTTTCACAGTTGTTTTGGTCACAACATGCGATCCTGACAGGCTGACGATTTTCGTTGTTTCCACCTTATCTTCTTCCTCGTTTTGTGGGTCAAATCCGGTAGCGTCGCCGCTGCCCAACCATGTTTTCCTATCTGTGAGGAAGATGTTTTCTTCGAAACCCTTGGTGGAGTTATACAAAAAGGCGTGATATTTGGAGATGCTGGTGTTTGAGCGGTGCTGGACAAAGTCGGGAAGATCGTATGCCTCGACAGTAAGATTCTTGAAATATGCGTAGTAGTAGCCATACTTCTGAATGTCTTCCGAGTCCCAGTTGATCGCACCACCGGCCCATTCAATAGTACCCAAGGCGTTCAAGTTGGAACCACCGGGCCACAACGAAAGCTGGATCCGCGACGGCGTTTGTGGATAGTTGTACTCTTCGGTAGTGGTGTTCCAGGTGTCTTCCTTTTTCACTGTCCGGACTTTTTCACCGTCCACATACCACAGCAATTCTTCTTCTTTCCAGTCAATTTCGTAGTAGTGCCAGTTCTCAAAAGTGTCGGAGGTAGACGAGTTCCGGGCATTGGTATAGTTCAAAATACCTTGCGCGTAGTAGTTGTTTTGCGGAGCGGTCAAGTTGTAACCAAGAAACTCGAAATCGATTTCGTCCTGGACATCTGAGAATGTAATGAAAGCAGTGATGACGCCTCGGTCTCTCGAGGATTTGAGGGTGGCTCCGATCCGGCCGTACCAGAGATATTTTGTGGACGACACAACAGTACCTGTAGACTGATTAGGCATCTGCAACAAGAGCGCATCGTCATACGAGTCGATGTATCCCGTGTACACCCAGTCATATTCACTGGCGTTACCCAAGTATTCTTCTTGTTTGCCGATTACAGAAATGTCTTTGAAATTCTCTTCGAAACTGGACATCCGTGGCATCGGCATGCATGCACTGATGTTGTAGGAGTATCTGATGTCACAGCCGCCCAAACAATAGGCACCTGTGCCACATTCACCGTATTGGTTGCAACATGGCGAATCTTCTGGACAAGAGTTGGTCAGATTGCATCGGATGGCACTGGCGACCGAGAAAAGGCCAAATAGAAAAAGCAAAAAGCCGTATTTCATAGCGAAAGTGATGGAGCCAGAGCAAGGAAAGTAGGGCTTGGGGAAAAGAGTTGGCGACGATTAAATTGATTTGACCTTTCTTTTTTTTTTTTTTTTTCTTGCGCCAATCCGAGACGCAATATATACATCTCGAAACATCGGTGCAGGACGCACCCGCGTCCGGCTCCTGCGACGATATTTATTTTTAGCCTAATACGGTAAATTACCCACAGTTACAAACCAACGGACCATCTCTCGCATAACCCTCGTTTTGATCCCGGACCTGTCAAGATATCATCGAGGTCACATGTTCGATTGTTTGTCGATAGCTCAGCCGTTTGGACGAACCTGTTTGTTTCGAATTCTCGTCAGCCACCACCTTAAGTGTTCACGCGACCATACATGTAGCCTGCAGCGGCTGCCTCATGGATCAAGTTCCGAGGCTCAGCCTCAGCCCTGTTTCAGAAAAAAATTGTACATGTCTGGCTTGTAAGTGGACGGCTGATCGTAGATGAGTGCGCTCGGATCGTTCGGTTCGTCCCAGCTTCCGACCATTTTTGGCGCGGGGCTTTGGGGCGGAACCGAATTCTGCGACATTCTTTTGGGCGGAAGGGCGGGCGCGCCGCGACCATAGTCTGGGCCGGGAATGGGCGCGCTCGACCCCACTGCGTTTTGGTATGGGGCGCTTTGGTATTGGCCAGGCACCTGGTACTGGCCGGGCATTTGCATTGCACTGGCGTTGTGGAATTGGCCGCTACTTTGCATAAGACCGGGGTTCTGTGGACCCGTATTTTGCATAGAAGCAGGGTTTTGCAGACCAGTATTCTGGAAAGAAGCAATGCTTTGCGGACCATTTTGCATCTGGCCGGGACTGTATTGCCCTGTTGCCTGGTAGCTTTGTCCCAAGTGAAGATTTCCCATTGAATGCTCGAGACCGCGCTGCTCCAGTTGCCGCATCTCCTGCTGGATGGTTCTGGATATGTTTTCGGCATAATTTGCCAACTGCGTGTAAAACTCCACGCCTTTGGCCAATCCAGTGGTGTATTTTTTCCAGTGGTCAGAGTAGAAGCTGTTGATGCGGCTCAGTTGTTGCGAGATCAACTCGTCCTGGAACGACTTCGATGTTTGTACTTCTTTAACCTTCGGATCAGACGACAAGCGGTCCCATCTCTTTTTGAGCTCTGCGATCATATCCAGCTGCTTGGCAATTAGACCATCGAGCTCTTCGCTGAATGGCTCGAACTTCTTTAGCTCTTCTGGGAAAATCACCGTTTTGATCTCGTTCGTGGACTTGATTTTGCTGTTCAACATGAGAATGTCCGAAATATCGTCGTTGTGTATCTCGCTCTTCAACTTGGCCACCAAGTTGGCTTTGCTTGTTTTGATTTTGTTGAGCTCGTTCAATAGGTTCTCAAGTGCAGAAATCTGTTTCTCTACCGTATCATTGCGTTCGGCAATTTGTGCATCATCCATGTCCAACAAACTTACTTCCTCAACTACTGAAGTTTGTCTTTCCGGAATCAGAGTTCGAAACAAATTACGAAACTCAGCAGAATCAGCGCCTCCACCCAAGATCTCATGGAGTTTGCTATTTTCGGAGTCCACCAAAGCAAAAAGTCTAGAGTCTGAACTTGCGGCGTCATACAAAGATTTCTTCAACCGTATCAAGTCCTCACGGAATTTTCCGCTAGACGCCGTAATTTGACTTGATAACGCAGACTCTGCTGTTCCAATGTAATGGAAAATCCTTTTGCGGAGTTCTTCAATGGATTTTCTGTTTTGCACATCCTGCGAGTATCGCAAAGCAATTTCATTTGCCTTGTTAATAAGCTCTGGGGGTATGCGGCTCTCGGTAGACAGAACATTAAGCTCTCTGTTACTGCTCAAAATCTCTTTTATGTTAACCAACGCTTTTGGAAGCTTCAAATATTCCAAAACAGACAGTAACTCTTCGTTTGAAACATCGACTTCATCAAGCTCATTCCGCAAGAGCTGCGACTTTTCTTCCGAATAGTAACTCAATAGCTCGTGGATGTTGATGGGCACGACGTTTTTCAAAAAGTTGTTGTAGTTGTACTCGCTGATTTGGTTGAACGTTTCAACTTTGTTCATGGGAATGATGGATGTGCTGTCCATGGCCTTAGGTTCGGGTAAAGTGACCAAAGATGGTACGATGTCGTGGTAGATAAGATCATTATCTTTGTTCAAGTCCGCCAACTTGATGTTCAAGGCATCCTTATGATACTTGTAATTGTCAAGCAACTCATAGGCATCTTCTCCACCAGCTTTGGATATTGCTTTCAACATGGAAGACAGGATTTCCTCGAGCGCATTCAAAGATTTCTGCAAGTACGCGATAGCATCACCGTATTTGCTTGTAGCTTCCAATTGCAAGCCTTGAAAATAGTAGCATAAAGACCGATAGTAAATGGATTTAAAGTAAATGGTAGCCACCCAAAAATCATCCAAGTTGGCTCGTACAAGGTTCTCGCCTGGACCGGACTTGTCCACCTCGTACTCTCCAACGCTCTCGTCTTCTGCATTTGAAAGCTCGTCCAAAGAATCCACAACAGCATATGTTGAGTGCAGACTGATTGCAGCAGCTCCTGATTCCGAAAGATGGCCAACCACGCCATAACAGGCCTCAAAATGGTTGGCAGTGCTGCGACAGAGTTTGGCGATTAAAGAATTTTTCTTTTGCTCCAAGTCGCCGTCAATCACACGCAAAGTGAATATTTCCTGGCTCTGTGCCAAACACAAGTCGATCAAAAACTTGACGGTAGCAGGCTGCAAGTCACTTGAAGGTGCATGCAAAAAGTTCTCTGCTAGGAAGCTGAAGACTCCAGCCGCTTGTGGAAAAGCTGGACTGCTTCTTTGAACGCGCCTGTCTCGTCTTTCGAAGCCCGCTGCGCCTCCTTGTATTTGGAAACAGCAACTTTAGTCATCAGAGAGCCCAAATTGAACAAAACGCTGGCCTTTTCAAACGCCAACGCATGTTGCTGGTGTTCTGAAGAAGGGAGAAAAGCATCGTGCCACACGAACGAGATTTTTTTGTTCTTGTTGATGGCCGCCACAGGGATCCTCAAGTCAAGGATTTCGAGCCTGCTAAAGTATTGGAAATTGAGTTTTACACTGGTGATATCGCTCCCTGTGCCTCTGATATCCTGCCTGAGTTTATCGAAGTCGGCAACATCCTGCTGGAACTCGGAGGTGTTTCCGTAAACAGAAAGAAGATAGTTGTTCAATGGCTTGGACCAGCTGGCATCCTCGGTTTTTTTGCTCGGAACATACAATAGCGCCGTTTTCATGGTGGAGAAGTATCTGGTTCAGATAATACTTGACCCTATATTTACGTGCAGGCGATAGTGGTGCCTGGTCCTAATTTAGAACAGGACAGTGAAAGAAGACTGAAGCAAAAAAAAAAAGGACTTCAAAGCATACAGAAGAGAAATTTATCCTGAGGAAACCCTTTGGAATGCTGGAAATTTATTGGTTTCAAAGTACTGGCCAGTATCATGAACAACTTGGAGCAAGATTTAGTGCGAACAATAACTCCTAAATGTAAGTATTGTATAGATTGATAAGTGCCGGATATGATATCATAACCAAATACTCCTCAGTTGATCTGTTATGTCGAATGGTGGTCTCGATTGGGCATTTTATGCTTGATGAAATGAAAAACAGATCTACAATGAAAAGCCAGACAAGGACATGTCTCACTTATATTGGTGGCTGAAGGCATTTGATATTTAGTAAGAAAGAAGAATAATAATCTCTATGCAATCAATCCCAATCATTTGCTTTTATGAGCGTTTTCATGTGTAGCATGTAATAAGCATCATCTGTCACAAGTTGTGTATTAAATATTCAATATTAAATGAAGTAACTTTGGCTCTCACATCATTTCTTCCTCCAGTATACACTTACAATAAAGGACTTTTGAAAGGCTTCAGACTTGAATTGTTTGTCGTCTAGACAGAGGCTCTAACACCGTTAACCATAGAGCCTAAGGTGTTTTGCGTTTTAAATCTACTGAGTCTTTTGAATAATATTATCATGATCAGCGATAGATAAAGGTGTTCAAATAGAATACGGATTAACATATGTCTCGTCTCTTTATAGCTCAAGATGCTTTCAAGTACTAAAGGCAGATAAAAATATATTTCTTCTTCAACGACGCCGCTTGAATCTTCGACACGAATGACACACTCACCTAACTACTCATTTTCATGTACATTAGAATCCATATACGTGAAACAATACCTACAATTTTATCTGGATTACGATTTTTTCATGACGTATCGAAGAAGGACAGCCAAGTCACACTAATACACTCAAATGAAAAGTGGTTTGCATGATTAAATAGTCAAATGATCACAAGAGTCGCAATAAGCGAAAGACAGCTGATCGTCAAGTTTATATAAGTACGGAGTTCTAAGGCAAAATTAATCATCAATTCTATCAACACTTTGACGAAAAATAAACTCGGAAAATATCTTCCCTAAGCTGGTTGGGTCAGTCTTAACCCTGACTTGAAAGTATATTCGTTATTCCCAAAAAGTACTTTATAGCAATTCACGTGATAAAACACTTTCAAATTTGAGCACTGAACATTTTTGCTGTTCATTTTCGAGGCATTTCTACTTTTTCACACGTTAATTGGGATCTTGTGGAGCTTAACTATGGGGTGCACGGGTCTTCTATTCTCATTTGTGGTCGAAATAGAAAATTTAACGCAAGATGTATGGGTTTTCTACGAAAGAGGTACGGGTTTATATCAGGATGTAAGGATTTTTCCATGGTGCATGGGTGTTTTGAGGTGTACGGGTGTGGTTTTGTGGGGTACGGGTGTGTTCTCTTTTTGTGTCATCCACCAACACCCACCATTGGTGGTACAAACAGGATTTACATGTTGCAACTACTTCTTCTTTCTAAAGACCGGCATTTTTGCGATCTTAGTGCTGAAATTGGCCGACGAACCTGTGATTTTCTTCAAAGCAAGTCATTATGTAGCACAGATACAAACTAGCAGTCTTGCAGTTCGAGATATCACTATTTTGAAATCAAATTCACAAAGTTTCAAGGTGTTTGAAAAAGGAAACAGAGAGACCGTAATTTTTGATATGGAAAGATCATATGAGTATACGAACTGGATATTATTACTGAAACAAAGACAAGCGATAAGTATTTTTCCACATTCAGAATCGGTTATGGATTTGTAACCAATAAGAGAATCACGTATCTACTTCTGTCTTCTGATCACATTTGCCCTTCAACGGAAGACGATAATTTGCCCTACAATTGTCATTTACGATTGTTCTCACAAAACCATCTTGAAGATTTGATGTAAATCAGTTAACTATCTTTTATTTTTTTGAATTATTGAACGTCAATATATCCTCCTTCTTTACATAAGGAGTAAAACTCACTCTCTTTGTTTTTGAGAAGTGTTTCGGGTGTGTCAAATTCTTTGACTTGACCCTTTTCTAAAACAAGCACTCTATCACTGTCCATGATCGTGTCCAATCTATGGGCAATTGTCAAAATTGTCTTATCCTTGAACTCGGAACGAATTGTTTCTTGGATAATCTTGTCGGTTTGCACATCGACCGACGCAGTGGCCTCGTCCAAAACCAAAACCTTTGATGTTTTCAACAAAGCTCTGGCCAAACAAAGCAATTGTCTTTGACCACCAGAAAGGTTAGATCCACCTTCAAGAACCTTAGCATGAAGTCCAACTTGAGGCACTTCTGGCTCCTTCTTCTTCGTCTTGTTGCTGTCCTCTTCGTCTTCCTTGACATCTGTCTTCATAGACTCGACATGTTCTTTCAAATGCGCCATTTCAAGCACCTTCCATAACTGTTCATCAGTGTACTGGTTGAAAGGATCCAAGTTTTCTCTAATCGTTCCTTCGAAAGCACATGCATCCTGCGGAATGATGTTAAGTTGGCTTCTCAAGTCGAAAAGCCCAATAGTACTTGTGTTAAGTTGATCGATAGTAATATGACCTGTAGTAGGCTCCACAATACGGAACAATGCCAAAGTAAGAGAACTTTTTCCCGCTCCTGTTCTCCCGACAATACCAATCTTTTCTGATGGCTTTATATCGAGATTAATGTGCTTCAATACTGGGTCCAATCCCTCTCTGTACCGTGTGGAGTAATCCACAAAGTTGATGGCGCCAGAACTTGGCCAAGTGGAAGCAGGTCTGTGGCCCTCGATAATGGGCTCGGCTTCTGGCGTCAAGTTTCCATACTCAATCAATCTTTCAATGTTCACAGCCTTAGTTTCGGTGTCTGCCCACATTCTAATAATGGCATTCAAGGAACTGGTGGAACTGAAGACGTAAGTCATAAGGAAACCCACCAATGCTGGATTGAGTTTCTTGCCGAGGTAAATGGACAACAAAATCATCAAGGTAGACGAAAGCACAACAATGGCAGCGATAGACTGCAATCTCATCGAAAGCCATCTATTGGCACACTGAGCAGCAAATTCCACTTTAATGACATTATCCACCTTCACCCTGTTGGAATGGATGAATCGCTCGACCTCTCCATAGGCTCTCAAAGACTCAACACCATTGATGGATTCTTGGAGATGAGAAAACACCGGGCTTCTCAAGGCAGATTTGAGTCTCTTGAATTCTCTTGAGGTTGGAATATACTGGTTTCTGAAATAGTTGTAAAGGAAGAAAAGCACACCTATAACCAAAATCATGAATGGCAAGTTGTAAATAACAATGGAAAGTTTAGCGATGGTTGAAACACTGATCTGGCAAAGCAGCATCAACGTCCACATATATTGCTGATCCAAAACAGCAACATCATCGGAAAATCTGTTCAAAATACGTCCCATTGGTGTAGTGTCAAAGAAAGACATAGGTGCTCTCAACACACTCTTCGCCATACGATCATGGAAATGCTTCGAAGCAGCCAAAGAACTGAATGTAAGGATGATATAGGCACCCACGAAGGTAAGAAGACCAGACGCAATACCAGTAAAGGCGTAAAGCATCAAGTAGAATCCCAGATCCACATTGTGTCCCACCTTAAGATTTTTCTCGGACCAGTGTTTCAAAATGACGTTTCCTCCGATCTCCAGACCAATCACAGCCCAGTATATCACTAACCACACAATAACATATATCCAGTTGCACGCCTTCAAATATTCTGCAAAGACAGCCCATTTGACATGGCCCTTTTCTTTAACTTCCTTGACCAACTCCGTAGTTTTGACTTTTCCGTCGTCATCATCAAACTTGTAAACATGGTCGAACGAAACTGCACTAGCCTGGCCCACAGTGTGGTTGGTGTCCACTTTAGCAAGTTGATAACCACCCAAATCTTCTACTTCAGGCATTCCTGGTTCAAAAGGCTTGGGGGAAACTTGCGCTGAAAGCTGATCTTCTGAAACAGACTGTGGGTTGGATTCAGGCGCTTCAGTTTCAGTCTTTTGTGTGTCAGGGGTTTGTTCTTCCTCGGCCTCTTCATTAGAGAATTCAGACACCAACAGATAGACTTCACCCTTCTTTTTCATGAGCTCATCAAAGGTGCCGCGTTCCACGATTTCACCTTTGCGCAAAAAGACGGTTTCATTTGAAATACGCAAAACACGAATAGAATTGGTGGCAAGCACAATGGTCTTGGATGCAAGCAAGCCATTGGAACTCAAAACGGCATTGGTGATCTTTTTGCCCACGTGTGAGTCCACTGCGGATAAAACATCGTCCAAAAGGTAAATGTCTGCTCTGGAGTAAACAGCACGGGCCAAAGAAAGACGGGCCTTTTGGCCACCAGAAAGAGAAATTCCCTTTTCACCCACGAGAGTTGCATCTCCATCAGGCAAGGATTCAAAGTCGCTCACTAACTGACAAGCCTCAACGGTTTTCTCGTAGAATTGTTTGTCGTAGCGCTTTCCGAATAAAATATTCTCACGGACTGAACTGTTCATGATCCAGGCATTTTGAGCACAGTAAGCCACTGAACCATTCACGTGGACCGAACCTTTTCCATCTTTGACGAGAGAGATTTCGCCAATGAGTGCTTTCATAAGAGTTGTCTTTCCTGCGCCAACTTTACCAACTACACAAGTTAAGTTTCCCTTGCGTGCCGAGAAGTTGATGTTCTTCAAAGCAGGAGTTTCGTCGCCGGTGGTAAAGACAAAAGTAGCATCATTAACTTTAATGCTTTCTTCACCCTTAGCAATAGTTTTCGAGGTGCGTTGGATGATGCTTTCATCACGTTCAGGCATGGAGAAAAACTCGCCCAATCTGTGCATACTGACCGTTGCTTCAGCAAAGTTGGAGAAAACAGCAGGCAACATCAAAAGTGGCTGAGCCAAAAGGTCAAACAAGGACAAGGCGGGGAAAATGACAGAAGGAACAACATCTTTCTTGCTGACTGTAGCGTAAACACTGTAGACAGCGCACGAAACGGCAAAAGGGACACAATTCCACAAGAACGAAGCACCAGCATTGTACAATCCCATATTTCTTCCATTGACCAACTCCTTTTTGTTTCTGATTTCGTGCAAACGAGCAAGCATGGGCCTTTCCCACAGATAAAGCTTAATGCTTTTGATGGCATTGAGGATCTCACTGGTCAAGCGGATCCGCTCGTCCTTGTACGTCATTTGGGTAGTGTAGAGCGAATAAATCGCTTTCGAGACGGCAGAACTGAGAGGGACCAAAACAAGAGCCGTGCCCAAACCAGCAAACATTGCCGAGCCCAAGAGCTTGTAGATGGCACCAAGACACAAGATCAAACGAAGTGGGATCGTCACAGCATCCGACATGGTTTCCACACTGTAGGACACCTCGGTGATATCGGCAGAGACAAGATTGACAATGTCACCACACAGCTTCTTTTTGCGGGCCTCGGGCGACAAGCGCATGGCCTTTTCGTAACACAATGCCGTTAAGGACGACAGAATGCTGTATGAGCAGAAGAAGAAACAGATAAAGTACTGGTTGAAGGAGACGTAGCGCACGACAGAGGCAGCGTAAATGGCCAAGGCGATGGCAAGACCTTGGATCAAGGGCGGTGGAGGGCCTTCACCGTAGGTCACAGCAGCAAAGTAGAGAATGAACTTCTGAAGTAAAAATGGCATGAGCGTAAGACACGACATGTCGATGAACTCGCCAAGCATACCTCTGAAAAGCATCTTGTAGTGGGTGCGGAACAAGACAAAAAACATGACGGGCCGTGAAAGCTTTGGCTGTTTCTTGTCGCCGTTGGAAGCAGCGATTTTCTTTTCTTTGGCGGCGTTCTTCTTCTCCACCCGCTTGACCTCCTTCTCCCAGCCCTTGCGGAAGTCCAGAATAGTCACTTCACACTTCAATTCGATCAAAGGCTGAGGCACATCGGTCACATCAATAGTGTGGGTCTTGTAGACGGCCCGCATGGTTGGCTCGAGCCACGTGAAGGTAATCGAGGAGACAAGATTGCGGACAGTGGATATGTCCCATCCGTTCAAGTCAAAGTACTCAGAAAGCTCGACGGAAGGACGGTAGAAGTACACTTCCAAAAGATAAGCCAAAATGGCCGAGACGGGCAAAAGAGACTCGGCCGCGCGCGAAATGGCGTGGCCGTGGGCGCCCGCAGCAAGAAACGTCTTGTGGGGCGAAAGCGAGTCCAGCGCAAACACAACAGTCCACACCACAAACGAGGTGAGCCAAAACACAATGACGGACGCGTGGCCCACGGGCGAGCGGGTCACTTCGACAACGACAAGGGGCAAAATGACAAGGGCTGCGCCGAAAAACAGCACCGCCAAGGCCGCGCCGAAAACGCCGGCAACGGCGCCCAGGTGCTCGGGCGATAAGGCGCGCGCGGCGGCCAAAATGGCAATCAACGCGCAGTACACGCCGCACAGCACGGCGCGCAAGTAGAAAAACGCGCCCACGGAGCGCGCGCTGCGCACCGACCCGAAGGAATATTTGATGCGGTACGGCCCGTAGCTGTTCCACAAAAGAAGATGGGTGGCCTGCAAAAACGCCCACACCGCCACTGCTCCTTGCACCAAAAGAACGGCCCACGCCAAAGTACACGGGTTGATGTAGTTTTCGTGCGGGTCGTAGAGCGGCCGTCTAAGCGACTCGCCCAACAGACATTGCGGCAATGCCGCAGCCAAGACTGTTTGCGGATTCATGGTGTCCTGGGTTTTTTCGGGGCGGAGGTGCGCTCCTTTATATATTCCAGCGCCGCGCGCCGAGGGGGGTATGTGTCTATCTCTATCTCTTTATCGACTGTACATATCGTTGACTCTGTCTAGCTTGGGGTTCGTGGAGGTTTTTTCGAGAAGTTTGTTTGTTTTTTCTTTGAGAGTAGGGCATTTCGCCTCCGCCACGGCCTTTCCTTTGCGTTTTTGTCACTCAATGCCTGGATTTCGGCTTCATTCTGGTGTCTTTGCCCGCTCGTACTTCTCCCTTCGATTCTTTGACATTTCCTCTTTTACCCGCGCCGCATGTCTTGCCACCCGCCTGCGCTTTAAGTGTGTTTGTTTTTTTTCGGCGTCATGTGCCGTCCCCGGTCTCCATCTGTCCTACTCGATACCACCCTCGTTCTCGCCCATTTCTCACCAACTCAAGCCGCAGTTTTGTGATACACATCTTCTCGAGCTCAAATGCCCACACCACAAATTTCCCCCTTCCTCTACGCCTCGGTGTGCGCCGAAATATCCGCTTTCAAAATCTTGCCCGGCCCACTTTGCGCTAAGTTAACCCCTATTTTGTTTGGGTCCCACATTCGCGCCTCAGTTGCGGCACTCTCTTTTTCTCCTCTCTGATTGGCCCATTTTCCTTTGTGTTTGTGCTGTTTCCTCTCTTGCTGGTTTTTTCTTCCATCAAATCATGCGCACCGGCTTATCAAGAATCGCTCGATGGACGCATTCCTGCCTAATGCATATGTCGTGCAGAGAGCCGCCGGTGGCGACTTTTTATCAATCGTCACCATCAGCCACTTGTACTTCTACATGAAAGAGATTTCTGTGTCTTGTCTTCTCCATAGCATATACTTGCTTTCCCCCCCTGCATCTTGTCTCGCCCACTAAAATTCCTCACGTCTTTCTTCCAATCTAATTCTTCTGGCCATTGCCGTTTTCGGTGTAATGGTTCCTCTTTCGGCATATCCTGTACATACGCCACACGCAATGCCCTTCAAATCGTAAAGCGTCCAGTGTGCACTCCCACTGTTCTTCTCCAACTTCTCCATACCTTATGGATAATTACATTCGGGTGACTCACATCGCCAATGGCCTAGACAATCTCATACCAGTCGGCACTCTCCATATTTCTGGCCTACCGAGTTCGGATTTTGCCTTTCTGGGGGTTCAGGCCCAACCGGGGGGCTGGAACTGGCTAGACGCAGACTTTCTCCATCATCACTTCGCTGCGTCTTTCCACCCTGTCATTGCCAGCTTGGTTTCGCTTTTGCGTCTCCGCTTTGCTGTGGCCACTTACAGACCTGTGTTTGTTTCCTTATCTCCGGCCCATGGGCTGATCCTTATTTTCCGGGTGAGGCTCTTCATGGTTCCAGCCGACATTGACGGTGCACGTTTTCTTCGCCTGTGGCAGCGTCAATGGCTGGAAAAAATACTTGGCTCTGACTTTCAAGCGCTCATGGTTCTCGTTGGTTAATGTTCTAGATTACTCGGAGGAAACCTGGCGGGACCTGCGCCGCCATGTGTCTTTGGCCGAGATAGGCTCTCTCTTGCTCATACCGTTTGCATCTGAAGGAAAACTGTCTGGGCCAGACCCTTTCCATATTGGCCGCTGGAAAGACGGCTCTGCGTTCAGTCCGAGCTTGGCCAAGAAGCCTTCTCTGTTGGAAGAGATTGTCCAAAGAATATACAACTCGATTCCTCCTCCTGATGTATCTGGCTACCAAATTCGGCCCATGCCGAAAACTGCGCAAGTCCCCACGTCCGAAGAGGTTGTCGTCAGTCTAGCGAAGAAACGTACTAAAGCTCTTCCTGGAGTCCGCACTACATTGTACCCATATCAGATCAATTCGCTATGCAAAATGTATGAAAAAGAAACCACCAGTCAGAGGGAGCCTGTGCCAAATTTTCTTTCTTTCCGATCGCCTTTAAATCTGACATATTATTTCGATACCCTCAATCCGGCTTTTTACCTGAACCCCGAGTTGTATGTAAAGCCACGAGGTGGCATTTTGGCAGAGAATATGGGCTTGGGCAAAACCCTCATCTGTCTCAGCCTTGTTTGCTTGACAAAATATGATGTTTCCATCATACCTGAGGATATGATTCTTCACGATGATCAAGCGCCAAGTTCCAATAAGATCCCATCCTTGTGTGACGTATCCATCGACACAATCAACAGAAACTCTCTTCCCTGGAAGTTCTACGAAGAGGATATCCCCAGCTCAGTAGTGGAGAAACTCAAGCACAATCCGGGATCATTTAAAATAAGCATAAATCACGGAAAAAGTCAATGGAGCGAAAGAACGAAAAGCAAGAAGATTCAACCCACCTCCAAATCACTTTATTTATGTGGCACGACTTTACTCATAGTTCCCGAAAACTTGTTTCATCAGTGGAACAGTGAGTTGAAAAAACATATCGACGACAACTATCTCCATAAGTTGTTTGTCTCTGACCGTTTCAAAAAGCCCATCGTTTTGCCTAATTCCATATACACAGACTGTTTACCGCAAGATCCTAAAGAACTAATACAGTATGACTTGGTTGTTATCACCAGCGCTGCTTTTGCCAAGCAAGATCTTGATAGAACTGCCTTGGCTCATGTCTACTGGAAGCGGCTCATAATAGACGAGGGCCATTCTATGGGTTCAAAATCCTCTAATATTAGTGTCCTATGCTCTGCACTTCAAACCGAGAGAAGATGGGTTGTCACCGGTACTCCCACCCCAGGGCTAACTAACTTACACATGGATGAAGATGAGAGCGGACATAATACACATACGAAAAAGACCCGCAAATATGTGGTCAAGAAAGCTTTTAATGTGAAAGAAGACTTGGTCAAGTTGGGTAATTTGGTGGGCAACTATTTCAAGATTGAGCCTTTCTGCTCCCAGCCCAGATTATGGTCCTCGGCTATAGTGAAAAACTTGGCTCTGAGTGGTTTCAGCTCGGAGATGAGTCTCCGAACACTTTTGAGCTCTTTGATGGTGAGACACTCTCTTGCCAATGTCGAGAGTGATTTATCGTTGCCTCAATTGCACCATGAAGCGGTTTTGCTCGCGCCGTCGAACCAGAATAAACTTGCAATCAACTTGTTCAATGCTGTCTTAGCTGTCAATGCAGTTTCTTCTGAAAGAGAAGGGTCAGATTACATGTTTGACCCAGCAAACCGTCTGCAACTTCGAAGGCTTGTGACAAACTTGCAACTAGCCACATTTTATTGGACTGGTTTCAAACAGCTGGATGTTGAAAGCCTTATCAACGTGTCTAAACACTGTATGGAGAAGCAAAAATCCGGTGGCTCTCAAGCTTTCAGCCAGCTGGATTTCTTGTTGCTCGAAAAATCTATACTGGCAGCGGAAGAAGCTCTACATAATCCCCAATGGCGAACAGCGTCTATGCTACATGAAATGCAATATTATGTGCGGGGACTTCCAGCAGCTTTTTCCAAAGCCTTTTCAACTGGAGTGTCGCATCATCTTGCAGTGTTTGGTGCTCCTCAAATCACTGCTTTGCAAGAGTTTTTCTACAAGAACAGATTCATGGATATGGGCAACCAAGTTCTTCTCGAAGAGAAACTTGATGCTGCGGCAAAACCGTTCTGGAAAAGCTACTGGACTGATGCAACTCAAAGAGAAAGTACAAAGTTTAAGAAACAAGAGCTGGCCCACGATTTCGATGTGCACTTCTTGACAGACGAGACAACACAAGAGGCTAACACCACGTACAAGTTATCCCCCTCCAAGAAAACCAAGGTAAGCCCCAAGCGGAACCTGACGGAGGAAAAAATGAAGAGCTCCATCCGTGTCGGAGCAGAGAGCAGTTTTCCTGGTCAAGACATCAAGAAGGCGCAGATACTAGGAACAGCGTCGGCCAAATTGTCGTACTTGTCCTCGCGTTTGGTGGAACACCAGTTGGAAGGCGTAAAGTCGATTGTGTTTTTTGAATTTGAAGATAGTGCGTACTACTTAGCCGAGCTGTTGGATATTCTTGGTGTGAACTACATTCTTTATGCCACTTTTGTTGGAGCAGGCCAACGAGCCAATAACCTAAGTGATTTTGACGATCATGACGTTGAAAAAAATGGAGGTATCACTCTCATCATGGATCTTCGCCTAGCTGCCCATGGACTCACCATTATTTCTGCAACTAGGGTCTATTTCACGAGTCCAGTCTGGCTGAGATCTGTGGAGGCCCAGGCCATCAAAAGAGCCCATCGTATTGGGCAAAAGAATGAGGTTTTTGTAGAAACCCTTGTGTTGAAAGGCACTTTAGAGGAAGAAATTTACAAAAGAAGGCAAACGGATAATGCGGCAGATCTGTCCGTGGTGGATGACTTAAAAATGCAACAGTTCTTCCAAAAGCATGAATTCTTGGATTTCATATCTGATTGTGAATATAGTGTTTTTTCGTCCCCGTCGGTGGGAAAATTGCCTCCTACAGAGGAGCTGGATGCATCATGTTCTCTTTTACGACATAGACCTGCTCAACTGCTCAGACCTGATGGAGCTCGAGAGTGGGTAATGCGGTTATTCAACGCAGACAACTTGGAAAAGTTCAATAGTTCAAAGAGACAAAAAGTGGAAGCCGAACAACTCAATAAAGAGTTGGTTGAGGGAAAAGCCTTTTCCGATGTTAAAAGGCGAAAGGTTGTGTCGAAAAAGGTGACCTTCTAAAGATTACGATTAGAAGATTTTTACTTTTCGATTGGAATTTTGCTTTTCGGCCAGAGTCAACTGATGATTATTAATTCCGAAGTTTCGAGGAACAGTAGCACACTCAAAGTAGTATAAGATGCAACATCTTTTTTACTTTCATCAGAAAACCTTATATGTGATATTGAGACGTTCTTGGCTCCAGATTCCTTCTAGAATTCAAGTAAGGTAAGTGACCATATGGATATCACGCAAATAGCATATGAAACTGGCCTATTTATACGCACTGCCATGTAATCTCGAATGTGGTGATAGATCTATTATGGCACAGCACGGTTGTTGTATTACGCTGCTGCTACTATTTTCTGTCCAATGGGACGCTTTTCTATGATTTCTGATCAGTAAAATGTAATCCATGATATATTCGCTTGTTGTCGAAATTTACAAATTGATAATTATGTATCCATTGATTGTATTCAACACTAATTGAACTTATATGGGAACCGGCTTGTTCGTTACTGATTCTAAACATGCTACTCTGTACCAACCAACAAATTCTCCTGGATGTATCGTCTTTTGTGCTTCAGGCTATTAATTGCTTGCGTTGCTGATACTCCAAGAAAGCCATAGAAGCCATTAACTTACATTATTCATAACTTTGTAGCTGGGTTGTGTATCTTGAAGTCGCCATAGAGAAGACAGCTGCATCAATTGAGAAAATGCAATGCTACTGAATCCAATCCTTTCTTTATTAGTCTAGCAGCCTCTGGCCAATCCACTATTCACTACCACACTAACGCAACACAATGACTCATATTATCAGTACGTGTTGAATTCTGAGCCAGCACAGTAGAAGCAAGTTGAATCCATCCCAGCTAAAGCCACACGTGGCTCATGCTAGATACTCGTAGGAGTCGCCGTCACACCGTGCGATGTACTCCTTGTCAAGCAAGTACTCAATGGCCCGCTTGAGGTCTATAAGTTTCGCCTTGAAACGCAGATGTGCCTGGAGCAACACCTCATTGACCAAGTCGTTGTGTTTCATGGTCTTGCGTGCTTTCATGATCCGCACAATGCTGGCTGTAAGATAGTTCTTACGAGACTCGTCAATCTCGCGTGTGGTGTCGACTTCCTCCTGTTTTTGTTCGTTCTTGATCGTGCTGACAAAGTTCACCTTCAACTTCTTAGACTTGTACTCAGACACAATTGTAAAGGTTGTATTTGGCGCGTTGAAGCTTGCAGCGTCTGGTGGATTCTGCTCAAGCAATTTGAACTTGGTGAAAGGGGATAAATGCGCTTCGAAAACATGCTGTGCGACCCCAACGGTTTCGTGGAGCTCGGAAAACGTGAGCGTGGTGGCCTTGTTGAACGCAAGAAGAATCATAAGCTGGACATTGGTGACGGTGAAAATGAAAGGCGGTTTGCCGCGGCGGGCCAAGTTGGCCTTGACCTCGCTCTTTCCGTGGTTCCATAACCATTGCAACTCTCGCCCATTGTGTTTTTTCGTATACTCATCCTCCACCACCTCGATGGCCCGCACAAGTTCTGGCGCGAGCTTGAGATTATAGTCGTCTAGGTGTGTAAATGGCCACATACTTTGGGCCAACACAAGCGGAGTGAAGTCGCTGACCACAGAGTTACCCACGATTTCACGGACACGGCCCTTCAAATCCTGCGACGATTTCATGTCCTGGAACATTTTGGTGATTTTGGAGGTGAACTCCAAGGAGTTGCCCTCCTGCAACCTCTGCAAAATGCCTTCTTCCAACTCGTCGCTTTTCGTGTTGGCGTTGATCAAACGCTTCGCCAACAAGCGGCGATAGTTGTTTTCAAACACATCTTTGTTTTCAACGTACTTCAACACAAGCACCAAGTTGTCTGCGGTCATGTTGGCCACGTCTGTCTCCTTTGAGGTTGCTTTCAAGAATCCGTCGGCGTACCGAGCCAAAAGCTCCGGGGTCTTGCTGGAAGCGCGAGGTGTAGGAGTGGCAATGACGTTGACGTTGACAAAATAGCGGCACGCCGCATCCAACGCCTTGATGAAAAGCGGGTCTTTCTTGAAGGCGCCGCACACAACGTCGTTGAACTTGCTGTGGAGCAGAATGAGCGCATGCACGTAAGCTTTGGGGGTTATGGCACCTTGGCCACGGCGCGGTTTGTCGTCGGGCTCCGAAGCTTCAGCCGAAGCTTTCAACTCCTCGAGCGCCTTGGCCGCTTCGCTCTTGATGTGGGCCTCCAAGCTGTCGGCCAACGCCTGCAAAGTCGAGGGCACTTTGCTCAACAACTTGTACATGCGCAGAATGCTTTCGATCTCCTTCTGCTCCAACAAGCGCAAGAACTGGTCGTACATGTCCTGGGCATGGTCGCGGATCAACACGTTGTGGAGCGTATCGAGAAGGTGGCGGCGCGAGCGTTCCTCCAAGTAGTTGCTGGAGCGCAGAATCTCTTCGGCCAAACGGCTCTCGCAGCGCACCATGTAGTCCACCACGCTGTGGAGGGCGAGGAAGTTGTCGCTCTCGCGGCGGTAGTACTCGGCAGTCTTCTCCATGAACTCGCTCTCGAAGCACTTGGCGTACACCACCATGTTGGGTTTCTTCAAGTCGTTGGTGTCGATGCCCAAGTAGACCATCAGCTTGACGGCCACCAGGATCACGCTGGTGTCGACGATCTCGTTGTTGCGCTGGCGCTCGATCAAGTCGAGAATCTGCGCCATGATCTGGTCGACGTTGCTGGAAAACATGTGTTCTTTCCACTGGAGCAACGCCAACGTGTTCACGTCAAACACGTCGCGCCGCCCGTCCAGGCGCTCCTTCTGCACCCAGTACCGGTTCATGTAGTCAAACACGTTGTTCAAGTAGCCAGCGCCAATGGTGTAGCGCTTCCACGTGCGCACGTAGAACTCCAAAAACAGCTCGCCCGGCTCCGCCCGCAAGTGCTGGATGAAGCGGGCCAAGTACCGCTCCAACCGCGTGTACATCTCCGCGCCAGTGAGCGAGTACGTGGTCTTGTCGGCGCCGGGCCGCGTGTTCACCACGCTGGTGTGGCGAGACTTGTTGGTGCAGTAGTTGTACACCGCCGTGTAGCAGTTCATGTACATCTTCGAGGTCACGCCCTGGTCGCCTTGCGCCCCCAAGATGAACTCGAGCCCGGGCTCGATGAATTTCCATGTGGCGTCCAAGTCGCCGGCGATGGGGAGTGGGGTCGACATGAGAAGCTAGGTGATGGTAGTATCTTTGTGGTGTGCACACGAGTGCGAAGATGGGTGGGGACTTGGGTGGGGACTTGGGTGGTCTGGAGACTGGACGTTGCGTTGGCTGACTTGATATCTGGTTTTTTGTTGGGTTGTTTGGTGTTGTGGCTGGCGGTGGTGGGTTCAGGGCCGAATTGACTTTTTAGCTTGGTTGTGGTTTGGTGGTGTGGAGGTTTGGTTGCTGGCCGATTCGCGTGGATCGAGTGGATGAGATTGAGACAAGGACAGAAATCTAGGGTGAGATGAATAGAAAGATGAATAGAAAGATGAATAGATATAGATGAGTAGATAATGATGAGTAGATAGAGATGAATAGATAGAGATGAATAGATAGAGATGAATAGATAGAGATGAATAGATAGAGATGAATAGATAGAGATGAATTGTTGAAGGTGAATAGTTGAGGGATGAATTGTTGAAGGTGAATAGTTGAGGGATGAATTGTTGAAGTTGAATAGATAATAGTTGAATAAACAATAGATGAATGGATAATTGGACGTTGTTGAATAGATAACGGATGAATAGTTGATGGTTGGATAATTATGAATAGATAATAGTTGAATAGTTGAAGTGGAATAGTTGATAGATGAATAGTTGAAGTGGAATAGTTGATAGATGAATAGTTGAAGTTGAATAGGTGAATAGTGAATCAAGATTAAATTGAAGAATATATGATTTATAAGACAAATCGTAGATGGTCACAGAATGCTGATACAGTACAGATATAGATCATAGATAGACCATTAATGAATATAACCGTATTGCGATTCTTGGTTCTCAATAACACCTATGTATCATAGTTCAGGTGTCGGCTATAACTATATACCTCAATTCCTCAAGGTCTTCGTACTGAGGACTATGATTACCAGCAGGTATGGAATCTAGATTAATGATAGACAAGAACATGAAATACCACGAGAACCATGAGAACCATGAGATGCTATTCGTATCATCTATATCATCTATTTATCTAGCATCATTTAAATCATCTACTTCATCTGAAATAATCTCATCTAACATCTTATACAATGGCATTCTATGTAATGACATCGTATACATCTATCCTCTTATACCATCTAGTTACATCTAAAATCATCAAATACATCTCGTATTCTCTAAGGTAATTCACTAAAACCTGTAAACTTTTTTGAGACAAGACTCAATTGGATCACAAAAGACTGGAAGCCTGATGAGCAGCTGATGAACTAACTGGTTTAGTTTATTAGGCATTGTTTGGCTCTCGAATATCATTTACAAAGCCAATTTATTGTCTTAAATGAAATTTTATTCATATCTATAGGTGATATCAGTCGATTCGGTATAAGAATTGTCCACATCGTCATCTAGTCGTCTCGTGGGTTCGTGCTCACACGGTCAATCAAACGAATAATGGAAATTGTGAATGTCAATACCCAAAGGAAAAGAACAGTAAGCAAAAATGATGCCAAGGCTTTCTGCCGTCGACATAAAAAGTTCACAGTCGGGTAGAATATTCCATAGGCTTTCAAGTAGGGCGTTCGATCGGTCTTGCAAACCCACTCGTCGTCATAAAGAGAGTAGAATGCAAGAGACATGTTCGCAGATGAGCATATAATGAAGAGTAAATCGAACATCACAAGCTTCATTTTGCCCAATGGGTTTCGGAGTCCCAATGGCTTGCCAGAGTATTCGTCGTATGCGATGTACACAACGTATACTATTGCTACGCATTGTACAACAATAGCAAATATCGTACTGGGTTGTTGATCCACATTGTAGTCCTCATACTTCCGTTGCAGGTAGACATAGATGGACAGCGCCAACGCCAACGCACATGCAGAGAACATGAGAATGAGAATACGTAAAAACAACGGTACCAAAGGATTCTGTACGAAGATACGATGAAGCGTAGGCATCACATCCTTACGCTTTTCATCCAGCATCCAGTAGCCCGCCTTTGTACGATGACGAGGTGAATCATCCGCAGTGCGAGATTGCCGGCTGAAGATACGGCTCCAAAATCCGGGTAGATGCTCAACATCGGCTTCCTGGGCGAGTCCTGTGCCGGGCAAGAACGCCAGCCGAAGTCTCTCGTCACCGCCCCATGGACGGTCATATGCTGGGGGTTGGTCCAACGGAGCATTGTGTAGAACGTCGGGTGTATATTGCTGCGGGTCCTTGACACTGGCAAGAAACTGGTGCCAGTCGTGGTTCACCGTCCGGATATATGGGTCATCGGCAAACGATGTGTAGGGATTCTCATTCTCTTCGCGGGCCGCCTGCGGCCTCTGGTCGTGGTGGTGGTGCTGGTGGTGGGCCGCCGAAAGTCGCTCTAAAACGTAGTTGGGAACGAGCCGAGCTCTGTGAGCATAATAAAGCACAGGTGAGGGCTCATAGGCATTCCTCGGGTGGAAGTTACCGCTGCTATCAGCCGTAGCGTTCGCATGGGAGTCGCCTGGCGGTTGCTCAGCCATAATGAGTTTGTGGAGCTTAAAGGTTTTGGTGCAGGTATAACCTAAATGAGATGAAGTGCGAGTGTTTTGGTTATAGGGCCCGTGCGGATTACCTTATTCGGACCCTTGAGCAAAGTTCTCAATCCTGCACGCATTTAGGGGTTTCCCGGTGATTAGAAGGTAGACAGTCATGAGGAGGAAACCATGGTAAATATTCATCCCCTAAAAAAAGGAAGGGGAATAAACAGCCAAATAGCCGTAATTTAACCAATCATATCATGAAAATGAGTAAAGAGAAATCAAGTGGAATGAAATTTAGCAGAATTACAGGGATTGGATGCGATTGCCGCCAGTGGTTTTCAAGCAGTTTTTGTCTCACCTGACATCTTTGGTTGCCCAATACGCATGGGCAAATAGTAAAAGCCTATAACATAATTATGGAGGAAGCAACAAAGAAAGAAGAGGTAAAGAGAAAAAGAAGGAAAGAGAAGAAGAAGGAAAGAGAAAAAGGCAGAAGAAACAGAAGTCCGTCTTTTTGCGCGGCTTCCATCCGGTCTTTGTATTTCGCAGCCAAAAAGTACCAGTTGGCGCGGATAATAATACACTCATGTTCTTTCTTCTTTCTCAAATACAGGCTCTAGGGCGAGTTAAATAAATAATTTGGCATCTTCGCCCTTCGAATCTCTCAATCTGTTCGTCCCTCGTTGTTTCTTCTATCTTTTTTCCTCTATCTTTGTTTCCTCTATCTTCGTTTCCTGTTTTCCTCTTTCTCCTCGTCATTTTTTTTCTCGTTGGTTTACTTTAACCGCCCAAGGATTTTCGCGCCTGCCAATTTATTGTGGCTTTTGCCGCCTCTTCGCACTTCAAATTCCTTTTCCTTGACACTTTCGCCTTGGCTGCTTGTGCATTGATTTTGGGGCCGCCTTCGCGCCCTGCGCCCTGCTGCGACTTTGTTCCTCTGGCCCGCGCTGTCTTTCCCTGTTTTCGCACTGGCCGCCCCCACTTTTCACGCACTATCGCGCGCAATCTTCCTCCATCGTCTGGCGCAATCTTCTCATTCGTTTATCACCTGCACCCGACCACGCCACTTCTCCAAGCATTTGCTCATGTTCTCTCGAAACTTGGCTTTGGCACCCGGGCGACTGCTCCTACCATTGCGCTCTACTGCGCGCCACTTCTCCCGCTCGGGTTACGTTTCCCAGAATGCCAAACCAGAGGCGACATCGCCAACTGCGCAAGACGGCGCCACGGGCGAAAAACACCCTCTGCCGTTGGACCACGACTCCTTGTATGTGCTAAGTGTTCCGATCACCACGCATGTGTCGTATATTTATTGCAACCACAAACTGGCTCTTCTCGGCACTTCGCAGATGGCCCGCTTACCCCAGATTGTCAAACTTGAGAATAAGCTCGTGAACGTTGTCACAAAAGGCTGGCATAAACTTACAAACTCTAAGTCCAATATCAATCGTACTATTGTACGCTGGGTCCGCCGCTTGCTCAGTAGTGTGCCCTACACGGAGAACTGTCTCCGTTCGTTCCCCAGCAAGCTGCTGATGATCCGGGAGATCAATGACGAACATTTGGCCTCCTTACCGCGAGCAGTAGTCACTTCTGATATTGGGAAAGGCACAGTATCATTGGATCAGCTAAAGCCGATCCCCGTTTATCATCCACGTTTCCAGGAGCCGCAGGCTATTTTGGACCAGATGCACCGTTTCCGTGACAGCTTGGGCGCCCGCCACCGTAAGCTTGCAATATGGTGTGCCATTGGTATTCCGCTCACGCTCCCGTTCGCATTGGTTCCTGTTGTTCCGAACGTTCCTGGCTTCTACATTGCCTATCGTTTGTATTGCCACGTAAAGGCACTCATGGGCGTGAACAATCTTAGCTACTTGCTCGAAAGCGACGACGGAGGTGATGCTGTTGAAGACACGCAGCACTTGACGTTCCGTGCATTACCGGAGCTTGACACGCCATACTTGGTAGACGCCACTTTTAAGAAGGTGCGAGCACAAGATGCGGAGGAAAACGAGCAGATTCTCTTGACACCAGCCACCCTTGACCGCTTGGTGGATGAATTGGGTATTCCTGCTCTCCGCACTGACTTGCACCGTGCGTTGGCACAGGAACTGGCTCGAATTGAGGACAGTTTGGCCCAAGATCCGGTGGAATAAGGCTACGGAGCCACGGCAACGAGGATCGCGGTGATTGATGACATTCGTTAGCGATTACGGCCATTGAAAAGCGAAGCTGGACGAAAAGTGACAGGCCCTCCTACTTGTCGACAAAGTCAATTCTATAGAGGATATCTACTCGACGGTAACAGGAAATGGACAATGCGCAATTGATAGCGATTGACTGCCGTGCATGTATGCTAGTTAAGAAGTCCCAATTGCCATCGAAAATGACTTGTACTTTTAGACTTGTGTCAGTTTGCACCCAAACGTTCATATGGTATCAGTTAGACAGATTGGGTACCATTTATACTCCGGTAGTCTGCTCTGGTATGGACGTAAGGAGACATGATTATGGCCATTGGTGGAACATGTATAGAATTCTGTGCATCCACGACATGTTTATCTACTAGTTGCACGGCGCAACATTACGCAATGGAGTGCCCTAAACTTGAAACGCATTGATACAACGTCACCCGGATTCGAGGGCTCGGGGTAGCAAGGGCGCGCACCCCGAAAAAGCGAATGCACGTGACTTTAACAGTCACGGCTGGTGGGATTTTTTTCCCACGCACGCCTGCGTCCGCACCATATAAGGTGCGCGCGCGCCAGCAATTTTCAATTTCTTTTCTTTAGACTACTATTCACCATGAGAAATAAGTGGAGAAAGAAGAGAGTTAGAAGACTTAAAAGAAAGAGACGGAAGGTTAGAGCTAGATCCAAGTAAACGGACACTCTACCACCATGAATGTTAACTTCTTGGCACTTTGTGCTCGCACGCTGTGCCTTGAGACATTGGTCCGTATATAGCAAATACATGCCTTTGGTATGAACAAGTGTAGCGAAAGAAGCGGATTCAGGCGAAAACAGGAAGCAGGAAACATGAAGCAGGAAGCATTTTGAGCAGGCCACTAGTGGAGAAGGCTGTTATGTCTCTGCTGCTTGTCGACGTCCAAGGGTCACAAGTATGCTGGATGTACGGGTCTTTGGGCCCTAATGGTCACGATGTGACAATTGTCCCGAAAACCCACAAGGCCAGTGGTGCACGGGTGCGTTTTGGGTGCAAAACCAACACCTATTTCCTTCTCCATGATTCTGGGGTCTAGTCCGCTGGAAGATCAGTTTTCTTTTGAGCCTTCGCCACCTCTACGTGTAAAGCGCCGCGATGCGCCTGCGTCCGATTGGGACGTCAATGTCAATAAAATCGTAACTAGCGTGATCACCGAAATGAACGACAAAAAGGACGAAGACGGCCGGCGTTTGGGCGATTCGGACATGGGCAAAGCCGATGCCAGTCTGCCCTCTGTAAGCGCCGCCGCCCGCTCTTTTGCCAGTGCCTCTTCATGTCCTTCTGGGGGCGGTTCCGGCTCCACAATATCTAGTAATCCTTGTGAAGGTTTGCGTTTGGGCCCCCATACGCCGCCCCTTCCAGCGTCGCCCACAGAGCCCCGGCCCGTTTTGCAGGCGTCCTCGTTTTTTGGCGACCCGTTCTCGCAGTACATGGAAGATCGCATGGCGCAGTTTCGGCCCACGCCGTCGCAGAATAATATAGAGAGGGCGCTCAATTTCGGCCATCCGTACCAACTTACGGGCGAAACAGAACGGGGTCGGAAAACGGTGCGACAGCCGAAAACGGGAACGTCTGCTTTTGTCACTGATCCCAACAGTTCCTACTCTTTTCTTGCCTACAACCAAACGAGACCCGCAGCAGAAATGACCCAGATGACAGAAATGACCCAAGTGATGGGTCTCGCTAACACTGCTCCCGAACCTCAGCCTTTGGTGATGGAGTATACACCAGAGGCAATTCCTGTACTCGACAGTAAGAGGGAGGAGCTAGAGTCCGCCAACTGCTGGTGTCTTGTGTGATCGGTGATGAAAGTGTGAGAAAAGAACACCAAGATTGTAAAGTCAGAGTGTAACGGGTAATCCGATTAGGTACCGATGTTTGGCCCACTGGTGCTGTGAATGATCTCTTTAATTAGCTCTCAGTTACCTTGCCTATCTTGTAGATTGTACTAATCTTTCGTAGAATTTTGTGCATCATTCTAGAAGCCCATCTACAACGTCTAAACAGTAGCGTCGATTGTAAACAAAGAAATAAAAAAGGATGATCCTGTCTAGTGGTTTTAGATTACTCGGCCGCCTCAGCAAAACGCTCGGTGATCTTGGTCAACAACTCGGCAAAGAATTTACGGCCAGCCTCCTCACCGTCCAGTGGCTCACAGAACTTGGCGCTGGAAACCGCGTGCTTGACATCGGAAGTGGCCTCCGACAACTTAGACCACACGGCACCGTTAGCAACAGCCTTTTGTGCCTCGTCGTAGTAGATGACAAACGCACGCATCATATCGTATGTCTTCCAGATTGGGCAGAACTGGTCGTAAGAAGAGTAACCGTTTTGCTGCAAGAAATCTTCCTTGATCAAAGTGGCCACATCCAAGACAATTTTGTCCGAGTCAGACAAAGCAGACTTACCAACCAATTGCACAACCTGCTCTAATTCCTCGGCGTTCGACAAGATCTCCTTGATCTTGTTTCTCAAGCTGGCAAACTCGGGGAAGTTCTCGTCGTAGTACTTGTTCAACACATTAGTGTACTTGGAGTAAGAGATACCGGTGTTGACAGAAGGGAAATGCTTTCTCTGTGCCAATTTCTTGTCCAAACCCCAGAAAACCTGTGTGATACCCAAAGTCGAAGTGGTGACTGGGTCAGAAAAGTCACCACCTGCTGGGGACACGGCAGCAACAATAGAAACAGATCCAATTCTGTTAGGAGAACCCAAAGCCAGGGCTTTACCGGCACGCTCGTAGAAGGAAGCCAACTTGGCACCCAAGTACGCTGGGAAACCTTGATCGGCGGGCATTTCTCCCAAACGACCAGAAAGCTCTCTCAAGGCCTCGGCCCAACGAGAAGACGAGTCGGCAATCATCGACACGTGCTTACCTTGATCACGGAAGTACTCTGCAATGGTGATACCGGTGTAGATAGACGCCTCACGAGCTGCCACAGGCATGTTCGAGGTGTTAGCCACCAATGTAGTACGTCTCATAATAGGTTCTTTACGGCCGTTGACTTCGGTGAAAAGCTCAGGGAACTCCATCAAAACCTCAGCCATCTCGTTACCACGCTCACCGCATCCAACGTATGTGATGATGTCCGAGTTGGAGAACTTGGACAATGCTTGAGAAATGACGGTCTTACCGCATCCAAAAGCACCTGGAATACATGTGGTACCACCTTGGACACAGGGGAACAACGAGTCCAACACACGCTGACCAGTCAACAATGGGTAGTCTGCAGTCAACTTCTCGGCCACAGGTCTAGGAACTCTGACGGGCCATGTGTGCATCATAGAGTAGGAGTGCTTCTTGCCTTCGAACTCGACTTCCAAAACAGTGTCTGTAACCGAGTAAGAGCCGGACTCAGCAATGGAAGTGATGGTACCGCGGGCTCTAGGAGGCAACAAAATCTTGTGGTCGTCCAACAACGAGTTCTCGAAAATGGAGCCGAAAATGTCACCGCCGGTGATGTGGTCGCCCACTTTCAAGGACGCAGGGTTGAAGTCGTACTGCACTTCTCTGTTCAAGCACGGCACGTCGATACCACGGGGGATGTAGATGGACTGGGACTTCTCCTTGATGGCCTTCAATGGTCTTTGGATACCGTCGTAAATGTTCTCCATCAAACCAGGACCCAACTCCACAGACAAGGGCTTCCCTGTACGCAACACTGGGTCACCGACAGTGACACCAGCGGTCTCCTCGTAGACCTGAATAGTGGCCTTGTCACCATTGATACGGATAACCTCACCAACCAAATTGGCGTGGCCCACCTTGACCAACTCGTACATGGCACTTCCAATCATGTTCTCCGCCACCACAACAGGGCCGGAGACGGAGAAAATCAGACCGTACTGCGACTCATTGTCGTCGAGAGAGAGGCGCTTGATTTCTTTGCGGGCGTTATCCAATGCGCCAGCCTGGAGGGTTAGTATGGGAACGGAAAGATGCTAGAAGAAGTTGCCTTGTGTTGCTAGAAACATTGTCTTTCTGCACATCCAATGTGGGGTTACATACCATTTTGTTTTGTAGTGATAAGTAGGGAATTGAACGCTTGAATTCTTTATCGTTGACCCAGAGCGCGGGCGTGCGGTGGCTAAATTGGCCGGCCTCGTTACCCGAATTGGCACATGTATAGTCAAGAGAATCGGAGCTAGCAGTGGAGGTTTTGCTGTTGAGAGAAGATGTGGGCCTCTCTTTGTTTTGCCTATTTTATTTTTCCATTTCTTGCAGTCAAATTTTGCTGTTGTTCTAAGCCAGCAGCCGTGCGCACATCCAATTAATTAATTGGAGTCGTGGTCTTTGTTAATTGTGGTTGATGTAATCTGACTCTTTGATAATGCTAGGGTTGTCTTCTTAGGTATCGAAGCCATATTCTGCAATTTTTCAGTTAGTTTGCTTTTGTTCAACTCCTCGGAGCATCTTGTGTTCTGCATGGCTTATCAGTTCTCCTAATCTACGAATCATGGCCCAACGTAAGATCTGTCGTTTCTTTCTGTGATAAGACTGGAAAATGTATCCTAGACCTTGAAATACGTGGCTGGTTGAGCTCCTGTCCTTTTTACGATTTTTTATCGAGCTTGATATTTTGCACAGATATCTCTGAATCCTCTCAAAATTACAAATCAGTCTGCTCGCACCTATTCTTCTGTTCATTACATACATCCTACAACTTAGCACCCAATTTCGCTGCTCTATCTAAAGCAATGTCGCACATGGCGTTGAAGGCTTCTTCTCTTTCTTTGCAAATGTCGTTTCTTTCGATTCTCTTGGCCATGTTCTCCATAATGGCTTCTCTAGAACGGCCGTTGACAAAAACGACATACCGAAGCCCAGGGAAGGTCTCTTCATACAAGCGGTTCAACTCCGCCAACTTTGCTGCCTCTTCAGCGCTGCCCTGCAAAGATTTTTGTTCCGATGTAGAATGGCTCGACAACTTATCTTTGGACGGGCCCAATCGCGGATGTGCAGAGATAATCTCTGCAATCTTGGGAGAGACGGTTTTCTTTGCTTCTTCCTCCTTGAGGAACGTCAACAACACACTCCTAGCCGCCTCAATGAACGCTGTGTACGAGGCGTAAGCGACTGAAAAGATGCGAGGAAGCAAGAAGCGGGTCAATGTGGGACAGGGCTCGAAAAGATGGTCTAGCACCTCGATCTGTGCTGTTTCCGTGAGAGACGGAAGGCTGTCGACTGCCGGTAAGCGATACATGATAAAGAAGATGGGACTACAATAGATGTGGAGGTGATGCACATTCTTATCTCGGAGATGGCCGATGCAGGTACACAGTATCGGGCCTACTAGAATAGACTTCTAGCTGAGACACTAGAAGACAAGAATATACCCTGAAGTAAGTGCTAGAACAGTTCAATCCGGTTCCAAGACGATACCTTTGTATGACGTATGTCCCGGAGCATACTAGTTGGTTTGTTATTATCTGACAATGTAGCGTGGTGGCTGAATTACATTAAAGAGGTACGGAACGTCGACCGATCCAGTAGATACTGGAGGAATTGAGAGAAGTATTATGGTACCAGTTTAGGGTAGGCTTATCAATTTTTCAGTTGCTGATTTTGTCGCAGACCTGGAGCCTAATACTAGTTCTAAGAGATTATTGAACACTCGGATGTTTATCGCAATAGAGAGCTTTTTATCGTGAATGATACATTGGCGAAACCTCTTCAATTGCTATTAGTGCAACAGTGAGCTCCAGTTGCGTTACTCTCAATTGTATGGCAATCTTGTCCCTTATTTTTAATTTAATGATGAATCGAGAATTCCTTGGATCAGACTACAAACACTTTAAAGATAGCACAAGAAACGGAAAGACACAAACCAATGAAAAAAATCCCACTTCTTAAAATGGTTTTGGTAGTTTTAATTTGTAGTCCGTACATTGTGTGTGTATTATTGTTCTCTTCGTTCTTTGCCATTCTATTCCTATCATGGTTCTTTCCATTTCCAAATGAGCAATTCCACACCAAGCAACCGTTCGACCTACAATCCGTCTTAGAATAGACAATTATATTCAATCTCGAGTCTCTACTCATCGGCGTATATGGCCTGTACAGCTCACTCGGCTATTTCAAAGCCACATCACAGTCGCCCAGCCCTTAGCTCTACTAAACCAATATCAATGCAAATAATCTACACATGCAGAAGAAATGTTAAGTGAAGTGCTGTTGCTCACGCAAACGCTTCAACTCCTTCTTGGAAGGAGCACCTTGTTGGGCAATCAATGGATGTCTCCATTGCTTGACATAGGTGAACAAAACATCGGCCAACTGGTCCAAGTCTGTGATGCCCAAGTCGGCGAAAGTCTTGGCCGAAGGGTCGATTTTCTGGTGGATCAAGTGTCTTTGCACCTGGTCTGGGTTGGTTTGCTTCCAGTACAAGAGTTGCTTGAGCTGAGCCACGCCTTTGGCCAAAGACAAAGGAACCTCGTAGTCGGCAAAGTTGTAGGAGAAAGGACCCACCTGAGATGTGTCTTGCGTGATACCGTGGATCATCTGTCTGATTTCCAAGAAGCTCAACTTTTCTGGTCCGTACAACTCATAAGTCTGGCCCACGGTGGAGTCGTCGTATCCAATCTTCTCCAATGCTCTGGCGACATCGAGCACGTGCACGGGATAGATTTCTTTGGCGTTTTTGTTAGGCGTCCACATCTTCAACTTGGGTCCCAAGTAGTTCAACAAGTTGTCTTCACGGCCAAACATGGGAGAAGGTCTGACAATGGTGGAGTCGGGCAAAATGTCACGCACAACCTGCTCCGCAATGCCCTTTGTAGCGTAGTAGATGGACGACGACGAAGGGTCAGCGTTGTAGGACGACACATAAACATATCTTGGGTTTCCCGCTTCCTTGACGGCCTTGGTGATTCTTTCGGTGATTCCAACGTTCACGTCGGCAATGGAAAAGTTCTTGGTCCAGTAGTCGGCACCAATACAGTTGAAAACAATGTCCGAGTGAGCCACGGCCTCGGCAATGGAGTCCAAGTTTCTGGCGTCAAACTCAACAAAGTTCACCACACCCAAATCGCCGCTGACTTTCAAAAAACGCTTTTTCATGTCGTCTCTGAAAGGAACCACGACGTTGGTGCCGTGCTTGGCCAACTTCGAGTTCAAGTAGCGGCCCAAAAAGCCCGAGGCTCCGAAAACAGTGGCAGTGTAGCCTGTTCTGGAAGAACGGCCTCCTGGCCCCACAGAAACATTGACTTTTCCGTTTCTGGTGATGTTGACATCAGAGCCCAAAAACGCAGTGTGGACGGATCTCGTTCTGGACACAGAGGCCCTCACAGAAGCTCTCAACATGGTGGTGGTTGAAGAGTTTAGATGTGGATTAATCCTTCACACAGTAATGGTAAAAAAGTCGGCTCTGGTTGGTTGGAAAAACGGGCCGCGCACGACTTCCACTACTAAACACAATTTGAAGAAGGAATTGCAAATTGCATAGGCCAAGAGGCAATGACTCGTCTTGGTAATGGACGAGAAAGATGTTTCTATTGGAGCAATGTGTCTTTTGTGTAACAGCGTGCGCACTAAGGCACCTTATAAGTATGAGAAAGGTAACTGTAGGAGTGGAAAATAGAATACAAAATTATCTTGGTGTAAAATTATTCTCTTGCCAGACGTAGAGATTTGTATAAAATGTCTTTATCGTAAGAGAAGCATATTATACTATCTGCTGTCAGGTTTGAAGAAATAATTGTGCAGTCTGATAGTGAAGTTAGCCGTGCCTAAGAAGACAAAATAGCGTAAGTGCATAATCAGCATTCCGGAAGATGTACAAAGGAAGTACCTTCTTTCCAAAAGAAACTAATGGTGAAGAACGAAGAATATAGAATCACACAAGGTAAGTCATTGAAGAAAAGAATCAAGTCCTAGAATTAAGCAAACCATGGTCCATTTGTCTCTATTCTGTTGATCTTGATCCAGAATATTGAAAACAATTGCACCACTTTATTAGAGGTATTCACTAGGCTGCCCAATAATATTGACAAACTGTATATCATCACTGACCTTGTTCTTTCATGATTCACCTGCTTATGCTCCTTCACAAGAGTTGCTAAATCTGTGGAGTTGCCTTCGGAATGCTTCTAAGATACTGTGGTTCAAGTTATTATTTTTGGCATTGGTATCCATGTTAATGATTAAGTAACTAAATCCATGAAAAGTAGTGTTTTTCAACCTCAAGTTTGCTTGCATTGCTTTCTTACGACGTTGGCACTATCATGGCGAAAGAAGTTAACAGCGATCGAGGTGTGTTCAGCAAAGCAACCCCATTAAGTAGTTACAGTGTATTAAAAATGAAGATCCCATTGAAAGTGCGTTTTAAAATACTTCAGGTAGTTGTTCTAAGAAGAGATATCAAAAAGACACTGCATTAGACTTAGCAGAGTGGTGAACTGAATCGAAATCATCGAATATCATCCAACGTGTGAATTAAAGGTTTAAATAGTCAGTGATTTTTTCTTCTTTTCAACAACAGCTCACGGGTCTAAAATATGGCTGGATTTCATCATTCTCCATAGTCTCGTCTATTCAAACAGCATGCTTCGATGTGATTTCACAAGTAAAGAGCGGTTCTTAATTTCTTCTTTGATTTTTACTCATAGTCATAATCTGCTGTATATGCCAGTAGCTGGCCATCTGCCCTAAACACATCAATTGTCTCTTCAAGACCTTTTCAATCAATTTATCATACATCAGACTTCCATGCCACATAGTTCTGTTCTATCTGTAGAAATCTGCTGTCAACACAACCGTCTGACTGTCCTACTGTGCTACTCCGGTTTCACTGCGTCGTTGATAACTATACACCGCTCACAAGAAGTAGTCGGGGGTCTTGCGCGTGACCGTGGGCTCGCCTGGGCGCACGGATGGATCGTACTGCAAAAACTGTCTTTGGTGGTTCTCGTCCACCTCCATGATGGCGGCCTGGTTGCCGCAGCGGTAGCAGTAGTTGGGCGCACTGAAGATGGTCACCACGCTCTCCTGGTGCGACCACAGGTAGCCCTCCATGACAAGCTGATGCGCACGGGCAATGAGACTCAAGTCGTTGGTGTGGTTGAACTGCTCGGAGATATCCTGCCCGAAAGTGAAGCCTGCACCGCGGGGAGAAATGCCCCAGCCGCCACGATCGTCGGGATCCGACCACAACAAGTCGCACATGGGGCCCTCGTGCGGCACCTCCTGGATCCGGTTCAACTCGCGCACCTGGTCGATGGTCTCGATCATGGGCGACAAGCCGCCATGCAAACAAAACACCTTATTATCCACCAACGCCGTGATGGGGAAGTAGTCAAACAAGTCTGTGAAGAGCTTCCACACCGTGGCCAGGCCGTACTTGCGCAAGCACTCGTCGTAGAACCCGTACACTTGTGTGATCTGCCTCAGCTCGTGGTTGCCCCGCAAGATCGTGATTCGGTTTGGGAACCGCACCTTCATACACACCAAGTACGACACTGTTTCCACAGAGTAGTATCCGCGGTCCACGTAGTCGCCCATGAACAAGTAGTTGGTGTCGGGACACGGTCCACCAATCTTGAAAAGCTCCATCAAGTCGTGGAACTGGCCGTGCACATCGCCGCAAATGGTCACTGGCACGTGCACCGGCTGCACATTCTCTTCGAATTGCAACACGTCCACCGCCATGTCACACAACTTTTTAACGTCGGCCTCAGATAGCGGCTCGCACTGGGCCAAGCGCTCGATCCACTGGTCCAACTGGCCAATGGACGGCGCAGAAAGCTCGCCCTTCTTACTTAGAGGCGCCGCCTTGACGTCGCTCACGTCCTCCATGGGAACGTCTGTGTCTAAGTCCATTGGAATACACCTGGCGAGAAATTGAGCAAGCGAGAACGAAACGGGAAGAGACGGGCGCGGGGGGAAAACAACCAAACAGCCGAAACACCGAGGGAAAGTTGCAAAAGAAAACGAAGTTGGGTGCGTGGAGCGTCTGTGTAGAAAGACTTTCTCCGCTGTGGTGGAATGGTAGGGAATGGTTTTTTGTTTGCCAATGGGTGGGCGATGTGAGGGTGTACGGGTGTTTTGTATTTGGCCTCTCGTGACGGGTGTGCATGTGTGGGCCAGAGCTACGTCGACGGTAAGGCTTTGCTACGACAATTGTGGGCTTCTTGCGTCTGCGAATCTGACTAAGGGCGTCTGCTTTTCCCGAAATCGGCAAAGTGCTATGGCTGTGGCTACAATAAGGTGCGACATTGTTACCGCATGGTGTTGGCCGCACGAAAATGTCGCACACACCTAGACAGATAATGGACGAAGGACAAAGACTAGAGATTAAGAATACGACTATAGGCCATATAATTGATAGCGGGCCCGGTAATGCGAGTGGGTCCGTTAAGGGCATTAAGCTTTTGGTGTCTGGGTTCTTTTCCATGACGTCATTTCTGTCTGACATGTAATTTCGCTAGTGCGCAATAAACGTCGGCACATCGATGATGAACCAAACTGCCATACCCAACAACTTCCAAAAAGCGGAAATATTACTTGTGTGGAACTATGCCAGTGATTCTGATCAAGTTTCGGATTTCTGGCACTCAATTCGACATTGCAATTACCAAATAAGCTAGTTCCCAAGTGCAGTCCAGAAAGGCTTCAAACCATGACTAAACGTTCGAGAAACGACAATGGAACTCGAACTCAAATAATTCGGAGACGGCAATTTCCTTCCGTCCAAATTTTTTTTTGCCTCTCAATTGTACCGCCTAGCATAATATCAGGTCTATATTTTCTAATTTTCTTATTTTATGCACGGATTTGGTGGTTATGTGTGAAAACTTTAATGTCCTTTCGAGCACTACACGAACACTAATAATACAAACGCCTGCAGTCCCAATAAAAGTTCGATCATCCAGAAGACTGTTCCTGGCAAAAAGGTCTCGTAGGCTTGAAAGATCATAATCTGTCTGCAGTAAATCCAATACCAATGTCCATATAACAATGCTAGGTCAGTTGCATTACACGGAATATTTTTTAGTCCTATACAGAAAACATTCTTGTGTTTAATTCTGCTTTAGATTAAAGCTGTTTCTTTTCTTATTATTAAGCCAGTCTTGTCCGGTTAAGCTTTTGTGTCTTCATACCGTAGTGTTCTATTTCAAGTCACTTTAATTCTCTTTCTAGTGTCTTCGTGACATCGTGTAATACAATTTATTAGTCAATATAACTCTGCATTTTAATAAATGAACTTAAGTAAGTAAGATTTAAAGACTATAAAGTTCGACTATTTGATCAACTTTTGAGTCAGTGTAGTAGAAACTAGTCTTAATAACATAAAATGTTGGCTTTAAGTCATTTAATCTATTCGAATGATACCATAAGGCGGCATGTAAACGGAAATTTCTGTCCACATGAGCTAAATCACACTTATTAGCCCCGAGAAAGGATTTAGAAACCACATCATTTTATCAGAAGATGATCCTAAGGATAACATGACGTCTTTGTTTTGAAGAATAAATCATTTGGTACGCTACGTGATGCAATTGTCGAGAATAGAGTCAAACAGTAGATCTAACTTCTCGTTACTGTATTAACTTACAACACTGTCTTTTGGGTCTATCATCAATTCGTGAACAAATATCTTCTAAAATATCTACTCGGCCATTCCATCAAGAAACAGCACATCGTCGGGCCCCACCAATTGCGCAAACCACTCGTGCAAAGTTGGTTCCAGCAAAATACGATGCCATTCTGGCGCCATGTACATAGACACAGTTTTGGATATGCCAAGGAGAATGTCCACTGCCTCAGGCGCAAGCTGTTCCGGCGCCACGAGTAAGTAGGCCCGCAAAAACGCCAAAAATTGGGGCACGAGGGCGAAAAGCGCCACGGCCGCCCCCAACAGCGGTCCTTCTGCCGAGTCGTTTTGGTTGTTTGGAGCCAAAATCGTAACCACGCTCGCCATCACCGCAAGCAACTCGTGGGCAAAAAATGTGCGAGCCACCTCGCCCGAAAATCGAAGAAGCACGCGGCCTGCAAGCACTTGATGAAGCAAATGGGCCACCGGATGGGCGCCAGAAAAGACGCTCTCGTCGAGGCGAGCACGGGCCACAGTGTATTTTATGTGTTGTGGCAGCAGCGAAGGGCGCCACTCCCAGCGAAGCGGGTCGACAGCATCTGGGGCGAAGAAATTGGACGAGTGTAGGGGCGAAATCAAGTTGGGGGCCACCGAGGGGTTGGAAGGCAAGGCGTTTGGAGACATGGGATTCGGCGATATGGGATTTGGCGACATGGGATTCGGCGACAAAGACACGAAATTGGGCGAGATCATACTGGCCAGTTCTGCCAGACCAAGCAGGTCGAGCGCAGAAAGCATGCGCGCATAGGCAAAAGACACCGGGTGGATTTGCGGCGGGAGAGGCAGCGGCACCGACACAAGCGCGCCGCCCGACACAAGGGCGCTGTTGAAAAGCGAGCCGTCGAAAATAAGAGCATGCCGCTCGCACACATAGAGCGCACACCGCAACTCGGCGGCGCGGCTGTCAAAAGGAGGCGCGAGCGCTTGGGCATGCGAAATGGCCGCCCGCAAGTGGGCGAGGCGCGGGCGGGCGCGCCGAAGCGAGTGCACGCCGAACATGTGAAGCTCGGCGCACGAGAGAAGATAAAGCGCCTCGTCCGAAAGCTCGCCAAGATTGTCTAGCGCACACAGCGAATACGCATCGCCCACTAAGGCCACTAACATGGACATATCGGCAGGCGACGAGCGCGAGTCGGCGCTGGACGACGATCGCGAAACTGGCACCGAGAAATAGGACGGCGACTTGTGCTCAGAGGCGCTGTAGACATCGGCGTTGGCGTTGATTTCGCTTCTGATACCTGCGATCTGGCTCTGGTAGTTCTCTGGATTTCCGGAGTTGAATGTGTCGGCATGATTGAAGGAGTCTTGAAGACTGAAACCATTTCTGTTTTTCGGATCTTGGCTCAGTTCAACTGAGTCCGCATTGTGGAGATGCACACTGTGTGTCTGCAAATCATCGTGTCGTATTTTCAGCCCGTCCTTCTCGCCCTGTGGGTTCAGGTTTGGCGCTGCCTCAAGCAATCGGGCCGATGCGCGCGCGTGGGTTTCCGCCAAAAGAAGGGCGTAGGACGCCACGGCCAAACGCGCGGGCGCAGAGGGCGGTTCTGCGAGAAGCTGCGCGGCCCGCGGCCCAAAAGACGCCACGGCGAAGGGAACAGGCGTGGACTGCGGCGTGCGTAGAAAATCTAGTGCAGGGCTCCAAGAGTCGCGGCCGCCAGCGACGGAGTTGATACTGGCTAGAGTTTTGTGCCGAAGCGTTTTCGGGCCCGATTTCTTGCGCTGGCGCTTCTCGGTGCATTCCAATCGGTTGTTGATGCAGTGGCGACAAGGGCGCGCGTCGTCGCAGCGAGTTTTGCGCACAGCGCAGGCGTCGCAGGCGCGGGACTTTTTTCGCCGCGGCGGTGCGGGGCGATGGTAGTCGCTTTTGATGGAATAGGCAAAGTAGACGTTACTCATGGTAAATGCAAGATGGAGGCGGTGCCGATTATATCAGCCAGGTCGATGGTTGGAGTGGCAGTAGTTAGGTTCACAACAAGCTCCCAAGTACACAACTTAACCTCAAATTGTCACTTCACAACTTAACTTCAAAACTCACAAGTTCACAACTTAATGTCAAAACGTCAGTTCACAATGTCACAGGGCAGACCTCACAACTGCTCAGCCACGGCTCTTCTTCACTCTTTTCACTAAAGTCACTGCCGAAGCAATTGTGAAAGCGAAGATGTGGGCACCGTCAGAGGTCAACAGAGCGGCAAAGCTGGAACAGTAGAAAGCGACTGAAGCACTGTTCGGGTCGGCCAATGCAGGCGAAAAGCTATGCGCCACTTGAGACTGAACTGTAACTCCGATATCCGGCTCGCAGAATTCAGTAATAGGGAAGGGGAACTGCGAATGGTAAGATGAATTGGGCTCTTTCGGTGCGCGATATCTCGCAGTCATGAAGTACGCCGGAAATGGAGCGAACAGAGAAATGAACCAAGAGCGTTCCAAAATGTTCAACACTAAATACTCAACCAATTAAAATTATTCATCGCAATTCAAACCTTCATTGTAGACAGAAGGGCTTCTCCAGACTGTCACCAAACCTTCATTGTAGACAGAAACGCTTCTCCAGACTGTCACCAAACGGGTATGTACCTAACCCTGCGTAAATAGTCATATAGACACCATGCCAGCCCATTGAATTTCTCTATCGTATTTCGTCATGCTCCTGATCCCCCAAATCAAACCTTTACTCTTTGGTGCCTCAATGCACATTTCTGCTGTAGCATGCGCCAGCCTGAACTTGGAAACTTACTGCCCATGCGCAAGTCTGTTGTGTTTGCGCCAGCGGCTCTGCCAGTTTGCCAACTCGATCCAAAACGCATACTTCTCCCGAAGAAAACGGGCACTTTCTTGCGGAAACGGGCGCACAAGTTTTCGTTCGGGCGCCGCCCCAAGTCGAGCGCATGCGCGCGCGCCGGCCCATTTGGCACTGCCCGCCTCCACATAAACGGGCGCCGGCGCCACCATCAGTGCAACCATCAGCGCAAAGCGCGCGTTTCCTGCCTGAGACCCGCTCATATGAACGGCAGACACCGCCGGGAGCGCCTGTAAAAGCTGCGCCGCCTGAAACGCAAGGAACTCGAGCGCAAGATAGTAATCAAGAACCAATGGCCAGGCGGGGTCGCCTGACACTTTGGCGCACACCTCATCAGCTGCAGCGGCATTATGGCCTCGGACACAAACCTCATCCATGGAAAAGTCTCCGTAAGGACTGCGGTTGCCATGCTTATCGCCGTAGTAGAGGCTATGGCGCGCGAGGCGCGACAATGGGGCGCCAGAAGCTTGTTCGAGGCGCGCCGCCTCTGCCTCGACGCGCGAAAAGTCCTCTGCGCCGTGTGCCCGAAGCACCTCGCCCAAAAGCTTGCCCGATGCTGGCTGGCCAAAAGAATAAACCGGACACGGAATCAACTGGGGAAAAGGGCCCCAAAGACCAGGGATCGGGTCCTGGGCCCCAGGAACGGCCGCAACAAAACACGTCAGCGTTCCTGCTATCATCGATACAACGCCGTTCGAGTCTTCTGCCAGAGGAAGCTTCGAGCCACCATCTTGTGCCGGGGTTTGTCCGTCTGCGCTGCGCCGCTGAACAAAAGGCGCGGCGGGGCCTGCGTAACAATCGATACACCCGCGCAAAACCATAAAGCCAGGGCGAGTCGCCGGGCCAAGAACCGCACCAAAGTATCCGGTTTCTGCTGTTTGGTGGCACGAGTTGTTTTCCTGCGCAAATCTTGGGGCGCCCGCCACTTCAACGTTTAATTCTGCTGCAGCCATCACATCCACTCCCCAACCTTTCACCGACCCGTCCATGGCGCGCTCGCCCGGTCCGAACGAAACCACCGCGCCCTCAAGTTCATCCACCACCACGGCCCTTCCATCTGGTTTTGCGCCTGCCATCAAAACATAGCTCACCCAGTCGTGCAACTCAAAAAACACCAACTGCCGCCCGGGATACTGCGCCGCGGCCCATTTCATTTTCGCAAGCCCCATTTCCGCCGTGATGGCGCCGCCCACTTGCGCAAGGACATCGGGCGCTAGTCTTTGGTTGAGCCACTGCGCCTCGGCTTCTGCGCGCCGGTCCATCCACACCACCACTTCGCGCCCGGGCTCCACCAGCCGAAAACATGCGCGCCGGCCCACTTGGGCCCGTTCCATTACCACGAGCGAACATGTGGCCGCCACACACATGGTGCCGGTGCACTTGGCTGCATCGAATTTTGCATTCTGGTCTCCTCCAGCTTTGGGTACTTGCTTGCTTTGTGAATGTCCATTTTGGCCTTCCTCAATCGCTTCGCCAATCATTTCTTCCACTGCGCGCCATAAGTCTAGGGCGGACATGGTCGAAGCCGGGCCCTTTTCTTCGCGGAAAAGCGGCCGCTCCTTTGTGCGAATGAGACCAGGAGCCTCGAATACCAATCGCGCCGAATCGCTTCCAATGTCAATTCCAACACAAGCCATTCGAGAAATGATGAGATAGCAGCGATGAAGAAAGGAAAGAACGTGAATAGACTAAATAAATAGTGGCGATAGGCAATTATATGCTCAATGGGCCTGAGGTTAGTTAAGAGAAGAGAGGTAGAGATGAATTGCTTTCGCGGACTTCGCTTTGGAACTACGATACAGAATCACAGTCGGCATTTTATCAACCGTCCTATGGAAATATACCATAACTGATGCTATTACATCAACATGGAGAGCAAATACATACAGTAGGCATTTATCAGTAATTTCAAATAAAGGAAGCTCGGTTTCAGGCAGCTCCGTCTGTTTGTGAAGATAATCACTTTTTTAGTTTGGACCATCTTATCGATTTTGAGCGGGACTGTACAACTTCAACGAATGAGATAAATATCTTCGATTTACTTCATTGTGCAAGTATTGCTATTGTTATTGAAAACAAAATGCTGAAATCGCTAATGTAATTTTTGGCAATCTTGCAACCAGCAAGAACGATCAAGTTTTGACCTACAGTAGCCAAATTGTATAAAAAATGGACTAGTTCAATCAGAAAATATTATGACCACTATTTGGAATCTTACATTGACCATCCTACAATAGGATGTTACTTCGTTGTGAGTTCCACCAACTACTCAAGCGCTTTCTTTATCCCCACCTGTCTCTTGTTGTCAAAACATCGTCGATTGAATATCTAACATCATACTACAAAGAGTTCAAAACAAACTTACTAAAACAGGGAAGAATCTAACTATTTAGGCTCACGAAGAGAGGGTGACAACAGAGCCGGTCTGGTCGAGCCAGTTTTGCACAGTGTCAGAAGACAAGACAGAGCCAAAGTCTTCATCGACGGTTTGAATGTGGATAGCCAGTTCAGTGAAGATAACAGCGGCCTTGAGCGAGCCAGAGGTTGGTCTGCTGAAGTAGTCGGAAGAACCACCTCCACCGTAACCGTTGACAGCACCTTGCTTGTCATGCAAGTGAGAGATACACTTGTCGGAACCAGTAGAAAGAATCTCGAACAAGTCGAACTCACCGCAACCAGTGTCCCAACAAGAGCACGAAGCGTCACCGTATTGCAAGGTTCTTGGGATTTGAGCGTTCAACATCCAGACAGCTGGCATGTCACCGTTGAAGCCGGTGGCAGAGGAAGAAGGCATCTCGAACTCGAAAACAAAAAGCTTCTCTTGACCGTTCCATCCGTGGTAAGCAGGAATACCCTCTCTGTAGAAACCACAGTCGGCTTGTTCGCTGCTGTCACCACACTTGAGACCAGACATCACCACAAACTCGGTGTTGGAGTCGATGGTGACTTCGCTCAAAGCAACAGGAGAAGAAGAGGCACCGGAGTTGTCGGAGTTGGCGTAAGAGAGCGAGTTACCAAAGGCAGAAGACCACACACCGGAGCCAGAACCACCGTAGTAGTTCAAGAAAGTACAGTTGTCGGCAGAGCCTGGGGTGTAGTAGGAGACTCTGGTCCAGTCACCTGGAGAAGCAGAACCGGAGTTAGAGCCGGAAGAAGCAGCAGCAGAGGCGGCGGAAGAAGCTGGAGAGCCAGAAGAGGCAGCACCGGAAGAAGCAGCAGCCGAGGCTGGAGCGCCAGAAGAGGCAGCGGCAGCAGAAGAAGCTGGAGAGTTGGCAACGTTAGGAGAAGAGCCAGAGCCAGAGCCTGGGGCAGCAACCGAACCGGAACCGTATTCAGGCACAACAGCAGGAGCGCTGGATGCAGCAACAGCAGCAGTGGTGGTGACGGTCTCGCCATTCTGGTTGATGTAAACAGTCTGAGTGACCATGGCAGTAGCTCTCTTAACATGCTTGTGGTGTACGTGCTGGGTGGTGGTGCACTCTTCGGTGTCGTCTCTCTTGGCGTTGCCGGAGCTAGGGTAGTAGACACCAAACTGCAACAACTTCAAGGGACCTCTGAAATGGAGCGACAACTCCTCGTCAAGAGGCGACAAGGGGCCGGAGAAGGATTGGGACTCCGACGAACACTTGCCGGTGGACTCGTCCATGGAGGTGACTCTGTTGTAAGAGCCCGAAAAACCGACGTTTTCGTAGACGATTTTCGACACCTCGTTACAGTAGTAGTTGCCGCCAATGTAGTCGCAGTTTTGGGCATTGGCGCCGGCCATCAAGGCGGACGCAACCGCCAATAAGCTAGAAAACTTCATAGCACAGGAAAGGAAGGACAAAAAGGAATGACTAAGGTAAGGAGAAAAGTGGTTAAAAGAGTGGACTCTCGCGCAATAACACTAGGCTGGGAAAAGAAGGAGGAGTGCGAAATTAAAAACATGCTGGCGAGCAACGGAAAAAAAAACAACGACAACACAAATACTGCACATAGGCGCGAACCCACCTTTGTCTGGAGAATGTCGCGCTTTTCTCGGCAAGCGAAGCTGGTTGTTGGCGCACGGCCGCTTAAATTAGGGTTTAGTACCCATGACAATAGTGGCCCCTTTTATTGTCCAAAGTGGCGCCGTCCTATAGTAAAACACCGTTTCCTCGGGGAATCCAGCCGTTGGGCGCTGCCCCGTGTTTTTACCCCTCATACCATTGCCTTTTTAGCCCTGGCTTTAACCAGGTCCTGCCAGTGGGTCCATATGCACTGCTGGTTAGACGTATCTGCTTCTGGAGTGTGCATGCATGTAAGACATGCAACATGCAAAGCCCGTTTAAAAGGTGTAGTGGGAGCGTAAACGGACCTGTATGGGCATCTTTTATTTCCCACCTTTTCTATACTACCTGTAATGACACTTCTTGACAACGGAAGGAGACAAACGTGAAAGTCAGCAATAGCAAAGCTCAAATTTATCGTCGCATCTCCTGTCACGCGACCACTTAGTTTTCCAGTTTCACCTTCACTGCAGGAGGCATAGTATTGCTTGGCTGAGGTAGGCACGTAAGATCATGGCTGGGCCGGGTCGGGTCCTGTGCTGATGTGTCAAAAGGAGCATATCCTGCACTACGATTTAGACGCATGGTTGTCATCTCCGAGCTGGATCGTCATTCGTCCGATTGAATCGTTTTGTGCCGGAAAAAAACTTAATGACAATGGCCAGAACAGGAAAAACCCATACATCAGGCATAACCGTTGGATTTGCAGGATGACAGATGCCCTCTGCCTTTAGTTGTGCAGCCTTTTTTTTTTATTTTTTGGCATGGACTTTTTTTTTCCTGACCCGTTTCTCGCAAAACTACCCATAAGATCTAGAAGTGAAGAGGTCTTAACCCAAGATCTGTCTAATGCGAGCTGTCGTAGATCCACGTCGTAGATCCAGGTCGCATATTATTGTTGGATCGAGAATGTAGAACCGAGACGACAAGACGATGATAATCAGCAATGACGTCAAGCGAGATACTTCCATAAGCTTTTGCATTCAGTAGATGTCTTGTGGGCTAAAGCGTAGCTGCACCTCATTTACCCCGAACGGTCTAGGTCTCTGTACTTCAAGAAAAAAAAAATTCAAGATCTACGTGCAGAAAAGTCACATCAAAAGGACGATTCAACTCTAGCATTTGGTGATTCGGAAGTCCTGACCGATTCATTAAAGTATTGAATACAAAAATGAAAGCTACACCAATACTTATCGTTTCATTTCGTTCCCCTATCACGTAAATATAGACCAATAATATTACTTTAACTAGATAAAGGAGCTAGTATTCATGAAACGAATCAGAAAAGCTTCGTCACGATAGAATCTACGGCTTTGTGTGCAGATTTAGCGATCATGTTTTTGTGCAGATGTAATTCTCGAACAAAGTTGAAAAAAAAAAAATGGGTCACGAGTTCGAGCTACTCAAAAGATACATTTTTTAACATTTTGTCAGTGCTTAAGGGAGCCTTAGCGAGCTTAACTATAAGGTGCAGACGTTTTCAATTTTGGTGTTTGGGTGTTTACTCAATGAAATTACCGAATCCAGCAATGGTGTATAAGTGTTCATAACAGATGTAAGGGTTTTCCCATGGTGCATGGATGTTTGGTGGTGTACGGGTGTATTGTCTTTTTGTGTCACTTCACCAACCCCCATACTTTGGAGTACAGAAAGGATTCGCCATCTGTGACTACTTCTTCTTTTTGAAGAGCCTTCAAATTAACGAACAATCGATGTGCTAAAACAAAAAAGTGGACATTTCTGCCAGCAATGTTGCATTACTTGCACGTTTCCTTGTTAACTTTTTTTAGCAACTTTATTAAGCAAGGTCTTGTCGAAACGCGTTTATTGTTCTTGATGGGCCATTGGATATGCCTTAATTGTGCCTCTGTATCATCCTTTAATCTTTGATCAACTCTTTTTAGTTTTCAGTTCCTTTTCGGCCTCCATTCAATTTCATGTATTCTTCCCAAAGTACATTGACATAACCAAAAACGAAATGCATCTCCTATTTATTTGCTATCCCGTACTCTATATCGAATTTTTCAACAATTAATCTTTGATTATCTTCAAATACGAACATCTACTCCGTTTTCTTGTGGGTAACCCGGCGCAACATTTGATTAATCCTACATGCATAAGGTGGCACGCATTTATGGCGCAGGTACACATTTCATGCACGACGCACATCTACAACACATACGTTGAGTCGATGTTGTGAAGCAGCCTTGAAAGATATAGAAACATTAATGGCCAATGGCTAATGGCAAATAAGATTTCAAGAAACAAAAATCAAAGTCTTGAAGATTTTTACTCTAGTGATGAAACTGAAAAGTTGGTTCTATAGTTGCGACAACCTATCAAAATGCTATTCAAAATTCAACTGTACCTGGGATTATGTGCAAAGTTTGCAAATTTGCTTCACCAGGATCCTTATATAGCATTGGAAAACTGGCGTCGTCGTCTAAAGGTTTGAGACTAGAGGCAGGAACAATAGCCACTTGGCACAATGGTGAATGTTACAAAAAGATGAGAAATTTTTCAAGTAGCGACAACAGCGATAGATCTGAAACCCAAGAGATAAAATGATTTTGAAGCGCCTGTGTTTTCTTGATGGGTCTTTTTTTTTAGGAAACACAGCCTTGTGCAAATATCATTAATCATGTCTATGCACACCATAACAAACTAAGAATAGCGTTTTTGGACGATCTCAGGCTTCTAACATAAACAAGAACCCGTGCCAGATCATGTCCAAAAGACACTCTTTATACAGCGAAATGCATCGTCTGCCCGATCTTCTGCAAGGATATGTCAATCCGTATGAACAAAGGCAATCTCCACAAGCTAATGCAAGAACCATAATCAATGATAATCCGCAGGTGCCAGATTTCACCATGTTGCAACAAGTGTCCAAGAAACTGGCCTATCTGATGAAGATTGTTGTTGTTGGTGACGGAGGTTGTGGAAAGACATGCTTGTTGGTGTCCTATGCCCAACAGAAATTCCCCGAGGTTTACGTTCCTACAATTTTTGAAAATTACGTCACAAGTGTACAATCGCCCACCGGCCAGATTGTGGAGTTGGCGCTTTGGGACACGGCAGGACAAGAAGAATACGACCGCTTGCGCCCATTGTCGTATCCGGACTCCGACGTTATAATAATTTGTTTTGCGCTCGACAATTTGACGTCTTTGCAGAACATTAGAGATATCTGGTACCCTGAAGTCAACCACTTTTGCCCGGGTATCCCCGTATTGCTAGTTGGTACCAAATCGGATCTCGAGTCCCAAATTGATCCTCAGGAGCCTCTCCGTCTAGCATCAGAAATCAACGCCGTTGGATATGTCCAGTGTTCGGCGAAAACCATGTTCAACGTAAAGACTGTCTTCAACTTCGCCTTGAACCACTATCTTCAGATTCGCCAACGGGAAGAGCAAGTGGAAAAACTGCGCAAGCGTTTATCACGCGTGATGGCTCCGGGCCATTCCAGACACGGAAGTCATTCGAGAAACGGAAGTCGTGGGCACGCTAGGACAGGCAGCGGCATGAGCTTTAAAAAGGGCCATTTTGCCGGCGGATCGCTAGGATCGAGTGTATTGTTGGACAGTCCGCTTGCAGAAGACAATTACCAGGCAAATCCGTATCTGCTGCCACAGCCTCAGAAGTATAACGAGGAAGAGTTTGCTTTCACGCGAAAAAAGAAAGCGAAGAAGTGTACGATATTGTGATTTACGAATAAACAGCATAGATTTGGGCACTGTAGACTGGGATATGAAAGTGGATTGTGAGAGGGAGGTAAATTGACTAGTCTTAGAGCTGGCTCGATTACAGAAAAAGAATTTGAAGTAGCAAAATACTCTTAGCCCTATGTCGGTGGCTGAACTAAGATGCAAATTTGCGTTGCCTTTTTCCAGTACAATTGACGATTGTTCCAGTGCCGAGGTGCTTTCTACTCTTTTGTCTCCGTCTTGTGAGATAGCAATGGTTTCGTGGCGTCGTATTGGTCCCAACAAGACATTGACCTTCGTATTAAATGAGCACAAGATCTCAAAGAAAATACATATCACCGAGATCACTATATCTACAGTCAAACAGAAACAAGCTGTATACATTTGGTCTTAAAATCCCACCTTTTGCCAAATCAACAAATAAACAAGAAAATCAAAATGAACGTTCATGGAATGAAGACCCTTCCATGCATGCTTCGCATATCTATGCGTACGTCTAACTCCATCAAACGCGCGCTTTTCTTCTAAATACACTTTCTTCTCTAAATACCTCCACACGTTTCTGCAGCACACAATTCTGCCTGGCTTTCAACTCATCCATTCTTTTGCCCATTCTACTGTTCGCCAGCATGGACAAGGAAAATGAGGAAAGCAATCAGCTTCAGCCCCAAGACTCGCCCAATCCTGGGGTCGTCAAACAGAACCTCAAGGACGCGGGAAATCGGTCCAGTAATCACTACAAGAAGCGGCTTTCGCCGCTCCGCTTCTATTTGCGCCAGAAATGCTTGCCTCTAGTGCGAAGCGAAACGGCCGTGCTTGAGAAAATCCAGCAGCGGTATCGGAACCGGGCGCTCGACATCTACTTTGCCTGGACCGCCAATCTTGCATCGCACACCTTCTACGTTCTCATGTTGCCATTGCCGCTCTGGTTCGGAGCGTCCCGTATGGCCCGGGACTTGGTTTTCGTGTTGGGAATGGGTATCTATGTCACGGGATTCTGTAAGGATTTCCTCTGTCTCCCAAGACCTCGCTCGCCTCCTTTGCACAGAATCACCATGCTGTCCTACACGGCCCAAGAATATGGCTGGCCCTCGTCGCACTCGGCCAATGCCACGGCTGTCACTTTGGTGTTGACTGCGAAATTGTGGGAATTGCGCTCTGACTTGGGTTTTGCCTTGTGGCTGGCGCTCATGGTGTTGCTTGCCGTGTACTACTTCTCGCTTATAGCAGGCAGGTTGTACTGCGGCATGCACGGTTTTTTCGACGTCGGAACGGGCGCTCTAATAGGTCTGGCGATGTTTATTTTCCGTCTTTTCTTCGGTACAGCTGTCGACCAGTGGGTTTTTGCTTCTCCGCGGAACGGTTCATGGTGGGGCATTTTTGCTACCGCGTGGATGATAATCTTGGGCCACTTGGCGTTGATCCACGTTTACCCTGAGCCTGTTGACGACTGCCCGTGCTTTGATGATTCTGTTGCGTTTGTCGGCGTTCTTATCGGGTTGGATTTGTCCCATTACGCTTGCGTGCTATCCAACCGTTTCGCGGCAACCAACGCCTTTTTCGATCCCATCAGAGTTCCCTTTGATACGTCTCGTGGACCGATCAACTGCTTGATGCGCTTTATTCTTGGGGTGGCACTTGTGGTGGTGTGGAAGTCGATACTGAAACCGGTTCTCTTTACTATTTTACCCCCCATCTACAAACTAGTGGGCGTATACTTGCCACGGAGTCACTTTATCTCGACGGCGCGGACCAAAAAGACATCAAGACAGATCCGTAGCCAGTCGCTCTCCAACATGAAGAATGAGCCCATGCTTGAACTCGACAATGTGTTGAAATCTGTCGTAGCCAATGGGAAGACGCAGGTTGGACCTACGGATGACATTGATGCCTACGAGCTTTTGGACTACCAGCTGAAACACCCTGATGAGAAGTACGATGTGAAAATCAGCGGTGTTTTCCGCAAAAGATACGATGTGGAAATCATTGGTCGTGTGATTGTGTACGCTGGTATTTCCATCACTTCCGTATGGGGCTTTGCGCTAGCTTCCGAGGCGTTGGGATTGTAAACAATGGCATGAGTCCCCCAAAAACAATCACAGTGAGTACAACAAAACTTACTGCGCGGAATTGCTTGTTTTCTTCGTGAACAGTACTTTGAAGTAATATCGGGGCCACGTACAGAAGAGCCCATAGATGGAGTCCACTCTTGATAATGCGCTTACCCACTTCAACTATAGAAGAAGTCGATAAATGCGGGCTTGACATCATACTCTAATTGCAATAATTCAACGCTACCATTCTGGTACTTTTGCTCCCTGGATCTGTAGAGGAATAAAGATTCTTCTTTAACTACGCTAAGCATATACCTCTCGAGATTTGTCATCTTTATACTGTCATCTTTTTCCTTTGGCCAATAATGAGACAGTCATAGTAAGATCGCGATGAGAAAAAAAATCACTGCATAAGACATCTCATCACAGGACTGATAGCGGAGAAACATATTTTCTTCAAGACCGTTATCCCATGCCAGCTTCGATGGATAAACGCAGCGCCGAACCCGTGGCCGAAAACCCGAAAAAAATCAAGCCCCAGAAAAAGTACAGGCGCAAGTATAAGGCGAAGGATGTCGAGCCCACAGCGCCTTTGGGAGTGCTTCAGTATGAAATCAAAGAGCTTTTGCAAACGCACAAGTTGCAGCAGAGCCAGATCGAAAATGACATGAAAGAGTTGCTCAATGACTCTAGTGTCGAGCAGCTTTACCATCGCGAGGTGAAGGATGTGGAGGTTTTGCGCCTTTCGTCCAACGGCGATGGATTGGCCCTCATCCCACATCCTGTCAACGCCCAAGGTTTCCAGATCGCCATTGTTCCTTTCGGTTTGCCCGGTGATGTGGTGGATATTCGTGTTTTCAAGTCGCATCCGCTCTATGTGGAGAGTGATCTTCTTGCAGTGAAGAAAGCAGCTGCTCTGAGAGACGACAGTCTAATAAACTGCAAGTACTTTGGAAAATGCTCAGGCTGCCAGTACCAGAATGTGGACTACGACACACAGCTTGAGTTCAAGAGACAAACCATCGTCAACGCCTACAAGTATTTTGCACCCAAGTTGTCTTTGGGCGGACTACCTGAAGTTGCACCCACGCAGTCTTCTCCGCTCAAATACCACTACCGGACCAAGCTCACGCCGCATTTCAATGTTCCCAATAAGATTCCCCAAGACTACACGCGACCATCGATTGGTTTTGGCGCAAAAGGCAGACCCCAATGGAGAAAGACCGAAGGCGGCGACTATCTGATTCTAGACATTGAGGAATGCGCCATTGGAACAGAGATTGTCAACCAGGGCATGGACAACGAGAGAAAACGCTTTGAGGAAAACTTCAAGAAGTACAAGCGGGGTGCCACGGTGCTCTTGCGAGAAAACACGCTTTTGCCCGATTCAGAGGGGAAATTCAACGTGGAATCGGGCTCCACGACGCCGGAAGGCCTGATTTCCCAGATCGAGGTCGAGGTCAACGACACAAAGCTCTTGAAAACTTGCATCACCGAACCTAGAACCATTGTCACAGAGTATGTCAATGGGTACACCTTTGAGTTTAGCGCAGGCGAGTTTTTCCAGAATAATAACCTGATTTTACCGCTTGTGACCAACTATGTCAAAGAGAACTTGCACATCCGCGGCTCCGGGCCAGACGAGCCGAACTATTTGGTGGATGCGTATTGCGGGTCCGGTCTCTTTTCCATCACCTGCCTGACTGGCGTTTCCAAAGTGATTGGAGTTGAAGTGAGTGCTGATAGTGTCAAGTTTGCCGAAAGGAACGCCAAAACGAACAAGATCGAAAACGCCTCGTTCATCGTTGGCAAAGCCGAGGAGATTTTCAAGAACATAGATACGCCTGCCGCCCGGACGTCGGTGATTTTGGACCCGCCCAGAAAAGGGATGTGACGATGTGTTCTTAAACCAGCTTAGTGCGTATCACCCAGCCAAAATCGTCTACATCAGTTGCAATGTTCACTCGCAAGCGAGAGACATCGAATGGTTCATTCACAACACAGAAGCAGGAAAAGACTACGTGGTGGAGAGTGTACGTGGGTTTGACTTTTTTCCACAAACACATCACGTTGAGTCTGTTGCCGTTTTGACATTGAAGGAGTGACCAAGAAGTTGAAAATGCATATTGTGACGGCTTGTGTTGTGGCTAGCGCCAATAATATTACAGACACAATCCTTAAAGATAGCTTCATTTCGAAAGGCTTATACTAGAACCTTTTAGAGCAGCCTATTTCTGTACTATATAGAACCTTATGAACAGTTGCTGATAGAATTGATGACGCACAACCTAATCCAGCCACGATTCTCAATGATCTACGGTACTGCAATTTTTACGTACATGGTCTCTGTAATTTTGTGGAGGGACATCTGCTTCTTCTCTCTTACCTCTAACTCTAATATCTCGTGAACTTTCTTGATATATCCTCTGATCTACTATAGACTGCGAACCCATTCCCACAACCAACAAAAGAGTGCAGTCACCACATACCACAAATGGCATTTGAAGAACCTTCCGTTCATTTCTGTAACCTTACCAATACATTTATCCTACCGTTTTGACGAAATCCACAGTTTGGCCATTACGGCCCCGACAGTCTAGGGCTGCAGCCCTAAGCGCGACCGCTTTTCCACAGGCGCTCTCGTGCAGGTCTGCGCACCTGGGCTCTAGGTGGAAAAAAATTTAATCCTCGCGAACAATCTTTTCTTACTGTATTAACAAACCAATCTACCAACATGGAGAACGATAAGGGTCAATTAGTATGTACTCGCATTCCGTTTTGACCGTGGAAAACACAAGAGCCCGTCATGAAAAGTCCATTCTCCCCAGTTGTGCTGTCTCAGGACACCCAGATTCCATTTTCCGATCGTGACCCAAGCTTCGGCTTTCATTTAATATTGCACAAACCTATTTCCCTCCCAGCAAGAGACTTTTGAATTCCACGTTTCCCCTGCAAACTCAATACTAACCTCTCAGGTCGAATTGTACGTGCCAAGAAAGTGTTCTGCTTCCAACAGAATTATCAAGGCCAAGGACCACGCTTCCGTTCAAATCAACATCGCCAACGTTGACGAGGAAGGTAGAGCTATTGCCGGTTCTAACACCACTTACGCTTTGAGCGGATACATCAGAGCCAGAGGTGAAGCCGACGACTCTTTGAACAGATTGGCTCAACAAGATGGTTTGTTGAAGAACGTCTGGTCTTACTCCCGTTAAGGAGATGTATATCTAATGTCATATAATCTGTGAGTGAGTGTAGTGAATGGATGCGGCTAGTCGATTTTAAAGACATCCTGTAGATCTGTGCCATGATATCAGATATGATCGTGTGAGTGGCCCAACTAAATTTTCTAATACATTGCTGCTCACGTCAATACCAGTGGTATTTTCTATTAACGACGGCTGACAAAGTGGAATTTGGTGTCGATCATGGATTTATTTTGCTAGCACTTTGCTACATCAGTTACCAAGAAAATGGAAGCTGTCACTACCACGTATCGGATTTGGTTAACCTATCCGCTAAGAAATATTAGTGTAGAATAGAGCTTACCTGATGATGACAAGTGGTTAATGCATGGAATTGCATATTCCCGGTATCCACATGACAGATTTACTCGAGAAAGTAACTTGCATAGAGAAACAGAATGCATGAACACAAGAACACCAGGTACTGGGCCAGGAGACTAGTAGGATACTGGATGCATTTTCTATGTGCTCTTGCTTTTTCACAACATCAGCCTTTTCAGATGCTTCAGCTCGATTTCTTGTATGAGCACGCTACATAAGAGAATACACCTGTCATCAGGCGAATATGGGCCTTCCATGCAAAGCCAGCCCGCGCAAAGCTATAAAAAGCCAATGAAAGAAGTCAATTGCAAGGAGCCAGGCAGAAGACACAGGTAAGGCATGACACGGCAAACGTAAGGCACGTAAGGCAAGCCAGCCAAAAAGCAAAAGCCAAAAAGCAAGCCAAAAGCAAAAGCCAAAAGGCAAAAGCCAAAAAGACAAGGCAAGTATGGCCAACTAGGGAAGGGGCAATGAAGCCATTACGAAGGCAGATAAGGTACAGCAAAGTGTAGAGGAAACCAGTAAAGGCCAGCCAGAAACAACGGAGCAAAAGATGCAAAGTAGTGTAAGAAGAAGAGCTAACAAGAAAAAAGGCGTATAAGAAGGCTTCAGGTCCATCAATCCAGGGTGCCATGGCGCTGGATTATTATTTGAGCTTCCCAATGCGCATGTTGTCTCATCGAATTAGGAAAGTGCGCCCCAAAGTAATCGGGCCATAATAGAAAAGAAGCCGAAAAATGGATTGCCCATTCGGCTGCTGAGAACACCACAGCACCATTGGCCCGTTTTGCCTCTGTTTCCGGCTCCCAAGCGGCTTCTGTGCTTTTTTCCTTCTTCTGATTCCCATGCACCTAAATCCCGTGGGGTATTTTTCCATGCACCTCGTATTATAGACACTCCTAAACACTCCACTATCTCCATATAAATACTCCACGTTCCACTGGGCCACACACTAGTAAAAATAAATACACCACAGTCGCAGGAGGCCCTCTTTTCTCTTCTCGTCATTTCTCTCCTTCTTCTCCTTTCTCGAAATGTACGCTGTGGCTTCCTTGCTTTACAGCCCCGATTATTTGCCCGGGGCTCTTGTGCTAGGCCATCGTTTGCAAAAAATGGCGCCGCCAGACACAGATTTGGTGTTGTTGGTGGACTTGCCGCGGTTTTCCGACCGCCAGATCTCGCTTTTGGCCCAGGTGTGGACCCGCTTGGTCGATGTCAATGTGGTTCTGTCTCTGTTGGTGAGCCTTTTGCGGCACACATTGAAAAGACCCGAGCTTGCACAGACATACACCAAAATCCACCTCTGGGGGCTCGACTACAGCAAAGTGTTGTACTTAGACGCGGACACGCTTCCGCTTTTGGACGGACAGACCACCGTGGTGGACCTTTTGCGTCTAGACTTCCCCAAGGGAAAGATCTTGGCTGCTCCCGACTCGGGCTTCCCAGACATCTTCAACTCGGGCGTTTTCGGTTTGCAGCCAAATAAAGATGACTACCGCAACCTTGTGGCCCTTGCTGCAAGCAACAACCCCGGCGTATCGTTCGACGGAGCCGACCAAGGTTTGCTCAACCAGTATTTCAATGCGAATCCCGACTGGGTCAGTCTCCAGTTGGCCGGGCAGGCCCCGACCTCTAATTGGGTCCAGATTCCCTTTTTGTACAATACAACACCCACATCGCAGTACGAGTACTTGCCGGCGTTCAACTATTTCACTGGAAACCCTGGTCCCAACGGTTCTGATTCCTTATCTAGCCCCGATGAATTGCATCCGGGATCCGTTCCTCAAGAGCTTTCTTCTGTGTTTGAAACCCTCGGCGCATATGGTTCGGCCGCTGCAAGCTACTTTTCAAGTAAAGGGCCGCTGGTGAAATTGGTGCACTTTATTGGCCCGCTCAAGCCTTGGAAAAGCGAAGGTTCAGGCTTGTTTCAGAAATGGTGGGATGCATGGTACGACTATTCCCATGGTTTGTCGATCCATGAAAAGCTTGGGGAAAAACCGTACTCCGTTTCCATCAAAAGGTTGGTTGTGCCTGGCCTGGAGCCAGAGCCGGATAGAATCTACCCTCAAGACTTCCATACAGATGTAAGTGCAGATTACCACAAAGACGTCAACACAAATGCTTATTCTGAGCCCCAGCAGGTGGAGGAAAATAGTGCTTCCACAGAGAAAGTCTTCAAGCCAGAAGATTTGTGTGATCCTGCCAACTATCAGCATATGTCTACGCCCGAATTTCAATCCGCAGCTGCGTGGGATGCTACTGTGGAAGAGCCTCCGCGTACAAGGCCGGAGAACGTTTCTTTCACAGACGATTTGCAAGAGTATGAAAACGAATGGGAGCATGTGGAAGAGGAAATAGAGGAAGAAACCAGAGAGGACGAAGAAGAAGAGGAGTTTGTGGAACAGGAAGAAGCGGAGGAGGAAGAGGAGCTTACAGAATTTCTCCATCAACCTCAAAAGTCAGATGTGGACTATTTTGGGTTCCATAGTAGCCAAGTGGCGGAACGTGTTTTCGATGAGAAGTCTGATTACAATCCATTACACTCGCTTTTGAAGGCCAAAGACCAGCTCTTGACACTGATAAGTAAAATGGCTATTTCTGAGAAGGAATCAGACACAAAAACGGACGCAAAGACAGACACACCAGCCCCGAAGAAAGCGGAAACGGTGCCAGTGGATGAAAAGCCAAAGGATGAAAAACAAGAAGATAAAAAAGCAGACGTGGACACTTCTGCATCAGAAGTCGGCAGCTCCAAGGAACAAGGCGTTCCGAAACTTTTCCCATGGGAGTTTAAGACGTCGGTTGCGCCGGAACGTACCTTCGGCATTTAAAGATGCCATCAAGTATTTATGGCGCCAACGAAGATTAATAATGTGTGCCTTCATGTGGTATAATAAATGTGAATTAAAAGTATTAGACATAGATTCAAGATGGCACGGCTTAAAAGGCGGAAAAGTATGAACAGTTCGATTAAAGTTCAAGTATGCCAATTAATGTATTGTTCCATTAATCTTGTATCTATGCGGTGAATGCATTGATCTGAGCCTATCGTGCACTACAATCTCTTCTTTAGAAAAGTCTGGCAATCAATGTAAAGTTGAAGTGTATACAGAGTAAGAATGTGCTCGCCCTTGAAATGTAGAACAATCTGACTTTTTTACATTAAGCATCATGAAATGTAATGTGGTATGGCTCAGCATGGTCCAAAGAATATGTAGGATTACATGCAATTAATGATTAGGTTGCACCTACCATATTCGACTGTGCACGTTTACAATTTCAGATCAATTGGCCAAGAACAAAACCAAAGAAGTATCAAGGAACAAATTACGCAACCACTATCATGTATCAATTGTCTAGAGTATACTTTCCGACCCAGATCTTCTACTAGACGACGCAATCCGGATAAGACAGGTGCGTGCTCACATTCCTCCAAGTCTGTGAATCCCCTTTAAGCACAGCTGTAGCACCACCTTCTCTGCTCTGATATTCTCCTCTCCTCTTCTTTTCTTCACCTGTTGGCCTTGGGCAAATCTCTATCCAACATTACCACTCCAGACTGAAGGGGTCAAAGGGGTTACCCGGCCGTGAAAATTTTGCTGTGGGTGCGTACAGGAGGTTTTATTAGAAGAGCGAGAAAAAAAAAAAGACCTTTCAAACACCAAACACCCCATCATTTATCATGTCTAACGGGATCCAAGAAGTCGACTCCAACTTGATTGAAAGTAACTACGACAATGTCGTCTACTCTTTTGACGACTTGAACTTGAAGCCAGAAATCGTCAGAGGTATTTTCGGTTACGGTTACGAATCGCCTTCTGCCATTCAGCAAAGAGCCATTTTGCCAATCACCGAAGGCAGAGACGTTTTGGCCCAGGCCCAATCTGGTACCGGTAAGACTGCCACCTTCACCATTTCTGCTTTGCAAAACATTGACGTCAACGAGAAGGCCACCCAAGCCTTGATCTTGGCTCCAACCAGAGAATTGGCTTTGCAAATCCAAAACGTCATCTCCCACATTGGTTTGTACTTGAACGTTACTGTGCATGCTTCCATTGGTGGTACTTCTATGTCTGACGACATTGAAGCCTTCAGATCCGGTGTCCAGATTGTTGTTGGTACTCCAGGTAGAGTTTCGGACATGATCGAGAGAAGATACTTCAAGACCCACAAGGTCAAGATGTTCATCTTGGATGAGGCCGATGAGATGTTGTCCTCTGGTTTCAAGGAACAAATCTACAACATCTTCAAGTTGTTGCCAGAAACCACCCAGGTTGTGCTTTTGTCCGCCACCATGCCTCAAGATGTCTTGGAGGTCACCACCAAGTTCATGAACAACCCAGTCCGTATCTTGGTCAAGAAGGACGAGTTGACTTTGGAAGGTATTAAGCAATACTACATCAACGTCGAGGAAGAGGAGTACAAGTTTGACTGTTTGTGCGACTTGTACGACTCCATCTCTGTCACCCAAGCTGTTATCTTCTGTAACACCAGATCCAAGGTCGAGAACTTGATGGCCAAGTTGAAGGCCAACAACTTTACTGTTTCTGCTATCCACGCTGACTTGCCTCAAGCTGAGAGAGACACCATTATGAACGAGTTCAGATCCGGCTCTTCCAGAATCTTGATCTCCACCGACTTGTTGGCTAGAGGTATTGATGTTCAACAAGTTTCCTTGGTTATCAACTACGACTTGCCTGCCAACAAGGAGAACTACATCCACAGAATTGGTAGAGGTGGTCGTTTCGGTAGAAAGGGTGTTGCCATCAACTTTGTCACCAAGCTTGACGTCGGTATGATGAGAGAAATCGAGAAGTTCTACTCCACTCAAATCGACGAGATGCCTGCTGACATTGGTGCTTTGTTCAGTTAAGCGGCCGGTTAGCGTGGCTTGTGTAAATCCATTATTTCATTAATGTACGAGTTGTATCATAACGTGTAGCTCCTATTTGAGTGTGTTAGGGATGCAGAAGTCAATGCATTGGAAACTTCTATACGAGAAGATAGAGAAACCTTGGTAAATGTTTGAACGATCGTCATATTAGATGTCTACTTTTTGCATCTGGTACTAATTTCAATTGCTCAACACGGTTTTTGTTCTAGTGTTTTCTTCTCCCGAAACCAGTTATGATACCCTCTTTGCCTTGGATGTCTCCTCTTAGTCATCATTTCGATATTGAGACCGAAAATGTTAGTGTATTCCATAGATGTATATGACATTTTAGTATATAAAACCAAAATCAAAAAATAAAGCTGAAATCAAATAGAACATTTTAGTTAGTCTCTGTTGTTTTTGTTTATTTTTTTCTTATTTTGTAGCTGATCGGCTCTCCAATTTTTTTGAAAAATACTACACTGTGTACAATGTTTCATTTAGTAACTGTGTTCACATTTCATTGTAATTACGGAAAGTTGCTATTGCGTTCTGATCATTAAATCCACTAATGCAAATTTAATGACCTGAAGATCACTCATCTACGTTTACATTTCCTTACCGATTAACGTTGATTGTCTATGCAATTGACTCCTCACTGGTAGTCTGGAATATCTAAGTGGAAAAAAGGTGTGTTCGTTCCCACAGCAGCAAAATATGGTTTGCCTTCCAAATCTGGTTCGTCGACAGTAGCAATGTTCACGTATGTTCTTTCGCTGACCAAAAATTCGTCACCATACGTGCCAAAGCCCGCTTGAATTAAAGCTCTGCGGATCCAAGGTGAGTTGATTCCGCTAAAGTGGAATTCAACTTCACGATCTGCGTAAATGTTCAATGCACGGCGCAAATCCACCAAGGCCTGAACAGATGTGGTATCTATTGATGGCACGCATGAAAAATCGAGGTGGACAATGCGCAAAAGTGGTCTTGTTTCTTCTTGGACGACGACTTCTTTGTCTGCCTTGGCAAAAGGAAGCTTCCATCTAAGCGGGCCCGGATCGTTCCACGGCCTTGAACCGGCGGAATCATAATGGTACGGTTTGCCCCGCCTCGTAAGGCGCTTCACCTCGTCGGAGATCAAATCCACTTGCCTTGAAGCATTTGGATACACGAATGCTTCCACGGGACGGAAAACAACCACACCTTCCGGAGGCGGGAGAACATTCACGTCTTTGTTGAAATTATTCTTATCCAAAGGCACCCAGCGCGTATGAAACTTGATGGTTGGGTTTTGGCTTGCCAACTCGCCCGCGGTTGGAAGCGTAGATTTTTCAAAGGCGTCCTTGACTTTAGCCTTGCTGATTGAAGTGGAGCGATAAGTATCGCGGGACAAAACCTGTTGAATTTCAACATCGGTCTCGCTGGAAACGTTCGATTCGTTTTCGTTAAAGCGGATCACGGGATTCACCACTTCGGCGACACGAATTCTGCCCAAGAATTGACCTTGAGGCTTCGAAACGCGGAACAAAAGAACAGCAGCAGAAGCAGCAATGGCAAAGTAGATACCGTTTTCAATCGAGCTGAACACGGTGATGATAACGGCAATCAAGAAAATACCACAGTCGAGTGGGCTCACTTGCCATAAGTTCCAGGTGGCACGCCAGGGTGTAAGCAAGTCAGAAACAGCATGGATGATGACTGCGGACAATGTAGCCTTTGGAATGTAGAAGAAAGCGTCAGTCAAACAGTACAACGCCAACAAAACCACAGCACCGGTAAAGATACCAGCCAACGGAGTTCTGACACCACACTTTGCTTTCAAAGCGGATCTAGAGAAAGAACCTGTTGCTGGATAAGCATTGAAAAATGTGCCAATCAAGTTGTTCACACCGATAGCAATCAACTCCTGATCTGGAACAACTTTGTAGTCGTTGATACGGCCAAAAGATTTCGAAATGGCAATGTGCTCCAACAACAAAATGATGGTGGAGACAGGAATTTCTGATGCCATGGAATCGATGATTCCATCGGGAATATTCATCACACCAACATGCTTCAAACCGGAAGGCACCACACCAATGGTCTTCACGTCCGACTTGAATTTGCTGAGTGGGCCATTGAATCTTTTAACCTCTGGATGCACAATGCCCCAAGCAATAGCTGTGGCAACGATAATGACAATGGCATTACGCAACTGCTGGATATAAAAGAACCACATTTTTTTCTTAGGGTAGCGCTTGCCAAAGTAGTCACACGAGAACTTCCACAAGTAGAGAATAAACAAAGGCACAAGACCGAAAGCGGCATTGACGTTCGTCTTGCCAAGGTTCTTCAAGGTGTGCACCACAGTGTAGTAGGAGGATTTTTTCGAGTTCACGGCAGAGTTGTATCCCATCAAAGCAGGCACTTGGCCGGTGATGATATTAAAGGCAGATCCCGACATGAAACCCATCACGGCAGGCATGGAAATGAACTCAAGAATGAAACCAATACGCAACAAGCCGATTCCAGCAGCAATGCCACCGCAAATCAAAGACAAAAACGTGGCGATTTCCTCGGGCGCAAACTTGTTGCCCACTTTGCCTTGCACCTTGGCAATGACCTTGCCCACCTGCAAAGACATGACAGCCACAGGCCCGATCGAAACGTCTTTGGACGTGGCGAAAAACGAGTAGATGAACACACCGACAAAAGAAGAGTACAAACCAAACTCTGCTGGAAGCCCAGCCAACTGCGCATACGACATGGACTGCGGCACCAAAACAACACCAACAGTGATTCCGGCAACCAAATCTCCATAGAGCCACACCCGGTTGTAGTGCAAAATCCACTTTGCAATCGGGAACAACGAAATAAAGTAATTAACCACCCGCGACCCTGGGTCCGAAAGGTGTTCTTTGCCAAACTCAACCACAGACGGCTCGTTTTCGACGTATTCGCCAATGACGACATTGCTGTGGTCGGGTCCAAGCGGCGGCTGGTGGTCTCTCTGAAACTCGTGGCTGGTGATTCTTTCCACCCGGCGAGAATCGTATTCCTGCGCCTCGGGCACGATGGAAACGGCCGAGTTGATCGACCTTCTGCTTTCTGCACCCATGATTTACTGTTGTGTCCGTTGAAGGAGAACGAAGCGGTATATATGCAAAGAAAAGAAGAGGCCAAGCAGTTTTGCAAAATTCATGTGGCGGATCTCGATTACGAATCGGTGTCTGCAACTCTAAGGCATCCACAGTTAGGCACAGTCACGTGACCAGGAGCAAACGTCATCCGAAGCCGTTCCGCTCGCTATGGCTTTCGGTGCATGGACTGTGGCGCCAGGTGCATTCGCTCTGGCTCTTTCTCCACAAAGATCTACCGCTCACACTAACAGCCCTCTGTCTTCTTTCGCTGTTTTCTCCTCTGCAATCAACGGACGCAGCGAAGCACGAATTGCTGCGAAAAATGGTTCAAAGTCACGTGCCGTGTTGCAATGGCCCCAAGAGTCAAATTTGCGGTAAGGCGTCATCGGTCCTGTGTGCAGGCATACATCACTTTTCATGCACGTCATTGAGGCGTTATGTGAGGAAAGACGCTAGAGAAGTGCTGATAAGGCGGCATGGAAAGATAAAGCCACATGTGCAAATCGATTAAAGTTGGAGATCGTTTGCATACGGCTGATTTTCCCTCTGTGTGTGGGGTTAAAAAAGATTACCCCGGCTTTAATTTTTTTTGTTTGGTTTCTTTTTTGCATCTATGAGCCTTGCCTGGAGAAATGTGTAAATCCACATTGCGTTATTGAGAATCCATGAGCAGAAAAAGAAATGACTTGAAATAGCAAAGAGCAAGAATGACTTCAGCAGACAAGAATGACTTCAGCAGACAAGAAATACTTGACCGTTTTGTTAATACACCATTGTCAAGATCTGTTTCCAAGCATTGAGGCTTTTTGATCAAGTAGATAAGCATAAGATCACATAGGATCACATAGGATCATGATCGTTTGTGGATGAACCGGCAATAAACACTCACCTTGTGCAATCAGCTGTGCTCTTGCTCGTATCGTCAATCTACACCATCGCTCTGTCTATTTGCATTCCAAAAACAAACACTTCTATTTCAACAACATTCTATTTTCACTTCCGTTTTCTGTTTTCGTTATTCATTGCATCTAATCGTCTATTAAGCCTTGTTCTGGCTTTCAACCTCGTCCACCATCGCGCGGTACTCTTGTTGCTTGAAGCACTGCTCGAGGAACACCTTGTACTTAACAGCCAAAAGCTTCCTGTCTGGGTCGTTTTCGCTGCTTGGCAAGATGGCCTTACCTGGTCCGGTCATGTTCTCCATCGTCTGCCATAAACGGTCGCCAGCATGGGCGGGCTTCGTCTTCTTGTCCAGAAGACTCGTCAATGGCTTAAGATTCAACTTGTGCAACTTGTGCGACAAGTCCTTTTGCACAGCACGCGATGTGTTCTGTTTCGAGCCAAACGACAAGGTTTGCTCCTCTTCGGAGTCACTGTCTGTCTCCTTGGCGCGCTGGCTGAAGTAGTCTCCGCCTTCTTCCCCGACAGGCGTCATCTGTGGCTGCAGGTGAACACCTGCACTGGCATACACAAAAGCACTCATGTTAGTTGACGATGCAGTGGCTGATGGCGCAGTGTATGGAGAGTGTGGTGGTTCTGCAGGAATTTGGTCTGGGTGGGCCAGCGAAGACCGGCGTGAACGGCCCTTGTGCGACAAATGTTCTTCAACGGCATCTTGTGCAGCCACAGCACCAAGCAAAGCACTGCCAAACACTACAGCCGCATCAATGTACCGAGGCACAATCACAGGCAAGCCTGTGCAATCAGCGAGCAAGCGCATCAACAAACCGTTACGGCACTGGCCTCCGCTCATGTACACGCACAGGATGCGGTGACCGCCCTTTTCCATCTCCTCAATGATCTGGCGAGTCTGTTGAGCAATGAATTCACATGCCCCAAAGTATTGCAACGCCAAGTCCTTCACCGAAGTGTCCATGGACTGACCAATGATGGAAGCACGCATACGAGGGTCTGCAATGGGCGAACGGTTGCCATGGAAGTCACCGTAAAAGAAAATGTGCTTGGCCAATGCCACCACGGACCGACTTTTGGTCTCGGTGACCATGTTCTCCAAAACCAAGTTCAAGTAATCGAACTTGGACAAGTTGGATTCTTCGGCCAAGTGCGACAACTGGCCGTGGGCTGGGTGTGTGGACAAAACATGGGCCAAGAGAGCACCAGTGCACGACTGACCGCCTTCAGCCAACCAGTAGCCCGGGCCCAACACATCCTTGTAGGGGCCCCAAACACCGCGCACGAAGCAAGGGTCTTGGGTCATGGCAATGTGGCACGTGGAGGTACCGGCCACAGCAGCCAAACGGCCACATGCGGCAGCCATCGAGCCGTTGGATTGGCGCGCCAACTCTGGAAAAGAAGGGTGGTCAACTTTTGCAGCCACTGTTCCGATCCAGCCTGCATACGCGTCAATGACACCGCTTCCAACGACACACTCGGTTGTGAGACCCAATTCCTCAGCTGCGCGGGTCGAAAGCTTGCCCACAACGTCACCCGCACTCAAGAAAGTGCCGTTCTTGCCCGGGATACCACCCAATTTGGCAAAGTCGTTTGCAGCCAATTCGGGCAAGTCAACCTGCTGCAAAAACTCAGCAGACCATCCTGTCGTTGAACCGTCAACTCCTGGGGGCACGAAACCTTGCTTGCATACAGTGGAGCAGAAGGAACGCGCCTCGGACCCTGTGGCCTTGTGGGTCAAAAAGTCGGCCAAGTCGTAGAATTTGAGGTCATCCAAGCCGCCAGCGCGGTTGTGCTTCAACCACTTCATTTTGGGCAACTCCATTTCAATGGACATTTGGCCGCCCACGTACTTCAATGCCTTATCGCCCGTGGAGTTGATGGCTATAGTCTCGTCTTCGGCACGGTGGTCCATCCACAAGATGATGTTCTCACGGTGGTCGGCAAAGTCTGGCCCGACCGCCGCGGGCTCGTCCGTGGACTCGTGGATCGCAACCAACGAGCAGGTGGCGTCAAAACCAATGCCGAAAACGTCGGCAGGGTCGATTCCCGAGTCGCGCAAACAGCTCTTGACACAAAAGCAAATGGCGGACCAGATTTCCGTCGTGCTCTGTGTGATGAAGTTTGGCTTCAATTGGTGGCGCGTAATTGGTCTCTCGCTGAGCCCCAAAATAATACCGTTGGAGTCAATAACACAGGCTCGAGCAGATCCCGTGCCCACATCCACTCCGACGTAGAAAACATCGGGGTGAGGTGGGTGCTCCAACTGGTACGAGTTGAAAAAGGACGATCTGCGCGAGGTCAAGCTTGTGTGTGATTTGTTAGCGACCATTGCTGGGCAATAAGGGTGCGAGGGGCAGCCAGGGGTATATATACTCCGGGGAAGCAGGGTGCAGGATGCGGAGAGCGCCAAACAGCAAAGATGAGAGAGAGACGAATGTGGAGGAGAGGAAAATCGGGCTGAGGACGAAATTGAACGGGAAAAAAATGGGAGCACAGTTGGAAACCAATGTTTAGCGGAAAGTCGTATTGGTCTCTTTTTTTTTTTTTTTGGAGTTTTCGCCGTTGAAATCGGTTGAGGATCCAGGATATGTGAATTAACGGGCCTCGCAGCGCCATTACGTCAAAGGTGCGAACATGAGAATGTTCTTGAAGCAATGGAAACGTCAACTGTGCAGTAGGCGAAATACGTGTGGATTGAATTTTTGGTCAATTTTTTAAGCACTGACGTTTACCGAAGGCGACAGAATCCCATCTATTGTCGAAACCGGCAGCGCTCTGTTGTGGATGGTTTCCTTTTTGTTGCTCGACGTCATGTTACAGATGACCTGTACCTGCTTCTCATTACTATACACCTACTATACAAGCTGGATCTTCCAGCAGAATCAATTATCTGGCATGTCCTGGATGGTACATATGCCAGGATCCAGAGAGCAATCGACGCCAAGGCAATGAGCGCCAAAGTTCCGGACAGTGAAATTTGCAGTGCCAGCACATAACGACCATGGGAGATCTCCACAAACCGTGGAAGATGGGAGAGGAATCCCAACGGAACCCCAACACACACAACCATGTCCTTTCAACCACATCCACAAGCATGACAAATTCGAGCCACGCACATTACCCATCTACCTAGTTCTTAGGCAGATACTTCGACACGACATCCACCACAAAGTCAAACTGCTCTGTGTTCTCGACCGCCTGGCGAATGTGCGAGGCAGCAATTCGGCGAACACCAGCCTTTTTCGCCTCGATGATCGCGGCTTCGACCAAGTTGGCCATGAAGATCTCAAGCGCCCGCCCAACCACAACAGGAGTAGCCTGTGCCACTTTCCCGATATCCTCGTCGGACTGCATGATCTTCTTTATTCTTGCTGCGGGAAAATGTGTTTTGATTTTGGTGAAGGCTTCAAGTATGGTTTCCTGGCTAACTTTTGAGTCCTCTGGCTCTTCTTTAAGAGTCTCAGGACTGGCCAATTCAGTTTTTGGGGTTTCTGTTTTCACAATCTCAGTTTTAATGATTTCAGTCTTGGGCACCACTAACGGTGCAATTTCCTCCTCCGGAGGGTTGATAAGCGAACTGATATCCGCCATTATACAAAGTGAATGTTAATGATCTGCATAGAAGCAAGCATCTTGCTCGCGGGTTTTGCTTTGTCTTTATATAGTGGTCGCGGAACCAGTCGATGTTTTTTTTTTCTTTTCGCATACTTCACCTGTACGGCATACAGACGGCGAGAGATGACATTAGGGACGGGTTATTTGCCTTTGGCTGCACGTGACGGCAATGGTTCAGGCCCAGCTTTTCTTTCTTATCTTTCAGTTGGGCTCTTTTAGAATGGCTGCTTAATCTTAAGTGAGTAGGAGTCAGCACCGGCAGAGCAGAGGAATCGAATTTGACACGGCACGACCGAGCGTACATCTTAATCCACACGCGCATGTCTAATTCTATAAACAGTAAAAGGCGGTCGTCTATAGAGGACGTGAGGCTTTACATTCCAAGCGATTGTCTCTTGTGTGTGAATGCCAACTATTTTTGACTGCTTTCTACTTTGATACCGAAACTGGTGTCACGTTCTAATTTTGATTTTATTCCGCCCATTAGGTTGTGCAGGCCCAAACAGGAAAGCTCGCCAGATTGTTTCTGTTTCAATGATCTGCCTATTTTTACTTAAACCTTCGATTTTACTTCTCAATTGGCAAATTTCTCTTTTGACGAGGCGCTGTCTCCCCTTGGAGGTTCATTGCTTGTGTCACTTCAGAGAATAGCGTAAACATCATCTCGGACAGATATTTTGTAACTCATCCTCCGAATGATTACTGATTATGGCAACGGGAGCTATTAATTTGATTCTGTGAGAAAATTGGGCCACACGAAACAGCGTGCTAACAGACCTGTCGTATTATTACTATCATTTGTTACTTCAGCCAGCTGTAACGTTATTACTAAGCGCTCTCTTGCTGATACGTTCAGTTTATTCGTATAAAGTTAAACCCAACCCAATTCAAGTTATCATGGTGCCCACTGAAGTCATGGCCATCATCAGTCCCTAGTCCTGCTAGGATTCCAGCGTCTCCATACAACTTCAGTCACACGATAGAGAGAAAGTAACTCCATGAACTTTCCCCGGTCCATATCCCGGTAAACGGAATCGAACACCTCAGTCGCTGGCACATCGACGTACACCAAAATAAGTATTTTTTTGACTCCGCTCACCACTCTGCTCACGGCCATTATGTCTTCCCAAGCCTTCCAGCTCTCTTGGTCTGATGGAATTACCAACACGGTATACTCTGCATGCATAAAAGGCGGGCCCCGCTTGTAGAGAAGGAAATCACATCCAAACTTGATGCCACTCCTAACACACCATCCTAAGCTTCGAAAGTGGTGGTACACCACATAGTCCAAGATGAATTTGTTTTGCGGGACCACGTTGTCACCAGTGCAGGCTTCGAATGTTTGTTTCAAAGAAAGCACATTGTGGTTGTGTGTCACCTTAACAACGTCAAGGGCAAAAGCGAGGAAAAAGACTTCTGCTTTCTGAAGCATCAACACCTCAAGCTGCTGGCGTAGTTCCATAGTCGTTGGGTCTATGATCGCCAAATCTTCTTCTCTCCAGTCGGTGGTTCTCTGCTCTTCTAAATTGTCAGCCAAAACGCTCTTGGTTTCCTTTGCTTCCAGCATCTGAAGCCGAACATTGTCCCACTCCTCTACCTCCAGTGGTGACAACTCTCGCTGACGCAGCAAAGTCTCGTACTTTTGGAACTTGCTCCGAAGCTCTTTGTATTTTTTCCGTTCTTCTCGTCTTACGTTGGTCACTTCCTCCATTGTGGCTTCGTCCTGGCGGCCCGCCAAGTTTAACCTACGCAGCACCCGCTGTTTCCATAAGGGCTCTGATCTTGAAAGAGTGCCCTTCCCAAAAAAGCCCTGGCGCCAACACCTGTCCATATCTGCGGCGTCATTTACATAGAACACGGGCTCGTCGCCTGAAAGCGCCATCTCAACGGCGATGGGCACTTCTTCCGCTGCCGGGCTCACGCTAAGATAAATCCGCATCAAACGGTACAAAAAATATACACATGACACCGGATTGTGGAGAATAAGCGGCGGCAAAGCGCCGAATTTTTCCTGCGCAAGCGGTATCGGGAGAGGGTTACGGTATATGGCGTTCAAAGATTTGGCTTTGCGTTTTTCCATGGCTGAATTGTTAGTCTATGAATCAGACCGATAGTTGTTCTCTTTCTCTTGTTTAGTCAGATACCGTTGTAGTCTATTTGTGGCTTACAGCGAAAAATCTTCAAGCAACACGAAATTTGGTGTCATCCTTAAAACTGAGAAGCGTGTTTTCACATACCATTGGGCTAAAGAATGTGGTTTGGAAAATTATTTTGCCCGAGACTGATATAGAGAGCTGAATGCGGGTAACACCAGACGCATTATCTAGGGCTGCCTACAAGAACAAAAGCGAAAAAAAAGAATGCCGGTCCCAGGAATCGAACCTGGGTTTGTTCGGCCACAACGAACTGTACTAACCACTATACTAGGCCGGCTGTTTCTATGTGGTGTTAGAGTTCCGAAGACACCATATTGGACATGCGCAGATAATTCGTCCTTTACTATACTATTAAAGTATACACTCACAAGTAACCTTCAAAAGTTTTGATCAATTCCTCCACAGAGTTTCCGCTCGAAATAGAGTTGTCGACTATTCCATTGACACTAACCGTTGGAGTCACATGTACACCCACACCACGCAAGTACTTGGTAAAATACTTGACATCCACAGTAGCCCCATTACCGGTGTGTCTGGATTGTTTTGACTTCTCTGTCGTATCTGTTGGCACCTGAATTTGCAACCTCTCCAAGACCTTTTCTTTTGCAAAAGGAAGGTCGTTTTCCGAGTACACAAGGTCATTGATAGCCTTATAGATATCGTTTCTGCCCAAGGTGACAGTTTCCGAGTCGTAAAACTGCTCAATGTTCTTGAATAGAGTTCCAGATACGGCCCAAAACGACTTGTTAGGCTCTTCGGCCGATTCTTTTAACAATTGCGCCACTACCAAAGCATATTCATGGAGCAAAACAGAGTTTGGGTGCCATGGTTGGATAACATCGACAAAGACAAATTGAAACTGGCCTGGGTGCTTTTTTTCAAGCTCTGGAACCACCTGGAGAATCTTGCCGAAGATTCTGGCACTAAAAACACAATTGTAGTCCAAATAAAGGTTGACTACATTGGGGAAAGTCGCGTGCTTTGCCAAAGCTTTGGCACTGTGATAATAATGGGTGGAAGCGTATTTTGGAGAGATCATGGAGGAAAAGAGCAAGGGGTGGAGCAAAGGTAGAGGCTAACGTATTTATACGCAAGCACTGCAGACGATACATGATGCATACACACTCGACGCCACACATTGCATAAGACATACGGCATGTCAAAAGAAGAGACAGAAGAAATACGGATATAAGGATCAAAGATAAGAAGTTGACGGGAAAAGAGCAGGAAAAAGTCCGCAAAGAAATCAAGATCACGCAAGGAGCGATGAAAGATACAGTACAAAACACATCAAAGTAAAATACATTAGAATACAATACAGCACAGTGAACAAGCTTTCACTGATAGCTAGCCCCGCATCGGAGAAGGGTCCACAATGTCAATCACCCCTCAATGTCATATTATAGCAAATACTGCAGGAGACTTCAAGTCCGATCTTATTTTCCAGAACGAGAAAGGTGGTCTGAGCCGAAAACTAGGCTGGCTCATGCACGAGACAGTAGCACTTATTAGTATATTGAGCTGGTGCTTTGAGCTGAAGTTCAATGTCTCCACTGGCCTAAAAGGATAAGTCCAAATCCTGGTCCACGCCGAAACCATCAAAACGACGCCCCGCCTTTCGGAAGCGCTCGCGTAGCTGATTATTAATGTCCTTCTTGTTGTCGAATGGAATGAGCTGAATCTTCCTTTTTCTCTCCGAACTGTTTACGTGGGGCAGCGAGGCGTATTTCTTAGGCGTGTGGTACTGGTCTGAGACAGTGGAAGTATTCCGTACTTGATCATTTTCTATCCAGCGCGAGATCCGGTGTTGCTGGGGCGACTCTTTTTTCAAAGAAGTATGGGAAGACTGGGTAGGCTGGATATGTGGAGGCCGTGGTACTGCGCTGAGATTCTGACCATGCTGTAGGCTCGAGTTTTGACTCGAATGTAGGTTAGCGAACCCTGTAGATGCTGACTCTCGAGATTTGGAAGTGGGGACCGGTGGAGAGTCTCCCCGTCGGAGTCGGGAGGGCAGCATTCTTGTACTGTCTTGTCTTGGCGTCGATTGTGAGACGATTTCCTGGTATGGCGAGGAGTTCTGCCGAGCCAAGAGCAGAGTACGGAACTTTGGGCGTTCTGTGGGTTTTGGCTCTGGAGATTCAGGAACAAACAATTGCTGTGCAATCTGATGGCCCTCATAGTCTAAGTCATCCAATATCAGCTGCTCCACCTCCACATAATCGGAGCTTTTGTGGGGAAACCGCTCGACGCGAGAAATGGTGGAGTCGGAGTCGGATTCGGACGATGGGTTGATGACAAGCCGAGTTTTCGTCTGCTCGTATCTTTTGTATCGCCGCTTCTTGTGCGGAGGGCCATCTGCCGCTTTGTCTCTGCTTGTGCGATCGAAGGACTTTTTCTGTATGGAAGATTCTTGCCTGCTCTCTGGTTTCAAGTGTTGAGCCGTAGTAGCGAGCAGTGGCTGCTCTGGCTTTCGGATATGAGTAGATTTGGCCGTTTGACCTTCAATTGGCTGCCGAGAGAAGTCCGTTTTCGAAAACACATCGTCTTTCGACAACACATCGCTCGCAATGTTTTGTTTATTTGGAATTGCTGGGTTTGGACCAGCAAATTTGCTGACTTTTCCATTTTCCGTGCCGTCTCTGTTCGTCGCCTTCTCTGGCGTGCCCACTCTTTCTGCTTTGTCTTCGTCTGCTTTGTCTTCGTCTGCTTTGTCTTCGTCTGGCTTGTTTTGATTTGTCTTGTTTTCGTTTGTCTTGTTTTCATTTGTCTCCGCTGCTTCGCTCTTTTCTCTTCTTTTCCTCTTCGACAAGGCCCGCACAAACTCCTCTACGGAAATGTCCGCCGGGTCCAGGCGCCGCCCTATGCGGTGGATGAAGTTGAACAAAAAAGGCGCCGGGGCCATGCTAAAGAATCCGTATGATGTGTATTGAATGTGTGCGCATGCGTGCGCGCTATAGTACATATTGCGCCCTTATGCGCATCAACCCGCCAAAATAACAACCTTGCACTTGTCGTACAACAGACTATGGAACTTGGCGTCGTCGGCCATTTCCAACGCAAAGAGCCGCTCGCGCTGGTCCGGCGTAAGCAGCTCCAGTGTGATGTTGTTGGAGTCCATAAACGAGTCGTAGTCGCTCTTCATGAACAAGTACACCGCTGGTTCTGCGTCTGGTGCACCTGTAGCGCCGGCTGCACCTGCTGCACCCGCGTCTGCGTCAAGCGCAAGACGACGCACCAACTTGGTTTTCAAGTCCTGCAAGCGCAAGTTGGCGGGCAACAACAACACGAATATATCGTCCTCGTAGTAGAACTTGACCTTGACCTTCAGCGCCGCCTGGGCAAGCCCTGCCAGCGGCGGCGATTCCAGCGTCGGCGTCGATGTGCGTTGGGCCGCATGATGGCCCAGATATTGTGATAGTCTGTCCTGCTGCAGCGTTGACGCTTGCTGCACGGGCCGCGAAGATCGGTCTGCGCGTGCGTCAGTGAGCTCGCGGTCAAAGCCGTTATCGAGCACTTGGAACAAGCTCTGCACCTCTTCAGAACGGGAAATGTGCGCCGGCAAAGAGATCAACGTGCGCAAGTAGTAGTCTAGTTTTTCACGCCGCAACTTCGAAATCAGATCGTTGACATGGATCAATGGGCCTGGAATCAGCGGGATGATGCGCCGCGAGTTTTCGAGCTTGCCTGCTTCGTACGGGAACAACTCAAGCAACTTCACCTGCATGTCGTAGAAGTCCTGGTAGTACCGGTACAACTGGCGGGTTTTCCCGTTCAGAAGCCGCGCCACCACTAGATACTGGTACCGGCCCTGCTCCAAGATGTACAGCTCGACAGCCACCTCCACAACATAGACACCCAAGGACGAGCGGTTCAGCGACGGGCGCTCCTGGAAGTACTGCGTGTTGGACGACGACGGCGGCGCCAGGTTCAGCACATAGCCCAACGGGATGGTCAGCGCCTGGTACCGCGCCGTCTGGCTCTTCCATTCCTCGACCGTGGGGATGTGAAGCTGGTCAATGGCCGCGGCCAAGTCTGTTTCCACGGCCTTGGCCGGATTGGCCATGTCGATGATCTTCACATACAGCGCCGGCACCAAGCCAGGACCGCCCAAGCGCGTGATGGGCTTGGCAATAAACCACTCGTACTCGTGGTGGGCGCAGATAACCAAGTTTTCGCCGGCCACAATGTCAAGCTCGTCCGGCCGCTCGGCCTTGAACTCGTAAAGCGTCACCGCATACAATGTCTGCGTGGCGCTGCGTGGCTTGGGCTCGTCGTGCACGGGCTTGTTGAACACCTCGAAGTACGACACGGGCACCATGCCCCGCTGGTTTGTGGCCGGGTTGGTCGCCTCGTACCAGCCGCTAGCCTCTGGTTCGGAGGAATCGTCCATCACGTGGAAAAAATCGCCCTTGGCGAACTTGAGCTCGCCTGGACCCTGCGGGTCGTAGCTGTAGAGCGCCCTGATCACCTTGCGGGGCAGCATCAACGTCGGAGGCATTTCGGGCGGGCCCGAGGCCACTCGAGAGATGGAATGTTTGGAAGACGACAGCGAGTTGGACAGCCGCTTGCTTTTGCGGAAAGGCTTCATCATTGGCCGAAAAGAGAGATGGCTCGGCACAGAGGAAGAGATGCGGTTTTGTCGCGATAGCCTGGAGGGTAGATGAACGACTGGAGGAGTGAAAAAATGTCACCTTGAGAAACGCTCGAATGCCTTGGGCTTGCACCTGTACACCAGTCCAAAGGGGAATAATGTGCATACAGGAGCAGATGGCCGTCGATAAAAGTAGAAACACGCAGAGAAGGAAATGAGGTGCCAGGCTGTTTGCACACGACCGCAGAGATTTGCCACAGGAAGTACATACATTAGAAGTTACATTTTGAGAGATACACCATTTCTTTGGAGTGCGGACGGGTGTGTGGATCGGGATCCAGACATCCTGCCTGGATCCTGGCGAAGTGTCTTGCATGCGGTGGGTGCGACCTGTTACATCCAGATGGTCGCAGTGCGGCGCACATTCCCACACAAAACATCTTGCATGGATCTGATGCAGCTGCCTGGTGCATGGCAGCAGGCGCCGCGCCTCGACCGTCTACGTGCGGCGTGCGTCCTCACACGTGGCGGTCCATGTTGGCTGCTGTACGCGCCATGTACGTTGTTCCTTCGCCCGCATGTTCTATGTACTGCGCGCCGTGCCCTGTTTGCTCCTAACGCTAGCCCGCCTGCATCTCGCCCCAGTGTCTGTGCAGCATGCTCCAACGCCTGCGCTGCCGCTACTTTTCATCACTCACTCGAATTCAAGGTCAAAATCAGTGAACACCTCGCCGGGACTCAAGTCATAGCCATCGCCACTGAAGTCCAGCTCCGAGCCCTGCTGCCGTTTGCGCATAGACGTGCGCCGTTCTGATTCGCTCATCTCGTACTGACGGTACTTTGCCAAGTAGATCTTCAATATCTCGGCGTAATGCTCAAACCCAAGCGTGAACATGGCTACCAAAATGTCCTCGCCATTCAACGTTTTGCGCTTCTCGAGCGCACACCGGTCCACTGCCTGCGATGTGATGAAGGATATGAATTCAGAGACACACTCCTGTGTGCACACCTTGGCTTCTTTGGAGAGCTTGGCATGCGGTGGAAGAGCCTGCTTCATGACCCGCGAAACATTGGCTATGGGCAAGAACCGGTCTTGCTCCTTGATCTCGTAATCACAGTTGCGCAAGTTGTCTGCGTCTTTTTGCGCCATTGGCGCTCCAACGTGTGAGTAATGCGCGCCTTTAAGTACTTAGGACATATGCGAAGTTCGGACTTGGTACTCACATGCACGCCTCACTTTTTGTAATTTGTCTGAGTTGCAATATCAATTGCTCCTGGGGCTTTCTCCAAATGAGAATGAATGAGCAAAGACAGCTTGTCTTCTTCGCCGACTGAATGAATGTAAAATCGACAACTGGTGAAGACATGGATTTCAACCTGTTTGGGGAAGCAGAGAAAGCTAGATTGAGCTCACTCAAGATTTAATTAGTGTTCTCAAATCTATTGTTGAGAGGAGTGACCTATTTCAAGCTAAGTCGGCCTCCCAAATGAGAATGACGTACCACAGTGTCCACTAAAGCTCCGCAAAGCATCGCTGTAGATATTCAATGTAAACCTCACAATCCTTCAGTTCGTCTTTCCAATATTTCATCATGTGTAACGCAAGTTCCAATGTATCCTTGGTACGTTCGCGAGTGAAAATAGAGCTTAGTGAGCCCATGTTCTCTGCCAGCAGAGCACGTGGATCACCAACCATCATGTTGGCAACACCAAGCTGGATTTTCTTGTAGAGCAAAAACTGAACTATAGCGCCGAAGAAAAAATTGCGTATGTAATACCATGAACCAGCATGACGATGCAGCCAGATGGAAGGCACGTTCAATTTCGGCAACGTCACAAAATTGCGTACAAAAACTCGAAGGAACTGTTGGCGAGCTAAAGGAAGGTTTGTTATCTGTGGTATATCGTCGTCGACTTCAAACCCGTCTGGATACTCCACAAGTGAAGAAAAATCCTCGTCCGGGAATTTCTGTTGGTATGCATTCGGGTCATAATGAGGCATGTCTTCGCCCACAAAGTTAGCCAATGATACAGGTTGGCTACCAGAATTTGCGGCAACAAAAGTACTTCCCTGGCTCGAATGGCTATTGGCAACAGAATCAGGCAGAGCAAGTGACGTGCTGTTCAGCTCCTTCTGTATTTGGCCCATCACGGCTGCAGCCGCCCGAACAATTTCGTGGATCAGAATCTTGTCTTCCAACACTAAGTAAACGAGTGGACGGAACAAAGCTAACTTGGAGGTGAGTATACGAGTCTTTATGAACATGACCAGTTCGGATTGCGCCTCAAGTAATGTGCCGTCATCTAGGAGAAAAGCATCCATGCTATCCAAATAATTGGGCTCATCAACTCGCTTGCGTTTTTTCCCAGAGTGTACCATGCGCTTCAATTCCAGGTCAACATTTTCCTCCGACATGACGAAATTACGAATCTCGGGTGTGAGTGAAGCTATGATGCTATTGTACTGGTTCAAGTACTTGATGACCAATTGCCACACCCTTGTGTTTGCAAAATACGCCAGATCCCAGAGACCACGCTCGTCCAGAGAATACAAGTCATCAAAGAGCAAGTTATCCAGCTTCCGGACAGCAACCTCCGTCAAAAAAAAGAGCCAGGAATTTTTGTCATCGTATCGACTGGCTATGCGTACGCACTCAGAGAGATGTTCGCCCAGTTTGGGCAGCTCGGGCAACTTCAAGAAGGGTGCTGGAGCCTCGATTTGGGTGATCCCAGAGAGCGGTACATAAGGGCTGAGTTCAGATCGGAGCTCGCACTCAAGTTTCAAGCAGGTCCAAAAGAGCCGATCTGCTGACAGGGAGTCCTTGTGTTGCGGATCCAAACGGGCCTTCTGCAAATAGTACATCATTTGCGTGCTGGCCAGAATAATCTCACGATGCGCCAGCAATGGGTTCATAGTATAAAGATAATACTGCGAAAGCAAGATGCGGTATTGCACGGAGACTAGGGTATTTTCTTTCATACAGTTGGGGAAAATGGTCTGGATCATTAGCGCATAGCACACCAACATTTCACTCAAGCGCAGACGGTCCTGTGGGATAGCCGAGGGAAGTTCATCGCTCGGCACGCAGCATGTACGCATCGACAGACGCTCACTGAGCGAAGAATCAAAAACGTTGCAATTTTCAAAGCTCACACGCGTCAGGAGCGCCCCCAAGGCGCAAATGACAAGAAGAAGCGGCACGGACTCGCAGCACTGGCGATACGCGCGGCGGCGCAAAGGGCTGTCGGCAATGCCCAGGCGTGAGAGCGCATGAACATACGACTGTGCCACGGGCTCGTCTGGCCTTAGCGTGCTAAACTCTTCGAGCATGTAGGTGATGCGCAAGTCCAGGTTCGCCTTGAGCATCATTGTGAAGACGGAGATACTCTCAAACAAGAAGACAGTATCGACACAGGGAACCTTGGTGTGGCAGTTGATGAGAAAGGAGTTTGTAAGTGCCGTGAAACTCGACGACACGAGTTTTTCGAGCGCCACGCACACGCTGGCCCGCTGGAAAAACGAGCTCGGGAACGGGAACAGCGTGTTCACCTGTTCGTATGCACAAAGGAGCCGGCGCGTGGTTGCGTCCGCCTCGTCCTGGCTGGTGCCCAACGTTCGGCGGAACGAGCGCCAGCGCAACATCGACGTGAGCGACATGTCCCACACACAGCGCGGCGAGGCGGCCGCGCCCGCCCGCAGGCCCGTTTGCGGCCCGCGCCGCACTTCGGCAAGCACCATGTCGAGCTTGGCCAAAATGGCGTCGGTCGACTCGCGGGTGTCGCTCGTGTCGACGCCGTAAACACACTCCACCTCGTTCAGGCGGCACGAGCCACACCGCGGGCGGGCATTGTCGCACTTGATTTTCTTCAGGCGGCAGTGTTCGCACGCCGTTGCTGAGCGCGTTCGCACCGGGCGCGCCGGCGCGCCCAGCTTGGTGTGTTTGGGTGTCTTGCGCGGCGCGCGCTTTTCCTGCTTGGGCGTTTCGGGCGTGACGCTGGCCGCGGGCGAAAAAAAATACTTCTCTTCGGGCGGCGCCATGGTGCGCACAAAATACGGCACGCCTCCCATGGGCGGAATAAAGTCTCGTGGCATGGGCGGTTGCGGGTGCGGCACTTGCGGAGGTTGTTGCGGATGCTGTAGATGCTGTGGATGTTGCGGCGGCGGAATATTGAGCGGGAGCGGCACTGCCCATTCGGGCGCTTCGTGCGGAGGAGGGTAATTAGCCATGAAGAGTTGGCAGGACGCAAAACAAGTACATGTAACTGAAGGTTGTATGGTACGGGAGGCACGGGTGTTCTCGGATGCCAATTCCGGTGTTACTTGATGTTTGTGCAGTTCACGCAGACACGGAATAACCCGCTCAGCGCAGTGCGTTCTTCGACGCCGGCGGCATATGTCGTCAAGAAAGTGGCCAATATGCTTGAGGCAGGAGACATTTGTCTCACCAAGTTTTTCTCACGACATTCGACATTCGACCTACTGCCTCATGCTACTTTTCATTTCCGCCGAGACATGTGGTTTTCAGGGTTCCCCTTTTATCTGCAGACATGCTGCGGATATACTTGCCTGCCAAATGCTGCGTAAAGGCAGGAAAAAAATATCTGTCACATACAAATGGTAGTTGTCTCGCATTGTCTAGGGTATTCTGTAACGGCACGATCGGCCGCTTTCCTGGATGTTTCCTTTTGCTGAAAAAACAAGTTGACATCTGGCATATACATGCACATACAGACTGCATTTGGAAGCATTAGTGCGGCAAAGATCGCATAGCATATGCATTCCAAGAATAGGAGCATCTGGCGTAATCTTTCGTTAGTACAACTCTTTGAATATTGCGTAAATTCGAGCTCTTTTGAAGACCACGACAAGCTCTAATCCTCTAGAGCATTGGAAGCAAGTCGCGGGTCCCATTAACGAAAGCCCTTAATTGGTCCCACGTGCGATAAATGTATTTGAAGGAATAACCAGAACAAAGGGTAAACAGAAGAGCAAACGGAGAGTATAGCCACTGCCAGATGATATTTCTTAGTGCAGTTCAAAAACTCTCTCATGAGCTCTTCTTTATGGAACCCCATATTGCAGAATAGCGCTGGGTAAAAGTGGCTTTTATTTGTATGGCTCGACAGATTATGTAACGATTCTGAAGCTTATAGTTCTGGAAAGAAGGCAACTTTAAACCTTACTTTTTTTGCGGGTCACTGAATTTTACAACGTAGAATAGATTTGGGATCCCTTGCAAATTGGTAACAAAACATGGGGGAGAAACAGAAATTCAAAACCTTAGATGCTTGGAGATTAAGGAAGAAATATTCCAAAGCATAATTGGGTTTGCAGTACTTGTCGATAACGCGAACCAACAAAAAGTGTAGCACCATCTATATTTTTAACATACACCAGGACATCGGCAATGATAATCGAAAACACAATATCTGAAGATAAAATTTTACTTGGGGAATGACTTATCCTACTACAAAAAGGGTTACAGAAGATATAGAGTTTGGGATCTTCGTGACTCACATTCTAGTACTAATCATTACAATAACTTACAATAACTGACATTTGTTGAACACATCTACCGTGGATAAAGACGTAAATAGATTAATAATCATCACCTGTGCGTTTACAAACGTACAATGAAAAACATCATCAGGTTATTCTACCCAAGTCAGCATGAGAACTGGATACTAATCAGAGTCTACACAGTGTACAATTTTATTAAATCGTTGATAATCGTATCTAAACAAAGTCTGATCGGAGATATTCCACTAACCTGGAGGCAAGTGAGAGTTGTCCACGAGCTCCTCTGTTTCAGCAATCTCCTCTTCAGACACACCGTGGTCCAAGGGGGTTCTAGGCAAGGCCATCATACCGGAACGGGCAATTTCCAAAATACCAAATGGTTGCAACAACAGAATAAACGAGGTGATCCGCGAAGGCTTTGCCGACAACTCCACAATGACATTGCGGTCGGAAATGTCCACCACCTTGCCGCCAAAACGCTCGGTGATAGCAGAAATGTGCTGCAAGTGCAGGTGCTTCTGTCTCAAGGCCTCAGAGGGCGCCAAGTTGCTTGGGTGGAAAGCACTTTCGGTGGCAGTCAAGTCTGGTACGGGGCTGTCACCACTGTGCAAGTTGTGGGCGGCAATCAACTCCTGGAAGTACTCAGGGCCCAACAAGGAAATACGAGCCAACAACAACTCACGCTTGACGATCTCGGCGTTCGTGTAGTCCAACACAGCATACACGGGCACCAAGTCCTCAATTTGGCGACGCGCCTGCTCGACAACAGCGTCACGGCCGCCCAAAACAATCGTCATCCGCGACAAATCCTTGACTTCGGTGTTGCAAACCACAAGAGAGTCAATGTTGAAGCCTCTGGCGGCTAAGTGGCCGGAAATCGACGATAAGACACCAGGCTCGTTCTGCACCAAGCAATTCAACACGTGCTGCTTCCGTGGCGCCTTGGATGGAACTGGAGTCTCGTACAAAATCGACGAAACGGCGGCATCCGCGGACCAGTTGGGCGTGTCGAAAGTGGGCAAAGGCGGTCTTTTCTGGGTTCTGTGCAAGGTTTTGTATGCCAACGCAGACGTTGAGCTGGTTGAAACCTTGTACCGAACCGGCTGGAGGCTTTTTTGAAAAGCAGTTCTCATGACTGAAGTAGTAGAGTATGAATCATATTCGCGCCGGGATAAGTGCGGGACAGGGGTGTACGGGTGTGCGGCCTTGCGGCGATAGCGATTATGGCACAAGAGACGAAAAAACAAGTGAATGGGATTTTTTTATTCCTTTGCTCGAAAGATACTAAGATTGGAATTCTTCAACTGTAATATTCGTAGTGTGTACTCGTTTGGGTTGTAATTTCGTTTAGATTTTTGCCTTTATGCGGATTGGTCTAGTACGACTTAGTTTATTGGAGACATTACCATCAGAGGAGTTGAAACGCCTAATAGAGCATAGAATCGGCAGCAAAATCTAGTCGGACTAAGAGATGAGAGGGTAAAATGTTTCTTAGAACCGTGGCACATAGAACTCAAACGTGAGATCAATTTGAGCAGATTCGGAAAGAGATCTATTAATGACTTGGCTAGGTTTGGATACGACATAATCAGGATCATTACAGCTTTTTTTAAAAGGTATTTTCTAGCCAATAGGTATTATCCCTATTATTGACTCTAAGAACTCAAGATGGAGACAGATGAGAAGTTTCTACGTTGGGTTTTTATCATACATGTCCTCGTATCCTGTCTTAACCATTACTTTGATGGAACGAACACTGTTCTAAACAAACTTCTGCTTTATTTCCAACAAAAATGTGGTTGGGTAACCTAGAAGTATTCCTTTAGTACAACTGAGGAGAGCGTTTGTATTTCACGAAAGCAGGATTTAATTTTTCATGCAAGCCAGTATTCAACAGACTTCACAGCGGTTCCTTGGGTCAATTGAGTTGATATTGTGGATGTAAAAAAAAACCAAGAGTCTTTCAAACAGAAAGGAAGAACTCAATGATGGAGACCCAGAAAGGAATTCACTTTGGTATGACTCTCATTCAGCTGAGATGAGAGCTTCTCGACTTTTGCTGGTCAACCAATAAATTACTGTCGGAATAGGATATGTTATTTATACGGGACTATCTGCTTTGCACTCTCAAAAGTATTCAACACGAATTACTCACGCTCTTAGCACGACCTCAAAATTGATTGGTTCGATTCTGAAACTCTGAGGTGGTACCGGTAGTTTTCTAGAAGGGAGCAAAGTCAAAATAATTCGAGAGCCAGTACCCTCCTAGAGACAATTCCAGCAGTGAAGTTTCCTTCTCTTGTAAAAACATGGATTCGAAGTGAGTAAAAACTTCTTCTGTCAGTTCTTATTGTTGGATATGTAGTTGGATAGGAGAAAAAAACTTTCGTCATTTTTCTCCTATTTTCTTGAACATTGAGAGTTCTTTCACATTTCGCCACCGGAAACCCGTTTAACAGCCAATATGATTGAAGAAAAGTCATCCAATATTAGTTTATTGAGATTCTACAGTTATGGTTACACTATACTCCTACATCTGTATCTTTCGCTGATCCCAAAGTCATACACAATGTAACTCGAATCCAGAACACTTTATCGTCTTGTGCTGTTCCTTTTGAATGTAGAAACACTCCACTAATTCAAAGAAACATATAATCAGCTTTCTCCCTATCTTTATTATTTTTTTTCCTTGTTGATGAGCACAATCGTTAGAATATACGAGCTGTAGTCAAGTTCATACCTAACAAAGAGTTATCTCCTGGTAAAAACTTAGATCTTTTTAAGTTTTATCACATTTCACCAGCTACATACGGCGTTTCACTAAAATTGTTTATTGATTTTGAATATATGGAAAAGGCAAGCTTCAAGTAATTAAATACGTATTCTGACGCTAAACTAGTAATGCAACAACAGCAGCAGCAGCAACATACGAGCTTGCTTTCAATGATGATGCAGAATTTCTCGTATGCGTAGGATGAGTATTGTCAGTATTCGCTAACGGTGATTGATTTATCATTTTATCTATGGGAGCAGAAGAATTATCCAGCCTTGCGACTGGACTGGATGCAACGCTAGAAGCTGTGAAAGCAAGAAGAAGTATCTGTATAAGATTCATGGTTAATGAGAAAAAAAGAATAAAAGGGGGACACGCCTCTCTTTTATAGGCAAGGCCCGAATGCAATTTTTCAATAACTATTACTTTTGCGATCATGAAACCTGCAAAAAATTTACCACGCCTTGACTTGCCGCCATCAATTCCGCCACAATGGGCATTCGGAAAGGTCAATACGCATGAGTGTTAGTCACACCTACCGTTTTCGACTAAAAAGATTTCTAAAAACAGATCCCACTATCTTAGAGTTGCGGCTGGAACATAGATGCATATGTACATGCAAATCCATCATGCATGTCTGACGAATGCAGGTGAACAGACACCTCGCGTCGCCAGAAGATAACGGTATAGCAGCGACATTTTTGATCCAACTCCTTTCTATAAAGATGGACGTGAACCAATTGCATTTTTAATTGTCTATGATATTTTTAAATTACATACAAGTGGTATAAGCCACTTGCAATTGCTCAAAGAGCCGAACCATCTCGATCTAGTGGCAAATGCACCGCATGCAATTCCTGTGGAGTGCATCACCACAATTCTCGGGAAAACAAATGGCATGACGAGAAGTTTTGTTTAATACAACGTAGATAGAGCCCGGAGATCATAGCACTAGTGACGGGGCCAGGCCCAATTGTGCAGAACAAGTGACCAATCTCCGGGACAAAAGAAATAAAGGAAATTAACCCCCCAAAGAAGTAAGTGTCAACTACCAATCCTCTTAGCTTGCATCTGTATCGTATTAGTGAAAATTTTTCCTCTAATTTTTTTTTTGCATGAAGTTTCCATGTTAGTGGAAGCGTCCCCTTTTCGGCACAAATCCTATCCATGATAAGCACCCCTGTATAAACGTGTACCACGTGACCTGTCATCTATGTCGCATTTAACCGTTACGAAATCAAATTGCCTTTTCTTCTGCCAAATGTCTGCTGCTCTTGTGAACAGATCACTTACTACTGTGCGTACCGAGCTTGAGTTTTTGCTCGACTCGGATGTCATAGACAAGTCTCTTTTCGACACTTTGGTTGCTGCGCTTCCCCAAAAATACGTCAAAGACGCTGCTCCTTGGGGGATTGATAAAATCCGCCTTGATGCTGCTCCGCCCCTTAGAGAATCGGACTCTGTTACCGAAGCCTTGAAGAATACATCGCTCGAGGAAAAACCTCCTCAGCAGGCGCCGGCCATTCCTCAGAAACCTCGCAACCCGCTTGTGGGTTATTGCAAGGCTTCTTTCAACTACGAGGCGCAACAGGAGGGCGACTTGAGCCTTCGCAAAGACGACAAAATTGCTGTCGTGGAGCACCTCTCGCCTGACTGGTGGAAGGGATACCGCCAGGGGGAAAATCCAGACAAGGCTGGCGTGTTTCCGTCTAATTACGTCACTGTTATCTCCGAGGCCGAGTTCAGTCTCTCGCAGAACGAACGGGCGCCGGAGAAGGCCCAGTACTCGCCTGAAAGCTTCTCGCGTCCTCCAGCGTACCAGGCGCCATCCAATGCGCCTCCATCTGCTCCGTATGGCGCGTACGACGACAAAAAATCGTACGAACAATCACCCTCACACGGCTACCAGGCGCAACAGCCATCTTATGGCGGCTACGCCCAGTTCCCACCTCCGCTGACCAATTACTATGCTCCACAACAGCAGCAGCCAGTGCAACAGCCGGTGCAGCAGCAACTTGCGCCTCCACAACAGCCGGTGCAACAGCAGCATTCCGGTGCGTCGGAGCACTTTAAAAAGTTCGGAAGCAAGTTGGGTAACGCGGCCATTTTTGGTGCCGGTGCCACGATTGGAAGCGATATTGTCAATCTGATCTTTTAGTCGTGCTGGCAGGCTGTTGGTGCGATTGTTTGGTGATTTTGTTAGTGCAATGTTTAGGATTAGGAAGATATGTTTTGAATATCTTGTAGTCTAGTGGGCTTTTCTTAGCATGACCTATTCTTGATACATCCATGAATTTCATTATTTCACATCATCCTTTGATGTTCTCATCGCATCTAGTAGAGTCTGTTTGGTAGAATTGCTGGCAAAATCGAAACTCTTCTGTCATCACAAGAACTAACCAATCTTCATGGGACATTAAAGCTTGCGCCAATTACACCTCAGTATGTAGTCGCTCCTACTTGTAAGAACTCAATTACAGCCCGATTGGTGCTTCCTATCTCATTCGTCGTTACTATATACAATGTTACTTCCGGGCGTCCACAACCGTGTTCAACAACAAAGTGTCGTTGTCCAACAAAATGCGGTTAGGCGAGTTCGCCAAGATTGCCGCAATCTCCTTGGCAGTATCCAATCTCTTCAACTCAACATAGTCCTTGGACTTCTTGATGGCTTCACCAATCAACTCGGCCGACTTGGCTTCACCAGCAGCCTTCACCACAACCTGCTGTTTCTCTTGGATGGCCTTGTCGACAACGAAAGCTGCTCTTTGCGCATCTTGTTGAGCGATTTGCTTGGCCTCGACAGCGGCACTGAACTCGGGCGAAAATGTCATGAAAGTCAACGAAACATCGTCCAACAAAATGTCAAACTTGGAAGCACGGCGCACGAGGTTTTCCTTCACCAATCTCGACACTTTTTCTCTCTGGGTGATCAATTGCGACGCATTGAACTGGGCAATCACAGATTTCAAAACTTCATTGACAATCGACGGCAAAACCTTCTCGTCGTAGTCCTGGCCCAAAGTACGGTAGATGTTGGGCAACTGGTAGAGATCAGGCTTGAACAAAACACGGCACGTGATGTTCACCATTTGCAAGTCCTTAGTTCCCGTCAATGACGATACATTCCGGGGTTTTGCTCTTACATCATACACAATCGGTCTTTGGAACCATGGAACAATCAAATGTGTACCTTCAGGGTAAATGTGGGGTTGGACTCCGCTCAAACGAGAATAGATGATGGCTCTTTGTCCACCGTCAACGTTAAACAAAGCATTCTGGGCAAACATGGTTACTCCACCCAAAAGTAAAAGGCCGCCGACTCCGGCAAACATGCCGAAAGGAGATCTTGGAGGAGAGCCTCCACCAGTACGGGCTTTCGCGGCTCTGCGTCTCAATTCTTGAGACAATTTTTGCCAGTTTGGATCGTTCATGTTCATGTTGGGAGAAATGGTAGGAGAGGAGAGTTGCGTTTGCCCTCGCTTTGCGCGGGCGACATTGGCATGCTTGGAGTGCGACATTTTTTTTTCCTGTGCTTGGGGCAGCCGCGACATTATCCTAGAACCATTTTGTGAACGACATTTTGCAGCCATGTCGCACCCCGATTGCTGGACACATTTTCTGCTTCGTTTTATCGAGAAATCATTGACTGAACAGCGGGATTGGATGAAGTAAATTTTCAGCAGCAAGATTTCAGTTTCCCACTTGGTATTCTTTGGTTTTCGTACTTATCGGTTGAGATAACGTTTCTGAAGTAGTACATCCAAAAACACGAGTGAAACACTTATCCAAGTTTTCACTGCAAGCAATTTGTTCCTGTGGGCTAAATCACTAATCGAATTGAATTTCCAGTCCCCCTGAAAGGATATTAGATGTAAACGTATTGTCATCAAGTATAGCTTTCTGATATTGTTCAGTTTCCCTCTTGCTTGAAAAGCCACACCGCTATCCAGCTATCAGTAGAGAACTTTCTTGAAGAATACTGTAGGTACTTGGTTCGTCGTATCTTATGGAAAAACTGTACTTATCTTACTAGTATGCAATACATATCTATTTCGAAGACACTGATAATCCAATTAGTTCGGGGATCAGAATTCTCTTACTTCATATATTAAGTTCCTTTTATTTGAGCAGTCAACGGTGCTGATGTAGACCAGCTGTCACCAATATTCCACTGACTGTGGCTACTTCGGATCATCCAAGCAGCTAGGACGTTTCACGTCACAGTGTGTAATTATGAGACGTCCTTCAATTTTCCTCCATTCGACATCCTCATCAATTGTACCAGCTATGACGGAACACCCTCGTAATCGTTCTCCTTATAGTACTGGTCGAGCACACGTCGCCAGTGGCGCCTTCTATTCGTGTGGATCGGAGTGATGCGCCCCAACAGCTCGTATAAAATCAGCACAAATATTATCGCCGCCACAACCACACTGGGGGCCACGCGGAGTGCAAGATCGTTTCCCAGAACCTGTCGTCTGTACGGACAATCCGCAAGGGGACCGCCTGTGACAAAACAGCCCTGTACTGCAACATCATTGACATCAATCCACAATCGCGTGTCGTTGAAAGTGTGGAGCTGAGCTACAAGCGAAAGTTGCTCCAAGCTCAGTCTTGGGACACCGAAGTAATAGCCGTGAGGACAGTTTACGTCACTGGACTCAAAGTAATAGTGGGCAGAATCGGAAACCGTCCAGTTGAAGGGATTTTCTCCGCTTTGGCACGCCAAACGAAGCTTCTCGTGGCAATTAGCCACTTCCCAGCCCTCAGGAGTTGTCACGACGCAGCGCCACTCATCATCGTCCTCGCCGTTGCCATTATTCCCTCCGCGCCGGTTTTGATTTTGCCTGCGGTCGTCATCTTCTGACCGCGGTTCATCTGGTGCCCACGACCAAAAACTATTACTCACAAATGTGTTCATGGTGTCTCCTAACGGCGCATTGTAATTCAGCGCATTAAGAACCGCTGTAGTACCGCAGGAGATGTGTGCACGGAGAGAATCGTTGGTGAAAGGCTGGGTGTCGTCGTCAAAGGCGGAACGAAACAGCAGGGCACTCAAAAGTGAGTCGAGTGCCCCCACAGAAAAGTTTCGCTGCACTGCCTGGCATTGCGAGATCACCCGGCTGTCTGGATCGGTGTCAGTCTGGACCCAATGCGACGAGTTGGGGAAGAAAACAGACACACGGTCAGCTTCCAGGATATTGTAGTCAGATTTCTGCTCTACCACGAACGCCACCACGCGTTTATTCCAGTCGTAGAGAAATTCCATTTGGGACGGAAATAGTGACAAATATTCAGTCGAATTTCCTGAAACGCCCTCCTTCCAGTAAGAGTCTAGGTCGTTGGGTGTGAATAAAAAATGCCCAAGCGGTGCTAACTCGTGGACAAGCGAAGCATTAGCATTTCGCTCATCTGTCACATTGGAACTTACGTTTTTCCCGCCAAAGGTCGCTGCCGGGTTGAAAACAGCATTCATGTCGTCGTCTGACCCAAATCGTTTAAAAAGTTCATCTTCATATGAGTCTGTCCACTGTTCGTCAGGCCATTCATTTGCGCTGTTCAATTCATCATCTGACAAATCGTCTGGCATTTCACTCGGACCATTCATCTCCTCTTGTCCATGAGCATTCTTGTGATCTTCTCGCTCTTCTAAAGTTGATTCAAACGGGTGTTCGATGAGATCTCTCTCTTCCTTCTCCTCTCTATCTCCTGCGTTGAGCAAACGGAGCATAATCTGTAACACATTGGCATTGGACCGGACGTCAGAGCTCCTCAAATACAGACTAACCGTTTTCATCAACCACGAGAGCGTGAAGCTTGGCTGACATTTGTACTGCCTGCCATTTCCTCTGACTTTGATTTCGTCGTTATCTGTAGCATTCAGAGGGAATTCAACAGGGCAGAGTTGCCATGTTTGCGTCTGCTTGCTCCAAAAAACATCAATCAATATGGCGCCAATCTGTAAGTCCAACATCTGCGAGAGTGTATCGTGTATGTCGTTGGTGTACCCTCTATGGTCAAAAAGAAGACGGTTGAGCGAGACGCCGAGCCCAGAAAGGTGGTCGATAGGAACTCGGTCCGAAAGATCTCGCTGCGACCGCATGCCATCTTCGCCTGAATCAGAAAGGTCAAGCGCCGCCGATAAGGAGAGAAACGCAAACCATGCTAGAGTAGACAAGCCACGCATCTAACTGGTTCTAATCAGCTATTTGTCTTGCGCACTGGGTCCACTCTTGGGATTTATCTGTTTGATTTTGTTTCGAAGCAGGCCTTCTTCCTTCTTCGTTCCTTTGCTATCTTCTATTCCTTGATGGTTCCGACCTAGGCTCCCTTTCCTTCCTCCGATGTAAAGTCTTGTTCAATGTACTGCAGAACAGGAATCTTTAGGTCTCTTGTTTCTTCGCGATGTCATTTCGCGTATTACATCAATGATACACTCTTGGGTCCATTTGGAATTCTCCGAACTACTCTACTCTAACTGGAAGGCTAACTGAAGCTGGAGGAGTCTAATTTTTCGAGACCGGCAACCGCGAGTTCCAATTCTTATCTACTGTTGACTATCAAGTTTTGTCATTAGAGCGATAGAGTTATCCATACCATCACACGCGTTTAATTTATGAATTTCCAGGCATTCTATTACCCTCCATCCTTCACCTTCGATCCCACCAATTGATACATCTGTCAATCTGTGGATTTTAAGTACCTGTGGACCATTGCATGACTCCGTCATCCGAAAAGTTTCTGAAAAGGAAAGCACAGTCTACTAAACAAGCGCGACTACCAGAGCTGTTCTTCTCTGGATCTGGTCTTTCTGACCATGTTGGTTCATCTGATCCAGGAACGTCGAGTGTCCATCCACCACTAGGAATACTGAATACCCATTTTCAATCTCAAAATCGGAATTGCTCTTCTGTCTCTCTGATTCTAAGTGAGAATCACTCCACCACTGCGCCTTCTGTGGACTCGCTATTCTCGTCGCTCAATCACGAGCAAAAGATGGCCGCAGAGGCGTCTCCTGGTATTCTACAAATTGTGGCTGGTCCTGGCACCGGAAAAACCAAAGTACTTGTTTCACGTGTGGCACACCTTCTTCTACGCCAGCGTATTCCGCCGCAGAATATTGTGGTGACAACTTTCACCAAAAAGGCCGCCGCCGAGTTGGTTGAGCGGCTTAGAGTCCTTGGACCGCAGGTGGACGTGGACAAAATCCTTGTCGGAACGTTCCACAGCATTTGTTTTAGGCTAGTACGGCGCTTCGGGGCAAAAATTGGTCTTCCTCGCGTGAGTGTGGCCGATGAAAAGGATGCGGTTCAGTTAGTGGCTCAGGCTTTGGAAAAAGTCGATGTTAGCGCATATCCCGACGACGAAACGGCTCCTTTCAAAGCAAGGTCTGGTATCGACTCCAAAAAGGTCCGCCGCCATCTCTCCCGCCTAAAAGCAAGTCTGGCGGAGATGAGCCGGAGTCCTGCCGATGGCAAACGTTTCATCTCTCGTGTGCTGTCCCTCTACCAAGAATTACTTACGGCAAGCCATCTTATAGACTTTGACGATTGTCTCATCCTTGCTCTCCGTCTACTAAGAGATCATCACATTCTACCCCATGTTGAGCATACTTTAGTGGACGAGTTTCAGGATTGCTCTGCAGTTCAACTCGAGCTCATGTACGCATTTTCTCAAGGCCGCAGCGTGACAGTGGTAGGCGATCCTGATCAGAGCATCTACGCTTTTCGAGCTGCCCAAAGCGGAACTTTCGGCGACATGCGCCGCCACTACGAAGAATTGGGCTGTACATACCAGGTAGTTCGTCTTACAGAGAACTATCGGTCGACTGCAGCGATTCTCGCTCTCTCGGAACGGGTGATGCGACAACAGATGGGACGAGAGGAAAAAACCCTTCGGGCACAGCACACTGCTAGCATTTTGCCTGGTTACGCTTGTCTTGATTCTGCTGCGCAGGAGGCCCGTTGGATTGCACACCACATCTCTCACCTAGGGCAGTACGAGATTTTCGATCGGGCAGACTTTGCTGTGCTTGTGAGAACGGCGTATCAAACACGCGCAATAGAAACGGAATTTGCCCGGGCAAAAATCCCATATACCATTGTTAAAGGGCGGGCTTTTTGGGAGAGGCGTGATGTGGTGGCAGTTGTGGATTATTTGCGGGCAGTAGCGAGTGACTATGATCGCTTGGCGCTTTTCCGGGCTCTCAATGTTCCACGTCGAGGTTTCGGGCCAAAATCCGTCGCGGAGTTGGTACAACTCCATGAAAAACACAAATGTCTGGCTTTTGAAACATTGAAACAAGTTGCGTCAGGTGCAATCCAGTCGTCGTTGGGCCAAAAAGCTCAGGCACAACTTACAGGTTTTGTGAACTTTGTGGAAAAAGCTCGTAGCTGCTTATCGGAATGTTATGAAGCAAATGACTTGGGCCGCTTTTTCAATTATGTGTACGTCCAGTCAGGGCTAGAGAAGGAACTAGAGCCCGATTCGGAAGGAAATATACTGGAAGTGCGTTCTCAGCTAGCGCAATTTGTGCTGGAGGACGAGGAAGTTAGTGGCCAAATGGGGGAAATTGAAACAGAAAAGGAAGAATTGAGAATTCGGGTAGATACGGGGGACAAAAATATCAGTATATCCAAGATCAAAAAGGCAGAGAGCAATTTAGATGTAGGTCGTGAACATCTTCGCCAGTTTCTTGAGCTGCTTTCTCTTTTTGACACAGATCTGTCCCAAGAATCGTCACAAAAAGTATCCATCTCAACCATACACGGTGCCAAAGGTTTGGAGTGGCCTGTTGTTTTTGTTCCGGGTCTCAGTGAAGGCTTACTTCCCGCAAGTTTTGCTGTGGATGATAGTAAGCCAGAGACCATCAATGAGGAGCGCCGCTGTTTTTATGTTGCTGCTAGCAGAGCCAAAGTGCTATTGTTTCTTTCCGCCTACACTGAAGATCTGGATGGCCAATGGGGGCGGAAACCCATTGAGAAGCCATCTCGATTTCTCAAGGACCTTGAAGGTTTGATCTGCTCAAAATTGTCTTGGCCACAAGAAACCATAGAAATTTTGCAAACGATCACGGGTCGTCTGCCAACAAAGGTGGATTACAAAAAACTAGAGGAAAAGTATCAGTTGTGCTTGCAAGCATATGTGAGGAAAGGCGTCGATCCAACTTCTGTCACTACGGGTTTTGCATCTGCAAATGAATTCAAGAGAAACGGAAAAGCACCAGCTTATATCCCCGTACGACCAAGCAAAAAACATAATTCTCATCCAATGGCTCTGCCAATAATAGCACCGGAGTTAAAAAAGACCAGTTTCGATAGAAGAAACTATGCACCGAAATTCTCTAGTCCCGCGTGCAATAGCGATTCTACTTCACGACAAAAAATGGCTCCTGAAATATCAGCGGCTTCATCCGCATCTACTTCTGTCAAAAGAGCTCCAGCGTATATTCCTACTCGTACTACAACGAAGCGACGTCTCGGTACAAGATGAGCTGATCAAACAATTATAAAAATGCTTGAGTACTGCTGATGCTTCCTGGGTTATGTATTTTAGATATTTATGAGGTGAAACATGCCGATGAGTTAATGTAATGCGATGAATCGATATACTGATGTAGATACTGGCTCTGATTTGACCTTGACGTATCCCTTCAACCTCTGGGTACTGAAGCTTTAGGAGAACCTGTGCTAGGTCAATTTGCATACATTGACATAGCAGTATGCGAACATCCATGTTCTTCAGTGGACATACTTTGATCAGAACAAAGCGCAATTTAATTCGATCAATTGTACGTCTTCGTGATAAGATGGTGCTATGTTGATTACACCACTAGAGTTATTGGGTACGAACAAGATTCCTCTTCGTCTCGTAGTTTGCTACATTTCCGAAGTTCCTACAATAATCAAACCTCAACTGTACATTCTACTTGGTGATCTGGAACGACCATGGGAAAGACAAGTGCACAGTCTTGTCATCGTCCACAAATTTCGTCACAGCCGAGTACGAACCACGGGCCAAAAAGCCCGAAGGAGCCTCGACAGCTCCAAAAGTCTTTTCGTAGTATGGCTTTTCCTTGGTGTTGGGCGCGTATGAACCCAAAGGCTCTTCCAACTTATCCACACGGATTCCGGACTTCTTGACCGAATGCAAGTACTTCAAGCCTGTGATGATCTCGTGCTGCACCCGGAACTTGATCTTCAACTCGTACACGGCCTTTTCCTTGATGTTGAATGTGATTTGTTTGTCAAGGGTTTTACCGCTCGCGTCCTCCATTGGAATGACAATGTCTGGCAACAGAGGGTCCTCTGGGAAAACAAGAGCCATCTCCACAATCACAACCGTTCTCTTGTCGCCTGCTTGGACCGGGTATGCAGTTGAATCGGCCGCCAAACCCAAAGAGGCTTTCCATTTGGCCAAGCTCTCGTCTTCAGCGTCAAGTTTGTTGTATTCCTCAATGGTTTTCTTCTCGCCCACGGTGTATCCTTCCACGGACTCTGGAATCAAATCATCTTCTTGCGACATTGTCAATTCGATTTCCGTCGGTTTTTTTTTTTTCTGAGAAGTGAGTGATCGGAATGGCCAAGTGGTCTCGTTTCATCGACAAGTGTTCCTGATCCGGGGACACCCGTACACCACGGTTTCCCGATAAATGCATTTTCCAGATATCTCCATGTGCATGTGCATAGGCGCCACTTTTGTTTTTGCTTGTTCAAAAGGCCAGACTTTCCGTTTGCTGGAGTGCTGTTGCCATTTTTCGAACAATCTGGAGCCCATGTGGTATTCTTGAGGAAATTCAGCCTGACTTCGCGTTTTCTAGCTAGACAGATCGTTTGCATTTGCATCTTGGTTTGGTGAATTTAAACTTTCAGTGATTTTTTACTTTTAAACTTTTGATTGTTGCCTTTGTTGTCCTCCGTCTTGCGCTTGCGTCTTACTTTTTCGTTCTTTTTCCGCTTCCTTTTTATTTTGTTTGTATTTGTCTTCATTTCATATCTCACTTTAGCTCTCTATATTTATAACTGCCAGGTAACTTTGCCAAGCTTACGAAAAACATCACTTCAAAAAAATATCGTTATTACATCAGAGGTGATCTGAGGGAAGAAGATCAAGATCTGAAAGACTAAACGGAACTGAAAAATTGCACAAGGCCCATTTTTGCTTAATTCATTCCTACTGCCTCTTACATACTTAACCTTGTTTCATCGTCCCTACCATATACCCTTTCTTGTTTTTTCTTTGCTTCCATGTACATTTCAGTCGAGCATTGCCTTTGTGTTTCTTTCATTATCTCTCATTGATACTCTTCATTTTCCCATGCTTCGTTCTCAATGTCTCTTTCACAATCTTTCTTGCCTCATCTTTTGCCTCCAGTAGATAAGACCCCACGAAACACCCGTGCACCACCACCCTAATATGGATCCAACTCATGAGCGTCTCAATTGATTTCCCATCATGAGCGACGCTGACGAGGTATGTGAACAACTTCATATTGTGCCAATCCTATTCTAACATTTTTAGATAAGAGCAAAGAGATTGGCTAGACTTGCAGCTTTGAGTCTGTCTGCTAGCAGTAGTTCCAAGTCGGGCGAATCGAGTCCCAAACCGGCCGAAGCTACACCGAAAGTGGCGGAATCGAAAGCGAAAACGGCCCATTCTGAGCCTGAAGCCAGGGCTCCGCCCAAGAAGGAGCCTCGGATCGAAACCCCCACTGTTCCTGCTCCCAAAATCGAGAAACGGGTCGAAAAGCCACCTCCTTCTCCTCCCGTTGACCCAGAGAAGGCAATAGACGCGTGGATGAGAGCTGAGCTCCCCTCTATCTTCAAAATCAACACGAGCGCCTTTGTGCTGAAGGATTCTCTTCTCTCTGCAGACTCTGTCGATGACCTTTTCCTCGAGGTTTTAACTGAAAAGGGCGTGGGCAAATTACCAATCGTATATCTTATTGAGTTGCACGAGCAGGCCAACCGATCCACCCGAATCATGCCCAAGAAGGACCCTTTGTATTCTCAGAAATTAGCCATTATCCACAGCATCGCTGACTTTTGTTCTTCTTATGGTCTCATTTGTTTCCAAATCCCCGATATGATTTTGGGGAATGACTTGGAAAAAACCGTTGGTGTTTTTCTTGATGAACAATCCACGCATGTTTTCTTGTTAGAGATTATTCGCAAAGCGGCAGAGCAAGATTATTTGCTTGACTTGTTGAATCTTTTATTCCCTTCCGTTTCTGTTCGTTTGGCAAAGATCAACATCCACAAGTCAGAGTACTCTCGCTATTTAGCATTCTGGGAAACTTTGGTAAACGTGAAATCTGTTGCCGCCATTTTTTCTCAGGTGAATGGCTTTCTCCCTCCAGACGAAAAGGCCGGAAAAGATTATGAACACAAAACTCTTTTGGGTCCTCTTTTGCGCCTCAGTCCGCTTGATGCCGAAGCAGCTTCATTATACTTTCTAGGTGGCAACAAGCCTGATCAAGTACGCGAGTTCCAGAACTTTGAACTTGTATCAGTGTTCGACAATATCCAGTCTGAATACAAAGTCATTTTCGAGCGTCTTTGGTTCATCTTGGACAAGCTTATCCGCGGATCGCCTGAAACAAGAAAGGGCCTAATGAGGTGGTTTGCCAACTTGATCAACGTATCACATTTAAGAACTGGTTCTCATTCCAAACCGTTCGACAATGTTTCTGACGCATTGATGTACAATGTTTCCTACTTGTTTGTGCGCTTGAGTCTACCTTTCTTGGACTACCCTGCGTACTCAAAAATTTCTAAAATCAGTCCGGACTTTTTTGGGCCCATGAATTCCTTGTTGGACATTGACGAGGAAGCTAGACTCAACTCCACAATCGAAGAGGCAAAAAAATTTTATGAAGGTGCTATGCAAGAGGACGCCAATTTTATATCCGAGTGCTTTTACCTCACTCTTGCATATGTACAATACGGACTTGGGGGTGTGCCAACAAACTATAAAAAGTACAACGACATGATCAAAAACTTGTCTCGCGCTATCACAGACCCAAGCTTGACTGCTGTGCGGTCTAAGTATGTCGATATGATCAACAGAATTAAGTGCCAGAAACATGCCATTGAAGCTTTAGTGATGGCCTCGGGCGCAAATCTGGAATTCTTTGACTTTTTTGTTGGTGCCTTCCAGTTTTTCGGAAAAGTCATTGATCCCAATCATGCGTACCCTCAGCAAAAACTCCACATTCCACTTTTCGAAATCGAGCGGGTGAGTCAGTTGGACGATCATGAGTTTTTGAGATCGAAAGCTCCAGAGCCTTGGAAATACTATCCGGAGTTTGTGGTGGAAGGAATTGTGAACTTTTTCAAATTTCTCTGTGGTTTTGGTGTCCCAGTGTCTCAGGACGAGGAGAAAATGACCATTTTTGCCGAATTCACGACGATTTTATTGAGATGTCCCGAGCTTGTGGGAAACCCGCATTTGAAAGGGAGTATCATCGAGTGTTTCATCTTGGCCAGTCACACTACGATTTACGGCAAGCCTGGTCCATTCACTCATGTTTTCAACTCCAGTAAGCTTTTGAAAGAAAACCTCTTGTATTCACTTTTGGAGGTTTACGTGACAATTGAGAAAACGGGTGCATCTTCGCAGTTTTACGATAAATTCAACAGCAGATACATCATTTCCAAAATCATCGAGAAGTTGTGGGAAAATGATGCATACAGACAGCAGTTGAGCAGCTATTCGAAACACAATGTCGACTTTTTTATCCGCTTCATTGCCCGTATGTTGAACGATACTACGTACTTGTTCGACGAAGCTTTTAATACATTGAACTCGATCCACAAGTTCCAACGAGAGCTAAACTCTCGGGAACAAGGAAATGAAGCAAATGAAGAGGAATTTGGCACTACAGAAGAGCTCGAAAAAAACCTTCAGGAGAACGAAAGACGTGCCAAGTCGCTCATGGGTTTAGCTAACCAGACGATGATGTTATTCAAGTTATTCACGGAGCAAGTTCCTGAAGGTTTCACTATCAACGAGCTTGTGGACCGCTTGGCCGGTATGTTGGACTATAACTTGAACTTGATGGTTGGCCCTAAATGTTCCGAGTTGAAAGTCAAAGAGCCCGAGAAGTATGATTTTGACCCGAAACGCACCTTAGGTGATCTTTGTGTTGTCTACTGCAATTTGAGTAAGGAAGAGAAGTTTGTGCAAGCTGTTGCACGAGACGGGCGGTCGTTTGATTTCAAATATTTCGAAAAGGCCCGTGACATTTTGTTGCGCAAGACTCACATCCAAAACAACTTGGTTGAGAAGTTCTTTCAATTGGGTCAGCGGGCGGATGAACAGCGTCGCTTGTACGAGCAAGAGGAGTTGGAGTTAGGTGATGTGCCAGACGAGTTTTTGGATCCGTTGATGTACACTTTGATGGAAGATCCTGTGATTTTACCAGGATCAAAGGTTACTATTGATCGGTCCACATTGAAGGCGCATTTATTAAGTGACCCAACCGATCCGTTCAACAGAATGCCTTTGAAGCTCGAAGATGTGGTGGATGATGTGGAAATGCGTGAGAAAATTGCTCAGTTCAAGCAAAGCAGAAAGCTGTGAGTGATGTAACGATAGTGTATGGAACATGATGAGAATATAGCGATGAAGTGTAGCATGGTCTTGCCGTGACAATGCGGTAGGTACTTGACGACTACTGGGTTAATTAAGCCTTTCATATACTAAATAAGACACGCATTGGAAAGCCATACTTTCCGAAGCTGACTTTGACGAGCCAAACTTTAGCGATTAGTTTACTCGTTTGGTGGGATTTAGTAAACGACGATAAAATCTTAGAATATCAGAATGTTAGACCAAAATACTGTGCAAAGGTCTATATGGTGTCAATTAATTTTGAATGCTATTACAAATTGTGAAAAGTGTTGCAAAGAGCTTCAATAGCTTCAACCTGTGACATGTCCAAGCAATAAAAGTGAAATTACAGCCGAAGACGACGACACTTTCATTGCTGATTGGAAATATTAGCTTACCCAATAAATCAACGCAACCTTCAAAACGACGCAAACAATTTCTTTGAACGGTCATAAATTCAGTCGTAACATTCTTTCTAAATACAGGGAATTCATTCAAGGTTCTAATCAATAGTTTCCGAATCCCTTCTTTCATTCACGTTCAAGTATGGTTGAGAAACCTGACCCTACTATTGCGAGCAAAGACACACTTGCCCTTCTTACTACAAACGGTAACCGTACAATTATATTACTACCATAACATTATGTAATTAAGCCTTGATAGCGTAGACCTTCTTTGGGAAAGCAAGCTGTTGCTTCTTGGCCTTAACAGTCAATCTGGCAGCGTCTTCCTTGGACAAGGCTCTTCTCAAAGCTCTGGTCTTCTTGGCTCTCAAGTCCTTTGGAATGTACTTCTTGCCGGCGTAGAAAGCTCTGACGTTTTCTCTTTGAGCAGCGTTGATGACGGTCAAGACTCTAGCGATGTTCTTTCTGACAACACCGATTTGAGGAACGGCAGGTCTGGTCAACTTTTGGACCTTCAAAGAAGCCAATTCTTGCTTCAACTCAGCCAATTGTTGTTCCAATTGTTCCTTGGACTTGGATCTCAATTCTGCAACTTTAACACCAGCCTGAATGTTAGTATTGTTTTAGTGTGAGTAACTGGCGGGATGTTCAAGCAAGTGATGGACAAAGAAAATGCCTCAGAAAAGAATCTTGTGGATTTGGACTTGACAAAAACTTTCATACTGGGAAAACTCGACTCAACAACGTTTGGGGATTTGTGAACGGACTCTTATTATCCACTTGAACATGCCAGCGAGTCTATCTTTGTGTGTTGACGGAACATACCATTTTGTATTATATGAAGAAGGTAGGATTTTTTTCTTTAAGAAAAATCAAACAAAATTTTCAGCGCCCGCGCTGGATGGAGGCTGCCACTACCTGCAGTACCCAATCTTTAGGTGTAGGTACGGGTGTTTGGTGTGCTGCATCTAAGCTGAGCGCGCATGAACGGTCTAGATGCGGGTGTGGCACGTGCTGTATTTAGGGCTTGTGCCCTAGATGTCGCGAGGCCACAAGTGCTATTGCTAGAGGCAGTTGGGCGAGTGCTTTAGATCAGATTACATGCATTCTATACGGCGATAAGTAAACAATACATCAGAGTAAGAAGTTAGGATGGAGAGGCCAAAGCGTCCTAAGCAGAGTTTTTCAAGTTGGTGGACAACCATTCCAAACCTTCGTACAAACCGTCACCGGTGGTGGCGCAAGTAGACTGGATGTACCAAGGTCTTTGTCTGATAGAATGCAAGCCCAACTTCTCGGTGATCTCCGCAGCGTTCATGGCGTTTGGCAAATCTTGCTTGTTGGCAAACACAAGCAACAAGGCGTCTCTCAATTCGTCCTCGTTGAGCATCTGTTGCAACTCTTCTCTGGCCTCGGCAATACGGTCTCTGTCATTGGAGTCCACAACGAAAATGATACCTTGTGTGTTCTGGAAGTAGTATCTCCACAATGGTCTGATCTTGTCTTGTCCACCGACATCCCAAACGGTGAAGGAAATGTTCTTGTACTCAACGGTCTCGACGTTGAAACCAATAGTAGGAATGGTGGTCACAATCTCACCAAGCTTCAACTTGTACAAGATGGTGGTCTTACCAGCGGCGTCCAAGCCGACCATCAAGATTCTCATTTCCTTGTTACCAAAAAGGTTGGCAAACAACTTGGAGAAAGACAAACCCATTCTGTTGCGATAAGTGCTGCTGTGCTATCTGTCAAGTTAAAAAAAAAAAGAACTTCCCCGCGAAAATGTATATGTGTATCCCTGGTCTTCTAGACGGTGATACTTGGTGACAAGGTACAAAGGTGTTTTGTAAGAGGCGGCCGTTTATGTTTCGCTTTTGTCGGTGGAAACGAACAGCAAATCGCGCCTTGGCTGCATGCAGGTCTCGTGGTCGTGTCTTCATCAAAATTGGGCCTGGCTGCTAAATCGTCAGCGGGCCATTTTTACATAAGCGAGAGAATGGGCTCTCTATTGAAGCGAAAATGTTTTCAGTTCCGGCTGAGTAATCACCTTTTGTGGCATAGTTGTTCCTTCAGGTACTTGTTTGCAACTTTTGGGCGTGTCTACTCATTATTTGCAGACGCGAACTTTTAATACTGCCAAAATAAAGGTGCGAAGCATGGCTTTATATAATGGGGATGCAAATGAAACATGTGGCACTGCCACTAGTTACTGAAATTTTCTTTTGCCTTCCGGCAATATTGCCAACTTTTCTTTCTTCTTTCTTCGGCTCCAAATGTTTCTGATTTCGTTCGCCTACATTTTTGGTGGTACTCTTTAGGTGGAAAATCAAGCATTCCTATGCACTACTGTAGCCATATTCTGCTTTTGTTCATAAATGATACATAATTCCCAAAGAATGCTCATGATATTTTCTTCAAGATCTTATAGTGAGGTTTCGTAGCATCTCAAATTGACAGAAGTGAAAGTAGCAAGGCGTTTAGTTGGTGTTCAGTAGTTTCATGTTCCAGAAGGTTCAAAGTGGCAGTTAGATAAGAAAACCGACGTTTCTTACCACCCAGCAACAGAAATTAAGCATGCGTTCAAGCAAACTGAAGAAGAAAGAGTGGAGATGAAAGTTTCAAACAACTTTAATTGATGCTGTTGGAATGAAAATAGCAATACAAGAGCATGAAACCTTCTTCACATAAGCATAAAACGAACCAAACCGCAAAACCTATAATCTACTAGTTAAGTCAGCCCTAGTAGAATCACTTGTGATCTTTCAATGCTAAAACATTATTCGCTCATTTGCCAGCTTCAACCATTTTCCTCTCATAAGCACAGCTAGAAGAAAGATCAATTGAACTCTTGAAGCCATGGATGTATTACTATGCCTCTTTACTCTGTTCAGCTCTCTGATCTTCTGCTTTGCTCCTTCAAAACATTGCATCACCCATACATTAGAAACATTACAGTTAGCATCAACACATTTTAATAGCCGAGTGGTCATGACAGGAATCATTCTCCGGATCCAGCGGCTTTCAGGCCCACATTACACATTAGATACTCCAAACGGCTATATATGCACAAGTGCCGCAGCACTACTTTCCCAAATTAACCTTGCAGTTGGCGAAACGACGCAACGCCCTAATAAACACCGCATAATTGACGCTTGTGTTGTCAGAATCGCAGTAAATCTCACTGAGGCGGATGTGCCATGGTGGGTAGTCCTGCAAGTCCAAGACGGGACCAAAGCAAATCAACAAATCCGGCTCAGGCCCAACCAACTCACGAAGCTCTTCATCAATCAACTTTACCGTGATGTCTTTGGGAGACAATTCTCCACTGGCGGTGAGCTCGCTCATAGTCTTGGTGAGCTCGACAATGGTGGGCTTCCCATCCACGTGCGAGAGCAAGCTGATCTCAAGGTTGGGCTCAGCTGAAGGATCGTCGCCTGCCAAGCGTGTGACATTCGAATGCGGCACACGAATAGAGAAAGTGGGCACAGGGCTACCAAAGTATGCGCGCAAGTTGCGGCTAATGTAGTGCTCCAATTCGGGCAAGCTGCCACGGATAGCCCCATTGTACTCGTAAACAGTCAAAGTGGGAATCCCCGCTGATAAACACCAGGCGGCCAACTCAGAAATGTCGCCCACAAGGCCGTCCACCCCGCCGTTTTCGGAATCTTCTGTCCGCAAATTTACAATGCAGCTGACGTGCTTGGGGATTTTGCTCAATTTTGTAACGTCATCACGGATCACCTGAGGCGTTTTGTTTGGGTAGTAAGCCATGGAGAAAAACCGGAGGCATGCCTTGTGGTAGACAAACTGGATGTTTCGCGAGATGGACATGAAAAAAAAGACGGCTAGAAGAATTGTGTGCCGCAAATAGAATCCGGCCAAAGCCACTATTCCAGGAAAGGTCGACGCCATGTTCAAAATTATACAACAGTGGAAAAAAAAAGGTGTTGGAAGACAAAGCGATAAGCGCTGAGAGACGCTTTTTGCGGCAGCGCGAGAGGCACGGGTGTACACAAGAGGCCAAGTATGTAGTTGTTCCCTGTTCTGCAGACAGTCAGGGTCCAGACAGATGTGGTGTGGATTGTCCGTTCAAATGGAGGAAAGAAGAAAAAAAATTCGGCGATACGCAACGAAACGTTGTGGGTTTCAATACGCAATCAAGTTCGAGAAAAGAGTCCAGATCCGGTGGCTATTGACGTTACTTAGGAGATAAGAATGAATCGAATCTGAATCTGAAAATTTGCGAGGGAGGTACTGATGTCACATCATTCCGACATTGAAGAAAGGCGGCGGAATACATAAAATACCCGATTTAAAGGAAGCCGGAACGATACATACAGGGACCTTTGGTCAACTTAATGGAACATCATAGAATAAACGAGAAGAACTGAGTGCGGTTCTTTTTTGCAGCCAACTTCATTTATATGCGAGTGTCTCCCACAGAAAAAGAATTGCGTTTTTTTCTGTTCCCGCATCGCGTTTTCCCCACTGAAGTCCTGCACACGTGCGATCCCCCATAAAAATGCACCTCGATCACCTTCCCCAGAACCACCTTCAGCTTATTTCGAAAGTACACAGAGACGTTACATATCTCCGGGGCTCTGGCTAAATAATACAAACCGATAACCCCGCCTTCGCATGGTGCTCAAGAAACTAGGGCACATTCTTGAGGGCCTCCTCTATGACAATACCATAGAGGAGGAACATTACCGAAAGATGCGCCAGAAATCCTCGTCAAACAGCGCTATCATGGTAGGTCTGGTGGCTGCTGTTGGCGGGTTCCTTTACGGCTACGATACAGGCCTCATCAACGACATTTTAGAGATGCATTATGTCGAGAGACACATCCCGTCTAGTCCAAATAAAGGCTTTAGCGTCCACGAGCGAGCGTTGCTCACGGCCATTTTGCTGTTGGGTACATTCTTTGGCGCCTTGGTGGCTCCACTCATTTCTGACCGTTATGGTCGCAAATTCTCCATCATCTTGAGCTCAGCCTTTTTGTTTAATGTGGGCAACACGCTTCAAGTGTCGGCCACAGACACAAACCTTCTATGTGGTGGTCGTGCTGTATCCGGCTTTGCTGTAGGTATCTTGTCGGCTATTGTGCCTTTATACCAAGCTGAAGCTGCTCCCAAGTGGGTGCGTGGCTCCATTGTCTTCACATATCAGTGGGCCATTACATGGGGACTTTTGATTGCTCTGGCTATCTGCCAAGGTACGCGAAAACTCACTACAAGCGGCTCGTATCGTATACCGATCGGCCTACAGTTTGTGTGGTCACTTTCGCTATGCACAGGTATGCTTTTTTTGCCTGAAAGCCCTCGCTATTATGTACAAAAGAATGATCTTCAGTCGGCGCTCAGGAGTCTCAGTAAGCTTAGACGACTACCGGACGACGACCAAGATCTCATCGAAGAGTTGGTGGAAATCAAAGCCAACTATGATTATGAGATGTCCTTCGGTAAAACCACACTTCTAGACTGCTTCCGCCTGGGCGGTGGGCGGCACAAACAAAAACTTCGCATGATGACAGGTATTGGCGTGCACGCATTCCAGCAGTGTTCGGGTATCAACTTCATCTTTTACTATGGTGTTAACTTTTTCTCCTCTACGGGCGTACACAACTACTACTTGATGTCCTTCATCACTTACTTGGTGAACGTGGTGTTTACCATTCCAGGGATTATATTCATTGACGTCATTGGTCGACGACTGCTTTTGCTCTATGGTGGTGTGGGTATGGCGGTCAGTAACTTTGTTATAGCCATTGTTGGTGTCACGGTGCCACATGCTGAACCGAGAGCGCTCGTATCCATTGTGTTTTCCTGCTGTTTCATTGCATGTTTTGCATCACTGTGGGGTGGTGCTGTATGGGCGCTTGCGCTGGACATCTTTGGTATCAGTATTCGGCAGAAGGCGATCTCGCTCACAGCTGCAACTAACTGGTTGGTCAACTTCATTTTTGCATACATCACACCATACTTGATCGACACTGGGGCGCATACAGCTGCGTTGGGAAACAAAATCTTCTTCATTTGGGGTGGGCTCAACACTGCAGGAGTGGTGTTTGTCTACTTCGTTGTCTACGAGACGAAAGGTCTCAAGTTGGAAGAGGTGGACTTCATGTACGTCAATTGTGCCAATCCTCGTGAGTCCACTCATTTCAAGAGCAGGGCAATAAACTATGACAATTTGATGTTAAGTGAAAGAGCCGTGCAGAGTGCATTATCTCCTCCGGAGTGGGACAATCAACAAGAGAAGGCGCCAGGAAAACTACTGGCAGCAAGCGATTCGTTGTCACCAGAAGGTGCACCACGTGAAGGTTTCTGGGATAGCCAGTCTTCCAGTGCCAGTGCCAGTGGCCCCAGTGCACCCCGCGAATCATCGCACATTATGGTGGCGCCGCTTTCACCAACGTTGAGCACTACATCAGGTTCATCGGCCGCACTGGCTGGATCCGCGACAGATTATCAGAAATATCTCGAGAGCTTGAGCAAGAATGCGAGCAAAGGGCCCCAAGCGCCATCTCTGGCTTCAACGTCGCTCGTGAGGATGCCAGGTGCATCTAAGCGAAACAGTTTATCTATGGTACGGCGTACTTCGTCGCAATCGCAAACGGGTTTGTCAACCAACACAGACTCATTTGGATCGACGCCCGGATTGGACAAGCTCAGTTTGTCACAAGCTGGTCAAATGAAGATTCTCGCAGCACCATTCTTTGATAACCCACCAAGCGATTCTGACTCAGACTGAAGTTATATATAGTTGGAAAGCCTATTAGCGTTCCCAAAGAGGAAGGCGCAATATCCCAATTGGGAAGCATGATGCTCTTTTCAGCAGGCCTGCAGAGAGAAGTACCCTGTCAACGGGGAATAGGAAAGACGAAAGAGCAATGGAAGAGGCGTGCAGAACAGAAACTGGACAAAACAAAAACACAGACACACAACAATGGCTATAGGGATGAAGAATCTAAATACAAGGTTCAAGAAAAGTAAGCCATTCCTTTGTAATTTATGACATGACATACTCTCTCGGCATAAAGGAAAGGCTACACGTGACCATGGTCGGAATTGTCTTAGTCTTGGCCATTGCGCAGGTCCGGTCCATCTGGTCATGTCGAATGGACATGTACATGGGTCCATCCTGTATGCAACTTTGGGTCCCGCATGACTTGTGGCTTGACCGGGTGGGTCGGCTAGTGACTTTGGAAAACATCCGACCCCTTCGTTTTGGCGTATAGCAATCACCGTGATCTGTGCGGCTAGTAATTCCTGCAGCAAGCGGATGATTCGAAGATGCTTGCCCGTTCCATCCTGCGAATCGATGATGCCATCTGAGTGACTATGCACCGAAGCCAAGCGAGGGATGCACGGGTGTCTCTCTACATTTCAATCCGAGTGTGATCCTTCTTTGCCTCCATAGCATGTCTCTTCACGAAGCCGCCCGTGACAACAAGCCAGACATTGTGTCTGCGCTTCTTTCGGAGAATCCCTCATTGGCCTCTTCCTTGGATGACGACTCACGCACGCCGCTCCACTGGGCCTGTACCATGCAACACTCTGCCATCGTGTGTCTTCTTCTTCCCCACATTGGAGAAATTGACGACTTGACTGATGAGGCCGGCTGGACACCGGTGCATATAGCCGCTGCCGTCGGTAGCAATTCTATTCTTGAGCTCCTCATGGCCCACGATCCGCAGCCAGACATCAATTTGCCCACCAGCACAGGCGCCACCGCGCTCCACGTCGCAGTCAGCAAGGGCCATGTGGACACGGTGCACCTTCTCATCGACACATACAAATGTTCTGTGCGGGCCAAGGACAAAATGGGTCGAACGGCGCTCCACCGGGCTGCGGCAGGCGGAAGCCAGCCGCTTGTCAAGCGCTTGGTCGCTGCTGGGGCTGTCGTCAGCGCCACAGACAAGGACGGGTGGACTGCGCTCCACCACGCCTTGGCAGAGGGCCATGGCGACGTGGCAGTGCTCTTGGTGCAATTGGGTGCCGACACAGGCGCAGCAGACAGCTCTGGAGCCACGCCCGTGGACGTCGCAAACGAGCAAGTGCGGGCGTACTTCACGCGGGCTGTGGGACTATAGTGACATTTGTAGCACTTCAATAATCACAATCGAAAAGACATTTGTAGAGATGGGCCTGGCAGGCCTGCACCCGTGCCCCACGTCCCAAAAGGGTAGAATGGTGAGGTTTGTCAGACGTGCGCACTATGCGCACATGCCCCACTTCCGGTGTTCGCCGCCCTCGGGACCCTCGGCCGGCGGCCCCGGCATTTGCTGCATTGGGCAGAATCAAAACACCGCAAGCGGCAACCGGTGGGCTCTATGCATGCTCCCTTAATGTTTCCGCTTCCATAACCTTGCTGTGGCCGCATTCCTCCTTCATATATAAGTCTTCCCTCCCTTCCTCTTCTCCACTTTTTCTCCCATTCCATAATTTCTCCCAATGTTGGCTATCGGTGATACCATCTTAAGATCCATCAACTTTGTTTTCTTGGTGATTGCGCTAGGCTTGACCGGCTCTCTTGCCGCTACCACAGTCTGGCAGGGCAACCCCCAGGTTAATTTTGCCGTTTTCGCCAGTGCCTTTGGCATTTTGACCTCCTCCTTCTACGGTGTGTTGGCGTTCTTCATTGCCTCCTTTGCGTGGCCCCTCGTGTTGGCCATTTTCGACTTTTTGAATGTCGTTTTCACGTTTGCTGCAGCCACTGCCGTTGCTGCTGGAATCCACTGCCATTCTTGCACAAACCAGCGCTACTTGGACAATAACAACATTGCACAGGGCAGAGAGGGCAGATGTAGAAAAGCGCAGGCTTCGGTTGCCTTCCTCTACTTTTCCTTTTTCATTTTCTTGGCCTCGTGTGTCTTTTCCGTCATTTCCGTGTTGAAGGGCGGATTGTTTGGCGGAAGCCGTTCCACAGCCAGAGTTGGCGTTCCTTCGGTGTCGCAGATTTAAGTTGGAGGTTGGTCCATTAAAAGTTGCCCGAACGCCGTGCTGTATTATAATTCTGGGGCTTGAAACATTCACCTAATAATCGTTACACTTTTCTGTTCTTCGTACCTGTTTATTCAATATATCCTTGTTCAGTCTTGGAGGTGATTTGCCAGCAGCCGATGCTTGCGTCTGCTTGCTTGTGCTATCTATATTGCAGTGTATACCAAGTACTCTAATTTCAATCTAAACGTTTTGCATTCCATCTAAAGAAGATGTTTACTCTGGCTCGAGCCGTTATCATATGATCGCATTGCTCTACGTTTTTGTTGTTCTAGATGCCTCCACGGTCTAGAATAATTGCATCCTGTTCATGTCTAGGCGTTATATCCGCTTAACTCAGAAGATCCTCCGAAATCCATACAGTACTTTTTCTTTGGTATATCTTTCCTGATCGCAATGCATGACAAAATGCATGACTATGACTCCATGACTCCTCGGTGCATTATACACTACGTAATGCTATTGATCGTATGGATCATGGGTTCCTGTGGCACCCGAATCCTTGCAATACGAGAATATCTGCATTCACACATGCAAGTGGGAAACAATGTGTAGTATTAATACATTGGGACGGGACATAGATATGAGCTGCTGCACCATGAATAAAGTGTCTGGGGCCTTCTATATGCGCTCCTGAAAATGGTAAATTCGGCCCACTAAATTAGCCCCACTAAATTGGCACCACTAGATTTCCCTGAATTTCTATACATTGGGCCCCTTAGATGGGGCCCCTTAGAGGCCCCCTGGATCGGTCAATGTCCTACTCATTATTATCCAGACCAATTGCAAAGGTAAGTCATTTCGAAGTTCGGTCCAGTAGCCTGGTTGGTTTCGGGTTAGTCAATTTTTGGAAACTCGTGTTTTACTAAAGTCTGGAAAATAACTTTTGGCATAATCCACAGTATTGGAGTAATGTAGCGTACCACGCATATTACGTATGAGCCTTATGAAGTCAGTTGAGTAGATTGGTTACAATAAGAGTGACTTCTTCAGACTGGAATTGGCTTTGAGATAAATCTCCCCAATAGGTCATAAGATTACAGTGGCTCTTTAATTTGCATGCAATGACTTCTATACGTGGTCGCGTCTCGCCCGCGATAAAATAGGTGATTAGATAAATCAGCGCTTGGACTGGCGTCTTTTCTTCTCTCTTTCGTACTCGTTTTTTTCGGCACCTTCCACAGTCGAAATGGAATTGACAATGTTGGCCATTTTGCGGTGGTATTCGCCGTACATCTTCTTCTTTTCGGAAATCTGCTGTCTCGCGACAAAACGTGTCTGTTTCCGGAGATCCTTCATCACCAGCTTCTTTTCCTTCTTCAACTGGGCCTTCATCTTGTTGACCTCTTGTCTTTCTCTGTTCAAGTCGTATGACTTTTTGTCGGGATTGAAGTTTTCCTCGAACTTTGGTGCATATGTCTGGATAGCCAACTGTCTGTGTTCTTGTAATCTCAAAGGTTTTCTGCTTTGGCGCTGGTTCCGCTCGATGTTGCTAAAGCGGGTCAATGTAGACGCCAACTTCGGAAGTTCAACACTGTAGTACTTGGCCATGTGTTTCAAAAGGTGACCGAAAGATTCGACAATTTCAATCAACGAACTTTTATCCATCCATGTACTCACACAGCGGTCCATTATGGCCACAGCCTTTCCCAATAAAAGAAACTTGAAACTCAGTTCATCATCTACGGCTTCGAAAAGAGATTGCACCTTGAGTGGTTCATCTTGCAAAACCTCAGGACGGAATGACTTTGGTAAGCTCAATGAGCTCTTTGTTGCTCTGCAAGAAACGGTCTGGCCAACTTTCAAAGGCTCTGGAACCAATGCTAACGACGTGAATTCCACAAACTTCACAATCTCTGGAATATAGCGCTTCGAAAAAAACTGGTAACTCAAGAGAAGATCGCACAAAAATAAGCCCTGGCCCAAATGCTGCGGTGTGTTCTCGGCACCGATACAGCTGCTCAAAAACTGGTTCATCAATAAGAGCGCCGGTGTAATCACCAAATGGAAATGGTCCGACGCAGAGAAAACGTAACCCAACACGACAAAGAAAACTAAATCGCTTTTTTCAAGCTGCCGGGAGACAATGTGGTCTTCGACGCTTTCAAGCTGTTCTCTTACAGTTTCCACCAAGGCCTGGTTATACTGCTGTGCCATCTTTCTCAAGTACTGGGTGAGTTCACTAACCAAAGATGCGGGTGTTTCCTTCTGGTTGGCCAAGTATAAAATATGCTCGAAGAGAAGACCAACGAAAGCATCCATCTTATCTTTATTACCTTCCGCAAGTCGAGGGTGATATGCCTGGGCAATTGCTTCGATGTGACTAATGACTTTTTCTGGTGCCACGGATGAAAGCTGATCTAGTAATTGCGAGTGGGTTTCTGGCATGGAAACAGCAGCCCGTGCTCTCCGGGAAGCGAGAAGTTTTCTTCCTTCGTTGTCACTCTCATCGTCGTTTTCGTTTTCGTTTCCGCTTTCATCGCCATTTTCGTCTTCACCTCCACTTCCTTCCTCTTCCTCGTCACTTCCAGCCCAAAAGTCGTCCAAATCATCTGCTTCGGCTGCTCCTTCTTCAAAGCCACTCATCCGCTTCAATCTGTCAGCCTCTAATTTCTGCATCTTTTCTTTGTGTTCTGCGGCAATTTCTTCTGCTGTCTTTGTCCTTTCAGCCGGCACAGCACGTCTTTCGTATGTCAACTCGCGCACCTTGGCGTCGTACTCTCTATCTTCAGCCGATTTCGGAACTATGCCCGATTGTGCTGGCTTCAGACTGCGGATTTCGCCTAAAACATCGGCAAAGTCCTCGTCCAAATCGAGGATTTCGTCCTGCGTTTTCTGAAACTCCATCTGGCGCTTTTTGCGGTGGAATTTAGACTTGGCAATGACTTCAGCCATAACTTCCTTCTTGGTCTTTTTCCGTGGAGGCTGGATCGAGTCCTCATCCACATACTTTGGTGCCGCCACTCCCAAGTCGCTTTCCTCAAAATGGTCGAAGTTGATCTCTTTTCCCGAGTGTGTGAGCGCAAAACCATCATCTTCATACTCATCGTCACTTTCCTCCAACGAAAAGACATTACGCTTCGAGCTCGACTGTCTTTCGCGTGTGAAACGCTCCAACATCTTCTCTTCCTCCGTCAAGTGCCGGTCTTTTTCACCGAAACGCCGGTCCACCAAGCCTCCGGCCCGCCCTTTGGTTTTCTGGAGAGCACTGTATTCCGACTCTAAGGTTTTTTCCACGCCAGACTTGCTGCGTGCCACTTGGTTATGCTGCTTCGATCCGGCCTTGACGAATTTTCCGCCTTGAATCACCGTGTAGTCATGTTTGGCTCTGTTGACTCGATTGTCAAACTGGTTGAAATCGTCTCTGATTCTTGAGATTTCCTGTTTTTTCTGTTCGGTGTCTTTCCGAGTCTCTGACGGAGCGGCTTTTCTGTTTTTCCGCTTGACGTTTGTCTGGCCCACCAACCCTTTGGCTTTAAGCGCAGCCTTTAGCTGTTTCAACTGCGATCCGGCCATCTTGCTCTTTTTGTGATGAGATGCGTTGAAGATATTCGCACAACCTTAACTGTGCGATGAGATGTATGTGCACGCTAGATACTTCAGTTGCACCCGTGCATCCAATAACGACTCTGAATTGGGCCGACGATAGGCGTATGTAGAATAATGATGCTGTTTCGAAAATCGGAACATATGAAAAAGAAGGTGGACTTTAGCTATTCGCTCTATTGACATATGTCTAGAAGTCCATTTGGTATTTTAATGCCTGAGTAGAGGAATATTATTGCACATATATCACCAACCGCGCGATAATTTGCAAATATGATAGCCACTCAGGTTCTGTCTTCGGTATTACCTTCTTTTCAAAGATCCATAATTTTGAGGATAAGGTTACATCGGTCTAGTATCGACACACGTAGGACTAAATTTTCATAGACGTAAATTTGGAAAGTCAGAGCATGTTCGAGACCTTCGATGCATTTTACTTGACCAAAATAACTGTGAATTCTGAAGTACTTCATATTTGGCATTGCAAGATGACCCACCATGAACTTTCCCCGCCTAGAATTGTTATTCCATTGAGTCTCACTACAAGAATCAACGACAATCAAATCAACGTACTACATATCTCCCATGATTATTCCCTCTATTCTATGTTTGCCAGATTGACATTGCTAATTAGACTGCTATATGTTCACGAACCAAAACCCTGTCGTGAAAATTGGTTTATCATTCCTAACATGCCTTTTTTTCTCGGCATTTTTTCCAGTTTGATGCTATAAGCAGACTCATAAATGCTTTCTAGTGGCGAACCACCATAGCCCGAAAAATCTTGTTGTGCAGTTGGAACATTTCTGTTTACCGGAGCATTTCTGGTCTTGGATGAGCTTCCCTCGACTCCTGTACTTGCAAGAGCGGCACCGTTTCTCTTTGGTTCTGCTGCTTTCCCGTAACTCTCGAGAAAGTACATATAGGACTTGATCATTTTATCATCCTGGTAGTAATCACCCAAATCAGCATCACTCTCGTCACTACTGGACTCATCCGTATCCGAAAGCTTGCTTTTCGCTTTGGCATTACTTGTCCCTTGCTTTATTGGTTTCTTGCGCGATCTTTTGTTCAAATCATACATCATGTTCTTATCCTTTTCTTCGAAATTAAACATCGCAAAATAGCACACATATCCTAGTCCGTCCACATGAATCGTATACTCTCGAAAGAAATCGATAATGGCGCTGGAGCTGTTCGATACTTTGAACCACAAAACAAATGGAGTGAGAATCAAACTCAAAATTTCGTTAAGGATAACAAGGATCTTCAAACTGTAGAGTTCACAAAACTCATTCTTCACTTCCACCGTATGCAACCTTTTATTCCACGAGCTTGGCAAATAGTGCGTGAACTGAGAAACATACCGTAAACTGGCTTCTGGATCATAAAAAAACGAAACTCCTTGAGTATTGGCGTTCTCTGCAGAATTTGTTGTCGTTGAAGTATTCAAAGAATTGGCTGTGACCGCCCAAACAGACCCGAAGACACTAATATAGAATAACGTGCTTCTGTTTTCTGTGATTTCAAAAGCCCAAAAGTTGTGCTCTTCATCCTCGAAAAAGACTGCCATGAGAACCAAAACTGCCAAGATGGCGCCAGAAATGAAGTTGACGAGTGACATCACGTTCATAACCAAAACACCACCTGGAAATTGATTGATATAAGTATTGGCTGGTCCAATTGAAAGGTGTAGTCTTTTAATGAAAAAATGGGGAAGTTCATTGAATTCCCGCAACTTCCATTCTGCCCATGGAGTATACTGTCTGAGGCCAAGAAGAGATGCGGGATTTGACTTATACTCGTTGAAATAACGGAAAAAATTCAATAAGACGAAGTAAACCACAATAAATGGGCAGAATACGAGGTTGATAATTGCTGCCATCTTGAAACGAGAACTCAAGTCTTGAGCATTCTGATTACGAGAAGACTCTTTCAAGATGCTCGGGTTGATTTGACCCTTTTCATTGAAGATAAAGTTATTGATGCACAACTTCAAGTTCCACTCCAAGGTTCTCGTAAGGACAGATTTGGAAGAGAGAATCGAAGACAAGAAGGATGGCACAGGAATATCCAAGTCCAATACATTCTTGTTGATGATAGCAATCATATAGTTCTCTTTTCGCATGATTCTGTTAGCAATATCGTGAGCATTCAAACGCACTTTGGAGTTTAAATCTGTAATGTAATGTGGTGGAGCATTGGGTGTGCTTGACGTTAGAGAATTGTAGTCTTTGAGAAGCATGAGTCTTTCGACTATCGTAGACCACGATATCGTCATGAGTTCAATATCGTTGGAGATATTGAGAAGATGTTTGTAGAAGTTCTGAAGCTCGGCCAACTTATACTTGTAGTCGAGATAAAGCTGGACGAGACGAAGCGCAATATAGCACGCAAAACCGAAAAGAAACACCTTAACGGGGAACGGAACAGCGGAAAAGAAGAAATTAGGAATGACTAGGTCCTGCAAAGTCAAGTTTGTATTGGAATTGGAGCTCCAGTGGTTGAAAAACCGGTCGTAGTCGATCCCCCATTTTAGGAATGTTGTGAAGGATAGAATGAACACCAAAATGAGAATGTCCACCACTCGACCAGCCACTATATTCGCAAAGCCTTTCCCTCGGTAATAAAAATACACGTCAATTAGAAACTCGTCCATGTTGACAATATTAGCCCACAAGTAAAGCGCTCGTTCCTTGGGCGGGAAAACCGCCCGTCGAGGCGTTCTGCGCCATTGAACCTTTGGTGGTTGAGTATCGTTATCTTTCCTGTGAGACACCTGCTGAGGCGTTGTATGGAGCGGGAGGCCAGCCTCGAGGTCTCTATCGGAGGACTTCTTCTGCCCCGGGTGTGGAAGCAGAAACTTCAACTTGGGCGCCAGCCGAGAAGAAAGCTCTTCGGGATCAGGTCGGGAGAGGAAAGCCGCAGGATCGGCCCGCTCGAGCAGAGGCGATGCGGGCAGGTCCGAGTCCGACGAGAACTCCAGATCCAGCTCGGAATCTAGAAGGTTTTTGTCTGGTTTTGAGACATTAGAGACGCTTGGCGGCGCTGAGGAACCCACGTTGCCGTCTTGTGTCGAGAAGGACGTTTGAGGCTCATATAGCTGGTAATTGTCGTGGGGTTGGTTGTAGACAGAATGGAGGCCAAAAACACGCGATAGAAACGTGTCACTGGCTCCAAAAGTGTTACTTTGACTGTCCTGGGAGTCGAATCTAGACATAAAGAATGATAGTGGGACAGACGATTGCGATAAGGCGCGGTGCACGGGTGTAAGGAAGACAGACTGGGAAGAAGATTAACACAAAGGAAGAGGAAGAGGAAGAGGAAGATAAACGTAAAGAAAAAACAGGGGAGCGATAATTCGGTAGTGTTGGGTACAGCAGCAGTTGCTTAGTAATTTCGTTCAATTTCTCAGTAGCTCAATTTCTCAGTTGTTCAATTTCTCAGCTGTTCAATTTCTTAGATGTTCAATTTTCTAGTAGTGTTCAATTTCCTAGTGATCAGTTCCTAAGTTAGCGTTCAGTTGATGTTTACAAAAGGTACAGAGGCAAACACGAACACCAGTTTCGAGAGATTTACCTGTTCGCACATGTGTAAGTACTGCGATCTTTCTCAAAGGTGTACATCTAACAAGTGACGAACATTTGTTGGATTGAATGTACAGGTACAGGTGAATGCTTAGAAACATGAAGTAGTATTCAGTTGAAAGGCATTGTTTTTTTTTTTTTTTCTTTTTTTCTTTTTCTGTGCTTCAATCTCCAAATCATCCAGCGAAATTACAAAATCTCGAAGTAGGCTTCCAGCATACATGAAAGCTTAGCTAATTGCAGGTGATCAAAAAAGAAAAACTTCCGCATTTTCCTTCAGCTACGCAGATTGATGTGATTGGAGGAATTTGCGTGTCCATCGTGCAAATGGGTCCTCAGAAACGAAAAGCCGTGCAAAGTCAAGAATCGTCCAACAGCGTATTTACGTACTCGGAAGCCGTAAAAGCGTCCTTTCTACTGCAGGGTCCAAAACATCAACAATAAGCGTTTCAGTCTTCTCTACAGGTTTCAGTGCTTAAGGCCGAAGCCACGTAAGACAGTAAGTTGGCGTCTGTCTTGTAGGCGTCTGTCTTGTAAGAGCGTCAGAGCTAAGGACCATTCAATCTGGGCAATCTGGACCCCTTCGTTATTTCCCCGTTATTTCTCTTTCGTTATGTTGTCTGTCCCACATCTATCTGCATTGTCTCCAATATACTGTTTTCACGCTGCCACAAACAGAAACACCAAACACAAAGAACTGCGGCCATACAAATAAGCTTCCCAGATCGCCATCCGCATTGCTTTCAGCCCTGGGATCCGGTGAACAATACAAATCTCATTCCTACAGATGAACGTGGCTATTAATAGACAGCGCAACCTCAAGCGCGACCCCACCAGAGTCTAGAACATGACACATGGCCAACAACACACACCCTGAAAGAAAACACCAGTATGCCCCTTTCCTAATCCACTGTAAGTGTGTGTCCTCGGCGATTCTGCAAAGAAAACCGTCGCTGACGCTAGCAAAATGCGCCAGCCGACTTTTCCCAGCGGTCATAACTAAGTTGCTTCTTTTTTTCTTTATTGGTTATGAGTGCGGCTCCTGTCCACCACAGGACATGAAAGATTCAAGCAAGTTGGCAGAGCACGACATGGAAAATAAGGTAGAGTTGTAGCGGAAAGAAAAGCCTCGGGCCAGCTCCTTGCGGCTTTGCCGTCTGTGCTATTTTGAATGCGGTTTTGTTTATGTTTTGCCCCGTCTACCGCGAAGTGGCTTAGTTATGCCACTGCAACAGGTCTCACTTGGCGAAATTAGTTGGCGAGCAGCTGTGCAGGACGCGGAATATCTGTCAATGTCAAGACTTGTCTGCCAAGACATGTCAAAGGGTCCAGCGAGACAAATGGGTGCAACAAGAACGACGTGGTCTGTTCTGCCTCTTGTTGGCCCGGCAAGACTCGTTCTGGAGGCCCAAAAAAATGGTGTTCCGAGACGGAGATCGGAAGGTTTCCTGTACTCTAAGTGCATCGCGCTTGGGCGAATTCTTTTCCTCTGATCGCGGCTCCTACTTCCGAAACGCCCTTTGCCCTTTATTTTTTTTTTTCCACCATTGTGTGCGTTTTTCTTCTTGTCGCTGTCCACTTTTCTTTCGCTGTCGATTTTGCCAAAGAAGCCGTGTCTCGATCATCTAGAACCCATTACTAGACCCCAGGCCCTTGGACCCTCTTCACCAAATCATCTCCAAGTGTTTCACCTGACTCAGATCTACACTTCCCAACCCCTTACCCTGAAAGACTAAAGTGCAACGCATCCTTGTTCAAGCAAACAAACACAACAACAGAATATCCGCCCTTGACTTACGTTTCCAGAAGCTCTGATTGTGGCTGCAAAATACAAAAAGGTAAAAAAAGAATTACGCAGCAATCATGAATAGAGACCTAACTATGAACTCGGAGCACGCCGACACCAACCCCTTCATGGACGGTGCCAGCTCGCGTCTGGACAACTCTTATACGTCCTCAGAAATTCCCCGTGTGCAAGGCCGCCAGTACGGCAACCAGCTTGCTTATTCAGAATACACTTCCCAAAACGGCACTTCCTCTAACTTGTTGCAGGACTCTTCAGACGAGGACCGCCGCTCGCCGCTCGTGGATTCAGACCAGGGTGCGGGCTTCAGCCAGTCTCCGCCCAGCCAAGGCTCTCCTGACATGATGAAGGTTCCGTCGGAATTTGACCGCTATCCATCCATGGCCGGATCTCGCGTGGTTTCATCAACTTCCTTGGCTTCTCACTTCAACAACAAGGAGTACGATGCATCGAGCCACGATGGGCTGTCGTCCAAGTCATCAAACCCGTTTGTGTCTAATGTGGACTTCTCTCCTTTTGGTGGCTACCCAGCGCTGTTGTTCCCCTTGCATGTAGACGAAAAGGAACCTGACGATTATTTGCACAACCCAGACCCTATCGCAGATGCTGAATACGACAAAAACCGCTTCTGGTACGACTTGAAGACCATGGATCGTCGCTCGGGCATGGGTGTCGTGGGTTTTATATTGTTTTTCTTGGCTGCCGCTGTTGTTTTCGTTGTCTTGCCCATCGTCACATACTCGGGCATTACTAACCACAGCGAGCCTGAACATTATGAGATTTTAACTCACTACGAGTATCCATTGTCTGCGGCCATCAGAACCAGTTTGATTGATCCGGACACTCCAGAAGAAGCCCACTACAAGGAAAACCAATATGGCGAAAAGTGGGTCTTGACCTTTTCGGAAGAATTCAACGCTGAAGGCCGTACTTTCTACGACGGTGATGATCAGTTCTTCCAAGCTGTTGACCTCCATTACGATGCTACTAAAGATTTGGAGTGGTATGACCCGGATGCCGTCACCACCGAAAATGGAACCTTGGTTCTTCGTATGGACGCCTACAAAAACCATAACTTGTTCTACCGCTCGGGTATGGTACAGTCTTGGAACAAGCTTTGTTTCACCCAAGGTATGATCTTTGTTTCCGCCAACTTGCCCAACTACGGTAACGTGACCGGTTTGTGGCCAGGTCTTTGGACTATGGGCAACTTGGCACGGCCAGGCTACTTGGCCACATCTGACGGTGTATGGCCATACACTTACGACTCATGTGATGCTGGTATCACTGCCAACCAGTCGTCTCCCGATGGAATCTCATACTTGCCTGGCCAAAGACTTAATGTATGCACATGTAAAGGCGAGGACCATCCTAACCGAGGAACAGGCCGTGGTGCGCCAGAAATCGATATTTTGGAGGGAGAAGTCGACACCAGGGTCATGGTAGGTGTCGCATCCCAGTCGTACCAGGTGGCTCCAATGGATATCTGGTATATGCCCGACTACAACTTTGTCGAGATCCACAACTTAGAAGTCACGACGATGAACACATACTGCGGTGGCCCATTCCAGCAAGCTCTTTCTGCCACATCTACCTTGAATACCACCTGGTACGAAAGTGGAGCAGGCGAGGCCAACTATCAGGTGTATGGATACGAATACTTGAACGACGATGACACAGGACACTTGTCGTGGTATGTCGGTGAAACGCCTACATGGACTTTGCATGCATATGCGCTTGGGCCAAACGGTAATGTTGGATTCCGCCGTATTTCGAAGGAACCCATGGCCATCATTTTGAACTTGGGTATCTCGAACAACTGGGCATACATTGACTGGAACGCAATCCACTTTCCTGTACACATGCGCGTTGACTTTGTCCGGGTTTATCAACCAGAGGACCAGATCAACATGACATGCGACCCTGAGGACTACCCAACATACGATTACATCGAGAACCATTTGGACGCATACATGAACCCTAACTTAACCAGTTGGTCTTCGGCGGGCTACAAGGTTCCGAAAAACCACCTTGTGCACGGGTGCACGTGAGCATACTGCGCGCTCCAAATCACATCATGCACAACGTTCTGCACAGACATACTCCACTTTCTCCAAACTTTCGCGCATTGCCCATTGTGGGCGCGTCCCACATCATCAAAGGCTAGGCATGAACGCCATAGCCGGAATAGAACCCTTCCATACGTTACATCATTCCATGCCAGTCCAACGACCGTGACTCTTCCCCATGGCCCATCCTTCGATGCATTCCATTTGCATTACATACTTACACATAACATAACGTGACATAGTCCACGTGACACATTTTGCATTTTGCATTCTCGCTTGTTTTCACTCTTGCCCCTTCTTACGTGGCCCGCAGCTTGAAGCACGTGCATGCACAACTTTTCTTGTTTTTGCTTGCGTCTTGGCCCTCTAGTCTGCATATTCCCCTGTCCTGAGCGTGGCTGTACAAGACATCTCCAGTAGAGACAAAACTTTCTCTTCAGTCGACTTTCTCTCGCTATCCATACTTCGGTTTCCGCCAGTCTTTGGATTTTTTTTTGCGCTCTCCCCACATTTGTTTCCCGCGCATAGTCTGCTCTGCCTAAACAATCCTTGTCTGAAGATCCAGAAAGCCTAAAGAAAACAAACAAGAAAAACTCACTCCACCCGCGAACTTTACTTTCTGCCCTTGTTGTCTTTCCCCTTGAATCGTTTTTCACACTGGACTCCACTATGGCCTTCCGCGATCTTACACAAAACAGACCGGGCTACAGCCTGGAAGACCGCTTAGACCCTTTTGAAGACGGCTCTTACGAGTCGAGCACAGGAACTTCAACGGAAAATCTTCTTCACAACGGCATCGATGACTCTCCTCCTATGATGGCCGGCCAAGATGAATTAAATCCCACTCCGCCTCCCCACGGCTCTAACATCATGGCTCCTACAGAATTTGACCGCTATCCGCTAATGGTATCGCGCGATGTTTCTTCAACGTCTTTAGCGTCCCATTTCCGTAACTCTGCTTTGACTAAGCTGCTGTCATCCAGCCTGAACAGAGTTGTTGACCCTTTCGCCGCAGGAATGGATGTATCACCATTTGGTGGCTACCCGGCATCTCAGTTTCCCCTTCATATTGATGAGAAGGAAGACGACGACCATTTGCACAACCCTGACCCACTCGCGGACGCAGAGTACGATAAAAATCGCTTCTTGTACGATATTAAACACATGGATCGCCGTTCGTTGTACGGTTTGGCAGGATTTGTTCTTCTTTTCTTGGCTGCTATCCTGGTGTTTGTCATTTTGCCTGTTTTAACGTATTCGGGAATCACAAATCATTACACACCTGAACATTACGAGATCTTGACCCACTACGACTATCCTTTGAGCAGCGCGATTAGAACAAGCTTAATCGACCCTGATACGCCAAAAGATGCACTCAAACGGAAAGTGGAAAGCGGTGATGAATGGGTTTTGACCTTTTCTGACGAATTCAACGCCGAGGGCCGTACGTTCTATGATGGAGATGACCAGTTCTTCCAAGCTGTTGACATTCACTATGACGCGACTAAGGACTTAGAATGGTACGACCCCGATGCTGTCACGACAGAAAACGGTACCTTGGTTCTTCGCTTGGATGCATACAAGAATCACAACTTGTTCTATCGTTCGGGTATGGTACAGTCGTGGAACAGGCTTTGTTTCACACAAGGCATGATTGTGACTACAGCTAATTTGCCTAACTACGGAAATGTTTCAGGCCTTTGGCCAGGTCTCTGGACCATGGGTAATATTGGCAGGCCCGGTTATTTGGCCACTACAGATGGTGTCTGGCCCTACACATACGACTCTTGCGATGCTGGTATCACCGCCAATCAGTCATCCCCTGATGGTATCTCGTATTTGCCGGGTCAAAGACTTAACAAGTGTACATGTGCTGGTGAAGACCACCCCAACACCGGTACAGGCCGTGGCGCCCCTGAAATTGACATTTTAGAGGGTGCAGTCGATACTGTTGTTAAGGTTGGTACTGTATCGCAGTCATACCAAGTTGCCCCAATGGATATTTGGTATATGCCCGACTACAACTTCATTGAGATTCACAATAAGGAGGTGACCACAATGAACACGTACTGTGGCGGTCCTTTCCAGCAGGCTGTCTCCGGAGTGTCAACCTTAAACAACACGTGGTATGAAGCCGGTGCTGGCGCAGGAAACTTTCAAGAATTTGGCTTTGAGTATTTGAATGACAATGATTCTGGATACATTACTTGGTTGGTGGGACGCCAGCCTACATTCACAGTCCATTCATACGCATTGGGACCCAACGGAAATGTTGGCTTCCGTCGTATTTCCAAGGAACCCATGTCCATTATCATGAATTTGGGTGTTTCTAACAGTTGGGCTTACATTGACTGGGCGTCCATTAACTTCCCATCGCACATGAGAGTGGACAGTGTCAGAATTTACCAACCTCCTGATGAGATCAACATGACATGCGATCCCGAAGATTATCCAACGTACAATTACATTGAGGATCATCTCGACGCTTACATGAACCCCAACATGACGTCCTGGACAAAGGCTGGATACAAGATTCCTCGAAACAAGATTGTTCACAATTGTTAGTTTTAGTAATAGATTCATTAACTTGGACGAAGATGTAGACATGCACAGAATGGTCCACCCAACGCGTATGCAACTAAATAAAGTATGCTCCATCACGCATTCTGCAGCTGGCTCATCGCATCTTACCAAAGAGTACAGAGGTATTGACACCGCCGAAACCGAAAGAATTACACAAGGCAAGGTCTGTGCGATGCATACGGCTGTGGTTGGGCACGTAGTCGAAACAAAACGCCGACGGATCATCTTCAGGGTGTCCGCCAGGCGTAGTCAAGTTCAAGGTTGCCGGCACGGTATCGTGACGCACTGCCATCAACGTGAAAGCGGCCTCAACGGCTCCAGCGGCGCCTAACAAGTGGCCCACCGCCCCCTTTGTCAGAGATACCGCCAAACGAGACGACAGACCAAACAAGCGGCGCATAGCCGTGTTTTCTGCACGGTCACCAAGCGGAGTCAGAGTAGCGTGCGCGTTCACGTAGTCCACCTCCGACGGGGCCACGCCTGCTCGCGAAAGGGCCTGCTCCATTGCCCGGAACGCGCCATCTCCCGACTCTGCTGGTGCAGTGATGTGGTGTGCATCGCCTGCAAGACCGTAGCCAAGCACCTCGCCGTAAATAGGGGCGCCACGAGCCTGGGCATGGACTAGTTTCTCCAACACTAGAATGCCACAGCCCTCACCTAAAACAAACCCGCGGCGTGCCCCATCAAATGGGCGCAGTGCTCCTTGTGGGTCGTCTTCCCCACCAGCGACCACAGACCGAGCTCTTGCAAAGGCCCCGAGTGCCAAAGGATGAAGCGACGCTTCAGTTCCACCGCACACCATGACATCGGCGTATCCGTTTTGAATGAAGTTGTATGCGTCACCGATGGCGTTGAGGCCTGTAGCGCACGCTGTCAGCACTGCGTGGACTGGTCCACCAAAGCCATGGCGAATGGAAATGTGGCCTGCCGCCATGTTGGCGAGCAAGCGCGGAATGAACAACGGCTGGACTTTTCTGTAGCCCTCGGATGCAAACGCAGTAGAATTGTCGTAGGCGTCGCCAAAACCGCCGATTCCCGAGCCAACGGCCACACCGACACGGGTAGGGTCGACGTCGGAAGCGACAAACTGCGCATCGGCCAAAGCTTCTGCAGCTGCGGCCACCGCATACTGCGCGAACGGCGCCATGCGGCGCGCGTCGCCCGCGGACATGTGGTCCAGCGCGCACCAACCGGGCGCAGAGCTAGCGGAAGAGGCGTCGCGATCTGCAGTGGCTGGGCTGCCATTTTCGCCCCCTTTGGGCTCCACTTTTTTGCCGCCAGCGCTTTTCACAGGAACCCGGCCAACTACTTTGGAGGGGATTTGCGACCATCCTTGCTCGTAATCATCAAATGTTGTTGTAGCAACAAGACCCGATTTATTTGCTATTAGGTTTGCCCAAGAAGAGCGGAGGCCAACTCCCAATGGAGTAATGAGGCCCATTCCTGTCACCACCACTCGAGTCATTGAATGGAGGAATGCTGAAAGAACCGAGAAACAAGCGAAGTAGCTTGGAAGTTGGATGGGCGAAAGAGCAAAACTAAACCAAACGGACCTGAAAAGGATGCAATGTCTTAATCACCAGCTGATGGAGTAGCAATCGGCTGGAAAGGAATGAATGGGAGAAAAAGAAACTATGAGGGTGTAAAAAAACCTTGTGGAGTTTCTGCCCGTTGAATGCGGAGAAATGATGGATTGGCGCAGGCTTTCGCACAGAACTTCTCTTCAAACTTCGCGCGACCATTCTCTTCGGCTTAATTTCGACCTACGAAACAGCTAGATGCATTTCCCATATGCTGTTTTGTATGTGGATATTCAGGGTCTAACTGAATGATTGGATAGAATTGTCGTGGTGAAACTTGGCCTAAAAGTGAATATGCTTTGGTTTTGCAATCAGCACCCTTAAAAGCCTATCAGGAGAACAAGGGCCAGATGAAGATGACTGCTGTTCTGTCTTTATCCTGATAATCTCATCAGCTAGATTGTAATATGAAGTTGGCGATGGAAGAATACTATAAAATAAACTTAGATCATGGGTGTATTTTCGTTCTGACGCACGAATATAGCAGAGACTAAGATGATCAACATCTACATTGTAATGTTAGGATATGGAGTATGCTTCATCTTTCCTCGGCTCTAACAGCTAGCGGCGGCTTTAGTGATCAAGATCGTTAGTATCGTATTACCTACTAATCATTCGCCCTACCTTTGAGGGATTCCATCCTAATTTGGGCAATTGATAGTAGTTGGAGACAACACATCGATTACAAGTGGAACGTCTTAAAAACTCATCTGTTCAAATAGACCCTTAAGACGCTATCAGTAGTTACACCTATAACATATAGCAATAACTAGATCAAGAGAGTCCGCCTCATTAATATTAAAAGCATACTAAGTATTTGTTAAGGTAATACCTCCCCATTATCTTACGCAATCACCATATCTTCTACAAATCATAACCGTTCTTCTACTGAAATCAACAACTCCTGAATTATATTCAAGTATGATACTGTATACCCCTACTTTCAACGTCCCCACTTCAGGGTTTATTGGCATACTACACTTTTCACCTAATGTTCAGTGTATTTTGATACATCTAAGTACACATGTGAAAGGATATGTGCGTTAGAGTAAGCCTGTGCAACATTCTTCGGTCCCAATATTTGACAGCTTAAACTTTCCTCAACCAAAAATTTACGACGTAATAGCCGAGATACGCATAAGGTAGTCCGCAAGCATGAATAAAATGGCTTCAGACACATAAGCACACGGAGATGCAATATGAGCCCGAAAAAGAGGATGTGGATTCATTCTGATAATCAGGAATACTCCAACACTTGGAGACTTACATAGTCCAATTATAAAAAGAGTCGTTTATTGAAGCGAATCATAAGGGTAAAAGAAACAAAAGGGCGAGGAAGAAATCAAAATATGCTGTCGTTAATCATGTAGGGCTTAAGCGTAGATAACCTTCAAGCCAATGCCAGTACCACCGACACACTCCTTGTGGGACAAAGAGTAGCCGTTACCAGATGGGCATGCATAGAAGTCTTTGGAGTTGTCAAAAGTCAACTCACCGTCGGCGATGGAGAAACCAGTAGTGGCTGGAGCACGGCCAAATGGAGCAACACTTCCGACTTCACCAGTGTTGGAGTCCAAGTTCACACCTCTACCGTTGGAGTCGACCAAAGAAGTCTTGTCGTCCTGGAAAGACAAGGTCAAGTCGTTGCCTTCGTTACCACCAACGGAGAAGACGTGAGGATGAGAGTCCACTTGCTTGATGGCGGCGTTCTGGACTTGAGAACCGGATGCAATGGCAATGATGCCGAACTTCTTACCAGGCTCAACATTGGCAGCTGTTTGGGCAGATGGAGCTTTAGGCTCAGCAGGCTTGGTTGGCTCGGTCTTGGTTGTAGTAGTGGCTGCGGCCTTAGTCGAAGAAGTAGTGGTGCTTGGAGTTTCTGAGTCGCCAGGCTTGAATTCTGGTGCATCCTTCTGAGACATGACTCTCAAACTGATGCCAAGACTGCCAGAGCAAATGTCCTCGCCAAAGGAAAGCTTGTTGTCTGGGCACACAGCAAACTCCTGTTTGCCGTCGTATTCCAAGTACTGGCCGTCAACGGAAAATCCCTTTTGTGGCTTAGAAGACAAGACAATGGCGCCTTTGTCGCCAACAGTCAAATACTTGTTGGAAGAAGTTTCACCTAAAGTGCCGTCGTCGTTCAAAACAAGTTTTGCTTCTGTTCCACCACCAGAAACGAGAATCGAGTTGTCATCCTCGAAAAGTCCAGCAAACTGGTATTTGGAGCCTGAGCGAAGAGAGACAACACCAAGACTCTTAGCTGCGAGAGCAGAGGCGACCATGGAAAGGAAAACTGTGTATTGCATTTTTAATTGATTGATTGCTTGTTTGAATTGTAGTGATGAGAAGAGGAAAGGAAGGCGGGAAACCGGCCTCTTATATAGTTTTCCATGGTTGTAGTAGAATGCAAGTAATTGCAGTGAGTGACATGGTGATGCACAACGACCCTATTCTTAGAACCGAATCGGGTGCTTTTGGCGGCGTGCATGACCGATCTGTTTGTTTAAAGTGTGTGTGACGTCATTCGGCAGAATCTGTTCCCCATAGAAGACTTCCACAGAATGCCGAGTTCAGGAACATTTTTCGAGTAAGCGGCACAGAAAGCATTCAATTTGCACACTGGAACAATGGCAATACTAAAGTTATGTTAGAACACTGAAAATTGAGCATTTGGTCTGCCTTCTCCAGTATGGGTATCCCCATTGGACTAATTATGCGCATAACGTACGGCATATAAGCATCTACTATTTTCATCTTCTGTTTATTATCAGGTACCAATGACTTCATCAGAGACAAATACTTTAGTCTTGGCAGGACCAAGCGTCGCTAGTACACATGGTGCCAAAAATAGCGCCATTGGTTCTCCGAAATGCGGGGGACGATGCACGATGATGAATCAAAACCCGTTGATCACGCCTTACTGCAGGACCCAAAGTGTGCTTGCTACTCCGGTGGTGTTACCTTGGCGACAAAATTGTCCTAGTGCGGGTGGGAATTCCACAGGAACTTCAAGGGACACTTATTTTGTAGAGGAGCAGGACAAAACCACATAAAAAAAATGAAAGACATTGTCACGATGTATGCAGGCATCCGTGACAGCATGTCCCACATTATCGCACGGCTCGTTTTCCGCAAGTCGGACTATGAGTGGCTTAAGCAAAATCTGCATTTATTTCGGGTAAGAAAAGATACTCTGCTGTTCTGTAGGTTTCAAGAGCTGACGTATCCAGTATTCACAGGCGCTACAAAGTGTTTTTGTGGTTTAGTCTTTTTTTTCACTATTGCTTTGGTTACGGTTAGATATGGCATCGCACAATTAGCATCAATTACATTTCCGGTAACAAATTTAGACTCGCTTAAAATTGTGTATCGGAACCGAGCAACGTGTCTATATCCATAACCATATCAATTATAGCACTAGAGAGGGCAAGGCCTGGGTTTCAGGTTGTACTTTGTTTTTTTGAAATTTTGAAAGTTTTGTCACCCCATCATATTTCGCAAGGATGAAATTTCAGAAAACAACGGAACTGCGAGGTTCCATTTTGAACAATAACATGAAATGATGATGCGCATTGGCATCACACCCTTCCAATCAGGATGCCGTGGCTATCTAACTATAGCAATTGCAAGGAAAAACCTTCTAGAGGAAAAAACAGTGGTTACATTTATTGAAGCTAAATTACATTTGATGTCTTTTTGCAGGAACGGCAATTGTTAGACAGAGGTTCGAGGCATACGATCCACACCATTACAGCACTGCGGTTGTGGTTCTACTGAGCACAGATGCCCTTTGTTTTTCCAAATGTTATACTTTCGTCAGCTGCTTTAACATAGATGTTGACATGGAATTGGATGGCGTATCCTGATTCGAGAGGTGTCGTGAACCATGTTACATCTACTCAACGCATGCAGCAACATCTCCATCCCTTATGCTTACAAAAAACATCGAGAAAACACCTTCCTTTGACTAAGTCTTGTATAAGGTTAATAACTTGAGAAATCAGTTCATAATCGATATGGGTCTTTTTTTGGTACTAGAATTCTGAACAGTAGTTGATCAGTCTTATGCGTTGTGGGATATAGATAGTTTTAAAACGTATGTAGTTTTCCTTTAAAGCATTTTCGAAATAAAAAGAGTCATTAAGCCGACTGTTGTCATGGGGAACCATTGTCATGGATTGAAACACTCTTTTGCTTTAACGCAGATTTTCCGCCTCCAGATAGACAGCACTTATTAGGAACCTCATCTTCATCAAGCTCAACTCGATTTTGAGTCACTATGGGTATATCCAGCCAAGAAAACGCACGTTTCGTCTTTTGTTGGAAGCTCTACACATTCATCTATTTCCTTTTCGTCATAGCCGTTTCTGACTTTCTCGATAATACCGATATTTGTTGCTTGTTATAGAGATTCTTCCTCTCTAGCAATAGTGCTTTGCATACGTTGCTATCTTGTACAGAACGCAACTACAACAAGACCGTATTCTAGTTTGCATCTGTCGCTTATATATCCTTTTCTTCTAGTTTGCATCTGTCGCTTATAACTGTTCCTTTTCTTCTAGTCTGCATCTGTCGCTCATATCTGTTCCTTTTCTTCTAGTTTGCATCTGTCATATCTGATCCTTTTCTTCTAATCTAACTGCATCTTCTTAATCATATTTATCAGAAACAGCCAGGCATCAGTCCTCCATTGCTTCGTTCTGTCATATCTATGGCCATCTACACACTCCCATCGTCCAAGCATTGACGTTTGTGCCACCATCCACGCCTTTTATTTCCAGTCTGTACATCTACTGTCAGACCCATTTCTGAGCTTCTTCTCGTCTATTATCTCCCTTCTATTTCTCTTCACTTCATTCCTTCTGGAACCTATTTTTCCCATCTTCCAACTTGTTCGCAGACTTCTGGCACTACTCCGGTCGTGCGCGCACATAGATACTTTTTCGCCCGCCAGAAGCTTTTAAACACCAATGTACTCTGCTGCCCGTTCAGACACGCTTTTCCTCGGCGGCGAAAAAGTCTCTGGCGACGATGTGCGCCAGCAGAATGTCATGGCTGCTCTTTCAGTGGCCAACGTGGTCAAGTCTTCGCTCGGCCCCGTGGGTCTTGACAGATGCTTGTGGATGATATTGGAGATGTCACAGTGACCAATGACGGAGCTACGATCCTCTCGTTGTTGGACGTGCAACACCCGGCAGGAAAGATTCTCGTTGAGTTGGCCCAGCAGCAGGACCGTGAAGTGGGCGACGGAACGACGTCGGTGGTGATTATTGCCAGCGAGCTTTTGAAAAGAGCAAACGAATTGGTCCGCAACCAGATCCACCCAACCACAATCATCACAGGCTACCGTTTGGCGTTGCGCGAGGCTGTGCGCTACATTGGCGAGGTTCTTTCGCAGAACGTGGCCGATTTGGGCCGCGAGACCTTGGTGAACATTGCCAAAACGTCCATGCTGTCGAAAATCATCGGCGCAGACCTGGACGTGTTTGCCCGCATGGTGGTGGATGCCATGGTGGCTGTGAAGACGACGTCCGCACGCGGCGAGACTCGCTACCCGGTTAAGGCTGTCAACATCTTGAAGGCGCACGGCAAATCGCTGCGTGAGTCTGTCTTGGTCGATGGCTACGCTTTGAACTGTACAGTGGCATCGCAAGCCATGGTCAAGAGCGTCAAGAACGCTCGTATTGCTTGTCTCGACCTCAACTTACAAAAGGCCAGAATGGCCATGGGCGTGCAGATCAACGTGTCTGATCCAGACCAGTTGGAGGCGATCCGTGAACGTGAGTATGGTCTTGTGCTTGAGAGAATCCGCAAGATTATCAACGCAGGTGCGAATGTCGTGCTTACCACCAAAGGTATCGACGACTTGTGCTTGAAGGAATTTGTGGAGGTGGGAGCCATTGCCGTTCGTCGGTGTAAAAAGGAAGATTTGCGCCGCATTGCCAGAGCTACAGGTGCTACGTTGGTATCGAACTTGGCCAACTTGGATGGCGAGGAGACTTTTGAGAGCTCCAACTTGGGTTCGGCTGCTGAAGTGGTGCAAACCAGAATCTCCGATGACGAGTGTATTTTGGTCAAGGGAACTCGCCAACACCTGTCTGCGCTGATCATTTTGCGTGGACCTAACGATTACCTGTTGGACGAAATGGAGCGTTCCGTGCATGATTCCTTATGTGTGGTGAAACGTACTTTGGAAAGTGGGAGCGTCGTGCCAGGAGGTGGTGCTGTTGAAGCTGCTCTTAACATCTACTTGGAAAACTTTGCCACGACAGTGGGACTGCGTGAGCAGTTGGCTATTGCCGAGTTCGCCAATGCCCTTTTGGTGGTTCCAAAAACACTTGCAGTTAATGCAGCGAAAGACCTGAGTGATTTGATTGCAAAATTAAGAACATATCACGCAGCCTCGCAAACGGCAGCTCGTGACGATACTAAACGCAAGGCGTACAAGAACTGTGGTTTGGACTTGATCAACGGTAAGATTGTTAATGAGGTCGTGAACGGTGTTTTGGAGCCTACAGAGAGTAAGGTCAAGTCGTTGAAGTCTGCATTGGAGGCATGTGTGTCGATTTTGCGTATTGATACCATGATTACCGTGACGCCGGACCAGCCGAAGGAGGACCCACACCAACATTAAGATCAATAAACTAATCTTCAGATGATGCTTGTAGTGTAGTTAACGAATACAGGGATGTGATAAAGCTGAACGCGAGGCGAAGTCTTATTGCACTTGGAAAGTTTCGATATCTTAATGTACAAGTATGAGACTCGGGAAAGAATACATCATGAAATGCCGACCGGCCCTTACTATAAACTCTTCAAAATAGAAAATCATAATATAAGATCAACTAGCATCTCGAGATTAAGCTGCTGGTTAAGGCAAACATGTCAATTTTTTTATCGTTCAAAGAGCCTCGGAAACTTTGTCAAAACATCCACAAAGAAATCTAATATCGGTGTTTTCCTTGTTCAACCCTCTAGCACCATAATTCTACATCGTGTCCGTATTATGTCAATTAACCAGGGTTCTATGAATAGAAATGAAGATGGGGCCTGCCATCTAAACCGCCAACGCCGAGCGGTTGAGTGCCAGAGTCTTGTCTCGCAACGGGGCACGAAGCAGATCGCTGGATTTGACGCTGGCCAAGGAGTAAGACGATGCAGAGAAAAGAGAGAGTTTCGACAGCGCCGATGCAAGCGAGCGGCTGCTGCGACTTGACAACCGATAACACTCTTGCTTAGAGCGAGTTTCGCTTTGAAGACGACGGGCAAGGTCGTTTTTGATTCCAACAAGAAAGGGTTCGAGCACAGCGACCAATTCGGACTCGCGTACGGTCAAATCCCAATGCAAAAGGCCAATGAGGTCTCTTTCCGCGGCGTTGACTTCAGCATTGGTCAAAAGCCCGTCGGTGTATGCTGTCCAATGTTTATTAAGTGGACTGGAATCGTTCAACAGCTTGGCACTCAAAATGAGAGCGGCCAAAAAAATCCGATGAAGCGTTGTTTCAGAGCCCACAGCATTTCCAGGCAAGGCGTGGCGCAATCTGTTAAGAAACACAAGAGATGCCATGAGTGTAGGAGTCCGCACATTGGAATATTCGATCAACCGGCGAATAAACAGCTTAAGTGAGACAACTTTTGGCGTCACTAAAAGCAGACCCAACTTACTGACTGGTGCCTTTGGTTTTTCCACCCGGAGCACAGATGCCGTTGAGGCAGCCAAAAAATCCACCATCTCGCACGTCACTGCCAGTCTTGAAAAGACCTTCAACGCTTCAGAGTCAGACATATTCGCTTTCGGTTGGCGTTTGCAATAAATATGCGGGTAGGTATAAAATGAAGGTTCCCGTGAAATGGGAAGAGTAGGCCAGTGCTGTGGAGGTCAGGAGAAGAACAAGAACCTGGTGTTCAAAGCAGGGTCTGCGAAAAGTCTTTATACCCTGACGCGCCTGCCTTCCAATGGCACTTGCATAATGCATCGTTTTTTTTTTTTCCAAGCGCGTACGTACGCGCTGCAAGGTACACTATTTACCTATTTGGTGCAAGGTACAGGTTCGCTCCACTTGCCTTCCGGATAAAACCAGCGAACAAATATCCGCCCAGCCTATTGTCTCTTGTGCACGAATCGGGCTTTTGCATTCGTGGACGCGTCGGGCCCTTACATAAGCCATGTCAAAACTTAAAGCCTTCTGCGTACACACCCCATTCATTGACATACTCTATATGCCTGTCAGTTGCTTATCAACTGACACGTCTAGATGGAAACCATACAAGAAATGGAACTCGGCATTGTTGCATCCCTTCCACCGGGCTTGCTGTTAAAGCGCGCTAAGTGGTATGATATTTCTATTGTAGACATTATGGTATCAGACGTTCAAATGGTGAACAGAACGCTCGAATGAAAATACGTGCGGGCCTGGACACGCCCAGTCAGGTCCTAGGAGCTGAATAAGGGGGTATAGAAAGGTGACATACCATACAGGAAGAAGGATACCATGTGTAGCTCATGATATGGTTTCTGAAACTGGACTAATATATAGCCCTTTCGGGACACGGAATTGCATTCGAAGCCAGTGTTACTCGTGAATACTTGAAAGTGCCAACAAGGTCATTGGGATTTTGTAGCTAACTCACTTTGGATTCATACAGGTTGTTGAATACCGAGAGTCATTGTCAACTACGTATACCTCTCGTTGAAATTCCTGTGTTCAACGAATGTTCCTGTTTTGCCTTTCATGTATCGCTTGTTTGACAACTATCGCCTGATGAGCGATTAGGATCCTCCAAATACATAAGCCTAACCACCTATTGGTTGAGTTTCTGTAATACTGGGTTAGGCATAATCAAACAAATTGGTGTATCATATTTATGACTTGAAGCACAATGTATTGCATGTCTCAAGTGACGAAGTATATGTAAATACTAACAGGCAAGCTGGTGTACATTAAAACAAACAGCTACGGGCCACAATAGGCTCAGACTGGGTTGTCTGGATAGTAAAAGAACGCCAAGGCCACTATCAAGTAGGTACTCAACAACATAGCACCTTCCAACCAGTTAGATTCACCATCAAGGATCACCAAGTTGGTGATGAAAACGGACACAAACATCACAGCAGTTTCAAAGGTGGAAAAGTACAACGACATAGGCACGTCAATAATCCAGCCAATGATAACCATGAATGGAGTGACAAAAATGGCAATCTGCAACGAGGAACCCACAGCCACGCCAATAGCCAAGTCCATTTTATCTTTCATGGCCACAATTATGGCTGTTGCATGCTCAGCAGCATTTCCGACGATCGGAATCACAATCAAACCAATAAAAGTCTTGGACAAACCAGACAGCTCAACAATATCGTCAATGGCACCCACCAAGTAATCGGCACAGAAAGAAACAAGAACAGTGGCAAGAACCAAGACAGAAAGAGAACCCAACACAGACAAGTGCTGTTCCTCGGCCTTATTCTCTGCTGGAATAGTCGAGGTAATAATTCCATCATCAGCTTCTTGGGTCTGCTCTTCAAACAATGCACGGTGGGTCTTCAATTGGAACACCAAGTACAAAACGTAGAGAATCAACAAAATGATGGCTACGCCACGAGACAAGCTCAAGATCTTGCTGTCTGAGTCTGAGTTAGGGTCGGGAAAGCCGACGTCTTTCTTTGGGATGGTGACCGAAGCGTGGAATGCAGCCGGAATCAAAAGACCAGCAGTGGCCAATGCCATGAGAGAAGACATGGTTTGAGCCACTGTCTGGTTGAAAGTTTGCTGGACTCTAGTGAAGCCACCAGCAAGAAAACAGCAACCCAAGACCAACAACAAGTTCGACAAGATGGAGCCGAGCATCAGTGCCTGGACAATCCGGACCTGGTTGTCTTTCAAAGCAATCACAGACACAATGAGCTCGACAGCATTTCCAAACGTGGCATTCAATAAACCACCAATGGTTTGGCCAGTATGCTCAGCCAACTCTTCAGTAGCAAACGCAAGAAGCAGCGCCAAGGGCACAATGGCACAAAAGTTGATCCAAAATACCGCGTTAGAGCTCCATCCTAAAATGCCGGCGGCTAAGCCGAGCGGAACAAAAACAAGAAGGTAGTTGACAGGCGACAGAGCCAAGGTCAATTTCAGACCGTTGTAGAACGAACGCTGGAAAGATGGCACAGAACGGGTCTGGCCAAGAAGTGGGTTCAGTTCGGACATGGGGAAAAAGCTAGTGGTGAAAGCAACTTTGAGCGATTGATGATAGATGAAGCGAGTATGTATATGCAGTGCGCAAGCGTTTGATGCACGTTGGAGATGAGAATGAAGAGGACAAGTCCGGACAAGAGGAGCAGGATAATGTTCTGTCTGTCGCCACTACCCTATCTAATGTGCTTGAGACTGCTTATGTTTTTCAATGCTTTTTGCTCTTTTCCTTATTCTGGTGGCTGGCTTCAGCCCGGAAGAGGGGATGTCCGGGTCTTTCATGCGCCGAGGGGTATGTTATGTGTTGATACTTTGATGGCGCATGCATGCAGCGAAGCGGGCATTACGCAGTCACTTGGAACAGGACGAAGACGGTAGCGCCGGAGAGAACTGTATTTAATGTATTATGGGGGCCGGGTCTTAAAGTTTGCAAAATAAACACATTTTCTCAAGCAGACGTTAGGAGTAATTGCAGAGACACGTGCTTGTGATGTAATGTAAAGAGCATGCCAAGACTAGCGAGGATGCCATCGATAAGATTCAAAAAATATGTCAATGTGAACGTGCCAAATAAAGGCCAAAAGATTTCTCTTGTTTCAAGTGTGTAAGTTCCGTAGAGAACATCGAGATGCTAATACTTGTTAGAATAGAATGCTCCATTCGTGCATTCTTAAGGAAGAACCTCATCTGTAGTAAGGATGCGAAAACACTTCAATGAAGGTACTTTGAAATGGGTTAATCTAGCGAATTATGCTAGAGGTGGTAGAAAACTTTGTGACCAATTCATTCCAACAAACAGTTCGTTACTAAGCCATATACATTTTTCGAATCATTAGAAAGCAACCTCAACGTGCTACAACTGACTTAACCTCTTGCTAATCCTCAAATGAGCTAGCCTCTCCAGTCGAACAGAAGTGTGACAACAGGCTTATGAGAGTGAGAGACCAAGCCTACTCATTAATTAGTGAACATATACACCCCTTTGAATCCATAAAGTAAGTGTGGAGATAAGACTAGAAAACAAAAGGAAGTTTGAAGAAAACGCAGATTATGAATTCGAAGGCGGAATAGAACAAGCCAGCTTGGCTAGAGCTGCGGAATCGAAACTGTACGGTCTATCTTTCCGACTAAAATTGAATCCGTCAACAAAACGGTACAAGCAAATCTGCTACATTAATACATTGAATCTAAATGATTGAGTCCCGACTTTCACCTCACAATTCCTTCGATCACACAAGCTCGCGCCATAAGTAAGGCGTGAACAACATCACTGCAGAAAAAAGAGCGTCGATAGCTTCCCACAAGGCAAGCAAAAAACCCGAGACACCCCGGCGCACGAAGTTGCAGTACACACCGTAAAAGGCCACCGAGAAAAAGTGGCTGAACAACAACATCGGATAAGGCAACATGCCCAGAAGCAAGCCAATGGGCCCGCGCACGCAGTCGCCGCCCAACTGGAAGTACTTGAAACAGCCGTCTTGCAAAACCCGAAGCCCGGCCCGGTCGGCGGCAAACAACAGGTATAAGGCAATCAGCAAGGTGTTGACGACGGCGTCCAATTTCTTGCGCTGGGCGTGGAACTGGAGCAAGCGCGCGCGCACTTCGGAGTGGTCGCCCAAATCAACGCCTTGCAAGAGGCGCATGAGCAAAACGGTGTCGTTCAAGCCCACGGTCATGCCGCCGCCAGTGAGCGGATGGCGCATGTTCAACAGGTCGCCGATCATGATGAAGCCGCGGTTTTTCGCCTGGCGCTCCGCACTCAAGTACTGGTTGGGCAAGGCGCGGAACTTGCGCGACGCCACGCACTCGTCGAAGCTGGCGCGCATTCCCTCGGGCAAGTTGGGCGCCACGTCGCGCCGCAAGTAGTCGAAAAAGTCGTCGTTCGAGGCGGACGGCGGGCGCGCGCCGCGGTGCGCGCACAACATGCGCGTCTCGTCGCTCGAAACCTGGTACGCCAAAACGGGCGCGTGGTCGCCCAAGATAACGTGCCCGCGGCCCGGCGCTGGAAGCTTGCACCCGTGCAACGCCAACGCCACGAAATACGAGCCGATTTTGGGCACGTAGTCGGCCGCGTGCTCGCGCCGGAACTTGGAGTAAATGCCGTCGCATGCAAACGTGGTTTTGGCGTGGTACGTCTCCACCAGGCCGTCGGCCAACTTGACGCGGACGCCACGAACGAGGTCCAGCGCATGCTCGTCTCGCACAACCGCGGTGGCAGTGCCTTCGACCGCAGTGACGTTTTTCTCTGCCCGGACGATGGCGCGGAGGTTCATCAAAAACTTGCCGTGCTGAAGCGCCACGCCGCGCACATGTGGGTCGGCGTCCCATTCGGCGGCGTCAAGCGCCTTGTCGTCGGTCCGCATCTTGTCGTTGCCGTTGCTCACGCAGCAGGGCACTGGCCGCACGCTGGCGTCCACGTCCAGCTTGGCCGGGTAGTCGATCTGCACCGAATCCTGGCCAAACTTGATGTAGTAGCCTGTAACAGGCACCGCACCTATGCCGTTGACCGCCTGGATCATTCCAAGCTCGCGCAACGCCTTGAGCCCCGCCGGCTGCATCAACTCGCCCACAACACGGTCTTTTGGCTCGCTCCAGTCACGCTCGACAATCATCACCGTCTTTCCCTGGCGGGCGAGAGCTGTGGCCACACAGGGCCCGACCACGCCGGCGCCAATCACAATCGCGTCGTATTCCATGGCAGAAGTGCTGTTTTTTCCCGTTTGTATGTGCTTTCGCGGGCTGTTCGCTGCTTTTCTGGCGAATCTGCTAGCTTCTATACTTTATAGCGCTCGTATAGAATCACCTGAGTATGCGGCCTGCAGAGAGCCACGGCCATCGAGATGACTACGTTTGGCGACACTGAACGACAAACGGGTATATTGATGGCTGGAAGGTATTGGCTGGGCTGTGTGTTCTCTTTCATTGTTTTATCCTTTTTTTTTTTCTATTCTTTTTTGTTTCTATCCTTTTTCCTTCTATTCTTTGGTTGGTGTATTTTGATATGCTCGACGCACAAAATGATGCGCGATGGCTGAGCTTGATATTGATGTTGACCAAATGGTTCTCGTGACTTTTCAATCGAATAATTCTCTTCTAGGTTCCTCTTGACATCTTCACAATGTCGTATGAGCGCATCTGAGCAGCTTTTTGGAGCGAGTTTTGCAAACTTTTTGTAAACTTTGTGCCTACGCCTCTCTAATGTGGACTGCACCATCGTATCGCTTAAGGTCGTCTACGTAAACAAACGTAGATTGATGTCGAGAAGTTTGCAAGGGAAATTGTCAGTAAATAATTGTAGTTCCTCTTCTCTTTTGAACATTCGTGTAGCTCTATACATTTACCGATGGCTATTTTCATTTCCACATTACAAACCAAGAAGCTCCCAGTGGCTGAAGTAAATCACATGCAAATGTCGCGTCCCGATAAGAGAGGTGAACATCGGCTCATGTTCACATTACACATTACCCCATTTAAGCCTTGCAATTCTGTCGTAAGCGTGCGGCTCTAACGGTCTGAAGACTGGATATGCGCTTGTGTGGTCCATATATGTTCTTGATGTTTACATGTAGTTCAGTTTTTTTCTTTATAGTCATGTGGCCATTGAGGTATCTCGAACCGAAGAAACATTGGTGAGGAAACAAAAAAAAAACTCAGAGTTCCAGACTTCATGAATATTGTAAGCATAAACCCATACCATGTGGTTGCATCTGGCAAACTATGAAGTCTGTTTCGTTAGGGATTGAACTAGGCACTTGATTGAGAACGACATGGCCACTAATGAATGTATTGAGTCGATTGAACATGGTTTATCTTGAATCTAGCTTCAGCACTTGAACTTGCGTATTTCTTCAAATCCGAGCAGCAAACCAAAACGGTAATCCATTTTCATTTCCTTCTACTTGCCAAATCAGATTGGCAATAGATCGATCCGCTTTACTTTCCCTCAGAATTAATTAAATTTTCACTTTCATTCTCTCCTTTCAACTTCGTATCATTACACTATCAGAAAGGTGTATTTCTCACCGTCAGAAAGTTTTGTTTTACTGGATGTAATCTATAAGGATTATCAAAGTGGCAACGGATAAAATGTTTGAAAACACTTTTTGTCGTGTAACTTGCTTCTCGGCTCTGGTGGTTGTGCTTTTAGTAAGTGAAAACGTATCTTCGGGCCACGTACATACGCTCACATTTAAATGATTGTGTATTGATGATATTAATAGCATGTAAGCCATGCAAAGTAGTGCTTCTGCTGCGATGCCGCTCATCTAGTCTAATCCGCCGCACAAAACGCTATCGACCTTCCAGAACCGTTCTAAATGCCACTGATGCCTCGACTACTCACGAGTGTTCTTGTGTTGCCACTAGCTTAGTCGCTGTCACTCTCCTCCTCGGCATCACGCAACCACTCCACAAACTGGCCTGCCAAGGTCCGTACCTGTGCAAACTGTGGTCTGTCACGTTCCGCCGCTGTCCACCAACGCAAAATGCTCTCCTCCTCCACAATGTCCAATTCGTACAACTGCCGAAGCGCCACAAACAACACTACGGCGCCGCTGGCCAACGGAGCACAGGCCGTCTCCAAAAGCTCCGCCAAGTCGTCCTGCTCCGACGCAGAGAAGACCTGGCGCCGGAACAAGCCACCCCACTCGCCAAATACCTTGCTCGCAGCATCACGAGCGCCCAATGTAGCAGTCGACTCGAAATGAGCCACGCGCCGCACCATAGCCTCGACCGTAGCAGCTCTGACCTCGTGGTACGTCACATTCATCGACATACGCAAGGTGTTGAGTTCCAACAACGCCGTGTCCATGTCATGGTTGTGTTCCATGGCCCGCTCCACTGTGGCCACCGCCTCTGTGGCAAAATCTTCGTCGTCTGAGAAGTCTGTCGATGCCGACGACATGCGGCGTCTGCGCGAGCTGCGGCGTCTTCTGCGCGAAACCAGCGCAATCAGCTCGTCCGAACCGTTGCCCTGTAAGTAGAACGCCGGCGGCGCTCCACCGGTCTCGGCGCTGCGAGTTTCACCGGCTGAGACCGTCTCGCCAAAGTCCACCACGGATCCAGGCAAGAGGCGTGCGCCGTGGCCCACAGTCGCGCCAGATGCGACCACGGCACCACTGACCTCGGCGCCGTCCTCGATCACCGCATCGTCCCAAATGTACGAGTTCGAGATTTTCACGTCGGATCCCACGCGGCACCGGCGGCCAACAACGGACCGACGGATCGTGGAGCCTGCGCCGACGTTGGTTCCTGCGCCGACACATGTGCTGCTGCCCACTGTGCACAGCTGTGCAAGCACCACAGGCTGTTCTTTGTAAACGTGGCCCACGCCATGTTCGTAGGAGCCGCCGGCCAAGTTCGAGTCGGGCACGAGCGGATGGGCCCAGCGGGCAAGAACATCCTGAGACACAGCCGCGTACGTGGCCCACAGCTCGACACGGGCCGCGTATTCGCTTGTGATGTAGGCGTAGATGCTTTTCCTCACCAAGTCGGAGGTCAAGACCCCGCGCACAAAGTCGCCACGGAGACTCTGGTAGTCAAAGTTCTCCTGGAAGATCTGCGGCACGTGCGGCAGGCAGATGTCAATGTGGCAGTCGATCAAGTCGTTGCGCACCTCGAGCTCGCCCGCCATATTCTCCAAAAGCTCTGGCTCGATGGCCACGCTGCCTCCTGGAGCGTTGCGCGGCGCAATGTCCTCGTAGTAGTGGCACCGGTGGCTCGCCTTGTCCAACACAAACACGGCTGGGTCCACCTGCGACCGCGTGCGGTGGTTTGGGCTGGCCGCAGAAAGCACCATGGTCACAATGTGGTCCTTGTCCGCCGCCCGCTTGCCGCGGTGGAACTGCAACGCCCGCGCAAAGTCGACGTTGGTGACCACGTCGCCGCTGACGAGAAGAAAGTCGCCCGAAACGATTCCTCGATTGTCCAAGTCTCGCATGGCATCTCCCACTGACCGCGACTCGGCGCTGTTGATGGTGGAAACGGCAAACGCCGAGTTGCGTGCCCACTTCAGCTGCTCAATGTACTGCTGGATCTGGTCGGCATGCGCCGAGCACATGAGGTACACCTCGTTGACGCCTGTTTTGGCCAAAAACGCCAAGGTGTACTCGATCAAAGGCACGTTGGCCAAGGGAAGAAGACAGCGGGGCGTGCGCGCCGTGAGAGGCAGAAAGCGGGTTTCAAACAGGTCCGTGAGCACAATCGCTTGGAATCGCTCGTCCTGGACAACTTCTTTTTTCTTGTTCTTGGGTGGCATGGGAGTCGAAGAGTGGTATTGCGCGAGCAGAGATTTTATGTACTGCGCACGTGACTCGGCTTTTGGAGAGTAGGAAGTGGATGGAAGCCAGGCAAAGGGTTTTGAAGGTGGCAAAAGTGACGTGGTTCCTGGATGGGTTGGTGTTGAGATTTTGTCTTTGGTGGTTTCAAATTGCCATGGTGTGTTGAGGTGTAGCGCATAGTGGCAGAACAAGATGAGGCTAGAGGATCAAGAACGTAATATCTAGGGTCCATCTTGTAATTCAGGGCCATCATGTTTAGGAGAGAAGATATCAAGGGCCATTGGCTCTTGAACAGTTGTAACTTCGTTCTTGTGTCTACCTTCTATGTTCGCATGGATCTACCCTGTTGTTCGCAAGGATAACTCATGATTGACTTGAACAATGGTTGGCGTATTTGCGTCTGATACTGTTTCAGATGTCTGATACTGTCGGATGTCTGATACTGTCTGGTGCTACACATTTACGGACATTCATGTCTTAAGACTACAGTTGTGGATCATATCAACATGGTTTGGCCAAAGCCGCAAACACAAACTTCAACTCGTGCTATATACAAGTATAAATAAATTAGGCCGGTTGGTTCTTGACCTCAGCCTCGTGAGCCTTTTGCTCCGCCTGCTGCTGCTTCTGTTCAGCCTCTCTCTCCAACAAAACCTTCTTCCATTCAGGCAAAGGTGCAGGCTTGCCCTTGTTCAATTCCTCCTCCTTCATGGCCAACACAATGGTACTCAAAAGCAACACAATGGTGACGGCCTGGGCATACATTCTGGCCTGAACCAACTTCTGGGGACCGGTCATGACCTTGTCTCTGTTGACGTAGACCCAGGAGCCCCACATAGAAGCGACCCACGAAGTGAGAATGATCTTGTACTTGTTGTTGTTCAAGGAAGTGAAGGTCTTTTCGGACAAGGACATGTTGTTCCACTCTCTGTATTGCTCCATCATTTGCTGGTTGGCGTAGTCGGACTGGTACATTTGTCTATCAAAGTCCCACGAGCCTTGGTCGGCAAAGAAGGCCGAAATGGCAACGGTGGGCATGGTAAGAATACATGTTTTCACCGAAGTGTTGAAGGCAGCAAATCTCACTGGGTGTCTGGTTTTAAGGTAGGCGAAGAGACCGACAGAAACCAAACCACCATAAAACAAGCCTTTGGCACCTTCTGCAAGGACATGAGAGGAGTGGGCTTCTCTTTCTTCTTGGGTAATGATTTTCATGATTAGTAATGTATGATAGGGTGTGATAGGGTGTGAGGAAACTGGGAATGCACCCTACTATATATGAACTGCGCGAACGGTGTGAATAATAATATTTTCCGTCAGGTTAGAGGAGCAAGCAAACGAAAAGTAGTGCTGAAGTCGAATGTGCAAGTATTTGTATCTGGAGCAAGTTTCTTTTGACGGGGTGGCCAAGGCTCTGTATTTATATTGCCGTAGTTCGGCCGTTTTTTGCATCTATGGCGTGACTCCTGGCCACATAGTGCGGCTACCGATGCTTCTAGGCAGGCTGGATGGGAGATTCCGAGCGTTTTTGTAGTTCCGAGCGGTTTTACGGTATCCAACCAGAAAAACAGAGCACAATTAATACAATATAGACGTAAAAAAAGAAAAAGAAAAAGAAAAAAAAAACAAGCAATACCAAGCAAGCACTTACACATCACCATAGCCCAGATTCTGGATAATCAGAACAGCTACTTCACCAATATAGGGCGGTCTTGTGCCTATGGATATTTGCTCAAGAGAAACGCAGTCGCTGCACATGACCAGACATGCAAGACAAGACTGACATGGCCATTATCATACTTACCATGTCATATCATAATTACCATGCTATATCATAATTACCATACCATATCATAATCACCATGTCCACTTATTCGTGGCTCTTTCAATTCGTATCCATACCATCCGCCACCGACCCTCCCATTCAATCGAAAGCCATTGGACTTGGTGCGCCACATGTCGGGCTTTGGCGCGGGTTTCGCCGCATCAGGCAATTCCACAATGGCTTTCCCGACTTCGCCCGCCCAGCGGGCCTGCAGAAACGCCGCTCGGCCCTTTGCTCAGCTGACAGTACATAAAGTCTTGGCTCCATTCTACTTCCACAGTATGAAACATATGGCAAACATGGCTATGGACCATTCGGGCATGGACCACCCAGGCATGGACCATCCAGGCATGGACCACGACATGCCAATGGATATGTGCAAAATGAACGTATGTACTTTGATGTGAAACCTTGTCTTGTCCTCTCTAACATCGCAGATGCTCTTCACCTGGGACTGGAAAAACACTTGCGTGGTGTATAAGTGGTGGCACGTGAAAACGTTGGCCGGGTTTTTGGGCACGTTGGTCGCCATCACGGCGCTTAGTATGGGCTACGAGCTAGCCCGGTGCTGGATCTTCAATTGGAGAAACAAGGGCGCCGCGTTTAACGCCTCCAACGTTTCGGGCAGGTCTTTCAAGGCGTTCAAGGCAAAGCTGTCGCTTTTGTACGCTTTTCAAGTGGGCTACTCCTTCATGTTGATGTTGGTGTTTATGACTTACAATGGCTGGTACATGTTAGCTGTGGCGCTCGGCGCCGGAATCGGCCACTACTTGTGGGGAAACCACTCGGAGAACTTATCCTTGTCGTGCCATTAACAAGCTTGGCGTTACCTTTGCCGCTAGAATTGTTTCTACATGTGCTGTGTACTGGATATTCAGCTCTCGTCTGCTTGGTTTTGCAATGGGGCTTCCGTATTTAAGCTGTACTAGCTCCTATATTTGCTAGTACTTCTTCGTCATTGTCTACCAATTACTATGCTTCTACTGTGCTTTTTTTTTTTTTTTTCTTTGCGTATCATTAACAATATGTAGCTGTTTCCTGAACAATTACCTTGTGAACTCAATTACTAACCCCGTTGATGCCACTTGTAAAACCGTAACCACTCTTAAAATCCAGAGTACTTGGATCTTGCCCTCAACTTAGGACCGTTCAAGTAAAAGAGCACGGGAATAGCCACCATGACCACACACAAACAAGCCAAAACAGTAGAACCCCATCCAACTCTAAATCTCTCGTTCTTCAAGTTGATGAACAACGCTCTGCCAAACAATGGGAATGCACCAGCCATAATACTTCTGAACAAGTCGTTACCGGCAAACACAGATGCCAAGTATCTCCAGAAGGACATACTCAAGTAGTTGAAGAGAGTCTGGAATACAATGAAGGCACCTGCAGCAAAGACAGCTGTACCAATCATTGGGGCAATCCAGTGGATATCTGGAGCACTAGTCCAGCCAAATATGAAGATACCAATAGGCATAAGGATAGAACCCAAAATTGTCATGGGGAGGAAAACTTCTGGTTGCACTTGTTCGCCGACCAAAAGCTTCTTTGTGAATCGTCTGTAGATGAATGGAATGAAGAATGCAGCACCAATCATGATACCAATCATAAGAGCAACATACGAAACACCCATTTCAATCAATGTAAAGTGATGGATCTCAAAGGAACACAATTGGGAACGCCTCAAACCAAGTGTACATGATGGAGTAGACAAGACCAATGTAAATGTTGATCAAAAGCACCACAGGCTCGAAAATAATGAGCTCGAAAGGACGCCACAAGATGTCCACGGCCATCTCATGAACTTCCATCTTGCTATTCTCAATGTGGCCCTCACTGGTGATTTTATCGTTGCCAGTCAACTTTCTCAATCTCTCGGCTTTTCTGTACAAGATGGTCTTCCCGGTATGATTCTGGAAGGAACCAACTCAACACAAGGAAAGCACATCCAGAAGTGATACACACAAACCAAAACGTCCAGTGGTAGTTTCCCTTAACCACCAAGATGGAACCGAATAATGGACCCATGGATGGAGCACAAACTGCGGCAATGGACCAGGCACTGATGGAAACAGGAATGTAAGGCATGGCAGTGACATCTCCGACACTGGCACCTCCTGTGGCCAAGCAAGGACTGGCGAAAAAGCCAGCGATGAAACGCAAAACACACAAAGAGGTAATATCAGTCACCAATGCTGTTGGAATTTGCAAAATGAAAAAGATGAACAAGGTGATGATGTAGATGCTAGTTCTTCCAAAGCGGGCATTTTCCGACATTGGCGAGAAAACCATGGGCCCAATGCCGTATCCGAAAACAAACATCGTCAAAGGTAAAGTGGCCAAAGTCTGGTTGATGTTCATTTTTTCCATGATTTCATCGACTCCCGGTGTGTAGATTGCTGACGCCATATACACAAAGGCAGTCAAAATACCAATCTCGAAAATAAATAGAATCTTGTAGAAGAAGGGCCAGTTGTATGGGTTTTCTGGGTCGTCCTCACCATCCCAGCCGACAATTATCAAGTCGTCTTCCTTTTTGAGACTTTTCTCCAGAGATTCGTTAGACGAAAGCGAAGCACGAGGCTCTTCTTTCAACTTGTCAAGGGAATCAGTAGATTCGACACTGTTTCCGGGAAGATACTTCTCTGGAATGACATAGCCAGGCTTCTCCTCGGCATAACCAAACAATTTGTGCTGTGTAGCGTGGTACAAAAGACGCCCGAAAAAACTTTCTCTGACAAACTTGCTGAGCATTGCGATTAGGTATTAGATGGATGTTTGTCTGAGAAAACAATTAATCCGTCGGGGCATTGGTTCCTTAAATACCTTTTCTCATGCTTGTTTTTTTTATCCGCCATTGCCTCACTAATTAGTCAGACAAGCTCCCTTTGCGGCGGCGTTATTAATCGCTGTTGCGGACATAATTTACCCGAAGTGCATGCCATCGAGATGTGGTTTCGCAAGCAAACGTTTGCTTTCAAGGAATTCACGATTTGGAAGTCACAACAACGCACCAATTTCGATATTCCGCCTAAGCCATTGCCAAAGTAGTGCAAATGTGAAAGCACCCATTCTACCTTTTTTTTTTTTTGATTTCTTGACCAAGTTTGAATGGTTGTCTTTCTACTTTCTCAAATGTATCTCGGATATGAGACGCATACATTATATGCATGATCAGAGGCCACGCATCTCCGAAGGAAATAATTGTTCACCTGCAATTATTATGCCTTGTTTTTCGGCTGATCATATGCACCATCTGAAACTATTCTTTACGATGAAGAAGACCAGAAAACCTATGATGAAACAGTTTTAACGGGTTTGAAAGTTTTGCGGATGGAATTGCTTGAGATAATCCGATGTGGATGCGGTGTCGTAACGTTTTTTCTTCGCGTATAGGTGATAGTGGCGAATACAATAGAAGACCGTGCTGCGCACCTGCAGGCAACGTGTCCGAAACGGATATAACTCCGCCGCGGCTGAGTGAAGACTTGTACGAGCATGCATAGAGATTACTAAGGAGACGAACACACTACTGCCAGACATTTTTGAACAGCTAGGAGACCATGATAACACTAGGTGCAAGGAAAATAAAATAGAGAAAAATGAAAAGAAAAAAAAGAAAAAGAAAAAAGAAAAAGAGAACAAATGCTCCAGGAGGGGTTTGAACCCACGACCGTCGCGTTCCTCACACGACCGTGACTTTGGTATATCCATTGTCGTAAAACGGCTATAAGCACGAAGCGCTAACCACTGCGCCACTGGAGCATCTGCAAAAAATCGACGGGTCCGCCATGCTAAGTGTACAGCAAAAATAAATGTAGTAGAATTTGGCCAATCTGGGCCATTCTCCGGTCAAGACATGGAAAACAGTGGAAATTTTTGCTTGCCTCTTATCTAATAATAGGAAAATCAGCAAAGTCACCGTTTGCATTGAACTATTGCACGTGCATTGTTCCGCCTATGGCTTATTAATCTTATCAGGTGAAGCAACTTGTTTAGTTATCGCCGCTGTGATTGTGTTCCGGACGTCCCACACAATGTAAGTACTGTATGGAGGCCAAGTTCATGAGACGTTAGCTCCGCCGTGTCTCTGACATGTGGCATTCGTCCATTTGGGGATATCTCCCTTCCCCGGAAGTTTTCGGGTCTTTGCATATCGACAGACCAGTCATTTTCTAGATTCAGCACTTGATTCGAAATTTCACCATTATTCATTTTAATCAATCAGTTTACACACTAAATACATTTGCAACGCTTACAATGACTATGTCCTGCTCTTGAATCAAAATATGATTAGCAGGCGTAACACACACTTGTACAATGTCGATTGCAAAATTTCAGACTACACTTGTCAATAGGTTGTATGTTGATTTGTGCACTAGCAGTTTCCATTTCATGCCAAACTAGCAGCAGAACTCATCAAGTCTGGTTCTTTATCGTCAGTCTCCTCAGAGTTGATAAGGGTGACATAATCATTGAGCCATTGGTCAGCATCTATAGTTGTGTTGAGCACAATGGAATCTATTACAGAATTATTCTCGTGTATAGATTGGATAAGGAATGAGTTGGTTCTGGGACCTGCAGCAACAAATTCATAAGAATGAGGATCAGCTTTGGCTTGCCAGCTTGTATAAGCTGCAATAGACTGAGGAGTCAAAATGTCGTGTATAGACAGCATTACTGTAGTCAAATTGCAAGACGGTGGCTCTTTTATAGAGAAGCCATCTTAGCTAAGTGATCTTATATGCATGTGTGAACTACAAGAAGTGACGTCAAGAAATAACAGAGTGGGAAGTATGTAGAGGGGAACAATGAAATCGCGTGATAGAATAATGGAATGTGGATTCTTGATCGGAACTAGTATACGCAGTATAAAGTTAGTGACTCTCTATATGGTGGTACTGCATAATGATCCGGCTCATTGGGCCTTAGCTCCGTCGTGTCTTTGGCTTCGGGGCACGCGGCATTCGAATCGAGCGAAATCTCCCTTTCTCGGAAGGTTTCGGGCCCATCGGTATCTTGAGATAAGGGGCTGACCGTGTCGGAATCTGATTTGAGAGCATCATCACTGTTCCCACTTCTCATCTGAGAGTGCACACAAGTCTCATCACAAAAATTCAGTTCCATCTCTTTACACTTATACTGGTGGCATGGCTTCGAAAATCAGATACTACTTGGAGCAAAGTGTTCCCGAGCTCGATGACCTAAAGAAGAAAGGTCTTTTTGACCAGAAGGAAATCACCATGATCATGCGCAGAAGAACAGACTTTGAGCATCGCATCCAAGGCAGAGGATGCAAGCCTAGAGATTTTTTGAAATACAGCGATTTCGAGATCAACTTGGAGAAACTTCGAGCCAAGCGCTACTCGAGACTCAAGAAGGCCGGCTCCTTGGACACGAAACCGAGTATTTCCGACTGGGCTGGTTTCCGGCGCATCATTTTCGTTTTTGACCGTGCCGTCAAGAGATTTCCGGGCGACATTGGTTTGTGGGCCAAGTACATTCAGTTTGTGAAGGAGAAGGATGCAGTCAAGGTTGTATATCGTGTCTACGCCAAGTTGTTGCTGTTGCAGCCTCGTAACGTGGAGGCTTGGCTCTCTGCGGCAAAATATGAGTTTGAAGTCAATGCCAACGCAAAGGGTGCCAGAGAGTTGTATCAGCGTGCATTGAAGTTGAACCCAGAGCTGCAGAAGTTATGGATGAGCTACATCCAGTTCGAGTTGACATATGTCTCGAAGTTGCTTGCTCGCCGGAAGGTTTTGGGTTTGTTGACCGAAAAGCAGCAGCAAGATGATTTGCAAGCACAAGAAAAGAAACTCGAAAAGAGAAAGGCCAAGACGATCAATGGAATCGAGGATAATGACGACATGATCTCTTTGGAAGACGATCCCGAGCAAATGAAAGCACAGTTGGAACAGTTGCCTGAGGCAGACATGAATGTGTTGGGAAATCCTGATACGAACCCCGTTCTTAGAGGAGAAGTGGCTTTGGCTGTTTTCGACATGTGCGTCCCAGAATTGCTCAAAGAAGTCGCCAAGACTATGCGGCAAGACAAGATCTTCGAGCTTGTGGAGGACTTTTTCGTTGTCGTGGACAAGTTTGAAAACTTGAGCCGTGACCATTTGTACTTGCACGGCTTGCTGTACTTACAAGAACACTGTGACGATCGTACTAGAGTGGCTTTAGTCGACGTGAAGATGCCGCTTCGAAATGTTCTTGTGACAGACCCAGACTTCGCTGAAGCTTTGCAACTTTCGGTTAACAAGTTCAATGCTTACAAAAAGAAGCTTTCGGAGAACCGGGAAAAGTTCACCGCTCCTTATATTGCGTTCTTGAACCAGTATGTCGAGACGGCCCCAGAGAACGTTGCTGGTTTGTTGAAAGCCATTATTCAAAAGTGTCAATAGGTGTATGGAGAATAAAGATAGAATACCAGAGTTGTCGATGACTATTTTCACTCGGAGAACAGATGAGAGATAATCGGAGCTATAAAAGCGTATTGTTGCATATGCTCTCTGTCACTTTAATTGTTTCTAATTTTCTTGAATCACTTTCATGAAGATAACGATATGTGCATCCGTAGGATTCTGTGGTCTGATGAACCTACCTTTCTAGTTGAAGTTTATAGATGACACGAACAGTAAAATGACGAGGAAGAAACTGACGAGGAACTAGTTCTTGAACTCCAAAGAGTTTCTACAACACTGTCTTTTAGACTTCTCTAAAAGGGTGCTAAGACAGACTTTTGGCATCTAAACCAATGATTAGATGCAGCAAGCCTCTTCGAACTTTCCTATGTTCATACATCTCGCGAACAACTTTCCCGTCAGCGGTCCTACAGATTAATGCCAAAGCAAGCAGCGCATTGTATACATTTGCTGTTTTCCTTTCTAGTGGCCATTGAAACACGTACATGTAACGTCCAGCAGAAATACCTGCTCGTTGTCTCACCGAAGTAAAAATTCGTAGAGAAAGCCAATGGGCCAACAAGGGCTCACGTGTGCCCAAGTATTGTCAACTGCAGATTCTGATCGTGAAGTTCCAGTTTAATCCTGCTTTGCGAAGCCAGCCTCGCTATCAAGGAGATTGGGCATGCGCCGCAGCTTGTATGTCGCTCCGTACACTGCAACACCAGCCACAACGGCTACCATAGCCAATGTGGCAAAATACTGCGTGTAGCTCACAGGCACGCTGTGGAACGGAAGCTTGTAGTAGCCATCGCCGTACGGCAAGCCTTCTTGCTCCACTGCACCATAATTCCGGACATTGTCCATCCACCGCACCGCCACTTGCAACGTAAGAGGATCACCAATGACCGTGCGGATAGCTCTTGTACCCGAGGACCACGCAACAGCACTCACCACACTCTGGTGAGCCGGGTCACGGCTGTGCGGCGTCACCACAATCATGTTCATTCTGGTATCAACGTCCATGTGTGAGTCGTGCACCTCGCCACGCAAATTGAACGTGAGCGGGATATACGCGCCGCCTTGCTCCACTGAGTGTGCCGCCGAACTGAGCGGGATACGACAGCTCCATGGAGCATCCTCGTGAACGTACAACTGGAACATATGGTAGAGCTCGTCGGAAAGGTCAAAAGTGCAGTTCACGTCTTCCAGAACACCGTAGCGAAACGCAAGTGGTTTTCCTGTCTCCTTGCATGTCGGGAAAGACGTATGGACGATCCGTCCGCCGGAATCAAACTTGTGTTCTCCGGTGTCAATGTTGCGGGCTATACAGTCAATGAAAACGTCCTGGCCGCGCACATACGGCTCAATTTGGGGAACCTCTCCCTTTTGGTTTAGAGGATACCATTGTAACGCCAGCACGGCGCTGAAAAGAGAAAGCAGACTAAGAAAAAGCTTCATGAAGATAATGTCCACGTCTCTCTTTTGGTCAAGTGTCCTAAGCCTTGACCGCGCAGTGGGTTGTATGCAGTAGGTGACCCTAGGTAACTGCATGCGTCTGCGTCGCTAAACGTCATTTGGACAGGCGCCGTTTTTTCCTCCTTCTCTCATGTTATTGGCCATGGCAGTGTTGTTCCTGACTTTTAGCTTAGGTCTGCAGTCAGTGTCTAATTAGCAATTGTGTATTGCCTTAGTGCTTAATGTAACAATCGGCGCATCTTTGTCGTTTTATTCATGATGACGTTGAGACAAAGGGATTTGTTATTCTGTAATTTGTGACTCTCTCAAAGCCTAGATGTCGAATGAAATTTTTGGCTCACTGAATATTTCACTAACGCTTCCAAGGACAGACCAAGAAAGAACAATGCCTTTGATCTAGATAGTTTTGGTCACCGGTCTTAAAGCAACAAGTGGGCGCCTTTCAACAGATTGAGAGGAGATTTTTCAGACTAGCTTTCATACAAAATTCTCGCTCAATGTGCTTTTTAAAATGACACCGAAATGATGGCTTTCCTTCCAGGCTGAGAATGTCAGAATGGCTGAGTGATTATCCACATCATCCAATGTTTGGAGCGAAACAATGTCCATCCAATCTTTTCTTGTTCATTGAAAATCAATCAGATTAGGGGCCGACTGTCAAGACTCTCCCTTGTAGCACAGTTAATCTGTAGGTTTACGCAGAGATGCTCATCTGTATTGCAATGCAGTCTTCGCTCAATACTCTCTAAACATCAACCAGTAGACCTACATTATCCTTGTGTGCACCAGCCCATCTGGACGAAAAACTCAAAGATTTTCGATGCTTTGTTGACGTCGATCTTCAAGAACAGACGAGCATCTTTTTTCCGCAAGACGCCATTGTTTTTGACTGCCTCTTTCATAAGCTGGCTCTTGATAGCCAAGTACGGTTTGGGCAAGATGCGGAGTGTGGCACACAACTGTTTCTCTTCTGGCAGAAGAAGCTCGAAATCTGTAGCTCCCGCAATGTCGAGTGGAGCTCTCGCATTGCTAGTGTTGATTTTGGGCCGGTACTCGGGCGTACTGGTTTTCCTGGCCGCCACGGCCATCTGGGCCGCCGCGTGTCTAGCGGCAAGCCCTGCGCCGTTGCCTACACGTTGGTAGTGGGCTTGTCTAATGAGCTTGTCCTTCTCGAACTTGGCGCCGTCTTCCAAAGTGGTGATGCCGTTCCTGCGCCAGTTTTGGAGCTGCTGGATCCGCATGCGGCACCGGAGCTCAGTAAGCTGGTCAGCAGTAAACTCAGCAAAATCCTTCGGAGTCATGATCCGTACAAATGCATTGATGCGGCGCAAGTGCTCCTTTTCTTCCTTGGACTTGCGTTTGTCCAAGGCAATGTTCTTGCGGTAATCAAGCAAGCCGTTGGCGATCAAAATGCGTTTCCGCTCTGCTCGCGTGGTCAACCGCGAGTTGTAGATGTCCAACACGGTCAACTTGAGCTCGATGTCGCCAGCCAGGTCTTCTGGGTCGAAAAGCATATCCTTCACAGGCACTTCTGCATCGTTCTCGGCTTCGTGGTCAAACTCAAGCCGTCCGGGCATATAGCCCTGGATCTCGTGGCAAAGTGGCACAGACGCCGATGGTTTTGCCTTTGGAGGAGGAAGCGGCCCATTCTTGCGCTCCTCGAGCCGGGCCTTGCGCTCTTGCAAAAACTGCGGCGCCAGCACATCGCTGAAGTCCTTGTCCATCTCGGGCAATGGGTACTCGCGCGACTCAAGATAGATGGTGTTGTAATGTTCCGCCACTTCTTCTTTGGAGCGATTGCCAATGTGGTCGGCCACGTCCTGCCAGTTGCCCAACCCAAAAGTCTCGCATCCCTGGATAAGAAGCAATTCCTCGTCCGCACCCCAGTTGCGGTCGAAGATTGGATAGGTGTTTTGCTCTATGATTTGGTAATCGTGCCACGGCTTGTGGTCGAGCGTCGACGAGCCCGACGCGAAACACGGGACACATAGATCATAATCGGTGCAGATGGCGCACTTGATTCGGGTCCGGTTTGTACAGTCCGACGAACAGACGTCGCAGTGGTAGAGACGGCCTTTTTCCATGGTGGTGGAGCTAGTCATGTGATTGTTGATGGAGTAGGTGAATGTCGATGGGAGTATGCAGGTCGCTTCATATTACTGAACGGGTGGGTGTAAATGTTGACTATGGCTTTTGGATTCGTGGCTGGATATTCTTCTGTTTAGCTTTCTTTCCCTCTTGAGTTTGTCCTTTTTTAAGGCTTGGATGTTCGAATATTGTTCTGGCCTTTTCGCTTCTATTGTTCAGATATCGCCAGAATTGCAAACTTCGCGGACTGAAATTACATTACTGTAGAATCCCCATGTATTAGACAAATGGTCTCTATGTTTAATTTCTTGCAGTAGACATGAGCGGAAATCACCAATTTATGTATCTATTTGGGGGGGTGTTCCGAAGTTAATCTCTCGCAGGAAGTCATGTATGTACACTTTTGGTGGACCGGTCGAATACACAAAAAAGCATGGTTTTTCGCCAGCATAGTATTCTAACCGATTTCACTTGATCCTCATAGAGGTTAATTCTTGGTTTGCTGGCATTTATGGATTTCTCTTTCTTTCCTTTCCGACCTTGTTATCAGGCAAAGATCAGCCGATTCATGTAGGTCCAACATTTAGACTTTCTTGTGCATAGCCCAAATTGGATAAGCGGACACTTTATGGGAATCGAACAACTCCATTGGCTAGCACCATAAAACAGTATTTACAATATTCATTGAGAGAAGAGTTAAAAAAAGAGAGATATCAAACATCTTGCCTAACTTATTTAGTCGCTTTCGTGAATCAGTTTTCAGACAGTCTTCTGCTAAATAGCTATATGTCACCCGACTTCATGGCCAATAATGGAACATACAACCATTTCGACAAAGTCGATGAACTTGATATGGACTTGACTTTTATATCGATTGCCGCAACGAGTATACTTAACCTTCATATCCAATGCCGCAACGAGTATACAAAATGTCGGTGCGAATCTAGAATAGTAGTACTTCTATCATCTGGGAACTAAACTCTAAGTTCCAGCTACGTAGTTGTAGAAAACCCAAGTCGAATTTATCATTCCAACTAAGCACCAAAGAGTCTTTCAACTTAATCTCCTAAACTCAATCAGCTTAGGATTGGCTGGTAAGCCGTGGTGTACAGATGTGCAAAAACACAGTCACATACTCACGTGCCGTGATCCGGTGGGATTGTCCTGCAGATTCCGCGCTCGAAAATTTTGCGCCCTCTGTTAGGTATTTTTCATCTCACTCTCCCTTTTAGAACTCTTCCATCTACAAAAAACAGTAATCATCAAAAATGGTATGTCGACACAAAATGAAATAGCAGGACCCCTCAGAACTTATCCACATTATTATCCAATCCCATCGTTATAGACCGAAACCGTTTTCCCGATACTTTTCCCATGCCATCATTTCCACCCATATCATATTTCTATTTTGAAGGGTCTGCTCCCAGGAGATACAAGTACTAACTATTATAGGGTCGTGTTAGAACTAAGACTGTCAAGAGAGCCTCTAAGGTTTTGATCGAAAGATTCTACCCAAAGTTGACTTTGGACTTTGAGACCAACAAGAGATTGACCTCTGAGATTGCTGAGATCCAATCCAAGAGACTCAGAAACAAGATTGCTGGTTACACCACCCACTTGATGAAGAGAATTCAAAAGGGTCCAGTTAGAGGTATTTCTTTCAAGTTGCAAGAAGAGGAGCGTGAGAGAAAGGACCAATACGTTCCAGAGGTTTCCGCTTTGGACTTGTCTCACACCAACGGCCATTTGGAGGTCGATGCTGAGACTGAAGACTTGGTCAAGTCTTTGGGTTTCAAGATTCCTTTGCAAACTGTTGCCATTTCTTCTCAAAGAGGTCCAAGAAGATTTGCCAAGAGAAACTAAGCGTCTTCAACCTGTGCCAGTTGCATGGCTTGCACACATAATATATAAATGTAATGTATATTGCCGATAGAGAGTGTAGAGTCTAGCATTGGGAGTTGTGTTCGGATGTTTCATCCATTGAATGGGTGATGAAATCTAATCGGGCCTATAGGAAGATTATAATAGCCTACAGTATTCGAAGATTGTGAGTTCAAAACTGAAGTGGAATCATTGTCTTGAACTCCATTGTCTTATACTGACACGACGGTGTTGCGTTTTCGAACCTTGTTCAGAGGACTCTGTGAAGGTATTGAGTCAAATCTTCGAAGACACATAGCACGTTTGTACTTCTTACATATCGATACGGGTATATGACCACTAGGTACATTGGTACACAGTAAATCATAACATTACCTATACAATTCAATTCAAAGTGCTTTCTTGTATGTACATGTTAGTCCAGGATGATTTTCAATCTGTACTACCGGACGATGTCTCCATGTCTTAGTACCGCTTTCTACATGCTGTAATCTCTTCTTGAATTGCTCTTCATATTTATGAAAGCCAGCTCCTAACATTTCCCTTGTTAAGTCTCTACGCCTCACCCAAAGGCCCTTCAGTATCGCTGTAGTAATCGTCCTCATCATCGCTCACTAACATCGAAGCATCAAAATAAAGAGACGGGTCAAGGGCAGAAATATTGGCTGATTTCGCTTTACCATCCAATAACAACTCGCTCATGACCTTTCCACTTCCTGGAGCATTGTTGATCCCCCAGCACGAATGACCTGAGCACAAAAATAAGTTCTCCACGTTTGTCTCACCTATCAAAGGTCCACTTGAAGATGGAACATCCAAAACAGGCAAGTAGCACGCCTGGCGCTTCAAGATACGGCCCTTGCGTAACAAAGGCGACATGCGGCCCACTTGCCGGAAAAGCTCATCACACTTGGACTTCACAACCTCAACATCGTCAGTTGTCTCTGGCACGTCGACCGCCAGATCGCCTTCGCCACAGACGAAAACCTCGTCCTTTCTTGCGTAAATCTCGGGGGATGTATATGAGTAAGGCCCGGTCTTGAATTCGGTGAAAATGGCATACGGCGACACATTTTGGTCATTGTGTGGAGCAATGGTGATGGAATGAGCACGCAAGCCCAGAATTGGGCAATCGGGAAGAATCTTGGAGGTCCAAGGCCCAACGGCAAGCACAATCTGGTCGCCCTTTAATGTAACGTTGCGCTTCTCTGTCTGTGCCTGGGTAGTTTTGACACTGGTGGGCTCGTATGTGATACCTGTGGCTACACCAGTGTCCATCAGGTACAAAATGCGGCTGACTTTGCCCAAAATCAACTCAATGGCATCACCAGCCTCCTCCACGGCCTTTTTCAAAATGAAATTCGTGAACCGGTAAGGTTGCACCTGTGCCGTTGTGTCTTTCCCTCCCAATGACAGACACAGGGTGATGTTTTCCTCTGTGATCCAGTTCAAGTCGGGGGGGAGCTTTCTGGTATCTAGCGTCTTAGTCGCTGTGGAGGTCTTTTTGGGAGGAGCAGGGCGGCCGGTGCCCGATTCGTGCAGATGCGTCGAGTCGCCGTCGGAGTCGTGTTCGCCCTGCTCGCTCACATGGCTAATGTCACCCTCTAGAGAAACGGTGGTGAGTCTTCTATAGTCCCATTCCGTTTCACCGTCGTACAAGTCTGAAAGCTCCTGGTGCAACTGGAACGAAAGAGGCACCAACTGCTGTGGGAACGCCCAAAGAGCCAAAAGCCCGCCGGCCTTTCCGCTAGCGCCACCAGCCACTCTCTTGCTCTCAACTATAGAGATGTGGTACTTTGCCGGATCAAACTTGGGGTGCTTGACAAGATAGTAGGCGGTACAGATCCCTATGATGCCCGCGCCAACAATGATAATGTGTTTTTTGCCCTCATGGCGGCCCGAAGGCTCGCTTCGGAAGGTCAAGTATTCGGACATGGAAATTAATTCTGTTTTTGCAGATGCAGAGCGGCAAGAGGGAACTCAGAGCTTAGAAATTGCGGGGCTCTACGCCTATTTGTAAATTTGAATAGTAGTGGCCAGTGCTGGAGCCAGGAAAATAAAAGCAAAAAGATGGTGGAGATTGGAGGATTCAAGACAATGGCTTGTGTACTCCGGTATGTATGCAGTACCATGCTCTTTGAAGGTTTTCTACATTGGTCAACGCAATAGGGGTAAAACCCAGCGGTGCTTTTAAGTCTGGACCGCTGATGGGGTGGGATAGAGAACCATTTAGTCTCTTGAATTAGCTTTTCTTATTGAACGCTCATAATTTGTCACCAATACGCTGGTTCTGGTCAGGCGAGACAAAAAAAAAACAGGTGATTTTCTGCCAGCGTGCAGTGACGCACTTTTTTTTTTTTTTTCTTTTCCTGCAATCCCACAGTAGACAACAGGCGAAAACACCGTGCTTCAGGGCTATTTTTGAGAAAGAATGGCGGTGACACAAGGAAGCGGCGAAGGGAAAGAAAACAAAGATCTTGAACGTTATGCTGCTTGGCATTAATAATCTCATGCAAAGACGTTTTCGTGCAGATGCACGTTGGTCGGTATGCGCCGCTCATGCCATATCGCGTAACCGCAGGACAAATTTCTGGTTTCATCAGTACCTCCGCGCGCGCATGAATAAATGCAAGAACGCGAGTGGGCCGGACAGTAATATTCTATGTACAGGTGCAGTTGTGTTCCTTGCATGACATTATGCGTGGAAAATACGTACCATAAGACATTGAAAATTGTTCACCAACAAAGATTGTGCTTAGCCACAAGACCCAAAAAGAACAGCAACCCAGCCCAAGTCTGATTTCACGCCTACGTTAGCCTGGATGAACCCTTCCTTTGCTTCTGGTGAGATATCTGTTTGGATTTTGGAGCCTCACGCAAGGAGTACGCCTCGCTTGGCATGTTGTTGTCATGTCATATGTTCGACTGAGCATGCAATCACTTGTGTCAAAACATGCATGCCGCTCGTATGTCTACCGGACATGCAAGGGTTATCTTGATAGGTATGCGAGATGCTGTCTAATTCTGTCATGGCGATGATGTCATAGAGTTGATAGACTCTTACGCTAATACTGATAAAGAAATTGGAGATTCAAGCCCCTACAAGCAGCTACCAAGCTTACAACAAACATGTCAACGCGTGTTTTATTACTATATCCTCAATCCTGGTGTGTCTTTTTAAATTTCGAAGCAAGCCACAGCCCGAACGATAGAGCTTTGACAACAAAAAGGGAAATCACCATCAATGCGATTGTCGAAACGAGCTTCTCGTTTTTCTTCCACAATTCGTAGTTGAAAAAGTGCACCTCGTCGCGTTTGCGCCGGTCCAAATAGATCTTCATGGGATCGCCTCGTTCATTCCAAAAAGGTTCCACTTCACTGTACATGTAGTTGTTTCTTTCAACTTCTTGTTCACGCAGAGGGCTGTGGAGCAAGCTGTAGAATATTTCAAACATTTCTGGTGACTCGTCCAACATTATTTGTGGTATGGGATGCACAGGCGACATTTCGCTCAGCAGAATGATAATGGTATAGTGAGGCGAAGGTGCCTTGCGTAGGATCTTCCGGATAAGATCATCACTCTGCTTGATCGCCTCCGCCCGCTGCTCCTTGTTTTGTGGTAGAGGGTTCATATCCACACGAACGACCCGTTTTCTTGTGTCGATGTATTGCGCCACTTCATCCTCGCTGTAGAACACATTGACGGCCTCAGCTTTGCATGTTTTCACAATGTACTTCTCCAAGTATTGCAAGTCAAGCGGACCCTCGACCCACGGAAGTCCAACGACAGTAGATGCCATGTGTATGTATTTGATTAAATGGGGCCAAACCTGCTCCTTTGTGTCCAACATGTCACTGTTGGCAAGGCCAGGAATGTTCACCAAAAGGTATATGTCACTGGAACACTCTGTCACAAGCTTTTTGATCATGTTGTTGACGTTTTGGGGGTCTTGCGTTTTGGTGAAGGGCTCTTCGATTTCCAGCGTCAAGCCACGTACTAGTTTGTGGGACATGACAAGGGCTGGTGCAGAAGATGCGTTTACCAAAGCAGCAAAGGCCGCTAGTAATAGAAGGATTTTCATAGTGCAGCTGAGTTTCTTGAGGTATTCTGCAATTGGGGTATGCTATATACTAATCCTGTGGATGAGGTGTGCATGTTGGTGCGATCGATATAAAGACAAGTATACCTATGATGGAGAACTGGGAAATCAAAAATCAAAGGTGAACTTACAAATGGGTCGTAGAAGCATGCTAATGAATTGAAATTGGCGTGTATTGGTATCTGTATCATGAAAAATTCGGTCAGCTTGATTACCATAGCCACGGTTTGCATCTTGCCAAGCAAATAAAGAAATTCTGTACGATTCTAGGAAATATTATAGGTTTACGTTCCGTTGCTATGGCTTACAATATCGACTATAAGATAACTCGCGTACTTCAGTCTATTATGTACGAAAAGCAGGGCTGTCTAGTCGCATTCAACGCTAGAGTCGATGGCCACGTAGTGATCGAAAAAGCCTTGGAACAAACTACTCAACCGAGCAATATCATGCGAGCCACCAGTCTCCCGAATCAGGTGCATGGACAACTGTGGATTACCCAAGTCAAGAGTGCGGAGACCCAACTTGGCCGAAAGCATTGGCCCAATAGTAGATCCACATGGTGAGTCGTTTCTAACAACAAACAATTGCAACGGAACCTGAGCTTTTTGGGCCACAGCCTTGATCAACACAAGTCCACGCGAGTTGGTGGCATAGCGCTGATTGGCATTGATTTTGATCACTGGACCCTTATTGACCTCTGGCCGGTTTTCCAGCTCGTAGAAGCGACCATAATTGGGGTGAACACCGTGTGCCTGGTCAGACGAGAGCAAAAACGAACGGCTGCACATTCTGACCAAGGCACCAGGTTCGGAGTCTGCAAGACGAGTCAATACGTCTGGCAAGAAGGAAGAGTCGGCACCTTGTGCTGAAACCGAGCCGATTTCCTCGTGATCAAAGAGAGAGATCATCAGAACACCTTCTGGTGCAGGTTTCGAGGCAATAATACCTTCGGCAGCGCAGAAGCATGAGGTCAAGTTGTCCAAGCGAGGAGCAAAAATGAACTCCTCATTCATGCCTCCAAGCGTTGCCGGCTGGTGGTCGCAGAGAACCAATTCGAAGTCTTCAATGTCCATTGGATCCACGCCCAAGTCCGATGCTATAAGAGCAATAAGGGACTTGTTGTGGCGACGTACAACATGTTGCACAGCTTCGAACTCTGGCTCTGTGAGTTGCAACTTAGGGTCTGTGCTGCATGTATGCTGTTGGCCCGCAATGGGCACCATTTCGGTTTCTCTGTTGAACTCGAACTTGGTATTGACGTCACGGTTCAAGTGGATGGCCAATGTAGGCACACGCATCAATGGCTTATTCAAGTGGAGAAGCCTTGGAATAAACTGGCCCTCAGGTCCTTTTACGTACACACGGCCAGCCACGCTCAAGTCACGATCAAACCACAGGTGCGCAATGAGACCACCGTACTGTTCAACGCCCACTTGATCGAAACCTTCAGATGTCTTTTTCGAAATGGGTTTAATACGAAGGCAAGGCAGGTCAGTATGTGCACCCACAATGGCCACAGGACCTCCAGCATGGAATTTTTCGCCCACACGGAACGCAATAAGGGACAGTCCGTTACGTGTAACCACGTAGCTGTGACCTGGCTGAACGTTCCAGATATCCTTTTCCTTAAGCACTTCAAAGCCTTGAGAAACTAGCTTTTCTTTGATATTAGCTACAGCATGATATGGCGATGGCGACTTGCTGATGAAGTCAACAAATCTTTCGGCGGCGTTCTTGGTGACTGTGTCCATTGCTTGTGGAGGAAAGAAGTGAAATCCCGTCTGACTTTGAAACATGCAGTGCCACACGTAGATACGGCACTGGGTGTGTGCAGGTTGAAAAGGCCAGAGAATCAACTAGTGTATTGCAAAATAGAAAGATGGCAAACATTTGATGATCATCCTTGTCCCATTTATAGATATCTGTTGACGTTGATGAACTCAAGGTATTGTCTGTGAAACATGTACTTAGATACGATCAATTGTACATAAAGAACCCATGACATCATTGAGGTACCCTTAGGTGAATCAACGTCATATTAATAAAAACAAAACGGTGAGAATAATTTTGTGTCCATACGAGAATCTAATGGCCCATCTTGTCTTAACTGCCTGTTACCCTCGGTAGTTTTATTGCTTGATACCACAGAAATACCCGAACAAAGCCAGAGCCGTGTACACATCGAATTATCTCGTGCGGTTCTTAAGATACGTGATGATTTCCCATACGTAAGCGTCTTAGCAATTTCAGTTTCAATCCCCTGTGGAAGATTCTCCGCGTTCCCAGCTTCAAATGGATAGCTTTGCGTCTGCTCCACAGTACCGTAAGCCACTGACGTCCTTTTAAGCTTTCACTGTAGTCATATCCTCCCGAAACTTCTAACCACATAAGAAAACCTGTTTCTATTAAGCCCTCATTCTCTATCTGTTCTTCCTCTATATTTTGGATTCCTCTATCTGTTCTTTCGGGCCGCCTTGGCTTCTAGATCCTCCTAATTCATCTTCTCAATCAGTAAGGTTCGAGAACGTCGGCAAAAAACTCATCCGGATTGAATTCAGGAGCTGGCGCCGGTGGCCCTTGGCCTGCACGTCTCTCTGCTGCGGCTACTTCCTGCTCTAGCTCCGCCCGCCGTGCCTGCTGTCGTTCTACAACCTTCTTCAAGTGACGGATATAGTCGACCGAAGTCTGAAGAATGGCAGCTTTGTTGGGCTTTGCCTCCTTGACTTTGGCAGCGGCAAGCAACTCCTGAATGTCTGGCGATTGTACAGCACGTTTCTGCATCGCCTGCACCGCACAGACCTGCGGCGTAAGCAACAGTGGCGGCACAAGAACACCCAACTCTTTGATTTTCTCTTTGATTAAATCACGGCGTCGGCGCTCGACGGCGTTGTGGAATTCTCGCCTCCTCCGGGCTTTTTCTTCTGGGGTTAGGTTGGCACCCACTGAGGACGATGTAGGCTCGGCTGGAGCAGAAGATTGAGTGGAGTTGTTGTTTGTGTTGTTGTTTGTGTTGGGCAAATTGAACTGTGGCGGCGAATTGACCGAGCCGGAGTATGGCAGGCGCAACGTGTCTTCAGGCGGCGACACGAAAGCACGGGGCGAAAGAAAGCCTGCGCTGCTTCTGCGCGAGTTGTTCTCGGCAATGGCATTGAGCGGGAACAGCCTTTGCGGAGAAAAGTACTGGGGCGACACAAACACGTCTCGTGCGTCCGGAGAAACCAACTGGTCCAAGGAGTTTTCCCCTAGAGCAGCGTCGAGTGGCGCAGACCCAAATGAATCTAATTGCGAGTCCAATTGGGCCGAGCCGATGTTGTTGGGCCCGAACTGCGACCCGAAATCCGGGAATGTGGGCGACACGCCTAACTCTGCTCCTGTGGTATAACCTCCTCCGGTAGAAAGGCCTCCTCCTGTGTTGTAACCTCCGTCTGTGTTGAAGGCCCCGCCTGTGTTGAAGTCGCCGCCTGTAGTGAAATCTCCCCCTGTAGTGAAATCTCCGCCGGCGGGAGACCCGAGGAATTCGAGCGGGTCGACATATGGTGCTTGGTCTGAGACTTCGGCTTGTGCTGTTTCGAAGTCAAAGGGTCCCAATTGTGACGAAAGCGGCCGGTTTTTCTTCTCGGCCACACGTGCATCCTCCGGAATGCTTTCGTCGAAGGGACTGTCTCTCAAAAAATCCTCCATGTTTATGTGGAACACAGGGTATAGTTTGCGAATTAGTCGGGTAAAACTAAAGTGAATTTAACCCAGCGGAGGTACTGATGCGGAAAGCTCTGGAAACAAACAAAGACTGGCTATCTTTATGGGGAATATGATTCTTCTAGTTGCGACACGTGTCTCAATGGTTCCAGGTTCGCAGGTGGAATATAAGTTTGTATTGGTCAAATCTATGGATTATGGTGTTCGTAGCCTTAGCTGTGGGGCTGGTGCGCGCACGACCTTGATAAGGTTCTAGTCCACAAAAACCGACTTCGGAGTGTGGTGTAAGGCCGAAGGCTTGACACGACGGTGTTGTTTACGTTGATGACTACGTCTTTTGAGTCGGGTATTTTGTTAGCTCTATTTATATGCTATTGGAATGTGGCCCGTAGGTTTCGCGCAAGAATAGTAGGCCGAACCATTGCATCTAATGGCTAGAAATTAGAGCACATATAGCCTCACAACAGGGAAACCAGTAGAATACAATATACTGACGTTGAAAAATACCCATGACCAAGGCCAATTAATGTAGGCAAGAAAGATTTAATTCCAAGAGCGTTGCCCATATGCATCACTTCTAATTCGGATGGTAGACATTATGAAAGTTGCAATAGTCTAAGGCGTCTTCCGCTTGTTCACCAACTTCTTTTTAACGTGTTTCTTCATTTTCGTTTTCCGTTTCTCGGCCTTGGCCGCTTTGGCCTCGCTCTTGCGCAATTTCTTGCTTTCCTTGTCCTCGTGCTTCTTCCCCTTCAAAACCAGATCTCTCTCAACCCATTCTTTGGCAGGTTTTTCGTCTTCGCTTTCTTCGTCGCTCCCGGAATCATCGCTCAGTTCTTCCGATGACTCTTCCTCCGAATCCGTCTCTTGTTGCTCTCCTTGCACCACGAGATCCGTGAGTGTGTCAACTTTTCCCTCTGCAAACTTCTCAAAGTCCCTCTCTTCCAAATGGTTAAGCGACCTAACCAAATGCAACGACCGGAAAACCTCGTCTTCCAAATTAGACTCGTCAAGCTCACTTTTCAAAGGTAGGGCCTCCAAATACTTACCCAACAGCTCGTCACTATCGTCGGTTAAGCCAAGATTGTAGTTGTTTTCTGTGATGTACTTAAAGAGCAACCTTTCAGGGTAGACATTGATGTTCTTGCGTGAGAAAAAATCGTTGACATTCTTGATGTCCATCCGTAAAAAATCGAGTGCCATAGGATGCTCTGGTTCCACAGATTGAGACACATCAATAATGTATAACTTGTCCTGGTGAACAATGGAGTTGTACTCACTCAAGTCCGCATGCACGAGTCGACATGTCTGGTACATTCTTCTCATGTAGAACAACATTTGCTGGTAGTAATGCACAATTTCATTGATGTCCTTGAAAGGGTGGTCTCTCAATTTTGGTGAAGGCTGGGCGTTTCCCTTTGTCAAATATTCCATCACCAAAACATGGGATCTGAGTTCGACGGGCTCTGGGCATGGGATACCGTTCATGTACAATCTTTTCAAGTTACGGAACTCTTTTTCGGCCCACACCTTGACCATTTTTCTCGGATTGCTCTGGTTCTTGGTATTGCGGAACCGGAATTCTCCATCCACGTACCGTTCTCTGTCTTTGAACACCAAAATCGATGTCTTGTAGATTTTCACCGCATACTCTCTGGTGGAGATTGCAGGGTCTTCATGGTCGCCATGATACACATTCGCTTCTTTGCCTGTGCTGATGCATCCATTGATGCGCGAGATGATGCCTTTATTGATGATCTTGGCAAGAAAACGCATGGTCCGCGGGTCCAAGACTTGTTCCACTGTGGCACGATTTGATCTATCTCTGGTGGTCTTGGGACCTTTCTTCATGGGCTCCACATTGATAAAGGTGGAGTATTTTTCCACAATCTCACCTCTGTCTGTAATGGTTTTACTTTTGGGCGCTTGCGACTCGCTGTCGCTGGAATCACTGTCCGAAGAGGACGAAAGATTAAGCTTATCCATCTTCAACTCCATTTTTTTTTCGGTCTCCATTTGGTCCGGTTTTTTTAGCTCGCTCTCCATTTTCTAGTTTTTGCACAGTTGGTGATGAGATGGGCCAAGTGCGACTAACTTGTATTGTATACGGACTAGAAGCGGATTCACGCTGAATCTCAGCATACTCTCTTTCCGAAAGCAGACACAGTACTACAATGCCAATGCGTATCTTGGACAATTTTCTCCCCTACGTATGTTAACAGTGCTTTACGTGAGCATGTTTCAATTCACATATATCGTATCGACCCATTTTAAGCGGGACACTAACATGATAGCGGTTTTTCTGGTTCATCCCCATATACATCGGTGTGGAACTTATCCTCGCCATTTCCATTCTCAACAAGGCTGGAGGTGCCTACGGTCTTTTGTCTCTCTTGACGGGACATCACATGAACTTTTTCCAGTGGCTATATAACTTGTTGGCAGTCTCAATGCTTCCGTTTTACATTTCGACACTCATCAACATGCTGAACAGAGCTTGTAATGTCCGAAAAGTGTGCTTATCTTGCTCCATATACGTGTGGGACACTGTTGTCGGATTGTTTTTCACTGCCTACTTTGTTTACTTTTGGTTCAGCAGAGAGGATAATGCACCGGGTTCGTACGGCTCAGCGGAGCCCCTGCCTAAACCAACCTATGACTACTTGAACGTTCGTTCCTACCAGGATACGTCCCAATCTGCATCTCCGTCAAGAGAATTGTTTCTTACTGTTAGCGGGACCCTAGTGACCACGGCTTTCCGCCTTTACTTTTGCTTGGTTTTCCTTTCGTACACCAAGCAGCTTTTGAGACAATCACAGTTGCACCAGAAAACACACGGCATGCAGAGTGTAGATGAAGAAGTGTTTCATCCAACCAATTTGGGTGGCCGGGTGAAAAAATTGGTCTACGACCTTGAAACGAGAGCAAAATTGTTTATGACAGACCTTCTTGTCTAAGGATGTTGCATATCTTGTAATCTTATATCGTGTGTGTATGCGTTACTAAAATAGCGTGTTTTGATTTTTTTGTAGGGTGTTTCAGGTTTCAGTCTATGCTGTGTTGCGATCAAGTATTTATCAATCGGTAGTCTTTTCTCACTTTTCCCCATTTCCGCACATATCCTGAGAAAGACAAGACTATTCAACATAAACGTTGTGACCGATTCTCTTCGTTATTGTCCTCTATCTGTCATAAACTGATTCATTGAAGCGTTTGATTTCCCCTGTTATTTTTCTCTCTCTTCCGCTCTTCAAATTTCTTGCTTTGCCATTGTCAAATAGTTCAACTGCATTGGAAACCCACACTCATGACAAGATGGGCCAAAACGCCAGCGCAACCAAAACTCAGGCTACTTACAAACAAACGTTGCCAAAGAGCCGGATCAAAGAACTTTTTCAAACAAGAGCTTTGCAAACTCTAAGCGCGAGAGAGTTGGCTCTGATTGCTTCCAAACTCAATATCGCCTCTTTCAACGATTCACATGTGGTAACTTTGACAGATCTAGCCTATCTCCTTCAACTAAGTAACGATAAGGAAAAGAATGTACTGTCAATCCATGAAGATTTTGCTTGCGTTGTTCGTATCCTCTACGATTCCTTGACTATTTTGGGTAATCTACCATTCTTGGGGGACAGTCTTGAAGCTGATGACAACAGCCAGCTTACTCTTAAAAGTTTGATCGTTGCTTCCGCTGTACACACGGGTAGAATCAATTCGTTCTGGAATGATGCGGAATACCTAAAATTGCTATTCATCTCCTTATCATTTCCACCCACGAAACAGTCTTCAGAAAAAGCTGCTGAAAAATGGGAGCAGGTCAACGAAGACTCTGCCGAGCTATCTTTTCGTACGGTTCCAGATGAGAAAGACTCTTCTGCCCAAATTGCTTTGAAAATCAAATGGGCTGACTTTGAGCATCTAACTACGTATGACGATTTGGATGTGGAATGTTTACGAGTGCCTGCCGACAATATGGTGAAGTTAATCACACTTCTCCTACTTGTACGATCAGTACGGTTACAGTCTCACGATAAAATGCAATTTCTTCTTCAAGAAAGAATAGAAAAGTGCTGGAACAAATTTGAAGGTGCGGCTCTTTCACTTGTTCGTTTTATGAACGTTGATGTGAATGCTCTGAATATGAATTCTAAATGCATCACCTACGAGCAGTTCAACTCGGGAGTTGTTAATGGCTTTCTCAATCTTTTTACAGATGTGTTTAGGCGCTTGTTTGAGAATGGCTTTTTGGGCCTGATCGTAGCGGATCCAAAGGCACCCCAACCCTTAAATGAAAACATAGAGGCCACAGCCACAGAGAAAGAGTCGAAGGCAGCAGCCGACAAAAAACAGGAGAGGATTAAAAAAGCATACAATTTCGAAGAAACACGACTTGTGAATGATGCATCGTTGGCTCTCATAGCAACAGCATTACAGGCGTCCGGGATTAATGAAGAAATTTCTCGAGAAACTGTCGTGGAGCTCTATAATGGAGCACACGCTGGCTTTTCCATCCGCTCGCTTGAGCTGAAAATTTTTAAGTGGCAGGCACCTACGATATTTCTTATTTCGGGAAAGCGCCTAAGAAGTAAGACAATCGCACAGAATAAGAGATATCAGCAGTTTGAAGACATGTTCCCCAGATTCTTCCGGTCAACGGAAAATCCAAGAAAAGCGTGGCAAACAGACTCAGACAAAATCACATACGCAGTTTACGTGGAAGAGCCTTGGCGAAACTCAAACAAATCGAATTTTGGAAACGAATTGACCACAATCGTCAACCTTCTGCCCAGATACGATATTTACACCAGCAAGCATGATCCTGTAATAAAAGGAATGCTGGTTTATTTCAACAACCTTGGAATGGGGATTGGCTTTGGCAATGATCAGCCGATAAACAAAAATAATGTCCGCCGCATTATTCCAGGCAAAGTATCACTCACTGTGGAGGCTAATTTGGAATTCGCCGTCTTCAGGCACATTTTCAATTCATCCGCAAACACTTCAGCATTCTTCAATTTCTCTCGACAGGAGGCTGCAAGAAATGAAGACTACGAGGATAGATTTATGATCACGGATTTGGAGGTTTGGGGCATAGGATCTACTAAAGAGTTGGAGGAGCAAAAAAAGCAATGGGAATGGGAAGAGAAGCAAGCGCAGGCGCGACAAAGCGTCAATGTCGGAACTCTACTGGAAGACCGAGCACTTCTCGAAATGGCTGGTCTTATAGGTAATCATGGATCAGGGGGATCCGTTTAAATAATTTTTTCGAGTAATGAAAATCATTCATCTTTTAGTTGTGGGTGCAAAAAAGAGGCATCGTTGGAACGCGACACCCGTACACCAGAGTGGAGAAGAGCATCTCGCAAAATTCCAACTATCTAGATATCTTCAAAAACAATTATGGGCAAGTCTGGCAAGAAAAGCGGAGCTTCTAAGCAAGATCCAAGATTTGCATCGGCTCTGTATGACCCGCGCTTTATACTCCCGAGCTTGAAAAAGAACAAAATCAAGGTCGATGAGCGTTTTTCCAAAGAAGAGTTGGCAAAGTTGAATGTCACGGCTACCGGAAAGAAGGTGAAGGTCGACAGATACGGAAGAAAGCTTAAAGAAAAGGACGAAGTGTACGATAAGTATTTTGAGGAGGAAAAAGATTCTGAGGCAGAAGAAGAGGAGAAGGCTACAACTGACTCTCAAAATGATGGAGAATCAGAATCTGGCAGCGAAGCTGACAGTGAGTCAGGGTCGGACTCAGAAAGCGAAGAATCCCAAGATGATGAAATGCCCCAAGTGGTCAAAAAGAAGGTAGAGCCAGAGGTATCTGAAGATTCAGAAGAAGAAGAGAGCGACGCAGAGACTTTTGTCGATAGAGCCAGAGGTGAGGGTTTGCAATCTGACTCTTCAGATGATTCAGACTCAGACTCGGACTCCGATCTGTTCAATCTTGACTCTGATGTGGAGATCGAAGAAGAAAAACCAGAAGAGGGCGATCCATCTGATACATTTGCTGTAGTCAACTTGGACTGGGACAATGTCAGAGCGGTGGATTTGATGGCCACGTTTGCTTCCTTTGTTCCTAAAGGCGGCTTGATCAAGTCCGTCACCATATACCCTTCCGAATACGGCAAACAACAAATGCAAAAAGAAGAAATTGAAGGTCCACCAAAGGACTTGTTCAAGAAGAAAAAGCAAGTGGAATCAGACTCCGACTCTGACGAAGAACTTGATCTTAAAAACCAAGAAGATTTGGAGAAAGCTGCCCGCAAATTGTACGAAGAGGATGACGGTGAAGAAGATTACGACTCCAAAGCTTTGCGTCGTTATCAGCTACAAAGATTAAGATACTACTATGCTGTGGTGCGTTGTGATTCGATCAGCACCGCGAAAAACATTTACGACAACTGTGACGGGTCTGAATACGAATCCACAGCTAACATTTTCGATTTGCGTTACGTCCCAGAAGGAATGGAGTTTGACGATAGCGAAGCAAAGGACGTTTGCACCAAAATCCCATCCTCTTACAGACCTGATTCAACCTTTGTAACCGATGCATTGCAGCACTCTAAAGTGAAGTTGACTTGGGACGAGACTCCAAAGGAAAGAATGACTTTGGCCTCAAGACTGTTTTCGCAGAAGGAAATCGACGATATGGACTTCAAGGCATATTTGGCTTCCGACAGCGATGGAAGCGAGGCAGAACAAGCATCCCTGTTGAAAGATAAGTACAAGAATTTGCTAGGAGGGAAGTTCTCTTTTGACAAGGGTGCCGACGACGAAGAAGATGACGTTGATATGGAAATCACATTTACTCCTGGTTTGGATCAAAACAAGCCACCAGAACCAGAAAAGGGACCTGAGGAAGAGTCTACTATTGATGCATACAAACGTAAAGAAAAGGAGAGACGTGCACGCAGAATGGAAAAGTTCAAGAACAAAGAGGCTGAAGAGAACGAAAACAAAGAAAAAGAAAAGGAAACGAAAAAGAGCAAGAAGGGAAAGAAAGGTAAGAAGTTGGATGAGCAAGATGAAAAGAGCAAAGCTGAATTGGAGTTGCTTATGTTGGATGAAAACAACGACGACGAGAATAATGCAGAGCATTTTAGCATGAGAGATATTGTCAAGGCTGAGAAGCAGAAAAACAGAAAGAACAAGAAGGGTAAGAAAAACTACGACAATGAGCTCGTGCAAAATGACTTCCAAGCCGACTTGAACGATCCACGTTTCAGAGAAGTTTTCGAAAGCCACGAATATGCTATTGACCCTACTAGCAGCGAGTTCAAAAAGACAGACACCATGAAGACAATCTTGAAGGAGAGATCGAAGAGACTGAGAAAAGATGAAAAACATGAAGAGAAGAAGCATAAGAAACAAAAGAAGTCTGAAGAACCTAGCATGCCATCATTGAACTCTTTGGTGGAGAAATTGAAGGGGAAGAGTAAGCATTGATTGTGTATAATGGGATAGATATAGAGTAAGAGAACTGCAAGTTACAGATTCAGAAGACAAATGTAGCCGAAAAATACGAGGCTCAAAAGCCAATACAAGGGTACCCAGACACCTAAATAACCGAGCGAACATTTCAAAAGTCGGCGTCTCTCCATACAAAATATTCACTAACCCATGTCATCAACAGTATAGCTCTGTTGTTTTCATATGTTTACATGTGGACCAAACTGATAGAATAAAATGATCAAATAACTTCTGATCGAGTGTTGTTAAGCATGATATATTAGCCTTATGATCTGGACAGTGTAACGTATGAAACCAGAGCAATCCTTTGCGAAGTCTGCGCCAAAACTTTTTCAATTCTTGGTTTGTCAATCAATTTTATCCCCAACCATCGAAAAATTAGCAAGCTAAACTTTTCCGACGATGGCCCGACACGTAGATCCAAGTAGTGCATACAAACCCCAAGTGTCGTTGTACGCGTTGATGATTTTTCTCTCCAGTGTCTTTCTTTCAACAACAATGAGAGCGTTTTTCGTTGCTACACTTTTGTTCTGTTACGTGCAAGCTTTGCACTTCTACTTGAAAACAGGCGAGATCAGATGTTTCTACGAAGACTTGCAGGTCGACACGTTGGTTGTCGGTAAAATCGACGCATACGATTTTGACGAACAAACCAACGAGTACTTCAAGAGCAACAAGTTGAAGGTCAGAATTACCGTTGACGAGACATTTGACAACGATGACAGAGTTGTGGACCAGGCCTCCAAGCCCAGCGGCGACTTCACCTTCACGTCGTTCGCTTCGGGCGAGCACAAGTTCTGCTTGTCGCCCATTTACACGGAAAAGAGCCCAGAGAACAAGCACAGAATCTTCTTTGACATTGCGTTTGGCTCTGCCGACGACTACGTCGACTCCAAGTCCTCGAAGAAGGTGGACAGTTTGACGTTGCAGGTGCAGAACTTGAACAAGAAATTGCAGGACATTCACAGCGAGCAGGAGAGCATCAGAGAGCGCGAGGCTGCTTTCAGAAACCAGTCGGAAAGCACCAACTCGAGAGTGGTGTGGTGGAGTATCATCCAGTTGCTTGTGTTGGTGGGAACGTGCGCATACCAGTTGCGTCACTTGAAGAGCTTTTTCGTCAAGCAGAAAATTGTGTAAACGAGTAGCAGACCCTAGCGGTTGCGTACTTTGTTAGAAGCTACATACTTGAACAGAGGAGACATAGTTTGAACCCGAGTGACGTAATATGTAGATAACTGGGTAATCTCACCCTGCAGTACAATCTGTGGCACCCCAGAGGGATACAAGCACGTGATACGGCGTACTACAAAGCCACACTTGATAGATTTTCCATCTGCTTGACAGAGTAGAAGCCAAGACCCTTCTTGACATGTGAGAGAAAGAAGATGAGCAACCGAGACAAGAATACACGAGCGAAAGCACCAGGGCGACTAAAGTCTTGGAAAAACAAGCAGTTTGACAATGACGGAGCTCGAAACTTGACAAACTGAAATTTAGCTCCATTAGCCTTCGATTTAGCCATCTGCCAGAGCTGTTATTTGCCGGGTAGCAGCCCAATCATTTATCTCCGTTTTATCAAGGGTTTCGCCGAGACTGCACCTTTCGGCGGACCTGCATGCCCATAATTACATAACCTGCTTGCATGCACAAAACGCCTATTAATAATGGACACCGAGGAGCACCAAAAGGGCTCCAAAACACCATTCGGTCGAGTTCAAACGACATGGCCAATTTGTGTGGCCAAATCCGCACTTTGGCTTCCCTCTCATGCAAAGAAGACGGTTTTCGCGCGTAAGTTTTACAGAGAAGAAAAAAGAAAGCATTTGGGGCTGCAGGGCACCTAACAGGAAAAACCAACGGTGTCGCCATATAAGAGCAATGTTACACCTCATCACGTTTTAACCAGCGTTTCATATCCTTTATATCGCCAAAGTTTTTCACTTCTTTTTTTTCTTCTTTTGCGTAGAAGTTTACTTGCAACATGCTGTACGAGGCCGATGTCAAGTCGGAAGTCGAAGACTACTCCATTCTGGATTTGAATCCAGCCATCGACTACAAGAATTGTTCATGGGTGAAAACAGCAGGCCTTCTTTTCTCCGAGTACATTTGTTTGGCCATCATGTCATTCCCATGGTCGTACTCGGTCTTGGGGTTTGTGCCTGGGCTCATATTAACTGCCTTCATTTCGCTCACAGTTCTTTATACTGGACTTATCATCACAGACTATTGTATTGCAAACCCCCACGTCACCAGTGTTTGCGATATTGGCCAAAAGCTTTTCTGGAACTCCAGAATCGTGTGGTATCTTACTGCAGCCTGTTTCTTATGCAATAACACTTTGATCCAAGCATTGCACGTGCTTGTGGGTGCAAAATACTTCAACACCATTTCCGACAATTACGACACCTCGGGCGGACAGAAGGTATGTTCTATTGTTTTCGCTGTGGTTTCTATGATCATCTGCTTCATAATCTCGTTGCCCAGAACATTTCTGCACATGTCTAGTGTGGGGTATTTTTCTGCTGGAACCATGTTCATTGCCGTCATCTTAGCCATGGTTTTCGCCGGAATTCAGGACCACCCTTACGGATACACAGGAGATCCTGTGAAGTATCATTTGTGGCCCCAGAAAGGAACCACCTATGTTCAAGGCATGAGTGCATTGTTGAATATCGTGTACACATTTGTTGGGCAAATCACGTATCCATCGTTCATTAGTCAAATGAAGAAGCCACGGGATTTCAAAAAGGCTCTTTACATCGTGACGTTGGCAGAATTAATTGTCTTCGCCTTGACCGGTTCTATTGTCTATGTTTACGTCGGTAACGAGTATATGGTGGCTCCAGCTTTTGGCTCTCTCACAGGGAATTACAAGAAAATTGCCTTTTCGTTTGCCTTACCAACAATTGTCTTCTTGGGCGGCTTATACTCCAACGTGTCTAGTCAGTTCCTCTTTTTGAAGATTTTCAGTGAGAAATCGGTGAACAGAACTCAGCACACATTGCTTGGATGGGCCACCTGGATCGGGTTGAACTTGGGTTTGTGGGTAATAGCCTTTATTGTGGCAGAGGTGATTCCATTCTTTTCAGACTTGCTCTCGTTGATGTCCTCGTTGTTCGACTGCTGGTTCGGTTTCGTTTTTTGGGGCGCAGCGTATTTCAAACTTAAGCTGGCCAAGACACCCAACTTCCGCTTCTGGCCTCACTTCAAGCAAGCACCGCTCTTTGAAAAATTAGAGATGCTAACTAATGTCGCTTTGATCCTAATTGGCTTCTACATTTTTGGCCCCGGTACTTATGCCACGGTGGACTCGATCATCTTGTCCTATCAATCGGGCTTGTACGGAAAGCCGTTCACGTGTACAAGTAACGCCATCTAGTTTATAATCTTGTCTCTATTGGTTTCGTTTAATCTTAGAATACCCCCAGATTTGTATCCCACACTATAGTCACTGGTCCGTCGTTGACCAAATCAACCTCCATCATCTCGCCGAATTTTCCGTCCAAAACTCTCTTCTCGTCGCCCAAGCTGGTTCTCAACTTGGTCAAAAACTCTTGGTACAACTCTAGCGCATGTGGACCCTTGGCGGCACGGTGAAAATCGGGTTTAGTTCCTTTGGCAATCGTGCCATACAAAGTGAATTGAGACACGCAGAGAACACCAAGCTCTTTGTCATCTGCAAGACTGCGGCTCCAAGGCTTGCCATGCCATTTTCCCTGGTCTGGTGGCGGGTTCGAAAAGTCCTCAAAGAGCCGGAGAGTGGAGATTTTCTTCACTAGTTTCGCCACATCGTCTGACGTGTCTGCAGTGGAGACACCTACAAGAATCATGAGTCCCTTTTGAATCGACGACACAAGTGCGTTATCCACGGAAACCGACGCACGCTTCACTTTTTGAATCACCACTCTCATACTTGTGACTCTTATACATTTAGACCGCTTACATTTCGCAATCGCTCGCTATCATTTGTCTTCACACGACCGTACTGTTTCCACCTCTAGCCTTGTCTAATATTTTTTTTTAATTAATGTCCTAATGGCCATTATATTGGCATATTTGCATTCCGGTGCTCTTGCATCTTCGCTTGATAGCGTCTTATCTTACCACGTTCGCATCACCTCATCTTCACCTCCAATCACCTGTCATCTGAGAGGATAAACCGCACAAAATACTTGAGTCCCTCGGCAATCTCCTCGCCAACGGGCTGGATATACTTCTCTGGAAGCAAGAAGCCGTGCGAACCGCTGTCCCTCAACTTCATCTGGAAAGCCCAGTAGGCTTTATGGTGGTACATGTAGTCCAAAGCGGTACCGGCGCCCAAGTCTGGAATCATATCGGAATCCTTGTCCAAGCACGCTGGCAAAACCGCATAGTACTTGTGAGAAGTCATACGGATGGCTTTGGAAATGCCGTATGCCAATTCAATCAAGTTTTCCTCGTCCCGCGGATCCGCTTGACAAGTGTATGCATAAGGGTACAAAATTTCTTGCGAGTACGAGTGCAAGTCCACGTAGCCCCAAATCTTGTGGTCATAGTTTGTGGAGTTCAAGTAATCGCTCCAGATTTTCAGCTCAATTGCCTCGAACGGATATTCTCCCGAGTAATCCTCGCCACATTCGGTGTCTTCGGATTTTGTCCAATGGTAATCATACGAATGATCAATGTCGATACCTACACAGCTCTCTTGGGAGCTGGAAGAAGGTTGGCGGTTCTTTCTCCACAAACGGTCAGTGGTCCACGTGTAGTCATAGCCGTCTGGGTTTTGCACGGGAATGAAGAGGAAGTCCAATTTGGACCATTCGTCCCATCGATCTGGGTTTGCTTCGTACTGGTTCAATAGCTCATAGAGACAGTACAACACTGTGGATACAGATATCCACTCACGAGCATGGACCCCTCCTGTAACAACGATAGTTCTCCTGTCACTATGTGGCACATCACTGCCTGCTCTCGACAAATGAATCACGTTGTACGGTCTTCCCTCGTGTGTCTTTCCGATTTCCTCGATTGTCACGAGATCTGGGTACGTCTGGTGAACCATGTCGAGCCAGGCGTTGATGGAGTCCAAAGGACGATACAGCTTGAAAAAGACATCGCCAAGAACACGGAAGTCAGCGGCCGTGACCTCCTTGATGCTCTGTTGTCGGAACTGCTCTTGGTCCGAAGTATAGTCTTTAGGGTACGACTCATAGATGGCCTGGGCCATGTCACGAATGACAAATTCGGGCTCCGTAATGCCAAACGTCGCCATCAAGTCCGCGAGTTCCGTCGAGTTGACCTGAACATCAGTGGTTTTCTGGATGGGATCATGCGCCCACACATTGAACTTTTTCTCCTTCAACGTTCTCAACACACCAGACCATTTTGTGTCTGTGGAACCTAAACGCGAGCGAAACTGCGACGTCACCGCATCCTCGGACTCTCCTCTTAGCCTCACCACCATCTGGTCTTTATAACGAGAAAGGTCAATGGGCCAATCATTCTCCTCGAGCGTGGAATAGTGCGGCCGATCTTCAGGGCCCAGTTTCCATTTGTACGATAATGGAATCTGCACAGCAGCTGCCACTGCCACTAGGAAAGTCAACGCTGGCACTTTCATCGGAAATGCTACCAGAAGAGAAAGAGCAGCTGGTTGGAGTATGAGTGGGGAGGTGTGTGCACCCGTGCCTCTTGATACGCTTTTTTTGCAATTCTTGGAGAGACTAAATGCACCACTAGTTGACTCGATTCAACAGATGGTTAAAGAACATGAGCTTCCTTTATAGATTTCTTCATCCGTTTCTTTTTTCTCATGCGTCTTTCTGTCTTCTGAATTCTTTATGGGCGACAGGATTGTGTAGTATTGCTTCTACTATTTAGTGGTTCGAATTGTATTGGTGACAATCTATCATCGCTTATGCATTGCTCTTATTCTTGTTAAAAGCAATGATAGGCTACAAGTGAGATGGCTGTTACGCATTCTCAAGACACCTTGGCGGTTTCTTGCGCATGCATGCACACACTACTTCCCAACTGGTCTTTAAGCAATATTTATTGTCAGGATTTCTAGGCGGGGACATCTCTATCATGCATATTTATAGGTTTTTCTTCATCTTGGCCTCTTCTACAGCCTCGATTTCCGGGTGCACTATGACGTCGTAGACTGTCCGGAAAAAGAGAAACAGGACAAACCCAACGAGGCCCACGGCAGCAAAGATCAACGCCCGTACAAGATCGGTTTCCACATTCAAAAACATGTAGGGGTACTCGCCGCCGTTTTCAAAGTCAATCACCAGCTTCAAAAAGAACCAGTACAAGCTGGTGAGCACAATACATGCGCAAAAGGCATTGCTTGGGGTGATTGTCCACCGGGGCATGAAGAAAATGTAATCCACCATGAGTGCCACCACAGGCACCAAGTGGAGACAAAGGTCGATCGACAATGGGATCATCTCGCGGCTCGGATCTTTCACAAGATGGTGCAACAAGAAAATCCGCAAGGGCCAGTACACGGAAGTCACCACGCATTCAAGCACGAGAGCGATAGGGTGCAAGGAGTTCTTCAAGTTGTACAAGGCGGCACTCTTCGACAAATGTCCCACGAAGCCAACGGCAAACACCATGAGCGAAAAGAGAAGCGAAAGATTGGTGAGAAACTGCCAGTGGCCCCCACCAGCAAGATGGGGAGGAAGTATGACGTTGTTCACCAAATAATTGAGCGCATAGCATCCAAGCGCAAAAGCACCAATGTAAATGGAGGCGCTTAGAGGATTTCCCACGGTGCGTCTGGGCATGGTGTTGTTCTGTTCTTTGCTAAAGTGGTTCAGAGATTATATGGGCCGCGGCCTTGAGATCGCAATCTACAGGTAGATGACATGACATGACACATTTCACATGAACAGATAAATGGTATGGGAGTAATTTTGGTTTTGTGATTGTACCAAATCACTGGGTCAACGGGTGTAAAAATAATAAGTCGGATGAAAGTTCAAACATGCTACTTAAGCCGTCCATTCAGCTATCAGTGAGATCCATTATTGAGATCCAAGATTGAGCACTTGGGTCAGAGTAATTCATGACCACTTCCAATCTTGATTTTGAAAAGTCTCAACATTCTGCCAGACAAACGTAAGCTATAGTCATTACGTGCTTATGCGTATGCCTTCAAACCGATTGGGAGAGACATAAGTACTTTGGTAAACGAGAATCTCGCAGTAAAGCTATACGACTGGAATTCGACAGCTCTAGAATTTGCACCCATTCAATCCTAATGGATGACACCCAACTAGCCACTAATTAGAGTTGGAAATGTCGTGTACGACATCAACGTATCTGCATTTATACTGATAGACGTATCCTGGTAAACCACGTACGAGACTCGACTTACTGCAATGTAGTGGAAGTGGAAATTCAGATTACGGAGGAAATCCAGCAGCCACGGATAACCACAGTGAGTATATGAATGCATCTCGATTGTTCGCCAAAGATAATTTCGGCTCTACTAGATTTTCTCTCTTTGTTCGTATACTCATTGCTATACCATGTCATAGAGGCAGTCCTAGTGGAATAACCTAGAAAGACGAGAGCGAGAGCGCGAGCGATTCCGCTGCTCGGACCTGGATCTCTCTTGAGAAGATACAGACGAATCTCGACTGCCCACGGTAAAAGACGGATCCTTCTCCATAGTTGAGCGTCCACGAAGCTCCACAGAGTTGGAAGGAGCTAGGTTAATGGAAGAGCTATTTCTCGAGGTCAGTGGACTGAGAAGAGTCAATCTATTCTTCTTTTTCTTTTTCTCAAACGACAGAGATATATCGATGCCAGCCAACCAATCCTGGAAATATGTCTGTGAATCAATGGGTTTCGGCAAAGCCTCCTCGTATTGGTAGTTTGGCTTAACCACAATCACGGGTACTAATGCATATTGTAAGAAGTACTTTGAGATTGAAGATTTGCCAAAGAATGGCATATGGTGGGATGCTGAAGAGAGACTAGTGGAGGAATTGGAGGTCGAAAGAGGTTCTTGGTGCGTTCCAACAACCATCATGGCTGGGTTATACTCAAGAATCGCCTGCTTCAAGAGCTTTTGTGGCCTTCCAATCACCACCTCGTACACCAAGGATATTTTTCTCTGGTGGACATTAAGCTTCTTCACTTTTTCCACCACGGCTTCTGCATCTTTTCTGTCCACTACTTTGTAGTTGCGGTCATCTAAAACTTGGAATAACACTATGGTGTCTCCATTGATGACCATTTCTTGAAAAGCCCACTCAACAGCTCTCATAGACTGCAGATCATTACTGAAGCCGACCAAAAACGTCTTGTTGTTTCTGCGGAACCGAAACTCAGGGTGCTTCTCCTTCAAGATGATCGACAGATGATGCGAGTCGCTGAGAGTATCAAAGGAAACGCCTCTTTCGAATGAAGGTCGTATTTTTGGGCTAGTAACGTTTTTTGGGATCGCGGTGCTGAGCGACGTAAGAGACGAAATACGTTGCATGGCTTCTGAGTCTGTAGGATCATAGTCATCGTAGTAAATCCGCCCCAAGAGATCCAGCGACGTGTTTTCCAGCCGGTACAAATCGACACTGTCGTTGGATGTATGATACAATAGCGAATTGAGACGAGTATTGAGCTGAGTTTCTGTTTCTGGGCGACTTTCCTTCCCTTCCGTGACCTCCTCTGCGTCGTCCTCTATGGGAGCCTTGACGATTTTTTCTTTCTCGTACACTTTCTTCACTTCAACGTCTTCGTCGTCATCGAGATTCTCCTTGGATGTATCTTTGGGTCGGCTTCTTTGAGGGCGCGGGCCACTTCCCATCGGGGATACACTAGCATAGTAGTAGTTTGAGTTTTTGGGTGTGAAAAGTCCCATTTCCGCTATTGGGGCACGTCGACAATGTTATGGCCAAGCAGAGTTGATACGGCTGAATAGATAAGGTCGTGTGAAAGTCAACCGCTGGGCGTGTATGGCGGAGATAAGTCGGGTCAATAATCAGGCGTGTGGGAAATAGCCATAGACGTATGGGAAATGGTCATAGACGTATGGGAAATGGTCATACATGTATGTCGTAGAGTTGAAAATTGTTGTGGTCCAGTGGCCCAGTATTCTTCCAAGTAAATGTTGTTTCTGCCTTCTGTTCTAAGATTTCGAGTTTTGGGTGCGTAAACGAAGGTTACTACTTTCAAGCGAAAGACACATCACCATCTGGGTGAAAACTGGTATAATGGGATGTCATCCAAAGTAAGTTGAACATACTCCTATATCTAGGTGTTGTCTTTGGAAATGTGAAGTTGTGGATGATATGTAATATCTAGACATCTAGACTTCTTGTAGCCAAGATACCTGGTTTCAATTGTCTGCTGACATGACCGTAAGCTACACAGAAACCTCGGCAAAAGGAAAAAAGCTTAACATAATCATGATGCAACAGGTGTCACTTTTGGGAGAATTTCTCTTGCGCAATACTTGATTGAACTATGGAACCAACTCAGCAAAACTTCCACCAACGAGGAACTTGAAACTTGTCACAGATTTGAAAAAGATGAGTGGCCTAGCCGAAGGTACTGAAGCCGTCCGTATGGAAGTTCGAGCAACGAAGTTGCACAACAACTCACCAAATCCAATGCCCTCAAATTGTAGATATTTCATTGATTTCTATGTACATTTCTCCTTCGTGGCTTCTGCTATGTATCTGCCATTATCCACACCCGAGTTGTGCTCCACGATTCCCCACAAACGGTCCATCTTCATGCCTCCCACGTTATCCACCAAGTAAAAATACTCCTTATGACCGTTTTCGGAAGACTGCCAGCTTCGATAGGGCAAAAGAGACGGCGTATCTCCATTGCAAAGCTTCAAGCTGTCATTGTCTGCAACCTTCAACAAAGTATTGTATGTCTTTCCTCCAGTAACGTTCAACTTCTCCATGACAAGTTTTTCGTCTTTGACCAAATTCTCCAATGTCTGCGGCTGCTCCTTGTCATACAATCTGAAAACACGAGTCACATAGTCTCGCGTCTTGTACTGGACAAGCAAAGCGGGCGACCACGTACCGATAAGGGTGGCTAGCGCATACACATCGTCAAACTGCACCAGCTCCCAGAAAAGCTTGGCCCCATAAACCCCAAGAACACCAAGCGACAAGGTAAGTCTTTTGAGCATGGCCACGTATTTGGATCCCGGCGCCTCGTAAAGCGGCTCGTACGAAAGCCTGTATTTCTCGGGCAAGGCCACATTTCGCAAACCTCTTCTCACATAAACGATGTCGTTGTACAAAGTGGGCGACCATGGGTTATTTTCCGACACAATTTCGTCTGTTTCCACCGTGGAGTCTGGTGATTTGTAAGTACCCTTGTGGCGCATGAGCCTTCTGGCCGAAACACAGAGGCTTCTGTGGGGAAGTCGTAACATGCTGGTATGGAAAGGATAATATGGTTGGTCTGTGCGATTTATCTGAGAAGACGTACTGTACTCTAATTGTACTCTAATTTGGTACATGAATAAAAATGTCGATCTTGATCTGGAGCCCACCTGAGCATGGAATGATGGCCAGTATGAGTTCGTGAAACTATCTGATCAATCAGAATTGGCTCGACTGATCTTGTAGTTCATTAGGCTCTAGGTTTGCGCATCTGATAGAGGTGCGAAGCTAAAGGATTGCAAGTGTTTCACTAATATTGACAGCTTGCCTTGAAGATATTAATCACTTTCAAGACCGTTAAACACGATCCGTCTGCTTTTGTGCCTACGTATCGGGATTTCGGGCTGCTCAGAGAAAAGGTGCAGATATGTACAATAATAGAGCTGCTAATACTTTCGGAGCAGTGGACACAATTGGCAACTAGGGGATCTCACACAGCATAAGCGAACATTTCATTTGCTCACATGTAGAGAATGGCAGTGCTTACGTTGATTGTACCACATATTGATTGCACATATACTTTGATTGCATATATACATTGATTTGCAATCAATGTCGAGAAACAGATGAAAGTCACCCATTATACTTCGTCTCACATTTTGAAGAGTGCTTCTACTGGTATCCCTGAAAGTTACAATACCTGAATCAAGAATAACTTTCATTTGGCTTTCGTTTCGCACAGGGGGATCCATTGTTACTCCGATGGCTTTATTGCTTCGCACTATAGTATAAGAGCAACTAGGCCATCATCAATACAAGAGTGCTGCTTCAATACTGCTCTTTAAATTCGTATCACACATTCTTCATAATTTCAAGTGAAAAATCAGCTTAAAGAAAATAAAACAAGAAAAAGTAGTCCAACCAACATCCTCATGTCTCACTTGACTAGTCGCATATTAGCGACTTGAATACTCATAACTCATCTATCGCGCATGATTGCTTCGTCTTTTGTGCTCCCGCCCAAAGGAATTTATCTCATAAAGTTCGAAGCAGCTAATCTCGCCTCTTAGCGTAAGCGAAATCTTGACTGCTTTTTTTTTCGCCTCCGTTTCTGCCTTTTAGTGGCCATGGAAACTAGTGGAAGAGGGAGCCGCCTGCACACAGGCGCAGCATCAAGGCACAAATCTTCTCTTTTTTTTTGTCTCCTCCACAACATCAAAACCACACTATGGAGGACTCCGCCAACAAATTCATTCCCGAGTACCGCCGGACCAACTTCAAAAACAAAGGTCGTTTCCAGAGCGACGAGTTGAGAAGACGCAGAGAGACCCACCAGGTGGACTTGCGCAAGCAAAAGCGTGAGGAGGTTTTGGCGAAAAGACGCAACTACGTTGACAATGCGGCGTTGGCCAACGATTCAGAGGATGAAGACGGTGCCGATGACTTTTCATTGACTGGAAACAGTGAAGAGTCGCTGTTCTACGGCAAGTTGCAGCAGGACTTGCCCAAAATGATGGAAATGATCCAATCGCCAGACTTTGATGACCAGTTGGCTGCCACAGTCAAGTTCCGCCAGATTTTGAGCAGAGAGCACAACCCACCTATCGACTTGGTGATCCAGTCGGGTGTGATCCCCACATTGGTTGAATACATGAAGGAGGGCCATCCAGACATGTTGCAACTTGAAGCTGCTTGGGCCTTGACCAATATCGCTTCGGGCTCGTCCGAACAGACCAAGGTTGTCGTAGAGTCAGGTGCCGTCCCTTACTTTGTGCAATTATTGTACTCTCCCTCATTGGAGGTGAAAGAGCAGGCCATTTGGGCGTTGGGTAACGTCGCAGGAGACCTGACAGTCTACCGAGACTTTGTGTTGGCAAACGGCGCCATGGAACCTGTATTGTCCTTGTTCAACACCACCAAAATGTCGTTGATTCGCACCGCCACGTGGACTCTCTCCAACTTGTGCCGTGGCAAAAACCCACAACCAGACTGGAATATAGTGCAGCAGGCCATTCCGACGTTGGCCAAGTTGATTTACTCTGTGGACGCCGAAACCTTGGTGGACGCATCTTGGGCCGTCTCCTATTTGAGTGACGGTACTTCTGAGGCGATCCAGGCTGTCATTGACGCTCGCATTCCTCACCGTCTTGTGGAATTGTTGGACCACGAGTCCACTTTGGTGCAAACACCCGCTTTGCGTGCCATCGGTAACATTGTCACAGGAAATGACATGCAAACACAGGTGATGATCAACGCCGGCGTTTTGCAGCACTTTGCTCCGTTGTTGAACTCGCCAAAGGAGACACTCAGAAAGGAGGCGTGCTGGACCATCTCCAACATCACTGCGGGCAACAGTGAACAGATTCAGGCGGTGATTGATGCCAACTTGATTCCACCTATCATTCGCTTATTGGCTCAGGGTGACTACAAGACGAAGAAGGAAGCTTGTTGGGCTATTTCCAACGCCAGTTCTGGAGGTTTGACTAACCCAGATCAAATCCGTTACTTGGTCAACCAGGGCTGTATCAAGCCATTGTGCGACTTGTTGGCTGTGGCAGATTCGAAGATCATTGAAGTGACTTTGGATTCTTTGATGAACATCTTGCGTGTTGGAGAATTGGACAAGGAACAACGCCGCGCAGCAAGCAACGAGTACGCCATTTTCATTGAGGAAGCAGGAGGCATGGAGAAAATCTTCCACTGTCAAGCCAACTCTAACGAGAAGATCTACAACAAGGCTTACAACATCATTGAAAAATACTTTGGTGACGACGACGAGGACGCATTCAACGAGAATGGATTGCAACCAGAAACCTACGGTGATTCGTTTGCCTTTGGTGTGCAGAACCAGCAGAACTTCCAGTTTTAGGTTGTTGCGGGCCGTTGGTTTTGACTGTCACAGCATTTGCATCAACGTAAAGTGAATGTTCTGCTTTGGTCTAGTCAGTCTACTAGTCAGACACTCTAATCCGTCTAGCGTTTCTGGTCAGTTCCGTTGATCTAGCTCCTTAATCTAGTCTGGTCTATCTGCCCCTACTGAATATCTTTTGGCTGTAGTGCTTCTCTGCACTAACCTTGGCTCTTTGGTATCTGTGCCATCATTTTTTACACTTGGCCTATATATTTTTCTCATCCCATCTCATTTTTATCTCACATCTCTCACATCTCTTACATTTTTCACATCTCTCACATCTCATCTCTAATCTCACGCTGATCTCTCACGACATATTTAACCACATCGATCGATATCTATGTAGGATGATATAAACGAAGCTCTCGCCGCTCATTCCGGTATGCAGTCTTATCGGCTATCACGGCTTTGCCGACACTGCAACAAATTGCGCAAAGAGTAAAGAATCCTCTAAATAAATGAATGCTACGGACTTGAATCACTTCAATTTACATTAATGTAGGCACCTGTACAACAGCCAACTCTTCTCCCATTCGCTCCGCACCTTTTTCCGGAGATAATTTGTTTATTTCCATGCTAAGTTGTTGGCGCACCATCTCAATTGGGCGGCGCACGTGACGGAAAAACGGTTTATTCGGCAAGTTCGCTCCCCAATTAGGAAGCCCGCGCAAATTCCCTCAAAACACTAAAATTTTGTCCGGAGGCATATAATTCTATCGCAGTACCTTTTTCTTTTCTTGTTGGACAAATAATGAAGGTTTCTACGCTTTTGGTCGCTGGCGCCCTTGCCACCGGTATTATTGCTGACGAATCCAGAGAAACTGTCACCGTCACCGTTCACGGCACTACTCAAACCCACAAGTACGGAAAGTTCGACAAGACTAAAAAGTCTCATGCTTCCACTTCTTCTGGTACCCACAAGTACGGCAAGTTCGACAAAACCAAGAAGTCCCATGCTTCCACCTCTTCTGGAACTCACAAGTACGGAAAGTTCGACAAGACCAAGAAGTCTCATGCCTCTACTTCTTCTGGAACCCACAAGTACGGTAAGTTCGACAAGACCAAGAAGTCTCATGCCTCTACCTCTTCTGGAACTCACAAGTACGGAAAGTTTGACAAGACCAAAAAGTCTCACGAGTCCACCTCCTCTGGTACCCACAAGTACGGCAAATTTGACAAGACAAAGAAACCAGTCACCACCACTGTTTACATCACAGACTCCAACAACAAGGCTATAGCCTTTGCTGTTAAGGAAGCCAATGGAACTAATGGCACCAACGGAACCAACGGAACCAATGGCGGTTCTTCTTCTGAAAACGCCGGTGTGCAAATGGGCACTGGTATTTCTCTCGGAGTCGCTGGTGCCCTTGCTGCTGGTCTTCTCTTGCTTTAATCATGCATACCTCATTTCTTCTTGCGCCTTTTTATTCGACTAATATTTAAACTGGTTAACGGCATCTGTAGAGACTGCCGGAGCATGCACTGGCGATACTAGAGCTTGCGAGATGCTCCAATAATGTTTAGACAATAAAGTTTACTCTATGATGCGGCTAATGCCCTTTGTATGTCAGCACCTCGCTGGCCATAAATATTACGCAATACCTTGATGGGAGCTTTGTCTACTTCAATCACTATTCGGCATAGATGACTTCTGCTAAATTCAATTCATGACTCTGCTCAATTCCTAATTACATTGGAATCGGTTTATAGTGAAGCACGTTTCCAGCCGTTCCTTTTTGTTCTTGGCAAATTTCTTTTTAATTTTGTCCTCCATGTAACTTAAAAAGATCGGTGCATGAGGCTAAGGAACATCCATCTCCACAATATTCTGGGGACGGCATTGTGAACTTTAAGTGATCGATTCTTTAGTTTTTGGTCATCGCCGTGTTAGTTTTTTCTAAACTCGTTCTTTCATGATTAAATGCGAAATTCTTCTCTTATGTTGCGCAGTACTTTTTACGTCTATATAATTTCCAACGTACACATGAAGACTCAAAGGAACCTCAGATAGTCTGCTATCTTTTACGATAATGAGAAGTGTCATTAATCATTATTAAAATCTTTTATTTGTGTGCATTTTCTTTGGAGGTATCTCACTATATTATATTGCCTTGACGATCCTCTCACTCAGTAATACCACCCATCCACTTTATTCAGAGGAAAACTCTAAGGGTCCTTTCTTGACCATTGATGTCAACAACTCAAAAGCCACCTGGGCCGCATTTGTTGCAGTTACTTCGGCAGAGTCAAATTGTGGACTCACCTCAACCACATCAGCACCTACCACAGATAAAGCTTCAATTTTGCGCAAGAGATAAATCAATTCCCGCGGAAGCAATCCTCCGGGCTCGATGGTGCCGGTTCCGCTGGCAAAGCCCGGGTCAAGAACATCGATATCCACACTAATGTAGGTTGGACTGTCCTTTGGAATGGTACTCAAGATCTTCTCAGCTACCGATTGCGCACCTTCAAGCCAAATATCGTCGGCGAAAACTCTCACGAAGTTCTGCTCTTCGTCATCTTCCAAATCTTCTGTGCCCGACAAACGAGTACGTACACCAACATGGATGTTATGCAGAGAGGTAAGTCCTTCTTCGTGGGCTTGCCATAACATGGATCCGTGGTTGAGTTCACTTTGAGGCGTGTGCCAGACACTCGGGTACTTGTCGGGCTTCCACGTATCAAGGTGTGCGTCAAAGTGGATGATGTTCAAAGGTCCGTAGATTTTATGGAGTGCCCGGAGATGGGGCAAAAGCACCAGGTGGTCACCCCCGAGAGCAATATAGCGGGGGTATTTGCTCTTGGTGGTTTCCCTGCTGTCTCCGGCAGTTATCTGTACGACGTTTCCCTTGTCATACTTCATCTTTGGCCCAGTTCTCTTTTCCTCTACAGAGCCTTTAGATGCTTCTCTAGGCGCCACCAATTCTTCAAACGCAATATTCATCTGCCGAAACGCCAAAGCGTTATCCATTGGTGTCACTGGGATATCGCCGCAATCAACGATTTTCGCCCACGACTTGTATGGGTTGAACTTGGCCCGGTGGTTATATCCTCGAAGAGACGTTTGGCGCAGCGATGCAGCCCGAATAGCCCGAGGGCCGAAACGGGCTCCACTGCGGTAAGAAGTGGCCGTATCAAATGGAACACCAATTATAGCAATGTCGTATGGAACTTCTGGTGACAAGAGACACTGGTGCGTCTCCAAATGGGCAAAGGTGCTGATTCCTTGGAACGGCCAGGCCTCGCCCCATTTTTCAGCAAGCAGATTGGCTTGTACGAGAGCCCATAGGAAAACAAGAGCAAGCATTGGTTTTTTCTTTCTCCACATTTGCGCTTTTTATGGAACTGTTGGTCTTCTTATCGAACGGAATTTGCCTAATGAAGAAGTGCGCTAGAGCGGAATATGCGATTCATTCCAAATGCATAACCTCAATGAGACATATCCAATAGTAAAAGTCCTTTTATCAGTAGAAGGGATAGTACCTGGGAGACTTTGGAGCTGAATGTCTTGGAAAGGATCAAGCTAAACTTTGGAGAAATAGGAGCAACTAGGTACATGTCATCAATTTGTACTTTTTGTATTCATTTGCCAGTCATCTATGACATACTCTAGACATAGATTATTTCATTGTCCTACCAATAAGTCATTTGATGATAGCGAAGCCGTTGGGACCCTGTGTTTCCTATTTATAGTTCATCGTGCCATTTCGCATCAATTCATCACCAATACTTCAGAATGCTACCAACTGCTTACATTCACTCTTACATTGCTTTACGTAATTCTTGCACTTTTCAATGTATTTATTCGATGGCTCTCGAGGCATTGTAATGTCTACTCATCAAATGTCTCAAATCTAATATATCCTCAACCAGCTCAATTCGCAAAATTGGTTTCTCACAACCCTCAGTTCATTCTCTTGGATTAATTGCACTAATCACACACAGTAGCAGAGAATACTTCCTCTCTTCCCACTCCGTCCTTCCTATGTAAAGAACCTTCCTTATCGACAATTCTTGGCTCGTTTCTATTCGGATGCTTGGAGGCGCAACTTCGCATTTCACCTACCACTTCTTCAATGCCAGTAGAGCTTTTCCAATCGCCCATTGCTATTTCGCCTCCTCCTGGAGCTTTTCCCACGAGACAGCATCCTCAGCCACCCATCAATTCAGATGTGCAAACTCCACTTCAAACGAACAACACGTTCAACAATCTCTTACTAGCTGACCAAACATTCCCCGCATGGCCACTTCCGTATCTGCTTTGGATCACTAAAGACGGAGAATCCGACTGGGGCTTGGCTTTCAACCACACCGAAAAAAGCCAGTTTGTTTTTGGTCCTGATCCATCGCAAAACCCTGTCCAGTTCTACTTCAACCCACCCAAGATCAAGCTGTTCGCTTATTCGGGCAAGGGCTGGCGAAACGTCTCTGTCCGTACAATTGAAAATGGCAAACTTTACCACACGTTACATTTATCCGGCGGTGGGTCTGGCACAATCACAGTTCCAATGTCTTATGGTATGGGCTTTGTCACTGCCATCTACGAAAACGAGATTCCTGTCCTTCATTCGGCCGTGGGCGTTCAAGAGTTTCGGCCAGCAGGCTTAGTCAACAACAATCGCACGGCGAAGTATGTTGCTCGATTATTTGACCAGAGAATATGGTCAATTTACGTCAGCGAAGATCCTGGAAACCAACTTGTATTGGTTGACCCCAATCACATTGAGACATCTAACCCGTCAGCAAAGATGGTGATTCAGATTTGTAAAGGCGAAAGCACCACTTATGACCAGGCCTGTGGTACTTTTCCTACTGAAGCCACACTTGTGGGCAATGTCGACCCTTCCAGCAATGTTGGGAAGTATTCTTTCTCCTACAAGATGAGCGGCGTATCATCTTCCGGGGCTGGAATTGTATGGTGTCTTCCTCATCAACAGGAGACCCTCAGTTCTGAAACAAAGAGAGCAGAGACTGGCTTGCTACTTGACTCTCCCACAAAAGGGGTTATGAAAGCGTATCTTTGTAATACTCTCAGTATGGAAGTTCCGAATTTGCCTACCGATATTGGTTTTCAGCCGTGGACATCTGTCTCGGGGTTTGGGAAGCCTAACTATTCGCAATCAGCACTTGGGTTGATTAGACAGGCAGCCGAAAAAGAAGTGCAGCAAGATGTTCTTGCTTCGTGTGATGTTGATTCCATGTACTTTGGCGGGAAACAACTAGACAAGTATGCATATCTTGCATATGTCACCCACTTTGTCTTACGGGACTCTGGCCTCACACAATCGGTTTTGCCCAAAATTAAACAGGCAATCGAAAAATATGCTAGTAATCATCAGCAGTTTCCTTTGTGCTACGATGCCAGCTGGAAGGGGCTCATTTCCACCGCTAAACCAGATCAAGATTTTGGTAACTCGAATTATAACGATCACCACTTTCACTATGGATATCACGTCCATGCGATTGCTTTAGTTGCAAGCATTGATCCAAACTGGCTACATGAAAATGGCGATCTTGTGTTGAATTATGCACTCACTTTGATTCGAGACTATGCAAACCCTTCAGCAAAAGATCCCTACTTTCCTCAATCGAGGAACTTTGATTGGTTCCATGGTCATTCTTTTGCGCATGGAATCTTCCCAAGCGGAGACGGGAAAAACGAAGAATCCTCGTCGGAAGATTACCATTCTATCTACGGCATCAAGCTTTTTGGAAAAGTGATTGGCGACTCGGCCATGGAACATGGTGCTAATTTGATGTTGGGTATCATGAGGAAGTCATTGAACATGTACATGTTGTATTCCAGTGATAACACCACACAACCGTCCAATTTCGCTGCTAACAAGGTTTCTGGAATTCTTTTCGAAAACAAAATCGATTTCGCCACTTTCTTTGGAAGAGGAACTGTGGGCGACGAATTTATCCACGGTATACATATGATTCCAATAACCCCAATCTCCTCGTACATTCGAGGAGCACGATTCGTGAAAGAAGAATGGGACCAGAAACTCTGCACAATTGTGGACCGTATTCCAGATGGGTGGCGGGGTATATTGATGTTAAATTATGGCTTGTTTGATCCACGGGCAGCGTGGCAGTTTTTCTCTGCTCCCAACTGGGACGATCGTTTCTTGGATGGCGGAATGTCTCGCACATGGTCTTTGGCCTACCTTGCTGGCATTGGAGGCTCTACGTAATCGTAACTTTGAAAACGGTTCTCTATAAATAAAATCTAGTGGTCAAAACGGAAGTCTAACCTCTTGTTTCCCTCGTCTGTAGTAGTCTTCACGTATTCTTCCTGCTGTTCCGGAGTCCATGAGTTCCAAATCTTGTCACGGCTCTTGTTTCTCCATACATAGTATGCTTTAACTAGTAAAAGCAAAGGAACCATGGAGACGGAAATAGCGAAAAGCTGGCTGTTTCCCCGATGATACAATGGTTTGTCATCATTCTTGTAAATGTTATTAGCAGCTATGTTTCCCAACTGCACCATCATATTGTAACAGGCAGAACATATTGATCTGCTTCTAACAGAGTTGGAGTTTCTCGACACCCACGACACACAGATGGCATGGATATAAGGAGCAGCTAAAACCATGGTCACCAAAAACCACGTGGGCCAAGGTTGTACCATAGAGCCTGGCCACCATCTGATCGCAGCCATAAATGGAATTGTGAAAAGTGGAAGAAGAAGACTGGTCAATGCCCTTTCGTTTATACGCTCCGAAAACCAGGTGATGGCTAACAAGAAAATGATGTGGATCACTGCTTGCGGAATATTCAACAAGTTGACATTAAAGGTGGAAAAACCAACGGATTTCATGGTAAGCGTCATGTACGGCTTGATGGTAGACATAGGAATGTAGACAATAAGGCCGACGGCATAAATGGGCCACAAGTCGTAGTCGGACAAGGACTTCCAGATCATCCGAAGAGATAATCCCTGTCTGTTATGCATGTCACCTTTTGATGGGTCATCTCTCAAGACTCTGTTGACGACAATCTTCTCTTCTCTGGGCGTAAACCATCCTTTAGGGTGAAGTTTGTTTCTTGTCTGAAGAGCTGAAGGAACCATGGCGTAGAAAGCGTAAATACCAATGGCCAAGGTGAAAATACCTTCGATGATGAAAAGCCATCTCCATCCTGCCATTCCGTGGACCCCCCGCATACGCAAGATACCAAACGCTAACAAAGACGTGAGAATGTCTGTTGTGGACAAAGCCGTCCAGAAGAACGACAAGCGGATCGACAACTCGTGAGACTTGTAGAAATACGAAAGCCACAAAACCAAGTCAGCAATGAAACCGCCTTCAAGGGCACCGATGAGGGCTCTGGTGATGAAGAAGCCAGCCTTGTTCTTCATGGCACTTTGTGCTATAGCCACAATACTCCATGCCACCATCTGCATTGGAACGAAAATGTCGGGTCCAAGAGCCTTCGAAATCAACTGCGAGGGCAACTCTGCGGCCAAAAAGGAACACAAGAAAATGGTGTTACCTGTGTTGTAGTCGTTGGTATTCAAGTGCAAATCGTCCAAGAGATTGTCGGCCACAGCCTGGGCCAAGTTTCCTCTGTCCACTTGCAAGGCCACAAACATAAGACACGCCGTGAAAGTCACACGCAAGTCCAACTTGCGCACAAGTTTCTTCTCCTCTTCCTCAGACCAGCTAAGGTGGGGATCAAACGCCTCACGACACTCGTATTGGGTTTTCTCATACAAGTCCGAGTAGAATTGGGCCACGGTAGGATCCTTGAACGGATTGTGCTCATCTTCCAACAACTGACTCTCCAGATCGGAACTCGAGTAATTTTTCACATCAATGGTTTCCGCTCCGATTTTCTTGGTCTCATCCTCTTGAGCCTTAGGCTTGGCTTGTGAAACTCCAACCAATCCCATGTCTGATGTCGAGGTCTGAAATTTGCTATTGACGTTTTTCCTAGTCAGTCTTTCTCATTATAAGCTTCGTTGAGACTCGCAATCACATCATTTCAGGCCCGATGAGTATGTCGAGAGACATGGCATAATTGTGGCCACAGTTTCGCAGACTCCACAATTACACACTAATGAGGAAAGATGAGTCTAATGGGAAAAAAGAGAACAAGAAATAGAAAATCCTATAACTTTTAACTCTAATTTAGACCACTGCGTCTGGAGTGGGTATGGTTCTTTTTTAGACGATAGGTTACTCTTTTATTTGTATCTTCTTTGTTCTGGTCAATTAAATCCAGAGTGTGGCATCATCGCGCAATCCGAAAATAGCGTAATCTAGCATAATCAGCGCAAATACAGGACCTTTGACGTTTTGGCGTAAATGGGCCTTTTCAAACGGCTGTCTAGGCGTTTTCATTCATTAGATTGCTTGAAAACGGAAAGCCAAGAATTTTCCCCTTAATTTTATCTTTTGTTGTGGCCATGAATGCTACTAAGTGTAGAATCGTAATTTCTCGGCGATATCTCGACTTTCCACACCTGCGAGATCAGTAAAAAGTAATCAGAATTAACCACGTAATAAAAGAAAAGGAATTAGACACTAATCATTCAATAGAGAATCTTTACGAGCTCAGCCATAGAAGTTTAGCACGATCTCCGTGTTGAAATTATTAGCGATGCTGAAAGACGCTACCGTAGTTCGAAATCCCTAATTAAAGAACAATTTCGCACTATAAAGGAACTTTACTAATGGATTACTTATATGAATGTAGGCTTTAGTCAAAATGGAGAAGGTTTTAAGCGTGTATACTACATTTTCCCTCTATTATCCTCATTTCGTTGCGGAATAATATTTGGGCCTTCGGTTTCGTTGGTCTAAAAACACTCATGATTAACTCTTCTAATGTCCACAGAATCAAAAGAGTTTCGACTTGAAAAGAGCTTTTTTTTCTCAAGCAAAAGGAAATAAGTGTTCTCTTTCCAACAAAGGACTCAAAACTGGACAAAGATGCAAAATCAATGCTATGATGCAGACGATGTTCCATTGCAAGAAATATTGTATCTTTGTGCGGGAAATCACAAGAAGACTATCGTGGGGGAGCCTTCGTGAAAATCTTGTAATCAATGAATATTTAGTGCTCAAGAATTTTGCAGTTTAGGTCTCTGAGTTGAATATGTTGCATTGCATGAGCCTCTCATTAAGCAGAAATGCTAGGTGTATTTCCATCATGAAACAAAACATAGCTGTGAAGTTATTTTCTCTACAAGAACACAGATATCAAAAAAATTCCGAACTCTAGCCATGCGTTTCGGAATCCCAAACCCGCCCGGTATCTGATAGTTAGTGACACTATACTTTTCTGATTGAGATATCTCAGCAAAGCGCCCGATTAGAAATATGCGATAACAATCACCATCAGCAAAGCCTGATTGGCATAAGCTAATCTGATAAGAGCGCACATGGCTCGATTAACGAGATAAGACACGGCACCACATTCCAAAACGGAGCCAGCATTCCGATAGTGCGGAAAAGCGCACCAATAACACCCAATCTCAGTTAGAATTTGTCCCTGTGACCTGGGAAAACGAGCGCTTTTATATACAATCGGAGATTATACGCATGCTTTGTCGCAGTAGTTCTTATCAGTACATGCCCCCGGACGCGCAGGCGGGGAAGATCATTTCCGAGGGCAATCTGTCAGTCGCTTACATGTCGAAATCGGGAAGTCAATTCCTCCATCTTTTCTAGATAAGTGCCCCTCCCCATTCCTACTTTTGTTTGTCTTTTTTCTTCTCATCAACAATGACCGTGACCGCACCGACGTACAAAGAAATCGCGTTAAAAAAGCGCCAGCTCAGAGACTCCAAGTTCTATCCCGAATGGAAAGTTCCAGAGGAAGACTTACCCAGTGCAGAAACAAAAGATGTCTCGAGCTGGATTTCGAGCTCCAACGTTCTTACACCGAAAGAATTGGAGATCACAGGCGCTTCGGCGGAAAAAATCGTTGACCGCATCAGAAACAAGGAATGGTCTGCTGTGCAAGTGTGCAAGGCTTTCTGCCATAGAGCCACTGTTGCCCACCAATTGACAAACTGCTTGAGCGAGGTGTTTTTTGATGATGCGTTGAAGCTGGCTCAAGAATTAGACGAGTACCAGGCTGAACACAATGACGTCAAGGGTCCTCTCCATGGATTGCCCATTGCCATGAAAGACAATTTCAACATCAAGGGTCAGGCTACTACTATTGGTGTGGTGAACTTTTGCTTCAATCCTGAGAAGTTTGACGAGGACGCTGTACTTGTGGCTATGCTCAGAGAATTGGGTGCTGTTTTCTACGTGAAAACAAATGTTCCGGTGGCTATGATGATGCCGGAGACAGACAATCACATCTACGGTAACACCACAAACCCATACAATAGATTGTTGTCTGCCGGAGGAAGCAGTGGAGGCAGCGCTAGTCTTGCTGCATTGAGCAATGTTATTGCCATTTCCACCGACATCGGTGGAAGTATTCGAATCCCAGCCAGTTATCATTGGGTGTACTCCTTGCGGCCTACTTTTGGAAGATTCCCAACGTATGGGGCCAGATCAGGATTACCAGGTTTAGAATCGGTCAATAGCGTCAATGGCCCAATCTGTTCCGACATTCACACCTTGGAATTCTACTGCAAAGCTGTGGTGGACAAAGAACCATGGTTATACGATCCAAAAATCACCGAGATTCCATGGAGACAAGTCAGCCTACCAGATAAATTATGTTTTGCTATTTTGGAAGATGACAAATGGGTTAGACCAACACCTCCAGTTCTCCGCGGTGTTCAAACAGTGAAAGAAAAATTGTTGGAAGCAGGCCATGAAGTCATAGAATGGGATTCCACAGATCACTTGCGCTTGTCCGAAATTACAACCAGTTTCTTCCTCAGTGACGGAGGTGTTCATCTCAAGAAGGAAATTGACGAGACAGGAGAGCCCTTCTTCCCTTACATGGAAATGTATGGAACTACTCCAGAGATGAAGGTATCAGACTTGTGGAAGTTACATGCGGAACGAACTGCTATAGCGAAAAAGTATTTGGACAGATGGAATGCGTCTGCTTCCAAAACTTCTACGGGAAGACCTATTGATGGGATTATCATGCCAGCGACGCCTTTCGCAGGTAATCCTAACGGAAAGTTCCACGATTATGTGGGATACACCTCGCCCTTTAATCTTTTAGACTACTCTGCTGGAACATTTCCAGTGACAAGAGCAGATAAAGATGTCGATTCACGTGAGGATGGCAGACTGGAGTTTTATTCGAGAACAGATGAAGCAGTGTGGAGAGACTATGATCCGGAGGAATCTCATGGAGGAGTGGTGGGATTGCAATTGGTGGGGCGCAAATATCAGGAAGAGAAAGTTGTGTCTATGTTGAAAGTTCTTTCTGAGGTACTTGCCTAACGAGTGATTGAGTTTTTGCTTCTAGATACATAATGTACACTTTGAATACACAAACGAATTAATAAATCAGTAATTGAATTTTGGACTTTCGAAAACGAATATTCTACTTACAAACATGTATTCTGATTCTGAGCTTACTTAGATTAATTTTGGGGCTAGAGTAGTTACGAGCACATTAGATAAATTCAGACCTTTCATGGACCGTTTTGTCATGACTGGAATCTCATTCTTGATTGTCGCCAAACACCAAATACGGACAGAATATCTCACCACATTAGCAATATGGATCAGCCGCATTTGGAAATCTTTGTCTTCATGGGAAGCGGAAATTGGCTTCCGGTTTCATGATAGGGTTCATTTTTTCCGTTTCTTTATCTATAGGTGCCGTACCAGTAAGGCTTATCAATCATGCGCAAAGAACCGAGGGTATTGCCGAGGGCATGAATTTTATGTCATTTCGCGATGCCTTTTCAGGCCTGTGAAGCGGATATAAATACAATAGAGCTGGGCCCGCTTCCAATGGACAAGAAGCTACATTGAAAACTGTGAATATGTTTTTGCTAAGCAAAGTCGCCGGCTATTTCAATGGAGGGACTTCGAGTGTCGAAGAGAGAAAACTTTTGGTGAAGATCGACTGGTTCGTACTTTCCTTCTGCTGCTTGCTTTATTGGGTCAACTATTTGGACAGACTCAACTTGAGCAATGCCTATGTCAGTGGAATGAAAGAGGATTTGAACATGAAGGGTGATGACCTCAACTTGATCAATACATGTTTCAACATTGGCTACATTGTTGCGTTGGTTCCGCACAACCTTATTCTTCTCAAAGTTCGTCCAAGGTACTGGTTACCGTTCTGTTCTTTCAGCTGGGGTCTTCTTACTTTGGGGATGTACAAAGTCACCTCTTACAAGCAATTGTGCGTCATTCGGTTCTTTCAAGCGACGTTCGAAGCTCTGACATTTTCTGGATGTCACTTGATTCTCGCATCTTGGTACACTGAAAGCGAGTTGGCAAAAAGGTCAGCAATTTTCACCTCCAGTGGATTAATTGGAAACATCTTCTCTTCCACCATGCAAGCTTCGATCTACGAAAATATGGACATGAAAAACGGTCTTGCCGGATGGCGATGGTTGTTCATTATTGATTTTATCATCACAGTACCCATCACTATCTATGGTTTAATCTGTTTTCCTGATACGCCTGACACATGCCAGGCTTTTTATTTCAACGACAAGGAAATAGCCTTGGCCAAAAGCAGAATGAAGGTCAGAGAGAAAACAAAAATGGACTGGTCTGTGTTCAAACGTGTTCTTGGCCGCTGGCACTGGTACCTCTTTTCTTTCCTTTGGGTTCTCGGAGGTGAAAATGAATCTTTTGCCACAAACTCCTTGTTTTCGCTTTGGTTGCAGTACTTCAACTACACCGTTCCTCAAAGAAACCATTACCCGATGGGAGTGTATGCCATTGGAGTTTTGGGAAACTTCATATGCTGCTATTATATTGATCTCACCAAGGGAAAGTACCATTGGCGAGCCGGCCTCGGGATAGCTTGCATGATGCTTATATCAACGATTCTTCTCACGTCTAACCCGCTTTCCAAATCTCATGTCTTTGCTGCTCATTATCTTAGTGGGTTTGCATATTCTGGACAGGCGGTTTTCTTTGCGTGGGCCAACGTCGTGTGCTATAATGACTTGGAAGAAAGGGCAATCGTTCTAGCTTCCATGAACATGTTCAGCAATGCTGTGAATGCATGGTGGCTGTTGCTCTTTTATGGGGCATCCACGGCTCCCAAATTCAAGAAAGGTTGCTATGCCATGTTTGCGACAGTGATATCCAGTGCCATAGTGATATGCGCAATGCGGTACTTGCAACTACGGGAGGAGAAACGCCAGCCCGAGGAAGAAATGTCGCCTACAGAAAGCGAGTCTGGTGCATCTTTGACTAAGGGAACCAATAGAATTAAGGTCGATGAAGTGTCCGTGCACTCTTCGGCATGAATACTAATATGATTAATATAAATGTACTAATGCGAAATTAATAGTATTGACCGAACGTCACACTGATATGTTAGTGTACTGCAAGCAAATTCGGAGAGAGAAACAGTTAAATACTACATTGTACTTTATCCGACTTGATCAAATTCACATCCGACTAGATCAAATATAGAGAAACTAACTTTACCAGAACACTTTGTAAAATAGGGGATAATAGTTTTTGCTGAAATTTCAAATGGTGTATGGCGGGTTATGTTCTTGAACCTTGGTGATTATTTTAGATACGTCACCATGTTGATGATGTCAGTGACGTAATCTTGTATGCAAGGCCCGTAAAGAGCAGATGCAACATGAAGTGCATGCCTGACATTTTGCTCTCAAAAATGTAGTCTCCACATTTCAGTGCCAAATTTCCCCTACCAAAGAAAAAGTAAAAAAAAAAAAAGGAAGGCAAATGGGGAAAGCTAATCGTGACCTGCCAAGCGGCTACTTGCGAAGATGGATCTCGCCCCTACTATGCCGTACCGAATAAAGATCTTGCATGTTATTGTTGAGGGAAATAAGAAATACGTAGATTAAAAAACTCAAGAGGGCCAGCCCCGCACTTTATATGAGTTGTGTACGGAATACCGCACATCAAAACGCCACACACAGATGAGCATTATTGACTTCTGTTTTCGAACCGCCTAATGGTTTCCAAGGAGCTTAACGGCAACGCAAGCCCACTCGTAGCTTCTGCTTCAAGCGACCAAACAGACTGTTCGTATAGTGTCAAGGAGTCCAGACTATTGTTATTATCATGAATGTTTTGCGACTTGGGCAGCTCCCCTCCACTCAACTTCCACTTGTAGTTATGATATTCCCGTACAACTTCGTCCAAGTCGACGACAGGGTGCGGTTGTTGGTTATTGGGGTATGGTGGGCAGTCCCGTGGCTGAGCTTCGTATTCGGAAACTTGTATGAGACCCATGCTGGTGAAGTCCAGTGGTGTTGGAGATGGCGTTCTCAGAAACGGCAAACACTCATCTTTTATTGTCCCCAAAATGAATGATTCCTCCAGATAGGGATGCGTGGATGGTGTGCAGGCCCATCCTGCAAGGGTCTTAATTTAGAGAATGCGTAATTAAGGTTATAAGCACAGGGACATTCGTGGTTGTCAAATATTCCCTGAGGCTTTTCCGTACGTGATAAGAAAGTTAGCGAGAAAATAAATGTTACAGACGTCTTTCCAAACTCATCAGCTCTGTGTCTTGTTGATCAAAAACATTTATGGAGGCGTAGCGTGTATTTCATCTGGTGGCTGCAGGACACAGATAAATATGCATGTTATCTTTTGGCTAGAGCACGAACTAAATGCAACGTGAATACGCCCAATCTCATAACCAAAAATACGACATTCCTTCGTAGTAGAGGAGTAAAGCCGTATTGCCCCACGTATTCATGCGCCGAGACTTGAATCGTCAAGAAAAGAAAGAGAAGGAAGAAAAAATGGGGCAATTTTCCCTTCTGTGGAGACATAGACTGTAGTACACAGGATATCCATACGTTGGCCAGGCTGCCGGGCTGACCTTAAGTAGCAAATCTAGATGGGAATACATTAAATCAGGCTAGTGCCAGTCACCAGGACTCGCAGACTAGCAAAAAAAAAAAAAAACCATATCAGACTGAAAACCAACAACACAAAGGTTATTCGAAAGCTTCTCCCGCCCTCTCTATCATAAACGTCCTGGACTTTAAGAACCAAACAGCCCAGTTCGGGGCGTGCCACCCGTAAATTAAACCCTCGCCTCCAGTACGAGAAACAGGAATAAGAATAAGGTTAGTTACAGGACAATACTCTTTGCCCGAAGTGCTTGAGCTTCCCAAAAGATACTTGATAGTGTCTGAGAAAACACCAATCTGTCCTCGTTTGAGATCCACGATTGTTTTAGGAGAGCCTGACACAATATCGCCAAGCGCAACGACGTTTTCAGTTCCTTTTACTACCAAATGTTTGTCTGTCAAAACCCATCCGGCCTCGTCTTTAGCAGATGCTGGCACAAAATCCGAAAAAGGCGTTTCCCTAGTAGCTTCGATCACCACATCAAAAGTTTTCGTTTCTCCATTGTCAAAAACAACCTGTGTTCCCAGCGCAGTGGATTTCGTTTCCACAGATTTCACTCCGTTAATAACTTTCACGCCTAACTTATTTAATTTGTCTGTTGCCCCTCTAGTCAAGCTTGGAAACGTGGGCAAGGGTCCCACTGAGCCAGTATAGAGTGTCACCAGGATACTCTTGTACTTGGACGCAATTTCACCACAAGTTTCGACTCCTGTGGGTCCTCCGCCAATAACTGCCACCAGCTTGGCAGTCTGAAGCTGGGAAACAGTCTTTTTAATGGCAGCCTTAGCTTCGTCAGCTGAGCTGTTCACCTTGAAGCCCGCAAAATTGGATCTTGCCCCCGTAGCAATCACCAAAAGGTCGTACTCGATCTTTTCAGCCTCTTGCGGATTGTGGCTAGTTTCCACAGAAACACTGTTGGAAGTGAAATCAGCCTTCGTAACTTTCCCCTGGACAAATCTAGCCTTGCCACCCGAATACTTACGAACAAAATCTTCCACTGAGAAAGTCACTTGGTCGAATTTTTCAGGTTCAGCGAGTAGCCTCGGACTAATGACATTATAGTACGCGTGTTTGGACATGGATACCATAGTGATATCCATCTCCACATCAGCGTGGTTATTGCATATGGAAGAGAAGGCCATGTGGCCCGCATAAGAGCCGCCAACAATGACAATTCGAATGGGTTTGTCCTTCGTCATCGCGGTGGACATTTTTAAAACGTCAAGTAAGGATAACCGAAGTAAGAGGACAAGTCAAGCAAATGTGCGTTGTGCATAATTTGATGCAGGGAAAGGCAAGTGTTCGCAATGTATAGGATGTCAAACTGTGAAGTGGCATGTGCAGTAGAGGCAGCTCTATGTACACTTCCTTGATAAACCAGAGACCAATCCACTGGAGTCTATCAAAGTTAACTCAGACAGAGAAGGGCAAAAGTAATGGTAGATGGGGTGGCCATTTTGGTTTGTGAAGCTTAGACATACCAAAAAAGGGTAAGAGGGAACCATCCTAGAGAAAGTAAGTGAACTTATATAGCCGTATTGTCTACACGAAGTGACCTTTCAAAAGCTTAAAGGGAGTATTAGGTCATTAGATTTTCTCATTATACATCTGTGAAATTAATCTGGAATAATCCTGACGTTCATACTGCGTAAGAGATTTTTAGCACAAACTTCATCTCTAATCTATGGTCCATAGACTGCTTTCGAAAAAAAATGGTTCGCAAACTATTACTTTCCAATGGCATTTTGGAATTCTGGTTCTTGGTTCTGCTTACGTTCCATTCGTAGATCAAGCCCTTTTAAGCCTTTGCATGGGGACAAGGCTGAACGTCATTATTTCTGATACAAAGGTCGCAGTTCCAATTCCATTTGAAGCTTAGGTATGCCGAGGTGATAAATAATTTAATTACAATTGTAAGCGTATACGGGTTTTATATTTAACATCAAAAAGATAAAGAAAGCTTCGATCTCTAATACATCTCTGAAATTTATTCAAATAACTAAGATAGCGCGCAGATTCATTACTCGGTCAATTTTCTCCCATCGGGAAACACTAACATTCAAAAAACAGCTGAAAGTACAATTGTCTAGAGTCCCTTTGGGTTTATTAGAAATGATTTACATTAGTTCTGAAACATGGTTTTACAGTATTGATTTTTTTTCGTTCTTTTTGTTTTTCGTATTTGTGCATTTCAGCTATCAGAGTACAAAAAAATGCGAATAGCCTGAAGATCTGCGACCCAACAACTTAACACCAATACTTGTTTGAGACGGCTTACACAACTCTAATCAATCCCACATTAGCCACTGCTCTCTATCTATGATGGGGAATGTCATCATCAATAAATGTAATCGATTAGACTTTTATATGAATAGATGAGCTCTCCATGTCAACCTCACAAGCCAACTTCATCTTTCGGCTGTTTAAAGCACTTAAACTATCTTATAGCACCAGTATTGTGACCTTTTACATTAGCTTACCGAGCCATGTTTCTTAATGGGCAATGCAATCGGTTTTGTCTTGCAGCCTGTCGTGGCCGACCCCTACATATAAACCAGCCGCGACATCAGCGACATGGAGATCTACATTCAAGGGCAATACTACGAATTCTACTTCAACAGCGACACTGTCCCCTGAGTCTTGCTAAGCAACTTTTTCTCTGTCATCACTTGTTGCGACATCTCAACCCCTAAACTCAACTGGCGACACCTTCATGTCGCAGGATCCCAACTTTCCCCGTCCGCGGGCCGGACCAGGTATTCATGCTGTGCAAGTCAATAACGCGAGAGAAATGGTGGCAATGCATGTTAAAGGCCGTAATCCGGCGCGCCAAACGACATCAGCAACGCTTCATTCCAGAATAGGGCGGCCCACGCAAGAAGTCAGCATCGAAAGCCTGGTTGTCGAAGTTTCAAGGGCAAACGGAACGACAGAAGTCAGCAGCAAATCCGAGCAGCAGACAGAAACGCAGTTTATTTCAAATAAAGCCACAGTGAACACTACAGGACAATCTTTCGAAGCCACGGCCACTTCTGCTTTTATACCACCATCTGTGTGTGTCCCCGCCCGCAACAGCGGCCCTTGCACCAACCCTCAATGCACTCTGTGCGGCCAAGTAGTCATTCCACTGCCGGTAGCCCGTTTTCCTTTCCGTGAGCGGCCTTCCATCAGTGTTGGCGAATGGAGCATTTTCACGCAGAAAGGCTCGATTCTTCTGCTGGACGAGTTGGACCGCTTGGCTGAGCGCTACGCTTTTCCTCTCCCGGAAATGATCTTCGGCCACAATCATGTGCGTGTTGTACACGACACCAGTGGTGCTAGTGTCGAGTTTAATACACTTGATGCTCTAGATGCGCTCGATCCCGACTCGGAGATGAAAGTTAGCTATCACCATGAGTGGCTTTCGACACGGCCTCGGGCGGCCGAGAATTTGGAAAACCCATCTGTGGAGAGTGTCCGGCCGTACGACTGGACCTACACGACAAAGTATCGAGGCACGATCGTTGGTGGAGCATTTGAGCCCACAGAGGAGAAAATCCCGCTTGATAAGCTCAAGCGGCCAGAGCCGATCCTTTTCTACGATGAGGCTATCTTGTACGAGGACGAGCTTGGCGACAATGGCATTCTGGTGTATCTGACCAAGATTCGGGTGATGCCTACATGTCTTTTACTCTTGTGCCGCTTCTTCTTGCGCGTGGACAATGTCGCGGTACGCATCCGCGACACGCGACTTTATGTTGATTTCGAGTCTGGCCATGTGCTTCGTGAGCATCGGGTCCAGGAAGCAGCATATGATGAGGTTTTTGCCCGGGCAGGACGCGCCTCAGACCCCAAGAAACTTTTACGTGACTCTAACTGGGTAGCGCAGAACTTACCGGTGATGTCGTGCGACACTGAGCGCTTTGTCGAGGATCCAAATGTCGCTGCAAATGTCGAAGGTGCAAAAGTCGAGGGTGCAAACACCCTACAAACTGGTGCGGCCCAAACTCCACCTGTATCTTAAAAAGTCCAGCCATAAATGGGGCAGCACAAGTCAATGACTGACTATCCGGAAATTAGTTCATGGGTTATTAAAAGGTTAAACTATATGTAATTTGCAGTAATACAAATCGTACATGTACAAAAGCACTACCCCAGTTGGAAAAATTTGTGTGCGCGCACCGCCAGATCTCAAGAAAAAAAAACCACTGAAAGACTTCATCTTCAATGTTCTCTACCCGGCTTATCTCATCGAGACGCTTATTGCATCTGGTTCCCAAGTTGAAAAATGCTGCTGAATTCACCGAAAAGGGAATCGCCGGATTGTACTCGCCTCAAGGATTCCGCACAGCTTGGCTCGATTACCAGAAATATCTAACCGCTCAACTTTCTTTACGGACTGTCGGTACAGAAAACGAGACTCGTACGCCGTACCAGATCCTTTTGCTGACAGCAAAACAAACTACACAGCAGCACACTTTCCACTATGCTTCTCAGGCCCACAACAACCACTTCTTTTTCGAGCAGCTTTCGGACAAGGAAACTGCACAAAAAACCAAGCCGCTGAGGTTTTTGATGGAGCGTCTTGCCGACCAGAACATCACTTCTCTCGAAGAACTTCGGACGGCAGTCAACTCCCGCGCAAATTCTGTTTTGGGCCAAGGATGGGTTTTCTTGGTGGAAAAGGAAGACAAGTCGGTTGAGCTTATTACGTGCCACAACGACGGCACTCCATACTATTGGGGAAAACGCCAGGCTTTGGACTTGAACGGTGCTGTGGACGAGGCTAGTTTTGATGCGTTGGAGGCGGCCAAAAACGCTGCACACCAACTTGATTTCACCTTGCCTCTTTTAGCCATCAACTTCTGGGACGTGGCATATTACGAAGACTACGGAATCACTGGCCGGGCAGAGTACTTGGACCATGTGTGGGACTGCATCAACTGGGACGTTGTCAATCGGAGAATGTTCCAGATCTAAGAATACTGTTCTGAAAACGGAACATAAAAGTAGATCAACAACAAGAGCCTACATGACACTGACATCTCGCACGAGCTTCACATGATTACAGACTAAAATAGTTCCATCTGCATGTACATAGAAATAGACGGAAGTGGATAAAAGATGAGAATATATTTTATATTCCAAACTATCAAAAGGAGAATTTTTATAAGTTGCCCAAGCTCGTGAAAACACGACGATTCTAGCAAGTATATATTCGTAACTCATCACAAGCGAAATTCCAGAAATTCCATTTTCAAGACGTAATGCACGCCACGTTTCAGCCAAAGATCATGTTTCAGCCAAAGATTGTTTGCCCTAGAGCCATAAATTGAATGCCTCACACTGAACCCATTTCTTCGTGCGTCGCCTGGCACGCTGCCACAATGGCTTCAAAATCCTTTTCCATGTCGCTTTTTCCCATATCACATTCGGCCATGCGCTCGCCGACCGCCTGGCTTTCTTGCACCGCTGCACGCATTGCCGTGTCAGAATACCAGTTGCCAGGCAGACACCGCACCAAGTTCGGTATGAGGTCGCAGAGCGCGCGAATGGCGCCCAAACGCTGCACAACTTGTCGGGCGATCGCCTCGAGCCGCGCAGTTTCTTCGGGCATTCGAGCGGCAGCGTCCGCCCGCGTGATTTTGAGATTCTCTAGAGTATTGCGCACCGCCTCCAGATTTGCATGGAGCTCGCGCCATTGGCGCACGGACGGCGCCACACGCTGCTCCAAAAGCACATCGATTTGCGCCGCGAGTTGAGACCGCCGCACTGCTAATTCATGTCCTTCTTTGCTGGCATCCACGACATGCGAGATGTTGGCTGCATGCGTGTTGTAATGAGAATACAACTTCTTCAGGTTGTTGAGAACGGCAAACTCGCTGTCAGTCAAAGATTCGTTGCCATGGTATGTCGCACGGAGAACCGGTAGAGCCGCAGCCAAAAACGTATCAAGCAACGCTTCGGTGCGGAATCGCGCATTGTGAAGTTCGAGGAATGTTGAGAGCTCAGCTCGTGGGACATGCGGAATACACTCTGCAGCAGCGTCAGCCTGTATGCGGAGCTCTTCTATAGAAACGCCTTGCAACTGTTTGCGTTTATTGAGAACGACGAGACGCGCTACTTCCTTGGCGAGAGCACGATGTACGCGGCAATACTCTTCGTCAAGGCCGCTCACACGACTCGGCCGTGGCCAGATATGTGGGACGCCGGATTCGTGGTTGCGTAGCACATCTAGAAGCGTGTCACAGACGTCAGCGATTGAAGACGACATTGTGTTGATGGTGTTTTGGTTTGTAATGTCGTGCACCTTGGGTGTGCATGCATGGGGGTAACGTGCAAAGGAAGAAATGTCGTTGTTGTCGTTGGTTTTTTTTTTTTTTTTTTCCCTCACCAAATGTCGTTTCTCACATTAATCGCACCAGGCGCACACAATGAAATGTCGCACACCTCTTGTTCTCCCAGTCTCCATGGTGCCCTCTGCAAAAAAAAGATACTTGGCAATCCTCTCGCTGGGCGTATTTGCCCATTACTCGCCGCTGCAACTTGAAGCGTTGCATTCTCAACTTGCCGCGTTCCTCTCCACTAACGCAGACTCGCTCGACCTCACCGATTTGTTCGACCTCCGTCACTTACACTTTTTGGTGCTGCTCTTAACCAACAGAGACAATGAGGCCCGTGCGTGTCTCGACAGACTCCACGACCAATTCGGCAACCAGAAGTCGCAAAAGCTTATGGTTCTTCGTCTGATGCTATACGAAGCAACCTCGAGCAAAAGAGACGCCATTGCGGCGCTTGGCAAGGACGCCAATGATCTTCAAACGAGCCGCCGCTTGACGACTCTCGCACGGCGCAAAGACGACGGCTCGCCCGACCCAGTGGAGTATGTGCGTGCCTTGACACACTACTTGGATCTTCAGCCCGGCGACCCAGTGGCGTGGGCCGAATTGGGCGACCAGTACAACTTGACGGGCCATTATGACAAGGCGGTGTATTGCTTCCAGGAGGTGTTGATGGTGCAGCCGCTTGCGTACAACATGTTCTACAAAGTTGGGTTGAACCAGTACTTGCGCCTCTTGCAACAGGACGACCGCAGCGACAAGAAAGAGCGCCTTCTTGCGGGCATGGAGCTTTTGCAAGGCGCGCGCGACGCCTTTTTGCGGGCGGTCGAGCTCAGCGACTCGTACTCGCGCGCGTGGGTGGGCGTCTATGTGACGTGCGGGCACGGCTTGGTTGCGCGCCTAGGCGCCTCCGCGCCGCTTCGCGCGAATACGGCCGTGGCAGCGTTTGTGGCCGAGTGCGGCCGGCTCCGCGCTGTCAGTCGCGCCCGCGTCATGGAGTTGGAGGGCATGTCGCCCGAAGAATTCAAAGAGCTAGAGACGCAAAAGGCCACATGAGCAGTTGAAATGGGTGCCTTTTGGCCTTAGAAAATCTTGGTGCCGCAAATTATTTTATCGCATGTGCACACTGCTGCCCGATTGTGTGATGCCGCTTTGCGTGTGGGACGTCATGCCAATCATGCGTAGCTACGTTTAGCCCACCTTCGGCTCGGCCATGGACCTCCGAGCAGCCAATGGCTTGATGAATCTGCATACGGGCCGTTCATGGCGTTCATGGCACTCTGTTTTCTTCATCTCCTAATTCGGCCTCCTTTCCCCTATCCACGTTTCCTCTACTTCATTCCTCGACCGTCTCTCCTCTCCTACATAAAAACCTGTCAATGATATCCATTGCTATACATTACTTGTGGGAGGCGCCGCACTTGCACACGTCGCCGCACTTGCAGTCGGAGCCGCAGGAGCACACTTCTTCGGGGTTTTGATAGGAGTACATGATAATAATGATGATGATGAGAGAAATTGGGGTGGGAATGGGTCCACTTATATAGCCAGTTGGCCGCACATGCAGGCACTATGGGTGACCCAAGGTCATGCACACAAGTTCATCCCCCACAAATGCATATCACCAGAATACTCTGATATCTGCTAGAAAGTAATGCCTCAGTTCGGAAAAGGCAGTAAAACGGATCTGCAAAGATGCTGAATCCATATTGTGGATTCAAAATCAGCCCCATGTTTACAATTTGTCCATGCGGACCCAAGAGTCGTCTCGGATCCTACGAAAGATAAGATAAGATAGCACATTCCAAATGCGCAACTTTACAAGAAACGAGAAAACTATGACAGCAATAGTCACGAACACCAGGCCTATCCGAAAAAAGTGATCAGACTTCCATTTCCCGTTCATTCAAGTTCCAATCTTCCAATATGCGCATCCGTCCATCATGGTGGAAAGAACACTCATCAGATACGGGAATGCTGTCTACTAAAAACTAGAGTCGGGCAGAGGTAGTCTTATCAGGAAAATCAGAAAGCAGTGAAGGTTTTTTTTGAATCATCTCCAAATGAATAGACACAGCTAAAATAAGTGCAAAACAAAGCGACGATGTGCATCGAAGGCCCTCATTAAGGACATTCCACCGAATGATGACACATTGGCATCACCCTTGTTTAAGCACTTAATTTTGCAAACATCATCCTAGGATTTCAAAAGACCTTCTTTTGCATTGACTACTGATTGTTCTGTATAATATGGAAAGCACAGAATAGAACTGCGTCTACATTGAATTGTAGCGATCTAGAAATGAAAGTTAGGCATAATTTGTAATACAGAAGGAGGAACGACCAGTGCCTAGAGAAAACACAAGTGATCGTTTGACTTATCTACAATCAATCCACGTAGCTACAAATTAAGTCATACTTAAATTAGATATATTCCAATGCAATTGAACACTTTCAATCAATGACTTCACCTCTAAAGTATGTATATTCCCTCCTGGAAAAACTCTAAAATATATGTATTCGAATAGTATATTATGACATGAGACCTAGCGCAAAGCAGCAATCAGAACTCTCCCTTTTGATGGATGTCGTCACGGGCCAAAACGTCCTCCAAAATGCCAGCAGAAGCCGCAACCAAACCCAAAAATGGTCTCAGCGGATCCAAAACCTTGGAACAGTACTCAGGGTGGTACTGCGTACCCACAAAGAAGCGGTGTCCCTCAAGCTCAGCAATCTCCATCCGCTTCTCGGATTCATCCTTACCAATGAACTTCAATCCAGCACGTTCAATGCGCTCGATCATGCGTGGGTTCACCTCGTAACGGTGACGGTGACGTTCCAAAACAGATTCGGCGCCGCCGTACAATTTGCGCAATTTCGACCATTCCAGGTCAGCCACAAATTTGGTGGTGTGGATTCCCAAACGCATGGTTCCACCCAAGTTGATTTGATCCACATCGGGCATGTAAACAACCGAGGCGTTCTCCTCGGTAGCTGATGGGTCGAATTCCATCGACGTCAGTCCGGCCACACCCAAAACATGACGCACAACATCCATCACAGCAACCTGCAAACCCAAGCACACACCCAAATATGGCACATCGTTTTCACGAGCATAACGGGCAGCGGCCACCATTCCCTCAATACCACGAGAGCCAAAACCACCGGGAACAAGAATTCCATCGGCCTGACAAACCAAGTGCCATGCACGGTGGTATGCAGCCAAGTCAGCGGACTTTGTCTCGTCTTCAAGGTGAGAAGACTCGACCCACTCGATCTTCAAGCGGCGGTAACATCTCATGGCAGAGTGCTCCAAAGCCTTGATGACAGACAAGTACAGGTCCTTCAAGTTTGTGTACTTACCCACAAGAGCAATAGTGACGTTCTCAATGGAACGGTCATGAGCAGATGTCAAGGTTCTCCAGCTAGCCAACAACTTCTCTCCACGTGCACGAATTTCGGGCGCCAAGGTAGCAGAATCCATCTTCAACTTGCGGGACAAAAACTTCATCATGCGTTGCTCCTGCAACAACAATGGAACGTGGTAAGTAGAGTTGACATCACGAATGGCAATCACTTGCTCTGGGCCAACATGGCAGAACATGCCGATTTTCTGGACAGTTGCAACCTCCAATTCTTCAGAACAACGACAGGCAATCATGTCTGGAGTCAATCCCAACAGACGCAAGTCCTTGATGGCGGCTTGAGTTGGCTTTGTCTTCTGTTCACCATGGATCACCAAAACGAGCGAAACGTGAATCAACGCAAAGTTGTCCACGCCCACACGGAACTGGAATTGACGCAATGCCTCGACGAATGGAGCACTTTCAATGTCACCCACAGTTCCACCCAATTCAATGATACAAACCTCTGGTTCTTGGCCCAGCTCGTCCACAGGAATTCTAGCAACACGCTCGATCCAGCTTTGAATGGCGTCGGTCACATGTGGAACCACTTGGACTGTTTTACCCAAGTAGTCTCCCTTACGTTCTCTTTCAATCACATGCGAGTAGATTTTACCCGTGGTGATGTTGTGGTCACGCGTCAAAGTGATGTTGAGATATCTTTCGTAGTTACCCAAATCCAAATCAACTTCACCTCCGTCATTCAAGACAAAACACTCACCATGCTCGAGCGGAGACATAGTTCCCGCGTCAATGTTCATGTAAGGGTCGATTTTGATGGAAGTGACTCGGTAACCCAAGGTTTTAAAAAGCAAACCGGTGGAGGAGGCCAAAACGCCCTTTCCGATTCCGGAAATGACTCCTCCAGAAACAACAACGTATTTCATGATCTTTTTGTTTTTTGTTTGAGAGAGATGTTACTAGCCACTTTACACTAGCCCTCTTAAATGAGATTTAAGCGGGAAGAAGAAAAGAGGAGTCAGCGCAGAAAAAAAATCAATGTCGCGATGGGGTGGTAGCGCAGTCTGTGCAGGTTCCAATCGGTCTTTTGAGTACAGGTCCAACAACGAAAGCCAAGCATTGTGTTTTCATTGGAATCTACTTCATGTTCAGGCGGAGTTATTATCAAATGGATGGCAACATAATTTGAGGTAGAAAGTTGGCAGGCAAAGGGGAAAACCCGAATACTTAGATTGCCCGATGATTCAGACCTCTCTTATCGGGACATCGCTGGTTCAACGTGTAGACAGCATGAAAGATATGTGATAAAATAGAGACATAAGTTATTTGGTAGAGCAAAAAAAAAATGATCAGGGCATACATTGTAGAGTCATTGTGTAATGAACATCAACGGCAATGGTTGAAAAAAAAACCTTCATGTATGCTTCTTCTCATGAATTTTCATTCTCTCTTAATTTCCCATTCCTGAGTCGTCATATAGACCGACTGCTTGCTTTATTGATACGAATGCGTGTCTTTATGGCCAATTCAATGAATCGAGTTGTAGAATTTGGAAACGGATTGAGTTACTGAGCTTCTTCAAAATCACCTACTATGTAGCAATGCAAAGCTATGCAATGAATTGATCCTGACTTGAACCCATTCACTTTTCAAACGAAAATGAAATAGAAAAATGCTGACGAGTTCTTTTGCATACTTTGAAAGAAAATCTTCTATAGATCCCACCACTGAGACATATAATTTAACTTAGGTTAATGTTCATCAATTGAGAACATTGTTCTGGCCAGTCTTGAATGTCTGTTCAGCATGGCCTGTCACCCCAGCATTGTATTACTGCACTAGAAGTAGCCATATCTACATCTCCACGCTACGTTGAACAGTGCCAATTCATTATCTTGTCTGCCGTGTTATACACTTCAGCCTATAACTAAAGACAGAAGTACCTTCAACAGCAGGGTATTGATGTTTGCCGCTCAAGAGCGATGAATCTAGGAAACCCAGAGACATCATGGCAAATTTACAGTCCACATTTATGGAAAATGAAGGTGAAAGAAACGCCAGTAGCATGCTGAATTTGTTCTCGTCACAAATGTACATTCACAATTAAAATTGCACAAGGCTGAAAGCAGGCGCTTCATATAATCTTCACACCGCCAATCTGGCTCGAGCCGTCCTCGGCCTTGAGAACCTGCGCCTTCCCCTGTTTCATCAAGACATCAATTGCCCGCACAAAGAGGTTATAGTCGATATTTCGGAGAAGCGGGTCAGTTTCCTCCAGCTTTGTCAATTCGTACACTGTCAACACTGTTCCAAGCTGGCCAGTGCTTTCTACGTGCTCGCGTATAAGCGCCGCCCACTCCGCTGGGGTCCGCCAAAAGAGCAAAATGCCCGCATCCCGCTTTTTCGGATCCACATACGCTGCTCGTCCGAGTTTCGACACCAAATGAGCAAAGATCTCCTTTCTAAACTCGTCCAGCACAGCTCGCTCAATCAGTTTGTTTTCGAAAAGCGGCGGCAACTCCTGAGGCTGTTGTTGCACCAAAACTGTTCCACTATCCAGAATGGAGAAGATGCGGAAATGCTCGCAGTAATCGAGAATAAGGGCACCCCAGGCCTCAAGCTGGTTTTCTAAGATCGTAGCATTTCGTTGCTTGGTGTAAAATGGCGGGAATGAGTGTATCTTTGGGAATTCAAACATACTTACCCGCTAGAGAAGTAGGTTGGTGTGTATGAAGGTGCACGGGTGCTTGTAGCAATAGGACACATTGAAACATGACAAACATGAACGAAAAAAGAAGACTTCCGAACAAACGTCGACAGACACCGCCTTACAAAACATAAACATGACAAAAAGAAGAAAAAAAAAGACAAAAGACCACAGCTACAGCATTTCCAAAAATATTATATGTTCAGTATACAGACGTGATCATCACGAAACACTTAGGCCTCAGCCATGTCTCTCAAACGACGGATGGTCGATCTGACAGTGGCAGCAGCAGCAGTAGAAACAGTGTAAGCACCACCAGCAATGGTCTTCTTACAAGACTTGCAGTTCCAGATACCAGTAGCGTTTCTTTGAACAGATCTCTTACCGCAGAAAGAACAGTCGTACTTGGCGTGTTGTTGAACTTCCAACTTCTTGGTTTGTCTTCTCAAGGAAGAACCGTATCTGACACCGAACTTACCAGTGATTCCGACCTTCTTAGTTCTCTTAGTCCTGAACTGTTAGTATACGATGCAAAGGAAGATGGAGCGGGCTAGCAGGATCATGAAGGAAAACGGAGATATCTGACTAAAGAAGAGCTTCGAAAAGTCAACTTTGTCCACAAAATCTCCTGGCTTTAGACTTCAAGCCTTCATCACGGAAAAGGAGAATTCAATCGCTAGAGGATCCTCATAAGCCAATCTATGTTCCTCGTCTATTCTCAACCATTCGGACTGCCCATATCATTATCGAAGTTAACATACATGTTGCTGTGTTTGTGAGTTGAAAAAGACTAGCTAAAAATTTCGCAGGACTTTTCAGTAGCAGAGACACGGCGCGGGAGATTTTTTTTCGTAGTGCGTGGCACACTCGCATCGGGAAGTTCTCAGTCACGTGTAATCAATGGGTCATAGGGCATGCGCCCTAGTGGCTGCAAATATGCGCGCCTATATATATGCGCCCCAAACCTTATCTGCTGATTTGCTTTGGTGCTTAAATCCAGCATTTTTGTTTTCTTTACTAGCGCCCATAGGAGTGATTTCTAGTTCTCTCTGTTTATTCCAATCCTTTCTCCTTTCTTGTTCCTCTTTCGTGTTCCCGGGGCTTTGTATCTTACAGCCCTTTCTCCGCCTAGCTTTGGATCCTGTAACTACTCGCCTACTGCCTTGAATACCACCTTAACGTGTTCCATGTTCAGTTCTTCTAGTAGTATGCATCTCTTCTATATCTTGCTCCTACTAACTAGCAGGGTCCCCATCAGCAGGAGGTGCCATTGACTTCAATACCTCACTTCGCTTCTTTCCTGATGAGACACCGGTTGCGACCCATGATTATGATGCCCAGCCAACAATCTCGTCTCCCTTGAAAAAAATACTAGGACAGAAGATCGACCTTCCCACTGAAGATAAATCGAACTCTGCCCACAGTTTCAGCTGGTTGGACGAAGTGTTTACACTCACACCTCTGGAGCTTGCAGTTTTAGAGCGAACTCAGTCGGATTACACATGTGGAGTTCTACACAAAGGTTCGTATTGTAAAAATGACTTATACTGCAGTTTGCATCTGTTTGACCAACGCACACATGTGCACAGATCCAAGCCATTGGCAACTTTGATAGCAGATGAAATGTGCCGCCCAGCTTGGTTTCGAAAACAGCATCGTTTAATTAAGCTTCATCATACTTGCAAAGCTCTCTGGGATGCGGGTCCTGAGAGCGAGCCTGGAACATGCTGCTTGAGTAGTTGTTGTGGGGACGATGACGTCGCACCATCTAGAGAATTGCCCTCTTCACCTATTGCGTCCGCTATAGGAACACCAGAGAAGGAATTCCAACCCCGTAAAAAGTACAGGCTGCCAAAAGACTTCTTTCTTAGCAAACTCTCGCGAGCAACTGCGACAGAAATTGAAGACAGTGTCAGCTATCTACACCTCAAATTGAGTTGCTATGAGAGCATTGATTTGGAAGTCAGAACCCGCGAGATCCACGCTCGTTACCATATAAATTAAAAAATTGGATGCCACCCACATCATGATCCGTGTTTGAGCCAGCAACCTAGTTGGAACCATGGGAAGGATCGCCAATGTTTCTGCGTGGAAATAAATCTACTGCTTCCATTTCAGTATCCTCACTAGTAGCACCGAACTGAATATCGTCATTCAAAAACACTGGCGGTTGCGATATCTGGGGCGCATCTCCAGGACGGACTGCAACTGGCCCAGTGTCAGTAATACCGTTGATGTTGGCAGCCCTCCGGCGATTCAATTGCTCTAGTGATAGCAATTGACGAAGAATGGCATCAGCATCATTATATCTCGCTCCATTGACCACCATAGGGGTCTCAAGTTCGCTTTCTGGAGACATATTAGTTCTTCGCAAGCCGCCTAAACCGCGTTGCGCAGCCCATGCCGACATGTCTTCCTCACCTTCCATGTTTTCGTCTTCTGTAGCTGCAGGTTGTACGGATGCTGTCATCACGAATGACTGATTACCGAAAACCTCATTCGGAGGGGATGGGGATATACCTGTAGGAGAACGAGTAAGTTCAGTAGTTTGTTGACCAAGAACTCTTCTTCGTCTCTCCGGGAAAATGCTGGTCACATCTTCTTGAAACCCATACTGCTCCAAAATATAAGCGCGTTGTTCCATCATGGCGTCGAGATAGTTTCTGAGCTGCACAACTCCATGTCCTGAGAAGACACAAAAGGATGATTTCTGATTCTCAGTAAAATCAGGTGGTGGGTCCCGGCAATACTGTGTGATTTCTCTCCTGAGAAATGCGGAGATGCCTGTGAGAGATAAGTGCGTGAGGCGTGGACAGTTTTTCAATAGAAAGTAAATGGGTCCAATGGTTAAGTTTGTGCAATATGATAAATGAACACGTTCCAAACAGTCCTGTTCACCACGGCGTCTAACTAATTCCATTATTCCTGAGTCAGAAATTAGATTACATTTCACCAAACCAATGCGCCTCAACTTGGGCAAGTTGGATAGTTCGATTAATGTCCAATCTGTGAGCTGGGAACAGCAAGCCAAGTCGATGTACTGAATCCTATGGCATGCTCGGACAAGTGCTTGGACTCCAAAATCAGTTATCAGAGCACAGTGACCAAGATGAATATAATGCAAGCTGCGCCCCAACTTAGTTAAGTGTCTCAATGAAGCATCTGTAATCTGAATGCATTTTGAAAGGACCACGTTACGCAACCTCGGAGCGTATCTCACCATTCGTTCCACCAACTTATCTGTGATGGCATTACAGCCCGTGACATCAATTATCCGCAATTTGTCGAGATAATAATCCTCGGGAATAAGTTCAAATAGGTCATCTGTGATCCCTGGGGCATTGCTAATGCGGAACTCACGCAATTGAGTAAGCTCATAGAAAATGTGTTTCAAGTACTTATCTGTCACGAGTGGGCAGTTATGCAAGTCGATTTCGACCAATGATTTGCAGTTTTCATACATGGCTAGAATGCTTTCGTTGGTAATATTCTCGCTGTTGTTGAATTTTATTCTTTTGAGCATCGGACAGGCATGCAAAAGTCCAATGATAGCCTTTTCCGACACGTTTCCACAGCCTGGAGCGTAAAGACCCTGTAGGCGAGTGCAGTTTTGCGCTAGCGCATTTATTATGTCATCTTGAATATCCTGGACACCAGTCATGTCAATGGATTGCAAGCGTTCACAGTTCTGTAATGCTCTGGTGATGGGCGCGTGTGTGAGTTTTGTACAGTTGACTAAAGTCAATCTTTCTAACTTGGGACACCCGGCAAATAAATCCAACAACTCATCATCGACCAACTTTGTCATGAAGGATAGATTCAATCTTTTGATGTAATTGCGGTAGTCCCAGTGTGTTTGGTTCCGTGGAAGCGACATGACGTGTTTGATTTTTTGGAAAGTCACGTCGCTTTGCATGTTGGGTCGGAACCACAAAATCTCCACTATAAGATCAGAAAACTCGCGACACACGGTCAAAAGCGAGTAGAGGTCTCCCTTGTCCAAATACTTGAAGATTTGAAGCAACACCTCGGTGGGCAACTGCAATAGCCGTGAGCTATTGTAATTTAGCAGTTGGGCCTGGGACCTTTGGCCTGGGTTTCGCTTCCCCAGAATGATTGATTCGCGCATTTCCTTGTAGTCGTTGGACTCATTGTCTAGACTACCGTGGTCGTGATGGGTATGGGCAGTGAGCATTCTCGCGAAGTAAGACGCCTTGTCTCTCTTTGTGGTTCGAGAGATGTTGGAATTAGTGTTGGCGAGGCCCATTTGCTGGGGATCTGGAAATTGGCGAGTGAACTGCTAAAGTAGGTCTTGTGATATGGCAGATTTGACACAAATATGGAGCTACCTTGTTTGTGGCAGGAGGAGGATCCACTATGAGGTATTTGTAATCAGTCAAGGTTGTTTTGATACGCAAACGCAACGAAACACAGAAGTGACCAAAAAAACTCGAGTAAGGTTTGCCAGACTGATTGGTAGAGCTGGAAATCTGGCCGTATGCAACTCGAAACCCAGATGTGGATACACAAAAACGACGATACACCAGGGAGATTTCATTTTTAGTAAATACGCACCTGATGGAAAGCTCGTGGACAATATGCAGGATGGTTTATCGTGCCAGTGGCGGCGGATCTTGTAATGTTGGGGTTCGAAAGCGACGCCTGTGACTTTTCTGTGGAAATTTCTGACAAAACTGGTCTGCCGCTAGAAATAGAGACGAGCTTCATGTTTTTGTTTTATTGTTCAGAGTGGTATGTTTTATGTTGCTTGTGGGTTTTTCTGGGCTTTTGGCGTTCCTGGAATTCCATCAAGCCGCACCAGAAAAACGCTGATACGGTTTTACAAACTTCACGAGACGGGCAACTATTAAACCCTTTTGTTAATTACGGCATTATATAAACTATACGATATGTATTTATGTATATTATGGGCAGGTATTATGTTTTTAAGGTGCCTGGTTAGTGAGTTCTTCTTGACTCCATGATTCATTTTGTTTATATCTGTTATGCTTTTATTCTTCTCTTCCCATTAAATGTCATTTTTCTATTTTTTTTTTCTTCTTTTTCCTTCTTTTCATTCTTTCATTTTGTTTTCCCATTCATAAGCAAAGAGCGACTCTAAAAGAGGGGCTTTGGTTTCAATCGTTCAAAAGAACAGACTTTTTTGATTGGATGGATGTGGGGTTCCCGGGTTTGATGCGTATCCTAAAGCGGCAGAGCTCAATGATAACTGTTCAAGTTGTTGCATGACCGTCATATCTTGCTGGAAGCTTTGTGAATGCTGATCAAAGTAGGAAGCCCGCATATCTGGTTCTATCATATTCCCATTGCCTACAAAATCCTGGCTTGGCATCGGAGCATACGGATTGTAGTTCATGGTTTTTTTGGGCAAGTAACCCATTGGTGGTGGCAACATCGAAGATTGCGCAAGTTGAGGCTGGATCTGCGATGGAATTCCTTGATTGCGAGGAGAACTCTTAGAGCCACCTCTACCTGTTCCCCGTTTGCTTTTTCTGCCCACAGATGAGCTTCTGTTTAATCTGTTGACAGAAAGGCCAATCTCATCTATCAATTTTTTGTAAGGATGAAGGTTAACTATCTTCATTTCCATGATAATGCGTTTCACTTGGTTCACAACAAATTGTTGATACCTAGATGAGGATTCGCCAAAGGTAGAGAGTGTAGGGCTTGATAAGATCTTGAAAATGAACAAAGGACCAGCATTGTGTTCTTGATTCTCAGCCAAAATGCTTTCCAATAGGCCAGAAGCAGGTTCCACCCCATAGTCATTCAAATCGTATTCACGAAATGGACCGAAGATAGCGTCCATAATTGTTTGTTTGGCTTGCAAATCAACTCGATTATTCAAGATTTTCAAGATGGTCAAGTTAGCCAACTTATGAGTACACAACTTGTCCAAGTGCGGCAAAAACTTGTTACACAACAAGTTGTAGCGTGAGTCGTTTTCCATTCCTCTGCAACCATTGAATGTGTCAAGGAACCACGTTATTAACAACGAGCCATTATTGTTTAAAACCAAATCATTAGCGTACTCGACAATCAAGCTTGCCACTAAAAATAATTGCTCGCTAGATACTGCCATCTTATTAGAAAACTTAGGATCATTAGCAGTCTCTAAAATTGTTCTGATGCAACGAGCTCCAAATCTACCAGAACTGATTTCAAGGAAGTTGTCTATCATGGTTTGGAAAATAAAGTCATTGAATGGAGAACCGAATTTGAGGCAACATTGCAAGACATAGTTACCGAATTGGTCATTGAACAACTTCACAGAGTACGGCTTCAAACTTCTCGCAATGATAACCTTTTGTTGATAATCGTCTTGGCACAAATTGATGATCTTCTGAATTGCCCAAGTTCCATTCTTATGAATGCCCAACTGCGTCAAGTATGGTGCAATTTCCTTAACCATCATAAGCTTGATCAATGGAGACTCGACGACTGTGAAAAGCTTTTGCACCACAGTATTACCAATGTGGTCATAACATAACTCTGGCAATTCGTCCAACATGGCAACACAAAGCTCCTCTAACTCAAACTGCGTCAACGCTTTGAGATCTTCCTGATCCGACAGCGAGGAGCTGGAACCGCTTGCCAACTCCTTCTCGTTATTCTCAAGAATCTTACGAAGCTCTCTTAGCTTTGGAGAATCGAATTGACGAATAGCCACAGGGTCTGGTAATGCACTGTAGCTGGTTTTGTACAGTGATTTAGGAAACTTAGATGTGTTGCGGATGAGCGAGCGGACTTTTTTCAAGTCAACAGTCAGAGATGACAAACAGGAAACGGTTTTCACTAACACTTCTTCCATCAGCGCAACGCTTATAGGTGAAGAAAAATCCTTCTCACTTCCTTGAGATCTCATACTCGATATTTTGGTGGTTGTGCTCTGTTTCAGACTGCCTGTGCTTGGAGTGGGTACAGAACTGCCGGAGGAGTAGCTCATTAAACCGCCCGATGATTGCATAGAGCCTAAAGATGGTTGAATCGAGCCTGGCGAGCTATGCGACAGTTCTTTTTTCATCATTCTGGCGAATGCCACTTGCAACACAAACGATGGAAGAAGCTCCACATGATCGTAACGGGCTCTCAAAGCCATGGCGACGTCTATGGATATACAATCCACCACAGCCATGCGAGTAGCACTGGTAGAGCCCACGTGGATAGCTATAATCCCGCGGCCCGCCATGCCTGCTGTTCCACAAAGCAATTGGTGTAAACTGGCTGCATCCATGAAGGGCGGCAAGTTATTGAATAGAAGAGTTTGAGTGGGTTTTTCAAAGCCATTGCACACGACGACATCTGCCACATTAAGATCATTAAGTAGCACAGGGCGGCATTCGTTCATTGGTGGTAATCTGAAGTCGGCATTGGCGTCTGTAAGTCCGTCAGGTTTCTTTATATTGGCCTGAAATTCATGCTGGTGGCCAGACATGCCATAAGGATGGGCTGCGCTCATTTGTTTGGTGGTGCCGTTCTCGGTGTGCGAAAGCGGCACTTCCGGGATGCTAGGTGTGACACCCGAATATGTTTGAGCCCGGCTGCGAGTATGTCCCAGAACTTCAAGATTCAGCACGAGGTTGTCAAGAAGCAACGACAGGGACGGGTCGTGGGACACAGGCGCCAAAAACGGTGATATGGCCATGCGGTCGTTGTGCATAGACCCTACGCCGCCCACACTACCCACACCGGATGTAGTATGAGAACGGTTACGTGTCGGGAGCCCGAAAGGGCCGCCTGCAGCAGGTTCGGGTGCAAAAACATCCAAAGAGCCCAGGGCGTGCAGCAGGTGTTGTGAAAGCACATCGTCATTCCAGATGGAGTGGGTCAGAAACAAAGAGCCCGAGCGCATGCGGTTGGGCGTGGGACCAAGAAACAGCAGCAGCGCCAGTGTGTTTTCGCCAATAGGTGCGCTCGCAAGACCGTTGGGGTGGTTGGCTGCCATAGCGTGTGGATCAGGTGAAGGAGAGAGACCAAACAACAGGTTTTCTAGTGGACGCAAATCATTCCGGGGAATCTCTATGGAACCAGGCTGGAAGGGCGCCAACGGGTTGGAATTGGCACGGTTCCGGGCAGAGCTGGGCTGCGAATCCGGCACCATAAGCAGAATCGTGGGCGGCGAGTACAGCATGTTTGGCGTTCAACCAGCGGATAGAATGGAGAAACGACAGGTTACAGCCAACAAAGCAGAAGCGGCGCTGGCGGAAAGCACACGCAAAAGGCGGAAGACGAGGGAAAGGGATCCGGACGGACGGCAAAAAGACGGAAAAAAAAAAAGTGCAACAAAGGGGAACGGGCGCCAAAATATGGGCGCTCAAGATGAAAAAGCAAGAGACTATGTGTTCGTTCAAAAGAACGCAAGAGGCCGTTTACATGGTGCGGAGGTGCGGGTTTTCGCGCGCGCTCTATCCGGGGCATAGGCTACATGCAGACAAAGTTGTGCGTACTGCGTATATTGGCTGACATGCGTCAGTGTATTAAGGTTGTGCCTGCATGCATTCACTTGGCCACCTCCTATTTCCGAGCTTCTCTTGCACCTGCAAACCAACAAATGGCTAAATGTAAAAAGAGCTAAGCCTGGTGCCTGCGGCCTCTTTTTTATTTTCGTGCACGTGATTCTGGCTCGTGACAATAGTCACCCCTCAAGGCATCAAATGGTGATCAGATTTGATAAAGATAAAACTGGCTTGTAGTCACGTGCCGCATCACGTGCAAAGTCTTCCTACCTAGCAGTTGGTCTTCAACTCAGCGCCAGCCTTGCAAAACAATGTCCTCTTACCCGTACATCCAGGCATTTGTGCAAGCTGTGAATAACCACAATGGATCTAGTCTTCGACGGCTTCTTTCCATAAACCCGGGCGCAAAAAATAGCGCCGACAGAGCTCATCTCCTGGACCCGAGCGATGTGGATCTCTATGTGGTGCCTGAAAAGTTTCAGCCGGTTGTTCGGGCATACATCAAAGGTGATGCGTGCTGTGTATGTTGCGAATGACATTGATGCTACATTCACTGAACTTTTGGAGCTCGTGGCGCATTTGAACAGAGCAGCTGAGTCTCAAACCAATTGGATTTGCCCGGCGATGATCAACTCAAGCAACGAATTGATTTCCGTGTACCAAGTAAGACTGAAGCAGCGGTCCGAGGAGGAATACGATGGGCTGGGATCAAGCTCTTTGGAACGCGTGGCCAACACTATCAACCGGGCCTTTAAGATCTGTCTCACAGATAAAAACCAGGATATGGCGTCGTCCAAGAAAGCTTGCATCCATTTCTTTTTGGCGTCGTTGATCAAAATCTACTTCAAGCTCAACCGCTTGGAATTGGCCAAATCGATGGAAAAGGCTTTGATTGGCACTGGTCTGGCCATCCCCACTATAGTCAACAGCCCTGTTCAGTACCGAAAGCACGTCATCACCTATCTATACTACAGCGCGCTTCTCTCGCTTGATAATTCAGAATATGCGCTAGCAGAGGCCAAGCTTCTAACGGCTATGGAATTTCTTTCGTGCTACGATCGGCCTGAAAAAGTCTCGGCCCAGGCTGAAAAATTGTTAATGTTGTTGCTCCCGTTGAAAATGCACAACCACCGCACAACGTTACCCGATGAAGTTTGGGACAAGTTCCCTCGCTTGAAGTTCGTGTACAAAGAGAACTTGTTCGACGCTGTCAGATCAGGCAATCTTCAAAAGTACGAGACGTCGTTGTCTCGTTTCCAGACGCTCTTCTTGAAACGCCATATCTATCTTTTAGTTGTACAGATGAAGGCCTTGTGCTTGTGCAATCTCTTTAGACGCGCGTGTTCCATTTACGCTAGCGTGGCTCCGAAAACTCCACATATCGTACCATTTAGCGCCCTACAGGTCGCGGTGGAGTTTTCCAATCGCGGTGACGAAAAATCGGGGCATGAATCTGCGGACAAGGATCTTCTGGTTACTCTGGAGGAGGTGGAGTGCGTTCTAGCCAACTTGATCGCTGGAAAACTAATCAAAGGCTATCTTTCGCATGGAAACCATTGCATAGTTCTTCTGAAAACCGAACCGTTTCCGAAGCCAGATTCAGTCCTGAAGTAGCCAATGGTCAACGATGTATCCATCTCTACTGAAAGCTTTTCTCTGCTGCTCCTTTTTTAGCTTCTACCTTCTTTTCGCATCTATAATGCATTATGGCTGGGCGCGCTCATTTGAGTTTTGCCATCACTACTGACTCAGACCTCTAGAGTACACATGCAAAAATATCATTCTAGCCCTGCACCGCCTCTCAAAAGAATCGACTTAAGTAATGCATATCATTCACATTCAGCCCAAATAGAACCCAAAGAAGTGGACATTTCTAGTACTCTGACGTCTTTATAGTGGCAGGAGGCACGGATGTGTCTCCATATGAGAAGAAAAAAAAACTTGATTTTGCAAGACCACACAAACCACCATGTCGTTCATCAATATCTGTCGTGATAATACCGACCCGTTCTACCGTTACAAGATGCCTCCGATCCAGGCCAAGGTCGAAGGTAGAGGTAACGGTATCAAAACTGCCATCCCTAACTTGAGTGAAGTTGCCCGTGCTTTGGGAAGACCCCCAGCATATGTGGTGAAATACTTTGGTTACGAGTTGGGTGCTCAGACAACCATGAAGGAAGAAGAAGACCGTTACTTGGTCAACGGTGCGCACCAGCAAAACGAGTTGCAAGATTCGTTGGATGGATTTATCACCAAGTTCGTCTTGTGCGGTGCTTGTAAGAACCCAGAAACTCAAATCACAATCAAGGGCAAAGGTATTTTGCAGAAGGATTGTAAAGCCTGCGGTCGTATCACAGATGTGGACTTGAGACACAAGTTGTCTTCATACATTTTGAAGAACCCACCTCCAACTTCCGGTAAGAAAGCTGCTACTGCAACTGCCAATGTTGTTGGTGGCGGTAAATCGATTTCTGACATTGCTCAAAACGCTGAAGGTGGTGATTCAGCTCCAGCTGCAGATGATGATGACGATGCTTTGACTAAGAAAATCAACGCCGAAGCTGCTGCTTTGAGTGCACAGGCCATTGAGGTTGCAGACGATGACTGGGCCGTGGACATGTCTAAAGAGGCGATTGAAGCTAGAGCCAGAGAATTGGAAGGCCTCAATCTTAATGATACCCAGACCAAGCTTACTGAGTTCGGTGACTGGTTATTGGCTGAGTCCAAGGAGTCTAAGGAAGACTTGCCTTCTGACATTGATATCTACAAGAAGATTGCCGAGTTGGAGCTTTTAGAGACACACGACGTTGTCCTTGTTTTGGCGCAAGTTTTGTTTGATGAAAACATTGTCGATCAGATCGAAGAGCATTCCGGTTTGTTGGCTAAGTTGATCAACGACGACGAGGACTATGAGAAGGCGTTTTTGGGCGGCTTGGAGAGATTCTTGGGTTTGGAAAAGCCAGAGTTGATTCCTATTTTGCCTAAGATTTTGGTCAAACTTTATGACAAAGACTTGATCAGCGAAGAAGTTATTCTCAGCTGGGGTTCTAAGGTTTCCAAGAAGTACGTTCCAAAGGATATCTCCAAAAAGGTCCGTAAAGCAGCCAAGCCTTTCATCAAGTGGTTGCAAGAGGCTGATGAGGAGTCGGATGAAGAGTAAATTAGCGGCATATAATATACAATTAGTTCAGTCGCCGCAGAGCTGTACATGGCCAACGGCCGTGATCAAGAAGCAACTTAGTAAACTCAGCAATAAACTGTTAAATACTCGAAATGACGGATATACATTAGTAGTATTTTGGAATTTCTTGCTCTGGTTCACAAACTAAGGTAGCAGAACTATTTTCAACCAAGAAATTATGGTGAGAATTCATGAGGGGCCCGATCCGTTAGACATTCTTAAGCATTCCACGGGCTTTCGTCCCTACAATATGTATGTCTTGTAGGCTTATTCCCACATTGTTGTGTTATACACGAGCTACAGATCATGTCGATTTAGCGATTACATGGATGTGACTAAGTAATTCTTTAACGAGTACAGATGAACGTAAGAGGTTGCCCATTCTTTTCTCCCGCTGATCCGTATTATATAAATTGTGTACCCTAGAAAGCGCTCAGCGAAAACTGGTCATGGCATGATAATTAAAAACCCGGTGTCCGGATTGCGTCATCACTTCAAAGACATAGGTATCTCGTGCCCATCAACGCAATTCCACGTGGCTGATTCAGTATGAATCGCAGAAGATTTGAACTTCAACTGTCCAGCCCAGGCTATTTCTTGTATTGATTCTTAAAGTTGGGTGGCATGGGTGGCATTGGCATATTAGGTGGCATGTTAGGCATGTTAGGCATGTTAGGCATGTTTTGCATGTTTTGCATGTTAGGCATGTTAGGCATGTTTTGCATGTTTGGCATCTTGAATCCAGGCATTCCCGGGAAAGGAAATGGCATTTGTGGCATCTGCGGCATCTGCGGCATAATCTTGGCTAAGATTTTCTGTGGATTGAACTCTCCCCGTGTCTTGTCTTGCTTGTGACAGTAAGCGGTCCAAGTGAGCTCATCAAACCCGTAATTGAAATAGTCAGAAATGTCCGCTCCAGGCGCCCGCCAAGGCTTATCTTTGATCTCCTCTAGATCAACCAGCGTAAGCGGTTTTCCCTCGTATTCAGCCACAGCATTCACATCGATGGTCGATGCGCCGTCGTCTTTTCTAACAATTGTAGTCGGCTGCGCTTGTTTGTCTTCACCGGTCTTTTCTTGCGCTAGCGTTTCACCCAGAGTGCTAGGAGCTGATGTTGTTGATACTTTGGGAGCACTTTCTCCAATGACAAACTCGATGTCGTCATCACTGGATTCTTCTTCTTCTTCGCTTTCTGAAAGTTCGTTTGCGGCTGGAACTGAAGATTCGCCTGCTCCAGATTCGCCATTCTCGGGTCCCAACTTCTGCTTCTTAGCAGCCGGTTGCTCGGTATCAGAGCCATAAAGAAACTCGTCTTCGTCTTCACTATGGGCCATGTTGGATAAGAAGAAAGAGAGTTGATGATAATGGACACATCCGTACACCGGTCTTGGGTGCGAAAGTATTCTATTCTATACGGCATCACAAAATGTCTCACGAATACTCATACATGTTTATTACTATCATGGTTTACCGTCCTATATTATTACTGTGACATTCACATTCGTTGCGCAAGTGCCAGCACGTGTCCATTTCTGCGCTGCATTAACTTCACCCATGGTTGCTGTCGAAATTTGTTGCGGTACACAATTTCCTGAATGGCCTTAATCCACTGCAATTTCTCGTCTTTGTTTGCCGCACCAAAGTCGATGATCTCCCCATTGGCAAACCGAATTTTGAAAGCATTTTCCATCAACAAAATGTCACTGAAGTTCCTGTAGTTCGAGGATGACCTTTGGGCGTTGTCTTTGTCCACGTAGATCACTTCAGTCACTTTGGCAAGGTTAATACTAGCCCGTGTCTTGTGGGTAAACTCCGAATGAGCAATCAACGATGTCCCCTTGAGCACAAACCACCTCTTCTTCCACGTCTCACAATCACCACCTTCCTGATGCATGTAACCTTCCAATTGAACCTTTCTCTCATGTCTCAAATCGTCCAATCTTTCATAAGCGAATTTGATACTAGATGGCAAAACTTCGTACGGTTCAGTTCTAGGCACAAAAAGCATTTTCACTTCCAACTGCCCGATTGTGTAGGGCTGTCTTTTGATCACTTGACCACCTTGTACTGAAGTGGCCCATTCGTTGAAGCATGTAATGTTGAAGTTACATGCTTTACCCAAAATTTGACCCTCATATTGTTCCAAGTCAACGTAACATCTAGCAAATGAGCCATCAGTGGCAAACTTGTTTTTCCAGTTATCTTCTGCTGTTTTCGGAATGAACTTGGTCGTTGTAATTATTTCCTTTGACCCAAGCATACGGCGGATTTTGTTTTTCGGCCTGACCACTTTCTTCTCCGAAACTTCAACTAAAGTGCCCTTGGGTTTGTCATAAGTTGCCTTCATTGTAACAATAAACTCCAAAGACTCACCCACTGTTAATTCGAACTCTTTGCCAATCATGACATTCGAAGAATCCAATTTATAGTTTGGGGTTTTGATGCAATGAATACCATTGTCCAAAATGATGTTGAATGCACCATTCCGATCCTTGATACCTGGTAAGTCAATGTTTTTAAAGCCAACAACTCTGAAGAAAAGCCTTCCTCTCTCAGAGGAGCCCGTCGAAGTGGCATGCGACTCACTTTTAGAAACTTTCCTCGTATCTTTTACCTCCTCCATGATTGAGTGGCTCTCATCCATAACGTCATGGCTTGTGGTATTAGATGGCACAGAAAGGGTACTCAATGCATACAGATGAGCTTTGCTTTCGCGAGGCTTGTGGTTCATGAGGCTTTCAGTCTTGAGTTCCTGATTCTCTTTTTCAAGAACAATTCCTGTGACAGCATCTCCTTTTCTAATAATTTTCACTGGCGAATGAATCTTTATTGGGGATTTCTTTGAACCTGGTGCTTCAACTTTACGAGGAGTGGATGGGTTAACTTTGATAGGCTGGTTTTTGATCGGCCGCAAAGGCGAACGAGGAGGTGTGTGAATGTCTCCCAATGATTTTTCATCCTGGCCCGTCTTAACGAGGAAAGGGTTATTGCTTGCAAATTGAGTAGAGCCGTCGGGTTCCTGAGAAAGGTCAGCTTTTACAGATTGTCCCGATAAACTTATCAATTCTGGGTCCGGCTCAGGGAAAGGATCATTTTTGATTGGCTCCGTCTTCGGAACTTTAGGGGCCAGAACTAAGGTTGTTGTAATTCCCTTTGAGCTCAAGCGCTCATTGAAAAGCTGATCTTTCGACTCAACCGCCATAGGCTTCGTGAAAAGTTCATTAGCAACGTGTTGCATAGGTTGTCTCGTACTGAGATGAGACATGAGAGAATCGCAATGTATCGATGCAACCTGAGGAGTGTGATGAGCTGGAGATTGCGGTTCCTGGACGATTGATCTTTTCTTGTTTCCCATAAGTTTCAAATTCGAATACTCTTCTTGGTTCATCGCTTGTTTCATGTGCATGATACGTTTCACATCATCACGATCCATACTAGGCAAGGTTTTCATTCCGCTTGCTTTAATAGTCGGTTTAGTAAAAGAATCATCAAATATATCATTATATTTGTTTCTTGGAGATAAGATCGAGTTCGTACGTTTGATCTCAAATGGAGGAATGTAAAACTTAGACTTTTTCTTTGACTCACTTCCTGATACTGATGTAGCATTTGTTGAAGCTGGCTTCAAGGATGCGTGGATTGAATGTCTTTTGTAAACAGGTGCCGCCGGTTCGGGTAATTTTGGGTCGTTAATATCGGACAAAATGTTTTGACTGCTCCAACTCTTCCTTCTTCCAAGCTGACTTGGGGCTGTGGAGACATTAACCTGGGCACCAAGAAGACCTTTGAAGTGGCCCTCTAATCCTGAATCTTCTGAAATTTCAGGCAAAAATCCAGAAACATGCAAATCTTCGAAATCAGGGCTGACGATTCTTTTCGATACAAGGTTCACCTCCTTGAACTTTCTAGGATGTAATGAGGAAGGAATCTTAATCTTACTACTGTCCTGTGAGTTTAGTGGTCCATAACTCTGGATCGACAGTACCTTGTAAGACAGCTCAGACGGTTTGAGGTATGATTTCTTCTTCTGCTGTTGGGAATGCCAAATTGAGAGGAAATCACTCTTTTTGTTTTCAGCATCGTGCTCAGCGGATAGGGATTCCTCAAATGAATCGTAAATATTATCACCACTTCTATGGTAATGAGAAGGATGTTTGATATCGATTGGGGGAAGGATATTCGACGAATTGGCCAAAATACTGTTCTCTTCTTCCTCTGGAGCAGAGTCTCTCTTTATGGTGTCATTAAACTTCGGAGGAGCCAATGTTTTGCCCAAAAGTTCTTCCGAAGTATCTTCAAATACATCCGATGTACTCTCTCTCGAGAGGTCTTTTGCATCTGACTTGTGGTTTGCATGTACAGTCTCAAGTTTCACTCTCTGTTCGTAGCTTGAATCAGGAGAACCAATATTATCGCCACTGACTTCATTGCCTCCATATAAAGTGGGGGAGCTGCGGTCAGAGTCAGTTGGAGAGATTAGTTTCAAGTCACGGTTATCTCTGTATACAACCTCGACTGCCTTAGATTCGACTATTTGTAGAGACACATCATGAAGCTCGGAAGTAACCGAATGTGAATCTTCATTATTTTCCTTTGTTTTCTTCATGCTCCACAGTTGCTCATTTCCTTCGATCTTGACGTCGTGAATTTCTTTACTGTGAATGTTATCAGATGTTTCAATGGACAGTTGCAGTTCCGTTTTCGGTAACTGCATCTCTGATAAGTGATTATTTGTAGAGTTTTCTCCCGAGTAGTCAATTTTAGGAAAAGATTGATCTCTCTCGTCAAATTCACCTTTAGGTTCATGCTTTACGACAGGATCTTGTTGCAGTGAGGACACGAGATGAGCATCAGCCTTTGAGCCAGATGAATGAGAAAGAGGCCCTAGATCTGTGTCAGTTTCCTCCTGTTTAACCAGCACATCTTCAAGTGGATCCTCTGATTCACGCTTCACAAAAGAGTCTTCTGGTTCAGGCTTCAAAGTGTAATTTTCTGATTCCATCTTGACAACTTGTGTAAAGTGGTCAGAAGACTGTGGCGATAGCGAAAATTCGTGCATGCCAGATTCTTCTTTAATTGGCAATTGTTGATCATTATCACCTTCTTGGTTTTCCTCATTCTCTATATCTTCCTTCTCTTCGTTTTTGATGTTGTCTTCGTCCGCCACGTCCCGTTTTTCAACCAAATTTATTTGAGAGGCAGAGTTAAGAAGGTTTAGAATTGATTTCTCCGTCAGATTGTATGAATGGTCAAATGAGTCGTGGAACTTGTCGCCATCTGCCATGCGCTGAAAGGGAACTGGATTACCAAAAGTAAGCATATCAGAGCTGTCATCACTCAAATTTACCTTATCTGTCGAGGGAATTATCAGATCGGCCACGTTGTTCAGAAAGCCTTTTATACCGTCATTGAACACGATACCCTGAGATTGACTCCCAATAATGTTCGCTTCAAGATATCTATTGGAGTCCATTAGAGATTGAAGGGAGGATTGGGAGGATCCTGCTGATCTTAGCTGGTAGTTTTCTGTTTTGGACAATGCATTCAAAGGATTCTCGATGTTTTGATGTGTAGTTTCCAACTGAAACGACAAGTTGTGGATGTTGACATTTGTTTCCTCTTTCCGTGCATTTTCCAAACGCTCTAAGTGATCATCCATGTCATCCTGGGCTGCTCTGAAGTGACTATTATTTAGAAATATTCCTAATTTCTCGTTTAAAGAAAGATTGCTGTAATTTTTATGGTTTAAGCGATATTGGCTCAACTTTGAAACATCCACATCATTAGCATATGAATCTGAATCATCACCACCATTTTTTTGACTCTCTAAAAGACCAGTAATTGTGTCAGAAGAGTGAGGAGGAGGCGCCGGAGGAGAATGACTATTAGATTCCTCTTCGTTGAAGGTTAGCTGTCCAATATCCAGCCATGCGTGGGCAACGGGCGTTTTCTCCTCACTCAGAGTCTTGTGGCTTTCTGGATCGCTTCGAGGTGTGTAAAGATGAAGGACTTCCAAATCTTCGCCATTTTGGAACGCAACTTGTTTTTTGGGAGACCCGCTGGTGGAAGTATGAGTTTTCATTATGGATTTGCTTGGAGAAAGGGATTCTTTTGTCTCCTGTTTAGCTTCAGCGATAGAAATTTGCAGCGGCGATTTTTCTAAGTCACAGGAGCCAACTTGAACGTCATTGTCATTATCGCTAACATACGTGTCTGAGCTGGAGTTGTAATCGCGTCTAGAATCCGATTTTTCGTTGGGTTGCGATGGGAATTTGAGGGGCTTTATTGGGGAGGCCATGGCCAGAAGGGAATCTGTAAAGCTTGTCGAAGCCGCTAATTCTCCCGAGTTTATTTCTTTGAGGAGCATATCCACGGAGTCTTTTGTCTTAGTACGGGAATTGGAGGACGGAACAAAAATGGTGCTGGACGTACCGTTTTCATGTTTAAAAATGTCTTCCAGGTCCATGTTGAGGAGAGGCTTATGGGACTCTTCTTCGTCATGAAAAGACATGGGGTTAGTGATGGATGATATAAAGCGTTTGTGTTTTGTTTGGGTTTCCAAAATGGGATAAATGATAAACACCGCATTGGGTTTTTATGGTCACGTGCACAGATTGTTGTTGTGATGGAGAGCTTTAGTGGGGAATGTCGTGAAATTTGTTAATGTCGACGGCTCCATAAATGTCAAGAGATACTTACATATTGAAGAGCTTTTTTAATTACTGTGTAGCTATTTTGCTTTTTTGATTTCATTACAGAAGCTTTTTTAAATCGTGATAGAAAGAAAATTTAGAAATGCAAAGTGGCATAATTTTGCAATAATGCGAAATACTTGTCTAATGTCTCAGTCATGAAATACCCCAATGGTAAAGATGATACACACAAGAGAATATCCTAACCATGAAATTCCAATTGTAGGTATAGATATAGACACTTAGAGTAGATATAGACGCTGGACTTTTTCCAAAAATAACAGATTGACCCTTACGAGCCTACTACCGGATTAAAAATCATTGGACCCTTTTTCTGAAACTATACACGAATAGGTAATGGTAACAATTTGTCTCCTCCAGAGGAGAACACCGTAACTTTTTATGACTCCGAACTTTTTGGCACCTTAGTGCTACGAGAAGAACAATTATGCCCAGAGCAAGGTCAACCATTGCCATCCTTTCAACTTTGGGTACTCTGGTTCGGGTCTCTCTTTCACATCATCGAACAACGTTTTCAAATCCACATCTTCCGGCTTAATGAGGAATGACTTCTTCACTATGCCCCAGAAAATGCCTAACACAATACCCAAGGGGATGATGAAATAGGCAGAGAAAAACGATGGAAAATAGAACTTTCCATGAATGAAGTTAGTGAATCCGCCTGTTAACAAAAGGAGAGTGGAAAAGAATAAGGAGAACCAAGATGCATAGGTTGTACCTGGAAAAGAGTACGGCAAGTCCTCTCGAGTGTAGCCTTGAACTTTCATGGCTTTAGACATACGAATATGGTTTAAGGAAATTGTGATCCAGTTCACCAAAAGATGAGAAGATGTGATACTTTGAAACCACAGGAACACAGTTGAAGCTGCATGAGATGCTGACATGAAGGCCAAAGGAAGGAAGATAACAGATACTAGAAGAGCATAGTAGGGCATTCCCTTTCTATTCGTCTTCAAGAAGATTTTTGGCGCCTGTCCAATACTTGCCAAAGCAAACAAGGCTCTTGAAGATTGGAGCACTCCCAAGTTTGTTGCAGACAAAGCAGAAGTTAAAACAACGCCGTTAATGATATGAGGCAAAACCTTGATCCCTGCTCTCCTTATAGCAACAACAAAAGGAGAACCAGCAGCATTTCCTGTAGAAGAAGCAATAAGTGGGTCTTTGGACGACACAATCAATGTCAAAACAAAAATCGTAGACATGTACATGAGGAAACAACGAGCAAAAACACGCTTAGCCGCTCTGTGAATAGCTCTCCGAGGATATTCCACTTCACCTGCAAGCAAAGCAATCCCCTGGACACCACCATATGAGTAGACCACCGAGTTCAACGTTTTCCAGAAGGCAATGAAGCGGCCAGTGTCCGAATCGAAATACTTCCAATTGAAGGCGCCTTCCTTCCAATAGCGGAAACCTATTCTGTCTTGGCCGGGTACACCGCCCAAGTCAATGATCAAACCGATAAGAATAAGACCTAAGACCAACAAGATCTTGAGACAGCCGAAAAAAAACTCAATTTCGCCGTACCACCGAATTTTGTAGCAGTTGGTGGCTACAACAACTATACCAAAAACAGCCACCCATACTGCTGGGTTTAAGCTTGACCAGTAGGTCATAATCACCGCGACAGCAGATAACTCGCTAGGCATAATTGCAGCATAGATGTTAGTCCACCCGACTGCGAAACCAAAACTTTGGGAAATGAAATGGTTGGAGTGCTTGATATAAGAGAAGGTCACAGGCATAAGACAAGCTGTTTCAGTGGCACACATCTGCGATGCCAAGACGACCAAACCAATGAAAAAGTAACAGAGCAAAACTCCCACGGGCCCAGCCGTGCTAAGAGAGCCTCCAGAAGAAAGGAAAAGACCCGTGCCGAAAACGCCCACCAAGGTAATCATACCTATATGGCGCGAGTTAAGTGTAGAAGCCAAGCGCTCTTCATAGCCAAATACCTTGTTTCTAACACTGAGAGACTCGATGTCAGAGACAGAAGTCACCTCCAAGGTCTGCTTTTCGTTTTTAATGGACATTGCAGCAGTTGAAGAAAAGTTGTCTACATTGGCTCTCGGCCGGTTAAATATTACAGAAATCTCTTATCTCGGCATATGGCATCGAACAGGCACAAGTGTGTAAGGTGTGGATGCGAAAGATAATGGTAGAGCGCCACAAGGTAATTTTCATTTAGGCGCACATTGCCATTTTCATGCATATCTGGATTCAAGAATCCCGACCCGAAGCATTTGGGCCCGCCTCAACTACTCTCCACTATCTGACCTAACAGTTGTTTTAGAACACAGCTTTAAATTTGTCTTTTTCACACTACACGGCTCTGCTTATCTGTTTACTTCTTAGCCCCTGAACGTATGTGAAATTACGTTGCAGAAAAATACCCAGTAGTGTATGGTGCACAGTTTCATTTAGATAACTGCTTCGCCAGTCCTAGGTATCACATCTGTAAGATTTCAAACAAATGAACTAGATTGGCTCATCTCATCCTCAACGAAGTCATGTACAATGTCATCTCACGAGGGATATGAAAAGTGTGGTTGGGGTAAAATGCCGTGGCTGACAACTTATGCAGAACTTATCAATTGTGTCTTGCAGGTGACATGCAGAACCTTATCTGACATGCCTTTAACTGTGGAAGAAGCTTTGCGAAGAATGGACAAATCAGAATAGAAGACTGTGTGACGTATCGATGCAAAATAGGCACGTTTACGGCATTTGAAAAATCCGAAGACTTTCAGGTGTGTCGAACCGGGGTTAGAGATATTTCGCAATTTCCGCCTGAATGCATAAATCATTCTTCCATTCAAATAGGAAATTTCACTGGTGGGGCTCATTAAAGCACCAACATACCTAATTGAGACAATGAGGGTTCTGGTCAGAAAGTTTCAAGGTTTGGCTATAGACTGATTTACGTTGTGTAAGACAAAAATTATTCAACATTTATATCAATGACTCTTTTACCTAAAACATTGCTTGTCTTGGACAGCTTCAGATTGTTATTTTAGGAAAACAAATGGTCTGTATGCCAGGGGCGTACAGCTGTGGCTCATTTTTTCAACTGGTCATGACTTGCCATTTGTGATTGTAGATACTGGTAGAACTCGCTAAATGTGTAATTGCACAAGGTTCAATCTTGAACTATCAACATACTCTAGCAAAATAGAACCATCTTAATGGAGAGGAGCGACTGATTCATCTACTTGATATTGTTCACATGAATGAGCTTCAAGCAAAGGAGAGAAAGCAAAGGATTTCAGTTATTATTTACTAAATGTCGAGAAACAGGCCCTGTAGATGACCACCTCCCGTGAAAGGAGGAGAGATAGATCCAGCTACTTCAGACAGAAGACAATAACAACAACAAAAAAGCAGAAAAGCTATCCTAAGCAGACAAGTAAGTTTGAGGATGTATTATTGTGTCTTTTCTGTTACAAATCAGCAATTTAAGAGGTTCAATAATTTCCACAAAACTCTATGAATACAAATTTGAAACTCGAATCCTTGGAAGGTGTTCTGCTGATAGTATTATCCTTCAGGGCGTTAGATCTGGCCCCTTGCTTCGCCCTATTCAACAAATGCCTTTTAACAGGGCAGAAGCTTCTCTTCAAATACTACTAAACATGAAGTCTGTTTGATTCAGTTCTCAAAATGTAATGCTCAAATGATGTCTTCGACAATTCATTTCTGTCCATATGTCTACATTCTCCAAGGGAGAAGATGCTGAATTAACCACATATTGTGAGCATAAAAAATTCCATTCTCCGAACAGAGTACTGTTACTGCCTCTACCCATATGGATAGACCAGATGATATACACCAAACGAATCAAAGAAGCGACATTGAACTACAACGCTTTTACTCTATTGTTCTACACCCTCGTTGTGTCTTAGGCAGCAGCGGAGCTGCTCATATCTGCATTTCAACCACATGAAGCGATGACTCTTTACCTCTCCATTTGACGAGCTCCACCCACTCACTAACCAAATAGTTTGACAGCCGAGAGATTGAGAAGGTTTTTACTGAGTATTGATGAAAGTTTTTCTCAAAACGCAATCAAAAAAAAACAAAAAAAACCCACATTCCAGTGGAATCAGCCTACTTTAAAGTCGATGTCATTATGTGCTGAAAGCTTCCTGAATTCTTCCAAAACCCACTTATTGATCGTAATTGCTAATATTCTGTGTTTTGAGTAATGCTCGGAGTCTGTTAGCACTGAATCGGGCTGATAGGCTCAAACAAAGAGCCTTGGCACTGTAAACCTATTCTCAGAAAGGGAGGCTCACATTTGATAATTACTGTTATTATGGGAGATTTTATGGCCAGTAGGCAAATGTGTTACAATACCGTGGCTACAAGTGACGAAAAGACAGTAGCACATGTAACATGAACTGAGGCGAATATTGCCATGTTGACGAATTAAAAAAGAAACCAGCCAAACTATCGCTCATGCATAGCCTTGAGATTTTCGCGCTCTTACTGTTTTCAGCAGGAGTTCTTAATCTCAATAAGTGATTCGTAGCAAAACCAGTAAACAATTGAGGCGAGAGCACGTGTTGTCGTGAATAGGTGAAAGCCTTTCAATTTTTCCAGAAACAGAAAAAAAGTTGTCAAATCAAAGGTTTGTAGTTGAAAATAGTGTAATGATACCACACCTCATTCCATTTTCCGCGTTTTGAATCACAACTTTCATCTTTCACTATGCTGGCGCATTTTGGTTATGAAAAAAGTGCAGGCTATGATGTATGCCTGAAGTTACTTCAGAAAGTTTTCCCGAGAGAAGCTAGAAGACAATAGGATCCCATCAGTAGGCACCCGCACCACGATCATCACGAAAAAAATAATGCCTACAAAATACTGGCAGATCTCTACAAAGTGCACTAAGAAAGCTAAAAAGACCATCTGCAACAATCGCTTTGGGAACTGGAAAATTCTGCATCCCCTGGCGGTCCTTCCGACACGAGAAAAATAGGTCAAGAGCCATCCGACACACAAACACTCATAATCGACAAAAAAAAAAATCAAAAACACACACTCATAATCATCATATGGCAATCTCCCAATGTACCACCGTAATATTCACGGTTTCTGTAGACGATTAATCTTCGCACTGCGCAGAAAAACAGCGTGGATTCGTACAAGGGAAAAATAAATACCAATAATGTGCCCATCGGTCCAGAACCTTGTCCACCCAGATATGACATGCGAGATCTCCTAACAAAGATGCGCGAGCGCTGCAACCCGACCCTTGTGCATAACAGCGCAAACATTCCAGCTTCTATGTGCACAACAACAATAACACTGACACCGGGCCAAGATCGAGGCATACTGCGAAGAGACAGAACTGGGCGGGCCTAAAGAGCCGGAGTTAACGGGGCCGCGTGTTCCGCTGCTAATCAAAACATAGACAGTAGCTTTGCATGGCCCCACTTAAGGCAGACCCTGCAGCCGAAGGCACTGCCCCAAGCTCCTTTAGGCGACGCGTAGCCGTATACAGGGACAGCGATCGCGTTCAGGCATGAAAACGGCACGCGCCGCAGGTTTAGGCGCGCCACCTGCGTCTGTTTACCTTTCGGCACATAGACACATACGTGCCGGCTTGCCAGACGGTCTTTTGCGGTGGTCTTTTTACCTTCTGGTGTGCCATCTTTTCTTTTCTCAGCCTTTCTTGCACAGCCTTCCACTCTTTTCCACTTTTTCTCTCCTCACTTCACTCGCTGCCAATGTTGATCAAGCCTTTTCTTGTCGCTGTGCTCGCCAAGCTTGTCTTGGCAGACTCGTCTTCGCAAAAATGCTCCTTCTCCACAACTGTCACTGATGCTTCTGGTGTCCAGGCTTTGAACGCCTGTCCTACCTTGGATGGCACTATCGAGATCTCCGGTGACGGGATCGATGCCAACTTGGACTTGAGCTCTGTCGGTACCATCAAAGGAGATCTTGACATTTTCAACTCATCGTCCGTTGCCGCCATTAACTTGGCTGGTTTGTCCAACATCACCGGATCCTTGTCGCTCGATGCATTGACACAATTGCACAACGTCGACTTCAGCAAATTGTCGCTGGCCAAACAATTGCTGTTTGTTTCTTTGCCATCTTTGGCTCTTTTGAACTTGAACTCGGGCTTAGCCAATGTCTCGTCGCTTACATTGTCCGACACGGCTTTGTCCAGCATTGACAACTTGCTTGCTTTCAAAGAAATCGATCTTTTGAACGTCAACAATAATAAGAACATCACTTCCATCGATTTGCTGAGCTTGCACACTGTTTCTGACTCGTTGGTTTTGTCTTTCAACAGTGACAATGCGACTGTTAAGTTGGACAGCTTGGTATGGGCTGCGAACTTGACCATCCAGGATGTTGGTGAAATCTCTATTGCCAATTTGCAATCTGTCAACAGCTCGTTCCTTTTGGCGTACAACAGCTTTGACTCTGCCGACTTCGACAGTTTGACTTCCGTTGGCTCGTCATTGCTGGTTTATGCTAACGACAACTTGGAAAGTTTGTCTTTCAACAACTTGACTGAAATCAACGGCGAGTTCCGTATGTTGAACAACTCTTTGTTGGAGGAAATCCACCTTGACAACTTGGAGACTGTGTCGGGAGCCGTTTCTATGTCCGGTGACTTTGGTAACTTTTCCTTGCCAAAATTGAAGGAAGTTGATGGTGACTTCTCCATTACGTCCACATCCGAGGATTTCTCCTGTGATGCATTCGACAAGTTGCACTCGAACAAGAAGATCAAGGGCCACAACTACAACTGTTCTCACCCAAAGAGCTTGCTGTCTTCCTCGGCAGAGTCCTCGGCTACTGGAGGTAGCAAGAACTCGAGCTCCTCGTCTTCTTCTTCTTCATCCTCAAAGTCTTCTTCATCCTCTTCCTCCTCATCCTCCTCCAAGAAGTCCGGTGCTTCATACTTGGCTCCAGGTATGATTCTTTCTTCTCTTGTGGGTGCAGGCATGGCTCTTTTGATCTAGGTCCTGAATTGGTTTGGTTTTATATCTCGAGAGTCACTATACTCTCCTCATTTGAATACACATTTTGAATTATGGATTAACAAAGCGTAATTTTTTCCAGCTGTAGGGCCCTATCTTACTAAGCTCGATTACAAGTACTTAACGGTAACAAGTACATTATGCTGTTATATTCAAACATTGCCTTGATTCTATTTTTGAAAGAATCGACAGATATCCCACATCATGCCTACTCGTAATCTTTTCAAAGGAATAGAATGCTCGTTACTTCGCTGTCATGCATGTATTTCCTGGCGCTCGTATTTGTCCGAATCGAGAATACTGAAAAATGTGTGCGAAGAGAATGCACAAAGCATGTGATGACTTGGTTCTCTTCAATATCTGCTGGAAATGCAAAATGGAATAAACTCGGCGTAATAAGTTGAATGAGGTGTTGAGATATAGTCAAATTTACTCTGTCTCTTAGCCAACGCTTTCACTCCTCTTTTCTCCTGTAATAATATTTTCTTGGTATCATATAAGGCCAGATCCACTGCGCCTGCGTGCCTGCCTGCACATATACTTCTTCACACCGTGTCAATTAATGTATAGCTAATACATTTCTGGCATTTCATGTCCATCCATAACACTGCACCTGTACCGGTAAATAACGTTTCATTTGGACGTATTCAATAGTGCCACTGCCCTTTCGATACACTTGCAAAGCTTATTCTTGACGAGTATACACCCGTGCATCTCGCGTATGCCGGCGCACTATTGTGGCTATTTCCGAATCAGTTAAATAGCTTGCTTTTAATAGAATCACGTCCAGAACTCTTCTTTGCGCCCACCATGGATTCTTTCGTTAAGGCAAACCAGCATCATATAGTGAAAGCGTATTCGGACTTGCCTGCAACCGAGCAGGAAAAGTTTCATGCGCAACTCGATAGAATTGACGATCCGGTGAATCTAGTGAAAACAGTTCAGAACGCGATCAAATTTTCTGCCAGCGCTGCCTCAAAGAAGTTTGGCCAGCTCCCTGCTTCATCACTGGCGTCTTCCATCGACCAAGATGCTTCGCAGCTAGAGAAATGGTGTGAATCCGGCCTTGATGCCATTTCCCGTAATGAAGTGGCTGTTTTACTTTTAGCTGGCGGCCAGGGCACACGTTTGGGTTCCCTGGCACCTAAAGGATGCTATGACATTGGATTGCCCTCGAAGAAATCGTTGTTTGAGATCCAGGCCGATAAGATCCGTAAGATCCAACAGTTGGCGGTTGCGAAAAATGGCCAAAACTCTGAATGCACAATCCAGTGGTATATCATGACTTCTGGTCCTACTCGCGGACCTACTGAGCAGTTTTTTAAAGAAAAAGATTACTTTGGATTGAAGCTGCTGCAGATCACCTTTTTTAACCAGGGTACTTTGCCATGTTTCAGCTTGGACGGTAGCAAGATTCTCTTGGAATCAAAGTCTTCTATTTGCGAAGCACCCGATGGCAATGGTGGATTGTACAAAGCCCTTCACAAGGAGGGAATTTTGCGTGACATCAAAGCGAAGGGGATCAAACATATCCATATGTATTGCGTTGACAATTGTCTCGTGAAGGTTGCTGATCCAGTGTTTTTGGGCTTCGCCATCGATAGAAACTTTGACTTGGCCACGAAAGTTGTGCGTAAAAGAGACGCTAACGAGTCTGTGGGTCTTATTGTATTGGATGAAAATGCCAATCGTCCCTGTGTTATCGAGTACAGTGAAATTCCACAGACATTGGCACGAAAAAACAGACCCTGAAGACCTGGACAAGTTGTATTTGCGCGCAGCCAACATCGTCAACCATTATTACTCTGTGTCGCTTCTTGAAAACATGCTCGAGAAATGGATTTCTTCTCAAGAGTTCTTGCCATTCCACATCGCGAAGAAGAAGATTCCTAGTCTTGATCTCGAGACCGGTGAGCCCACAAAGCCGACCGAGCCTAATGGAATCAAATTAGAGCAGTTTATTTTCGATGTTTTCCCCTCTGTACCTTTGGAAAAATTTGGTTGTTTCGAGGTTGAACGTTCCGAAGAGTTCAGCCCGTTGAAAAACGGTGTCTCTGCGGCCAATGATAACCCAACTACATGCAGAAAGTACTATCTCGAGTTGGGGACAAAATGGGTTCGTGAAAATGGAGGCGTTGTCTCTGAGGACGCTCTTGTTGAGGTTTCAGGGTTGACAAGCTATAAGGGAGAGGGCTTAGAGTTCGTGAGTGGCCGCGATTTTAAAGATGGTGACCAGATTTGATACTTAAAGCATATAAATAAACAACAATGAAGTAAATGGAGAGAAACATAAGCGAGATCAAGGTGGGCGAAACAGAAACCAAAACTCAGAGGATGAATTGCACCAAGACAGAGTAAAGGAAAGATTAGTACGAGGTCCATGGATACAGTATGACGCCTAAAACAGCGGAAGCCACTTCCAGAAGATCATGATGTGCCGTGAAAGCAATTCTTGTCAGCACCAACAGAGATGACGGGGACTCAGAAGCAGAAAAGATGGTGAAAACGCATACGCTGATTACATCCGAAAGCAAACATGCATGGAAGATAATCAAGAACTCAATGTACATCGAAGGACGTTCGTGCGCATAACTCATGGACAAATTAGGGTCAGTTTGAGATGAGAAGGAAAGTCGCAATACGAAATTCCAAGACACAGAACCATCTTATTGCTTACAAAACGCCCGTCTAGCCGTGCGCAAGGCAAAGAAGGCGCCAAACCAGGGTCTTCATTTGGGGCGGAGTTCTGTTTGAAGCTCTGTTCTTTGTGCGAGAGCCAACGTGCTGCCCTGACGTACTTCGGTGCGCATTCCCTAAGAAAAGCTACATGATGTCAGATTATCCGAAAGGCCATTGCCATGATGTAAGATAATCCGAGACACCCATGCAATGATGTCAGAAGGTCACAGATAATCCGGACACCTACACCTTTCGCCCGCCAACAGGACATGCGCCGCCTCGCATCTCTCGCAATTCCGGTTTCGCTTGCGCAATATTAGTGCGAGTCCCACTAATGCCCCGCGTTTCGGTCGGCAGGAACCGCAGATTTTCTTCAGCATTCGACATTGCCGGCCCACATACAACTTTAAAAAAATCCCGGGCCTACCATGAAAAATAACACAATGTGTCCCTCATCGTTCCACTTGGCCGCATGATACTTGTGTCTTTGCTTCTTTTGCTCTGTTTGTTTGTTTCCCTGTGTTTCTTTTCTCCGCTCTGTTCTTATCTTCTTCTTTATCTTTCGCTTGCTCGCGAGCCTTGTCCCGCCTAACAAACCCGACAATGCGTATTGCGCTCGTCTGTTGAGCGCTGACAGCAAACAATTGAGCCGCACCATTGCTTGCCCCACTTGCGGTGTGCACACAAGCACATTTTTTTGGCCCGCCTCTAGGATGGCGCGCCTGTTTTTAATACCCCGCATATCCACAAACTATTCTCTCTACTTCTCTTTTTTTTTCATCCATTTTCTTTCTGCCGGCTGACCCTGGCATTATTTATTCATACACTTGGCTCTCAGCCACATCCTAACCCCGTTTTAAAAGCCTCTGTAATCGCACTTGGTGCTGCATTAGGACTTTTATTCACTTTTTTTCACCTTCCAAAGTCCCCAGACTTTTCTCCCCATATATTCTTATTCTAACTCGTGCTTCAAGTATGCCCCGCCGCTCTTCTACCGCGCCATCGGCACCTGTGGTGGCGACCATTGACATTGGTACAACCTCCGCCCGCTGCATTCTTTTCAGCAAAGATGGTACCGAAGTGGCCAAGCACCAGATCGAGTACCTGACTTCAGCGTCCGAAGCCCCGGCAGAATCGCTGAACACAGACCAGTTTCGGCGGCGTAGTTCGCTTGCGCGCCACAACGAACCCATTTTCACCGCTGAGGGTGTTGCCATTCTGATTTCGGACCATGTGGAAATCGAGAACAATGCGGCCTCTGTGGGTCCTACTTTGCGTTTCCCTCAGCCAGGTTGGGTCGAATGTATGCCTGTGCACATTTTGGCCAACGCTGTGCAGTGTCTTGTGGCTTGTCTTATCACGTTGCGCAAAATCAACCAGAACCCTGACCTCAAGATCAAGTACAAGGTCAAGTGTATCGGTATTGCCAATATGAGAGAAACAACAATTGTGTGGGACCGCAAGACAGGAAAGCCCTTGAGCAACGGTATCACATGGACAGACACACGTACAGCGGAAATCGTGCACCACTTGGAAAACATGACGGATGACGAGACAAAAGCACGTATGAAAGAAAAGACAGGCTTACCTCTTTCTACGTATTTCAGTGCAGCCAAGTTGCGCTGGTTGTTGGACAATGATGATACCATTCGCGAACTATACGAAAAGGGTGACAATTTGATGTTCGGTACCGTGGACACATGGCTTATCTACCACTTAACCAAAGAACGTACTTTTGTCACCGATGTTACCAATGCATCACGTACCCTGTTTATGAACTTGGAGACTCGCGATTACGATGATGAGTTACTAGACTTTTGGGGAATCGACCCATCGAAGATTTCCATGCCTAAAATCGTATCGAGCCTGGAGTTCTATGGCCTGTTTGTGGCGCCCAACTTGTCTAGCTTGGGATTCCATAACAGAATCACCCAAGAAGCCTATGACATGCTTAAAACAATTTACAATGTGCCTATCTGTGGCTGTTTAGGAGACCAGTCTGCTTCATTGGTTGGTCAATTGGCAGTGAAGGCTGGTTCTGCAAAGTGTACTTACGGAACAGGTTGTTTCCTTTTGTACAATACGGGTGTGCGTCGTTTAACATCCAATAACGGTGCCCTCACAACCTTAGGTTTTTGGTTCCCAACTTTGGGTGGCGAGGACGGCCAGCCTCATTATGCCCTAGAAGGTTCTGTCGCTGTGGCTGGATCGATCATCCAATGGTTGCGTGATAACTTAAAGCTTATTGAAAGTGCCAAAGACATTGGACCTTTGGCTTCTCAAGCAAGTAACTCGGGTGGTGTTGTGTTTATTCCAGCCTTTTCCGGACTTTATGCGCCATACTGGGATGGTGGCGCTCGTGGAACCATTTTCGGAATGACCCAGTATACATCATCGGCACATATTGCTCGCGCTGCGCTTGAAGGTGTTTGTTTCCAGGTTCGTGGCATTCTCAGAGCAATGTCTGAAGATGCTGGCGGGTCGAAAGATTTCTTGGAAGAAGCTTTGCACAGTCAACATGAAGATAAGCCATTATCTACGTTGGCTGTCGATGGCGGAATGTCGAAAGCTGGAGAGGTTTTGCAAATCCAAGCAGACATTTTGGGTCCGTGTGTCACAGTTAAAAGAGCGGCCATTTCGGAATGTACCGCATTGGGCGCTGCTATCGCAGCTGGCGTTTCCTTCAAAGATGAGAATGAACGTGTTTGGAGGGATTTCGAAGATGTGATCCAGCTGGTGACAGGTGAGGATGACGAGGCCAATGTTTTCAAGGCAAAACTTCCTGATGTCGACAGAAGAAAAAACTGGAGACGCTGGGAGCGGGCTGTTGAGAGGGCAAAGGGCTGGCTAGATGAGGAGTGATCTCACCAAACCACTCGGGACACATCAAGTGCCGAATATATTGACGGAGAAAAGACGATTGCATACCTATAGATTTCATGCATTCCATTATATAAAGCACCATTCCAAAGCATCTCATAGACAATGTACATCCCACTGAAACTTAATGCCATCTTGCAAGTAGTAACAAACGTGCCAAATATGATGATCATAAATTGGAAATTGAACTTTTCTGTTTCAGTCCACAAGACTATTGCCGAGTTGCAGGGGCGTGAAACCAATGAAAATCTACTAGTTGTTAGTTTAAGATAAAAGGGCCCCATTCTTCATTTACTTTACGTTAATCGACATATTTTGATCCCAGGTATTCAATTTCTCTTACACTAACTCAAATATTTACTCCTCCTCACTACTGTAGTCATCAATATCCACAATAGAACGATCTATGATTGAATCTTCGTGGAAGTGAAGAACAGAGGTTTCCGATTCATCTTCGCTTAGTAGGATAGATTTGTTGATGCTGGTTTCAGGAGCCACGTTATCAAACATAAAAGAAGATTCAACCAACGGACTCTTTTCCTTCTTTGGGGAGAGTGAAGTAATGAAGTTGCGAGCGAAACCAAAACTCTTTTCAGTGAACTTGTCGATTTCGGCCTGCTGTTGGTCCATTTTTCCCTTTACTTCAGTCATGAACTTGTTGTTGAACATCATCGACGCTTTCTGTTTGAGCTGGTTCTGATCAGGAAATATTTTTGACGCTTTTTTCTTCAACTGCTCATGGTCAGGAAACATACCAGAGGTTTTCTTTTTCAATTGCTGGTGCATCAGAGCCATTTTGGGTGGGGGAAAGAAATCAGACTGCGTTTTGGATAAAGACACCAAACCTTGTTTTTCATTGTGGGAAGGTATATGCATATTATTTTGTGGTGCAAATTCTGGAAAATCCAAGGGAGGCTGGTGAGGCAAGTCTCTCTTTTCTTGCTCCTTTTTGGGGCTTTGGAAAATGCTGCTTACCTTCTTCTTGAGGCGAGCAATGTCTTCCTGGAGGAAAGGTGCATCAGGTCTATCGCTATTGAGTTCCGTTTCAAGCTGGGCCTGGAGCTCCAAAATTTCAAAGCGAACAAGCTCTGCCAGCTTCTCCAACTCCATCAACTTGGCTTGTTTGCTAGCATATTTGCGGAGAATTTCGTTGCGGTCTGGTGCTGTTTCTTGCTTCTGCTTAACTATTGGCACTGCGACATGTAGGCCTCTAGTAGATTTTGTGGGCGAGGGAGGAGTTTTGCGATTTTGCGGCGACAACTGAAGCTTGTAGAGACCCGTGGACTCTGAAATGATCCGATTTTTAGGCATTAATGCCGTTCTCTGTGTTTCCATGGGAAGAGCTTGTAGTTGGGAATATGAATAATTGATGAAAGTCATTTGCCTAATTGGGACTAATGGTCAACAGAAGCCGATAATAAGTGCGGCATGCAGGTGATTGAATGTTTCTTTTCCATCTAATCTTACTCGTAAATTGCATACACACCAGATACTTGAGGAAAGTTCACCTGAGCAAGAAATCATGATTTGGACTAAGAAGAAGCCGAAGGCTTGACTTCTGAATCTCACCAAAAAGTCAAACACTCTAGGTTGCTTGACTTGCTAGTCAAGATTCGCTAGTCAAGATTCGCTAGTCAACTTAGCTGATTTGTAACAGACTTAACAGACTTGTCATTTACATGATGCTAGAAACTACATTATTGGTCATATCATCAATAGACTCAATTGCTTCACCTACTGTCCATTGATTTGTTCAGAAAGCATGGTACTAGACTTGCAACCAAACCTAGTGTTCCAGATAATTTCAACCGTTCGATTGGTGCTCCCATTTCATAAAAGTCCAATTGATTCATCGTGAGATAGATGAGCACTTGATGTGCCATTCTTAATGTTTGTCTACATCCAATTATCTTATCGCTCTATTATGACACTCTATATATATCCCTTAAACCTTTTCCAAAAATTCCTCGTTGGCGTAGTGGTAGTCGCTGACCTTGACGGTGAACTCATCAGTTTCCTTGTCGTACTTGACAATCTCGAAAGAAGACAAGTCGTCAACAACAATGTCGGCACCAGCTTCTCTGACCTTCTCCGGGTTGTAGGTCGAGCAGATACCAACAATCATGGCACCAGCACCTTTACCAGCAGCAATACCAGCTGGGGCATCTTCGAAAACCACAACCTTCTTCAAAGCGTCTTCGTAGCCCAAGTCGTTTCTGGCAGTCTGGTAGCCCATTGGGTGGGGCTTACCCTTGGTGACTTTCTCGGCAGTGATGAAAGTGTCTGGCTTTTCAATTGTCAACAACTTCAACCACTTGGTGGCCAAAGGCAAAGTGCCAGATGTGACAATAGCCCATCTTTGCTTCTTGTTGTCAGTTTGTTCCTTGGAAAACTTGTCGAATTGCTTCACCAACTCAACGGCACCAGGGATAGGCTTGGCCTTATCGCCAAAAGTGTCTGGAATGGAAGCCTCCCAAGCAGTAACTTGCTCTTCAATGGCGTCTTCAGGCGACCACTTGGCAATGACATCAAAGGTACGGCAGCCGTGAGATGTTCTGATGATTTCCTCTGGGTTCACGTGAGGTCTGGTTTTACCAAAGTGTCTCCAAAACTCGGAAATGGCTCCGGTGGAGTTGACCAAAGTACCGTCGCAGTCGAAAAGAGCAGCGTGAACGTTGAAAACAGCAGGTTGTTTAGTGACAGTCATGGATGAAATTTGCTTGTCCAGAATGGAATACCGTTTGTATCAGGGACAAACGGGGGGCTTTATATATTTTTTGTGTCTTGACTTATCATCCCTCTGCTTACCTGCATGCGCCTATCTGGTGATGTACAAAACATTTCTTATTCAAAAGAAAGGACTAATTGATCCGCACTGATGCGCACTGCACACAAGCACGCCCCATCATCCGACGCTCCAAATTTTTCCGCCATCACGGGCTCAATTCCATAGTCCGGCCACTTTATTCGCACCACGTGAGACTATATTCTTACGACTTCAAAGGAAAAACTCCTGGCACTTTGGCCCATGTTTTCGCTGTGGCCCACGTGCGATGTTTTTTTTCCCGCTGCGCCCGTCTAGGAGGCTTTGTTTTCTTTTTCTGTTTCGGCTTTGTCAAAGAACTCAATATGACGTAGCACGCGCTTGTGTTTATGGCCGGATGCCTGGCGGTCGAGGTGTAATGACGTCACTGTGTGCAGTCCGTCCAATGAACGGAGGTCAAATGGCCAATTCTGGTCCGGCAGGAGGCGGTACGGGCCCAGCTGAGAAAAAGAAATGACGACACTCTGTATGGGAGACAACGGTCTTTCCGCTTTGGGAAAGAACAAGGCCTTATCGTTGGTGGTTTTTTCTTCTGCGCACTCTGCATCATTTCACAAGACAATCAGCGTGGGCCATCCGATAGGACATCCGTACCTCCCCCACTCCCCTAAACCATTGGCATTCTCTACTTTAGAGCCGCCGGACGAAGGGCAATATGTTTCAAAAGAACATCAGTACCGCATCCGTGCCTCTGTGTTTGTTCTCAGAAGTTCCTCATATCCTTCATAGACCTGCACAGCAGCCTAACCTCCTACCTGTACATTAATATCTCCAGTGGAAGCTTCATTCTGCGTCAGAACAAGAAATGTCCTGTGAACATCACCATCACCACGGCTCCAATGGAGACGATCATATCCCACCCATTCCAACATCGCAAGCACAGCTGCTCCATCTGAAAATCAACTTGGCCCAAGTCACAGCGCTCAATCTTGAGAACCCACGTGACGACTTATCCAAGCTCTTCAAATCGCCACAACATCGCTACGAAGTCAAGCCAGTGATCAAATCCGATGCAGACGAGCAGCTCATTTTGCATGTGCCATTCTTGAATGGAAGCGTCAAGCTCCACTCTGTGATTTTGCGCACAAGTGCACACCATTGCCCCAAAACGATCCAGATCTGGAAAAACAGTCCACAGATTGATTTCGACAATGTTTCTGACTTCAAACCGCATTTCACTGTGCAGCATCCACAGATAGGTGTTGCATTTGACGAAGATGATGACGACATGCCCCAGGTTGTCGAGTCAGATGCAGATTTTGTGGAGCACCATATGCCTCGGCACATCTTCTCCGGTGTGCAACACTTGACTCTTTTCGTTAAGGATGTGTACGATGATGAGGACCAGTGTCGGTTGCATCTGGTCGAGCTACGCGGTGAGTTTACTGAGCTTTCAAAAGATCCTGTGATCACTATCTACGAGCTGGCAGCTAATCCAGCAGATCACAAGGTGGTTGAAACACCAAACTACCAGATGGGAACCAATTGAGGATATATAAATGGATTATCGAGACATAGGAAATGGAAATAGTTTAGTACCAGTCAAATGGCCTATGCCATGCCGGATATAATAATGTACTCAATCGAACTCAATGGATGGGTTCAACGGATCGATAGAATGATGAGGCTAATATGTCACACCAAGTACTCTAATCCATTATCAAGGATCCTGTACACCAATGTTCAACAGGGTCTCAGCTTGTTAGCTATAAGGTTGCACATCATTACATTTCATCATACTCATACAGATTGCAATGTTTATAGACCACGCATATTTCAATTTGCACTCTCTCACTACTTTACGATGCTTGCCATAGTAATTTCCTCCCAATTCGTCATCAGCGGTAGTTTCATTGGGCCAGTTGGGGAACGAGAAAGTCTTGGAGCAGCATCGTTTTGCACATCAGCACATACCACACCACGCAAGAAAACAATTGACACTTCAAATTAATCTGAAACAGCAGTGCCTCTTGATATTTCAGAGCCTACTACAAAGGTGCCCGGAGTCCGCAAATCGAACCACCGGGTCAAGTGATCGTATGCCGTATTCCCATAAGCGCATATGTCGGACAAGCGCTTGTGGGTCGCCGAAGCAAAATTCAAGGGTCTTTCAAAATGACAGCGGGAACGTCATTGCACCGGCGCCCAATCCACGGGAACGCCTTCTATATAATTGAAAGGAGAAAAAACGCCCGTGAAAAGCAAGAAAAAAAAGCATCCTTTGGTGTCATCACGAGGAACCAAAGAAGCTCAGGTGAGGCTCGGACTTCAATCCTCCACAGTTCGCATTATATAAAGGCGCGAGCATATTCCCAAAAGCCTTTCTTCTCTTTGTTATACAAATCAATTAATCATGCCTAAGCTTGTTTTGGTCAGACACGGACAATCCGAATGGAACGAAAAGAACTTGTTCACCGGTTGGGTGGACGTTCGTTTGTCTGAGGTTGGTAGAAAGGAAGCCATCAGAGGCGGTGAGTTGATCAAGGAAGCTGGTATCAACGTCGACATTTTGTACACCTCCAAGTTGTCCAGAGCCATCCAAACCGCCAACTTGGCCTTGGAAGCTGCTGACCAATTGTACGTCCCAGTCAAGAGATCCTGGAGATTGAACGAAAGACACTATGGTGCTTTGCAAGGTAAGGACAAGGCCCAGACTTTGGAGCAATACGGTAAGGAGAAGTTCCAGACCTGGAGAAGATCCTTCGACGTCCCACCTCCAGAAATCGAGGCCGACAACAAGTACACCCAAGTCGGTGACATCCGTTACAAAGACATTGACCCAGCTGTTGTTCCAAAGACCGAGTCTTTGAAGTTGGTCATTGACAGAATCTTGCCATACTTCCAAGACGAGATCGCCGGCGACTTGTTGCTGGGCAAGACCGTTCTTATTGCTGCCCACGGTAACTCTTTGAGAGCTCTTGTCAAGCACTTGGACAAGATTTCTGACGAGGACATTGCTGGTTTGAACATCCCAACCGGTATTCCATTGGTCTACGAGTTGGACGAGAAGTTGCAGCCAACCAAGCCTGCCTACTACTTGGACCCAGAGGCTGCTGCTGCCGGTGCTGCTGCTGTTGCCGCTCAAGGCTCCAAGAAGTAAGTAGAATCGAAACAATTACTTAATAAAAGCTTCAGTTAAATCATTGAGTACGATGTAATCATGCCATGCTCCGATATGGTTGTAATACGAGGAAATTTTTCAAATCGGAAGTTCAGTTGCGAATCTAGGATCTGAGAGTAATCACCGTTTGGAACTTCTGGTAACCTCAAGCTGAATGACATTATTTTTGTTAGCGTGCATTGCATCTTGTCTTAATGAGTAGTTATTATTTGTTCCAATCACGGTCCATTTACTGTTTCTGCACAAGCTCTATTGGCAGTGAAAATATCCAAGGATCACGATTCAGCAGTTAAGGTTATCATAACTTATTGAGGCAGGGCCAATTACTATAGAAGCACACTAGTACCCGGAATTGCAATAATGATTCCATCAGCGAGGACTACAACACCGCTTTTATCACTGTTTTGACGATTGAACAAGTCTTAGTAATAATAGATATAATAAACCATAACAAACTAGGCCCAAAGACACGCAAATTTCTCCCACTTACGCAATTCAGTATATATTTGGACATTATTTCATCGCAATCTCACCAGCTCCAAATGCGCACAATCATCTGCCCATTCGACCACCACTTCACCATTGACTAAAATTTTTGTTCCATCTGGCCTCTACTAGACATTTTTCTATCCACATCACTTTTTCCATTCTCCCTCCGTTTACACTCTTTTCATTGCCATAGTCCCAAGTCATGTTCCTGCACACAGTCTAGTGTTTTTTACCCATCAACCTCACCACATCCAAACTTTAGTATCCACCATCCCATGTTTGGAAGTTCCAACCCTGGTCAGGGCCAGAATTCCGTTTTCGGTCTGAGCAATCTGTCGGGCACCCAACCTCAAGGTTCTCCGTTTGGCGCAAGCTCATCTACTTCTGCTTTTGGAAACAGTTCCACTTCTGGTGGTCAACAGTCTTCAACCGCCTTTGGCCAGCCTGCTTCGTCTGGATTCGGCCAATCCAATTCTGCTTTTGGTTCTAAACCTGCAGCTTTCGGCTCTCAGCCAGCTTCTACTGGCTTTGGCTCCACCACATCGACTGCTCCTTCCCTTTTTGGAAGCAAGCCTGCTGCAGCCACCACGCCTTCTGCTCTGGCGGCTCCAGCCGCGTCATCTGGCTTTGGCACTTTTGGATCCTCTACTCAGTCTGGTTCCGGTTTGTTTGGCTCGAAACCTGCCGCTTCAACTGAAGCAAAGCCGGCCTTCTCTTTTGGAGCAGCGTCTTCAAATAATGCTGCTAGCCTGACATCAGGAGGATTATTCGGCGCCAAACCAGCTGAAAATAACTCCAATGATGCGAAACCCGCCGATGCAAAACCTGCTTTCTCGTTTGGAAACTCTACTGCTGCCCCTGCTGCCTCTTCGACCACGTCAGCTTTTGGTTCCGCAGCGAAGCCCGCTTCTACTTTCAGCTTTGGTGCTAGCGCCGCTTCTGGTTCGGCAGAGAAGGATAGTAAACCCGCTACTCCTGCTTTTAGCTTTGGTGCCAAGCCTGCTGATACAGACAGCAAGCCTGCTTCCTCTTTCAGTTTTGGTGCTAAACCTGCTGAAACTGACAAGCCTGCTTCTTCATTCAGCTTTGGCGCCAAACCCACAGAAAGTGAAAAGCCTGCCTCAAGCTTCAGTTTTGGGGCGAAACCCGCTGAAAGTGATAAACCTGCCTCTGCTTTTAGTTTTGGGGCGAAGTCCGATGAAAAGACTGATAATAAAACAGCTGCTCCGGCTTTTAGTTTCGGAGCCAAGCCTGCGGAAAAGCCCCAAGATAAGACTACAGCTCCTGCGTTCAGCTTTGGAGCTCAATCAGGAGAGAAAAAGGATGACAAGCAAACAACTCCAGCTTTTAGCTTTGGCGCGAAAGATGCACAAAAGAAGGATGACAAACCTGCAACTCCTGCTTTCAGCCTTAGTGGTAATGCTGCTGAAAAGAAAGATGACAAGCCAGCCACGCCAGCCTTTAGTTTTGGAGCCAAACCTGCCGAGAAAAAAGATGAACAACCAGCTGCTGCAGCCACCGCTCCATCGTTCAGTTTCGGGGCAAAACCTACTGAAAAGAAGGATGAAAAAGCTGCTGCATCCGCGTTTAGCTTTGGTGCCAAGCCAAGTGAAACTGATAGCAAACAAGCCACTCTTTCTCTTTTTGGTGGCGCTAAAAAAGATGAAGCGAAAACATCTGGCTTCAGTTTCGGCGCCAAGCCAGCAGAAAAAAGCGATAAACCAGCTTCAGGTTTCAGTTTTGGTGCCAAGCCAGAGGAGAAAAAAGACGACAAGCCTGCTACATCGTTTAGTTTCGGTACTAAGCCCGCTGATAAAAAAGATGACAAGCCTGCAACTGGTTTGAGCTTTGGTTCGAAACCGGAAGAGAAGAAAGAGAATAAACCTTCTACAGGGTTCAGTTTTGGTGCAAAAGCTGATGAAAAGAAGGATGATAAGCCAGCTGGTGGCTTCAGTTTCGGGGCAAAGAGCGATGACAAGAAGGAGGAGAAGACTACACAACTTGGCAGTCAGCCATCCAAAGAGACCGACTCTAAATCAAAAGACACAAATGTTCCAAATTTGAAGCCCACAAAAATCGAACCGGCAGCAATTTCATTGGACAATAGAACAATGGATGAATTGATCATGAAATGGTCGAAGCAGTTGACGAAAACCACCAGCATTTTTGAAACATACACAGATAAAGTTAAGGACTGGGATCAGCAGCTCACAACTAGTGCGGAAGAGATTTCTAAATTGAATAGGGATGCATTAGAAGTGGAATCATTACAGCAGAGGATCGATCAACAGTTGATGTTTGTTGAAAGTCAGCAGGATGAACTTGACAAGATTTTGGACAATTACGAGCAACAAGCAGACGCTTTGTTGAACAATATCGATTTGAACTCTTCTGACTTTTCCGGCTTTGCTCTAGTAGGTTCTAATGGCAATGGTGCTAGTGCCGCCTCTGGTCTGAATGCTACAGACAACTTACGTGACAAGGCATACCGCAACGCGGAATTGTTGGACGAGAGATTAGACTCCTTGGGACTGAACTTATCCACATTAGTTAATGAAATCAACTCTGTGAGTGACACTTTCAACCGGTCGTTGGTGAGCAACATTGTGGAAGAGAAGGGTGGTGACAAAGAAGGTGCAAATACCGTGGAAGAAATCGTCAAGTTGTTGAACCTTCACTTGTCAAACTTGAAGTACATTGAGACGACTAAAGAAGAGTTGGAGCAAAAATTGACCCAACTTAAGGGCCCCAAGAGGCTTCATTAGAAGAGTGTAAATTAGTGTCAATGCATAGTATCAGTCTGGGGAATATTAGCCATGTAAACAAGTTCGTAGACTCCGCACTACCGATGCTTGCGCATATGATTCTCGCCAGTATATAAATTCCCCACATTTCTCTGCAAATGAGATCCGCTCATCCATTTTTGCTTTCTGAACATGCCTCCTCCCATTGGTTTGATCATTAACTTGCTTAGAGACCCACAGGTGTCCAACAAGGCCATATTGAACTTTGTAGTTCAACAATTGGAAGCTATAGGCTACACCAAGATTCTATCTGCGATTCTTGGTGCGGCCATGGTGGGAGTTTCGCTGGGGATCAAAATTCCGCAGATTAAGAAAATAGTTTCTCCTTCTAAGTTGGAGCACAGAGTGTCTTTGGCGCTGGGCCTTTCTCGCGACTCTGTTCGGCTCGAAACTTTGGCGCAATTCATTCATGTCACGTACAATAAACAAGAGGGCAACGCTTTTGTCAACTATGGTGAATCGCTCATGGTGGCACTCCAGAACATTGCTCTTCTTTTGTTGTTAGAGTACTATCGTTTGCGTAAAGAGGAGAGCACATTGAATGTCCTTGGAGAAAAGGCGAAGAGAAGAGAGGCTTTGAAAGCACTTGTACGCCCAGCCACCCAGATACTTGCGTTGGTCTTTCTCATTACTCGTGTTGCTCCCCGGAGATTGATTCTGACATTACAGGTGCTGATCATTCCTCTTGGAATTGCCGGAAAGTTTGCTCAAATACGCAGAAATGCAAGATTGCAATCGACGGCAAGTTTATCCCATGTAACAGTGGGAGCCAATGTTATTGGGTCACTTATTCGCGTTTTCACTACGCTTTCAAGTTACAAAAAGGGTAGAGGAAGAGATAAAGTGTTGCTTGCAGGCTACCTGGCCTCTTTTGTAATGAATGCAATTTTGGCAGGCCAGATGATTCAATACAAGGGAGAGGCGGAAGGAAATCAGAAGACAGAGAAGGTTGAATAGTAAGCTTAGAGACATGGAGGTTTTAGCTGATTCACGGAGCAGTGTTCCCTGCACCTGTTTGTGTAGCACTCGTATGACTAGATTCCAGAAACATATTAACATAAACGGTAGGATACGCTTCATAGAATTATCATGTTTCGTTGATAATTTAGCATCGATGTCTGGGTGATTTCTAATGGATTTAGGCGATGGGGCGATTGTTTATCGGTAATGGGGTAATGGTTTATGGTATTGGTTATGATTCCATGACGCAGATGACTTAATGACTCAACTTGAGGATGAAGTAAATGGACAGTTTCCACCAATGATTCTCACACCACAAACTACAGTAGAGTTTAAACTAAACGAACCAATTCCTACGAGTACAGTAATGTACTCGGGTCCCACCCGTAGAATTCATTTTATAGATTCTAGAGGAGTCATCCGCCCAATAGAGTGCGAAAGCGCGAAAAGCGTTCCAGACATTACTAATCTCACACCAACCACCTTCTTTCTAATGACACACACGGCGCAATACCTCGAACAAGGGGAGACGCCTATCTCTGCTATCTTGCAAGGTGGATACAACCACCCACTTGCGCGCGAGTGGCAGAGCGAACGTCGTCTCGACAAGTCGATGTTCATTTTCCCGCTTTTCGTCTCAGACATTGATGACGAGGAAACAGCCATTCCTTCGTTGCCAAATATCAAGCGGTACGGCGTTTCGAAGTTGGCGGACTACGTGGGGCCTCTTGTGGAAAAGGGATTGGCTGCTGTGATTTTGTTTGGTGTGATTTTGAAGGACGGCGTCAAGGACGCTCAGGGGACTGCGGCAGACGATCCAGACGGGCCTGTGATCCGCGCGGTGCGCCTTCTCCGCGAAAAGTTCCCCAGCCTCTACATCATGTGCGACGTTTGCCTTTGCGAGTACACCTCGCACGGCCACTGCGGCATTTTGTGCGACGATGGCAGCATCAACCGCGCGCCCAGTGTATCGCGCATAGCGGCGGTAGCGTTGGCTTACGCCCGTGCGGGTGCGCACTGTGTGGCGCCCTCAGACATGATGGACGGGCGGATCGGCGCCATCAAGCGCGGGCTTATAGACGAGGGCTTGGACAACCGCGTGCTTGTCATGAGTTACCTGGCCAAGTTCAGCGGCAACTTGTACGGACCTTTCCGCGACATTGCTGGCAGTGCGCCTTCGCACGGCGATAGACGTCTGTACCAATTGCCTGCGGGCGGTGCTGGGTTGGCGCGCCGGGCCTTGGTTCGCGATATTGCCGAGGGCGCCGACGCTTTTATTGTCAAGCCATCGACTTTTTACCTCGATGTTGTGAGCGAAGCGTCGCGCATTTGCCGCGACTACCCACTTTGTGTGTACCAGGTGAGTGGCGAGTATGCCTTGTTGCATGCGGGCGCGGCCCAAGGCGTGGTTGACTTGAAGGCCATTGCCTTTGAGGCGCACAATGGCTACTTGCGCGCGGGCGCGCGCTTGTTCATCAGTTACTTCACGCCCGAGTTCTTAGAGTGGCTCGACTGAGTGAAGAGACTAGAATCATGTTATATAGATTACCGCATGCTAACCAATCAAAGACTCTTAATCACAAAGGAACAATCACACAAGTAGCGGCTCGAGTAGTATAATATATCGAAAATGTAAGTTCATGGAGTATGCTTACGCTAATGAGAGAACAATTTCACATTTGATTCGTTTCATTGGAGGATTTTATCCTTAAGTGCTATTCTACGATTGTGCATTGCTCAAGCAACGCCATTAGATATAAACTGGCCCGCAAACTTCAAGGCAGACCAACAAACCTGACCACCATAAACCCACCATTTCAGCATGGACCAAAGGCTATTATAAATAAAGAATCTGACAGTCGACACTGATGATTATTCCAAGACACACAACAGGAATGCTTTACCTTGTCTTCAAGCTGCAAGTGGCTCCTCTTTCGGATGTTCACTCTGCTGTTCTTCAGCTTGCGGATCAGAGGTATCCTGCTTGTCTTCTGCCTCCACAATATTCTTTGGAGCGTCTGGAAACTTCACGTCTTCGGAAGCTGGAGCTCCGACACCCATCTCGCGCTCCAAGCGGGCCATTTCTTCATCGACTTCGTGCTCTTCCAGATTGCTCAATCCCAGACCGAGCATATCCGAAACCTCGTCCACACGGAGCCGTTCCTCTTCCAAGTCATCCAAAACGCGATCGATCTTCTCCACGCTCATTTCGCTGTTGAGTGTTTTCAAAACTCGGTTACCCTGCTCAAGCCCATAGAGCACATCCTTCTCGATCAACTTGAACTCGATCGTACCGATAAGCCCTTCTAGGTTTCCGAGCTGATCATATGTTGATTCAATGACACTTTGCTGGCGCTTTTTCAGCCGCAAGTAGAACTTGGCCTTATCGGGTTTTCCGTCTCGGAGCGCCTGGCGGGCCAATTCCGTTTCGCGTTCTATGGTCACCGTGAGCTTTTTCTGGTACTGTTTCAACGCATCTCGTTGCCGCTTGAGCTGGTAGATAGCACGGTCCTGCGGTGTAATTTTCGGCTGTGATGTCTGCTGCCCCATACCTCGATGTTGAGCTGATTCTGGTGATAAGAAACCAAAGCTGTAGTCGCGAGAGGCACGTGACTCAGCACACGACCAATGTGAATTATAAACTAGAAACAGAATGACGAGTATGGTTGATTAGCCATGCTCATTAGATGTATACTGGCAATCCAAGACCGTTTGGCCGTTTCCACCGCTTGGCCCATTTTTCCGTTTTTGACGGCTGACATGCACCTTCTAGAAGCTGCGGTCAGAATGCCTGCACACATCCACGTTTTCCCAGCAACCACTGGTGTTTGCGTGCACAGAAACGAAGCATCACAATCACCTTTCCTAATTGGGTCGTTCTATCAACACCTGCGAGAGGTAGTGTAGCGGACTGGATCTGAGTTTCAAGCAACTAGTAGAATTGCCTGACAGAACATCGGAAAACGTATTTGTGTCCGAGAACAAAGCTCGAACTAGGTGTATCCAACCAGTCTATAATTCGCGTGGTCTCTTGAAGCATTGAAGAGGTACAGACCCACATAGACGAAAAAAGTGGAACTGAGTTTTAGAAGCCACAAGAGAAGCGGTTTGCAAAAGAACAGTTTCAGTCTCCATCCCGAGAAGAACCTCGAAAAGAGCTTTTGGAACAAGCCAACCCTGCAGCAGAGTGTCTGAGCCAAGCCTTCCCTTACCCAAGTGGAACATTTTGCGCACCTAATATCGTCATCCTCCATCGCATAGCATGATCATGTCGTCGCCCCAAATGCGCACGCCATTCCAGGCCGCGCGCCCAAGCCAGGCGGCCGGGCGAGATTCGAAGAAGCGGCTGCTCGACGAATCTCCAAAGCGCACAGCGCTGTCAATGCTGTCAGTGCCCGTGGCGCCAGTAGCGCCGCAACGAAAACCAATGCTTGGCGCACCGCCCGTGCTAGCGGCCCGGTCCAAGTCGCTGATTGACTTTCGGCCGCCGCATGCCGCGCCTCTCGGCACGCTCTCGCCGCCTCGCCCGGCCAAGCTCCGGCGCGCCACGTCACTGCTCGCCGCCGCCGAAGCAGCGCCCGACCGCTTCATCCCCAGTCACCGCAATTCTTCGCGCGGCAAATTGGCATCGAGCGCAGCACCTCCACATCCCAATGCACTGCCGCAGACACACATCCAGGCGCAAACATCGAAAATATACCAGCGGCACGTGGCTGCCGCATGCGGGCTCGATGTGACGCTGCGCATCTTGAGTTTCTGTCCGCCGCCGCCCGAGCGCAGCACGCCGCTCCGGCTTTTCTCCGACCACAGTCTCCGCCCCGCGGCAGCGTCGGCGCGCGCCAAAAAGATTCCTACCGCGCCCGACCGCGTGCTCGACGCCCCCAATATTGTCGACGACTTCTACCTCAACCTTGTAGCATGGTCTGCCACCAACCTTATTGCCGTGGGTCTTGCTGACGCCGTGTACGTATGGAACGCCTCCACTGGCGCCGTGGGTCTTTTGTGCGAACTCGAAGGATCCACCGTGACATCTTTGCGGTGGCTGGACGACGGGTCGTACATTTCTGTCGGGCGAGACGACGGCGGCGTGGAAATCTGGGACATCGAGACCAACGCGCGGCTCCGGACCCTCGCAGTGGGCGCGGGCGCGCGTGTGGCCGCCCAGGCGTGGCTGCTGCACATGCTCACGACGGGCGCCAAAGACGGCCGCATCAGCAACAGCGACGTGCGCGTGGCGCGCCATTTGGTGGGCGTGCGCCATGCGCACGCGGCCGAGGTGTGCGGCCTCGAGTACCGCTCGGACGGGCACGTTTTCGCCAGCGGCGGCAACGACAACGTGGTGGCCATTTGGGACGCGCGAAGCACCAACTCGACTACGGGCGCAACATGCTCTGGCAGCGGCTGCGGATGCTCTGGAAGCGTGGGTAATGGGTCGGGCATTGGGTGCGGCGCGCTCTTCCGCAAAAACACCCACCGCGCCGCGGTGAAGGCGTTGGCGTGGTGTCCCGTGCAGCGGCTGTTGCTTGCGTCGGGCGGAGGGTCGAGCGACCGCACCATCCACTTTTGGAACGCCTCCAGCGGCGCGCGCGTCAATCTGATCGAGACCGGCGCGCAGATTTCTTCGCTCCATTGGGGCCACGCCAAAGGCACAGGGCTCGAAGTGGTGGCCACCCACGGGTTCCCTCTGAACCTGGTTTCGCTTTTCAACTACCCCACGCTCCAAAAAACCGGCGACATTGCCGCGGCACACGACCTGCGTATTCTCAGCGGGTGTCTCAGTCCTGATGGCACTACGTTGGCGACCGTCGCGGGCGACGAGAACTTGAAGTTCTGGGCACTTTTCGACGCGCGCCCCGAGGAACGACCAGACGCTAAACACATGGCCAAGCTCATGAATATCCGGTGATCCAGAGTATCATCACTGGCTTTAGCCGCTCATGGGCCTTAATTTCGCTTCAGCCATTTGCATTCGCCCAAGTGTTCGGGCGTATATAAATTTCCTAGATTGCCCATGTGGTTCATAGCATATCCATCTACATAATACGCCCTTTGGCGAGATCCATGCATATCATTCGCATATATCTCCTAATAATCAGCTTCTAGGACCTCTTGTAGCCATTTCGAGTCATCAAATATCGTGAAAGCAGTACAACCCCATACTAGTGAAGGGAATTCGGATGACAATATTTGCGTCTAGGGCTTACCATAGCATGTGCACCATACACCGTACCACACTCAAATATTGCGTCTAGATCTTACCATAAGATGTGTACCCTGCCCAAATATTGCCGTAGCAGTTGGTCATTACCAGAGACTTATGACCGATCCCAAATGCATCATACTCGTCTGTCTTATGGAACGGGTTTGTTGGTGTAACCACCCTTGGAACCAGCCTAGATATAGTTTTTCTGGCCGTTTTACTACAACAGCCCATACAACAACTTGGTGGCTAAGAATGATTTTCGTAGATTGTTCCTCGCTTGTACATGCAAGGTAGGCTAAACAACTGAGAAGAACAAAATTGCATTGAGTGAGATCTGGATCGTGCTTTAGACAGTTTAATGTTACGCATCAAACACAAGAATAACTTAGCTTGAAACAGGAATAATATACGATGAAGATAGGTTGCCGGCGAATCGGTAAAGAATAGGATATTCAGGCGAAAATATAAGGATTGTAGAAAAAATACAAAAATTCAGGCGGACAGACAAGTTCAAAACTACACGCAAAAGTAGACATGGACTTTGTGGCTCAGACCCAGGCGACGGTCCTCTAATTTGCATATCAGTACCTCCCTAAAGAACCAAAGGGTGGATTTTTAGCCGTCTATAACACTAGCCTAGTGTTCTGATTCGTGCTCGAGCTTAAAAAGGCCATTGTTAAATGCATATTTCTCCACAATACATGGGCCAAGCTCTATAAGCCTCGGCTTACAATGTGGGACCCCATTGGGCCCCGTGCATGGAATTGCGAACTGCGAACTTGAAATTGACAAACTGAAACTGAATCCTTGGATGCAAGTCTCGTACCAGAAGGCTACATATGCGGATGTTGGCATCAAGAGTCAATAAACTTCAACAAACAATTGTCTTGCATTGTTTCCACTTCGATATATAGAGATGTTTACAGGAATGTGCGCGGAATTGCATGGGCTAAAGCGATATGCCAAGATCGGTGGCGCCTTTTTCGCGCTGCACAGAAACATGGGAAGATCCCGACTCCGATCACGCAAACAAAACAGGTAACTCCGCACAACAGCAATACTAGGCCGCATGAACAGGAAATACATAAAGTGTAAAAATTGCAGAGAGAAGTATGCACAAAAATAAAACAGAAATGTAACGAAAAAGAAAGTGAACGAACAAATATTTCTCCCGTAGCTCAAAGCAACCCATCAGGAATTTGGACAAGGTTTTCCGCGAGAAAAACCCTACCCCCCAAATTGGAAAAGTGCAACGGCCACTTTATGTAGTTCTGCTTCTGGAAGAAAGGGAGCAAAACGGCCGACAGGCGCGCGCACGTGACTGCACGGCCCAAAGCCACTTAGACACTTGAACATACCTATCCCTTTACAAAGAAGAACTATCATGTCCACATCAGGCGAGTTCACCCGGACGCAAATCTTCGGTACGGTTTTCGAAACCACGCTGCGCTATACGGATTTGAACCCCGTTGGCATGGGTGCCTTTGGGCTCGTGTGCTCAGCCATGGACAAACTCACAGGCCAAAATGTGGCGGTCAAGAAAATCATGAAACCTTTCTCGACCCCGGTGTTGGCCAAGCGCACATACCGTGAATTAAAGTTGTTGAAACACTTGCGCCACGAGAACTTGATTACTTTGGATGATATCTTCTTGAGCCCCTTGGAAGACATTTACTTTGTCACAGAGTTGCAAGGAACAGACTTGCATCGGTTGCTCACATCCCGGCCGTTGGAAAAACAGTTCATCCAGTACTTCACGTACCAGATTTTGCGTGGACTTAAGTATGTGCATCTGGCTGGCGTGATCCACCGTGACTTGAAGCCGTCCAACATTCTCATCAACGAGAACTGTGACCTCAAAATCTGTGACTTTGGCTTGGCCCGAATCCAGGACCCCCAGATGACGGGCTATGTGTCTACTCGTTACTACCGTGCGCCAGAGATCATGTTGACGTGGCAAAAGTACGACACTGAAGTGGATATGTGGTCTGTGGGGTGTATTTTGGCAGAAATGATCGAGGGCAAACCACTTTTCCCGGGCAGGGACCACGTGCACCAGTTCTCGATCATCACAGAGCTTTTGGGCTCGCCCCCAGCAGATGTCATCGACACAATCTGCTCGGAAAACACTTTACGTTTCGTCCAGTCTTTACCTCAGCGTGAACCTATCCCATTCAGCGAACGTTTTGCTTCGTGCACACAAGTGGAGCCCGAGGCCATCGATTTGCTCGAGAAAATGCTCGTGTTTGACCCAAAAAAACGTATCAGCGCAGTTGATGCCTTGTCACATCCATACATGGAGCCTTACCATGACCCCACCGACGAGCCGCTGTGTGAAACCAAGTTTGATTGGAGCTTCAACGACGCAGACTTGCCTGTGGACACTTGGCGAGTCATGATGTACAGTGAGATTCTTTCGTTCCACCAGATGAATAGTGTCCCCGAAGAAGGACAGGCGCCTCTCCCTGTAGCTGCCTCTGAAGCTGTTCCACCCGCGGGAGCTTCTCAATAAACTGCTGGAAAGCAAGGCAACCCAATCCAGGGGAATACTAGACGTGCTGTGCGACTGTGCTGCCTCCCCTGTCCCGATAATCTTTGTCTTTGAATAATACATGCTCGAAGTTAGAGTTAACGATGGCTGGTCGCAGATGACGAACCGTATCTGTAGTTATGTAGCGAGGTGCAAGGAAGTGTACGAAAGCAGAAAGAAGAATATCATTAAGAAGAAAATCCTACTGCATCTCCTCCACCCTGTAGTGAAAGTGTTGATAACTCTAAATATGAAGATAAGTGGTGCAGGAGCAGAACGACATTCTGCTAGCAAACCTGGGAAAAAGGGCATACATCCTTGTGAATTTGCCACAATACATATAGAAGAGAGCTAAGCAGTGCAATAAAGAATGCTAAAGAGAATTTAAATTGCATCTTGAAGAATATACCCAAAAGCTCGTTTCGGCCACAGAGAGACTAGATACTCCAACTATTATCCTGCAGGTTGTTATCACCACCCACCAACTCACCTTCTTCTCCAATGGTCCCCCTTTCGCCGCTTGGCCACCGCATGGTGAAAAAAGTCAATGCCAATCTCCTGGTGGCCGTTACGTACTCACCTGTGCCCGATCTACCGACAAAAATCGACTGCACTGTAGAGTTTATCAATACGCGACATACTGGACCAGCTGACGATGAAGAAGAAGCTACAGACAAGGCCCAGACTGGAGGCTGGTTCCGCGGTCTTTGGTCATCCGAAAAAACGCCATTGTCATCAGACGACGAGTCACATCTTCCACTTCTTCTTGGATATGTCCAGATGGTAGGATTTGTGCGCCTAAACCACAACCTCGACAGCGCTAGCTTAGCCGATACGGGCGCTGACGTGCTTTGGAAAAACGCTGACTATTTGGATGAGTATAAAAATGATAACAGTGCGGACAAGGTGAATGCTGTGCTCCAAACGCCGTTTTTCAAAGATCGGGCAGGTCCGCATCCAAAAAAGGGCAAGATTGGAGGCTTGCCCGATCTTCAGGCCAAGAAATTCGACAAAACGTCAGCATACTTGCTCCATGATCTATTTTTCGGATTCAACAGTTTGGAATTGCCCACAGAGAATACTCCTCTGCCCTCAGACATTCAACAAGAAGCATTAGCCGAGGGAGTATCAGAAAGCGTGGCTCCCTTTTATGTAACGTCTCAGCATCTTCTCTTTACGAGTCTTCGTCTCTCGCGAGGAAAGGATGTTGTTTACAAAGTTCGTGCAGATGGGCCAGGTGAAGCTTTCCCTCCATCATACAACATGAAGCTGACTGGCTCGGCTGGTGATGGTGGAGTTCTTTCAATTGGCTACAGTTTTGTTGTTGGGGTTCTGGAGGAAATTGATGGTGTTGTGACACAGCGTCTGATCTATTTCCCATTAGAGCACAGACCAGGAAAAAAAGTATTGGGTAGAGAGTGGCTCCAACAGGATTATCTTCAAGAATCTGTTGTTCGGCAGGATTGGGCCGAGGAATGCATTACAAGCACTGGGACTGAAGTTGAAAATCGAAACAGGCAAATGAATAGTATCAATGGCAGAAAAGGAGAAAAGAATACACAGGGTGATCAAAACGACGACCTAAAAGAGAACGCAATTGAGAAAAGAAGCAATGGAGATACAAACGCCCTTACAGCTGGACACACAACCAATGGTGACAATCATAACGATATAGGCCATACAATCCCTGACAATACAGAAGACCATCCTGAAGGACCACAGGACTCTGACCACGGTTCAATGTTCCATAAACGACGTGGAAAGTTTTTGCAGGAGCTAGACACTCTTATTGAGCGGAGTGTTCAAGTGGTTGGTACTAATGAAAGAAGAAAAAGCTCTGTCGTGGTTCAAAATCCAGCTGGTTATGTTGAGCAAATCCCCAATCGGTTAAAAATTCTGTACCTGATCAGAGTCAACAACCAGGGGCTATGTGACTTGACTCTTTCAAAGCCCTATTTTAGAGTGGGAGATGACATGACCATTTTCTTCCAACCCCCTACAGAACAAACGGGCCCTACCAAAGTTGTCGGAGCCACAATTCACATCGAGGCGCACGAAATTTTCCATTTGGGAAACAACCGAAGCTACGTCAACATCTATAAAGTCACCCCAACGCAGAAATGCAATTTATATGCCGAAGCTCTAGCCACGTCTTTCAGTGACATTAAAGGCGGAGGTGCCACCACTACGTTGAATGTCCCTCTGTTTTTGGCTCAGCAGTTTCAAGCCTCAACTTTGATGGATCTAAAGTATTTTTTGGTTTGTCGATTTGTGCTCAATAATTTTGACAAAGCAGAAGGTGGCGGCTTGATGGATGAAAAACCTGAACAATACATTGAGTTTGCTCGCCACTATGAAGGTGAGAGCGAATCTACAGATTTTATGTTTCTGGTTCCGCTCACAATTCTACCATAGCGGATCTACTGGGGGGGAGAAATATCTGTCAGCAAAAGAGGCCTTATCAATGTACCATTCTTAACTCATAAACAAGTAAAGATTGCTTGTGGGTCTGATAATTCCTTGACACAAGATAGCGCATAATGATTGATGTACATAGAACACAGTCGAAGCTCCAGAAAATGCAGTCAAAATCGCAAATTAAAAAGATGGCGAAGTTACAGGAGTGATATGTGATACTTTTGTTGCTGCACATCATGCTTCTCTGCAGATACGACATTCGCACTTGCTGCACCCCACATATATAAAGGGCCAACACTGTCTATCATCCCTTTCCAATATAATCATGTCCAGTGTTACTGTTTCTCACGTGGCAAACTCCGTGACCCCTGAAAAAGTTGAACAATTTTTTGCTTTCTGCGGTCACATTGATTCTGTCAAGGCCCTTGGAGCCGATGGCGATGGCTTCAGCAAGTACCAGGTGTGCTTTTCTCTGGAGAAGGCTCTTTCCACAGCACTTTTGCTCAATGACGCAGAGTTAGATAATGTGGAGATTGTTGTTAAGGAGGATACGTTACCTCCGTACAGTGAGACCAAGGAAGTTTCTGACACAGACAAGAAAATTCAGCTGGATGCTGTGGCTACAGGAGACGAAACATATGATGATATCGCACAGGAAGAAAAGCCCAAGCTGGCCGTTCTTGCTCAGATTTTAGCCTCCGGCTATCAAGTTTCAGATCAAGTGATTGATAAGGCGGTTGAAATCGACAAGCGGAACGGTTTTTCAGCCAAATTCACAAACTTCTTGAACAATTTGGATCTGAAGTTTTTCCATTCTGAAGATCCAAACTCCGAGGTCAACAAGGCCCAGAAGGAACTCAATAACTTATCAGCATCAGTACAACAACTGAAGTACCTGCAGGCTTTACAGAACTACTTTGAAAAGGCATCCTCTAGTCCATATGGTGTTAAGGTGCATGATTTCTACAAACAGGTTTCGAAAGAGGTCCGGGACGTCCACGAAGAAGCTAAGCGTTTGAACGCATTAAAGGCACAATCCCAACAAACACCATCCACCTAAATAATGTTAACATAGACTCAATTTTATTTGTATGAGGAATGTTCAAAAAATGAGTATGTAGTTGATAGAACTTTAGAATATCTCAACTGTTATTATACGCTGCTATCAGTCAACCAAGAAGACTCTTTGGCAAACAATGGGGTACCCCATATTACTGACAATCTGAATTGTTCAGTGCTAGCATCTAAAGACAATGTACGATCTAAGGGTGATTGAAACTAAGGATCGACAATGCAGAAAGGGTTCTTAGCCGTGAACAGAATTAGTTAATTTCGACAATGTCCGACAGTTGAGTATTTACTTAATATCACTTCAATCAGCCGTACCTGTAAGATTTCTTTAGCGTAGCCATTTTAAGCATTGTCGCAGAGAATAATTTCAACCTTCCTTCTGATTGTGGGAGGAAGTTACAACCTTAGAAATGTGGCACTGGAACTTTAATATTTATGGATCAACTAAAACACAGATGTTGGTTCAGTGAATTCGTCCGCCTTCTTTATTCCTGGAAAAGCCTCCGTCGAATCTAGAATCAGTCTAATACTTGACAATCTAGACATTGAGATCTTGCACTACGTATTTTCAAATGAGAATTGTAAGATTTTCTTCCAAGCTACTTTTACTGCACATTTCCAGGTGATTAGTATTAGTCTATACCTGCCATCCATAGTGTCTTCCCATTAGAAGGGAGCCAGAAATCAGTCACAGCGGACATTATAAACATGCGCTGCGTCTTTAATTACATAAGGAAACTTTTTCTCATAAATCGTAGATCATATTCTGATGGGCTTCTCGAGTAAGTGCCCCATGCGTTCGATCTTGGTGCTAAGGTAGCCCTCGATCTCGCGCAGTTTGATCCCATCGGGAGTACGCCACGCCAACGGCACCATGGGAATGCGCTCTACCACTTCAACATCGCGGTTCTTACCTTCCACGGCCACAATTTTGTCGGGGTTGTTTGTTAATAAACGAATTTTCACGAGATCCAAGTCGACCAATATGGCAGTGGCCATAGAGAAGGAACGACCATCAGCTGGGTGCCGCAACATCAAATTGGCCTGGACAGTATCAGCTCCTAAGTCCTGCAAGTTGTAAGCCTTCAACTTTTCACCCAAGCCAATGCCACGACCTTCCTGTCGCAAGTACACTAGGCATCCGTGTCCATTTTCACCCATGATGCGGCCAGCCTCGTCAAACTGCTCGCCACAATCGCAACGGGCTGACCACGCAGTTTCTCCCGTGTAACATTCCGAGTGGATTCTAGCTAACACCGGTCCGGAGAAAGTTGTCGCTGGTTCACGCACCAAAGAGCCGTCCTCGGCAAAATGAAGCTGCTGGCCCGTACGCTCGTCCAAGTCCGCCATAGTACGCCCTGGAAACAACTTGCCCACGTAGGCTCCGCGGGTCATGCGGTCATGCTGGGTTTCACCAGGCCGCCGGTGGAAAAGGCTCTTTGAACGAATGTCTTCGCCAAATACAATAGCCAAGTGCTCTTTGTTGTCGACATTGTTGGAGTACAAATGTAGAAATATCTCAGGCCCTTGAACCGTTGGGATCCTGGCACGGGCAACACATTGGACCTCGGGTAGTTTGTCGTGGATCGGTAACAGGTTCCGCTCTTCTTGTGAGATGGTGGGCGGGAGCTGCGGACTCTGAGACCCCAGGGCGGGCGAGAGAGCAGGAGACACGAGTGGCATGTTTTCGAGCGCACGCAAGCGAGCGGCGTGGGGGTCAGGTTTGGGTATTTCCGTTTGCATGGCGGGTGGTGGCTCAAACTGAAAATTAAAGTAATTTGCCTTACTAAGTCAAATGGAACTAAAACGCACGTGACGCGGATTATGGAGCGGCGGCCGTGCTGACTAAATATGACTAAGGCCGTGCGAGACGGTCGGGACTGCAGGAAATCCTTTGGCGTATGCCCGCGCCATATGTGGAATGGAGCTGACAGAACAAGGCCGCCGGCGGTTTAGGCCGAAACGTCGGAGTTGAACTAAATAAGGTGGGAAGTTGGGGTGCATGCGACTTTGTACAGGTTCTACTATCGTTTGTTAGCTCCGTCGCCCCTCTAACGGCAAATTTTCTCCCCTTATTTTTTTTCTCACGGGCCGCGATCGCCGTTCTCATGCTGACCTTTCTGACCGTTCTGTTCATCCTGTGGTGTCCTTGTCTCTTCGAGTTGGTTGGTGTGCGGTTTTTTTCTGCGCGCATCTGATTGTTCGGCCGTAATGTGCGCACATCGTCAAAGCTTTGGCTTGTGCAAATGTGAACAATGCTCGGACAACTTCTATTGCCAGCAGAGCATCTTCTTTGTAGTCATAGAGCGGGATTTGAAAGTCTAGCCAAAAGGCCTATCTACGTTGAAGATCTACGAAACCCATGACCAACTGTTGTGATGCAACTTTGGCTTCTCGCATTTCGGCACCGCTCTTTTTCGGCCCTCGGCCCTCGTCCCTACTTCAACTTGCTTCGCTTCTGGCTCTAGATCTGTGGTGTGTCCATTCTCTTTTCTTGTGCAATAGACTTTGTTATTCTGCATAAAATAGGCTGGAACCATTGCCGAGAATTATCTCCTTTTAAGATGATTCGGTTGAAACAAACGACGCGGGCAAAGAACAATACTATTATTAACAGTACCGGAATGGTCCTCGAGTTTAAACTCAATATGACCCCTAATCCTTCGCTCAATGGTTGCTTCCGGCTAAAAAAGTCGCCAACATTTGATTGCTGTGGGTGTTCTGTGCTCTGCAAATGATAATATCGCCATGAAGGGTTCCAGTCTTTGAGCTCATCGATAGATCTACTTATTATTTTTAGGCTTTGCACAATTGGCATTGATGTTCTTGACAAAGTATTGACAGATAGACATGGACTTCAACTGCCGTTGAATGTTGCTTTTATGAACAATACATTCCTATTGTAGAAACAAGTCTCACGATCGAAGTGTCCGTCTTCTGCTATACATACAAGTTAGTTATGAGGCCAGAAATTTGTAAGCTAGTCAATTCAAATTGCTCGAATAGGAGCAACTAAACTTTATGGCTGAGTAAGAAGATGATCATGGAAGAGTTCGATCAGGTCGCTGCAAGTGAGAATCATCAAGCGTAGATGCCAAGCTTGCGTCCAAAAAGTGTGTGAGCTACCCTAACTATAGAGTCTGAAGCCAGTTTCTTTATGTATGGCCATATGAGTTCTCAAATCTCACACTCTAGTGGAAGTCATAGATTGCTGAGATTATAAGGTATCCTTCATCCACTCGTGTACTGAAGTTTAAGCAATAGACATTACAGGAGCAAGCACAACAAAAAGAAACAAAGAGGAGAAAAAGAAATGAGACCGATAGTTGACATGTTTGTTGCCCAGCACGAGTAGGACGTAGATGAAAAGAACGAGGTCACTCAAATTACTGTGCAACCGACAACAAAAGAAGAGAGTTTTTGGAGAAGTGAAGCAGAATATGATCTCAAATAAATATGAAGAAAATTGAACAAGAGAGGGAAGAAAGTGGCATAATTTATTGCAGATGGAAATCTACAACATTAATTATGTCTCCTGTATCAGCCGAAGTAAATTGTAGAAAAAAGAAAAAAGTAAAAATATGTGCACTTGTAAGATAAAAAGAAAACTTACTTCAGCTACACTTATTCGACTTGCAACCAATACTGGCCATTTCACAAAGTGGAGCGGGGACAACAAAATGTCGCACTCTAACGTTACAATGTCGCATTTTTTGCGCACAATGTCGCACGCCCACGGCCAATCACCGCGCAACGTTTTCATGTTACTCCCACGCTTATACCAGAAAAAAAAAAATACACCAGTGCAACTCATTTTTCAACACCAATGTTTCAAGCCATCTCCAGATCTAGTGCTCGTGGGTTGGCATTTTCGGCTCGGTTGCGCAAACCCGCAGCTGCTGCAACCCATGAATATTTGACCACAGGTGGGTCCACGCAATCTGTTTGGCCTAAAGGCTTCAGACAACCGCAACCTAAGACTTGGGAAGAAAGCAGCGAGTCCGCATTGCTGAAGGCAACCAAGTTTTTCTTCTTGAACGAAATTGCCAGAGGTATGTACATCTGTATGGAGATGTACTTCCGCAGTCCATACACCATCTACTATCCATTTGAGAAGGGACCAATCTCTCCTCGTTTCAGAGGCGAACACGCTTTGAGACGTTATCCAAGCGGTGAGGAAAGATGCATTGCGTGCAAGTTATGTGAGGCCATCTGCCCAGCGCAAGCCATCACCATCGAAGCCGAAGAAAGAATCGATGGCTCCAGAAGAACTTACAAGTACGACATTGACATGACCAAGTGCATCTACTGCGGCTACTGCCAGGAGTCGTGTCCTGTGGACGCTATTGTCGAGTCGCCCAACGTGGAGTACAGTACTGAGACTCGTGAGGAGTTGTTGTACAACAAGGAAAAGTTGTTGGAGAATGGAGACAAGTGGGAACAAGAGTTGCAATACTGTATTGATGCTGATGCACCATACAGATAGAACAATCAAGCTGCATTTAGGGCCTACGGGTTGCTATAATAAATTATTCGTGAACCATTGTAGTGAAGTTTTTGGATAATCTGAAAGTGGTTCGGTTTGGAACTACTAACGGATTACAAAGGGCATTACAGAGTTGTTGAGAGGAACCCAAGGGAGTATCGCCTCAAGAGTACCATAGAGAAAACTAAACCTCAGTATCGGTCAGGTGTACGCGAACATATTACTCTCGTACATCATATCAAGAATAGCCGAGATCTGCCTTTAGTGTATTGATCGCTGATGCGTAACGGTAATTTCATTTTCTACTCTGTCGAATGCCAGAAGAAATTAATACTGATATTATATTATTGCAATCATTTTTAATTATATTATTACAATCATTTTGTACTTGAGGACTGTGTTTAGCATAATTATGCCAATATCGACACATAAACACAAAATGGAAATTTTGCTCATGACGCTATTTTAATAACAAAAGAACCTTAAGGCCATGACAATTGCACAATCGAAGACATATCATCATTGATTTGACATATATTGGAGTGACTACTCTTCCATTGAAGAAGCTGCAACGATTATTGTGGTAGAATTAAATCTTGAGTACGGGACTATGCATAAGATGAGGGTTTTGTTTCAATCCTACGAAGCATTACTACCAAAATTGAGTGGGGTCTTCAGATCAAGGCCAGCGGTGATACTATTCAAGATATAGACATTCTAAACCCAAGTATAACCATACGCAACTAGAGAGCATACGAAAAAATGAGGGTACATGTTATCTAGCAGCACTATGAAAAAGTTGTTCTAAAACCACTCTTTACAAGTATCAATCTTTTATAACAGCTCTAAGGATCAATCGTGTTAGAAAAACAGGCAGCAGAAAATGCCGAGACCTAGCCGATCCAACCAGAAGACTCTCCAAAGACCGTTTTCACCACGATAAAAGAGCAACAGTCATCCAGCTCGCGTCGCCTAACGGCTACAATAATAACTGGCTCTAATGGACAGCTGAGAAAAGCGAAAAGCGAAAAGCTTTGGATGTTTAGCAGAAAAGTCGATACTACATGCGAAGACAGGCATGCCGCGCGTAGATGTTGCGGCTCAGAATGTCGTTTACGAGCCACCCATTGTTCTTTCTTGCAAACCTACCACCCAACAACTAATGAATGTCGGCCGTTTGTTTGGGTTTGATCTCTGTTGTTGTTGGATAGGAAAGGTCGCGGTCAGTCATGGAGATTTTCTCTTCTTTTCCTCTTTTTTGCCATGCTGTTCGCATTTGAGGGCGGTGCGTGAAATGGTTGGCACTCACTTAATGGCCCGTCTTTGAACATCTGAAACACTGAAATGTCATTAGCCGCATGCTTGTCCAAGTCAACGTGTGCGTCTGTCGAAATACCGCTGTTTCATTTGTTCTCTGTTCGCATGCGATGTGCACTCTTTGATACCGCATGTTCTTGGCCATCTGTTTGTCCGTGTCTGGCAGTAAGTCTAACCCATCTAACCCATCTAACCTATCTAGCTCATCTAACACATACATGCCATCTATCACATACACGCCATCTAACACATCTGGCATTTAACACATGATTTTCTCTCCTCTGTAGCAACTCTGCACCTTGTCACGTCTGTGCTTCCCATCTGCCTGGCCCAATGTCTACATTCCCATGATCATTCGCCTCGGCCCGTGCGCCGCTAAAAATAGGGCCCATGGCGATGGAGGAATGTCCCGTTTCAAGTTGTGCGCGCCGCACTAAAAATACCTAACCAAAAAAAGCCCCGAAAAACACCTGCTTTTCTTCCGCCTCCTGCTCCTGGCTCCCGCTCGACCGTTCATCGTCTCTCGGCCTCCTCCGGACGGCTCATACGCTACAACTCCTCCCAAATCGTCTTTCCCCGGATCCGCGCTGCGTTCCGTGCGCTTTCTTCCCTCAAGTTTGCAGACAGACCGACGTGCCGCCAGAGTCTGGTCTTTTCATCTGTCTGTTCCTTTTTTGTTTGTTTATAATTGCCAGTGGCCCCGCCCAAAGTACTGTGACGGGCTTTCCTCTCAACCACGCCTCCAGGCTTAGATCCAGAACTTTGCAACGTGTGATCAGCATCACCTTTTGATCCACCCGAACCCGCTTCAAGTCAGCCCCAGCTCCGGTCTTTTGTGGCTCAACACTCTGGAATCCAGTTTCCCTACACGCCATCAGTGCCAGTTCCAGCTTGGACTTCGGACTTCCGTTGTGCTAAACTCCTTCCAACCGCACTTTTTTTCTGGGCTTGGGCCTCACCCTTCTTCTTGTTCATGCCCCCTTCTGTCATGGACACGCGTGGCTTCGGGGACGAGCCTGGGCTTAAACGGCCACCGCCGTTCTACGATGCACTGCCACGCTCCGTCAACTACTCGCCCAAACATCTGCGCCAGCCATCGTCTCTTCTGAGCTCGCGTAACCTCAACATGAAAAACTTGCAGCTCAATCTCACGCCGCCATCTCTGTCCGCAGCGCTGCCTCCTCGCCGCAATCTCGCCGTCGCCATCCCGCCTTCTCCGCACCAGCCCCTACTCCTGTCAAGCCCGCCTCACGGCTGGCCCGCGCCACCAGCCCTACAGAGCCCGTTCCGTTCACATCCACTGCTGCAAAACGCCCTGAAAGCTGCTCTGCGTGACAGCTTGTGCGCGCTGGCTCGTGCTCTGCCCGCCAGTCTCCCATATACATACGCCGAGCCCGAAGAACTCCAGGAACAGTCGACACTCAATGCGTACCCTGACGGACCAGCCAACGTGCTCAGTCTGGTGTTATATCTCTACCTGGACCCACGCCACTCGCGCACGCCTATCGATATTAACCAGTATGACTTGGTGATTAATGTGGCCAGCGAATGTGATAACTTGGCGGCCCAATTTGATGCGTCTCAGGGCCGCCGCTACATCTACGTCCCGTGGTCCCACAACCTGCCAATTCTGCACGAGCTCCCCCAGCTCACACGCACAATAGCTGACTTTGACCGTGCTGGCCGCAAGATTCTCGTCCACTGCCAGTGCGGTGTGCTGCGGCTGGCGTGCGTCATCGTGGCGTATTTTATGGTCAAGTTTGCTCTCCTGGTGAATGAGGCTTATGAACTCCTCAAAACCGGCACCGGAAACACGCGAGAACCTTGCATTCGCCACGTTGCTGACGCCGGCTACACCGTGCAAGCATGCGAACGCATTTGCCCCAACATGAATCTCATTTTTGAGCTCATGGACTTTGGCGAGGCTCTCGCCAGCGCGTCGGGCGCGTCCTGTTGACGGGACCGTCTCATTCTCACGCGACCCCGGCCGGTCGCTCTGCATGGGCTGTCTATACTGGCGTCGCTTGGCAAGAACATTTTCTGCCTGAGCGTGGCCCCTAGCCAGACCTCTCTAATGAATTCCAATTTGGAGCGCCGCTGTATTTGCTAAGGTACAGCGGTTACACATATATCACATGGCTCTATATGGTTCCTGCTTCTACAAGACAGGCTTTACAAGGAATCTTGTAGGGCATAGTACTCTTTTTACTTCTAGAGCATAGATTCTGGATCATAGACCTGCTACTGCAACCAGACGGCGCAGTGCTGGCTGGCCTTAGTCCTTCAATATCCCTTGGAACGTAATTCATTTCATATAGTTAATAATATCAAAGGTGAAAATAGCTTACAATTCCCTTAAAGTAACTGCCATGATAAAAACTTATAGATAATCTATGAGCTGGACTGGACATATTTAGGCTTGCTTCATTTATGCCGTAATATGCCTTGCCGCAACAAGCAATTTGTAGATCATAATAATATTACTAGTGCCTTACATGCTGGGAATCAATCAATTGGAATTGCTTGGATTGACAAACTCATCCAAGAAGAACCAAAGTAAATTCTTTGAAAACGATCATTATGCCATGTGAAGAAGATACAAGACAATTCTACGTGCAACTTTGGTATGTTAAGTCCAATGTGGGCAATTCCCCGAGTCTCTGCTCTACTTCTTTAGTTTGATGAACAACGCAAGTAACCTTCATCATCAACTATACGTCTCAGATAGAACTTCTTACCATCTCTTTAAAAACTCATCTGTATTCTGTAGAAATCACGCATCACAACAGTAGCTATATTTAGTCAATTTGGCACGTTAGAGATCATCACCCGGAATTCCGCAACGGTCAATCACATGAGTTTTAAGAGGACATTCCACATCTTTGCATCACGGTAGTCTGGATTTAAGCTCAACCAATGTTCGCATTCTGATCATTGACTCAAACCTATGGTGTTGCTCTATTAGAGGTTCTGGTAATCTCAATTGTGCGCACATTATCACCGGCCCAACTTGCATCAGCAAACTTACAAATTGTATGTTTAAGAATGAATATGTCTTGCTTGATGGAGCTTTTGGAAAAAAGAATCAATGTCTCCAGCAACCCCAGGGCGATGATGTAAAACATATCTAGACAATTGCACATTAGAAGAGATAGAAGTGAAAAGTTTCACCGAAGGGTATTTTACGACAACATACCAAATTGAGTTGCGGCTACGGATAATATAGAAGAAATCCCACATAATTTCTGTACCACAAATGGACCAGTACTATTAAGAGGTGGTTTTATTCTACACATGGCCAGGCCATTGGCTCACTAGTTGCAGCCACATTGTGAATGATGAAAATACACCCGTTCCTCCGAGTACAACTCCGCGCACAAAACTTTAACTAGTAAACCTCACACAATATACTCCATATCCTATGTCCTACAACGGCCACTATGGCGGATTTTCTTCCGGTGGCTCATCTGCAAATAGTCGAGACAGAGACAGAGATAGAGATAGAGACAGAGACCGTTCCAACTACAGCCGGTATCCTGCACCTCTGAAGAGATATGGTCCTCCTTCAAACTATTCCGAACAAGGTCCCGGCGGCTACAGAAGGGATGGGCGTGATTACTATGGCTACAGAGGGGGATACCCTCGTGGCGGAAACAGCTCCAATAATGGTAACATAGCTCCTTCATCTGGACCTCGCCGCAGGCCCCCTTCTGACAAGTACGACCTGTACCAAGGAAGCAAGTACAGACCGGCAGCAAAAGGTAATAAACCGGGGAGCTCAGGGAGCGACTTGGTAGATGACAGGCGCCTGACAGGCCGTAAGCTGGACTGGGGCACTAATGTTTACCAAAGAGCGAGACTGCTGCTGCGGCAGCGTGACCACTATACCCCAGACAAGGATAAGCGGGCAAAGAACGAAAGAGATGTTCTGGGTCCGCTTGACGAGAACTCTGGGCGACTGAATGAGCCAGAGTCATCGCCAAGAGCTACTCCTACTGCGGCGTTAGCATCAGCAGATAGTCCAGCCGTTAGCCCGTCCGTAGAAAGTCCAGGAAAGTTGTCCACACATGAAGAGAAACTAAATGAAGAAGAGAATTCGAAACAACAGACTGAAGTCAAAGAAGAAAGTGCTCCCCCTAAGGACAATAGATCTTCTACTGACTCGCCACTGTCCACATTGGTTTCGGAAGATACTGGTCGTCTGAGGAAAACAACACCTGTCATCACAGATGAAAGACTAATTCATATGTTTGATGATGAAGATGAATCTCTGATGAAAGCAGAACCTGCTCTGCCGAAGAATGAACGGACGTTAATTTCGAGCGATAAGACTACCGAATCCCTGATACCTGTCCATTTGGTTTCAAATTCTTCCAATGTTGAGAAAACGGCAGATTCAGGCGAACGCCCTATTCCAGATTCTCCTGCGCCCACTGTAGCAGATTCATCTGTGCTCTCCCCAGTTGGTTCTCCCCAAGAATCCGTTTTTGCCATCGGCCTTAGGGCCATTGATGAAGATACAAATATGCTTGATGGCGTTTCTGAAGCAGAGACAGAACCGGGTTCTCCGATCTCCACGGATGTTGCCAAACAGTACATTCGTAAATCGACAAATGATGTTGAACGTCGCAAAATCAAAAAATCAAGAATTGCGTGTTCGGATGAAGAAGATGAAGAAGAAGAAGAAGTAGATGAAGATTACAATACATCTGAAAAAACTGGTTCTAGTGGAGAAGTTAAGACAAAGGAAGAAGCGCTTCTGAAATTATCAGCTGATTCAGAAAATGATGGCGAAGAGGAGGAAAAGAACAAAGAGAGAGATGGAGAAAAAGAAAAGAAGGAAGGAGAGCAAAAACAACAAAAAGAAAGAGGAGAAGAAGGAAAAGAAGAAAGTGATGATGATGAGGAAGACGAAGAAGAGGAAGACGAAGAAGAGGAAGACGAAGAAGAAGACATCGATATTCTGGAGAAAAAGACGGCAAGCCCAGCCACCGGCCTTTACAAAATTAAAAGAGATTCGACTGGTCGATCAATGCTACAGAGAGCTTGTAAGAAGGGAGACTTACAAGAAGTAAAGCGTTTGATAGCCAAGGGGGCGAGCGCCAATGAATGTGACTTTGGTGGCTTCACTTGCCTTCATGAAGCAGCATTATCTGGACACACAGAAATCGTCAAATTTTTGATTGAACATGGTGCAGATGTAAACAAGCAATCACTTGAGGCCGCTGATGCAGAAACTCCATTGATGGATGCAGCAGAGAATCAACACATTGATACAGTGAAAGTGCTTCTAGAGAACGGTGCAAATCCAAACATCTGTAACGCTGATGGTTACACAGCCTTAACTAAATTGTATCATCTACACTCGGGTGATGATGGATACGATGAGATTATCTCAATATTGGATGCTGCTTGCGAAGCTGATGGTAAAAGTGCATTAAAGGCAGTGTCTCATTCCCCTCGAAGAATAGTGAGCGATCCGACAGAAGAATACTTTTCAAATCTTGTGAAGAGAAAGTCCAACCCTACGATCTACAAGTATATCATTCAAGGTCTCAAGGAATCCGCGGCAGAAGATTTCGTTACACACGGATACTCGTTGCAAAAGATGCCGGATATTCTCAATATAGCTGCACGTAATGGCCTTGTTGAGTTGGTGGACATTTTGCTTGGCCTAAACCCCGGAAATTTCGACATAAATCAAAAAAACAAAATAGGTGTCACTCCATTGCTAGCTACAGTTGGCCTTGGGCATTATGATGTTGTCAAATTTCTCCTCTCTAAAGGAGCTGATCCACGGATAAAAAGAGACCAAGATGGCATGAATTCTCTTCAAATTGCTAAGCATTCTGCTCAGTATGATACCAGGGAAGTTCTCCTCCTTGAGGAAAATATAGACAAGGAAGGAGACCAGTCATCATCTGCTCAAGAGGAAGTAGAATCCAAGCAGAAAGTTGAAAAGAGCGAGTCATTAGAAAAGAGCAATTCCAATGATGAAGCTACGCCTATGAAGAGAAAACGACCCGAGTCTGCTGAGCCTGAGAGTAAACCAAAGAGAAGCAAAAGCAGAGAACCAGAGCAATCTAGAGATGACGGTAAAATTGAGGCAGGTTCAACCAAACTGGTGGATCAAGTAACAGCCCGTGAAATTGAAGTGAAAAATGAGCGCCAGGCTCTGCCACCTCAATTAACAAAGGCACAAGAAGAGCAGAAACAGAAGGCGGCTGAACAAGCAAAAATCTGGCAAGAAAAGGTGCAAGCCAAGAAACGGGCCAGAAAGGAAATGTTTTTGCAAGCTGAGAAAGAGAAAGAGCGCAAGAGGAAGGAAGACGAACAGAAAAAATTGGAAGAAATGAAGGAAAAAGAAAAGAGAGAGGAAGAAAATAGATTACGGATGGCACAAGAAGCAGAAGAGCTTGCACAGAAATTGGAGAAAAAACAAGAGGAAATGGAGAAATCTTATATTTTTTTGAGATACCCAATTGGCTTACGCGAAGCCACTTTCAATGGTATCATTGATGAAAACCGAACAGTCAAATATTCACCGCTCTATACTTTTGAAAAGGATGGAGAACTTTGGATTGTTGATTTGCAACTTGCCCTCATTCTCTCGCAACCTATTGCAGATCTTCACAGGCAAATCGGGGAAACAGATTCTCCTGAAATTGACGAAGTTATGAAAGAGAAATTGTGGCCTTTGTTTTACCGTATGCTCGGCGTGGGTAAGAACTCAGAGATCGATGCTAAAGGTCTTGAAAAGTTCAAATGGTTGCAATTGCGATACCTCCGCATGTCTGATGTGGTTAAATATGTGCAGAAAGCACATCCGGTTGTTCATGAACTTCTATGGAAGAACAATAGGATTGCAACGGTTAACTTTGAATCTACAAAGGATGAAACTATCCCGCCAGTCATAAACCTGAACCCCAACAAAACAGAATTTGTACCTCCAAAATGGAGACAGCGACAAGATGTTATTCGCACAATCCACACGTCTAATGTTCCTCTTTGGTGATATGGAATAATAATCCGAAATAACTACTTCTTATGACTAATGACCCTTGTATAATTATTTTAATGCATACGCAAATGCGAATTAAACCGAAGAAAAAAAATTATGGGAGTGATGATGCGTGCACGTGAGTGATTACTCTAAGGAAGAGATACCATGTCTGAATTAAAAGTGTACGTAAAAGCTGGAATAATATGCAAAAAATGAGGATTAACTAACATACAGCATATCAAGAAAGGATCTTTATGACCCGGAGTCGGAATATTCCTCTGAAGACGAGCAGGTGTATCTACCCAAGCTCGATTTCGAGTTTGTGGAAGTTAATCAAGCGGCCCCCATTGAGAAGGAAAGGGAAACGAATATAGAAGCTGATGAAAGAGGAGAAGAGGAAGAAGTCGATGATGAACAATTTGCGTTTCCTCTCTTTGGCGGAATGTCCAAATCCACAGAAATCATGACCGTGACACTCAAAGACGATGAAGAAGAAATCAAAAACGAGCGTCCTGAATCATACTACCGGGTCTCTTACACGGCGGAAGAGAAGTCTGCATTTGAACAAGCAGCGCTTACGGCCGAGCAGATCTTTAGGGAGCTCTCGTTGCCGCCCATTGATGCGTGGCCTTTAAAGGTCATGAGCATCGAAAGACATAATGCACAAGTTGAACGAGAGAAGAAAAAAAAGAAGAGAGCAGGTAAAAAGAAGAGAGAAAATATGGTTGAGTGCAGAGAAAGAAGACAAAAACGAGAGAAGGAAAGAAAGAAGGCAGCTGCCGAGAAATACAAAAAGAAGTTTTGGGTAGGTAAACCTAAGGGAAAGAAGGCAAAGGGACAACTGATAGCAAAAAGCGACAAGCCAAAATTCAGGACAGAAGCTCCTAAGTTTAGAACTGAGTAGGTACGGACCTCGATGCAGCAAGGCCAACTTATGCTGATAATGGGCCAACTTATGCCGATAATGGGCGCTGATGATCATGGCATATGGTGTTTCGAGTTGATTGTCTACGTTATGGCTGCTTCACTAGCGTTGATTGAGCCGCTGGCCATGTTTAGACAGATCTCGTCTATTTAGCTACACGTTTGCACGAGGGTGAGCCATGGTGAATCTTTTTTCTCTTCGTTGAACAGTGACGTTCATAGTCGAACGAACGCAGGAATATATGGATTGCATTAACTGACCAAGCAAGCCCCAATAGCGCCTCTTGTGCTGATGGACCAGGAACGAGGCACATAAGTGTACAGGTATGTAAATTGTAAATCTACGTTTGGGTCTTGTAAGTCTACGTTTGGGTCTTGTAAATCTACGTTTGGGTTCAAGCCTTGTCTCTTGACATGTAGAAAAGGATTAGAAGACATTCTGACCAGAGGGCCAGGGCGTGCGCCTCCAAATACCCTATCTCGCAGTTGTACAGGGAATCGCACGTCTTTGACTTGAAACTAGACACTTGACACCCACACAACGCTATGCTGGCGCTTGAGGACTTCGAAGCGTTCACCGAGGCTGAGTTTGCGCCGGTGCCCTTTGCCGCGTCTCTATTGGCAGCCACCAATGCCGACGACAGCGAACTCGATCTCGCCACGGCCATCAAGCGGCTCCAGTTTGACCACACAGAGTGCGACCGGCGCACACGCACTTTGGCCGAAGCGCACGCGCCCGCCTTGGCCGCCAATTTTGCTCGAGCGTCGGGCGCGCGCCAGCTTATTACGGGCGCGCTTGAGCCTCGCACAGCACACGCCCAACGACAGTATCAGCGGATCGAAGAAGAAGTGGTTGCGCCGTACGAAAATGCCACTGCTCTCCACGCAGCGCTCGGGCGCATCCATGCCACGCTGACGGTGCTTCGGCAAGCCGGGTTTTTCCTTGTGTTCGTCCAGCAGCTCCATGCGTGCGAAGATGCCTTGTCGGGGGCCGAACCCGATGTGCGCGAACTTGTGCGGCAGGCGCGCCTCCAGAACCAGCTTGCGAAAATGCTCGAGCGCGATGCGCCGTTGGCTGGTCTTCGCATGGTGCGCGAGTATGGCCCTCTTCTTGCTGCGCGGCGGGAGAAGTTCGTGGCTCAGCTCGCAACTCAAGTTCAGGGCGAGATGGCCCACCACACGGCGTTCCATGCCCGCAACGACCGCTTGCTTGCCGGCGTGTATGCATTGTTCGAGGCCGACCGCCAAGAATGCGCCGCAGTGCTTGAGCGCGGCTTGTCCAAGCTGGTGCAAGTGGCTCTGGCGTCTCTCACACGCTCGCTCCAGTCTCCAAGAACCTTCCGCACTGCAGTTGCTGACGCCAGTGCTGCAGCAGATACGTTTGTGTCCACGCTCCGTGAAGTGCTCCGTGGCGCTTGTGTATATGCGGATGACGCAGAGAAGGAAGAAAAAGATGACGTTTTGACAAGAGCAGACGAACAGGGCCAGGCAGGAGAAGACAATGGCGCAGCAGAGGGGAGAGCCGATTATGGCGAGGTCTATGCCGCATTCGAGCATTCTCTCGGCGACCTGGTCGATCGTGTGTACTGGCTGCGCATGGCGTACAAGTTCAAGAAGAATTTGGCGGCAACCATGGCGCGCGGTGGACCTGTGGCCCGCAATTTGCGGGCGAGTCGCGGAACCATGGAGGCGGCCGTGGTTGGACCTAGCTGGGCGCGCGCCTCTTTGCTCGACGCCCTCGCGCTTGTGGACCAAGAGCACCCGTAATGCCTTGAAAGTCCCATTACACATCATAATTAGAGTGAATGCATTGATACGATTTGTGGAACTACGCTCTCGACGTAATATGTAGTAAACTTTCTTGACGATGCCCGCAGTTGAAAGTAGCAGCAGCGGAAAGTGCAACAAATAGAGGTAGACAGATATGAGGAAGTCTATGATGTCCGTATCCACAGTACACGAAAACACATTGATACATGCATCATTCTAGACTTTCCTTTCCTTCTACGCCTCGGCGGTGAATCTTGAACCCCGTTCATGCACTAATGCTACACCACTATAACATAAACGTACTTTTACATGCAACACACTAAACAGTGACTCTGCCTCTCAACGAGGTCAAGAAATCCCTGTAACCTTGCTCGAGCTGTGTCTTGTCCTCCACCAAACAGCTCATTGCCCACAACCGCAATGCCATCAAATCGCGTTGTTGCGTCATCTCAATAGGCTCGTTGGACGATCCGCCAATAATCACATACAAACTCTTCCAGATGATCGAGTCTTTCTGTTCCCGGATCTTCCCAATGATCTGGCGAACTTTATAGTTGAATTCAGATTCCTCAAACGAGAATTCTGGTAATTCCGTCTTGCCTGTTTGCACAGAGTACAAGTTTTCGGTTCCGAACAAGTCGTAAACTAACCCAGGCACAACGTCACCACTAACCCATAAGAACAATTCGGAGCCATTGTCGATCAAATACAAGCCGTAGTTCTCCCAGGATGCTTTTGTATCATTGATTGGCTCAGGTAACAAAATCTCTGGCGATGTAATGGTTTCCTCTTCTCCGGTCTCCTCGTTCACTTGCACAGTCTCTTCAGGTAAGCCACACTCATCGGGCATGTTGTGCAATGAGTACACGGTTGGGTAGATGGACTTGATTAACTGGTTGAGTGGCAAAGAACCTAAGTTATTCAATGCAATAGCTCTGTGATCAGCTGGAACACGTTGCTCTCTGAAACCTAAGTGTTTAGTCAAAGAGAATAACAACAAAGGAAGCATTCTCATGTTCGTCGAAATTTGTAATGGGGAGGAGCCAGTGACGTTTCCTGGGACCAAATCCTTGCGGTAGACATTCAAAATGTCAACAACAGATTTGATTAAGAATTCTCTTCCATCAGCTAAGGATCCAGCCAAGGCCTTTTCTATGGCACGGTGAGTGAAGTAGTTCGTGATGGCCAATTGATCAGCAGATGCGTAAATGTCATCTAACTTCGCGGACGTAGGGATAGCCAAGTTCATCACTCTGATTCTTCTTTCACCGAAGCAGGTGGAATGTAGCACCGCAGCTTGGAAATAAACCACAGGCTTCACGACATTTTCCTCGATTGAGACCTCAATGACATAACTCTGGTCTCTTGGGAAAGTTGGGAAAGAGCACAAGTCAGATGATCTGTTGAAGAAGTTACCGAAAAAGCCGCTCATTCTAAAACCAGTCGAACATCTCACACGCAAGACAGCTTCCAAGGCAATGTCCATAGATAAGTGCTCGCTGATCTCCTTCGACAATTTGTTGACATCCTCGATCTTTGTACAGACCCACGAAGGGTAAAAGTGTGTCTGACCAGCAGTGAAACGCGGCAAGTTGGACAAGGTTGCCACATCTTGGTACTTTGAGCCAGTCAAGAACAAATCAATAGTTACTTGAGCCGAGTTACATTCGACTGCAAAAGACTTGTAAAACTTGTCTGCAGCATTCAAAAGCATTTGAGATTCCTTTGGTTTGCCTGAGTGTGCTGCCTCGTCTCTAACAGCCAACTTACCTTCACCGATACTTGGCAAACTAGAGGCGAACACAATCAACTTTCCACCAATACTGGCAATCATCTTGTGCCCTGCACGCAATGCTGGGCCCAAGGCAAAGTGTTTGTTTGCAGTGCCCTCGAAATAAGAGGCAAAGTCAAGCAACAACTTTTCAATGGACTTTCTATTCTCTTCCAAGTTAATTAACAAGCCTTCTGGAGAGGGCAAAAATGGCTCATCAATGTCAGACACAACCAACATGTCAGGTGAATCCTCCACGCCCTCTTTGAATCTGAAGTAGTGCAAGTTGGAGTCCACACCAATGATGGAAATACGTGCAGTCTTGTTTCTGTTTGGAATACGGTCCAAGCTCTCCAAAATTGTTCTGGCAACCGTAGAGGTCATTCCAGAGTTGATAGCATCTGCAGAAACGTCGATGATGAAAGTGTACACAATGGGTTGTGGAGTCCGTGCCATATATTCTTTAGGAGCAACGAACTCTACCACAGAATGGTTCAATTCAACACGTTCGTAACGATTTGCTGCTTTCTGTGAGATTTCATCGTAATCAAACGCTGCTGGGATATCGTTCTGCAAGCCACAGAAGTTACATCTCCATCTTTTCCCACCTTCTGTCAAAGTAATAAATGGGTTGATATAGCCACGACAACGGCGACAACGCGAGATAGTTGTGTCCTTGGTCACAGGTACAGGCTCTGTGGCATCGTGCAACGTGGTGTATGGCCGAACAACCAAAGCCAAAGGCAACTTCGATTTTTTCAAAAGAGAGTTGTTGGTTGGAACCACGTTCAATGTCGACCGGAAGTATTCAGGAGATGCATTGGCAGTCTCTGATGTTGGAACAAGCTGAGAATTACCTGGTAAGATCATTGGTGGTGGAGGTAAAGCCAAATCACTGATGGATGGAGGCAACTCTTTAAATAAGTCTGTAGTGTACAACTGGTTCAAAGGTAAAGCTTGTGTAGCCTCGCCAAATCCGTAGGAGGGCTGCGCTTGGTATTGACCACCGTACTGGCCATTTTGGCTACCATATTGGCCCTGTTGTGCCTGTGGATTCACATATTGGTTTGGCTGAGCATATTGACCATTTTGAGCTGGCTGTGCTGCCGGCTGGCCATAGCCCTGAGGTTGGCCATAATTTCCATACGCCTGTTGCCCATACGCCTGTTGACCGTTTTGACCATACGCTGGCGCTTCAGCAGCGGCGTTTGGCGCCTGAGTCTGGAGGTTCATGGCGTTGAAATTTTGGTTCAATTGGTCAACCCCATAGCCACCATTATACTGCGGAGCGGCTGGTTGCGGACTTGCAGCATACTGGGGTTGTGGATATGCTCTTCTTCTGGACATGGGATACTCGAGAAGATTTCAATGAAAAGTATGGAAATGTTGTTGGATGTGAGATACGTGGACAGTTGTGCGAGCGCGCACGCGTAAATCTGGGCACGGGTCCGTCTGGGTGAACGTGGTGGTGCAAAAAGGAAAACCCGAGATGAACGTTGATGCAGAGGATTGGCAAGTGATAGGGAAGCAGAGTGGAACAGTTTTTGAACGTTTGTAAATGTTTGAGCCTTAAGGCATGTATTTGAACTAATAAAACTTATGGGGATGTTCGGATGTTTAGACGCGACACACCGCTTCCCCATTTACTGGCCCATACGAATGGTGAGAACACAAAAAATGTACTGGAAATGCACAGTACTAGATCGAATCTTGGCGGTGAAAGAATACACCATGAGTAGTCTTTTTTCAGTAGTTATGAGAAAACAATACGGTATCCACCAAGTGGTCAACTCAACATATTGTTGGAAAATGTCCATTTGCATTACTGCTAATTTGTAGCTGGTTAGCTTTTGTTCGCATATGGCTGTGAACAGTTCTTGCAAGAATCAGGTTCATTATTATGCGAACTATCTAAACTGCCCAAGTACTCAATATCTGAGAAAGTGAGGCCGCTTAATATTCTGCCAGTTTATTTCAAAGTGCTGTACGCTTTACCTGAGTGGAAGCGACTGCCATTTCTTCTACATTAATGTGTAGTGACTCGAATATATCATTGAGGAGATCTAGAGGAGAAATAATTCATACCAGCGCTTAACTAGTAAGGTGAGATTTAATCTTTTCTTATACTATGCTATATCGCTGAAGATACTTAGAGGTACTGTGGACTCCTTGGCTTGGTTGTAATCATCATATATACTTATAATAAAACCTGAAATTTGTTCTGTTTTCAAAATTGCATAACCATGTCACGGTTACCCCTCTTCCTTCTGGGATTATTGAGAATAACCACGCTCACATTGTAATCGAGAATAAAAATCCATCAACACAGTTTCATTCGGTGAATTCAGAACTGGAGAGCAGAGAAGTCCACATACAATAATCCAGAAATATAATAGATAAATACTTTAAAAAGGAAATTGTTGATGCATACCACTAACACAAGTGATTCAAATCCAAATTTTAAAGAGGTAGCTTTATAGGACGACGATAGGTAAGAACGCAATATACCAAACGATACGCACGCAAAGTGGAAATACCACACGACGTTAAGTAATAGAAGATGGTATCCCTTAACTGGTCATCATGCTCTCACTTACCAGGATGTGACAAGAAAGAAAAAAAAAAAACCTTATGATCCTGGGAGATACAGATTGTTTTATCAACATGGCTCTTTGTTTGAACTACACATTAACTATAAAGTGTATCTTACCACTACAAACGAAAGTTTTAGCTCTGGTGTTCTTGTGGACAATAAAAACCCATAGTTAAACGAAATAACTGGGCTCGAGGTCTGTTTCAGTTATTCCTCGGTTAGTCAGAAAGAAAGTCTCACTATTTGATGATATTCTCAATTTGGCATTCAGCCAGATAAAAGCTCATTGTCTGCAGTACAGCCGATAAACACGAAATGTGTCCAAAGCCTTTCATAAACCTTCATCCTGTTAATGTTGCCCACATACACTCATGTGTTTGCCATATAGTAAGCACATAAAGCTCTCGGAGAGTGTTTTTCCTCGTCTTCACCAAGAATCACAAGGTATACCGATCATCTCCTTTCTGCAGGATTTGCCTTTATCTTGCGAGGTTCCTCCTTGTCTTTATCACTAATGCAACTCCAACTTCTTTTGCCACTTTTGGTGGCGCAACAAGCAGCTGCATTAGTACTACCAAACTTGAATCTTTTTGACTTTCCTGATGTACTCCCTATTTCCCAAAAGGAAGAGTCGCTCGATGGGAAACAAAAACCACTTTTGCCTCCGCAAAGTACAGGGTCAAAACCAACGGCAAAGCTCATCCCCAACAAATACATTGTTGTGTTGAAGGAGGGACTTTCGCAACAAGAGATTGCCGCTCATCACTCATGGGCTACAGAAACTTTGGCTTCTCTTGTTAAGCTGGGTGAGGACCAATTGGTTTCATTCCTGATTGACGCTTTTAATGGATACCTGGCATACATGCCCCCTGCTTTTGTCGAAATGGTGAAGAAATTACCAGTGGTTGATTTTGTGGAGCAGGATCTGGTTATGCATGTGAACGAGTTTGATGTACAGAAGGATGCACCTTGGGGTTTGGCCCGTGTCTCCCAAAGAGAGCTTACTACTCCCTCGGTGGACTACCTCTACGACACGGAAGGCGGTAAAGGTGTTACTGCTTACATCATTGATACAGGTATCAAGACGGAGCACCCAGACTTTGAAGGGCGTGCAGTATGGGGAGATGCCATTGCCTTCCCAAAGCTCAAGGTTGATGCCCATGGCCATGGAAGCCATGTTGCTGGAACTATCGGCTCTAAAACGTACGGTATCGCCAAAAATGTTGATTTGGTTGCTATTGGAGTCATGAACCTTTTGGGTTCTGGTACTACTTCAGACATCATCAAGGGTGTTGAGTTTGCGGCTAAAGATCACCAGAGCAAACTCAGTGCTAAACAGAAGGGCTACAAAGGAGCCACAGTAAATATGCTGATTGGTGGTGGTGCTTCTGATGCTTTGGATCTTGCAGTGAACGCCGGAATCAATGCCGGCTTGCATATTGCTGTTGCAGCTGGAAATGAAGACCAAGATGCGTGTGAAGTGTCTCCAGCTCGTGCTCTTGGTCCTATCACCGTAGGTGCAACTGATAACGCTGACGGCAAGGCCTCGTTTTCTAACTGGGGCTCTTGTGTCGATATTCAGGCACCAGGTGTTGACATTTTGTCTGTAGGAATTTGGCTGGACACCATGGTTATGTCAGGTACATCCATGGCAGCTCCACATATCACAGGCTTGTTGTCCTATTACTTGTCGTTGCAGCCCGACCTTTCATCTGAGTTCTCTACAGGGCTTGTCTCCCCTCAAGAGTTGAAAAGGAGACTCATCAGATACGGCACCAAGAATGTCGTTTCTGGTCTCGATGCTGCTTCGCCAAATGTGCTCGCTTTCAATGGCGCCGGTGGAAACATCACTGACTTCTGGAAGTAATTGTGAGCCGGATTAAACCCAGATATTTCTGAGTTACCAGTATGTTGTTAAGATTGACTTTTGAAAATACCGTAGGGAAACAGGCATGAGAAAAGCTGAAGACACAAGAAAGCGGCGGCCCTCAAAGTGTAGATTGTATCATATGTCCATCTTTACTTCACAGAGCAATGGTGATGGTCAGAAAATTGATACGCTTAAGCTCTTCCAATTAATGGAAATTGGCAGTTCCTGTGTCAACCTTTAATATGAAGAGATAATTTGTCTGGGTGTAAATTAATCTTCAGAAGACTAAAAGTAAAACTCATCGATTTGTATCATAGCTCTAGCAATTGACATGCAAAAACTAAATATGATGCAAAAAGTTGAACGCCTCTAATTCAAACCTACGTAAAGCTTCAAATTTAGCTATTTTTTTTTTTTTTTGTGTTTACTTCTCTTTGTTAATCTGTTTCGAAGAACTTCCATGAAGCAGACCTACTAGGCTACACTGCGGGTAACATATTTCTATCTGCAGTATCGCATTCATCTCACATCTATATAAGAAGAGCATCGCGCAACTCAAAAAATTTCAATAATCAAGGAAAACAAAAGGCCCTTTTTTGCACGAGCTTTTGGCTTTCAGCCACGCGTGTGCGGAACAGAAGATGATGAAACTAAGTTTCTTCTTTCCCAGTCTGATTCGACTATGACGACAGGGTTGAAAATCGTTCCTATTCATTATAGGCTCGCTCTTGCAAGCAGCCTGGATAGGAGCTTATACTTGCCAGTATTGAGCAGTTCTGATTCATTTTCGCATATACATGCTGAATGCTTGAAGCGCGTGCAAAAGAGTGCTCTTTTGTTTTCTCGTAATGCCACCATAAGTGGTTTGAACAGTGTTTTAAGTGATGAAATATCCCATAACATTCGCAGTTTCCTCGGTAGCATACAATAGAACCCAATCTAGTATGCCGGTGACCGCTTTATGACCTTCCATGGATGTCTGATTTAACACTGTTCAACCTACTTTGGTGAGATCGTAAAAGCCTTTATGTTTCTCCTTTTTACTATGAATCTCTGCCTCCTTGACGTTGGTGCTGTTTAAATTCTATTTCACCCGAGATGTTTTTACGTTAGACATCAAAACTCAAGTCGTTCATTCTTATTGCCATACACTCATTTACATTTTACCCTTAACATCTGGGGTAGTCAATGGCCACTGGTACGAGCCATCGTGGTTGAAAATGTACCCATGATCAGATAAGAATTTTCTCAAATTCTTTGGACCCTTGGAGCCGTATGGATAAATCTCAGGAGCTGGCGCCTTGTCGGACTCAATGTACTCCAATAAAGGAGTGAACAATTGCCAAGAAACATCCAACTCATCGTCTCTGACAAAGTTGGCGTGGTTTCCCAAGTAGCAGTCTCTGATCAAAGCTTCGTATGCTTCTGGGATCCAGAAATCCTTCGAATATCTGTTGGCGTATGTTAAGTCCAATTCAGTCAAAGATGTCTCGGTGGAAATACCGGGAATCTTGGAGTTGATCTTCAAGTACACGGATTCGTTGGGCTGCACTCTGATGACCAATTCGTTTCGTTGGATTTCTCTGAAAATGCCTTTGGCCACTTGCTTGAACTGAATTCTGATTTCCACCTTACTTTCGTTCAAAGCTTTACCGGCTCTCAAAACAATTGGGACACCATCCCATCTTTCATTGAAGATTTTAAGGCCCATGGCACAGTAAGTGACACACTTGGAGTCCTTCTTGACGGTTTCGTCATCCAAGTAGCCTGGCTTAGATCCATCTTCAGACTTTCCGTATTGGCCTAACAAGATATCTGATGGTTCGATCTTACCAAAGGCCTTAAGAACCTTCACCTTTTCGTCTCTGACTGCCTCTGGGTCAAAGGAGACAGGTCTTTCCATAGTCAAAAGAGTCAACACTTGCAACAAGTGGTTTTGCATCACATCTCTGACAATACCAATCTCATCAAAGTAGCCGCCTCTTCCTTCGGTACCGAACGCTTCTTTGAAAGAGACTTGAATGGACGCAATGTGCTTATTGTTCCATGAGCCCGATAACAACTCGTTACCGAATCTTAAAACCAACAAGTTCTTGACCATCTCCTTACCCAAATAGTGGTCAATTCTGTACAATTCATCTTCAGAAAAGAGAGGGGCCAAGTCCTTTTGCAATTTTCTAGAAGAATCCAAGTCGTGACCGAAAGGCTTTTCGACGATAAGTCTCATTTTACCATCCTTAGGGTAACATTGCTCCTTGATGTGAGAACCCACTGTGGTGAAAACAGAAGGAGGCAAGGCCAAGTAAAACAATCTTTCGGAGCTGGTGATATTGTTTTTGGCATCATATTCCTCAATGGCCTTGTTAAGCTTCTCAAAACCTTCTGGCTTGTCGTACGGACCAGAGATGTAATGGATCAACAGCAAAAAGCCATCAATTTTACTCTTTGATTTCTCGTCCGTCTTCAAATACAACTTGATTCTTTCCCTCAAGTCTTCGGTGGTCAATTGCGATCTAGCATATCCAATGATGTTCACTGTCGATGGCAATTCGCCCTCTCTGTACAAACCAAAGAGAGCAGGAAACGTTTTCTTTTTGGCAAGATCTCCAGAGGCGCCAAACACCACAATGGACACATGATCGCCGAAAGGTTCAGTAGCCATTTTCAATTATGTTCTTTTCAGTTGGAAACGGAGGAAAAAAGCGTGGTGTTTCCAAGTGGACGGAAAAAAGTTGGGTCAGAGAGGCGGGCGAACATATATGGAGGACCGGAGTTTCTTGACCGAATTCGCACTCAGATAAGATCGGCTCCTTTCGGCCAATTCGCTCTCACAGGATCACGGCGTTATACTACGGGAAGTCGGATTCGACTCTACTGGTCTAAGTAATGGGAATACTCTTTTCTTCCTTTTTTAATACTTGTTCTCTATAGTCCTTTCAGTTCCGTTTTTTAAGCTTTTGGTGTAGCCTTGCGAATTCGCAGACTTCACGTGCCTGATTACAAATGTCGTCTTGCGCAATGACGTGGCCTGCATGAGAAAGGAGAGTCCAGGTCCATGGATTAGGCCACATACGGCGTCACATTAGTATACATATCTGCTCTTGTAGTGAATAAGTAAAAACGTATTGTGAAATGATCTCAATCGGCTGATGGAGTGTTTTCTTCGCTCGTTTTGTTTGGCTGGGCATCATCTTTGGCATCCTCAACGATATCAGCAACATCGCTCGTAGTTTTGGCATCTTTGGTATCCCTTGCATCTTTAGAGCCCTCGGCATCTATCAAATCTTTGGCATTGACATCATCTGCATGGGAGGTTCCTTCCTCTGAGTGTGTGTTGCCTTTCCTGTATTGTTCAGCCTTGCGAGAATCATCATCGTCGTCACCAATTTGGAACATATCGTCGTCGTAGTCAGGCAATGTTTCCGCATGTAGGTCCTCAAACAACGCCTCGCGCTCTCGTTCATCTTGGTCTGGCGTACGGAGATCTAGTGAGTCTGCTTCGCTGTCGCTATAGTCCTCGCCAGGAATAATGTCAAACTCAAAGTCCTCTCTTCTTCTGCGACGCGAGCTGCCCACACCTTTGTGCCACTTCATGAGAACTATTACGACGATGAATCCAAGCACAGTCAATGCCATGAAGTATTGGCCTGCGTGGTCCGTCATGTAATGCTTAGTCTCCTCGGGCTCCTCATTCTCAGAAGTGGGTGTCGCAGAGGATACTTGAGTGGATGTGGAGGAAGAGACTGAAGTAACAACATGCTCAGTAGACGCAGAAGAAACAGTGGCAGTTGCAGAAGTCGAGTATACAGACTCTGTGAAGGCAGAACTAGTAGAAGAAACTGCAGAGCTTTCAGGTGAAGAGCTGCCCAAGCGGTCACGGCGAACAGCTGCATAGTCTGTGTCATAGTCAAACTCCTCTGCCTTACTTGCGTCAACGCTTTCACCGAAAATTCGAAGCTGCCAGTCCTTGAAGTGAAGCGTATTCTTTGGCCCGCTGAACACTTCTAAGCGCCAGTCACCCACACCATCTTCGCCTAAATGTGCCACCGACATGAATACCCAGTCAGAAAGTCCATTATGCAGTGTATCCACAGCACGGAACTGTGCTAAGGTGCTGACAACACCTTTGGGTGATACAAGCCGCGCGCCAATGCGCCCGCGGACATTGGAAGCAATGTTGACCTTGACGGTGACGTGTTCCACGCGCTCCACATTCATGCCACGTAATTCTTCCTCTGATACAGTGATGGTGCTGGTGATTACATCTGAGTCTTCATCCTCTGTTGTGATACGCTGGTCAACAGAAAGCACATCTGAGTAGTACCAGGCCTGTGGTTTGACATTTTTCCACTCCTGTGCCACTGTAACAAGTTTGTCCGCATCCAACTTGCCATATCCATACTTGTGCAGGTACTTTTCGCCCAAGCCTGTGACTTGGTATTCACCGTCGTCCTCATTTACAGGGACTGCTGCTTTGGCGCACACATATTGCACATCACGCCACGTAAGGGCCGGGTTTGCTGATAAGACTAAGGCAAAAAGGCCAGCAGCCAAAGGTGCTGCTGCAGAGGTCCCGCCATGTGTAGATGCACATTTCTTGTGGATGTCTGTCGTGTGGATGTGTTCACGGCCACCAGAACTATATGTCACTACCATGACGGCAGAACATGCTTCAGAGTATGGCGGATGTTGGCCCTGGTAGTCTATAGCACCGACGGTAATGGAATAGATGGAGTTGGTGTAGCCATCGAAGTTGCATTGGTCACCCACGCGTCCGCCATTTCCACTAGCAAACACATAGACTGCGCCCTTTTTGTCACGTCCTTGTTGGACACCTTTAATCAAGGCCTTTCTGACCAAAACATCTGGAGCAGCCACCGTCTGTCCATTATCTGTTGGGCCCCACAGGCAAGAGTAAATGTCATTTGCGTCTAGTCCATAGACCATCGCCGCAGCTTCATCTTCTGCAGTAATAGTGCCAGATAAAATACGAATGCCGGCCACCTTGGCTTCCCAAGCCACACCGATACCGCAAACTTCATTCTTGACAGCCGCAATTTCTCCTGCGCACCGCGTACCATGGTAATCGTCGAAAAGTCGTGGCTTAGGCAATTCAGTATTATCGTTGAAGTCCCACAGCCCACGAGCGTTGAAGTTGGCAGCTAAATCCTCCGAATCGCAGTCAACACCATCATCTATCACAGCCACAGTCACGTTGCGCCCGCGCACGCCACGATACCATACATCTTTGACATTGACGTCGTTGCCCGGGCTTAGAGTGTTGATCAAATGCCATTGCTCAGTGAAGATCGGGTCATTGATGCCAAGACGCTCGCTCACCTCACGAAAGGGTTCCTGCGACGAGTCTACGATGTTGAGCCCACGCGGCAGCTTAGCCCCGCATTCTTCTGATGTGTCGTTGTCCGTTTCAATTGGCACGGGCATACGCCTTTCAAGCCGCCGGGGCTGCATCATATGTACCAGGCGGAGTCCTTGCCACAGAACCAAGCGGTCGTGTTCATCTTCGAGTCCTGGCGCCCGCCGCATCAAGCTGTAGTCGTTGGAGTTATGATTTCCCAAAAAGGAAGCGTGAGGGTCGTCCTTGGCCACACTGAAGACATAGTGGTCGTCCAAACCACGAGCTGGGTGCTCGAAGCGGAACGTAGAGTTGTAATCACGAATGAAATTATCGAGCAGCTCTGGCGTCTCTCGCGTGTCCAACTCCACCACGAAATACTGTCTCTCCAAGTAGTCACGCGAAGGGATCTTGGTGGCAACAGCGAGCCGCACGAGAATGTATAGCAAAAGCGCTAGCTTCATGGCGACCGAAAGAAGAAAAGCGAAATGTGAAGCAAAACACCCAGTGGAGAAATACAGGAAGGTGTCTTTTTGGTTGGTGTCAGATCTTTTGGTGCGAATATGCGCGCGCGCTCTTGACACTTGGCAGAGAAAAGTAGAGACAGAAAGAATAGGGAATGAGAAAGACGACCATATTGCAAACGCGCAATAACGGCAACAATAATGGACAGTAAATGAAGGGCTATATGAGAGGAGCTTCTTGGTTTAGAACAAGCACACAGAAGTGGAAATGTTTGGCTCTGACTGAGATTGCAACGTGTAACAGCATATGCAGACGAGAGAAGCCGGTTGTTGGTCTCTCTCCTCCTTGGTTTTGGTTCTACTTACACTCTGCTTATATTTTGCATGTATTCTCTGCCTTGCTTCCTTGCTTCCTTGCTTCCTTGCATTTTGAGTGCTGGAATGCTACTATAAGTTTCTATTGATAAATTAGGTAAACACTTGCACAAAGAACTGTGAATCGGATAACCAGAAGTACATTTCATGTTTCGGCCCCTGGTATGCCATGAGGGGGCTTGTATATTTGGCTACATAAATAATCTGATGTGACCATTAATAATTCGTTGTGATACAAAACCGTTGCTCTACTTTGTGGATCTCCCGCATACACACAATAGGTATAGCGCTGAATTATGGCTTTATTCATCACATTGAAACTTACTTGATGACGTTCGAATCATCTTGTCTGTTGCTACTTGATCGGGCCAGTAATCTAAACTGTATGCCATAAATATATCCACGTAGAATCTCTAAATGAAACATTCATCAATCGGCGAATCGGATCAGATCGTATCACAAGCCATACTCCATATCTTCGAATATAGAGCTTGAAGATAATGTTTAGTCATACATTCTTTTCCTATTTGAGCATTGGAGAAAAGGAAACAGATTCGGCTTTAATTCTATTTTTTTTTTCCAATTTGGAAGATTGAAAATTATCTGCGGAGATGTGTCACTTTTGCCGAATATCGCATTCGAACTTGAAAAACCATGGCCTTGAAAAAACTATCTTACATCAATTTCCCATAAGACACGTATTCATCCTTTTGCTCCAGAGTCTTTCTACTATGGATAAACTTGTTCACAATTTTCCAGCACTTTTATCGCTTCGGATACTACGATCCGGTTATCTGTAGTACTACACGTAAATCACCTTATGCGCACATGTATCAGACGCATGAAACATCAACGATTATCAATTAGTTTTTTCCCATGCTACCGTGGAAAAGAGTAACTTTGACTTTTCTACTCCTCGTATCGCATGTCCTCGCAGACATGGATATGGGCGATGATAAAGTTGAATTTCACCCCGTCAATGCTGGTTCAAAAACCTTCCACTGGATAACTTCATTGGTGCTCTTGCTTCTTGTTCCATCCGTGGCATCTGTTTTTGCCTTTGCAGAAAGATACCACTGGTCAGGGTTACTTCATGTTGTTTCCTTGGCCTACCTGGCCTTCGAATCGCTTTTCTTGGCCTTTCCAGACCCCTCCAACCACGAAAACAGAACATCTAAAGGCACGAGCTGGTTCCTCACATGGGAATTGGGTGGTACCGTCCTTTTGGCGTCTTTCATAACAGGAAAAAATCTTTTCGGACGTGAAGCACCTCTGACTACTGCTTTTTCGCCCTCTCGTGCCGCTGTTCGTCTTTACAAAACTGTATCCTTCACGACGGTTCTTACTGGTTGGGTGCGGGTATGTATGGCACCAGTGGCATTGTTTGGCTTCTGCTACGGCCGGTCCACTGGCCAATGTATTGCTCATGGAATCATGGGCTCGAGTTTTGTTGGATATGGGTTTCTTCTTGCATGGGTGCTCGTAATTCCATGGATCCGCAACCGGCGTGGAAACGGCCGAAGCCAAGAGTTCTGGGACTCGTCGTTGATGTGCTTGTGGGGAATAGTTAACACGTTCACGGAGCACCGTTGGGGTCGTGAAGGATGGTCCCATGGAGACTACCAGCACACATCTATGGGAATCATTTGGTGGTGCGGTGGAATGTTGGGCATGTGGCTTTCCCGCCGCGAGAACACACGAAACGTGGTGCCAGCAGTTCTTCTTATCTATACGGGCTATGCAATGTCCGAGCACTCGCAACACTTGGAGATTTCAACCAAAGTGCATGCCATGTTTGGGTTGGTACTTATGGCCGGTGGTCTTACGAGGATCATGGAAATTTGTTTCTTGTTAAGAGACGCTGCTGCATGCGACACTGGTCGAGTTTTGGCATTCCAGCACTTCCCGCCATTGTGTTTGGTAATGTCGGGTGTGTTGTTCATGTCTGCCAACGAGGAGCAGCTTGAAATGGTCCATGGGTTAGGTGCCGACCACTCATCATATATTCTTGTCGTGTGTGGTGCAGGCTTTGTCATTTACTTGTGGATGTTAATGATGCTAGCCCTTTATTTGCATTTGGTTGGTTATGACGAAGACGGCCAGCTCCGAGGTTACGCTGATATTACAGGGCACGAGGACTTTGAGTTAGACACGGTGAGCGAAACAGAAGAATGATGATGCAAATACGAGCTACACAAGGTGCTATGGTTTCCAGTTTACGTTGGGTGTAGTCTCTTGTGATTCAATGCTTTACTTTTCGCACTTGTACCACATGGACCCCGACGCAGAGACTTTGGCCCATCCTGATGTGTGGCTCAAACATGACATGGTACACAGAAACAGGGACGAGGCATCGTATGCCTATAGCTTTGCTGTCATCTATCCATTTTTTGTCCATGATCGCCATCTTTTGGACAGGTTCGAGTGACACAAAAACCCCAAAACTGAGACACAAGACTAACTTTAAGCTATATGACACTATTCAATCAAAATCTGTACAATGACAGCGTGGACCAGGCTTTGCGAACGGTTTTAATTTTCCTAAAGACAATGAATTTAACGTGCTTATCCATTTCGCATACACAAGCCACCGCAATTACCCACGTTATCGCACATTTAGATACGATGCTTGACAAGTTTCTTGCTCGCGGCTCAAACATGGACTTTGTGGCACAAATGGCCTAAACAAACATTAACATATTCACTTATGCTAAATATATGAGAGCAAAACAAAAGGAGAATGAACAAATCCTTTTGGCTGAAAAATACAGAGCGGAAACTAAGATATTGAACAATCAAGTAGTCTATACTAGGTATTGCCAGGTTAACGATTGGCGGAGTTGGGATGGTTAATAATTCCTTGCTATGTCAAAATGTATGCTTTACAGTAGAAGAAAGTGCTAAACTAAAAAAGAACGGAAAGAAGCGCCATAGAAATGGACATTTTAGATGTCGATGCGAATGATACGCACATTTTGTCGGAGTTACCCATGATGGTGAAGTTGATTTCCAAATGATGCAATGTGCTTCCATGTAATGTAGCTTCATTATGCAGTGAATGCAATTATGCAGTTACACACCAGTTGTAATTTCACAGACCTCAACACAAACGAGTAGACCTCGGTATACCCAAAAGGCAAAACCAGCAATAAGTACCCTTCAAACTCTAGAATCCACCTTTAATAAAGAAAGTGGCCTATTGTGCGTCTTCGATGGTACCTTCTCACACTCACATGAGGTCTTGTGCTCGGACTTAGAGAATGTTTACTATTGGTGAATGGTAAGAGGCCATGTGACCGAATCGTTCCGGTTGCCCGTAGTGAGTCGCGTTCTCATGAGAATCGCCGAGGCCGAACACGGACATTGTCGTCTGTCAGCTTGTTGATGATCATTATAAGCAACCCATAACGATAAATCAAAACACTAAATAGCATTCGTCTCTTTTCTTGCTCTTTTGACCGAATTCTTGGCCGTTGTATATGACCAACTCATAATTCTACCCCAGGTCAGACTGTACATAATACTCCCGGGCCCGCGGATGACGAGTCATCCAGTAATTTTCCATCATTTATCGGTCTCGGAGAAGTGCATTAGAACGAGATGTTACCGGCGAAGATTGATGTATTTTCTATCCACTAAGCTAGAATGTAAGTATAGCTAAACATCCTTCACTGGAATATAGAGCCTGTTCCGTTGAGTCGGAACTCAATCTCCCACTGGGACACAAGACTGTGAATCATGGAGGTACGGGTGTTACCCCAGACTTGGTAGACATGCCCCGGAGAAATGGAACACGGGGCATTTTGCGGGGACATATATAATGGCCCGGCTCCCGGCGAAATTTTTTTATTCTTCAAAGTTTCGGTTTTTTTATTCCCATTCTCTCTTTCCCACAATGTCTACACAGAAAAAAGGAGGTTCCATCACAGACTTGGTTGCGGGTGGTGTTGCAGGCTTGTTTGAGGCGTTATGCTGCCACCCATTGGACACCGTGAAGGTGAGAATGCAATTGTACAGAAAGTCGGGTAAAAAGCCGCCAGGATTCATCAGAACTGGTATCAACATTGTGCAAAAAGAGACGTTCTTGTCGTTATACAAGGGTTTGGGTGCTGTTGTGTTGGGCATTGTTCCTAAGATGGGAATCAGATTCCAGTCATATGAGTTTTACCGTTCGCTTTTGAGAGACGAAAAAGGAAATATCACTACAGGAAGCACTTTTGCAGCCGGTGTCGGTGCTGGTGTCACTGAGGCCGTGTTGGTTGTGAATCCCATGGAAGTGGTCAAAATCAGATTGCAGGCTCAACACCACTCAATGGCTGATCCATTAGACGTTCCAAAGTACAGAAATGCGCTCCACGCTGCTTACTTGATTTGCAAAGAAGAAGGTTTCAGCACCTTGTACCGTGGTGTTTCCTTGACTGCAGCTAGACAAGCTTCCAACCAAGGTGTCAACTTTACAGTCTACTCTAAATTGAAGGAGTACTTGCAAGACAGACAACAGCAGGATGTTTTGCCCTCATGGCAGACTTCGTTGATTGGATTGTTTTCCGGTGCCTTGGGTCCTTTGTCCAACGCACCTTTGGACACAATCAAAACCAGATTACAGAAAAGCTCCTATGCATCCAACGAGTCGGGATGGGTGAGAATTGCCAAGATTGGTAAGCAATTGATCAAAGAAGAAGGTGTGGCCGCTTTGTACAAGGGTATCACACCTAGAATCATGAGAGTTGCTCCAGGTCAGGCAGTCACATTCACCGTGTACGAATTCATGAAGGGCGTTTTGAACGGAACCTCTGCGCCTGCCAAAAAGCTCGAATCGTAGAGCCATACATATTTATTCATGCAAAAAGTGATACTCGCATTATCATGCTTATCGGTGTAGTTCTCTACTATTCAATCGTTTATTTTTTGAGTTTGCACATATAGTATTCTCCTGCACATGATCTACACTCACGCCTTCTTTGGTCCTTTCTCATGTACCCCAAAGACCACATTTGAACCGATCTAAACCACATTTACATATAACCATGCTTAGACTTGGGGCACACTGGTCAAAAACGCTCGCACCCAAGTGGTCGAGACCACTTTCGCAGTCTACGCTAGCACAATTGCGCAGAACCCGCCAGGTCCGGGAAATCTCACCAGAAGAAGTTCGCCGTTTCGAAGAGAAGCGCCACAACCAGTTCTACCACCGGGAAAACCCATCTTCTGACACCAATGCATACCGTGAGGCGCCAACACAGTTCCGCACTGTGTTTGAAATGCCTCCCAATGAAAATGGCATCATCACACACGACGATGGCATTTATGAGATTCTCAAAGAGCCCACACTTGTCATTGAGAGGCAGATCGAAATCATGAACGTGGTGATTGGTTTTGAACAGGCAAACAGGTACAAGATCATGAACTCGTTAGGTGAGCAAATTGGGTATATGGAAGAAAAAGATCTAGGAATTATGAAGGCCATTGGTAGGCAGTTTTTCAGGTTACACCGGCCGTTTGACATTGACATTTTCAACAACTATGGCGACTTACTCATGACCATAAAAAGACCCTTCTCTTTCATTAACTCGCATATCAAATGTCTCTTACCAGGCTTCAACCCCATGGGGAATCTTATGTACGAGGTTGTGGGTGAGTCTGTCCAGAGCTGGCACTTGTGGCGGAGGAAATATAACTTGTTCAAGTTAGAGGATGAGGAAACTGACGAATATGTTCAGTTTGGCGCCATCGATTCGCCTTTCCTTGCTTTTGACTTCCCTGTTAGAAACGAGGCTGGTGATGTCATTGCTTCTGTCGATAGAAACTGGGTAGGTTTGGGCCGGGAACTTTTTACCGACAGCGGTATTTATATCATCCGCATGGACCCGGCAAGTTTTGCAGGACTTGGTGATTTGTATCCAACTGTGGCCGGACCACTTACCCTTGACCAGCGTGCGGTTTTGCTTGGAAACGCTGTGAGTATCGACTTTGACTATTTCTCACGTCATAGTCGCCCAGGAGGCGGGTTCTTCTCTTTTGGATCTTACGAGTAGAGTGTAGAGAACACACTGCTCTGAACCTAATCATTCTTGGATTGCATTATCGAATCTCGTAAACACTCCTAGACAACAATAGAGAGAAAATAATTGCAGGGAGAGCCTATTTAATAGCTATATGAACTTGGAATATATTCATGAAAAATGTACACTGGCAATTTGACCGTCGTGTTTACGGTAGGAGTATTAGATCGATTGCTGACCCGAATAAATAAAATGAATAATTAGCTTACAATGCAAAAATTTTGGTTTTGCCATGATAAAACCTTACATGTATTCTCTTTAGTCGCCAAGGTTAAAGAATCACCCAATGCATGTCTATTCGTTGACAAACTTACCCAAACCCTATTTTCGGTGTTTCCCTTTGAGTAAAGTCTCAAACTCTTCATCAGACATGTCCTTAGTGATATTTCGCAAAAGTTCCACTACAAGAGGCGCAAAATCATGGCGACGCAACTCGTTTTCCCGTTTCCATGTATCCCGCTTAGAAAGTTCTTGTTGCATCGCCATGTCGTCACCCTGTTCAGCATACTGTACCAACTTATCATTAGTCACAGCAAGTAACGAGAACCGAATCTCTCCCTCAAACAGCGAAATACGTCGTGCGAGCACATTAGGCAACTGGGTGTAAAAATCTTCGGGGTTCACTTGTTCGTGGCGGATTGGAAATGGCCGAAGGCCATCGAGTTCATAAATATGGTTATGCATGTGCAAATACGCCACAAAGTGAAAGGCATCTGCGCCCAGATCACTTGGCCCATCCTCTTCAACAAGCACAGGCGCCGAAAAGGAATTGTGCACTTGGCGAAGCGTTTCACTATTTGAAAGAGCGTCGCCGCATGTATCCGGGTCAAAGCTGGAAACAAAATCACGGAGTCCAGACAACTCCGGACCAATATCGATCACATCTGTCTTGTTGAGCAATGCATGCAAAACGGCCTGTGTGGCACATGCGTTGGGGATTGTTTGGCGGGCAAAGAAAATGCCCTTCTCTAAGTAATCACGGTCATAATCCCCCAGGGGAGGCGAAGGCACGTATTTGAAAAGAAAAATGACTGCGTGAACAGGGGCAAGAGCAGTAAGCGACTCTGAGTCTATGGAATAAAGCTCGTCGAACTGAACGTTCTTAACACCAAGGCGTTCAACTAGTTCAGAGAAGACTCCCTGGGGTTAGCGAAGGGTGAGTAATGGTGCCTGAATATTACGTACAGCATCAGAGTCAATTGTGTTCCAACTCATAAGAAAAGATTAATTGTGTGTATGTTTGCTCAAGTACAAGTCTGTTGAATTGAGTATGAGTGTATATGGTGTATGAGTGCAGATCTTTTGTGTGTACGGTGACAAAAGCAAAAGAAGCAATTCGATAGGTCACCATCTCGAAGTACTTCTCTTAATGCAGTAATTAGGACGGTTTAAGTTCATCTAACCCACTTTGTCGATCTAGTGTGGTATTAGTTACTAAAGCGTTCATCCTTTTAGGCTGAAACCTGAACGAAATTACTCTATAGTTGCGAAATTATACTAAAAACGCATGGTGATCTGGAAGGCGTCAGATAAATTCGTTTCGTTCAGCGACAAGAAAGGGATGGTATGTGATTGAAAGTATTGCTGAAAGTATTGTGAGAATGCGATTTAGGCTACTAAAGTATCAATAATTTGACTGGAGCTAACTTCCACCATATCAAAATTAGAAACACCGTCTTGTGAAATGACGTAAATTCGCCTGTTTCCATTTTGAAATCACAGTGATAAATTTTAGTTCCACTGCGATTTGATCAAGTGACAAAAGTCTAGTACTCTTTAGCTGAATCTAAATGGTTGGTTCTGCGTGTAGTAACTTCTTCATCTTCAACTTTTATCAAGCGGCGACTGTACATGTGTCGCGCGTTTTGTTCAGTGGTTTAGATACACCGTACTAAAGACACGTATAACTTCAGTCCCCGGCCATGTCCAATCTCGAGCAATACAACAAACTCCGGGCGGAATTCGAAGCTGCGCGCGAGATAATTCCTTCGCGTTGGAGCAACTATCAGGCACACATCACTGTCTTACTTTTGTTGGTGAGTATGTATCAAATCGCACTATCTATTTATTCTCTTGGTACTAACCAACAGGCTTCATATCGCTTTCAGCGGCGTTGGTCAACAGGAAGAGCGGCGCAATCAGCTACTTTTCCAGTGCTGTGGTTGCATCGGGGGCAATTGCGTTGGGCTCCATCTACGCCTGTAACTTTTTTGGCGTATACATTTGAGATGGCGGTGACACGAGCTGTCATCTAACGTATAAGAATAAACGGACACTTAGATATACGTAGAGAACTCGTATGACGTGTTTGCATCTCACCTGTGTGGTGTCTTTATCAAGGTGTAAATCAGCCTTAGGGAGCCTTATTTTCGATACTCGAGACAAGCTCAATGCAGCGACCAATTTGTCACAGTATCTCATATACGCAGCCACATGTATCATTGTTCCTTGATAAACTGCTAGATGTAATCATCTTTTTGTATCACTTTACATGATTCTTGACCTGACCTTTTCTTGGACCGTTCCAACCTGAGTGATATGCACTAATGCACAACCATCTGTTCATGAAAGATACGAAATATAAAAAATTTTGGGGGGACATTCGTTATAGCTTTGTGGCACCTTACGTATCTTCAAATAGCTTTGCAAAAAGCTGCCAAGTATGTGTACATTTCGAATATCTCTGCCTAGTACACCATCTCACTTCATGACGTGAATCTACTGGAAATGCGCTAGACGTCTGCTGGAGACATTTATCTCTCGAAAATACTACATGGACGAATAATGTTTACCTCGGATATCTCGTTTCTGCCCATGTCAACTTGCGTACGTTCTCCAATTCATACTAGCATGCATTTTATTGTCTTTCGAGAATTTCATCATTTTTCGTTATCTTGATGAATCTTCTCCTCTTCGGTGGACTCTTCTTTGTCTTCTATCTCCTCTGTTCTGCTTTTTCCTCTCTTCTTCTCTTTCCTCCTTCTTCTCTGTAGTCTAGGTTTTCGCCTTTTCTTGTGTCTTCTTGTCTCCGGTCTCGGCGCGCACTTACAATTTGTAACGGTTAGCATTTTCCACATCTTCTCGTTTTCCTAGCACATTCATTCAACATCTATGTTTGTTCCTCTTCTAGCGTTCTTTCAACTAGCGCTTTGTGTTGTGGCGCGTATCTCTGGTGACGTTTATTCTACGGACCCTAATGTTTACGAACTTACGCCAGCGAACTTCGATAAGGTGGTTTATCGTTCCAACTACACTTCGATCGTGAAGTTTTATGCGCCTTGGTGTGGCTACTGCCAAAGACTTGAGCCCGTGTGGCGCAAAATGGCACGTTTTCTCCATCAAGACGGAAAATACGCTGTCAACGTGGCTAGTGTTAACTGTGATAGCGATCGCAATAAGGCGCTTTGTTCCAAGCACAGAATCCAGGGATTTCCTACTGTGATTGTGTTCCGCCCACCAAAATGGAAATCTGGAGCAACGAAAAACTCTGCCAGTCATGTGCCAGAGGTCTATAACGGTGAAAGGGCATTAGGACCGATGATAGAATTTGTATCATCGCGGATCAAGAACTATGTCAAGAAATTCCATCGTTTTGATGGCGACTCCTTGAGCGAATGGTTGAGTGATACCCTGAGCCCAAGAGTATTCCTCATGTCGTCTTCACCAAGCATTACACCTCTTTACAAAACCATGGCCATCGACTTTTTGGGTTCAGCTTCTTTGGGTATGATTACACTAAAGGAAACTCCCTCAGAGGCACATGTGGATGTCGATGGCGTGAAGGTAACTTTTCCATTGAAGCCTGAGGACAAGTTGCCGCTCTTATTTTTGTATAAACCCGAAGAACACCGTTTTATTCGGTACAAAGGTAAAAACTTGAAAAACAAACAAAAAATTGAACAGTGGTTGATAGATGAGACTGGAACTGCGCCCGGAGAGGGCGTTTTGTCGAAAAAGGACAAAAAATACTACTCGAAGTATCGTGGCCATGCAAAGGATGAGTTGTGATGGCGCCTAATGGATTGAACGAACTTCCTTCAAAGTCTTCTACGAAGCTGGGAATGGCTCTTTGATTATGAAACTGGAATCAGTGATGGTCATAATCATATGTGAGTGATCGATGAAAGATGCTTGAACCCACATTCCAGAGAGTGCTTTTTTGAGGTCCATTTTTGAAGGGACTTTCTCTTTTCACCATGCATTCGTCGGTTAGCTAAAAAGTACACGTATTACACTCGAACAAGATTAATATATGTTTCTATAGGTACAATTACGCCCCAAACTTCTCCATCATTGCCAAAAGATCGTCAACTTCTGACTTCTCAGCCTTCGGTTTCTTTTCTTCCTTCTTTTCACTCTCTTCATTTTTGTTTTCAATCCAGTTCACCACCTGGTCAATCATGATTCTCGAGTTCGGTACGAAATGTCCTCCTGGGTGCTTCAACAAGTGTGAGTTTTCTCTTGTCAGATCGTACAACGTGTAAGCTCTGTCGTCGCCTACTACCGTGTCTAGCTCGCCCACAATATGCAACATGCGAACATTGGTATCACTTCCATTCTTTTGTGAATAAAGCTCAGCATATTCAGGCATCAACTTCGTGTCGATCTTGAAACCTGAGTATAAGAGGGCAAACTCAAGAGTGTCCACACCAAAGAGCTGTTCAAAAGTATGGACCAAGGCACCCGCAAAAGCAGCTCCTTGAGAAAAGCCCACAAGCCCTACGATGGGCAAATCACGATCGCTATCGAGAATCTGATTCGATTTGTCATCCTCGGGTGAACCTGATACAATCTCGTTATCTTTGATATACTTTTCCACACAGGCAATAGCATCATCCAACTTGTAGGTATGATCAGGCTTTTTGGTCCACCATCCACGATAGTTTGTTTTTTCTTCCTCATTAACAACCACAGTGTTAAACTTGGATAAGGAATCGGACGATGGAAGGTCCGATGGAATCAAATTGATGGGAGCATTAAGATAGATGGTCTTGTAGCCCAAAGATTGGAACCTTTTGCGCAAAGCCGAAGACTTGGCATAGAAGACAGAAGAGCTTTGAGCGAAGCCATGCAAAAATAACACCCGACCTTTGTAAGCGATTTCTTTTTTGGGCATTGCAAAAGAGATGTGAGTCCTGTACGAAAGTACGATGGAAGAACGATAGTAGGTGATAATGCGAAAGATAGACAAATACATGAATTGGAATCCGCACGTCAGTAAGAAAGATCAATAAAGAAGAAAGAGACTATATAATTTAGCAAGGCAATGATTACGGTACAACACGAGACCTATTTATTGCTTTCCGGAGTCATCGAAAAGAATGCGCTATCTCAATGTTTTACTCTAAATTGTCTATAAGGCTGAAGATAACTACATACATGTTCACAACCACTTCTCCAACTCCAAAATCAGCCGAATAATCCGTATCTTCAGAGGGTCCGAATTGTCTCCAGTTCCATAATACTCAGTAAAGTCCAGCTTCTTTTTGAGTGCTTCGTACTCCTCTTCAACTTCGACGTAATGGAAAACCAGACCGAATCCGAGTCTGTGTGCGGCCTTGACATTGATTTCGCTATCGTCAACAAAATGCAATTGTTTCATCGCAGCTGGATCGTCCTTGTCCACATTTATCGTCTCTAAGCATTTAAAGTAGTACGCATTCATGGGTTTGCAAATGACAGGGAAAGTGCCATAGTCACAGTAGGTGAGTCCATCAAATAAGTCACCAAGTCCCAAAAGAGAAACCACACGTAAAGCATGGTTTCGGTAGGCGTTGGTAACGAGCCAAAACATGTCAAATTGTCTAGATTTTTTGATGCGGAGAAGCATGGAACGCAATTCGGGTTCATACTTCAAAACGGAAGGCAAATCAAGTGAGTCATCCACTTTCGCATTGTAGTCCAACGCATCGACGCGATGGTTGCGCACGAGACCTTCAAGAGCCAAACCATAAGTCTTGTAATAGTTCATGTGTAAATTATGGGCGTCTTCATCATTCAACTGGAGATTGTCTTTGAAAAACTGGTGGATTTTCACCTGCATCATGTCGTGGATCTTGGTGGACCGGTTGTAGAGGCAATTGTCGATGTCAAACAAGAAGATCTTCTTGTTGCGGAGATGGGCCGGAACAGGGCCAAAACCATACTTGAGTTCGACCGTTGCCCCGGGATGAGCGGATGCGTCAATCTCAGGGTTATTATATACTAGTGGCAGTGCTTGAGTCATTGGCTCGAGGAAACTTTCGCAAATAAGAAAAGAAAGAAAAGAAACGTGGACTGTTTATCCGCGAAACAAAGTGGTTCGTATGAGTAAAGATTGATAATGAGCATGGAAAGATGCACATGGGGAGGGCACATGGGCGCTCCTGTGTATTATGAGGGAGAGTCGTAGAATAGATCAGCGCGGAAGAAAACAGCATTCTTATCCAACACCATGCTCATTTGGTCGAGCGCATTGTAAGTCTCTCCCAAAGCTTTCGAAAGAGTCACCTTGTCGGGAGTTTCTTCGATGGGCATATACAGGACAGCCCCAACTGCTTGTTGGAGACTATCCTTTGTTGCTAGAACCTGGCGATGGAGCGCGCGCCACTGGTGTTTTGGGTGCAATTGGAACTCCAGGGCGAGCGCGGAATGCAAAAGTCGCACGACAAGGGCGGCGCAGAGCTGCGCGCGGTAGAGATTAGCAAATATCTGGCCCGACAAATGTGGTTGCACCTTCGTTCGCTCTATGGAGGTGAGCGTTCGAGTAAGCGAGGCAACCGGAATGGTTGATGCTAGGACGTCTGCTGTCTCCACAGAGGAACATTCTGGGAGAGGAGTCACGCTCGTCTCTGAAAGCTTGTGTTCCTCCATGGTTGTTTGTGCATTTTTGTTGATTATGTCACGCAGCTCTGAGTTTGGCGGTTCTTCCGTAAGTAAGCCTAAACCGTTAGTTTGTGCGAGAAACGCAGACACAAGAAGCAGCGCGACCTTTGCTTCTGCGCCTGATGCAACCAAATTATCTAGAAAAGCATACTGCAATTCGCACTCTTTTTGCATGACGCGCTTTTTCTCGCCGTAAACGTAGCACCGTATCAGGGCGAGCTCCGAGCAAACGTTCGCGCAAATAGACTCGTCCAGCATCCCCAGCAAGCGCGCGCGTGCTACAAGGGCGCGGAAAACTGGGCCCACCACCCGAGCCACTAGCGTGCGCCGCTCTTCTTTGTTGAAGGCAAAGTCCAGCACTGACACAATGAAAGCACGTATCGAGAGAGAGAGGTCGGTGTGGACAGAAAAGTAAAGTAAAACCATGGCGACCTTGAATATGAGTGCAGATGTGCTGCGATAATAATGGACATACTTGAGGGTTAAATTTGTGCTCATGTTTGCGCCCAACTGTGCCATAGCATCCTCTAGGGTCCATACTGGCCCTCTTTCTTCTTCCCCATTATGTTCGACTGTCTTTCTCTCTTCTGTCTTTCTCTCTTCTGACTTTCTCTCTTCTGACTCCTCTCTTCCAGCATTGCTCTTTCCCTCTAATTGTTTCATCATTTCCTTTTCGACATTTGCCGTCACTAGATCAAGATGGGTTTGGTTCTGAATGTTGTTCACCGCATAACGCACAAGCCGCAGTGTGGAAATGGAGTGGAGGGCGAGGGTGTGGGGCAAGGCGCGCAAGTCGCCCATTCGAAACAAGAAATCAAGCGCAGGCTCGTGCTCGCTCGACATCTGTTGGTCTCGAAAGCAGTAAAAGTGGCGCGCCAAATAAACGGAATGATGGTTAGCGTACGCGCTTTCAACATACGAGTCCACCAAGTCAAGATCGGTCTTCAAACTGTATGTGAAACCAGATCCATTATCGTTGAGTTCCGTTAGTATCGCCTGTCTCTTTTTGTAAAGACTGGCGCGCTCGGCTGCCGCGCGCTGTTTTTCTGCCTCGAGCTGGCGCGCGATCTCTGCGCTTTGCTTCAAGAGACGGCTGTTCTTTGCTCCTTGCGTAAGGAAGACTGCGGGAATCACAATGTCCTCATCGGCGCGTGGACCTCCTCCTTTCACAACAGGGCTCGGGCTTCCTTTCTGGCTAGTGTTTGTACTGTTCGGTCCACTAGGATATATGGGGCTCTGGAGAATGTGTCTTTCTTCGCCTGACCTATCCGAAAATGTTTCGGCATCGTGGAAAGGCTCGTCGGAATCCGAATCTGAGTCACTAGATAACTTTGCAAGGGCATCCAATAAGTCCACCATGTTGTGGCATGCCAATGCTCTCTGCTATAAGCGCGGAAACTAAGTGAAGTATAAATGAGAAACTGGATTCGCACCAGCCTGCGCAGATTTAAAGTAGACCGGAGTCTGATCATAAAACTACCTTGTAGCTACCGTAAAAGGCATAAACACTTTTCTATCAGGGAAAACCAACATGGATTGGATGGTTTGAAAACTGAAACACAATTTTTCATAGGCAGATGCTGAACCTATTTTAAATATATGGCAGATAATGAAGGTGTCTACAGGGTACTGAAACTGTTACACATGATAAAAATGGAAGCATTGATTCCTGGTGCCAATAATTCTTGTTGAAAATGGAGGATAAAAGTTTCGTATGTTGAAGTCATTAACTTCAATTTTTCAAAATTCTGGATATTCTTAGAATGCTAAAAAAAATCACTTCTGCTTCAGTGATTCGAATTAGACTCTTCGTTAAGGTCTGCAAAGCCTTCGATTTTGGCCCCGGATTTCTGTTGATAAACAGTTGGTGGTATAAAGTGATCTATTTTCCATATCGACAAACTTTCAGTCTTGGACGTGACCTTCACTGTTTAATAAAACGAATGCTGTTTGCATAGACTCTACTGACGCAAACGTAGCGAAATTGGGCTCCACGTCATATTTTACACCATCCGAACTGATTCACCATATTAGGAGGTTTCGCAATTCGATGGGAAGTGATTTCAGGAAGCTAAACTGCTCTCTTCGCTTTATATTTCGTTTATAGTATTCGAAGTAGCACCTTCAACATAATGAAGTTAGATGATACCAAACCGTACGTCGCCACTTTCAATTACATGTCCAGTGCTTCTTCCGCATTGGAGTACTTCGATTTCCCGGCTCTCTGAAGTTATGTCAGCACTTATGGATTTTTTTTCGCATTCGTCGCATCCTACTCACAGGTATTCGTTCTCTCGCATTCTTTCCTGCCTCTTTCGGTGCGTCTGTCAACGGCCCTTCAACGGTGCGGCTGCCTTCACACAGGAAAGGAGCCACTACCAACGCACGTATAACTAAGCAGAGCCTCAACTATTCCAATCCGTTCACCTTTCTGCTTGAAGAAATTTCTAAAACCCTCAGTGCGGCTGCCGGAACATCTTTTCAAGAGTTTTTTGTTGTTTCCCTCTTTGCCTTCTTCCTCCTTCGAAGTCTGCTCGGTTATACACGGCAAATAGGTGTACGGCACTCTCCTGCATCTTCTAGTCTCCCATCTCTGGTGCACTCCAAACGGCTCGACAGAACACCTTTTTTCCCCCATTTTTCACCATGTCGTTCGATAAACTCCCCTTGGAGCCATTGTTTGCCAAGATCGATGAGTTGAAGCCGCAATTCATCGACCGTTTGGCCAAAGCCATTGCCATCCCTTCCGTTTCTTCGGACGAGACCCTTAGACCAAAAGTCGTGGACATGGCGGCTTTTTTGGTCAACGAACTTACAACCTTGGGTTTCACAGACATCCAGTTGAAGGACTTGGGCACACAGCCACCTCCAGTTGCCGACCCAACGCTCCAGTTGCCTCCTATTGTTTTGGCCCGCTTTGGATCGGACCCTGCCAAGAAGACCGTTTTGGTTTACGGCCATTACGACGTGCAACCAGCTCTTAAGGAGGACGGTTGGAACACTGAGCCATTCACCATGTACCACGACACTGCCGCTGAAATTTTGTACGGTCGTGGTGCCACCGACGACAAAGGTCCAGTTTTGGGCTGGCTCAACGTCATTGAGGCCCACAACGCCTTGGGCTGGGAACTTCCAGTCAACTTGGTGTGCTGTTTCGAAGGAATGGAGGAATCTGGTTCTCTCGGTTTGGATGGCCTTATTGCGCAAGAAGCCAAGAAGTATTTCAAGACTGTCGACACTGTTTGTATTTCCGACAACTACTGGCTTGGAACAACCAAACCCGTGTTGACCTACGGTTTGCGTGGCTGCAACTACTACCAGGTGACTGTGGAAGGTCCAGGTGCCGACTTGCACTCGGGTATTTTCGGTGGTGTTGTGGCAGAGCCCATGACCGATTTGGTGCGTATTTTGGCCCAGTTGGTTGATGGAAACGGTAAGATTTTGGTGCCAGGCGTTTCCGACATGGTCGCTCCTTTGACAGAAAAGGAAGATGCTTTGTATGACGACATTGACTTTTCTGTGGATGAGTTGCACGCTGCCTGTGGTTCCGAAACTGGCTTGCACGACAACAAAAAGGACATTTTGAAGCACCGCTGGAGATACCCATCCTTGTCGATCCACGGTGTCGAGGGCGCCTTTTCTGGTGCTGGTGCAAAAACTGTCATCCCAGCCAAGGTTGTGGGTAAGTTTTCCATCCGTACCGTGCCAAACATTGAGTCTGCCAAGTTGGACCAATTGGTTTTCGAGCACGTCAAGAAGGTTTTCGCTGACCTTGGCTCTAAGAACAAAATGACCGTTGAGTTGATCCATGATGGTGACTACTGGGTCTCTGACCCCTTCAACGAGTCCTTCAGCGCTGCCTCCAAGGCAACTGAACACGTTTGGAACGTCAAGCCCGACTTTACTCGTGAGGGTGGTTCGATCCCAATCACTTTGACTTTCGAGAAAGAGCTTGGAACCCAGGTCCTTTTGTTGCCTATGGGCCGTGGTGATGACGGTGCTCACTCCATCAACGAGAAGTTGAATGTGAGCAACTACATCAACGGATGCAAGACCTTGGGTGGCTACTTGCACTACTACGGTAAGGCTTAAACGGCTTGACACATGGGTGGCTTCTGCTATCCGCCGTCATGTCTGGATTTACTACATCACGTTGACGCTTAATAATACGACTTTTGTCCTATCGGTAATTGTCCTTGTAATCATGGGTAGTCTATAGCTGGTGACAAGAGTCTCTGCTAATTTCCAGCATCATTTCCTCTCTTGACTTTGCTGCATTTTTCCTGTCTTGTCTATGCCTCTAGTCTAGGTCTGTCTATGCCTCTAGTCTATCTGTCTATAGTCTGCTCTTGTCGCAAGAGTCTTGTATCTCGCGCTTGGCCCGCGCACGACAGCCTTGGAAAAATTTGTTTCTACCACCAACTTGAGAACACACCATTCTTGTTTTATTGAAACTAACCTAGCGGTACTTTCCTCCACGCTTCCATCCGCACGCAACACCCTCTTTCATTGCATTGCCTGTCCTCGAACGAAATTCATACCTTCATTCCCCAACAAATAACCGCCCCGAGGCAGTAACATAAGCGGCACAAGTTCAACGGCGCATCAACCGTCAGAAACCATCATTCTGTTATAATCAGACAACTAGTCCCCCATTAGCCCTATATCGGATCTGTCTGCTCTTTGCACTGTCGAGTTTTTGCTCCCTTTTTGATTTTTCCACCCATCTGTCCTCTGCTCTCTAATTACGCGCCATGTCAGAGAACTTGAAAAGAGCGGAGTCCTTGTTCAACCGCATCATGAACCCGAACAAGCCGCAGCAGGAGACAAGAAAAACCTCAAACTCAAACAATTACAGACAAAATAACGGTAGTTCACACACTCACAGCAACGGCCTGAACAACTCGCATCATCGCCACTCATACAAATACAACAGATATAACCACACCAACACACCAGCGGCTTCTGTGGTGGCCGACCTCCCAAAAAGAAATCCAGCCCAAGAAGCGGCAGATGCTGTGGCACTATTGTCGAGTTCTGAGCATGTATTGCCCTACTGTTGGGCTATATGGCACCATTCGAGAACAAAGAGGGTAGCGGAAGAAAACAACGATGATGCCTCCAGTAACAACTCAACTAAGACCAAAGGTGCCGACTCGTATCTACAGAACACGACGGAAATCGAATTTCCGCAATATGGCCACCCAGACCGCAAAATCAAAACAATTGCGTCACTCGAGCAAATGTGGTTGAGCTTGTCTACACTCAAAAAGCTGTATAACTTGGCATATGGCACCGAGCTCTTGGTCTTTAAAGCCGGAGTGAATCCCGTGTGGGAAGATCCAAACAACGCTAAAGGTGGGCGCTGGGTTTTCCGTTTCAACCACCGCAACAACAGCAATAGTTTGTCTGACGATTATCAAGAAACAGTGCGGGCCGGACGCCGTCGTGCCACATTGATATGGGAACGTTTATTGCTTAAGACGTTAGCTGGGTCAATTATTCCTGAACAGGCTCAGAATAAGGTATCGCAAATGTTGGGCGATATTGTTGGATTGGTATTGAGTGTGCGCCGCGACGAAGAGATCATTAGTGTGTGGAATTCTAATTTGCACTTTGGGCGCAAGACTGGTGACGATGACGACGATAGAAAGAAACTTACGCCGTTCCAAGCTCGGCGTGTCATTTGCGATGCCGTGTTGAGAGTGATTCGTGAATGTGACGTGATTCTCCAAGGCTCTGACTGCATCGAAACGGTCGCAGGTGCATCTACAGAGCGAGTCAGCGGGGTGACGTTTGAATACAGACTTCATCTGGACAGTTTTTCGCTTTACGGATCAGGCGACCGCAGACGGGGTGGCAAACACCACCACTCCCGCGAGAAGGAAGAACAGGAGAAGGATGATCAGGATAATGACGACGAAAACAACAGCGCCGAGAAGAACGGTGACATTAGCATGTAGTAACGATAATGCTTGAGAAGCAACATGGGTGTAGATGATGGATACACGAAGAAGATGAAAAAAACAATAGCGTAGGAAAGAGATTGGATGGATGAATTTTAAACCAAGGTCGACAAAAAACATTGTGTCATGACAAGATATGGTCATATGTAGATTACTGTGCTTACTACTGTGTCATAATGAACTTTTGCTTTGGAATCATTCGTTTGACTAAGGTCTATTAGAAGAGACTGTTGCAGGTTTGGAAACTTGTTTTTCTTATGGTTAACCTTCATCCAGTTTCACTAAGATTTTAGGTATTCACGTTTAGGATAATAACTACAATGTTATCAATTGAAGATAACGTTCATCATTCAATTAGCAATGATTATTGCGCAGTACTTTCACAAGCATTATATATCAATTGCCAATAACGTAGCACCAATGATACTTTTTGCTAAGACCGAACCACAGTCCTGTTGCACAATTTTCTACCATAGATAAGACTGGCCGAATCTCGACTTCAACGATTTTTACAAGTATGGCCTCGGACTTACAAGCCTCATGTACAAGATCTGCACGCGAACATGCATGGGGATTTTCGGCGATCCAGAAACGAGGGCAAGGCAGGAGAACAATGGAGCATGAGAAGGAAAAAAAGGAACCCAAAAGGAGAAAAGGAGCTACGCATGTAGTACCAAAAGTTGAGTCTTAAAAAAAAAAAAAAAAAAAAAAGACGCAAGAGGCTAGCCAAAGAGATCTTCAGACTCATGCGAAAACAAAAAATGGAAGACACTGACACATGAAACATGAAATAAATTTGACAAAGGGCTCGCCCGTGAATGTACACGTGACCTGAGCTAATGTATTCCCCACGAAATGCCATTCGCCCAGGCCTTAGCAAACTGCGCCTACAATACCATAAAATGACCCCAAGCAGGCGGAAAATACAGGGAATTCAAACGTGACACTAGGGCTCTGAAGTTTTTTAAAAGAAAAAAAGTTGCTGGTGAATTAACGGTTGATTTCAATACTATCTGCTCCGAACGGTCATCTGGGATTGTATATAACGCCGGTTTGCGCAGGCTCGTAGAAAAAAATCACACACTGTTAGTTTAGTCACCTCCACCTTTAACTTTCTTCCCACTTCCTAACAACTTTCCCATCGGGCGCTTTCCGAGTTTTTTTCTTTCCACTAATTTGGTACTTTTCTCCATCCTCCCACAGTATACAGTTCTGTTTCGTCCAGCTTTTGCTGTCCCCACATTTTCGTCCTGATCCTTTTTCCTTCTCGTAAGCGCCAAACCCGTACTCAAGAATAGAATCGCTGCTCATGACAAGCGCCACTGCAAACGATGCCCATGCGGCATTGTCCTCGGGTCCCTCGATTATGGAGCTTTTCACCCAGGCAAAGCGTCTATTGGCTCTCCAGCCTCGGGTTGAAAACAGACAACTCCGTAAAGAAAACTCGCGCCACCAGCGACGCCGCAGCATTTCGCCGTCATCTCCCTCAGATGCCAAAGTTCTTGACTTGTTACTGCCGCTTTCTATGGATGATTTGCGTGGCAGCGTGACCGACGCAAAACGGAAACCGACTCCCAAGAAAACTCCCCAGAATGATGGTATCACTCCCGTGTCCATGAACGACAGTCCACCCGAAGCTGTGCGAGTGCAACGTGCTGCTGCAGACACACTTGGTGCGGCGCCAGTGAAGAAGGAACCATGTGAGGGCGTCACTCCGGTTTCAGTACACGCTGTCAAAAGTGAGCCATCCCGTTCTCAGCTTACGGCCTCGTTGCGCGACAACGACTCGTCTTCGAACATGGAAATCGATCCGAAAAGCCCCGTCCGCGGCGTGAAACCTCCCACAGAATGCTTCAACTGCCACACGCTAAAAACGCCTCTATGGCGTAAAGACCGGGTAGGAAACACGCTATGTAATGCATGTGGGCTCTTTTTAAAGCTACATGGCACCACACGCCCGCTTTCTCTCAAAACAGACGTTATCCGGAAGCGCAGCTCGCGCCGTGTTTCCATAACGCCTGCAAGAACCGCACCAGGATCTTCTCCAGCTTCACACGATGGCAGAACACCCATACCGAATGGAATACCGATCATGGGCAGTGCTCCGCGCCTGGTTTCCAGCGTGGGATCATTTAGCTCTTATGGATCTGCACCACACCAGATGCCTACGGAAGGAGCCCGGCAGAAGAACGTTTTGATTTTACCCAAGCCTCCAAGCAGCAGCGCTTTGGCCTCAGCACCATCATCACCTTACAACACTACGCTGCAGTTCAAGAGAAAAAAGTCCGAGGTTGGTGAGGATATGCTTCGACGGACGCCGTCCATGCTTGCTGGAAAACCTGTGGTGAAGCGGGGGTTCCTGTCTACATCTGTCAACAGGCGTACCTCAGTGACCAACTTGCCGGGCAGTTTCCACAAGATGCGCTTTGCACCTACGCTGGGCACGTATTTTGACCAGCCGCAACCCGAACTGCCGTATTCTCCCTCATCCCTCGGGCCCACTAGTGCACGGCTGTCGTTTGCAGCTCCCGAGGGATCGCTCGGCTCGATGGGTGGACGTCTCAACTCAATGACTGGCGTCTCGCTTAGCATGGATCCTCTAATAGATCCTCTTTCAGCTCCGCTTGGGACGTCGCTCAATGGACCGTACGGTGGCTCTTTAACGGAAGCACCGAACGACTCATTAAGCGGCTCACTTTGTGACCCACTCACAGCAAGCGACTCTCTTCCAGAGTTTACGCCGTACGTACTGCTGGTCAAAAACGAAGACATTGACGCTGATGACTTTTTCAAGAACTATACATCGCTCCATAACGACGATCTGATCGATGTGGACCCAGCGGACTTGGCTACACCACGTATAGACAATGTGGGAGGCCGTTACGAAATCAAGCCCTCGGCCACCAAGTCTACGCTTACAGACGGACTCAAGGCTCGGGCCTATAATGACACTAATGACACAAAGGGCGGCGATTTAGACTGGCTTAAATTTGAAATCTAGCTAATAGACATCCTGTTTGACAGACAATGAACTCAATTTGTACAATTTTTTGCATGCCCTTCTTAGACTGATAATTGCGTCTCCATCTCTTTCTCTATTGTGTGCCGTGCTTACATCGCACCTGTCATAATGACGCAGATACTAACTATATATTATGTGCAGTCGTCTCCGCAGCCATTTATAACTGCAGATCAGCTCCAACCCACTACTACATCGGAAAAGATCAACATTCCTCGGACTTGCTCGGAACTGCTCGGAATCATAAGGAGTCAGTCAGAATAATAGCTTTTTGTGTTCGCCTACAGTTTTTATTGCTCTGTTCGTTATATTTTGCGCCTGAACCTCCGTTTACTTTCATCAGACTCAAGTCCCAATGCCGAAACGCCGCCGCTTCCCCGTCGTTTGCACAGTTTGCAAAGCTCGAAAGGTTCGTTGTGACCTCCAACTTCCCTGCTCCTCGTGTGTGCGGCACAAGACCGAACTGCTTTGCAAATACGAGGGTTCTGATAAACCTACGGGCTCATCATCGCCTTCCTCTGCTGCTCCATCTGCTTCTTCTGGCACTGTTACTACTACTGATAAGGTCTACTTGGTTCCATCTACGTCTGCCAACATTTTGGCCCGCTTTGCTGTTCTGAGTGATGTTGTTGCGGTCAATCCAGTTCCCTCTGCTGAAGATCGCCTCGATTTCTACGCAGGCTACTCTCCCATGAGTTCTGATCCCATATTGGGCGATGAAACCAACCATGGACCGTTTACGTGGCACTCAATTGTGCGTGTGGATCCAGGTCTTTCGGGCTTGTGGGGCTTTGTTGTGCATAATCGGCCGGCTTCTGCTGCGGCCCTGGGAATCCTGACAGTATTCACTAAGGCAGTGCCCGCGTCAACTGAGGATAAACAGCTATTAGTGCTTGACCGTATTCGGCAGCACCTGGAGAGCAAGTTTGCAAGAGGAAGTGGGTCACGGCCCAACGTCCCACTAGGGCTCACTTTTAACGACCCAAACGCACGTAATGTGGATATGACTCATGAGGATCGGCTCCACGGCATTCTCCCGCCAGCAGATGTGGTGTCGTGGCATGTTGACCGGTTTTTTACTGTTTTGTATCCATTCTTTCCATTTTTGGATGAGCTACTGTTCCGCGGACATTTGGAGCGGTTGCTTGGGCCAGCACAGTCAGCTGAGGGACGAGAGCGCCGCATCAATAGCCGTGGCGTAATTGACGCTGCACACCTTGGACTCCTATGCATTGTTCTCCGTATCAGCTTCTTAGCACTTATCTCCAATGAACCGGCAGCTGAGGATGCTGGAGCGCTCATGCGGTGGCCGATTGGTATCGAGTTCGTCGACTATGCCCGGTCATGCTTAACTCGACTGCAAGCAGCAAACTGTTCCAATCTACATGTACTTCGGCTCATGCTCTTCATGCGACTCTACATGGAAGTGGCTGCCGAGGATATTGAGGGTCCAGCACGCGATATGTTTCGGGTGAACAATGCAGTTTTAGTGTACACGGCTTACTCAATTGGACTCAACCGTGAACCGGATATTGTGAATACTAGTGCTAGCAGTCCTCGATTGACACATGTCCGGCGGAAGCTCTGGGCCTTCATTCAGTTCAAAGACCTCATAAATGCTATCAAGTTTGGGCTGCCGTTTGCATCACCTGCAAGCTTTTCGGATACAAAGTTTCCTATTCTTACTCCGGACAACCACAACTGTGCTACACCAGGCAATGACGAGCTCGTAGCTCGCATATTTGATCACATTCAAGGACTCGTGCCGTTGATGCGTAATGCAGTTGAGTGTGTATTGAGAGTTGGACACGCACCAACTGTAGCCGAAGTTACCCTGGTACTAAATCCTTTGGAGGAGTATTTACATTCACATTTCGGGTCTATTGCCCGAGTGCTGGAAGTTTATCTCGAGGACACAACAGAATCGCGTGAATTGGTCCTGGTGCTTCCTCTCTACATCCCAGTTCAAATATTTCTCATTTCAGTGTACTCCCGCTTGTTTTTGAAGTATGAGGTGACTGCACCATCGGTTGCATTTTTTTACTGCAAGAAACTGCTTTCAATGATAGCCCCCGATTCGCTACCTTATCTCCGGGATTTATTGAGACGGCCCCATCCATTCTTTCAGTATGGAGCGCAGCTCGTCATGAATCCACAGCTTGAGTATTTCATGCATCGTCTGATTGGCTTTTTAGCCTCGTGGATGATTCGCTTGGGTCTTCATGTGATCCGAGATAATCAATCTCCTAGTCCAGTGCTTTCTGTTGCGCAATCTATGCGTTTCCGTTTCCTAATGCGCTCACTCTCGAGGTGTGCCAAAGCATGTCTTTTGGGTGTCCATGAGCTCAGCCACCGCTACTGCTACGCATGGCGCATTGCTACCACCTTCACGTATGTGGTTCGTATCTTGCTGACAGAGGATTATTATGTGAAGAGTCTAGGGAAAGCGTCGCCCACTGTTCCACCTGTACATTTTACAGATGAACAGGTGATGGATTTGATCACATTACTCGATCCTATCGCTCTGTCTGTTGACCTTTCCCTTTTTTCGGGATACTGGAATCTAGTGCTGGACGTGATTAAATTAGGAAAAGCATCAGCAGGCGGTGTGAAGATCTTCAATCCGATGGACTGCAAGTCCATGTTCGACGGGTTGCCACAAACACTATCAGATCTAACCGCAGGGAGCTTTTCTCGTGCGGCAGAGGAACAATTCGATTCGTCATTGTTTCCAGACTTTGATGCTCGTGCACATATGCATTCGGCCATGGGCTCTTTTTTCGAGGGTCCCGAGTTTTACTTTGAGGCATTCAACTCTATCACATCGAACCAACCAGTATTGGATAATTTAATGGATCCGCTTTGATGTACAGTAGGATCCCAGCCCAACTAACATTATTTAGCTTCATTTAATTAATTTGATGATCGGTTTATGTCTCATTTACGGTTCGGAAGTCATTGGCATCGAGACAAAGGATCGAATGGCCTTTCCTTCACTCTTAATTCAAAAAACTGGCTGAATCTATTTGTCTTTTCAGAAAATCAGCATTTTATTGCTCGTATAATTTGCACCCAGTCAGAAATTACGTTTGGTGGAAAAAATAATGTACAGATGTTTACGGTGTAGTTGCTCCTTTTAGACATTTCTGCTCTATAATTCAATAGCAAGAAGCATTTTTCTCAGTTCGGATATCATCAAAGCAGATTCTCCTGCGTAGCTTCTTTCGCATCGCGTTTGAAGTCGCATTTACAATAATCTTGGATCTTGGCTTATTTATTTGGTAGTATTTCTTTATTCACTGTGCCCATTTAAGAACCACCCTATATGTAGACAAACCAGTAATTTTGAAGATAGTGATTACAACAGCTATTGAAACCATTAAAAGTCCATAGACAATGACTCATTCTTATTTTGTATTGGTTCTTTGCAAAGTGTGCATGTGGTATAGGAGATTCACATGCCCGTGTGGTTGCAGGAGGCACGGGTGCAGGCCAACGTGGTCTTGTCGACCACTGCAAAGCAAACAACTGAATACCAGTGAGATTTTACTAATGGCCCAAAAGATGGTGTGATAATAAGAGACCTCTAGTAAAACCTTTAAGCACTTAATTATCTTCATTGAATGTGCACTTTTATCCTTGTGGCAGAAGATGGTGTCGTATACTCCTGCATGGGGCCTGAAAATTTGGCCCAAAAACTATATAGCGAGCGCATCCCCCCGAAAAATAGAAGAAAAAAAATATCCACCAAATCTTTAAACATGGCTGCCCCAGCTTCCAACTACAAAGTCGCCGACATTTCTCTTGCTGCCTTCGGCAGAAAGGACATTGAGTTGTCCGAAAACGAAATGCCAGGTTTGATGTACATCAGAAAGAAGTACGGCCCAGCTCAACCTTTGAAGGGCGCTAGAATTGCCGGATGTTTGCACATGACCATCCAAACCGCTGTTTTGATTGAAACTTTGGTTGCTCTTGGTGCCGAAGTTACTTGGTCGTCGTGTAACATTTTCTCTACCCAGGACCACGCTGCTGCTGCCATTGCCGCTGCTGGTGTGCCAGTTTTCGCTTGGAAGGGTGAGACCGAAGAGGAGTACTTGTGGTGTATCGAGCAACAATTGTTCGCTTTCAAGGACGGCAAGAAGTTGAACTTGATTTTGGATGACGGTGGAGACTTGACCACTTTGGTTCACCAAAAGCACCCAGAGATGTTGGAGGGCTGTTACGGTTTGTCTGAGGAGACCACCACTGGTGTCCACCACTTGTACAAGATGTTGAGAGACGGTCTCTTGAAGGTCCCAGCCATTAACGTCAACGACTCCGTCACCAAGTCCAAGTTCGACAACTTGTACGGATGCAGAGAATCTCTTGTCGATGGTATCAAGAGAGCTACCGACGTTATGATTGCCGGTAAAGTCGCTGTTGTTGCTGGTTTCGGTGATGTCGGAAAGGGTTGTGCTATGGCTTTGCACGGTATGGGTGCCAGAGTGATTGTCACTGAAATTGACCCAATTAACGCTTTGCAAGCTGCCGTTTCCGGTTACCAAGTTGCCCCTATGGAAGAGGTTGCTTCCATCGGTCAAATTTTCGTCACTACCACTGGTTGCCGTGACATCATCACTGGTGAGCACTTTAACCAAATGCCAGAGGACGCCATTGTGTGTAACATTGGTCACTTTGACATTGAAATCGACGTTGCTTGGTTGAAGGCTAACTGCGAGTCCGTTGTCAACATCAAGCCTCAAGTCGACAGATACTTGATGAAGAACGGTCGTCACATCATCTTGTTGGCTGAAGGTAGATTGGTCAACTTGGGTTGTGCCACTGGTCACTCTTCTTTTGTCATGTCTTGTTCTTTCTCCAACCAAGTCTTGGCTCAAATCGCTTTGTTCAACGCTGACAACGCTGAGTTCAACGCTCAATTCCCAGAGTTTGGCAAGTCCGGTAAGTTCGACGTCGGTGTGCACTTGTTGCCAAAGATCTTGGACGAGACTGTCGCCAAGTGTCACTTGGACCACTTGGGTGCCAAGTTGTCCGTCTTGTCTGACGTTCAAGCCGAGTACTTGGGCATTCCAAAGGAAGGTCCATTCAAGGCTGACATCTACAGATACTAGATGGGCACGGAACTTGAGAGACCATACCTTTCCTATCCTTTTTTTTTTTATCTTTTAACTCTTTCCTTTTTGCATCAACTGCATTTAATGATTTACTTTCTCGGCTTAATGGTTTTTCAAGTGGGTTCTATTCATGGTTGACATGACTATAAAATTATATATCCTCAACGGAATGTACATAAACAAGACTCAGTGTAGTAAAAGAAGACAGTAGTCGACGTGGCCAAAAGGATAATGACTGATGATATGAATCTGTATATTGCCATTCTAATGCGCTTTTTGGTTTGAATGATCACTACATTGTAGACTGACAATATTTGCAGTCATAGAGATGAATTAGGATCTTTTGAGCTCGTCTCTTACATCAGTAGCTTTGAACTCTTTGTCCTCCAATGACATCCTACCTTAACGAACCATTCTTCAAAGAGGTTTTTTTCCCCACTTGTTGTTTATAATAATTGATTAGGTGACCTTGTCACGTGGTGATAAGATTACCATTATCGCGTATAAAGCCAAGTTCCGCCTTCAACCTTTACTGCCTCCTCCTATGCGGTTCTCTCTTTTTATTCTACTTTCAAGCGCTCTGGCATTCCCTTTGAAATCCTTTGTCGGATTTTCACCCCAGCAACTTTTGCGCGCAGGTGATCAATGTCCTATTGATATTCCCCCAACGTGTACTAATTCTACGCCGGTAGAAAACTCGTGTTGCTTCGAGAGCCCTGGGGGAATTATTCTTCAAACCCAATTCTGGGACTATTACCCGCCTATTGGAGCTGCGGATGAGTTTACTTTGCATGGACTTTGGCCCGATAATTGTGATGGAACTTATGAGCAATTTTGCGACGCCACTTTGAACATTCCAAACGGCCGAATTCACGAGATTATCGTCGGGAAGTTCAAGGACCCACAGTTGTATGAGGAAATGCAAAAAGTTTGGAAAAACTTCAACGGTAATGATGAGTCTCTTTGGGTCCATGAATTCAATTAAGCATGCTACATGTATGCAAACGTTGAAGCCCCCATGCTACGGTGCGTTATTCGAGCAGGACCAAAATGTCTATGATTATTTCCGTATCGCCATGAACCTATACAAGAAGTTGCCCACTTTTGAGTTTTTAGCCAAGAACGGTATTGTACCCTCTTTAAACAAAACATACACACGAGATGAAATTGCCCTGGCTCTAAGCGAGGGTTTTGGAGGAAGGCCAATGTCATGTTCAAATGCAACAGATATAGTGCTATTCAGTTGAAGTATGGTACTTTCACCATTTGCAAGGGTCTGCGATAACGGAGCGTTTTATCCCAATCCCATCTCTTTTACAGTCCAATTGTCCAGCAGAGGGGATTAAGTTCCTTCCAAAGGGGAAGTTTAAGATTCCTGATGATCAGCCTCCAAAGGATCCCAGCGGCTTGCGTGGTCACATTAAGCTCAGTGGACATGATGGCTGTTTAATCAGCAACGGCCAACATTATTCTCATGGGACATGTGCTACTTTCCGCGTAAGAGAATCGCAATTTGGTGGACGCAATGTTTTTAGTTCCAAAGGTGTCTGTGGAGTTGACACTTCTGGAGTTTTCAATTGCAATAGACAAAACAAGGCCAGCAGTTCCCAATTCCAACTTGACAAAGAACACAATTACTTGGGTTATGGAGGGAACTTTTTGTGGTGCTTGGATTTCGAACACAAGCATGGAAGCAATAAGTATCAGCAAACCCCAATCAAGCTTTCTGATGGTACATGCGACTCTTTCAGGTTGGTAGTAAACTAAAGCAAAAATAGGAAGATAAATATGAATTAAATAAGCAGAAAATAAAAGAATGAAAACATCTTGAACTTGTTACCATAAATCTTACAGATGAGCACCTCTTTCTATTGAGTTCAGTCCATGTATGTATCCTTCTTAATAGTAAGGTGCGAGATGCCGCTCCTTTCGAAAGATAGAGAAGTTGAAAGCGCAACTACTGTAACTGCAAGGTCCGCTTGATATCTCAATGTAGATGTGATACAAGTGATATGAGTTGCTTTTAGAAATACATCTACATCCGGTTGTATATCAATATGAATACGTGTCACTAATGTCCATGAATTCGGTAACTATATCCACCGGAATCTATATGGTGATATAGTTAGGTTTCTCACCGATGGTCTTACAAAAGCCCAAGTCTCGTTGAATCCTAGCGACATTCTGTTCACCGAAACTAGCAAGTGATTCCTCTTGTATCAATTTCGGCTTTATTAGGTCACCTACTCAGTTGAGGACCAGCAAAGCACTGCAAACACCTTTGAAAACCAAAGTTTCATTCTCTGACTTTAACTATGCTGCTCGAGTGCTGTCTGTATTTGTCCATACATGTGGTCACTCAAACGTGGCAATCCTGAAGCATTGCAGATCCGATACATTTCATTTGCTTCAAACAGTCCGGGGACAATCTTTCCCAGTTCGTCCACTTGGACATAACCAAACACGTTGTCAATTTCTGGGCGTCTTCCAAACCTTGGAACTTCACGGAAATCATAAACTGGCATGAATGTGTTGGCATTGACACCCGCCTCTACTATAAAAGCAAAGTCCCTATCGACATTCGATGCAATAATAGAATGCAAAAGAGGCAAGAATTGAGGATTGGGCTCAAACAGCTGGGGAGTAACAGTCATCGACAGTGAGTAACCCAAAGGAATAGAGGTTGGCAATCTGGAAAAGGAAACCGCAATTTTGTTTTCTAGTGGATGAAGGTAAATTTGATCGTTTGGGGCATATTGAGTAAGTGGACGCACAGTCAGCAGTTTTGTCCTCCTTATTGCATGTCCTGAGGCTTGACAGCAAAACTTCGATTGATTTCTAAGTAGATTACTTGATGCTGTTACTGAAATCTTGGAAAACATAGTAGTTGGTTGTTGTTGTTGTTTGAATTTTGAGCACCAAAACGCAAATAATACAAAGTTCTGTATCGAGATGCAAGGCGCACACTACAAGTTAGGCTTACACCGACAGAAAAATGACCGTTCGATTTAGAAGTTAACTCTATATAAGTGATAATCGAAAGTTTTAGAAATGAAGAGAATGGGATGTCTATCCCGAGAGAAGTAAAAAACCTTGAACACCTAACACGAAGTGATTCAATCAATGGATGTTAATAATGCCTGAAGAAACGAAACGGGAAGTCACACCATCTTATAACATGGTTAAAAGAACAAATACCATCATTGTAATGGAAGAAACACCCCTGACACTAGATGCCCCTGCTTCAGCAGATTGTACCGCAGGCAAACCAGCGGAAGCAGAAACAGAAGTAGCTTCTGATTCTTGTGCAAATGCGACGGTTGGAGCGATTTCAACTGCTGAAGAAACACCTACTACAGATGCCTCTGCTTCGGTAGCGCTTTGAACTGCTTCAGCTGGGATATCAGAAGCAAGAGACTCCTCTCTCTTCTGTTGCTGGTAACGGTACATATTGACACGACCCTTTTGCAGCTGCTTTTGCAGTTGGCTTTGCAGTTGCTTCTGGTGACGCCCTCCTTGTTGTTGTTGCTGTTGTTGCTGTTGTTGCTGTTGCTGTCCCAGACCGCCTTGCTGTTGCTGCTGCTGCTGCTGTTGTTGTTGCTGCTGTTGTCCTTTACCATGATGACCCTTATCATGATGATCCTTGGTTTTCAGGGATGCAGAGCATGGCTGTGTGGATGTAGTAGTTACAGTACATGGGCATGGAGCAGGAGTCGTATCACTAGAAGTACCAGTAGAAGTTTCGGTCGATGGACCAGTCGATGGGCCTGTTGATGGACCAGTCGAAGGACCAGTAGATGGTCCGGTAGAAGGTCCAGTAGAAGGTCCAGAAGAAGGTCCGGTAGATGGACCGGTGGATGGACCGGTCGATGGACCAGTAGATGGACCGGTAGATGGACCAGTAGATGGGCCAGTGGAAGGTCCGGTTGTCAGTGGACCAGTGGATGGTCCGGTAGAAGGTCCGGTAGATGGGCCAGTAGATGGACCGGTCGATGGGCCAGTCGATGGACCGGTCGATGGGCCAGTTGAAGGTCCGGTGGAAGGTCCGGTGGAAGGTCCAGTAGATGGGCCAGTGGAAGGTCCGGTTGTCAGTGGACCAGTGGATGGTCCGGTAGAAGGTCCGCTAGATGGGCCAGTCGATGGACCGGTCGATGGGCCAGTCGATGGACCGGTCGATGGTCCAGTTGAAGGTCCGGTGGAAGGTCCGGTAGATGGACCGGTGGAAGGTCCGGTAGATGGGCCAGTAGATGGTCCGGTAGATGGGCCAGTAGAAGGACCAGTGGATGGACCAGTAGAAGGACCAGTGGATGGACCAGTGGATGGACCAGTGGAAGGTCCGGTGGATGGGCCAGTCGATGGACCAGTGGATGGACCAGTGGATGGACCAGTAGATGGGCCAGTAGATGGACCAGTAGATGGGCCAGTAGATGGGCCAGTAGATGGACCAGTAGATGGGCCGGTCGTCAGCGGACCAGTTGGGCATGGCCAGCACTCAGTACCTGTGCATACAACGCACAGACTAGACGATGGACCACTTGGAACGGATGTTGATTCAGTAGACTTTGATGGGCCTGTAGATGGACCAGTCGATGGACCGGTAGATGGACCGGTCGATGGAGCCGTAGAAGGTCCGGTAGATGGGCCTGTAGATGGTCCGGTAGAAGGTCCAGTAGAAGGTCCGGTAGATGGGCCAGTCGATGGGCCGGTAGATGGGCCTGTAGATGGTCCGGTAGATGGGCCAGTCGATGGACCAGTGGAAGGACCGGTGGATGGACCAGTAGATGGACCAGTAGATGGACCAGTGGAAGGACCGGTGGATGGACCAGTAGATGGGCCGGTCGTCAGTGGACCAGTTGGGCATGGCCAGCACTCAGTACCTGTGCATACAACGCACAGACTAGACGATGGACCACTTGGAACGGATGTTGATTCAGTAGACTTTGATGGGCCTGTAGATGGACCGGTAGAAGGTCCAGTAGAAGGTCCGGTAGATGGGCCAGTCGATGGGCCGGTAGATGGGCCTGAAGATGGTCCGGTAGATGGGCCAGTCGATGGGCCAGTGGATGGTCCGGTAGAAGGTCCAGTAGAAGGTCCGGTAGAAGGTCCGGTAGATGGACCAGTCGATGGACCGGTGGAAGGACCGGTGGATGGGCCAGTCGATGGGCCAGTCGATGGGCCAGTCGATGGGCCAGTGGATGGTCC